GCATGGGTAATCAACACCAATCCCATGGAGGGCTTCCAAAAGAAAATAATAGATTGTTAATTAATTGCTATGATAATGTTTAATTTTTGGTAGAGAAATTTCGAATTCTATATTTAATATTCTGACTATAAAATATTAATGATTTATGAAAATTTGCTGATCTGTTAAAAATGATTCTTCATTTATGAATTTGAAAAATATTATCATAGAAATTTCAAAATGGTAAAATGACACAGAATTTTATGTTTAATATAATTTTTTCATTCAGTTGTGGTCATCTAGCAAGTTTTAATTAATATTTCATTCCAACATTTACTCAGATCTGAGCTTTAAATGTTTTTCTTCAATTCTACCTTGTGAAATGCAAGTGTTAATTGCTAAATCATTTTAAGTAGAGTTTGAGGTTTACTCCCAGCTGTACAAATCAGAAATGATATTTTATTTCTTAATTCTTAACTTAATGTTATATATTCAGCTAAACTCTATTGAGGATATGAACCTTCCCCATCAGAATAAAGGAGGATATATGCTCTAGGTTTATATAAATTTTTACTAATCAATTTTTTTTTCATATTTTAGTATTTAATCTAAACATAATTTGAGAGGTGGGTCAAAATTTGTAATTCCTCCTACTAACGTAATTTATTTAATCAATTTTGCTTTTGGCTTTTTAAATTCTATTTACAATGAGGCTTTATAATTGAATGAAATTACACTCACTTTAGCATATTTATTTGATTTCAGAAATTTGAGTTATTATCTTAAGCTTTCCATCATTTCATCTCCTTTTTTTCCTTCCATTGAAAAGGAGTCATCAAGTATAAAAAGATAGAAGATTTCCTATTGTTCCCTTGTATTATAATAAATTTTGGTATTAAATGTTTAACTTAATTTTGTGCATATTAAGTTTCCAATTCCATCATTCCAAATTTTGATCAATTTCAATTTATTTTCCTTAAGTATTTTTGTATTTACACTTACGCTTGCAAAATTCCATTTTTGATATATTTTCTTAATTTCTTTCCATTTCATCTGCTTTTTAGTTTCAAGGATATCAATGATTTAATCATCTTTTATTTCTTCGCAACTCTGTAATTATGGCTTATTTCCTAACAGTATACCATTCATCCCTGAGATTTAATAAAGAAATACCTCTTAAGTAATGACCATTTTAACATGAATGAGGGAGAAATTCAGGTTCGGAATCACATTTACGATTACACATTGGACAACAATGAGTACATCCAATCATAGCCAATTTTAATGAGTTCAAGCTTTCTTAAATGAGCAGTTAAGTTAGGTCAAAGTTAATTGAACTGACTAATTATAGGTTATCAAGTAAGGATTATAAAAATGGTTGAATTTGATTTATTTAGTTATCCATTTCATTCCTCTAGTTTATTAATATATTTTATTTTCGCTTATAGTTATGAATAAAGCAATCTTTGTATTAATCATCAATTTCTTCGATTTCTTCCTATTTTTATTCATATTCCAAAAGGTACTGAAAAACTAAATTAAATAATTTGATTTCAAGAATGTTTTCTTGTTTTTTCTTTTAATCTTCATCTTTAATTTTATAGAATTTAGATTTAATAGAATTCTCAAAATAGTTTTCAACACTTGGATAATAGGGAAGGCTTTTTAATAATTTTTTAGCATTTGTCTCTACTCTGTGAAAAATAATTCTTAATTCTTGATTAAATGATTCTTAGTATTGTAATTAAATTTATTTTGTTATATGCTTTATATATTTTTCTACATATGATTAAATAAAGTTCAATTAATTTGTCAGATATTCCATAACTTATTCCTAATCTGTCATCTCATTTAATAGTTCAATTTTTTACCTTTTTGTAATTATTTTATCATCCAAGTACTTTACTAAATTTTCATTTTTTTTTAGCTCTCTCTTAAGAAAATCTTCAATTTCAATTCTCTTATCTAAATAAAAAATCTATTGAGACTTTTCAATCAAATAATTAGCAAGCAATTTACCTTTTTACATGCTTAATTTAAATTTATGCTAATGTATCTCAAGTTTGAAAGATTCCCATTAATCATTCTTGCTATTCTCAACTAACTTTTAATTTTCTTCAAACTTTTTCCAAATCTTTAAACAATAAAATCTCCAAATTATGTGCAAACTGTAATAATAGATGCATCTTTATCCCATATCAGATAATTAAAGGCCATATAAAGAAAATTACGGTTTGTAACGATTTTCACTAAAATCGCATATTTATTGCATCACTCCTTGAATTATGTCTTTTGAGATAATTTCTGTATTCTCTGCTAATTCCAATATTGAGGTTTTTATTTTATCATATATCTCAGAATAAATTTTATTCCATATTCGATTTTTATTAACCATTTAATTAAACTCTACTTGAAAAGACTCAGCAAAACGGTATTTTTGAGGATTGCTAATATAAACGCAATATTTGCTGCTAAATTCTTTACTTACTACATTATCACATGCTTACGATATAATTATATTTTCTTTTCTGAAATCATTTATTTCTGTATCCTAGATTTTTCTTTAATAAAATTTTAATTTTGATTTTTTCAATTTTTCTAATAAATTTAGATCCAATTTTTAAAATTTACGTTATCGATCTAAATCATTAAACTTAAATGTTTATGTAAATTAGGAACAAGAATTTTAATATTCTTTTTAGTCTTTGTTAAATAATTAAAGGATTTTATTTTTGCTAATTTAATCATACCCCACTTAAAATAAGTCAAGGATTTGCAATAAATCCTAAATCTTTTCAAGCTTTTTAGCTTTTTAAAGATCTTCTTAAAAATAATTTTAAAAATATTGTTTTAGTTCTCTATTAAGTACATAATTTATATTATAATTTACTTAAAATAGTTTATCTAAAGATAAGAACGAGCCTTAAGACTTTTCAATTTTTTAATCAAAGCCCAGTATTTCAAAATTTATATGATAGAAGTCCTCTTTTGGCAATTTTGTAAATTAATTTTGCATTAGTATTTCTTAGTATTACAAAAAAATTTTGTCTTTTTCTTCTTCTTTCTGATCAATTTTATTTATTTTTTCATGAAAAAAACTTTAAAAGTTACTATCTTTGTGAAAAGTTAACTAATATTCCTAAAAATAGCTTTTGATTTATTTAAGAGATGCAGTTTAAATTTCATCAAATTTGACTTTTCTTTACTATAATTATTAAATTTTTATTTTTTCCCAAATGATATTGAATTAATTTTACAATAATGTTTCATCATTTTGTAATTAGGTTCTAATTTCTGGACTTAATTAATTGATGTACTTATTAATTTCACCAAAACCTCGACGTATTTAATATTCGATTTCTTAATTTTTAATTTACTCATTTATAAAAAAATTACATTCTGTTTAAAGGTTATGAATTTCATTTTATAATTTAATTATAAATTTTTAATATATGTTTTTTTAAATGTTTTTTTCCTCTTTGAATTAATTTAGCTTTTCTTCAATCTTTTTATTTATTATTTTGCATTCTATCGATAACTTTAATTCTAATTCCTATTAAATTTCTTATAAATGCTTGAAATTTAAATCAAAATTAAGCTATTCGATTTTCTGTTTTATTAGGGTTGATATTTAAGATTTGAATGTTAATTTATTTTCATTCCAAAGTTGATAATAAAATTTTGAAATTAGTTAGTTTTATTATAATGAAATCAATTCTGAAAATTCCAATAGATCTGGTAATTTTGAAATAGTTTCCCACATTTTATATGAATTTAAAAAAAAATTTTCTAGTAGTTATCCACAAAAACTTTACTATTTTTTTTGGCACTTTTCAAAATAATTGTGTATCAATTATATACCATATTTGTAAGCATCTTTAGAATATGATTCATTTGGAATAAGTTATGTCCAAAATTATTGTAATCCTTCGATATTCCAGGTTTCCATTGTTGTTGTAGTACTTAAAATTTGGATATTTTCCTTTTTAATTTCTATTAATTCTAAGATATCCTATTATTTATCTTTATTTTTTCCAAATTACCCGTTATCATCGAATAATTATTTTGTTAATTAAGTTAATTGTTCAATAAATGGCGATTTATTTGAAGTATCAATATTTTGGTTAAAACACCAACTAATTTATTTTGTATTTGATAATGCATTTTAAATTTAAGCCAAAGAATAAATACATATTTCAACAAGATTTTTAAATTAAGAATTAATCTCACCCTTCACATTAATTAAAATAATATCACAGATAGCAAATATAAATAGGGAAATCCTTTTATCGAATAGTGGATCTTTTTAATTTGGACTCTATAATCCTTCTGTATCTAATATTAAAATAAAATCAAACTAATTTTCAAATATTGAATTTTTCTGAACTTATATCATTTGAAAGTATATCCCTTTAGTTGATTTTCCTACGCTCGAGAAAAAATGGCATCCAAAAATCTTGTTTAAGATCGTAGATTTGCCTGAGCTTTAAGGTCCCAAAATTCCAATAACAAGAATTTTATTATTTTTACTTATTTTTTCAAAACATTTTACTATAAGTTCAAAAAAACCAATATTCATTATTAATTATTCTCCATCTAAAAGTTCAAATGCTTCACCTTTCATTAATAATTTTACTATTTAATCTGCGACTTCTTGGCATTAATTTATTTAAAAACAATGCTTGATATGTTCTCTCCAAAATATATCAATATTAAGACTTTTAGATTAAAGTTCTTTTTCACATTCTTCAAAATATTATTTTAATTTTTTTAGCCCTTCTTTATCTTCTCTATTTTCTAATTTTTAAACTTGAAGTTTATCTAATAAATCAGAATTTATTATCTATAATTTTTAAGTAGATTCTCTAGTCAAATCAGAGATAACTTAGATTAAAGTAATGTATGAACTATAATTTTCAAAACAAATTAATTATTTAAATAATTTTAATAGCTTACTTGGATTTTGTTATTTTAAAAAATTTTAATAATTTTGAATTTTTTACTAAAGTTGATGTATTTCCTATGTTAAACAAAATTGTGAGACTTCAAAAAGTTGTGATTCCTCTTCCTGCAATTCTTTTATAATTTTATCAAAATATCTTAAAGGAAATGCTTTTGAGTTGTAAAATCCTTTTGTATCATTAAAATATATTTCTGCTTCATCTTTGATTTCTTATAATAAAATATTTAACTTTTATAATTCTTCTTGGTCCTCAGTTCTTAAGATCTAAATAAAATTTTCTTAATTAAATGGCTTGAATTCCTCATGATTCGCAATCTAATTAAAAATTTATTCCTGCAAAAGCTTAATTTGTTAATAAATCAACTAATTGTTTATACCTTTTGAAGATAAATTTTGAATTTAGTAGAGTTAGATATAATTTTTGTTTAATTCTTCTTGGAGAGATTAGTCAATTTATTTACTTTTTGAGTTTCTAACAATAAATAGAATCTTATGATTTATTATTTTGAATTTTTTATTTAAGTTTTTAATTTATTCAAGATTCTCTTTTAATTCTTCCTCAGTGTCCATCTATATTATCCAAAAACTAAATAATGGCAAAATTTTCAACAACAAGCTTTATGGAATATACCCATGAGCGTCAGCAATTAGTAAATTTCTAGATCCATTGAATTCCTTATCCAGCATCAGATCGATAGTATTTCTATTTAAATTATTAGTATCTTAAATATTAAATTTATCTTTTCGATAAAATACGCTATTAATTAATTAAGTCTTACCAATTTAAGTTTACAATTTACTGAAAGAAACGTTAATAATGCTGTATTGTTTTTATAATAAGAAATAAATATTAGGATTAATCAAATATAAATCTGCTTCCACTTGGATATTATCTAAATTGGGATTTTAATAAACAAAGGGAATAGGATAATTATAGGATAAGTTTTTTAATAGTAGGATTTGCAGCTATTTATCGGAATTATTATATAAAATTTAAAAGATAACTTTGAAATTCATAAATTCTATGTTTTCGATACCTGTATTTTTATTGACTTAATCAAGCAAAGGCTCAATTGATTCTCCTCTTTTAATAATATCAAATAAAAAAGGAAGAAGAGACAAAAAATATTCACAGTTATTTAAATTAGATACCCATTTTATTATTTAATTGTTTTTTTTCTATTCAGTTCTAGATAGAATAAATTATTCAATTGATATATTGATTTTAGTAGGATAGCTTCCATGTATTTTCTTATGTTGAAAGAATTAAGGTGTAATTTAAAATTCAGTAATATCATTAAATTATTCATAACATTTATCATAAATTCCCTCATCTAACATAAAAAGGTCATTACAACATTATTTAAACATATCTAAATTTCTATTTTTCTTGAAAAATTAAATTCTGATTACAATATTAATAATTTAGTTTTGGATATCCTTATTTTTAAAGCAATGAAATAACATCAAAAATTGATTCCCATAATCTTTTCCACCAAGAGTTACTAAAAACTAAAAATTCCTTTATTTTTCTGACGAACCCTCTTTAAATTTGATATACACTTCATTAAAAATTTCCTTTAATATATTGGTACATTCATCTAAATTAAATAGAGAATTTTTAAAAATAATAGATTTAAGTTTGATACAATTCTCAATACATAGGAATGATTATAAATCTTCAAATTAATCTCTAAAAATTTTGACATTCTAACATTTAGTGGTATCTTTCATTATGATAAGTTCCAAAATATCTAGTATTAAATAATATAATATATAATCCATTCTCTTATTTAAATCTTAAAGCATATGCAAAAAAATAATTAATTCTGATTCCGAATTAGGAATATATTTTAAAATTTCAAAAATACTATCATTTTTGAGAGTTAATCCAAAGTATTTAAAATAAAATTCTTTAAGCCTTAATTATTTTCATCAAATCTAAGTTTGGTAAAAATGAAACTCTTGAAGTTGATTCAAAAATTGAATGAAATTGGATTGTTAATCCATTCCATCAGCCATTTTCGAATCCATATTAAAGCATTAATTAAATATTTTTGAAAAGTAGTTTGAAATATTTTAGACTTAATAATCATTTGAATTTCTTTCTTGTTAATTTGGCTTTAAAAATTATTATTGATCAGATTTGTAAAAAATGATTTTATCCATCAAGAAATTATGAATGGAATCTTATTCTTTATTTTCTTTTTTATACTATTTTAATTTCGTTTGAAGAACATTTTCCTTTTTTTTATCTGTAACTTATCCTAATGGTTTTGAGATTTCTTAATGAAATTTAACAATCTTATTATGATGCTTTATCCAAAAATAAAAAGTTATTGCAAAATATATTTAATCTAGTGACAAATTACAACAAATTTACATCTTTAGGGTTTCTTAAAAAATTCTTAATACCCCTTATTATTAATTTTTTTTTTTATTTAGATCACTATGATTAAGTTTTCCAATTTATTATGATATGAATGTAATTAAGTCTTTCTATATTTTAATTAGATCTAAACAAAGAAGTTCATTTAAGAATTTCTAATTTTATTAAGTTGTAAATAGATTTTATTCTTATTCTTAGATCCAATCATTATAGGTCTAAAATTAAGAGCATTAACGTATGGAAATAGATCCAATAATTTATTGTAACTTTTCATCAGTATCATCGATAAATTATGAAAGAATGTTTATAAGTTCAATTTAAGTTAGTTATTTTAATCCTTACTAATATTCATTATAATCAAATAGTAGATGTACTTTTTAGAGTTGAGTATTTAATATTCTCTCAAGAAAGTCCTTACTAGAGGCTATCTAAGATGGAATCTTATTGACTAAGATGAATTTGTCATTAGTAAGTTTATTTAATATATTACTGTATTCTTTATTTTTACGAGCATCTAAATAATATTAATTTTCATTTAATTCAGGTGATTTATTAAATTGTTCTTCGCAATTTTAATCCAAGATGTTATTTAAAAAGTCGAGTTTGGTATTACCCTACTTAAAACCAAACAAATATTATATTGCCTTCCTTTTATCTTAGGCATTCAAATTTATAAGTATATTATCATTCAGATAATCATTTATTTCTTCCTCATTTTATAATATATTATCACAAACAAGTTCTAAAAATTCATCAAGCCCATCTTTTATTTTTGAAAAATTTTCAGCCTCACTCTAATTTTAAATTTTTTCCTAGGTCTATGAATTTAATTAAATAATTTCATCAATTCCATCATCTAATCATCATGAAATACATTTACATTATTGCATGATTATATTATGAGTTTCTTTTGCTTTTGAACTCTACATAAATTATTACTAGAAATTTTGAATAAGAATTATTAAAGATTAATATAATTATATTAGATGAGATTAAATTGAAAAATCAATCAATCAGCATACATATTTTCTCATTTTTCCTTCTTTTTAATATCAGAAACAAATTTATTTTAAAAACTTATATTATGAGATACTAAATAAAGTAAGGAGAAATAAATAAAAATACAAATAATATGATCACATAAAGAATAAATAAACATAAATTTAAAAGGCAATAAGACAATTTGGATTAAGAAACAGAAATTACAATTTATAATATCTATTTAATGATAAAATTTCGCGATTGGGGTTTAATAAAGGTATAAAATTTTATATTAGCCTAATCCAGTAACGAAATGTTTTGCTTAATAATTTTAATATTGATAGGAATAAATTTTGATCTCATAATAGTTCTATATCATAAATTGCATAAAATGCGTAATATATATTTGAGAGGCGCTTTTGTAAATGGTTAGATATCTATTCCTTTTTGATTGATACTAATTGATCAATAATAAGATAATTTGCGGTTAATAAAAAAATAAATGGTTTAACAATATTAATTTTATTAAATATATAATAAATAAGGATGGGAATTTGTTTCATCAGAAAGGAGTAAAATAAAAACAATTCTAACAATTTCGATTCCATTACTTAACCTATTTAAGTCATCTCTGAGTAGGAGAAATATGCTAATGATTTTTTAGAATCTTTAGAAGAATTAAACAATTTATTTTAAAATGTAAATTTTATATTTAATTTCCAGTTAGCATAAGACTTCCATAAATAATAATAATCAGAGTGATTAAATAATTAAACTAGATTCAAGAAATATAGTCATAATAAATTATTTCAATTTTCATAAAAATATATTATCATTTTTGCACCTCCTTCGTATTAATTTGATAGGTTTGTGATACACTTTGGAGTTTGCTTAATGAAATAAATGAGAATTATTAATAAGATTTCTCTTAGCTGATCACTAAGATCTTATATATTATTATTTACTATCCTTAGTCTTTGCTAAACTTTGTATAATTCTCTTATACTTATTGATTATTTATTTAATTTTCGATATACTAGATTAAATACTAAGTATTTCCATTTTACTCTAAATTATAGGATAGCTAAATTAAGTTTATGTTTTTAAAATGAGATTATAAAATTTTCAACTCTTTTTTATTTATCATTTGATATTAGACAAATAACTCTCTGGATTAATTTTATTAAATTTTTCTATCCAATGCAAATTCTCCTCCAACAATTGTATTAGAAATTTAATTTAAGTTAATTTTGTTAAATTAATAATTTGTAAAATTCTAAAGAACATTATCTAAATATCTGCTACAAAAGTTAATTTCTTGAATAATGCAAATCAATCATATATCATAATAATGCAATATTTTTTGCCTTATATAAAAATTGATAACTTCTTATTATAATTATATTATGGAACACCCTTAAAAACACAAATTTAATAAAATAATTAAAATCAAGAAATTTTCATTTAGAAAAAATCCATTATAATAATATAATTACTTAAATTAATGTAACCATCTAGCCAAAGCTTAGAAGGATATTAGGAAGTTAGAATGAAATTCTCGAGCTCATGGACATTTATGCTTACATCCTTAGGATTTGCAGCTGGTTTTGGAAGTGTTTGGAGATTTCCATATCGTATAAAATTGATTATAAAATATTGTTTAGTTGTATTTAAAAATGGAGGGGGGACATTCTTAATACCATACTTTATTTTGGTTTTTACTTTAGCTATTCCATTATTTTTTTTAGAAGTTGGTTTGGGGTAATGCAAAGGGATTGGAATGGCACATTTGTTAGACTTAGAAAAACCAAAGTTAAGAGGATTTGGATATGTTGGAATAGTAATTTGCGCATACATATCTACTTATTATGTAAAAATTAAGCAATAATTGTAGAATTTAATAATGGCATATTCTTTGAGATATTTGTGGGAGTCATTTAAGTACCCAATTCCATGGTTAGAGAGTATAGTTGAATAGAATACACCATTTTCTAGAGATTACTTCTATGATTCTATAGTTTAGATGTCCACTTCAATTACTGATATAAGTAATTCAAATAAAATACAATAGATCATATTATTTGGAGTCTGTTTATAGCATACATAGTTTCTTTAATAATAGTTTACTTTTGTATAAAGTATATATTGATTGTTACAGTATTAGAGAAGGCGTTGAGACTTCAGGAAAGGTAGCGATAGTAACAGCCACTTCGCCTTATTTTTTATTAGTGATTTTATTAATAAGAGGCTTAATGTTGGAGGGTTCAAGCGAGGGAATTTATTATTTATTTAAACCAGACTTTGTGAAACTATTTAATCCTTCAGTTTGGGTAGATGCTGCTAATTAGGTTATCTTTTAAATGTCAGTTGGACAAGCTATTCTGTGTTTATATGGTAGTTATAGAAAAAAGGAGGATAATTTACCTAATTTTTCTTTTGCAATTCCATTATTAACTGCATTGTGTGGAATGTTAGCCGGTTTGGTCGTATTCAGTTATATAGGACATGTTAGTTTAAAATTCAATGTACCAATTTCATAATTACCTGTATTTATGAAAACGATAATTAGTTATCTGGTCCTGATTTGGCATTTGTTTTATATCCCGCAATTTTAGCTTAGATGCCAATGCCAAACTTATGGTGTATTTTATTCTTTTTAGTATTATTATTGTTGGGAATTGATACTCAATTTGGATTTGTAGATGGAATTGCAGGAACAATTGAGGATATTTATTTAGGTGAAGTGATCGTTTTGGGATATAAATTGACAGTTCAATAAGTTAGATTATGTGTTTGCAGTATATTAGGAGCGATAGGTTTAATCTATTGCACAGATGTTGGATTTTATTTATTGAGTTTTGTGGATACTTTTGGAACTAACGTATCATTTATGTTGGGAGTATTATTTGAAGTGTTTTACTTTGGATCAAAAGAGAGATTTGAATAATTGAAGAAGGATTTAGAGTAATATGGGAATCATGTGCCTTGGCTTATTGAATTTTCATTAACTAAACTCTGTCATTACACAGTTATTGTATTACTCATAATATCAGTTATCTCATAAATCAAAAATTCTCTTGATTATTCATTTTATGTTATTCTGATTGGATGGTTCATCTCTTTTTCTCCATTTATTGCTGCCATTAAGATTTATTTAGAGTAATTAAATTGTTAACGTATTTCATAGGAATCGCAATAGGATTGACATGAGCAAGACTGATTTAGATATAGAGTTATTGACAAAACAAGTATAATAGTGATTTTTAATATTATTGTGTAACCATTTCATATTTATAAAATTACAATATTATATTATAAGTAGTTAAATTAGAATGGGAGCAAATTGTTCAAATTGCAATTAATGTTAAAAAGATAAAATGGAATTAAATAACGAAGTAGAGGTGACTAAAAAGTCAGATAGTCATAAAGCATCATCCTTTTCGCAACAATCATCGAACAGTTTAATCGATGGTGTAATTAAATTGAAATTATTGAAAGAATGATTTAAAGTAGACAAAGTGTACTCCTAAAGAATAAAAGAACACGAAGTTTTCGGTATTTTCAGACGATCAAGAGAAAGAAAAAAATCAACAGAATAAGCTAAACGACAAGGCGATTGTGATATAAAAAAATTGGAAAGCTCATAAAGCCAGAGAAAGTTACAAGGAAGTCAAGAAATCATTATCAGAGTCCTAAAAGGGGAACGACAAGCAGCAATAATAATAATAATAAAATGATTAAGCTACAGTAGCCAGTAAGGATAAAAAGAAATACTTTAATTCATTAGAATTCGGAAACAGTATTAGAATTTATTAAAATAATAGTCAATAATGCGAATAATATTTAATCTAGGGAGAAGCGACCTCTATTTGTATTTAAGAGTGGTGCAACTTATGAAGGAGAATGGGTAGGTAATAAAAGGGATGGCAAAGGCGTATAGATATGGCCTGATGGAGCAAGATATGATGGAGAGTGGGTAGATAATAAAGCATGTGGAAAGGGCAGTTTCTATCACGTGGATGGGGATTCCTATATTGGAGAATGGGCAGATGATAGAGCTAATGGTTATGGAGTGTATAGACAAAATAATGGAGCTGTATATGAAGGATATTGGCGTAATGATTAATAACATGGGAAGGGAGAGGAGAAATGTAAGATCTAAATTTAGAAAAGTAGGGTCTGATTTGTCTAGTTATAAAGGAGATTACTTTGAGGGCAAGAAATAAGGGAAGGGAAAGTATATGTGGCCAGATGGGAGTTATTTTGAAGGAGATTGGTTTGAGAATAAGATAAATGGATATGTAATGATAGTGATGTTGATTTCATTAGGGAGAATATTATTGGTCAGATGGGAGAATTTACAAAGGTTCATGGCAGAATAATAAAATGCATGGAGAAGGTGTATATTAATGGGCTGATGGGAGAATATATCATGGTTCTTATGTGGATGACAAAAAGCAAGGAGTTGGGAAATATAAGTGGCCAGATGGGAGACAGTATGTTGGAGAATGGCATGATGGGAAACAACATGGAAAAGGAAAGTACATATTACCAGATGGGAAGACCAAATTTGGAGTATGGGATTAGGGAAGGAGATTAAGGTGGACTGAAGAATGAATTAATCAATAATATTTGTGATCATTTCTTTTTATAATGAGATTCATCTAAAATGTTGTTACATACTCCATGAATGGTTTTGCTAAAAGGATATTGATCTAAAATTACCTTTTGGTTTACTAAGTTAATTAGGTAGCCTATTTAGTATTATCATTTTAATTTTTATTAATAATCAATTTTTAGATATTATACATTTTAATATAGGAGTAGCTATTCTAAGATTTTAATAATGATTGGCTTTTATCAATGACTCTCTCTTGTGATTATTGTGATTTGTTTCTGTCATCCTTCCTATTTGAAGGCGGATTGTGGATTGTGTTATTTTGATGAGAGACATTGTTCTTGAGTGGGAGTCCTTTGCCTGGAATATAACTTATATGTTGAGTATTGGCACTTCTGCGTTCACGATTGATGGGTTCTTAGGATGTATTTTTGTTGGGTATTTGTTGATCTTAATAGGTGATTAAGTTTGATTAATGTTGGCGATGATAGATCTGATTGCCCATAATATACGATTTCTTAATGATGTTAGGACTTCCTTCTCGTTATTAAGAAGGATTGGAGGGTTTCTTCTCGATTTCTTTGGAAGATAAGAAATTTAATTGTAGAGTTGTTGCTTTGCGATCTTACTTTAAAGAATATTACAATCATTGTACTTCTATTTATTATTTCTCCAATTCGAGCTATTCAATCTTCTCTTGGAGATTATCAGCATAAAGTTTCATCTACTACTCTAACTACAATTATGCCAACTTTGATACCCTAACATGAGAACGAATTTCTGCTTCTGCCTTTTAGACAGCCTTCTCTAATTCATCATATTCGAGGCTTTTGTTTTGAGATACTAATTCGAGCAGTATGTAGATGTGAAGTTTGAGAGTATTAAGAATTTCCTATGTACTCTACTCCCTAGTTACAACTGGTTCTTGTCCAAGTGCGCTGCAAATCTACATAACCTTCTAAACACTTACATCTGTCACCATCTGCAACAACTATTCATTGATATTCATTTGTGATAATTTAATATTAAATATGATATTTTCACCATCATTTTAATAGATTTCTCGCTATAATCATTCTCATTATCTCATTCGTCCCCTCCAAAATCTTATGAACTCTCAAATCTCTCACAATCCTACCATTATCCATTCATCTACATAATACCTTTCAATCTAATATTCCCTTAAATATCCATATCCTCCATGTAATTACAATGCATCATTGGCCACATCAAAACAACTGTCTGTAGCATACGTTTTTGCCATACTCACATATAAACTCTTATCAATTTGATTTTCATCTAGTTTCATGGCTGCTTATCTCACTATCAATCTTGATGTTACTAAACTTGCTGCCATATCAGCAAATTTAAACTACAGTCCTTAAAAATTAGAAAGTTACTATCCAAATTATTTGCGATCTTTTATTATTAAATTATAATTTAACCTTATAAATAATCCTTAGCAAGATCTAAAGCCAATGAAGCTCCTCCTAAAGAACATGATGAAATATTAATTCTACCACCATCCAACGCACTCATTCCCATTTTGAAACCCTGACCTTCCTTCCCTACTAAGTTACTCTACGGTACTCTGACATTCTCTAAAATAACTCTAGTTGTTGGGGAAGCATGCCAACCCATTTTATCCTCCACTTTACCAAATGACAATCCTGGTGTATCTTTTTCAACCAGAATGCTTGAAACATCCTTCTCCGATGTCTTACAAACTATCAAATATAGATCACTCACAGACCCTCCAGAAATAAAGCATTTTATTCCATTTATAATGTAATCTTTACCATCCTCTCATTATTTTATATCATATACTTTCTTTGCATATGTCTCCATATTCTTATTGTCACTCCCACTATTAGGTTCTGTCAAACAATATGCAACTAAAGCGTCAAAACTATTTATTCTAGGTATCCAAACTTTCCTCTGTTCCTCTGTCCCATAATTTGCCAATAAATAGGCGCATAGATTCTACACTGCCAAAGTTGCGGTTGTAGTGATGTCTCCATAAGATAGGGCCTCAAATATAACACTGGCTGAGAGGTGATCCAGTCCAACTCCACCTGTAATCATGACATATATATGTACCTAATTCTTATTTTACATAGATCGTTGCAAATCCCATCTCACTTAATTCTTTTAGGACCTAACTAGGAAGATAATTATTTTTATCCCAGTCAGATGCATATGGTAGCATCTTTTCTTTTGCAAAATCCAATGCCACTTTTTGTATTTATAAATGTTCTTCGTTGAGAAATGTAGTGTCACAAAGATATTTAAATCCAAAACGTGGAATATGATACGATATCCTATTACGTATTATTTACATTATAAATAAATATCTAAGAAATATAATAATCATTTATTTGGTTCACATTCCCCAATGCTTAACTAAGCCTTTCTCTTCACCGTACTTGAGGAACGCTTCCACAAAATCTACCAAGGGAATGTTCTTGTCTTGGAATCTATATAATACTTCAAATTAAAAAACATTAGAACTATAATTGTTGTTGGACAATAAAGTCATACTAAATATACAGACTATGTTACCTATCATGTACTATTGATAAAATTATCTAGAGAGTAGATGATAACATTGGAGAGGCTATCAAAACTTTTGAGAAGACTTGCCTGTTGATTTAGAATGAAATCAATCGTTCTTCTGTATTAGTATGTTGTTAGAATGGACTAAATTGGAGTGCAGCCATAACTATTGCATATTTAATGAATACTAAGAAGTGGCAATATGAGAAGGCCTTTTATCACATAAAATCTTTGAAAAGTTTGGTAAATCCGTCGTTAGCTCTAAAAAAATAGTTGATTTTATTCAATAACAAAGTTCATAATACTAAAACTTTTAATCAAGAGAACAAATTAAATCAATCTAATTTAATTATTCAATCAAAGTTCTAATAAAGAATTATAGAATAAAGTGAAAAATTGTAATATTTGAATGATTCTATATAATCTAGAGATGAAAGAAATTCAACCAATTCTAATTAATGTGATAAGACTCCTAATTTTTGTTCCCCAAAAAATACTAATATAAATAAGAAAACTATTGCTTAATCTGAGACAAAAATAATGAAAAAGTAGAGTATACCAAAATTAGCAAGACATTTAAGAAATTATACATTCTAAATTGAAGATGGAAATAACAATATTAATCTTAATACTAATGCTAATAATTTTATTAATTAACCAATTATATGTAACTCTCCAAAATTCAAAGAGGAAGAAGAACCTGTTGTTTTAAGGCATAGAAAAAGAAGATTTGCACATAGAACTTAAAAGTGCAATTAATAATGTTTGATTTTTAAAGTGTTTAAATTTATACACTTTTATTATTATTTTCTAAATGGTTCTAATAATCATTATATTCGTTATATTATAATTTAAATTAAAAATGTTAGATAATTACTAGTGTCCAAGCAAATAACATCATCTATAGAAAAATCTACAAAAGAAATATTAGGATGAATCAATTAATGATTCTAATTCGATTAAATTAACTCCAAATGTCAGAACTCAAATGTTGGGAGTATCCAAAATATCAGACATTAAAGTCTACAATGATTATTCTGTGGATTCGCAGATATTTGATAAGAGCAGCATCCTGGAGTAATCGCTAGAATAAGAACTGAGAATATGGAAGGAACAATACAAAGTAGATCCTCAAGTGGTCTAAAAAATAGAATTATGTATTATGATGATAGTTACTTTCTAGAAATAAGAAATATTGATAATCAAATAACTTAATTGGCAACATAATTTGAAATCTGCATCAATCTACAATAAAAAACCTAATCTTATTTTTAAGAATTTCAATAAATTGTCAAAGGAACCACTTTTACTAAGTTTTCAAGGTCTAACTGTAAGAAAACTGCCCTTAGAACAATCTTCTATTGTCCATTCTTGGATGCAATATGCTGGAAGTCCAAATCTTCTAAATTTCCTTCCTCCAAATAAATTATTCCAATAGACCAGATAATTCAGATACACACTAATTATTCCAAGTATTTTCTTTCATCATAGTCATAGATATAAATTGTTTAAGAAAAACTTTGCAATTCCTAAATAGTACAATGAAGAGTTTTTCTTTGCAATTGAAGGACGCAATGGATATCGATTAGAATTGATTGCAGAATCTAAATAAGAATAAGAATTATACATAAGAATCTTAAATCAATTAATTGAAAATAATCAAAAATCTTTTAATAGCTCTTTTTTTATTGAGTAATATTCATAAAATATAAACTAAATTAAAAAGGTAATTATTATTTATATTAAGATTTATAGAACCTAGACACTTCCAAATTGTGTTTTATAGAGGCCATAGAAAAATTACAATATAATTTCATATAAAACACAACATCTATATTGTAACATGAAAAAGAGAAGAATATCTTATTAAAGAAGAGATCTTGTCATATTATAAATTAGAATAAATAATAAATTGATGAATTGGGTTAATAAAATCATTAATAAAAGAAAATGATTCAAGAATTATAATTACAGAAGGAATACTATGAATAAAGGATTGTACAATTATAGGAATTTTATAATGTAAGAACAATGCAGTTTAAAACAAGTTAAAGTCCCTAACTTTCATAAATCAATCAAATCTTGAAAGATATTATTGGTTTAGACGGTGAAAACAGTGTATATAATGAATCTTTGATTGATGTATAAGTCTAATAAGTAGATCAATATTAAGATTCTTTGAAAAATCTTAGAAAAGTTTAAGATATTTTAGTCAATTAATAAAACTTAGAAATAAACTTAAGAACTAAAATGGAAAAGCTATAAATTGAAAATTCTAATTTGTAATAATAAATTAAAAAGTTATAAACAGATATCAACGAATGTGAAGGTATAAATTAAATGTTACAAAAAAAATTAATTGATTTTAATTTAAATATGGAATCAAAGGAAGAATAGTTTAATACTGTTATTAAAGAGATTTAGAGTTTAAAATAACACCTACCTTGTCGAATGAGCACATCGTATTCATAATCAGAATATTCAATTAAGTTGAATGAACAAGATCAAACTCTTCTTAATTTTTATATTTAGATTATAGCATTTGTGTTTTTCATACTGGTTCCAGAAGAACTAAGCAATGAATTTGAATAAATTATGTAAGGATTCTTTGTTAAGATAAGTACAAAATATGGAGATTTGCTACAAATATCCTTATTGATAAAATAGATAAATAAAGTTTATCAGAGTTTAGAATAACAATACAAAAGTAAAGTAGAATAATTGTTTAAAGAATAAATCTATCATTACTTCAATTATCTTCAAAATCCTAATAAAAAGGGCTTTCCTTCCCCTGCAAGCACTTAAAATTCAAATAAACTACTATTAGTGGATAAAACATTTTCATCCCCCAATAACAAGATATTTGTTAAGAACAGTGCTAAATTTTATAAGAGAGAAGCTTTCTAATCATTAGATCCTCAATAGATTAAATATTTATCATAATTAGTTAAATGAATATTGAAAATAAATATACACAAACATTTATACGCATTAAATTATCAAATGAACTAATTTTATATTTACACCATAAAAAGACTATTTTTTGTTTAATTCTCTTAAGTTAAGTTAGTTTATCGATTGAAATCTTTTCTAATAATTTATTCCTCTTAAAATAAATAGAAAATACTTACATATAAAATTATTTTATTTCTTTTCATTAGTGTTTGTTTAAATTTGGTTAGATTAATTGACTAGAGTATTTGATTCAATTTTAATTTTCTTTCTAATATTTTCATCTTTGATTGGCTATTTTTTCTGTTCTACTTTGGAAAATTAATCTTCTAAAAATGAATCTAATTGTTGTTCATTATTTTCAAGTTACTTTTTGGGTTTAATTTCAAAATCAGCATACATAGAATTTCTAACCTAAATTCTATTATATTTTTTATCTTAATAAACTTCTTCCTTTAATTCTTTAACTTTCAATTATTATTTTTTCAGATTTTAATCTTTTTCATTTACTTATTGTTTTAAATTCTCATGTTTTTCTTTATTAGTTTCTTTTTAAGGTGATTGACTTCTACTTGATTCTTGATCACTAAGATCAGATTATAATTTTTATTGATTCACTTCTTAAATGACTTAATCATAAAGACCTCTAACATAAGGTTCTAATTTAATGTCAGACAGTTTCTTAAAAATAGGTGTTTATTCTGTTCCTCTATTTTTTAATTATAATTGCTTCATGAATTTCTGTAATGTCGTTCTAATATTTGGATTTTCGATATCTGCTGTTTCAATAACATTACCATCATCCAATTATTTAAAGAGCTAAAAGAAGTCTTCTAAATCATCTTAATAGATTTTAAGGAATAACTTAAAGGTCTTCAGAACCTTTTGCCTATCAATAAAGTTTTTATCTTTTTTATCCTTTTAGGCAAAGAACTTGGAACGCTTTTCACCTCTAAGTAAGAGTTATTCTTTTTTCTGTTTCTTCTTATTTTTTTTAATCTCTTTTTCTTTCTTTCTCCTTTTTTCAAGCTTTTCATTTTTTTTATGTTATCTATTTTCTTATTCCTCCATAAATTAAATTAATTAAATGAGGCCTTTTCATGTCAGAGGTACAGACAGAGCAATAATGACAGTAAAAATCAATCAAGATGGAGATTTATTCTTTACTGCCTCACAAGATGGTGGTATAAATTGTTGGTTGACAGAGACTGGTGAAAGGTATATAAATAGAGAAATCATAAAATAGATTAGGAAATTACAAAGCAAGTGGTGCAGTTAAGACATTAGACTTAACAGATAACAGTGAATTATTAGTTAGTGGTTCTTTGGAAGTAAAGATTACTAATAAATATAAAAGGGTTCTGTTGATTTCTTTTAAATCAATGGAGGAAAGAGTCTTGGTAAATTAACTGCTGATATGAGAAAGGCCAAATGGGTTGAGTTTTCTTTTGGGGATGAAAATTTAATTATTGTAATTAGATTGGAAGCATAATGTATAGGTATATTAACCAATGACTTCGACAATCAATTATGAGACTCGTATCTTGAAAGTGCAAGAAATCTTAGATAAGATTAAATTGAGATAAACATAAGATGTATTGGAAATTACAGACACTCTTGTGACTCCAGATAAATTCAAGACTACTCAAGCAAGTTGGGGATATTTGAATCAATCTATTGTAATGGCATCAACTGAAGGAGAACTCTTATTGTTATCTTATCCATAAAGTATGTTAAGTCTCGATAATTAATAGAGGAGGAAATTAGAAGAGTTTAAGTGCATGATGGAGAAATCAAACAATTTACATTTGCTAAGGATTTTTCAATTTTGGCCACTGCTGCTAATGATGGATGCAAGATCTTTGATCCAACTACTTTATAATAGTTGAGATACTTCAAATATGAAGTTCCCATGAATGCTGTTGCAATCTCTCCATTATTCAATTTGGAACAAAAGCCAAAACCTCATTTAATAGTTGCAGGTGGTATTCCAGCAAGAGAAACAGCCAGAACAAAATTTTAAGGATTTGATATACATATTTGCAATGTTATTTATGAGGAAGAAGTTGGAAAATTATTAAGTATGATTAAAAATTAAAAGCATAGATCCTAATCAGATAGGACCTATCAACGCTTTGGCATTCTTCCCTGATGGAAAAGGATTTATTACTGGAGAAGAGGGGCGGATATTCAAGAGTCTATAAATTTGATTAGACTTATTGGGAAAATGATTTGTTCAAGTGAATTTTAGATTTGTATATTTACGTACATTATAAAAAGAAAGTATCTGTAATAAAATTATATACCTTAAATGGAAATTGAACATAATCATGTATCATAATTATATATAAAATTTATTTTGTTTTCTATCATTAAAATATGCCATAATGTTATTGAACAGTAATGATACTTTATTATAATTAAGATGATCAATAATTTAAAAAGGAATATTTTAATTGTTGATTGATTAATTATCAATTTTTCCAATAGTCTATCAAAACTTAGTTTATACAGACATTCATATTTTTAGGAAACAGAAGATGTTAACTTATATTTATATAGAAGATGCATTTGTTTTTCCTAATGATTTAAAATAGATAATTATAATACTAATTAAAAATATATGGGATTTAACTAAGGAGAATTCTCTTTAATTTTAAGAAATAAAATTCTAATATTATCAATTCCATCTGAGATTATAATTTTCTCCTCTTCTTTCTTTTTCGTATTGTTCTGCCTCTTCCAACTTTTTCTTTTTAAATTCGTATTCAATCTAGGCTGTATGATTCATTCCTCTTCTTTCTTGATTTTGTAATCTTTTTTCTGCAGCTTATGCAATTAATTCCTATTTATAATTAATTAGTTTACGTTTTAATTTGCATTTTAAGTTTGCTATTCGCCTCCCCCAATCTAAATCCCTTTTCCTTTCATTTTAGCTTGTGTTTCTAATAATTGAAGTATATAAGTACTTTTAGATTTCTACTAATAAGGGTCATTAGTTTGTTCTTTAGATCCACATACACATCCCATATTTTAAATTAATAAATAATAAATGTATTATATTCTAATATAATATCATCATCTTTTCTTTTGAGCACTTTTCATATACCTAATAAATGCTTATTTTCTGATAGTGCCATTTCCTTCAGGATCACAAGATTAGATTATATTTTGTAAATCTTCATCTTTTAAATTCTCATTGCATTCAGATGCCATTTCTCTGAGGTCATCTATTGATATATAACCTAGTGTATTGAGTTGACTAAGTACCTTTGTAATCTATATCAAATTGATAAAAGATATTCTCAAAATCTTCATCAGTATCTTTTTCTCCTGGATTCATGGACATCATTCTTACGAACTCTCTAAATTCAATAATACCACTTTGATCTTAATCGAAGTCAGCAATCATTTGATAAATAATTTACTTTTTTGGTTAATATTTACCAGCACTAGCAAATGCCTTTCTCAAATCCATTGGTTGAATAACCCCATTGTTGTTAGAATCCAAAAAATCGAATATTTCCTTATAGAGAATGATATCTCTCTTGGTTGTTGATCCTGTTATATAATCGTTTGGATCGAATTTAGGTTCAGGAGGGATGAATGTGGAATATGATTGATTAGGACTCAATTATTATGGGGGAGGAGCCAAATATTATGGATTAACTTTACTCTAAGGCAGTGTAGGAACTGATGTTGTATTTTTCTTTCTATTCATTTTATTATTTTATTATTAATATATATATTAAGTATATTGATAATTTGATAATTAGGTTTAAGAATACAATTAAGTGTTTTGGCATATTGGATTTATTGGTTATTTATAAAAATAGTTACATTATTCATTATTCTTCGGTTTCATTCTACTTGAGTGCCTGAATCAATTTGGATTCATCTCCAAGATCAAAGTCTTTCAAACTGAAATCGCATTTATTTTGTCTGCCCATATCGGATGTAACACTCTTTGTGGAAGTAATAAATTTCATGAATTTGTTCTGTCTCTCCTTTCTTAAAGTTGGTTCTTTGGATTCTTCTATTTATTTGATGAGCTCATATTTCAGGAAACGAGACTCTTTTTTAATCATTACAAATTACACTCTTCTTATCACAATTCATCATGGTTATGCTTTTGATATTCAATCTGTTTTTTGATTCATCAATAAAACTAAATCATTAAGGTATTCATTACTCTATCACTGATCTCACCAATACTTCGGAACTAAATGCTCTACTTTGCTTGATTGGACAATCACATATAAGAATATCCTTAAATTCTTCGTCATTCAACTATTATAAACTAATTAATTTCTTAATATTTATTTACCACTCTCTGAATCCGTTATAATATTAGAATAAATCTTTTTCTGACTAAATAAAATTGCTTAATATATTACTTCGAAAACCCTCACTCGATAATATGTTATACACCTATAATTATTCATTTCCAAATTTTGACTGTACACTTGCTCATACTAAACTAGAGGATTAGCATCATTAATACTTCGACTTAAATTGTCATATATCTATTGGATGATATTTTGCTGTAACGGTATTTTGTCTGGATTTGTGTATAAACAAACTTTATTTATAACCAAAAACATACTAACACTCTCTCCAGATTCTTTCTAGATGTCACCCAATTTCACCGTTATTTTCACATTCATATATTCCCTAAATATAACTAATTCATTATTCATAATGTGATTCTCCCTCTCTCTTGAAAGACAACACATTCCTTCCTGATTCCCCATTTACAATTATATTAAATTATTATTATAAATATACTAAATTTCATCAATAAACGCACATCAAATATTAATATTGTTCCTCTTCTCCTTATAAACCCTCAGCAGTATGCTACGATCAATAACATAATTTTATAAAATCTATATGATAATATTCATATATATATATAATTTTTTATTTGGATTGGTTGAACACTTCTAATCCAATATGTGATTTGTTTCATGTTCTAAATTACAATTATCATTTTTCACTTAAGTTCTTATTAGTTATTGTTTAAACAAATCATGCATCATGAATTCTCAATTATTAAGGGGAGAGTATTTAGGGGAAACACAATCCATAATGAATTTCTAAATGAGCAATGCTTAAATTATATTTATTTTGAACAATTTTAATAACATTAGTTTGTTTAATTGGTTTGTTATTTATCCATTGTTCAGAAATATAGATATAAAAATTAAATAAAATAAAATAAATTATGAATAGAATCGCCAATGGTGTGATAGGACTTGCCTTGAAAAATTAGGCTTGTTTCAGTGCAGCAAAGAAAGCTAAGATGGAATTGACAATTAGAACTCCATATAGAACAATATTGGACAAATTCGAAGGATTCTCAAGAATAGTGGCTAAAACAAATGAAGTATTAGTGTATTGTAATAAATTCACAAGGCAGCTCTCATCATTCAAAATAGAACTCCTGCTGCAGTTTACATATTACCTCCAGGCCCTTTGAAAATCAAATTCACTTAAGATGTTAAAGGAGTCACAGGGGACTTTTTGCATTTGGGTGGCTATGTGTTTGTGAATCCGTATTTAATTTAAATCTAAATTAGTGACAATACTTGCGAAATCAATTTGATGGATGTTGTTGATAGAAAAGAGGCAAAAGTAGATTAATTTGACAAGTCTGATGTTAAAGATGCTGATACTGTTGCTGGAAGATATGCAGGAAAAATTAGAAGATCAGCATAACGTACATTTATTAAAAAAGCAACAGCATGATATTATTACATAAAATAAATAAATACATTTACAAGATGCTTTAAAATCTAAGGGATATTCATTATTTAATAGATATAAACAAATTTTGTTTATATGCCATTGAATCATGTATACAACCCAAAGATTTATTCGATTAATGGAGCTATTGTCATATTCAGAAATATGGTATTTAATCGATAGGAATCTATAGAATCATAAATAATCATTAGATAATAAAACTACAAAATTAAGTGGTCATAATATTTATGAGATTAATTAAAGTTGTTTCAATGAGAATTCGGAAAGGCATTCTATTATCCAACTTTTCATCTATCTGTAGTTGAATAAATAGAACTTGATAGATTTCTTGATTGACTAATAGTTACTTAGAGTGATATTTAATTATACATTAATTATAAAGGTATTAATAAAATAGAATTTAATAAGTATTTTTGAAAAACTATTATTATATCATTTATTTATATACATAATAATCTTTAAGTATAAAAAGAATTGCTCAATTATATTATTACTTAATTTCTTGTTTTTTTTAAGCAGTAATATCTATTATGTTATTAGTAAATGATAAAAGAGGATTTCCGCATTACAAATTGATTAATAATATGATAACTATTTCTAGTATAGGATTGAAAACATGAGGGTTTGGTTTGAATATATTTGATAATAATATATAACAGTCTAATATTTAAAAATATTAATATTATTTGAATTAATATAAATAGTTGAATAAAAGAGATGGATTCAAAGAAATTAAGTAAAATAATAGAGCTAATTTTCTTATCGATTGCTGTAAGAATACATGAATAATATTTGAAAGTGGTTATCAGTGCTAGCCTGTTTAATAAGAACAGATTTTAATTTTCCATTTGCTTTCTTTTGCTATTATTTATGGATTTCAAGAGATGACAAAGCCAATTCTTTAATGGTATTAATTGAATTGCTATTTGATTAGTTAATGGTTTTAAATGGAATCTTAATTTTAGTTGATTTAATTTGGTTATTGTCAGTTGGATCTATTTGGACTGCCACAGAAAAAAATAATCCTGTTTGGGGTAGATTACATGGTCTCCATGTTTTCGTAATCTTCATTAGCATTGTGAATGCTTTATTAAAAGTAAAAAGATTGATATATGCGTAGGTTGGAGCAATTGTGGCAATAAATTCTTATAGAGGAAATTAACAATAAGTTGGTAATTGATAGATTATTACAATAGCTGGTCCTATTGGAACTCAGAATCCATAACAAAGTGGATTTAATGATATGTCTTAAAATAGATAACAACCATACGCATAATTTTGATGAAATGAAATATTCAAAATTATATTAACTTTAAATAATAATTATATAAATAAATTTAACAGTAAAATTATATGTCAATGTCATAGCAAAGATTTCAAACTCTAATGGGTTCTGATGATATTTCACAATTATGCAGTGGATTCATTAGATTTATTGAAGAAGTAATTCAATTTAAATTATATAATTAGATTTTATTACCAATTGCTAAATAAGATACTAAGCAATTTCAAAATTGGACAAAGTTCAAAGAGATCATTGATCCATTTAATAAAAAGATTGAATTACAAAGAGTTGAGTAATTTTTCTAATAATTTAATAATTCTAAGATTAATCAAGAAAATAAACCACCAACTCCTATCCTTAAAGATTAAACTAAAAACACCGTAAACATTCAAGACAGAAGCTATTCAATACCTTAAACAACAATCGTTTAAACTATTAAAGAGGATTATGAAAATAAACTCAAAGAAATCACAGAATAAATTAATAAAACCTTTCATCAAAATAACACTCACTTAGACATACTTCTTAAGATGAATAATTCAACTCAAGAAGCCAGAAATAAATTAGAACTAAATAATACCAACCAAAGGAATACTTCAATCACAAGAAGAGTAGAATATAAGAGAAGAAATACAGATTACTACTCGTTTAAACCTATTAATATTTAATGAATAATTATTTGCGTATAACTAAAATATTTATACTAATCAAAACTCATCTTCTGGATTCTCTCCATCATCAAACCCTTCCTCCTCTTATTCTCTTTATTAAGATTATTGTTATAGTATTTATTTATTCGGAAATTAGAATAGCTTTTATTATTGTGGCTATTATTATTTTGATGTATTTAGCTCATCAATATCGACCTTCTTTTTATTTGCATAAAATATCTAGTCATGTATTAATGTCACTATCTTTTCATTGTCTAATAATGTTTGAATTAATTTATCTCTATCTTCCTTCTCCAATTAATCCAATTTATCTAAATTATCTACTATAACATTTACTTTTATTATTCTTATTGAATATTCTAGCTTCTCCTTTGATTTGTATGATTTCTTCCTTGATATCATCTATGCACTTCCTTAAAATTACTTCTAATTCTGATTTACTTTGCATTTCCTTAATGTACAATTATTTCAATTCTCTCACTCTCTTTTATTCCTTTTTTAATGTTGATTGCAAAGATTTTATTGTTTTCTCATACCTTTACAAAGTTTATTGAATTGATTATGATCCTTGCAATTATTGTTATTGAATTTAAGAGGGATTTTTTGATAATTATTCATCCTTATTTTATCTATTCTACGATTAGGCTAAATTCTTCACAGACCTAATTCTCACCTTAGCTTTACTTCCAGGTCTTACAATATCTTGATAGGATGGTTAATCAAAGGATTGATCATCTTATTCCACCTCATCCTTTTAAACTTCATTCAATAATTTCTCATATTATTATATTTATGATTTAAGAATGGCATTTTTTTTCTTTTTCATTATTAACTCTTTTAAAAGCATTTCTCTATCATTCTCTTATGTCTAATACTATATTTTTAATTCTTTATATTTTTACATCAGAGAATGATTTTCATTATCTATTTTTTAAGCTATGTTTTTAATCCATTCTAATTCACTAATCAATTAATTTTCTTTCTCAATATACTCCTAATCATTTTTACCTTTCTTAATTCTTTCCTCTTCAAACTGCTTCTTTATTTCATTGATTTTATTATTAAAAAATCGAATAATATCCCTCTCCTAATCCACCAATATTTTTGATGTTCTTAATTGAATATTATTGATTCCCTCGATAATCTTATTGTGATCCTTATAAATATTCTCCATTATTTTTCTATCTCCTTAATCCAAAGCTGTTTTAGCCCTTAATTCAGATTATAATTCTTCTATTGTTTTTCTATATTCAATTTCTCTATTAACAAATCTTTCCTATCTATTTTTTAGTTCTAATTCCAATTAATTTGTTCTCATTTTTTCTTTTTCCAAAATTGCCTACAATTCTTAACACTTTAATATCCAATCTTATGCAGTCATTTCATTTTTTGTAATAACAGTACTCTATTAGATTTGCTTCTTCTTATTTTTTGGATCATTTGGATCCCCTTTCTTACCTTATTGATCAATTTACATTTTCGTCGGTTTTAAGATTGCCTCAGAATTAATAACTAAAAATTAAATTGAAACTCACATTTCGTTAAATCAGGAGTTGTTGATGCTAATCTATCTGCAATTTCTACCATCTTTTGCATGCTCTTTGTATTTTTTATATATTATTAGTCATCTTATATTTTCTACATTTATTTTATTGTTAAATTATATAAAATAAAAATAATAAACCTTTTAGATAATTTATAATAAATTTATATCAAATAAGCCAATTTCTATAAGTATTGATCTATCCTTTAAAGTGGTTTATAAAAATACTGTTAAAAATAAGACTTAATTATTTGTCAAAGAGTTTTCAATATATTTTAACAATTTTTTTTCCAAACTATTAATTCAATCAGAATTAGATAATTTCTTAGGAATTCCATCTATTAGATTAATAAATTTGATATATATTTAACTTAATTAATAGCCAAATTTTATCTTACTTCATTAAATATTAGTATCGATTTTATTATTTTTTTAATTCAAATGATTTATGTCATTGAAATTTTATTGACTGGAACCTTTAATCATCAATTTGATTGAATTCGATCAAGGCTTGAATGTTACTATCTAATGAATTTTTCAAATTTTTGTTGTAATTAAAAATTATCAAAGATGATTTTAGAATAAATTCTAATAAAATAAAATCTTTAAATCGATTTAAATTTAAAGGAGAGTCTTATAGTATATGAATTTAATTAACTATCAAAAAGTTGGGGTAATATTATTACTAGTCAAAATTATGATATTTTTGCTAATATAATAGACTATAGAAGTGCTTATAAAGCAGATCTATAAGAGTTAAAAAACTTCTATAAAAAATATTGATCTAGAAGATCGGCTTAAATGGTAGAATTGTGTGAATGTTGAGTTGGATATTGAAAGGGATTTTGTGTTAATCTTTGCCATTAATGAACCATCAATTATCAAATATTAACTTATATTATGGGTAGAATTAATATTGATGAATTTAGAAACTTTAGACATTATGATTATTCTAATCAATATGTATTGAATCACAATTTCAAATTAGAATTGCTGTAATAATAATGATGCTCTCCTATTTACATAGCCATATTCAAAATAAAACACGTGAATCAAATATTTAACAATACAAGATCTAACCAATTATCCCTGTGGCATAAATTGATAAATACAAGATAACAAAAAAATAAAAGACGAAAACTTCAAAAGGAAAAGTATATTTTGATTTTACTCATTTTAAGTAAAAAGATGAATATTAATGCGATACTTGTTCATTTTCATTTACGTTGGACAGTCAAGAACAATGAATTTTAACAACATTTCTTTGATATATATGAATGACTCATTGTTGTTGTTATTCTAATTGCTTATTCAATTTCTTTTATTTGACAGACTATCTCCACACATAAATTATCAATCCCCATTTCAGCATAACTTTAACTCCAAATAATAGCACTAATCCCATAAACCCTCCTTTATAAATAAATAAACTATCTATACTTGATTATGATATTTTTATGAACAAATTAAACCAATTCTCATACTCTGTTAATTTGCCTTCAGTATTGATTGGAATAATCTTTGCTTTCGGATATTGCTACATTAAAACTTTTTCATAAGTGCCTAATTCATCTACTAACCCAAGGTCTTTTGCTTCTTTCCCTAAAAATACATTATTCTCTAATTAATCCTTATTTATTTTTATTTATTCCTTTCTATTTGTCCAGCATTAGTCTGTTACCTGCTTCGTTTTCAACCCATAATATTGATCTAAATAATCCATGTCTTATTAACTATTGCCTCTTATTGATGAGTTTACAACAAAATTGTGATTTACAATTTAACTCGATTAATATTAGAATGTCTAAATGAATAAATGAGATCTTTACATTTATCCCATAATTTTAAAGAAAGTCTGCGAAATTGAGTTTATTTTTGTACATTTGTGTGAAACCAATCTTAGATGTATTTTAAGCATAAGATTTATTCCCCAATTATAACAATTGATAGGCATTGCCTAAACTTTGTTCAGTTGCAAATGTATATAGAGGCAAGCCATTTAGATAACTTTTGATTTTCTTACTCAACACTTCAACTTAATATGGACAGCCTCCTTATGAATTTATAATTAATCCTAAAGCTATTACACTCCCTTTATTATAATTTTCCAACTGATGAGAAATTTTACTCACTCTATTACTAATAAATCTATTTCTTACAATTAAGAATTTATTGAACCCTGAATTCTTAATACAAGCACAGTTTTTTAGAAAAATATTTTTGAAATTAATTAACTCATAATAAATATAAATAAATGAAAAATGATAGTAAATTTATTTTCACACAACCTAAACAATTCTGTTTTGTTTTTAATTGTGTTAACTTTCATCAATTAAAATTATAATAAGATTTTCTTTATATTATGAATTACTTCTAACAATTTTCCACTTGTTGTTATTTAAAATCTTATTTAATTCAGCTCGATTATTATTCATTTAAGAAACAGATCTCTGTTATCTATTGGCCTATGATATTAACATGCAAGGTTAAATATTTTAATTTCGATTAGTTTCTAATTTTTCAATACTTCCTTATCGACTTAGAAATCTACATCTCTCATGATTGTATTTGTGCCACTCCTTTCCATTGAACTTCTTTTTCAAAGGAGCAAACTGAGATTGTGTTTTTGTGAATTAGTTTGTTACTACATGTTCAAAAGTCTTATCATTTTACTTAATATTGGATCGAATATATTATTTCTTTTTGAAAAGTTAAAGCATATTCTAATATTTGATGTGTAAAAGGTGATTTAACTATTTTGAATATTTATCTTAAATTTTGCAAACATCTTAGTGATTTACTCCATTTGTAGAATATCTACGATGTATTTAGTGAGAGGAATTGAGCTCTTTGCTTAATTATCTAGTTTAATTACTCATTTATTGGTTAACAGTTGGCTCAAGTGTTGTGATTTTTGACCCTTATAAATGCATTATTTTTTGATTAATTTACTTTATTTTATTATGAAATTACAATACTCAATCACATTTAGAAAAATAATCTCTAATAGTACACCATATCATACTGTGAATTGTTAAATACAATAATGCGTAATAATTTAAAAAAAGTAAATAAAACTTATTGATTAATGATATTCTATATAAATTAAATTGTTAGTATTCATTACAATTTCATAGTCTCAAAATATCTGAAATCACATTCAAATTTCCTGTCCTTATTTAATACCCAATACTCAATTTTCTCATAAAATCTAACCTTCTTCTTGTTTGGGGATACACTTGATCTCATAGTTCGATCTGTAAGAAAGTCATTTGAGAAATAACGGGGTCTAATCGAATTAGACTTTACTCTGATTAGATTACCTTAATCCATTGATCCTTAAACATATCCATATTAATAACGTTGCTAAGCTCTTTTTTAAAGTACATTTTGAGTTTAAGTATTCTCTAAGTTGCATAATTTTGCTAAACTAGTAATGAAACAAGAAGGTTCAGAGTCGCTTCCGATTTTATCTTATTTAAGGTTCTTAGGATACAATTTTTATTAAGCCTTAGGTAGTTCTTAGGGTTTTATACAATTTAATCTTGTTATAATGAGATTTTGTGAAGGGAAATTTACTTTATTTAACAAGAGATGTTGACAAGTTTTGACGTAAGATGATTTACGAGTTCTAAATGATTCTGTCATACAAATTTAATATAAATTTTAGAAAGTTTATATAAATCTTTAGTCAATTAAAAAATAATTCACATTATCTGTTTGATTAAATGAGATTTTATTCGATCAAACATTCTAATTTCTACCAATTCATTGAATCTAACTGTCTTCTTTTTTTGTTGTTCTTCAATTAATTAGTCTTTTGAAGGACTAATTTACTTTAAATTCGATTTGGATCTTACTCTTTCAATATCTGATTTGGATCTCACAGGCCTTTAAATATCTATTTAATTTTGGATAACAGAATTTTTTCGAAGTGTATTTATTAAGAATTTCTTATTATTTTCAGGATCATCTTTTGAAAATTGGATTTTTGAAGGTATTTTAATATTTATTTTCTTAAAATTAAACTTTATTTTTTTTGTATTACTAGTTGATCCACATACATTAAAGTCATATTATTTGAGATGAATTTGTTTATTTCTATCTGAAACGATATTTAGTAATCCTTTTAATTTGTTATCTTCAACAATTTTAGGTTTTATTGGTGATAGTGATCTTTCTTCTATTAATTTGTTCTTCTATGGTTTTTCGACTTTAAAAGGTTCAAAACGATAAAATTCTCTACTTGTTGCGACCGCTTTAATTGTTGGGGATTCAAAAAATGGTTGATGATTGCTCCTGGAACTCATTTATTACTTAGCATTTTAAGGAGATATGAAAGGTTCTTAAAAATACGTATTAAGTAATGGTATTCTGAATCCCTTTAATATATATTGAGGTTCATCAATTTATTAATGTTTGATTGCCATTGTATAGAGGTTGAAAACACAATATAAAAATTTATAATTGGTAAGAAAAATAATTTATCAATAAAGTATTATTGATCATGGCATTCCAAAAAACCTTGGTGTTTCAAGATCCAAATTGACATTTTCTTTAAATTTTTGTTTACAATCTTATATTGGCAAATTCAATTTTTTTTCCCCTTTCTGTTGTTCTGCAAAGACTTCATCTTAACAGTGTTTTTGAGATGTAAAACTTTTTTATTGTTAATTCTTATGTTAAACTTAGGATTATTATTATTTGACCTTGATTTCCTTTCTATTTCCATCCAGAATGTCTTTGAGTTTGATGACATCAATAGGATTATGAGTCACGTTCAAATCTTAGAATTTTAAAGATCTAAAAGAACTATTTGCCCGTAAGTTATCTTACTTTCCCTACTCTTAACTTCTTTAACTTTGTTGTTACTCATGAAATTAGGCTAGACTTTGGTTCTTTTGTAGTTGTTCACTTAAAAGAGGGTGTTGATTATGCTTATTTTTCATGGCATTCATATACATGGCCATCTTAGGGGAAATTGGAGTCTGTTGAGTATTATTCTTCATGTAATGTATTAGAGTTTAGTTTATTTATGTTATATATTAGAAATCCTTTATTGATAAATAGATCTTTCCATAAAAAAGATCGTATGAGATATCAAATCATAATTCCATCATAATTTAAGTTCAATTTTGTTAATAATTATGTTGTTATTAAGTGGATAATTAAAGATAATAATGGGATTACATAATTTTATTGACTTTCAGTTATTTACTATTAAAAAATAACTACACATCAATATTTAATTTTAAATTTTATTGTCTTTTGATTTCTAAATTAAAACAATTAAATCTCTTGAGAATGATAATAAAGGAGAGTTATAAGAGTTTAAAAAGAGTCTGATCCCTTAAGAGATTATTTTAGATAATAAAGTAATTAATTATTATTTTAATGTTTATATTGTTTTGCTTATTACATTTATAATAAGTAGAATCGAAAGTGATTTATTTTTTGCCTCATTCTCATGATGATGTTGGTTGGTTGGATACAGTATGGAACATCTATGAATTTGGACCAGGAGTGAAAAATATTATATCATCATATTCAACTGCTTTATTAAAGGATTCAGGAAGAAGATTTGTGCAGGTTGAAACGATATATTTTAAAAAATGGTACGAAGAATAAGATATTGATATTAAATAAAAGATTAAGCAATTGATCATTAATGGATAATTAGAGTTTGCAGCTGGAGGTTGGTCGATGAATGATGAAGCCACAACTTATTATGAAGATATAATCGACTCATTCACTGGAGGTCATACATACTTATATGAACAATTTCGAATAATTCCAAGAGTAGGTTGGTAAATTGATCCTTTTGGACATTCATCAACTTTTGCTTACATTTCCTATATGATGGGAATGGATGGATAATATTTTGCTAGGATTGATTAGATAGATAAATCAGAGAGATTAAAGAATAAAACCTTGGAATTTATATGGAATCCAAAACCAGGAATTGAATTATTCTGCCATATCAATTATAGACATTATTCTAGTCCTCCAGGGTTTGATTTTGATCCGTTGAGATCTTCACCTGAAATATAATCAAATCAAATCAATTAAAAAGCAAATTAATTACTAGAATATTTTGGATAGTAAGCTGCTTTTTATTAAGGTGAAACGATAGTACATACTTTAGGGGATGACAATGAATGGTCATCTGCAGAAAGCTATTTCAAAAATATTGAAAAGGTCATTGATAATATCAATAAGAGGAATAGTACAGCATAAATTCAATTTTCAACACCCCATTAGTATTTAAAAAGATTAAATCAATAACAATTATCATATTCTGTTAAATTTGATGATTTCTTTCCCTACTCAGATAATTATCAATCCTACTGGACTGGTTATTATACTTCCAGAATTAGTTTTAAAGGGTATGTTAGATAACTAAGTAAGGAATTCCAACAAATAAAAACTTTCTTATCCAAATAAATTTCATATAATAACATTAAGGATGAGGATGAATTATTGTAACTATTATAGAATCATAATTAAAATATGGGTATTGTATAACACCATGATGCAATTACTGGAACTGCAAAATAATTTGTTAATGATGATTACATAAAATTATTACAATAATCATCAGCCCTTTTGGATTAATACATGAGAAAACATGTCTCAATTTTAGCTGAATAAGTATTAGATTATAAGAATTATGAATTTCACACATGTTATTACAATAAAACTATATCTGAATGTAAATAATTAGATGTGTGGTTAAATTCAAACAAAACAGTACTCTTAGCCTTACTGATGAATCAAAATAAGATCATTAAATTACCAGTTCCAAATCTTCATTATACAGTCTTAGATGAAAACAATGTATCTCTCAATTGCACTTTATTATGTGATAATCAAGATTGTGTATTATACTTCATTGTTGATGAAGACAATATCGAAGAAACTCAATTTTACAAAATAATACCATCAAATGACAAGCATCCTGCTAATACAAAAAGAATTGAAATTACTCTCAATGATGATAGTGATCTATCTACAATCCTAAATCCTTAAACAATAACTACCAACTCTTTTAAATTAAAATATGCTTATTATAAATCTTCTTCTGAATATAGATAGCCAAGTGGAGCCTATATTTTTAGACCTGATGGATAACTTAATCCTTATGGTAGCATTACACACTCTTCAATACATTATAATGACATTGTAACTGAGTTAATTATTAAGAGAAGCGATGTAGTAACTAAAATTAGAAAATATCAACATTTAAAAGATGAATACGAAATAGAGACGTTTCTAAATTCAGTTGATTTCATCGATAGATCAGGTAAGGAAGTAGTAATGTTAATCGACACTGGAATATAAAACAATGATATATTTTATACCGATAGCAATGGGTTGGATTTACAAAAGAGAGTTAAGAACTTTAGAGAGACTTTTAACTTAATCAGTACTGAACCTGTTTCACAAAACTACTATCCAGTAACAAATATGATATTGCTAAATTAAACTAATGGTTAATCTGTTGCAGTTATTAATGATAGATCTTAAGGTGGCACAAGTTTAAACCAAGGGCAAATTGAATTAATGATTTAGAGAAGAATCGGAACTGATGATAGAAGGGGAGTTGGTGAAGCTTTAAAGGAAGATATTGAGGATCCAAAATGCTAACAAACTAATTCATGCAAATAAAAAAAAGGAATCTCTTAAACTTTACTTCACCAACTCATCTTTTTTGATAATACCTAAGATCCAAACTAAGCCAGAAGAATCTAATTAAGAGAAGATATGATAGGTCTCAAATATTTCGCAGAAGATTTCTCTTCTAAATTCAATATCTAAAAAAATAAAGTCATTCCAGAAAGTTATCTTGATGAGATTGTAGTTTTAGATGAAGATTCAATATCTAAAGTAAGGATTGAACCTAAGTCACAATACTTCATTGTGAGAATACATAATTTGTAAGAAGTAGGTGACATCGATTTCGAATTCCCTAAAAGTGTCCAATATTATTAAACTACCATGAATGGATTGATGACAATTGAAGAATGGTAATCTTCTAAATTAAGTATTCAATCAATTATTTATAATAGACTGGTATAAACTCAATAAAACAAAAAGTTAAACTTAAGTAAACTAATTCTAAGTTCAACCCCAATTCATATCAACATTTATTATCTTAAGGTGAATTTGTAATTATTAATTATATATGATTCATCAAAACTTTTCTTTAATCTCTTCAACTGAATAGTTTTATTAATTGTCAAATATTGAAAATAATCTTATATATTAAATGACTTTTCTCAAATCTTGCTACAAAAATAAACAAATTCCTAAATATTCGAATCTCATCTACCTTTATATCTATAACTTTTGGTCATCTGAGGAAATGCTGCTAAAACTGTATTGTAACATAGCATAGCTTCATACGCTCTCTCTTCTTTGAGTAACAATGCACCTATGTATTAATATAGATTCTACCTTTTTTTTAGTAGATCTAAGGATCGTTTATTGATGCCAAAATTGCATCATCATAACATTGGATAGCTTCTTATCTTCTATCATAGATATTTAAAAATTCAGCTATTTAATAAATAAATAACTCCTACCTTTTTAAAGATAAATTTCTTTATTGTGTGGATTTAATTTAATTCCCTCATTGAAACATTAAATTCCTTCTTCTAATCGATTTAAATTAGCTAAGGTAAACGCTGTCTGTATGAATAAAATTTACCCTTCTTTTCAAAAACATCACAATTTGTAGGGTCTATCGATATTGCTATCTCATATTGAGAGATCTCTTTATCGTAATAATTTAAATAATGTAATTGTAAAGCTATTCTTATTTTACAATCTACCTTTTGGTAAAAATGCATCAATTTAAAATGGATTTATTTTTATAACTTAATCATAACAACTTAATGCTTTCTCATAATCCAGTTATCTGAACAAAACCTTTCCTATATTTTTAATTTATGTATTTTACCTTTACCAAAATAGAACTCTATTTGGTATGGATTCATTTTCAACACTCTCTCATAACAATCAACTAAATTAATATCAATTTCAGAATCTCTTATTGTTTCAACTACCATTTACTATTTTTTTACCTTACCGTTTAACAATGTTTTCATCATATTTTGCTCTCTATAGAGCTATCTCTAAGCAATCTAATGCCTCAGTGTATCTGGATGCTTCTAATAAAGTATCAGCTATTAATTTGCTATTAATATTACCTTTTCTAATATAGATTTCAGAGTTATAAGGATCAATCAATAGAGCTTAATCTAAATATTCTATATTTTAATCGATATCATTCTACTAAATTATCAAATGACCTAAAATGTTGAATTTGTTACTCCTTTGGATGTACGAATAAGTAAAGTAAGGGTTTTAAACAATAGCTCTACCCACTTGCTCAATCGCTTAATCTCCAAGAGCCCAAAAATCTAGGAGAATGCCTTAATTATAGCAGATAGACTACACCTTTTGCTAAGTTGGGTAAGTGATTATTAGCATCAAGTCTTAAAATAAGATTCTCCTGTTCTATGGCTTCGAACATATTAACTGAAGAGGTTAGTTGTTTTACTAAATAAATAAATAAATAATATACATAGACTTATTTGTATATTGAATTCATAAGGAAACTTTAGGGATGCCTCTTTGAATAATTTAAAAGCTTCTGTTTTTCTTTTTATTTAAATTAGAGTAGTAACTAATCAAATATATATTAAATTTACTGATTTTATTGTAAATCTCATGATTATTGGGAGAATATAGAATAGCTTTTGAGTAAGATTCTATTGCCTCAGAATACTTATTCCATTTAATTAAAAAGTCGCCTTAGATTTGTTATTTGATTACCTTGATGATAGTAGGATTCAAATTTGCAAGGAAACTATTTAATTGCTTATTCAAAACACTTCATAGCTGTAACATACATATGCAATTTTCCTAACAGCTGAGCTAATCAAATTATCTCAGAGAATACCTTTAGCAATTAATAAATCTAAATTATTATCTAATTTTCCAATTGCTTCATCATAGAGTACCAAAGCCGGCTAATATTTATGTTGTGAAATTAAGTTTTAGCCTATTTGATTTAATATTTTAATCATTGTTACCCTTCTTTAAATATATATGAGAATCAGCAGGAAAATTATCAATTACTTGATCATAACATTAATTTGACTGATCAAACTTAAATAATTAACTTAGATAAGTTGCTATTGAAATTAAGTACAATTTACCTTTTTCAAGATAGATTTCTCTATGATTTGGAAATTTCGCTATAGCTTCATTAAAGCATTCAATAACTTCATCATATTTTTGCAAGCCATGTAAAACAAAAGCTATAATTATTTTTAATTTATACCCTTCAGAAGATATACTTCATAACCATAAACTTAGATTGAATATAGTTCTTATAATTATTTCTAATCTTCTAAATTCTAAATAAACAAATTATCAATTTTTGAAGTTGAAAATTCTGGATCTAATTTTGTTACTTCTTAAATATTAATCATTGCCTCTTCAATATTATTCATTAAGACTAATAACTTCACTTTAAATTTTAATAGATCTAAATTGTAAGGATCTTGAGCAATAGCTTCGTTCATAGTATTAATAGCCTCATCGAATTTATTTAATTTATATAGAAGATTAGCTATAATTAAATTATTTCAAACCTTTTGCTATTGGAATATCCTAGTTGTATCTAGCATAGTTTAGGGCTTTATTATAAACATCGAGAGCATCTTCTGGCTAATGTAATAATTCAAGGAACAATCCTTTTTTAGTTAGACAAAGTTTGAATACCTTTTGTAAGATAAACAAAAGGATTATTTGTGCTTCTCCTATCTGCTAACTCTATGCATTCAATAGCTTCTGTAAAAAGTTTCAATTAAAATAAAGTTTTTGCTAGAAATAATTACTTAGGGTGAAACCTTTATCAAGATAAATTTAAAAGTTGTTTGGATCTATTTTAAGTGCTTTATCATAATGAAACATAGCTTATTCGTAATTTTACATTTTGTGTAGGAGTTGAGCTAAAAAATAATGGTTAGATTAACCTTATTTGAGTTAAAGCTATAAATTATAAGGTTCCTTTGTTTCTAATAATTACAATAGATGACGAAAATCATCAATGGTGCAGTTTGCTTGACCGATGTTCATATTAATTAATAAAATTTATAATATGATATACATTATGTAATTTTCTCAAACAGATCCATAAGTGATTTATGAAAGATCCAAATTAGGGTTATTTTGCAATTATGTAAATAGATCTTGATTCAAGAATTCTTAGAACTATTAATGTAAAGAAAATGAATACTTATTTAAATTGATCAGCTGGAATGGCCTATTTTCTAATGTTTTCATAGAATTTTTCCACCTTGATGGCTAATTTAAGATCATTAAATTAAGCAGGATAATCAAAAGGATCAGCAATTTTTTATGCTAATATTTATTGTATAGATATTACATATGATTGGATGTGTTTTAGCTAAAGAGTCTTTCCATAATTTAACAATTGGACTAATTTTAGATGGACAATATGTTTTAGCAAAGAAGGCAGCTTCTGGTAATCTATTACTTTTGATAAGAACTTCAAGACATTTGTCTAGGTTGGCACATAGGAAATAAGCAGAGAATGCAATATTCATTTTGGTTTGTTGGAAGGCCTTATCTCCCAATTGCAATAGTTGATTCTTCAATCCTAATGAAGAATAAATTAATAAGAGTCCTCCAAAATCATCTGCTTATTCTAAAGCTTAAGCAGCTATTTTAATTCTTCCTTATTGTAAAGCAAGATCTCCAACTTATCTTAACTTGAGTGTGTCTTAGCTTTGCTATGCTATTTGGAAAGCATCATCAACAAAGGCAAGTTGTAAAGCGAGATCAAATTTATGATCCTAGTCTTAGACTAATTTATAGGCCCATTCCTTCAAATTAAGAGTGTCTAGAAACTTGGATAATTTGTCATAATATTGAAGTGGAATGGTTTATAGGATTTCTTCTGCCTTTTGATACTATTTCTTAAGAATTTAAGTTTGAAATTCAACCACATTGCTATTAACCTCATAACTAATAATTGAATAGTTTTTGTCTATGAGATAGAGTTTATTTTATTGTTGAATGTAACCAATGATGAAATACCTTTTATCTTGGTCCACAATGAATACCTTTCCATTAACAGAGTATGCTATTTTGCCATTCAAAGTGGTATAATAGAAGACATCTTAAATGAAATATCCAGAGTTGATGGATTCAGTTATGTCACATAATGGTTAGAAGGCATCTTCAAAACCATCAGGTTCTTCCTCTTGTTGTAAAAAGATTGGTAATTGTTCTGGATCATATTGTAAGAAATACACTTCATCATTTGTTGCCAATGCAGCAATAGTATTTGTATCATTCCAAATTACTTTTTTGGGAGAGACATCAATCCTTCTGATAACTTTGGCTGTGTCCCAATCATAAAATATAATAAATTCAGAACTTCTAGCACCCAACAAAGGTCCAGCAAATAATTGTTCAACCATATAATCTGTTTTCATTTCATAACTTAAAGTGTTGTTTTTGAATATTTTGATGGAATACATTTCCCTGACTGCATAATCCCCATTTGATGACCATATTAAATCTGTGCCAGATCCGAAACCTGAATTCTTAAAGTTCTGTGATCTGTATATTGTGTATTCAGAGTCACTGAAAATTGCAAATAAATGACCATTAGGACTATGTCTGACACCACAGGGATAGATATCACTAATTCCCAGTTCTTTGGAATTTGTCTATACAACTTATCCGTCATTTGATGTGTTATTTATGGCTTTGAGATTGATTGTAAAGAATTCAAAGTTCTTACCATAGACGACCTTTCCTTGTTGCATAGAAACAATGGGTTCATCTTAACCGATCTTAACAACAACGGTTCCTTCATCAAAACCAAAGGCCAATGTATTATCTTTTCCTATATCCAAACTCCAAACTCTTTCCATATTATAATTGAGTGATGTTTCTAATTTATAGGTATTTGAATGCCAGAATCTAATGACTCCGTCTTCAGCAGCTATGAAATGATATTTAATTAGAGATACTTGAAATAATGAGTGGTAAATCTGGGTGGAATTTAGCTGATGATATGTTTTATTGATGTGCTTCCAAGGTGTGTATGCATTATTTGGTTTGGTAATCCCATATCTTAATGGATCTATCATCTCCACCTGATATCAGATAAGGTTTATCTCCATGATGAAAATCAACACAATTGACTCCACCTTCATGACCAGTCAATGTGAAATTAGGTTTGCTATTCTGGATTGTCCACACCTTTACTGTGTTATCCATACTTGCACTTGCAAATGTGTTAGGATCTCTTGGATTGAATGCAACCATCATCACATAATTTACATGATCTTCAAATGTTCTTATCAATGTAAAATTATTATCAATGTCCCATAACTTTATTGTCGTATCATCTGAACTTGTTATTAAATATGGCTAAGATGGATGCACAATCACACATCTAATATAATCAGTATGAGCGTCAAATGCCTAACTATTAACTTCTATTTTACTTTGATCTTTTCATTTGTATTATAATTGAACACTCTCAATTGAAGATCATCACTCACAGCCACAACCCACTATTTCTTTGTTATAAACTTTGCACATCTGACAGGCTACTGTTTTTAATTGACTTCTATTTATTTAACAATAGTCTAATTAAATATTTGATATACTTATGTAGCATAATCTTGAATTGTTATAACTCCGCTATATAATCCTGATAATACCCATGCATATTCTGGATGCAACTCTACGCTCTTAACTCTTTCTGAACGAGCAACATGCTTCTTCTTTATCTCGAACTTCAAAGACATTTAATACGTGTAAATTATTTATTTTAATTTTTGTTTATGCAACAAAATAATAATCACATCAATTATAAATACTGTATTATAAGTGTTTAAATTATCAATATACATTGCACTTGATCTATTCACTTGATTTCCTCTGACTTTCAATTGGCAATGACTATCTGATACTTGATTCATTCTACCTATTTTTTTGAATTCTTCTATCAGAATCAGCCTTTTGGAGATTGAAAATATTATTATCTAGAAATTGAGTATGTAAGACTTACCTTTGATCAATTTAATCAGAAAGTCTTTGTAGCCCATTTCCTTTTTTTTTGCACTTCCAAAAAAGCACTGTGTGTTTAATTCTAAGTTACTAAACATTAATTTGATTTCTTCTTTTTGGTCTATTTGATTCTGATTCTAATTTATCATCTAAATATGAGAATGATCTTCATCCTCATTCATTTATCCAATAGATATAGTTTTATTGCAATTCATTACTTCAATGTCATCTACCAAATCCATTTTATTCACAAGCACATATTTAGTAAATACATTGTAATCTTCACATTCCTGATCCCAAAATTGAATTGTACTTCTTAGTTAATCCGTACAGGTTGCATCAACTACAAGGAATGCAAATAAGGAACCTCTGTAAAATGCCTAATTGAAGCAATAAAATACCTTCTTCACATCTTGATATGATTGGTTGTGATAGGAACCACAGTCCCAAAAAGACAGATTGTATGATTGATCATTTATTATATATTCAGCGTTATCAATTTTATAACAGGTTGTAGATTTAATTTCAAGATCGAATTGTCTATCGCATAATTAATTGATAATGCTAGACTTCCCAACTCCTTCAGCTCCTAGAACCACAATTTTGATATTGTTTGTGTCTATGACTTCATCTTACATTTGCTGCAAATCCATAATTTAATTATATATATATATGATAAAATTATCATTCAAAAAGAGCACAAACAACATCTTTACTATAGACTTTCCTCTTTTTTATTATGGATGGATCCTTCAGATCAGGAGGCAAAGCATATCTAATGAATTTCTTTTAATATTCTTCCTCTATGCATTCTTTAAAGATGTGTTGATAGAAATATTCTATGAGTAGAAATATTAAATACTTTTGGAAATGGATTCTGTCAACAAGACCAGTTTCTCATAATATTTGATGTCCCATACTTTCTTGTGAGAAGCACTGAATTCTTAAGAGACTTACTTCCATTTTTCTGGAATGTCGAGTTTCCTTACTAGTGATTTCAGTTATTGATTTTGGTTTTTCTCATCATGTTTTTTTTGTTATTACTTAAACAATTACTTAGTTACATTGACTTCCAGTTTGGTTTTTGCTTCTGCAATCTCTTGAACCTTGGTCATTTTTATAGAATCGATATCAATGGGTTGTGATTTTTCAACCTTAACTCTTTTTTTACTTACTTTCTCTTGATCAGCTGCTTTGTAAACGATGTTTTGGGATCTTTCAACGAGGTCCAAATTTGAGTGAGAAACTTCTGTTTTTTGATATTTGGAATTTGAAGAAATCAATGTGTGAATTTAATGAGGTTGGAGTGCTGGTTAAGGTGTTTGTTTTTTGATGAAGGCTTTTTTGATTAATAGGGTTGGAATTGGATGTTGGTATTAGAGCAAATTAATTGAAATACTTGTTTGATCATCATTCGCCTACTCAATCAGGCAATTTAGTTATTCTACTGTGTTGTTCTCAAAGTTGTATTCGTATTCAAATTTGTAGGACTGAACAATTAGGGTAGATTGTGTTTGATTTGCAATGTTCAGGAAATATTTGAAATCTTTGGTATCCTAATAGATATTATCAGAAACATTGACCAATTGGAACTCTGTGAGTTGATGCTTTGATCCAAGAAGTTCGTTTTGAAGATGTTATTCCAGTAGAGAGTAAATCATAACTCAAATTTTTTTAAATTTAATTGATTGGCGCTGGTAATATATAAATATAATTAAATATGGGATTGGTTTGTTTCAAAGAAGGCCCATAAGCTGCAATTGAAGACCATTCAATAAAACAAAGGGATCACAACTATGAAGATGAAGAGGTCATATCCGAGTTCCCTTAATAGGACGAGGATGGCAAAAAAGTTTCATTGAGTCAGTTTATTATGTTACGAGTATTAACTATGGTTAATTTAAGAATTTGGGAAAGGGTAGTTATGGAAAAGTAATGTTAGTTTAACATACAGTTTCATTGAAATTGTATGCTATGAAAGTGTTAATCAAGAAGGCTGTTAAAAATTTAACATAGAAAACACATGTTCAAACGGAGAGGAAGATTCTAGAAATAACAAATCACAACTTCATTACTAAATTGCATTATGCTTTTTAGAGTTAAACCAAATTGTATTTGATTATGGAATTTGTATCAGGAGGAGAATTATTTTATCATATGAAATTAAAAGGCAGAATGACAGAGAAAAAAATGAAGTTCTATGCTGCCGAAATCCTAATTGGATTGGATTATCTACATCAACAGAATATCATCTATAGAGATTTGAAACCAGAAAATATCTTATTAGATTCAGAAGGGCATATTAAATTATGTGATTTTGGATTATCTAAAATATGTTCTTGGGGTGATATGTATGCAAAAAGTATCTGTGGAACTTTCGAATATATTGCACCAGAAATCATTCTTGGAGAAATATATACTAAGTCTTGTGATTGGTGGACATACGGAGCCTTATTATATGATATGTTGACTGGTAAACCACCTTTTTATTAGCTAACCAAAAAATAGATCTTAGAATATGCAGCAGGAAAAGATATTGAGATACCACAACACTTATCTGAAGAAGCAACAGACTTATTAACTAAATTATTTAAAAGGAATCCAGAGGAACGACTAGGAGGACAGAGAGATGCTCAAGAAATCTATGAGCATCCTTTTTTCAAAGATGTTGACTTTTAAATGATGGAAAGAAAAGAGATTGAACCCCCTTTTGAAATGTAAAACGAAAGACCTTTCAAATTTTTTGATCAGAATCTCATAAGAAAAAGCAGTGTCCATGATACTCCTGTCAGCGAATTAGGAAGGTATCAGGAATTCTCTAATTTTACATACAACGGAGATAAGTTTTCTAATGAATTTAATAAACTATTAATAACTCATTGAGAGAAAGCACCTATATATCTCTGTTTAAATTTTACTTTATAATAGACTATTAAATATATATATAATTACTCTTTTGATTTCATGCTATGATTTCTACTGAAATATAATCATAATTTTATAAGAAATCTGCATAGGATGCAGCTATAGCTGAAGAGCATTATTAAGTAAATATATATATATCTCATATATAAATTTATCAGTTAAATTACAAATTTCCTAACAGAATGTACCTCACATTAAGTATTTAAAACTTTAAAAAGTCTTAAAGACATTTCATTTAATTAAGTAAAGTGAAAATTCATGAAATATATTATTTTATTTTTAATCATATTCGATTTTTGAATAATATTTAGACTACAAAAAGGTACAGTATATTTTGAATTTCTATTTTATTTTACAGTATGTTCATAAAGTGACTAAAATTAATAGTTGAACAATGAGCTCTTGCCAGAGTATTTATAGACCACTAAATTAAAATTACGACTAATATTGATTTAACACTAGCGAATTTATTTATAATTGATTAATATAAAATAAAAAAAGTAATTAAAAATAAATCAATCCAAGAAATTATAGTTTATATTTAAATCAAAAATCACAACTTTTCGATTCCATTTTTATATCTCTTAATTATTATTAATTCCTTTATTTTGAAGTAAATGTGTTGGAGTTGTAAGCAAATATATTTAAATTTTATTAAGACCTTCAAGGAATAATGCTTTACTTCTTATTTAATTAAATTCATGTTTTCTATTTATCTTTTTTTAAATAATACATTCCCACATACATAATCACATTCAACTAGAATTAGATATCTTTAAATAGATGTATGACGATAGCTAATAGGAACTAAATTTACTTGTGAAAGGTAATTATTGGTAGTATTTATCTTCAATGGAGTATACCATCATAATTTTAGATTAATATTCAAATATATAAGCATAAACATAATATCGAAAATCATGATTTTTTTGGATGATTAATTCTTCTTCTGTTATTAGTTTAGTAAGTCTATGAAGTAGCAAAATTTGAGCTTTTCAATAGTGATTTCAGAGTTTTTAAATTTTGCTATCGCTCAGTAATATCCTATGAAGATTAAGGAGTATGAGTGTTAATAGAGAACTAGGTTATTAATTTTTTAATATACAGCAATAGTTTATTGAGATAGTGGAAGCTTTTGTTTTTAAACGGAACAGCCCATATTTCAAGGATGAAATATTAAATAAAGTTATGATAAAATAAAAATTAATATTCAACCCAAAATGATATTTTGAGTGATTTGTATTGATTCTTAATGAACTCAATTAAGACACAGATTATCTCAATATTTGTAAAATCAAATCAAATCTATTTTAGAAGGAGATTTATAATTCGACATCTATACTTTTAAGCAAACTCATGAATCACCAAAAGTAAAATGAAAAGTTAATTACTTTTAATTAATAAAAAAAGGGTTGTCAACACGAGGACTTCCCAAGCGGTCCCCCACCTTAGTACTAACCTCGCCTTAAGCCGCTTAACTTCGGAGTTCGAATGGGATCCGGTGCTTTAGGCTTAGTATGGCCGACAACGATATTCTAAGCACTACTCCCCTTTTAAATCCCTTGTTTTTATAATATAATAAATGAATTGATAATTATTAGTTATTAAATTGCATCTTATTTATTGAATTTCTTAATCATAGACATACTTTATAAATAATTAAAAATTTAATGAGCAAGAAATTTGAATGTGTGCGAGTTGTAATTCGATGTCGTCCCTTAAATGACACTGAAAAAAAGGATGGAAGAGTTTGTACAGTGAATATGGACACAAAGAATGGGTAGGTGACTGTCAGAAACCCAAAGGTACCGGATGAGGTGCCGAAGCAGTTTACATTTGATCAAATCTTTGACACTTAATCTTTATAGGAAAATGTGTATAATTAGACTGCTTCTCCTATAGTTGAGAGCGTGTTGGAAGGATATAATGGGACGATATTTGCTTATGGTCAAACAGGGACAGGGAAGACACATACAATGGAAGGAAAAGATGATCCTCCAACATTGAGGGGTATTATTCCTCGAACATTTGATCATATATTTGAGAGGATAGAGAATATGGCGAAGAATAAGTAGTTTTTGGTGAAGGTTTCATTTTTGGAATTGTACAACGAAGAAATTCGAGATTTGCTTTCAAAGAATATCAAAAACAAATTGGAGATACGTGAGAATCCAGATACTGGTGTTTACATTAAGGATCTGAGTAAATTCATGATAGAGAGTCCTCAGGAGATGAGAGAGAAATTGTTACATGGAAGAGAGAACAGGGCAGTGGGTGCAACAGCAATGAATTAGGATTCTTCTCGTTCACATTCTTTGTTCTAGATAATTGTAGAGACCAATGAGATGGTTCAAGGTTAGAGTCATGTGACTGTGGGCAAATTGAATTTAGTAGATCTTGCAGGCAGTGAGAGATAGAGTAAGACTCATGCAACTGGAGATCGACTGAAAGAAGCCATCAATATTAACTAGTCTTTAACCACATTGGGTAATGTGATCAGTGCATTGGTGGATAATAAATCTTAACATATACCATACAGAGATTCAAAGTTAACAAGATTGTTGTAAGATTCTTTGGGAGGTAATACAAAGACAGTGATGATTGCTAATATCGGTCCAGCTGATTATAATTATGATGAAACTATATCTACTTTGAGATATGCTCATAGGGCTAAGTAAATTAAGAATGATCCTAAGATTAATGAGGATCCAAAGGATGCTTAGATTAGATAATTTTAAGAGGAAATTATGAAGTAAAGAAATTGTTCATTAATTAAGATTGAAATAATAATTGGAATTATCAATTGAAGGTGGAGAAGCTGTCATGAATCCAGGATAGGAGATGTTGGTATAGAAGGTAGTGAAAGTTAAGAATGTGGATAAGATCAAGGAGGCTGAGAATATAATAGAGAGAGAGAAGGAAGAATTAAAAAAGAAGATAGAAGAGGAGAGGAGGAAGATTGATCAATAAAAAAACTTAGGTGAAGAGGAGAAGATGAAATTATTGAGGGTACAATTAAATTAGATTCTAATTAGTAATTACAAGAGAAGGAGGAGTAGGCCAATAATGCAAGGGAGACATAATAGAAACTTATTAAGACAATTTAGAAGATGGAATAGAAGTTAGTTAATGGTCATACTGAAGTTGAGGAAGCAAGGAGAAAAGAGAAAGAATTGGAAGAGGCAAGGAAATAGATTGAAAAAGAGAAGGCTGAAGCTGCTAAGAGAGCTTTAGAATTGTAGAAGAAGGAAGAAATGAATTTAGAATTACAAACAAAGTACAATTCAATAAAGGAAGAATTGGAAGATAAAACTAGAAGAATTAAAACACTTTAATAAAAGACTCGTTAATTGGAATTTGAAAATAAAGAGACTGATGAATTCATGGCCAAAGAAATAGAAGATTTGCAAATAAGAAAGAGAGAGATTCTGTAAGAAGTAAAATTGAAGTAATTTATTTTGGATTATTTCATCCCTCCCAAATTTTTGGAGACTATGCAGATGTTGGCTATGTATAATGAAGCAGCTGAAGCATGGACAATCCAAGGTTTAGATTATTCTGGGAAGTTGACTAAAACCCAAATCTAATAAGCTATGTAGGAACAGTAGTAGTAAATGAATGTGACTGATCAGATTAATAGTGAAGAGAAATTGCAAGAGTTACTCAGTCATCCAAATGTGTATTTTGCTTATACAGAGGAGGGATTGATAAGGGAGGAACAATTAGCACCTCAAGAGAAGAAGAAAGTACAGAAGAGATTGCAATCTGCCAAGAAACCATAATCAGCCAAAAAGAGACCGTCATCTAAAAGAATTGAATCTGCCAAAAAGAGTGCCAATTTACAAGAGCAGAACTACCCAAAAGCCAAAGGACTTACATCTAAATGAGGAGCATTATTAAATATTATAATATAATTAATGTAATAATAAGAAAAAAATCGGGTTTATTATGGAAGGTTTATCCAGAAAGAGAAACTCAGTGCAGGTATCAATTTTTGATCTAAAAAGGCTCCTTTGGAGTTGTTTACATTTGCTAAGACAAAGTTTCTCGAGAATATGTAGCTCTGAAAGTAGAAAAGGAAAATGGCAACCTGTTGAGTTTGGAGCGAGAAATACAAATAATAGAAGAATTAAGAGGCATTCAAGGTAAAATTACTCAAGTACACATAGGCATTCCTAAACTCTATTGGTATGGGAACGAGTATAACGCGAATTGTATGGCTATGCAATTACTGGGTCGCGATCTCTCTCATTATCTAAAGCGATTTAGAAAGTTCTCTCTAAAATGTATTTGTAATTTGGCAGAACAAATACTAGACATAATAGAGGAAGTTCATAAAAGGTAATCAATTTTCTTGATATTTAAGAGGTGTGGTCCACAGAGACATCAAACCAGAAAACATTCTTATGGGAAGAGGCAATGACACCAATACTGTTTATCTAGTTGATTTTGGCATCTCTAAAAAATACAAAACCAATGGGTAGCATATGTAATTGTTCTTCTATAATCTTAAGTCCATTTTAAGAACAGAAGCCATTCATGGGCACTACTAGATATGCGAGTATCCCAGCACACAAAGGATATGAGTTATCAAGACGCGATGATTTAGAAAGCCTAGGATATGTCTTTATATATCTCTTAAAAGGTAATTTCACTTACAATCCTAGGTAATTTACCTTGGTAAAATATTACTTCGTCTTCTGACAAAGAAAAGACTAAATTAGTTGGCAAACTAAAAATGGAATTAGATACCAAAGACTTATGTAGAGGTTTACCAACTGAAATTTAAAGATACATGGATTACGTCTAAAAACTTAAATTCACTTCAACCCCAGATTATAAATATTTGTTTAGTTTATTCTAAAAAATTGCACAGTAATAAGGATTTCAATTGGATCGAAAATTTGATTGGAATGATTAATCAACTACCTCCACCAAGTCTTCGGATGGTTAACAACCAAGATTATCGGGTAAAGACTTCGAACTCGGATAAGAAGATGCCTTTAAACTCTCAGAGAAACCTGAAAAAAAAAATAAATAATGTGAATCCAATCTTAGTCAACAATCCTCTGTTATGTTAAATTACGTACCCTCAGTAATTTAATAGATAGGTGGAAGATTTGGCTCAAAATCTACTGGGTATTATATATTCTTATTGAGTTAAGTCGTTCTCGATAAAATTCAAGATAGAGCTCATTTTCAAGGGAATCCTCTTTGATGAAATAATAGACTGGATAAACTAAAAGAAAGGAGAGCCAGTTATAAAAAGTAGGGTAATTCCAAGATTTTGAAGATTTAGAAAAAGAAAAAGAAAAAAAAATACCACAATAAAAATAAGCAGATTTTTAATTAGATGATTTTGGTGATGATGATGATGAAAATCTAGAAACCAAATTGAAATAATTCGAACAAATTCAAGTACATTTTAAAGAGCATCTTTCCAAATCTTGAAGAGATCCAATCTAGATTCAGTGTCTAATGATTTGTATTAGAATTCAAATACTTTTTCCATATTTAATATACAATTTTATAAAGTAATTTAATTCTTAATTGTTCTTCTAACTAATACTATGTTATCATATAGATTTTTAAAATTTGGTTAATAAAATTCAAATATATTAATTTAATAAATTTTATTGATCATTTGAAATATTCTCAAAAGTATAGTGTTAGTTAAACGAAGAGTGAAGTTCCTTGAAGATCCAAAAATGAGCTATATAATTTATAATTCATATTTACAATTTAACACTTATATATGCTTTTCAAAAACTGTTTGTTGACAATATTAAAATTAATATTCTTCAGGAAGTTTTTCGATGCCTGAAAGTGATAATTACGGAACCTATGCTTCTTAATTTTAATCAATAATAAATGATATCTACTATGTTCTATTTGATTACCTAATTATAGATACAATAAAGTAATATAATTCTGGTTTGTAAGTATAAATGATATAATCCTATTTTGCTTGAAAATATACGTCATATTTATAAATAATATGAAAGATTTGATAAAATTTTTGAAACAGCTGTTACAAATTGATTTTGATTAGTTTTTCCATTTTAATCGATTACAGAATTCGAAATTCGAGTATTGATATAGCTATTTCACTAACCAGTTGGATCTTACATTTTTTTAGTTTTTTATTTAAGATTTTAGCGAGTTTCTTTATTTAATTATTATACTTTTTAGTCACTTCTTTTAAGTTATTTTAGTATCTATATTTTAAATCAATGAAGGCTTGATCTACTGTTTCCACTACTATCATAAATCTAACTGTGTCTACAAAATAGACTAGTAGTTTGATTTTCATTCTACTCTTTTTATATTAGATTTCTAATTTTTCACAATCGATATTATTAACTAAGTTATTGAACTTTTCATATTTCTAAAATAAGTATTTTTATAGTGTTGATTTTTCATATTTGCATTCTTTTAGAAAATCTCCTACAGAATCAAATTACATTTCTTAACTCTCTGTTAATGATTTGTTAATTGCAATTTATTGAAAGCAGAACGAATCTTTATCGAATTTGAATATTAAAAAAGGCTTGCAAATTACAAACGGTAATATTTTCTCTAATTATATAATATTTAATAATACCCCAAGTAGTGTCTTTTGTTTAATATAAAAAAGATCTTCTTTAGTATAATTCTGATGAATATAATAAACCTGAGACTCCAACAGTAATTATGATCGTGTATAGATATTATTCAAAAGTTAAAGCATCTTCATTTACAAAAGTGATTGCTGTTCTTGAAATCGCTAATATGATATTCGTAAATAAACCCACTTAAAAATCAGAACCCATCAATAAAATTATATGTGTAAGCATTTAATTACAACCAAACAAATATCCTTGATGATATGTATTCTTTTAATTCGATTCAGTTTCAAGTGATACTAGTAGTAAGTTAATTAAGAGTAAAATTAAGTTAGGAAATCTCTTGAGTTGCTTAAAAAACAAGCATAGCAAAATTACAATTAAGAGAATCACTAGTTTTTGTATCAAATAGGCATAATTATGATTAACTAATTATTATATTAATTAGCTGCCAATAAGTAGTATTGATAAAACATAAGTGTATATAAGAATAGGACTTTATAATTAATTACATTTATGGTATCGATAAGAATTCTCTAGAGTGGTTTCTTCAAATTTCAATGTATAAATATTCATATATTTATATCTCAATATATGTAGGGTTTAATTAAATTCTAATATAAAATTATAGAATTTCCATTAAGAATCATATTTCATATTAGAATGAGTTTAATTAGGTTAAATATCAATTATATATCACAAATAAAATAATGATCTCATTAAATAGTTTTCAACATTTAGTATTTTGACTATCACTATTTGGTCTGCAGTCCAAAAGATATGAACCATCAAATTAAAACTTATATTAGAAATGTAAATAATTAAATTGTTATTAAACTTCCATATCTTATAACAAGAAACCATAATTTAAAGCTAACTACTATATTAATTTGAGTTACCAGTCTAAGATGAGCTTTAAAATTGTCATATTATATTCAGATCATTTGAGTACTAATTACAAAAGCATGCATTAATTTATATTTTATACATACATATAATTAAATGTAAAAATTATATATTGGTAAAGTAAAGGAAGTGAATAAGTAGGAGATATACAAATTGCTAATGCAGTATGGATTAATAAAGAGTTTTGAGGATAAGGATAGCTTTTGCTTTGTTGAATATTATTATGAGAGCGATGCGCGAATGGCTTAGTATGAATTGGATGGAAGATCTGTTTGCAATAATCGAATAGTTGTCTAATTTTCAAAAGCATTGATGAAACAAGAAGACCTTTTAAAGGAGGCATTGCCATCATCTACTCGTAAAATATACGTGGGCAATTTAAACCACAAGTTCACAAGTCAGGAGTTAGTGGAGATCTTTAATAGGTTTGGAAAGATTTTGGACATAATTTTCAAGGAAACCTATGCTTTAATTGAGTATCCAACGTAGTAATGTGCAACAGAGGCGATTTTGTATATGAATGAAAAGAATTGCAAAGGAGAAACATTGAAAGTGGATCTCTAGAAAACCTATGATGAAGTGTTAAGTTCCAGCAATCGTATTTATATTGGTATGAGTTCTTTATTATTTTAATATGATAGGAAAGATTGGAAACTTGAAGAAGATGGATTTGATTTTAAATTTTGGATAGTTCGGTTTTATAGAGGACATTAGTGTGAAGGATGAACTATATGCATTTATATAATATAGAAACAATTTGCATGCCAGTAGAGCTATCAAAGAAATGAACAATGCAGAAATCAAGGGGAATAGAATATAAGTGCAAGAAGCCAGATGTAAAATAGGGTTTTAATATCAGCTAAAAATCATTTGCCATTGAATTTTAATATCGGTCAATTTCTACCATAGCATCCCAATTTACTAGATTAATTGGCTCCAACTTAATTATTAAATAAAGGTTATGAAGAAAGTAAGAACGTTGTTGTGCAAAGAACTAGTCGAAGTAGAAGTAGAAGCAAAGAGAAGAAAAATTGTACCAATGGTTTGGCTATTCTTAAGGATCTAGAATTAACTTGATTTTATAATTCGTATTTTCATGTTTATAAAATAATAAGATAGGAGAAGTTTAAGAGACTGTTAAAAATGAATATTAGAATTTAAAAGTATTTTTGAGGAAGGAATATACACATATTCATATTCTTAAATTAATAGAATATTTCTAATCTATCTAGGAAATCATTCTAATATTTGTGTATCTATCAAACAGTCAAGGATAACAACAAGTTACCATTTTATTTAAAAATTGAATATTTTATATGTTTATATCTGAAATACTAATTTTTGAAATTAAGATATATATTTGTCTTTTTTATTGATACACATTTATTACAAAATGTAAAAGCTTAAATTCGAATTCTGATATAAAACCACAAAGATTGTAAATCATTTACTGAGTGGGAGGGAATAACTTATATTTTATATACTCGGTTAGAGAGTTGGAATTCTGTCTTTATTGAACTGTGGTTTATCGAATTTAAAGGAGTTCATCATTAGATGTTTATTAAAGATGTTGAATTGAGTTTATGTTGAGGTATTTGATTTGATGATTTATTACTATTATAAAAAATGAATATAAAAACTTATAATTATGAAAATTATTAGCGCTTATTTTTATTTAAATTTAAATTAATCTAATAAGGATGGACAACCAAAAGGGCAAACGAATGGGATAAGGTAAATTAGCAGGTGCAAAAAGACATAAGAACAAAATGAATAAGGAAAAAAAGGGTGGATAGCACATTACCAATGGTGATATACGTAGACTTGCTCGAAGAGGAGGTGTTAAAAGAATTTCTTCAGATTCTTACCCTACGACTAGGTATAGTGTTATTTGATCCCAATAGAGATGTCATAGTTAATTTCTTATCATCCTTGGTCAAAGATGCTATCATATACACGGAACATGCCTAAAGAAATACGGTTTAAGCAATGGATGTAGTTTATGCTTTAAAAAAATACGGAAGAAACTTATTGCTTAATAACGATTGATTTATCACAATTTTGAATTGCAGCATCATAATTTAAAAGCCTTTTTTAATTTCTTCTTTTTATACTGTTGATTTTTTATACAATAAATAAGAAATAATATATATATATATATAATCTTCCAGAACCATGATATTACCAGTGATTTATTCGTTTACTTGCGAGCGTATCCATTATTTTATGAATTCCTATTATACAGTGAATATCCTTTCAGATTAAATTAGTATTAACAAGGTATATCTTAATGCTTACAAGGAAAGTTTAAATCATAAAGTTTGAAGTATGTTTGCCTACTCAATTTCGAAAACAAGGTGTACTGGTATACAGAGTAACAAAAAATACATGCTTTTGGAATAGTAGTTAAGAAGAAGGTGAAGTTCTTCAAAGCAAATCATAAAGATCTTGAGGAAATGAGAAGATTAATAGCCTGCAAGGTCCTGTTTGATGGGATTGTGAGCTTATATAAATGCAATCGTTAAATTGGAGAAGGAGCAGACAGCAAAGTGTTTAAGGTTGAAGACACTATTTAAAAGTCATTCTGGGCATTAAAGTGTTTAGAAAGAAAAGATGATTTTTAGTAAGAAATCAGAATGCATCAGAACTTAGAACATAACCATATCATTTAGTTCAAAGAATACTTTTAAGGCGAACAATACTATTACATAATAATGGAACTGATGGGAGGCTAAACACTATCAAAATTATTGGAGAGAAATCTAATTACAACACATTAATAGTGCAGAACTATTATTTAGGTATTGTTTGATATAAATACAAGGCTCTGTTGTTGGCTTTGGTTTATTTGAAGAATGAAGGCATTATTCATAGGGATATCAAACCTGCTAATATTATGTTTGCGTAATCTGGAAAATTAGACAGTCTAAAATTAGCAGATTTCAATTTTGCTATGAAATAATATGATACAAATGTTTAGCCTATTTTGTATGGTATGTATACTGCTCCTGAAGCTTTACAAGATATTCCGATCTACAGTGACAAAATGGATGTCTATAGTTGTGGAGCAATACTGTATAAATTATATTCGGGAGAAGATATTCATCCATTTCGATATTTACAAGAATCCAATATGTTTTACAATATTATTAGGAATGGTTCCATAGATTTCACAGTCTTGGATAAAGCTAATGCTCCTTCTAAAGCCATTCATTTAATAAAAGCAATGCTAGATGGAGACCATAATAAAAGAGTTAGTGCACAGGAAGCATTAGAGTTCGAATACTTTTAAAATGAATCTCTAAGTCCAACTGAAAAGAGATCTCGCTTTTAACATAGATATTAAAATGATAATTTGAAAATTGGAGTTACTGCTGACTTTGAATTCTAATTGGATTAAGATGCTAAATGTGCCAACGTAAGAAAAATAGAGATCCATCATCATCATTGATATTTCTCTTAATGATAATGTGTATAATCTAGTATTTACTATATATTCTGTCCTTCTTAGATATGTAAAGAATGATACTGTGGAGAATTTAAAAGAATGCCTCAAAATGCCTTAGCTTCCATACTTTCTTTAGTCTTTTTTATAGCTTATATTCTTAAAAGTTAATCGAGCAAAAAGTAAATTATTAGGCCAAATTTATTTATATTTTTTAATGATTTTCAAGTTTTATAACACTCTAAAAGATATAGTTTTTAATTAAATAATTATGATATGGAGAGATTAAAGGTTAAGGTTAATCTCCAAGCATGTCTTGATTAAATATATTTAAAATTTAGCTTAATTTCCTTTAGGTACTTTACAAGATTAAGTAGATATTTCTTTAGTACATACCATACCAGTATTATCAGGTTTTTAGTTATTGCCTTTTTTGTAAATGAATCCATTATTATTTCATCCATACCCCTTTAACTAAAAAATCCTAAGCAAGAAAATATTAGATAATTTTAAATTAATAGAGATATCAATATACTAGATTGAGCAATCAATTATATTTTAGATTTAGAAAATTTGAGAATGGTTTAAAGCCTAAAATAACTAATACAGAATAGTAAATTGGATTAAAATTATGCAATTTAATATCATTGCAATTAATTTTAATATAAATTGCATTAAATCGGTTATGCTATCAATTATAGAACCATGTGTTTCACAAGGGTCAGTGAAGCAAGGATATACTTTGATTTTATATACTATTTGTATGATAGGATAAATGTAATAAAATAAATTAAATATGAAAGGATATCAAAAAAGTTCGCCAAATCTTAAATTTCTACAGCCATAGTTAACTGCTCGTTAACCAAAGAGGACTGATTCAATTAATTTACGATTTGATGTATAGAAGAAGTTTCGAACTAATCAAACGGAGAATTCAATGTCGATTGACAAAATATATTAAATTACTCCAAGTAGAGTGCTCACTCTTAAAAATATGTCTCGAGTCATGAAATCAAATTTCATTCATAAAACAGAACCCAATGAAACTTTTGATAAATAAAACATAGACAATCAAAGAATGTTAAGCAGAAAGCAAACAGCTCCAAAATTGATATATAGACCCATAATAAAATAAAATAGCGAAGTGTTTTGTATGAAAGATTCACCCAGAATTATTCAAAATACAAGTATGTAAGAGAGCAATTCAATTTATTATATCTCTGATGTTGTCACTGCTTTTGAAAGTAAAGAGAACTATTTTAACAAACTTTTCAAGGAACATTTTTTATCAAGTTGCATGGCTTTGAAATAATGTGTAAATTCTAAGATAATTTACAAACCAAAACCAGTTATAATCCAAAATAATCCATAAAGTTATTATAAATATTAACATATAGATATTAAAAAGTACACTTTACTATTTGATTTGGATGAGACTTTAGTACATTGCACGCTAGATATGAAATTGCCTTGTGACAAAAAACTAATCATCAAACTTTCTTAGGATGAAACATTTTAAGTAGGCGTTTCGGTTCGACCTGGTTTACACGTAATGCTGGAATTGCTGGAACCCAATTTCGAAATCATAGTATTCACAGCCTCACATGGATAATATGCAAAACGAGTACACTATTGTTTTGATTTAGATTGTTGAATATATTGATCCAAAGAGAATCATCTCTCGAGTGTTGTCAAGAGAACATTGTTGCTTTACTGATCAAGGCTAGTATGTTAAGGATTTATCCATCATCAAGAATCTTCCAATCTCGAGAACTCTTCTAGTTGATAACTCTGCGATTAGTTATTTATGTTAACTTGACAACGGGGTTCCGATTATTCCATATTATGACAATAAGCAAGATAAGCAATTATTGCAATTAGCAATATATCTTAATGGAATGGTGGGGGCAAATGATTTACGCGAATAGAATCAGTATCATTTCATTTCTATAAAGAACAAATTTAAAAAACTATCTATTTGCTTAGCTATAAACTCAGGAATAGGTTCTAGAAATGTATAAGGTTCTTCACTATTCGAAAAAGAATTGAGAGAGTAAAGATAATTTAATATCAATTTTTGTTCATATTTATTATTGGTAAATTTGTAATTCAATTACTAAATAAAATTAATTGTAGCATTATTAATTCTGTGCTTTGTATAAATAATATTATATTATAAATAAATTGTATTATTAATAAAAAGAGTAATTTATGGAAGATGCAATATTGACATACTCTCTTAAAATACTTAAGTAAACTACACATTCTTAAATAATTAAAACAAACTAAATAATCTATTCAATTTAATTCCTTTTATTGTTAATTTATAAAAGATATCTTTTAAATCTTCAAATGTATACTAATATTTTCAATTCAAAATCCTGTATGGCAACATTTGGACATAGTGAATCTAAGTGAAAATGAAATATTCATAAAATTGAATATATATTTGTTAGGGTGTTTCTATTAATCTAATTAATCGGGCTATTTCAACAAAATTATTGTTGGAGTTCCATTTTAGGATTTGGAAATTCTTATTATAGCAAATAAAATATGGAGTGATTACAAAATACCACTCCACAAAGCATTTGCTTACGATTCTCAAGCTTAAACAGTTTTGGCTTCTGATATTGAATTACTGCTACAATTTCAGGTTTAGAGTTCAATAATAAATTTTATTGACAGATCTTGATTGTTATAGGAATAATTATAGAGATTTGATATGTTAGAGTGGATTAAATAAAAATAAAGAAATCACTCTTTTTTAATTTCAATTTATTAGGTCTAAACATTATTGTAAGTGTAGGTTTGTGGATTTGAGGTTTTATTATTATTATCCTAACAAAAAATCTAGCAGAAGGACTGCTATTGACAATTGTTTTTGTCGAGATTCTGTCGTTCTTCATTATATTTCTTTAATTTGTCAAAGTCTATGAAGATAAACTATTGGGCTCCACTTCTTTTCAAGTTAGAAGAATTCTTTTAGGACTGGCAAACACCCATTTGATTTTTTAATATTTAATTGTTTATTAATTGATTTTAGATATTTAGACATGCACATAAGTATTTATTTACTAATGAAAATGTTGCCGAGGTATTAATCAGAATCAATTGATTCCATGAAAATCCAAAATCAAATACAAGAGAGTGAATTCTAATTGGAGTTGGACTGCTCTAGCTTGTTCCATTTAAGTTTTAGCAATTAATATTATTGTTATTTTTATTGATTAATAATGCTCGGTTACAGATAATTTTTAATAAAATTATTTTTTGGAAAAAATGGAGGACAAACAATTCGTACTATTTTGAGTCATCATAATTTAGACCTTAGAGATAGTAAAGAAATCTTAGATTTTTTTTGCCAATATGGAATTATATTGTTCGTAATTTTTGAAAGGATAACCTGTGGTCGAAATTCAAAATGACAAACCTGAGAAGAAAAAGGAACGAGATCCTAATGCTCCCAAGAGACCTCTTACTGCTTTCTTCTTATTTAGCCAGAAATATCGTGAAAAGGTTTTGGAAAGAAATCCAGGTATTGATTTGAGTGATTATTAATTAGAAGTCAAACTGATCCAGATTTCATAAATGGCAGGATAAAAGTGGCAATCAATGAGTGAGTAAGAGAAGCAAGTAAATATTCTTATGATTATTTAGCCATATGTTGATTAATATAATTAAGCAAAGAGCAAGTATAATGACGATGTTAAAGAGTATAATGAGAAGCAAGGTATTACAATTAAAGACAAAAAGAAAAAGAAGACTGAAAAGGTAACTCAAATACTAAGTTATAGTTTGATGACAAATCTGTGAAATCAGGATAAGATTATCTATTCGATGATATCGATTCAGAATCGATATAGCCAGCTGCAAAACATCAACAATAGCTCAAATAGTAATAGGAAAATAAGCAAGTAAATCAAAGTTCAGATGATGAACAAATATAATAAACAATACAATCTAAGTCATAAAAAGCTAAATCTACTAAATCCAAAAATAAGTAAGAAGTGAACGATGATCTACAAAAAGAAATTGTCTAAGTCATAAATAAAGAGAAATCACAAAAGAAACAAACAAAGAAATGAATTATAAACACAATTAACAATTCGATATATAAGCTCTATTCTCATCTTCTTCATTGTTTCAATCTTATTACTAAATTGGATTTTTCAACTTCATTTGTCTTAATTCAAGAATTTGCTGTGTTTGGAATTCATTATGATATACACAAGTCACCTGCACTTTTGGATCACTTGATACTACCTCAATGCCTCTAGGTTGCTGATCATATAGAGCATGTAAAACTGAGTAAGGTAGTGTCTGCCCTCTTCATTGAAATACCTAAATAATTTCAAAATCTACATAGAATTACAATATTTGAGAGCTTATTCCAAATCTTAATTCAGACATAACTTCCCTAATAATTATATTAATTTGGATACTAAAGGAAAATTTAATTAGCTTTTAAATTGAGTATCACATTAATAGACTATTCAATTACGAATCTTTCTCAAGTTTAAACTGAATCTGAATCTGTCTGCATATTCGCAGTTATAATTTCATCCATCCTGTCATTTGGGGTAGTAGTCTCGATTATATAATCTTTCCTGACTCCCAGTAGTAATTATGGCTGATATATAGAATAAGTAAAACTATGTTAATTGTGTTACCACTTATCTCCATAAACTTTGGTAATTGAATTTTTCTTGCTTTTTATTATAATATTTGAATTATATGAAATAACTGATGCTTGACCTCCCAAAGTTTCAACAAAACACTCATCTATTTTAGTTATGACAGAAATATAGTAGAATTATCTATTTATTTTAAGCAAATCAAATTAATCCTATCATTTACAATCTAAAATTAAATTGATTTACAATAATATATTCAAACCATATAATCATTTTTTAATTAACCTCAAAATGTAAATACCTTAAATAAAATGGTCTTTACATTCTAGCCAAAATTTAAACATTATCTTCAAGTATCTGAACTCTTTTATTTAAACCTTGTTTAAATCTATTAGTGAAATCAAAATTCATTTAAAGCTATATATAATAATAACAAATTTAATACTGTTTTAAAGATTCATACCTTAAGACTTTAACTATACCTTTATTATTAATTTAAATAAAGATTTACTGCTAAATATTAAATTTTATATTTAAGTTTTGATTATCCTTTTAAATATCATACTAAGTTTTTTATTCTAATTAATGAACCTTAATGTAAAATTCACTTTGCAAATTATATTATGTAATTTATCATTTTCTTTTGCTTATTTTGATATCATAACTGATCTAAAAATAAGATTTATTACCATTTGGTATCCTTAATTCAAATCACTTATGTAGTATTTAAAGATCGTATTCTTGTTCATTAATAAATATATATTATTCTATTTATTTATCTCTATTATCTGACTTTGAGTATATTTCATTTATTTTATTAAATCATATTCATTTAAGCTTATGGTCTTTTTTTAGTATTGCGGAGATATATACGTTAATTATTTTAGTCTTCTTTATGACAATATATATTATTAACTCTGTCAAATTGAACCATAAATTATCTATTGTTAAAAAAGAATTTAAGATGATCGATATGTCAATTTAAAGATTTTTGGTCCTTTTCAGAACAAATAAATTAATGGTTTACTCATAAATTTTCATTTATAATCTTAATAAACAAAACAGATGATCTTTGGCATACTTGAATTATAGAGAACTATTTAAAAACAATGAAAATAAATTAGGTGTAGGAATTATCTGTTAGCCTTTATTGAAACTAAAGAGTATAAATGTCTATTATTACTAAAATGTTGAATTTAAATATTAATATTATTTTTATCTCTTTATTCATTTCAAGAACTAATAATTAATTTAATTTTCTAAAAACAAGTAACTCAATCCTATTCATTTTAATGATTCTCTCATTTTTTTATTGGAACAGTATGGAGCAAAACAAAAAGAAAAATGCTTCGCAAGAAAAAAAAGTTGTACCATCTGTTTGTAGTTCCTCTATGATTTAATAGTACGAACCTAAAAATCAAATCAGAAGATAGATTCTAGAGGAGGAATAAATAAGATAGCAAAGAAAGCGATATACAGACAAGTTTTAACCTAAAGCAACATCAGAGGATGAAGATCCTTAATTGAATTTTCTCTAAATTGGAAATAAAGCTAAAAAAAGGTAGAAGAGCTAAACTCAAAGATGGTAAAAGTATGAAAACAGAAAATCTAAAAGAAATAGATCCGAGCAGAGATTTGCAGTAACTAATTAAATTTAAGGGCTCACTGAAAAGTATTATGAATTTGATGATCTCGATAAAATTTCTGATGATAAAGCGGATTTATGCATCAGAAATCTTCCATAAAATAGATTAATGAAAAAAATGACAATATGATTATAAATTATCAAACAAGTATAATATTTCTATGATCATTGCTTTATTTCACTTAATTGGTTAAAGAATTATAATTAATTAAAAATTCTTATTTCATTAATTAATTAATCTAAATTTGATGTTATACGCAATATTTATCATTTTAAACAATATAAACTAAAAATTTCAGTGAGGAGCCCAAGGCTGAAGAATAGTTTCATTAGTTAAAAAGATTTTAAGCATATTATTAAATGATTTTCTTTAATTTTCATTGAATTATCTAGTGTTTGTTGTTTAATTATGAAGAATATCCTATTTAGCATACGGATAATAAATATTAATATGATTAATTATTGATATTATAAGAAATAGATAAGGTAAATAATAAGAAAGTTATATTTTAAATTTAATATAATTAAAATCAAATCAAGATTTAAATCGATGAAAACTAGTTTCTTTTTTAATAAATTTAGAATATCTTGGAGACAATAGAATTGTACCGCAGGTTGGAATATTATAATCACTAGAAGGTTCAGTTTTTAGATACTTTGAAGATCCAAAATTTTAAATAGTTTCTTCATTTTTTTAATCTAAGATCTTCTGTTTCATAGAAGAAGCAAAGAATTTCATTGTAAAATTTTGGTTAGAATTTAAAGGTGGTTTATTTTGGAGGGGAGTTACGACATTATAATATTTAAGATTAGTCTTATCCTTATAATCGATTGTTAACTACAATTTTCTTTTAGGAGATTATTTTGAGACTGTTGGTAATTTTTCTTCAACATTTTTAATTATTTTGTATTTGTTACTAGATATTTTAATGTAAGATTGATCTCTGAAACCATTTAAGATAGTTACATTTGATTGTGTTCTGACATTTCTAGTTGTCAATTTAATCTTGGGGATGCTATTATTTCGCTTTTGTTAATATTTTTCAATTAAATAATTTTCATACCAGCCCATTCCTAAGGTATGTCTTATAATTTCATTAAACTAATTTTGCCCTATTCTAAAAATTTTAGCCTGGTTTTAGACAACTCCTTGGGTACACCTAACTAATGGAATTGTCTATTTTAGATTTAAGAATTGTTCAAAATCACCTATCATTTATCCTCTGCCAAAAACTCCTAGATTCACTAATTATTTGTTGGATTTGCTCATCATATTAGTTTCTATTAAATTTTCCTCCTCGAATTCATCTTTATTTTTTACATCTTCCCATTTTTAAACTAAGACTTCTCCTGAGATAATTAAATAGAGACAATCTGCTTTCTACATTCTTTTAAATAATAATGCTCCTCCATTTAGGTTAATTTCTTCATAATCATGTAATAATTATTGCAATGAGGTTTCATTTAGTTAATTAAAAGGGTAGATTTAGGTAATGAGTTCTGATCTTATTGTTATAGCTTCTTACGTAATATCTCTTAGCAATTTTTAATAAGACTCATAAGTTAACACGGCCAAAGTTGTGGCTTCTTTTGCAATCACTGTTGCTGTTCTAGGTATCCTCTATTCGATTGCAATTTCTCCAAAATAATCAAACTACTTTTTGACAGCCACTTGTCTAAAATTAGGATAACGAATAGCCATAACATCTTCAAATTTTTTCAATTTACCTATCATATAGAATTCAGATTACTTTTTTTCTAGTTGATGGAAGTGTCGAAATGGTCTTGATTTTTAACAAGGATTGATACTTCCCCCTCTAAAATGAAATACATTTTTCGTCCAGTTTCTCCTTAATTAAACACCACCTCACACTGTTTGAATCTCTCGATTAACAATGACTTTATTAATTTCAAGAGAATGTCTTCTCTCAATTATGATTTTAATTTTCTATCATGATGGATATCTAATACTTGAAATATGTAAAGGATCGTTCTAATTTTCTGGCTACATAATTCAATTGCATTAAAGTTCTCTCCTATGATTCCAAACTTAATATCTGGATTAGTCTCAAAACCTCGCTCTCAGATTTTGTCTAGTTCTCCTCATCCTGAGATTATTTACTTAATGTACTATCTCGTCTTAACATTAATTTTATTAAGAATGTCAAATGTTAAAAATAGATAGAATGCATAAGCTTTGAATAATTTGTTAAACACCTAGGGCTCCCTTTTTAGATTGTAAAAAATTCTGTCTAAAGATAATTATCTTACTAAACAAAAACATTTCAAGCCACTTAGAACAGAAAAATCAAGCACTCTGTCTCTAGTTAAAAGCGATAGTTTGATAACTCAAGACAACAAAAACTTTTTCAAAACATCTACAAGCTTAAATAAAATGAATCAAATTGTTAATGTCTAAAAGTAAACCAACGAGGAATAACATAAAAAAGTTATTAAACATCTTCTCACAGATTAATCCTATTTAAAACTAAATAAAATCAGCTTAGAAGGAAATCGAGTAAGGACACTGCAAACTGTTAAACCAGAACTTTAAATCTAAGAAGATTAAAAATAAAAAATGAAAGATCTACAAGAGAAAATTAAAGTTAAATTACAAGAAAGAGATTAGGCTTATTTGTAAAAGAATGCTTAATAACTTAATAATCTATAACTTAAGTTATCCAATTTACAAGCATCTTAATTATTTAAGAATTTTCTTGTTTAAAATGGATACAGATAACCTGCATTCTTAAAAGATATGCCATGATTATATAAATAAGATCAAAAGTTTTGTTCGATTTTATTATATTTTTATGTTTTTTATCTTAATAATTGCAATATTAATCGATAAATCTTTTCAACAGAATATAAGAATAAAATGATCTATAAAATAGGAATGTAACCTTTTAATAACCTTTTTAAATTTTGAATTTCTCTATTCCTTTATTTTACTAATTAGCTATTGAATGTCAATAGCACATTTGCAATCTAGGAAGATTTTCAATAAAAAATATTAATTACAAATTAATTATTAATAAAACTCTTTAAAAAGAAATGTAAATATCCTATAAATAATCTTTATTTCATAGTCTTTGGAAATTAAATCAATAAGCATAATCTCTTTACTTAACAATATAAGGTCTTTTAGGAACTCAATCCTATAAATTTCTAGTAAAGAGATAGGAAAAGAATATTATATAGATTTTAAGGAATGAGGTATCTCTAAAATCAATTCTTAAAACTAATGAAATGTGATTTATAATAGACAAATATGTCAAAAAAAAGAACTATTGAATTCAAGTATAAATTAGGGGGAAAATAGCTTTATTTCATAATGATTAGATATATTCTTCAAATTAAGAGAGGCTCTAAAATTATTGCAATTATTTGATTCTTTAAATATTAATGCAAAATGTAAACTGGTTTCCAGGATTGATTATGTTCAAAAAGAGATGCCGATTTAATAAAGTTACAATATATAGTATTCGATCTGTTTATTTATTAATTTTATACTTTTGAATTCTTCTATTAAAGCAATAGAATTATTTTAAAATTTAATTCTAGGGTTTGAAAGGATTACTGGACCATAGGCGAGAGTATATAAAATGTAAAAAATTCATTTGAGAAAGAAAGTAATTAAAAAATAGATATATGGCATTGATATGTTAACATAGGGGAGAGAATGAAGTAATAAAAAATAAAATCCTTAGATTAATATATTTAGATTTGTTAATTGATAAATAATATCTTTATAATGTTATAATGTTTCATTATACATATCACACAGGTGTGTATAGAAACTTATTATTAATTCTCTCGTCTCTTTTAATGTAATTTGAATTGATTAATTCATCAATTTAAGCTAAGATATCCTAAGAAAAAAAATCATAATATCCAAGCAATCCTTTTTGCACTCCAGCACATATTTAGTGATAATACATTTCTTTGTTTGTCTTCATCAATCTTACAATGCTGGATTAAATTTTAAGATCTCTTTCTTTTTTCAACATAATTTAGTCCTCAGTATTTTCTCCAACCTTCTTTGGTACTAAAGTAATTGGCCTGTTGGGAACAAGCTATACTTTTAATTTAGTTTAATCAGTTTAAAGGTAAAACTTTCCTTCATTCTCAACAATAATTCTTAAATCCAAAAGGTTTTCCATTTATTAAGTCAATTCTTCATCATAGTTAATACCTGTGTCATTTAATAATTCTGATTTGGTTCTACTTCCAAATTACTTCAAGTAAAGAATGACGAAAAGTTGTAAATTAGAGACGATGATCTTTCCTACTTATTAGACAGATGGTCCAAACCTAGTTAGAAGGTGAATATAATAATTACTTATAATTAATCAATGTTTGTCCTATTCTGAAATTCCAAACTAATTACTTTTTTTCTGTTTGTTGTTTTGTTTAATAAAACAGTTCCATTTAGGATATAGCGTCTTTGATCATTTTTGGAGGAATAAAGTTGTCTTTTTTATTTTAAGTATTAAATTCCTTTAATGAATTAGTTCTGGTAAATATAGTAAATTGAGCTTAGGCATTTTGCAATAGTTTTTTATTAGACAATAGAGTTTATATTTCATTATCTAGATTCCTATAGTATTTATAATCTTTCCAAACTGTTAATAAATCAGATGGTAAATGTTCAGGATGTTCTCTTCTTAATGATTTCAGAAATTCTTCTTCATATCCAAAATTCTTAATTTCCCCTCTAAAAATTCTATTTTTGAGGTTGTCAGTTATCTTTTAAAACAATTTGCCTTTGCTATTAATAAATTAGATGAAGGCAAGAATGTTCTTGTTGAACTTTTCAAATTTTTATCTATCCTCTTCATTATTAGTTTCCTTTAATTTGTCTTTCAAAGACACGTGAATATAAATAGATAATTTATCCATAAATCTATCGGCTTAATTTAGTTTTTCCTTAAATGCCAATTCCATATTATTTCTAAATCTATGGGATCCTTCAAAACAATTTTACACTAATCTTAAGCAATATTCATAAGTCTTTTAGAGATTATCAATTTATGCAATATGTATCTGTAAACTTCTATTAGCTTATTGTTATTGTGCCTATTTTTATTGAAGTTATTATTGTTAACCAGGTTAACCAGGTTCTTCAGATTCTGTTAACATTTAAGTGACTTGATTTTGGACGAATTTCTAAAACTCCTTTAATTAGTTTTCAATGTAATTTGGTGTGTTCTTGTATAATTAATACAATTTTAGGATTGGTGATAGATCCGAACTGTTTCTCAATTAAAGAAATTGTTGATACAAACCATCCTGAGGGTTTTAGATGATTTAATCCACATTTTATTCAAGCATCTCGCAAATAAATACTTTCATGATATCATTTGATCTGGAGAATTTTTGGTAAAGCTGCTCTCTTAATGATTCTTCTATCAATATTTAATTTGCCGCTTGCTTCACATATTCTGTACTAGATCCTCTGGCGATCCATGTTTGGGATAATTCTGAATAGAATTTTTTGGTTGCCTCTTAAATTACATCAAATAGAAAATTATCACAAACGTTTTGAGGAGAAGGCAAATTAACCATTTTTGGAGTTTTTTGTCTCACTTAAATTATAACTTGCTAATCAATACTAGTGATTTCCAATCTCTAATTTTAAGCTAGAGTATTTAGATCAAAAATCTATAATTTTAATAAAAATATTACTTCAAGGAATGTTAGTAGTTATTATTTCTGATTTTGATTATTACTAAGTCTTATCTAATTCAGTCTATTAATAAATGATTCTTTATATCTCTATTTAAGTGTGTCGTTGGAAAGCACAAGTTTATCAAAGTTTAAAAGACCTAATTCCACTATATATAATTAAGGAGACCCTCTCTCGGCATCATAATTAAAGAAAAGAATTGATAAATATCTTAATAAGCTTTTAAAAAGAGCCTATTCAAAAATAAATGTTGAGATAAAGTCTTAGGAGTTTAATAATTCTGGTATCAATTAGGTGTTCAAGTATTTTAATAGCCAATCTTCAAAAATCTACTTTAATCCCATTACTTGATCATTCTTAAATTGATATGTCCAACTTAAAATATAATTCACAAAAGTATTACTTATATAAAGGCAAGTATCTAGCTTTTGACATTTAGACATTCTTATCTGATCTCATTAGTTAGCAAACTTCATTGGTGTAGCTCTCAAATAGCTCCTTGTCTTTTGTATTACTCATATTTATTTAATTAAAATCCCTTTTTAAACTATTGATCATTTTAATAGATATTTTTTTTGATAAACTCCGACTGACAATGATTATTTGTAGGAAAACATATAGACATTAAATATTACTCATCAAAGTAGAAAAATGAAAAAGGTTAAGGCAGTAGATATTGTGAATTTATCAAAATATCTTCAATTAAATTATTAGTCGTAATATTAATAGAAATATAATTATTTTAGAATTTATTCTCCATCTTCCTTTAGAGAACAATATATTATTAATAGTAGAAATAATCATCATAAAACTTATCTGATTTAAAACCACAATAAATCTAGTATGATTTATAAAATTATAATTAAATAATATTAAAGAACAAAATGTCTATTGAATAAAAAATAAAATTAGATTATAAGATTAATCCACTTATAAATTTTCCATTTTTATAATAGTATCATAGATAAGTTTCTTTTAATGAGAAGATGGATGAAGCACAAAATAGAATGCACTATTTAACATTCTTTTCACTAATATCTATTAAAATTTATTTAATAATATGATGTTTTTATTAGTAAATAAAATTAATTTAGGATTATAAATATTAATAAGCTATATTAATATCGTTGTCGGCCATACTAAGCCTAAAGCACCGGATCCCATTCGAACTCCGAAGTTAAGCGGCTTAAGGCGAGGTTAGTACTAAGGTGGGGGACCGCTTGGGAAGTCCTCGTGTTGACAACCCTTTTTTTATTAATAAAGTTGGATTAATATTAAAGGCTTTAATTAGAGTTTAATAATTAATCTTTTGAAATTAGCATAATAATTTTCGAAAAATATTGATTACTATATGATCATAAATGCGTGTTTTTAACAAATCTATTTCCTTCACTTTTGGTTTTTACAGTTTTACTATTAGGTTTTTGATATTTGGCATTATAATCGATTGTTCCTCTCTTTTGTTCATCATAATTCTACAAACAATAATAAGGTCAACTTACTTAGACTTGTTATTATTTTGCTTACTATTAAAGCTTTTAAAAATTAGGATCTGCCTCTAATGGATTAACAGGAGTACCATCTAGATTTTTTAATTAAGGAAGTTCCTAAATGAATTTTGCTCGATAACTATTGATGACGATAATTTAATACTTTATATTCTCTTCTTCCCCTTAGGTAAACATGGGACAGATGGGATTCTTTATTAAACTGAGATGACTTAGCCTAGGAAACTTCTCTTTGCAATGTTGTATAAACCTGAGATAAAGAAGTTGATTACATGTCAAAATTATTGAAAGTATTTTTGTTTGCGCTAAGTGTTATTAAATTTGGTAAGACTGGAAAGTCATCTAATCTGAAGAAATAATTATTATCTATGATCAAGGTTTCCAAATTTGGAAACATAGCTAATTCCTTTCCAGATTTTAATAGATTACTCTAAAATAATAAAATTTGGTTACAGAAACATCTAAGTGTTTGATAGTTGGTTGAGACTCTTGGGTTTGTTCAGACAAATCCTTTAACTTCATTCCAGCCAAGATCAGCATTTTTGGTTATAATAATTAAATAAAATAAATAAATAAAGTTATTTCAGTCTTTTTAAGGCAGAAAATTAGTGTTTGGAATTTATTGACTATTGAATTAACTTGTGGATGGACTTAGTTTTGCTCTCTTACTCTATTTAACGGAGTCGTTATCTGAGAATTTCTCTTCTTATCCCCAATTATTCAATTTCTCATCTGAAATTAATATCACAGGTTCATTAGACAGTTTTTGATGTGTGAATTGAAAGGGTTCTTGATGAAAACAGAACTTTCTAATTGATAAATAGATCATTGCCAAGAGGGAAAAACAAAGATAAAAGTTTTCCATTATCATGGCAGGCATAAAGGGTTTAAAGTTTTAAGTCGCAGTGACTAAAACTTATAGAAGATGTACAAGGAGTAATAATAGATAATAGATCACTTTGAGAAATTTTCTATTAATTTTGGAATGATTTACTTCAATTTCTTCCAGGTTTTCTTTTTAAGTGAAATCTTCAGACAGGAATGCATAATAATTATGATTGCCAAAACTGCTATCATTCCCCAATCAAAAAAGTTCAATATTTGAAGACTCTCTTATAGGGTTATCAATTTACTCCGTGGTTAACATGAGACAAAATCAAAAACGTATAATGGCATTGATAACACAACAAAGACTGAGCTAAAGACAACTGAATTGAATAAGGGAATTTTGGATTTATTAGGTAAGGTATTTGTAAATTCTTGATAGTTTAAACTTAACAATCCAATCTTCCCCAAGATATAGAATAATTAATTCGCATAAATAAATACATTCTCCATTCCTTTTAGTTTACACACACTTTCAGAATACCTGATTATCTCAATAGTTTAAAGGGTGATATTACTTAATATTATGATTGTAAAATAACTAAACAATAATTTCCAACTACAATCTATTCTCTTATCTCCGTAATAATATTTGAAGTTGATATTTTATTGGTATTTAATCTCTGGAATAGGCAAGGATGTTTAGGTTTATTGTCGAGATAATTGCTTTTTCTTCTTTTTCTTCTTCAATTTCTTCTTTTGTTATTTTTGCTTATCTACCTAGATTTGCTCTGCTTGTTTATTTTTTTCTTCCAGGATTTGAAATAAAATCTATTTAGTTAATTTGATATCTTACATCTTTATTGAGTATTTTAGGTTGATGATGTTCAACATCAATTTGAGGAGAATAACTATTATTGATAGATTGGTCTGACAATTCATTAATTGTAGAGAGCTATCTTTTCAAAGTGATTGGTATTCTAGTTGATAATGATCTTGAGTAAGTACTTTTTGATTCTTTCCAATCTCTCCATTTCCTTGAGCTTCAATTATTGCTTGTCTAATTATTCTTCATAGATCTCTTACAATGCGGATTATTCCTATTATTTCTCAACCTCTACAACTATGAACTCATTTGGACTCTACTTAATCATTTGCTTACCTTATTTTCCCTGTCCTCTACTTAATTTTCATTCAAGCTCATATTAGCAATAGGGTCTTTTGAATTTATTTCAGTAGTAATCATAATATTTTATTTAATTTATGAAGTACTCAATACAGAGCAAATACATACTGTACAAAGATCAATTGATAAGTGGATATGTGTGCATTGAGGGTGAGTACATTAAACATATATTACATGAACCTAATGAATTATTAGATCAATACCCTATTAAATACGTGTATGACAATTAAGTGCTCATGCCAGCAGCCATTGATACTAATGTATCATTAAGCATGTGGAATCATATTGAAGAATTTACTAAGTATGAACTTTATACTAATAGATTGGCAATTGTTGGAGGCACATCCTTAATAGTTAACAAACCTTATTAACTGAATCTTGAGATGGATGCTCAAGAATAATTCCAATCCCAAGTCCTATAATTGCAATCCAAATCACAAACTGATTTTATTTAAATGGCTAAAATTCGATAAAAAGAGGATGTACAAAGTCAAGTCCTATATTTGTATAGATTGATAAACTATTGAAGTTAGGAGCATTCTGCTTCGACTGTCATTTGCTGCCTTCCTATTCGGGAACATATTTTAAAGATCTCCAGTAATTTCAATAAGTTTTATAACAATTGCCTTCCTCAGCCTGTCTATTTATACATACTCAAAACACTGTTGACAAAGATTTGGGTATAACATCGCCTTTCAGAAATAAACCATTTGCCGAGCGATTGAATATATCTTAATTAGATTTGGTTGATGCGGATGGAGTCTCAGGATCATGCATTAGCGACGATGAAAATATCCAAAATGATGATCCCAAATATTTGTAACAAATCGATTATCTGAATGAAAGCAATTCTCCTATTAAAGATATAGGTATCTATTCCAATCAATATAGTTAAAAAATATAAGAATTCAGATGAGAAGAGAATTTCAGAATTTGATGATTAATACGATGCTCCACAATCACCCAAACTATAATCCAATATTTATAAATTAAAATCGAAATAGATTACTGAGCAATCATAAATCTCTTTGATTAGTAGAGCTGAACTTATAACATATAAGGATGCTCCAAAGATGGAATAAAATTATAAATTCCCCTATGATGATGCCGATAGTATACAATCGCAATAATAACAATAATAATAACAATAACAATAACCCTTATAATATCCTTCATATAAGATAGAAACTAAGCCTTCCACTCAAGATCAAGAATCACCTTTAGGATCAAAGAAGGATTCAAACTAATAGGATTCCAACCAAAGACACAGTCCTCAAATGTCTATACAATCCTCAGACATATCATCACCAGAAAGTCTCTCTCTAAAATCTGAGTGCAGACTAAGATCAAGAGCTTAAACTACTTAGGGACTCTTACAAAGAAGACAATCCAAAACTGGATTTGCGTTGGTCTTACATCAAGTGGAAGATAAGTCAAATGTAAAGCATGGATCTGGGGATATGTTATTGCTCAATTTCTCAGAATCAAGGCCTCGATAAAATTAAAATAACAATAATAGATTCAACAGAGATTATTTATGTTTTTTAGCCTTTCGACCTGCAACATGGGAAAAATTTGCTATTCAAAAAGTGAAAAAGATGATCAAACAATAATTCAAATGCAACATAATTCTACATGGGTTTTCTTCTTCCTTTTCTTTGGTTGAGATAAAAGAGCTTATCAATAACTAAGTTTTTAGTGATATAGGATATCCCTATCTCCTATTAGATAGTGATGACATAGGTGATGGAGTAACTAAATACAAATCTGATCCTCCAATTCGATAAAAATACAATAAACAATTGTTATAAAAAGGGATTTCATAAAATAATTGGATTAGTAGTATATCAAGTTCACACCTCTATGTTAATGGGTTGTACAAATTCGAAGAATAAGGAGACTTTCGAAAAGCTGTAAGTGGATTATGCAGTGTGGGATGCACTTTCTAAGCTTTGTGGACTTTGTTATTTTGTAAAAAGGATCAAGATCCTAATGTCATCAAATAGGCTTTCTACAATAAGGACAATAATAATCAAAAATACAAAAGGATGGTGTCGAAACTTAATTAACTCCAATAACTTGTATCTTCAGGACCAGCTCAATATTTGAATCTCAAAGACAGGGGAAGTATTGAAGTAGGAAAGGTAGCAGATTTAGTCGTATTTGATCCATTGAAAGCATGGAAACTGAATTTCGAAAAAATCAATCACATTTTTAATTTTTCATTTGAGAAACACATCTTTAAGAATAGATTATTTTTAGGTTCAGTTGACTCAGTGTTTATTAGAGGTATTATAAACAATTAATAATTTTAGGGGAATTAATTTTACATTAAGAAAATCAAGTAATTTCAATTTAAAATAGATAAGGAATGTAAATATTGAAATGATTTTATATTAAATCACTAATTATATACTACTCTCATTATTTAATTAAAACTTTAATTTCTTGATTTGTCAATTCAATAGTTTGTTATTATTTCTTTTTTATCTCTTGCATCTTGGTTAATGAATAAATGAATGATCCAACAAACGACAACGAAATTCCAAAAGTCAAAAATGTATCTGGCTATATGTCTGCAAATACTAAGATACTCAAAACAGTTGAAAAGATGTCCTAAAACATTTTACATAAATAATTACTTTTATATTATGAGTTAATGCAATTGCAAATGGTGAATTTTTCATTGTGCAATTATACGTAGCTAAATTTAAAAAGAAACCAAATAATGCGACTAAAGAGAAACTTAGCATAAATTCTGTTCGATAGAGGGATTCAAATTCAAAAAATGATTAAATATCTTTAGTAACTATGCTTATTATCAATAAGACTGGCCATAAATTGATGCTATTATTATAAACTAAGTCAAAGGGACTGAATTATTACGATTAGTTTAGGTTTTAGGCCATATGCAGACTCAAAGCAGAGAGCATATTATTAATTATCAATAATACATATCCTTAAATATCATCATTGAAGTGATCCAAACCTAGATGGATTATTTTATATCAATTACCTGCTATAATTGCTCCTGAAGTAATAAAAAGTACTGAAATAATAAATTTGAAGCTTATTTATTAGTTCTATTTTCCCATCAGAATTTGAACAACAAAGACAAAAAATATCAAGGTTCTTCTCAATGCTAGAAAGCTAATCTATTGAATTAAGTGATTACAGTGGTATGCTAATCTTGGATAAGGCTGTCATTCCGCAGTAGGCACCAGTTCCATAGGTGATGGAAAATGGAATAGTTAATTTATTTTATTTCATTCTTTCTTTGAATTGTGTGACAATCAATTATGAGATGGACATCTAAGAGTCTTTCTTTTCCTTCTTTTCCTTATTGTATTTGATTATTTTATATAAAGTGCAAATGACAATATTAATTGTTGTCTCATAGAGAAGTAACTATCTATAATATACTTAATGCTTACAATTGTAGTATTGTGGAAGGCAAAGATTTTGAAAAGAAACTTAGCTGAAAATGAAAATGCCATCGAACAGAAAGCATAGATCAAACAAACAAAAACGCTATCAAGAATTTTGTTTTACATTAATTTTATTAATAATTCCAAATGAGTTCCTATCCCCTTCCCATTAATTCATGCGATTACAATTGATTTGAGACTCTTAGATCCCTTTGCTTAAGTGGCTAATACAAGTTTTATCATGTAAAGTAATAAAAATGGAATTTCAATTTCATTTAATTCTTCAATTCTGTTTTTTATCAAGATTCTACTTCAAGGACATTTTAATTACAATTTCCGAGATTATTTTAATTTTAATTATACATTAAATCAATGGGTTCTTGTAATAGCTGCACTTCCTCCAATTATGTGCAGTCAAACATGGATTCAGAGGAGGATAGTAAAACGGTTTAAAGGGTGAAATCCATACCAAATAAAGGCACAGGGACTTATGAAAAGAGTAGAACTGATTTGGAAGATAATTTAATTGCTGATGAGAACAGTCTTGAAAACAGTTAGCAAATACCTACATTTATTTAATAGAGAAAGATAACAGAAATAGTTGTGTAAACAAGAATGAATAGGTTTATGAAGGATATTGAAGAGGAAGTAAGATATCGAATAAAATAGATGTAGTTTATACATGATTACCTAGATAACTAGAAGAAAAAGAGTAGTTGGAAAAGCTTAATTAATCACAATAACAACTTATGTCATTTTAGGATTGCAAACTAGATTCAGCAGATTTCAATAGTGCACACTTTAATCAATCTATCTCCTTCTAAAATTCTTAGGATTTCTAAAATATGCAAAATATACCTTCTAAAACATATTTGCCAAGACAATATTCACAATTCGCGCCCAAAAAAGATAATGACACTGTGACCTATAATTCTTAAGTGAGTTAGACAGTAAATTCCTTCAAATAGAGGACTCCCACAAGAGACAAAAATAAAACCATCCAAACTTTGAAAGATGAAGAAAAAAGCCTATTAGCGAGTTTTGGAAGTCAATAAAACAATCCTCGTAATTCAGATTCGCAAGATGTTTAATTCAGTGATCAATTTCGAGATTAGGTTTCGAGTAATGCAAGCAAAGATCATAGTGTGAGAAGCATTTTAAAAACCAGTTAACATGTTTAAGGTTTAAAGAGAAATTACTCAATCAAATCTACTTATACAAATGTTAAACATAAAAAAGTCTCATTCTCAGTAGATACAAATTACTTTACTACCAGAACTACAAAAAGAAATTAAACCAATTTATTAAACAAAGCATGATCAAATTACACATTTGATTTCATCTTATATTTAACATTTTGTATTAGAATTGTTACATTATCTCTCCTATATTACATACACATTTTAGAACTCTATCATTTATTTATTTTTAAGATGAATAGTTTTATTAAATTTAGCTATGTGTTGAATATTAATAAAACATTGAAATATAAATTATATATATAGTTGAATGTTGTATGATCCAACCACTTATAAAGGAATAAAAGGTGGCACCTAATTCAATGAAACTGAATTCTTTTAAGCCATAGCCAATAAAGCCCCTAAAAGCAGGTCTATTCAATCCAATTTAAGGGTTAAAAATCAAACAAAGGTTCTTTTTAGCAACTAAAAATAATCTACTTAAAGTGCAGAAAAAAAGTACAGAGTACCAAAAATAAAATCTCCTTTAAAATTCAAAGCCTATTAATAAAGTGAATCTTCTTGCTCTTTAAATTGTGAGGAATATATTTCGAAAATAAAAGAATGGAATTAAAATATCAGGAATAAGATAGCAAAAACACAATAGTCTTCTCCACCTAAGAAAGGCATACTCGACTAATGCATTGACTCATATATGAAGAAATAGAAATTTAAACAAATTATGACATGAATATGATATTTATCATTGATTTTCATATTTATCTCTACATTAATTTTATTATATGTCTAAAATTTCTTTGGTATTTGTTGTACGATTTTACATTAATTGCTAATATTAGTTTTATGGAATTGTGAAATTTAGTTGCCATTGTTAATTATTTATTGGTTTGGCTTCATCTTCAGTTCTTTTCATAAATTTTAGGCTTTTAATGTTATCTGATAAATTATTCATTAAATTTAATAATGATGTCTCATCGTTCGTAAGGTCCTCTTAGAGGGCAACATTACAGGCAAGCCAACTTAACCTAAATGGGAATCAAGATCATTGATTAGAAAAGCGAGTCTATATATGTTGATTCCGAAGTTTCTATTAAGAAACGAAAACAGAAGAACCCGCTCGAGATTAATAGGGGCTTATATAAATCTTAAACCTATAAGGAAATTTATAAGTAGGATTCCTTAAAAGAAAATGATAAATTTGATTCTCCTTTGGATTAATCGGTGAATTAGCCTCTCTATGTAACTAATAAATTTTCTAACTCTTTACGCAAATACAATGTGTAAGGTCTTACCAAAATCTTTATTCAGAAATTACTCTACAATTTAAGGATTTCTTAAAAATAATAGAACCTAACAAAGAAATTTCAAAAATTCTTAGAAGATAAGGCAAGTGACACCATAAATGAAGAATCAGAAGACAAAGAACCTTTGAATTGTAATTTGTTTTTAAAAGATTCTTACGAGAGAACTCTTTTGGACCTATGTTTAATTTTGATTTTAATCTCGTTCACCATATTGGTTCCTATCTTCAATGAAAGATTTGAACTACTCATAATATTTGGTAAGACTATATCCCTATCATAGTGTTTTTATACTCAATTTTTAAAGTAATAGATTACAAAACATGCAGCTTTATTGATTTGCCAATAATTAGTATCAACATTTTGGCATTTTACTAAACCCATTTTGTATTTGCAAATATCATAAACGTGATCAAGGTTTATCAATTATTGAAATCAATCAATATCTTGACTGAAAAGAAATTGATTCGCTTCCTCTTTTCTATACTCATTATAATAATACATGTAAATAATAGTGCACAATTTTGGAAATACATACTAGATGAAGATCTAGAATACAAATATTTGTTATGTGATCAAATAACCTTATTATTTAATTTTGATTTCTAAATATACGATTAAAATTATAAAATTTATAATTCTGTGAATAGAATTTTAAGTTTTTTAGTTTTATTGTACTTTTCACAACAATTCATTAATTTCATTAAGCTTCCATGTGATTTAAAAAAGAAAGAGGAACTATTTGAATAGTTATTAAGAAAAAATACAATGAGCAAACAACCTTTCAGAATATAACATTAAGTTAGGTAATTATTGTGGTCAAAAGTTCAAAATTACAAACAAGTAGATTCTCATCCAAGTCAACTTGAATTGAATTTTCCAAATGAATTAAGAAGGTCACTGAATTTGCATAGTTATCTGGATATTATTTAAAAATCTACATTCATAAAATAACAATTCAGTACCTAATTCTAATCAAGTTTATCCGAATTTGTTAAAGAATAGACAGTGGAATCAGGTGAGATCATCTAATAAGAGAATTCAAGTGTGAGTAAATTGATATTCCTATTAGAAGGAGAGTTATCAATTAAAATCAACAATAGAAGAGTTCAAATCTTAAAAAAATTTAGTATTGTAAATCAATATGAGTTTTTTGCTTGCTAATTATCACCATGTAATATAGTGGCAAAATCCAGATGCAAAATTATTGTAATTGACTATCAATAGTTTTATGATTTAGTGTGTATGCATAATCAAGATTTTCAGATTTACAGAATGTGGTATGACAGAATGATACACTACAATCAAAGGTGTGTGTATAAAGTACATATTACTACTTATTTTATAGGTGTGCTATATTTGCATGGACCAACACGAAACTTGTATGTGTCCAGCAGTTTTTTATTAGCCAAACTACAATAAAATTGTTTCCAATAGTACATATACTATCCCCAATTTGAGATTAAAATACCATAGATTTGAGAAAAAGAGAGTTTCCTCTTTGACATAATAAAATCTAATTAGTATCACAGCTGTAAACTGGGCCCAATAATTTAATATAATTTCGAAGAATACGGATATGGTAGATTAATTTTTGGGGAAGCAGGACAGAGAAGAAGAATATCAATTATTTGCTGATGAGGATCACACATCAAAATATTTAACTCAAACTTACACTCATTAGTAGAGTATTAAATCCCCAAAAACAAATAAAACTGGGATTACTGGAAGAGAACGAGATCGAGTTCATACAGATTCCAATATCAATAGAACATTAACTATAAGAACTCTAAAAGCCTCCGAAAATGGAACCTCAAGACTAAAACCAAATAATAATGTAAATAGCAATAATGACTCAATTGTAGTAAGTAATTCTCCCTCTCCCTTATAATAACCTAATAAAACTCCCTTGATGCTATTTACAAAAGAATAAATGAAAAGACAATCCAATATCAGTAGTAGCTTTACAATTGATAGAGGTTAAGACAAGAAATCTTCATTGTAATCTTAATAATAGCCTGTTCATTCAACAAGCATTTTATAAAGTAAAGAGGTTGTTCAATAATTGTAAAGCAATTTAGGTAGTCCAAATATGCTAAATACCTAAACTAAACTAAACGGTAATGATTTTAGTATAAATTGGCATCGCTCCGATACATAACCTATAGTAAACTTAATATTTATATAGTAGTTTTCGGATTTGATTGGTTCTGTTGGTTAGTTAATATTAATTCGAGACTTTGAAAATATGTAATACTATGAATGGTATTTTCCAAAGCACAACTACATTATAGTAATTGAGAGATTTAGAAAGTATTTAAGTAAAAAATTCAATAGCAGATGATTTATTTATTTATCTAAATAAAATGTACAATTACTTTTTATAAATTTTAATATTGAGTTCTAAAATCACTGTTGTCACACAAATTGTTCTAAATAAATAATATAATTATCGATTTCATTTGATTTGAACTATGAATTATGTTCATGACTATCTCAGTTATCAAAATATTTTGAATATTATTATAAAATTATGGAGGATATTTAATTGATCATAAGAAGAATAAAGCGTTCAGGGGAGCCTCGTCTGAATCTTTCAGGAAAGTCCTTGATCAGTATACCACCTGAAATCTATTAACTGAAGTTAACTCATTTGGATCTAAGTTTTAATAAGATCACATCAATTGAATCGAAAATAGCAGGATTAACGAATTTGGAAGAGATTGATTTAAGCAACAATTGTATTGAGGAAGTGCCAGAAGAATTATTGAGCATGTCTAGTTTATAAAGTGTGAATCTAAGCAATAATCCTTTATTACCGAAATTCTAAGCATTGTAAGGTCATTTCCATCAGCCTTAATTAAATTAAATTCTACAGAAGGTGTTTCAAATAAGTCCAGGATCAAATCAATAGCCAAAGCAAGAGAAATAGCCAATAATTGAAAGACCGAAAACGCAAAATCGAGCTGTGAGATAAATATCCGAATTACAACATACTAATCATGTACTAGAGATAGATTCAAATGAATTTGAAGTTCACGAAATCATTTCATAGGGAGGCTTTTCGATTGTGCATAGAGGGTATTTGAGAGGTACAGAAGTAAGTCCTTAATGTGAATTTTAGATTGCAATTAAGAAAATATTTAACCCTAACATTACATAATAATTATTGGATGAAATCAATAATGAAATAGAAATGTTATCATTACTAAGACATCCCAATATTGTATTGTTAATGGCCTGTTGTACAAAACCACCAAATTTAGTTATTGCCATAGAGTATGTTTAAGGTGGAAGTTTATATCATCTATTGCATAAAACTAAGTATATAGATTTGAAATAGATAGTCATCAAATAAATGAGCAATTCAAATATTCTATTGCAATTCAAGTAGCAAGAGTGCTTCAATACATGCATTAAGCAGGAGTAGTGCATAGAGATATAAAATCTCATAATGTACTTCTGCAGGGTCAGACAGTAAAATTATGTGATTTTGGTTTGACCAAGAGAAGTGTAATAATTTTATATAGATATGGTAGTCTGAGTTGAATTAAGGATATTAGTAATTTAGTGGTACTCCTACATACATGGCACCTGAACTTTTTGCTAAAAGGGTTTAGTTAATAAATATGCTTTATAGGCTTACGATAAGAGTGTTGATCTATTTGCTTACGGTACTTTGTTGTGGGAGATCTTTGCAAGAGAGATTCCTTGGGATTGTTTGGAGATGCAAGAGATTGTTCAGAAGGCAATGAAGAATGAATAACTGCCAGCTAGAAATGTTCCAAAGAATATTCTGCAATTGGTGAATGATTTGAGAAGCAAGGATGAGACAAAGAGGCCATCGATGGATATAGTAGTTAAATAGTTAATGAATAGATGATTTATATAAAAATAAGATAAAATGATAAGGTTTACTAAAATGTTTAAAGGATTGAACCATAGATAACAATATTGGCATATCGTTTCTAAGAGAAGTATCTGAATGACAACTATATATATAGATGTCTAAATAACATTCAAGGATGATTTATTGGTGTTGACATTTCCATTTATAATGGGGTCAAAGATGTTTTTTGCTCATTAGCAATATTCATTTTTGACTTTGTAGGAGCAATTGCAATTGGAAGAATCAACAAAAGTGGAGTTCAATTTGGATGGGACAGACTTAAGTTTGAATAGCAACCTTTTCAATTATATTTTGAATGACAAAAAAAACAAGGCAATTAAACTGCAGATTTAGGATGAAGAATTCACAGTAACACCAGCCTATCAATTAAGTGAAGCTAAGATGCTAAATTAATCAAATTAATTGAAACATTCTCCATAAAAGAGATATATTCAGATGGTCAACATGGGAATGGATCCAAGTCATGCAAATACATTGTCATGGTTCTTGAATTCATGCAATATCTAATAGAATCTCACTGAGAAGGAAATAGTCTAAGTGATGGAATAAGGATTATCAATATTGAAATAACCAACTAAAGATAAGTTATATGAGTTGCAACATTTGATCAATATATTGGAGGCTGAAATTTGCAAGTAAAGAGAACAATTAGATGTGATGATTGGATAGGCTGAACAGACTGGTTATAGATGGCTAACACTCTTATTTGCCTTATCTTTATTATAAATCGGAGCATTTTACTACGGAATATACATGGTTGATGAATGGGGTTGGAATGTCTGTGAACCTTTCACTTACACTTTATAATGTGTAACAGTGTTGTTAGGAATGATCTTCTATGTGAGATACAGGAGACAAAGAGAAATCGAATCAATTAGATGGGCATTTATGTTCAGGTGTATTATATTGATATGATAGGAAGTAAATAAAGGAGAGAAATTGGAAAGATAGATGGAACCATTTGAATACATTGATTTCTTTGAAGGAAGAACAAAAAAGAGGCTTAGAATTAAGAAAAACGATTCTGTACAATAGAATGAACTATCACTATTATGTGTAATAATAGAAAAAATGATTTATATCAATATACATAAATAGCAACATTATCAATCCCCCATGATGCTTAACATGCGTCTTTCTTCCCCAAGGTCGTAGAGAACTCCAAATTCACAAATGAATTTATGTGATATAAAGTGAGTCTAATTGCTTACCCGATTTAATCTGGAGCCTCACCTCCACAACTGTTGATTCCTTATTTATAACATAACCAAGGCATAACTTTGTCACACCAATTATACGTATCCTACCATACAATCAGTTTATCCACCTTTAACTATCCTATTTCTCCTTGCCATTAATCAATGAAGTGGAAATTAAATGAAATTGTAATGTACTCATGAGTTGGTAAACCTACAAATGTTTTAGAGACTGTGTTATTTGAAAAGTAACATGGTCCTCCCAAGAAATAGTTCTGGATTGTCTAACATTAAGAAACCCTTGTATCACTCCAACCATCTAATGGAATCTCGAAATCATCTAAAACGAATAACATTGGCTATTGAAGATCTCGGAAATAAAATTTGTTCTCTGGATCTATGATCTTGACTCCATCTGAAGTTGAAAATCCCGTCAAGATCTCGAACTCGTGTTCGTTGATCTTATATGTAAATAATGGTTCCCCGTTTACACTGATTATACATTAACTTAATTATATTTTGTTATTTTCTTACTCATCTTCTGTTCCCAATCTATAAACTAATCGTTTTGTGTTTCCTGATTTCGGCTGTATTATTTGGATGGATGCCAGTTTGCTATCCTCTGATATGATTGACAAATAAGTCGCTGAGATTATTTGTAATAAAAATATTAACATTATTATAAAATATAGTAATCAAATTCTATGGATTCAAAGTATAAATCAGAAAACAAATTTGATTAATCAAAGTGATTATAATCAACTATTATATAGTGCAGTTGAAATCAAACCACCAGATACCTTAGTCTTCGAGGTTTTGCCCAATCAAAAGAAGATATATGCCAGAGTAGAAATATTCAACAAAGCACCCCAAGATGTGATGTTTCGTATCAAAACTACAGCTCCAGATTTCTATGTGATTTCCTATGACAAAGAGCGACCCATCACTACCTTCTCATCTTATGCCATTGATATTCTCTTGATTTGTGACCAATCAAGAATTTAGCATCGTCTCAAAGATAAGTTTCTAATTTAAGTTGTTGAAAAATAGAAATATGATGCGGCTGCCAATGATGACTCAAGGTGGTCAATTCTACTCAAAGAACAAAAATTAACTGTTAGCCTCATTCGGAAAGATCTATATTCATCATAGTAATCATAAAAAACACAATTACCACCCAGTTGTATCAAGCAGTAATCCGTTGCTTAAATTGTTTAATCTCGTTTTTTATAGGGTTCGAATGCACTTCTCAATTAAGGATTCTCTAATCCTTATAATTAAGAGAGTAGCGTAATACAAACTGACGAAGATAGGAACATGAAAATTAAATTAGATTCACTGAAATAAAAATATCAAGAATAAGCCAAATTGATTGTAATGGTATTTTTTTATACTATAGGAACAATATAAATTTGATATTAATGAATTACAGAATGAAATAGACAGAAACTCCTTTATCTATGATCTAGAGAAGAAAAAGGAATAGAATGATTAGCCAGAAGAAAATATATCAACAGCCTTGAGAGATAAAACTGGAATACCATTATGGGAACTCTTTATTGCAGCTACGATTGCCTTAATTTTAGGTGCTCTACTCAATAGAAAATGAAATAATGTAATCATCTTAAGTATCTGTTCTTTTTAGGCAAATATTATTAAACGTTTTCTTTGTGTTTCTCTATCATCAATTAAAGTAGTTCAAATTCTTTTTATTTGTTTTATGCCTCATTTAACTACTTGGTCATTCTAGGTTTCACTTCCTTAATATTAAGTATCCTGTGAATGGAAGAAGACTTTATAAACTCTTGATGATGATCAGTCTTCAGATGAGTTTTTCTGTGTTTCATATTATTTGTCTGACAATTTTATTGTCTGTCAGTGGAAGCATTAACTTGATTCATCTCCTATAGTGGTTGTAATATTTATTTATTAGAAGAACTCAATTACATAATATCCTTACTTTATCTTAATCTTAAATTGTGCTTTTGGTAGCTGAATAGTCTCTTATTTTTCTTCCTTCACTTCTGGATTTTATTGGTATTGGTGATAGGCATTGTACTTTGATTGTTCATTAACTTAAAGAAATTCCATGATTCTCTTTAATTCTGATATTTTGTTGTTTTTATTCATGTTGTGATTCGGTAGAGGCATCTAACTTGAATTCCTAATTTATAGCAATAGATCAAATATATGATATCAATTAGTACTTGATTTATATTATTCTTAGTCTTATCGGTGGTGACATAAACTCACACTTCTTTTGGAGAACTTCTACTTATGTATTGCTTATTCTATGGAGAATTAAAACAAAAAGTACAATTCACAGGTTTGGTAATTGGGGGAACTACTTTATGGTCATATTCCTAGAGCCAGCCAGAAATTGATTGGGAGTTTTCAGATAATTCCATTTTTAAATATATAGTTGTTAAATTAAATTAACTTAGGACTTGATTAAAATCACTTGAATAGATTGTTAAAATTGAGGATTTGAGTAATACATGATTCACGAATAAATACTAAATTAAGTTTCAATTTTGTTTATCTGATTCAACTTTGACTTGTTCTACTTACAGTAATTGGCCTTGTGTCTGATAAGTCTTGAGAATAAATGTATATGGATACTTGAAGCATCATTAATAATTGCATGTTGATCATTTTTTACTGGGCCAACTCCCGTTAACATATTGCCAAAGCCATCTAAGCATTAGGTTCATCTAAATTTGGAGTGGAACCAATCTGACTTTGAGAGTTTAAATAATTTAATTGCTATTGCACTATTAATGGATGTTAATTTATAGTCCTATCAGCAGGCTAAAATAGTTATGTTGAATAAGCAAACCCTCAAATCAGGCGAAAATGTTCTTCTGTGTTAAGGGGCTTCTCTTTCCAAATCATACATCGATTGCACTTTTCTTGTGTTAATGAAATGATAATCTGAATCATCCTTCTTTTTTTTGTTTCTGTCTCTTGTTTTCTTTTTTCCAATCCTCCCTTCTTTTCTATAAGTTTACAAGATGGCCTTTGCTGTACTGAAATTGACCCCGAACTCTTTTGCAGCCTCTTTGATTGTCGCTTCCTTAGAGAGAATTCGTTTAAGCAATTAAACTCGGATCTAATGATCAATGACTGCGTATTTCTTTCCATTATCCTTCATACTTGAATTAGGATTGTTGTTGTGTCTAAAATAAGAAAGGTTCATACTAAGAGTTGGGGGAGAAGTGATCCCCACTACTATCATCCGAATGGATCATTTTAATATTTCTATAAGTTTATAAATATTTTATGTATATTTTTGAATGCGAAATGTCAAAAATGAATTCATCGTAATGGAATTAAACGCATTTCCAAAAGGATTGAATTGGGTTATGCAATTCAATTGAGATTAGAAATTTAATAAGTTTAAATATTATCTTAATATTATATTTTAATGATTCCGGCATCTCTATTTTAAAGAAACAAAAAGGATATAAAAAAGCAAGTCTCCGAGAGTGATGAAGATGAAACTCCTATGAGGAGAAAGAATAAACTCAATTTTTAAAATCTTTAGTTAGTTGATTTCAATGAGATAGCAGATTAAGAAGAATTGGAAGCAGCTAAAGAAGAAGTTTAATCAAGTATTTTGGATCCATTCTATAAGATCGATTTAAAAATAATAGTATAAGAGAAGAAGAAGAATCAGATCAAAGCGAATCAACTTCAAGAAAAAAATCTATTAAATAACTCCGCTTACCTCGATTGAGTGACAGAAGACAACTAAACACCTCAGAGCAGATGGATTAAGTCAAGGAAAATCAATAAAGCTAAGAAGAACCAATGGCTGAACCTATGGCTGAATTCGCCAAGACTCCTTCTCCAAATAGAGCTTCGAGCAGATCTCCAAATCAGCCAAGTCAAAAACAACCAACAATTCAAAATCAAGAGGGTATTGTGGTATTTTGATCATTAGACAGTAGCTCTGAATTCGATATATTTAGCCCTGATAAATCTATGGAAAAGGAATAGGCTCCAAGAAACATTGAATTAGATGAAAAGCTAAGCAAACTCACTCAAGAAGCCAATGCGATCGAAAGAATATTACCCAATTGCATCATTAATCCATATGGGAGGTTTAAATCTACTTGGAGTGGAATAATGATTCTACTTCTCGTTTATGTGTAATTCGTTTATTGACTATCCAATTAGAGTTTTAATCTTACCAGTGCGTTTGGCTTTTGAAACAAACACTCAAGAATTGCTGGGACTGGATTTGACTATAGATTGTATCTTTTTCTTTGATATGGTTTTTACATTTTTCACGGCTTATGAAGATGAAAGAGGGATTGTGATTGTTGAATTCAAAAAAATCGCCATCAATTATTTCAAAGGCTGGTTCTGGATTGATCTTGTCTCAACTTTCCCTTTATACTTGATTTTGGATCCCTCTGTGCTCCCAGGAGCCTCGAGTGTTAATGGACTGCTAAGACTGGCAAGATTACCAAGAATATATAAATTAGTGGGAGTTTTGAGAGTAGGCAATCTAATAAAACATCAAACAATCCAAAAATTGTTTTTCTTCTTAAAACTAAATAAAGAATATAGTTTAATCTTGAAATTCATAATTTTAACCTTTATCGTTATACATTTGGCTGGATGCTTCTGGTATTTCATTGGAACCATAAGTCCTGATCCAAATAAAAATTGGATTGTTGTATATATACCTGATGGAACCTCAGCAGTAGAATAATATATAGCGAGCGTTTATTTTGTATTGACTATTTTGGTTACCGTTGGATATGGTAACATTTTGCCAGTAAACAACATGGAATATGTGGTGGGAATCATCTTTCAATTCCTGGGAGTAGCCTTCTTTGCTTATGTCATGGGTACATTGACATTTACATTTGCTAAACTCTCTTAAAAATTAACCATGATTAAGGAAAGAGAAATATTTTTTAATGAATTGGCTCACACTTATCAACTGCCCAAAGAAACACATGAAAGATTGTTGATGTCCATTTAAAACTCTATTTTTTCTCATTCAAACTAAATGTTAGAATTTTATAATGAAGAAGACATCATACAAGAATTGCCACCTTTAGTTTAAGGATTAGTGTGTGAGTTTATATTTAAGGATATTATCGAGAAAATTAGATTCCTTCAAAATAAACCTAGGGGTTTCTTAAGAAGACTATTTCGATCAATGGTTCCAGTATTTCTCAATAAAGGAGATGCCATTTTCTTCAGAGGAGAACCTGCTGATTTTGTTTACTTTGTTATCTAGGGTAGATTGGCTACAAAATGTGAGGATCAAAATGGAAAGATTAGAACTCTAATCCATGTTGAGGGATCATATTTTGGAGAAGTGGATATCTTGGTATCTAGAGCAAGAGGAGAGTCTGCAATCGCAGAATCATAGGCAGAAGTATGGAAGATCAGTAAGGAAGCTTTTCTTAGGATTCTCAATGATTATGAAGATGTGAAGATGGAGATTTTAGATTATGCTGTTAAGAAGGAGAAGAGTAGGAAGAGCACAGTTAAAATAGTGAAGAATGCTCAGTTCTTTGAGTTGATAGCTAAATCAAAGAAGGATTAGATTTGTTTGAATAAGGGTCAATTGATCTTGAAGGTCAAGGAGAAGATGATAAATTCTTTGAATGAGATAGTAAAAAATAAAACTGAAAATGGAAAGGAGTTGTTTCCAAATCTCTCTGATTTAGATCTCTTTTTGGATAAAGTTAGCGAATACAACAAAGTAAATATGTTATCAAGTTTGCATTTAGATTAAAAAGAAGTTACAAATAACAGATCAGGATTTGACTTCACTCTAACATCTAAGAAGCACAAATTACACGGATCCAGAAATCGAAGATTCTCTATTAAAAGGGATGAGAGTCTAATCTCATCTCTAATCAATTTAAGAATATTTGTGATTTTATAGTCAATTGATTAACTTTATGATTCATTCAAATTTGTATCTGTTCTTCTGGAACCATTTGATGTGGTAGAATATTTATCGAGTCTGCAAGTACAAGCTAAAGCGATGGAACAATTTGTGATATAATGGGAAGTGTTGGTATGACAAATCAGACAACACATAAATGATTGAGGCAGCCAAGCCACAAACTTATTAATTATATGATATTATTACAATAACTCTTTTTTGATGTGGCTTAATATCTTTGAATAGCATAAATTAATTAAATTGTTAATGGTATACTATAAAACACTTTCATATAATACAATATCCAATTTGTATTGTCATTTTTAGTTTCGTATAGCATTAAATAAAATCCTGAAGCAATTATAGGGAAAACTATTATAGATTGAGGTTTTGGTAATTTTGATTTCAGATAAGCCTTCTTTTTACGGAAAATCTCCTTCTTCTACCTTTTTTCAAACACATAAATGAAATTCCCCATAGCCAAAAACATTCCACAAATCAAATGCTCAAAGAAATATAAATTCATGAATCTCTCATCATGTGCAAATTGGTGAAACAAATGGGCTGCAAATATCCATCATTCATACCGATTGATTCTGCAAGCAAAGATAGCATCATTACTGTCGATCCCAACTCTCCCCTTACCAATCTATTCAAAGTCAAATGAACTATCATAAACAATGGCAAACAAGAAAATATCCCGTGCAAAATCTTCTCGTCTTTGAAATAGATTGACAACATAAAGCTAATCCAATAAGTGACATCAGCATAAAAAGGCAATTCCGGTTTTGGTGGCTACTTCCCACTTCTGTACATTAGCTTAAAATTAATTAATTAAAAATTCAAAACTATTTTAGAAATATTATGAACAATTTAGACAACTTCCATTAGGGGACTGGGAAAATGAAAGAAGAAATGATGTTTATTTTATTCTGAATACATTAATCAATAGAATCCTCTATCTGCAACTTGGATGAGTTAAACCTCATTTATCATAATGTCCTATTCGTTCATCAAGGCCTCAACGATCTCATTAGTTTGTCTTTCTAAATCAGCTGACATTTCCTCATTCTAATTTGAATCAGCTTGAACTTCAGGAATATCATTGACACCAACATTCAATGGGGTTTCTTGAAGTGCTTGTTCGTCGATTTTGAAGTCTTCATCAAATAAGGGCATGCTTGTGTCAATGTTTGCAAGTGCATCGATTTCTCCTAATTGGATTAATGAGACTTCCTCGTTGGTGATGAGAGTTTCTGTGGCATAGTATTCATCTTGGGGAGTAGTTTGACTATCCTCTGATGTCATGGGAGCCTCTGATCCTTCGAAGCTCTCAGCACTTGTACCCATGTCTGGTGAATTGCCATCATTTGAATAGACTACTTCTGGTTTTGCACTTTCCATCTAATCGAGGGTTTCTTCAACGTAAGGAATGTTGTCGATTACATCATCATTGTAAGATTATTCCATTTCAATTAAGGCTGTGGCTGGTGAATGCTTAAGTGCTTATTCAATGGCGTGAGTTGTTGATTTAGCAGCCTTATTGATTTAAAATTGTTATTTTGTAAGAGGTGGTGTTACTTACACTTCAGATTTGCTGATCACTCCAACATTATTGCTCAAGTCATGAACCTCTCCTACAGTGCTTGTCTATTTAATAAGACATACCTCTTCTTATGTCTCATATTGTGACCACATACTGCACAAATAACTACCAGAGCCAATATAGCAATTCTCATTTATTTTAATTAATGATCCGTTTTATACATAGTATATTAAAAACATATTCAATTTTATAGTAAATATTTTGGTATAAATCCCAGACTAGCCTGAATATCATAGAACTATGATTAAGAATGATCTTTAGAGTCTGTCTTTTCCTTAGTAGAAAACTTGAATTTAGGACCATCAGTAATATCCCTATTGATCTAATATCTTCCTGGACCCACAAGAGATTGTTCTTATTGCTTCTCATGTTTTCCTGCAATATGGTAACTGGGTCCTCTTGAGAAAGTATCATTTAAGTTGTATTTTCCTGGTCCCTTAAAAATCAAATTTATCAAATACTGGTAGAGAGTCATGAATAACCAATTATTCCTTTGAAGACTTGCCAATTACAGGTCCCAATTTAGAAAGACTGACTCCCAAATAATAAGTTCCAGGCCCAGGAGTATACTCACTTTTCTCTTATAATGTTTTCCTTTCTGCATTTCCAAAACTTGAATATTTAGAGGGAGGCTTATATTGAGAGATGTCATAATTCAAAGGAGAAGGTCCTTATTACAATAACATCTGGCTTCTATTAGAGGTTCCAATCCTTAAGCATCAAATGTAAAATATACTTAGTTCCTTTAGAGATTTGTTCAGCAAAAGATTTCAATTGATATGTCCCAGGACCAGGCACAAACTACTTTTCGCTCTAGGCCTACAATTTCTTTCCAAATGAAATCCCTTACTTGTTTGGCACAACTGTAAGGAATGCCCCAGGTCCAGGAGTAGGATCGAGTTTATCAATAGTCCTCTATTGCTTTGGAAACCTAACCTTCTTATTCCAAACGGTTACTTAATGCTAGTTTGTAATTTAAGAGTTTCCAAGTTATAAGAACCCGGCCCAGGCCCATTAGAAAGCAGCATATTTAAGCGGTTGCTTGTTGTAAAACCTTTATTTATTGGTTGAAGTGAATGGCTTTCTTTAACATCATAATGGCCAGGTCCTGGAGTATTTAGAACATCGTTTCCAGGATTTTCGAATTTATTTTAGAAAGTAAATGCTGGAGATTTCTTTTGATCACTCCAATTATAAGTGCCTGGTCCGATGTCAAGAGGGAGTTTCTCTTATTCTTGAGCTTTGCTAAATTTGATGTTTGGAGGATTGGGTTGAATAATCTAATTTCATGATTCTATACCGATAGATTTGGATCGTATGTTCCTGGCTCTGGAATTGGTTTAGGTTCATAAAGTTATTTGCGGACTGATTTCGAAAATTTGAATCCTGAGGATTGAGGAGTTGCCAAATTGTAATGATCAGGTCTAACATTAATTGAATAGTCAATACCCAGGGGTGTTGTTCTGATTTCCATGTGCTAAGGAAGTTCATCATTAAATTACCTTGTATTTTTTTGCCAATACTAAAGGCACCTGAGAAAGAAGAGTTGGGACCATGAATCATTATATTTTATTAATGTAATATAATGATCCTTAATTTACTTTACTAAATATTGAGGAAGAGTGGAACAACGTTAACAACAGACTTTAAAATCCTTTGAATTTGGAACCCTGGAATGGAAATTACGATCACATTTTTAAATAGGATAGGAAATAAATATGTCCGAAAAAGATGCAAATAAAAATCCCATTGAGGATAGCAACTCAATCCAGAAGGAGATCAATGGAAACCAATTATCCAAGTCATCAGGATAGTTGTCCTAAAATAGAAATCAAATAATATTTGCAATCATTCTAGAAGAGTAGTCTGTCTCCTCGAAAGAATTCAACTCAGAAGTATAGGAACTCATGCATAAAGACTCTATTCCAAAAATCCTTATTGAACAATTCGATATCATGGACTGAGTATTATAAAGTGATTCAGAAGAATAGAAATGAAGATATCTTGAACAACAATAATAATGTAATTGGCCAAAATAGTAAACCACTCCAATTTGATTAAAAATAATTGGCTTTGAATAATTTTAGAATGAAATTAAAATAAAAAACGAAGAACAAAACTGTGTATTGAATTCATTGTTATTATTCATCCAAATGTGTCTAAATTTCATGTGCAGTCGTAGCTATAGAATTCCATTTATTAAAGAGCCAGATGTCTTTCAGTTTGATAGAAAATTGAGATGTAAGTAACAATTGCTTGAACTCTTCATAGATTTATTGATCATCTGATTAATAATAATCGAGTATCTGCTGAATCAAATGCAATTAGTTCTTAAACAATTTTCGATTCTGTTGTTCTGACTCTATTACCTGATTTACCAACAAATTAAAAAATTTAATGTTTTCCTAATTTTCATAGATGTTGAAATGGACATACTGCAATTGTCCACTTCTATCTTAATCTAAAAATGTTTGCAAGACCACTCTCCATAAAGTGCGTAAGATTTTTATATTGTGACTTGTTTTTAATATAGTACAAATAGGTTTAACTAATTTTTGGCCAAAAATTGTGAGTTCATGTACCTAATTCAATATGTTGCCATTATCAATCAAAGCCAAATTATACAAGATATCTGCTCCTCTCTTAACAAACATCTATTCTTATTTATTGAGCAAGAAATACACTGTTTCTGCAATTTCCCCAAACTTAAGATGTAATGATTTATCCTCCATTTAAGTCCAATATTTCAGGAACTAGTTTAAAATATACTCTAACTTTAGCTGCATAGATAATTATTTACGAATTGAGTGGCTGATTCTCAATATCATATCCTTATGAATACAATATCATCTTATCTACAATTCTTAGCATTTTCAAATTATCACTCAGTTCATCCTCATAAGTCAATTCTTCGACTGATTTCAACATCCAAACAGCTGCATCGATAGTCTAAATTAATTCTCATCCTTACATCCAATAGATTCATATTATTATTTTTGTGGAGTACCTCAAATATTGTATCCACCATCATCTAGAGAACTTGCCCTTGAAGGTTTTCCCCCTTTTCAAGTTTATCTCTGATGGTATTGGACATTTCCTGCATTTCTGTTTATTAGGAGAACAGAGATTGAATGTAATTTTTTCTTGATTCCTTGAATTACTTTTCATTTCTTTATTTACGGATATTCACATGAAATTACTCTCTTTTCAAACTTATAATCCCCGCGTAATCAAGCATTTTATTAGATTAAAATTTAAATAATAAATCACTTAAATATTTGTGAAAATTCATCAAGTGTAATCCCATCCCTATCATTTAAGTTCAAATATTTGAATATTTATTCCCTTTCATATGGTTTCAATCGTCGATCTATAACTAAACACAATTTTGAGAATTCTGTTTAATTCATTTCCTCTCTCATGCTCTTAGCAAAGTTCTTGAATATCAATTCAATGTCAATCTTATTCTCAGTCACTATCCTTCTCAAATCCTTAATAAAATTCTACGATGATTATATTGTAATCTTACTTAAATTAAGTTCTCTTTGATCTAAAATCTTTGAGTGTCCTGTTTTACTATCAATTATTCCCTGAATTCATCGATATTGATGGTCCTATCATTATTCGTATCGAATTTATCAAAGATCTAAACATATTCAACATATATACAGCTTAGATATCATCCTCTTTAATGTCCTTTGCTATCTCCTTAATCATAAAACTGAATTCTTCATAATCCAAATCCCCCATCTGATCTTTATCATATTTAGCAAAGATGTCTTCTACTTACAAATTATTCGCTCTAATTATTTCTCTTAAGTCTATAATTATTCTTTCAGCAAAATCCTCCTTCACGTAATCGTAATCAAAGAATATCCTCTTAAATTCCTCAAATCCTATTGTTTCATCCTTATTTATGTCCATTTTCTCAAACAATAACTTTATTTCTTTTCCAGTTAATTTTGGATCCAATTGTATCAAAAAAGTGAAAAATTCTGAAAAATCCAATGATCCTCCTTCATCCTTGTCATACTTCTGGAACTACACAAAAACATCCAATCCTCTACTCTAAACTATCTTCTATATTTAAGCCAAGATCCGCTGGCACTCTTAATCTAAAGGGTTCTCCATTTTCTATAAATAGAATAATCACAATTACATAGTTCCTCTCTATTTCATTCAGTATCACATGTTAAAACAACTGATCCCATGAAATCCTGTCTTTCTCATCTTTCTTTAAACATTGTTTAATAAAGTCTTAATATTCATCGGATACTCTAATATCAACAGGAAACTTCAAAGGCTGATTTTTGATATTAAATGCATAGGAAGGAATGTCTCTGCAAGGCCATGGTTATTTACCATAGACCATTTCATAAGCCATGATTCCAATTGACCATATGTCACTTTTGGCAGTGTAAGCATGTTTTTCTAGGAGTTGCGGAGCCATATAGAGAGGAGTTCCAACAGACTACTTAAAAATCTTAACATTGTTTTTAATTTCAGCTTTTGTTGCAAATCCGAAATCTGCAATTTTGAAACAGTTCCCTTTAAAAAGAACATTCTCTGGCTTTATATCTCGATGAATATACCCTTTCTTAATCATTTCCTAGAATCCTAACATAAATTGTCTTAAGACTCCAAGGGCTTCTGCCTCTTCCAAAACTCCCCCTTTCGATTTAATGTAATTTCTCAGATCCCCATCACATAATTCAATTATCATGTAGGTGTATTTATCATCCCCAAAAACATCAATTAATTCTACAATGTTATCATGTCGGAACTATTTCATTACAGTAATTTCAGTTTCCAAGGATATCAACATACTTTTGCCTTAAAATTATGACATGTTCATTACTATAATAGTTAATGAATCTTTACTTTTAATTGCGACTTCTTAATTTTTATCTATCATAATCCCTTTATAGACCTTTCCAAATGAACCCTTCCCTAAATAGTCTTTATTGTCATATTTATAATTATCAATTTTATTCATAAAATAATTGATTAAAATTTATCCTTAGCACTATAATAATAAATATCGATCATTCATACGAAACATTATTGATTTATACGATATTCTCCTCTCTATCAAAAGTGGATATGTTATAATAAAGAATATTTATGTGTATTGATAACAATTTATTTGATGTATTTCACTTCTGTTTTTTTATTTGAGATTTTAGAGTTATTGGATTAAAGCTATGATATTTGATTAATAAAGTTTAGTTTTAAAATCAGAATATAGTTTATTAAAAATGCAATAGCAAAAATGTTATCTGGCTCCTGGATTACTTAAGACAGGTATCTTTTATTGAAATACCCCAGGATTATTAAATGGAAACTAACCAATCTATGTTTTGATCTTGAATCAAATAAAAGACATGAAGGAAGTCAGCCAATAGATGAATTCATATTTATAAACCATCCATGCCTTCAGGTATTTTAATTAATTAGAATTTAGTCCATTTACTTGGGTTATTTGTAACCAATAGGTATTACCATTAGAATTCAGCGATTTAAAATAAATGCTGAATCCATTCTACAAGTATTATATTTAGTTGAATTGCAAGAAACATTCCCTTACAACAATTCTAAAGAATAGATAAATTGATTGTTATTAGCGAGAAGATCCAACTTTAACAATTGGTTAATGCCATACCGAGTGGATGGTCATCAGTTTTAGCAAATAAAGTGCATCTGGTTATGAAGTAATTACAAATATCATATAGATTGAATGAATTGGCCAGTCACAATATTGAACTAACTCAATATCAGATTGAATTTTTATCTAGAATCAATTATAACTATTAAGAAGAAATTCCCTTTTATGGAAGAGATCTCTCAGAATACCCAATAGCTAACACAGGTGTGCCTGAGTGTTTGGAAGTAATTTTAAAATTTTACAAGGATCACGATGATTATCTAAAAACATAAGGTAAGACTGTATAGTAAGATAGGTGTATTTAGGATTTCGGGATCAGTTTAATAAGAACAGAAATTAATTCAATAGTTTACAAAAAGAAATTACACGACAATTAATGAATACGAACCTGATGTTGTTTCTACTGTGTTTAAGAATCTATTGTGCTAACTAAAAAAGCCGATATTCCCATTTGAAATGTATGACATTCTTAAAGAGACATAAAGTAATATGATTGTTAATCGAATTAGTTAATACAAGTAAGGAGAAATTGTTGGAGATGTTCGAAGTATTTTTTGCTTATATGCCAGAAGTCAATCGCAAAACCACAAAAAGAATAGCTGAATTGTTATTCCGCGTGGCAGGCTATGAATCAGAGAATCTGGTAAATTGTATTTTAAACTCAGATGGGACTCAATAATTTATCAATTGTGTTTGCCCCGTGTTTCTTGAGACCACAAACTATAGATATCTCTGATCTATAAGGAGCCAAGGTTGTAGTTCATCACTTTAATTTACTAGTGCAGAATGTTGAATATTTCTTTTAGGATTTTAAGGTGAATCGAAATTCCTCATCTTAATAAAAACTTAGCATTTGATTTGAACCAATTTATATTTTTATTTTTATTTTTTGCCATTTTATTTCAATGATTAATTATTATTTCCCTATTTCAAGAATTAACTCAAATTTCGCTTTATTTTATTTTATTATGGATTAAGTTGACTTGTCGCAAACCTTAAAAAAACTTATCGAGTGGAAGAACTCATCTCCAACCACCCTCTATAATCTATTGGATTAAATAGGCACTCAGAATTTCAACTCCAACAGAATTGTGCATCAGAAATTCTTATAAGCTGTCTAAAAGTTAGCCCAATTGCATGAAATACCTCCTAATACCATATATAAATCGTATGATTATGAGAAAATGATAGACAAGGCCAAATCCATCCTTAAAATATTGAGATAACCCCTACAAATGGAAGTGGAAAAGGATAAACCGGAACCCATGAAAAAATATAATTTATTCTCTGGATACCAGTAGCAATTCACAGGATACGTGGATAGAATACAGAATCTTAATCTCATTAGCAATCTAATCTTACATATATTCAAGAATTGGAATCAATCAAATAAGGAACAATTAATTTCAATTGACAAAGTCAAAGAAGTCACTATAGGCTTAGAGAAGGAGATTTATTTGAGAAATGTTTTCAAAGACTCCAAAAAGCTGGCTTATGAGATGGACATCAAAACCTTGGTGCAGTTTATGAAAAGAGATAAGTCTGGAGATGTGCTCATACGAGTATTCAATAAAAGTCTCTCCTATCAATAAGCTGCTTAATTGAAATCTGAGGATTGGATTGATGAAAAAACTAAACTGAATTAAAAGGCAGCCCAAAAGGAAGAACTCGAAATCAATTAGATTGGGTTCTACAAGGAGGTTTCAAAAAGAGAGATGGATGGAGTCGAAGGGAAATAATGTAAAGGATGCCATTAAAAAAAAGTGTATCTAGTTGAAGAAAAGTAAACTAGATGTGCAGATGAACCTACTACTAAGTTTTTTGAATGCTTTAATTGCGGAGATAAATTTCGTATTTGATTAATTATATATGAATAAAATTGAAGTATTAAAACAGGGAAATCAAGTAACCAACCAATTAAGAGATGAATTAGTCAATCTCTTTTCTATGACTGACACCGAAGATCCTTATCTCTTAAGCAAAAGAGCTCAAACCATTAAGTCAGAGATCGAGTAACGATTTAGTAAATTTAACGATCTATCTAGAGTATCGATGGAATATCATTCTTTTTAAAAACGATGCTCAATTTGAATCTTCCCTTGTTTTTTCAGAAGAGTTTACCCTTGAGTTGAAGTCAGAAGACTATGGGTTGTTGGCCTACATCATACCCGATTAACCATTAACTCAATATGAACCAAGAAGAGATTTTGGAGTCAGAAAACCATATTACAAGGATGTGATTGACAAATAACAATATGAGACTAATAAGTAAATTGATATGTCATTCAATAGTTCTGTAATTAGTTATCCTGGCATCAGATATTATCCTACATATTATCCTTGAATATTTTATAATTATTTAATATATTTATATAAAGAGAATAAAATTAATAATTTTATAAAGTAATGTATTAGAAATTTATTTCAAATATTTCAAAAGTATATTCAATCAGATTAACACGAAATGTCTCATAATGAACATTCTATCAAAATAGCAAAGATCAAAAAGAAAGATTGGTATGATGATTATTTTAGAATGGGAATCTCTATAAATTATTTAAATTGATATTATTATTAATATTATGAAATGCGATGTTCATTGTGCAACAAAAATACTAACAATTGTTTGTGGAGGTTTAATTATTGCGCTTGCAATATCTAGATTTACGAATCTGTCTATTGAGCATCCATAGCAATTTATTCTTACAATTCATTATATGTAAAATTTGTTTCTTTAAGGTTAGATGGATGGGGGCTGTGTTGATTTTAGCAGAGTTTCGTTTTGCATATATTCATTAAAAATTCAAAGTTTTGACAAGTTATTTTGGAAGAGGATTGTATTGTTTCTTGTAAATCTGAATTACTAATCAAGTTTGGGTACTTTAATGATATCATCGTTTTCGCCTTTGTAGATTACATGTGCCGTCGTATTGTTTGTCGTGGGTTTAATTTACATTTTGATGCAACTATTTGTATAAAAAGCATAATGTCATTCATTAGAGTAAAAAATTTGGATGGAGTGCGGAAGAAGCAAAGAACCCTTATTAGATTCCGTCTCAAAATCAACCGAATGCATATCAACCACCATATCAATCAAATGTTAATTTTTAATAAGGTGGACCTGCCTTAAAATGATTTTATGTTTTATATTTGAAATTATCGATACAAATGCATTAAAATTATTGTCATTATGTTTTGTAAAATAGATATGCAGTTTTATCTATGTAAAAGTAGATAAATCTCCTCTTCTCATGAATGGAATGACACCCGAAGTTCTTACCAAAAATCACATGCCAATGAGGTTCAAAATTAGTATCTAGATACTTCTTAATATGTTCTGCCATCTAAATGATATCAGAAATTTACTTTTTGTCCATCCTTAGCTTCAAAGGTTTTCAAGCAACTCTAAGTTTCATTTATTGCTCCTTCAAGAATGTCATCGGGACAATCGGGAGGCCACAAAACCCTGGCTCCTAAGAACACTCTGTATTAAGCTTATGAAGATGAGGACATATTCTAACACTTATAAGATAATTTAAATAATAAATATTTTAATATTTAACATAGAAATAATACTTCAGATACGCTCACTCCGACCCCAAAAGTATGGTCATGAGATCTCCTGTAAACAATTACTAATATCATATAATCATCCATACTTACATGTCCAAAAACATTGCATTTCTTCTAAGTCATCACTCCATTTTAAAATGAAATAATCATATTTTCATTTGATAAAAATACTGAGTTATTGTAACCACAGCTATAAGATTTATACTTCTAATTAGGCAAGAGACTAATTAAATCATATTTAATACTCCATTATGTTTTTCTTACAATATTTATCCCCCTTTACTGTAGAGAATTCAAACTGTTATGATTATCCACATTACTTATAAGCGTTATTGCCCCACGAAATGTACTCTTCATAATTCTTGTCTTTTCCTTAGACTCTGGCTATACAATGATAAGCCCCTATTTAGAAGTCTCTAGATTATATTGAATTTTTACTTAATAAGGTAATTCTCGATATTGATTCTCATAGGTTCAAGAAGATGAAATATATATTGATCATCTAATTCTGGACATTGATCAAATCCAAAAACACCAAAGTCATTACTACCCCACATATAGATTTTATCTTCCAATGAGAGTGCTCCAAAACATGAATACCCAGTTGAAATAGCTTTAGCCTTTAAGTTAATCTTGCGAGGAATTAGTTAACAATTAGTTGGACTGGAGCATTATAAATTTATGGTTTCTTTATAGGAATTCAATACTTTGATCATTCCATTTCCCTCATAATTTTACTTACACCCCCAAGTAAACACATCTCCTAAATCAGTTCTGCAAATTGAAATCCCTTCACCTGCTGAGATATCAACAACGTATAAATGATTTTTTCTAAAAAACATGACTTCTTATGCATCCATTGTACTTATATTTGTCCCTAATAAACTATATATTGAATTAGTTACCATTCCCTAATTAGCCAAAATTATTGTATCCCCAGGACAATAAACTTCCGTCTACGGTCACAGCTAATGAATGATACAAGCCACAAGCTATTTTGCTTACAGCTCGTAAAGTATAAATCTAATATGGTGTGGAGATATCGAAATCTCTTTTTGGATCCACCATTTCACTTGAAGTAATTGAGGTGTCTTCAAAATTGAGTATGTTCCCGAATTAAGACACTTCAAATGATGTATTGACCATTCCCACAGTTCTAGATATTAGAAATAGGTATACCCGTATTTGGTACTAACCATTTTGATTCTGTTCTCCTCAATCAATACTAAACTAAAGTCTTCGATCATGTAATAGGACTATTAATCTATTTCAATCTTTTTTGGAATGTCTATTACTTCAATAAAGGATTAATCTTCATTAAATAATTTTGTATTAATTACTCCATTTACAAACAGAGAACTTGCCTGAAAGGATTTGAGAAAGATTTTGACTGGTGACAACTCTAAATCTGAAGACCACCCATTGCAATTGAGTGCTTCTACTGAAAGATAGATCATGTCATTGAATGCTAATTCTCCTTTACCATTTGGATTATTTTTAAAGACTAGACTCTTTCTCTAAACTTTCTCATTATTATTATCGAATTCTAAAATTACTCTTTTACTTGGTTACAATGATAATGACGTATCATTCATATCCAACTAATAGATTGCATATTTTATAATCTCATAGCCATAGTCCTCTGGTTTTTCAAATATAATAGAAATTGTTAATTCCTTGTCACCTTCTCTCTCAATAATCACTTGATTGATAACATCTGGAGGTAATGGAGGTCTGTTATTCTACTATATTTGATTCTACACCTCTTCAATTTTATTATTATTTTCTTTTTAATTATCCTCTTATTAATTTTCCTCCTATTATACATCCTCTTTGGTTATTCTCTAATTGTTTTTCTCTCTTTCATGGTCAGCATTTCTCTTCTAAGATAGATAGATAGAAAAGTTGTTCTCAATATCCTCCTTCTTATATATTACGATATCCTTTTCCAACAATCCAACCTCTTTTATATTCAACCCTAGGTCTTTAACCAACTATTCTAAGCTCTTAATTATCTTTTTATTCTTCCCATAGTAGTTCTGGTTTAATCTCATGAAATTTTTGTTTTTATAATAGAGCAATCTCTACAATACTTCTTTCATTCTTGTTTAGAATTCATTGTATTTATTTTTGATATTCGTTCTTTTATCTTCCAACTAAATACTTAATTCACTATAGTCCTCATTCTTCATTGCCATTTCATTTATTTTTATCTTCAACCCTCTCTTTTCTTTTTTGTCTTTTATAATTGGATTTATCACTTCCTCCTTTAATTTCTAAGGAGCTGAATACAACTCTGGATTAAGTTGTTGGTTTTACCCTTCACAATTTTTTTTCATAATTTTATATAATAAAATTTAAAACTCACATTATTTCTGTATATCAGACTTTTTTATATAGTTATAATTTTTGCTCTGCATCCTCAACTTATGAGCTAATCAAGGATAGTTTCTCTTTTAGAACTTAATTTTCCTTCTTCAGATTGATAAATAATGAATCAAGTTGTTCCTTAACGAAATTCCCATTAGGAGTCTCCTATATAGACTTCCCTTAACTTTAAGCTGAAGAATGCTTGCCAACAGGAGACAGCTAAAATCATTAATATTCCTTACAAATTATTGATTGCTGATGGCGATTTATGTTTATACTGAAGGAACGTTTCTTTACACAGAATTAGTTGCTCGTTGGAAATACATTAATTAAACAACTAGTATTATTAAATTTTAAATATTGGAATTTGCTATTATTGATTTTTGATTTTGTATCTCCCCCCCTCTCTTCATTTAACTTATCACTAAAAGTACTCTAGAATAATACTCAAATATGATATATGAAGTTTATTATAAAAGAAATAACCCTTAATAGATATTAGAGAACTTTAATAATGATAGATTTATTAAAACCATAGTAAAAAGATATTTTATAATTATGTTTACAGGGTATTAAAATAAAAATCTTATGTGGTTTATGATTCTTTCTTATAAGAAGATAAAAATTATAATATAATTGAATATGGTTTAATATAATAAATATTTTAATTGTAAAAATTGTCTTTATTAAATCTATATATAAAAATTGATGAAGAATATATGCTGATAAAAGGAAGTTTTAAACACTTTGAACATTTTATAATAATTACATGGAAAAGATAAAAAGAGAATTAGTATTTGGAACCATATAAGAATTTTGTTAAGGTCTATTAGAAGATTAAAGTTGATTAATAAATTAAGATATTATAAATATCACAAAAAAGCAGCTGTTCTTTTTATATAGTAATCATCTCTAGCTTCAAACTCTATTTCTCCATCATCATTAAATAATCCCAATTTTAGTTATTTTAATTGAAGTGTAAATCTAGGACCTAACTCTTGTAAGGCAACTTTTTATCCTTCTTCTTAGAACATGTATCTATGATGTCTAAAGAAGATGAAATCTCTTTGGTTATGGAAAGTGACTACTCTTCTGCCTCTGAACTGAGGTTTGGAAGGAAAGAGAGCTGCTAATCCTCTTCCTACTCTTCTTCCTACTTTTGTATTGAAGTGATTGAGAATCAATTCTGGATTATGATCAGTGAATCTACCATGATGATGGATTTCATCACAGGGTGTGTAATTAGTTAATTTAAACTTATAGGTAGGTCCAGCTGGTAAATGCACATAAATTAATTAACTAACTTCTTTTCTATGTTCTCTGAATACCAGTAGTTCTGTATATCCTTTGTTAATGGAATACTCTTGTATTTCTTTGATTGAAAATTGTTTACGAGGCCAATAATGAGTTTCTGGTCCAAAGACATCTTTAACATCTTTTAAAAAATCGAATAATTATCTAGAAGGTCTTTCGCTAGTAGTAATAATAATTTTAGGATCCTGACCTTCTTAGAAGTAATTTTAGAATTCATCAATTAATTCTTCATTTTATAATTCTTCTTGATCATCTTCATCAAATACAAAATTTTCATCCAATTCTCTTTTGTCATCAATAGTCAATGGACCTAGTTTTTCTCTATCGGGATTTGCTTCTTTTTCTTTTCTTTCCATTTTTTTTGTTTTCTTCTACTCATTTTATTTTCTCTCCAAGATCTGAACTCTTTTTTCTTTATTCTTAATTCTACTCACATCGAAATTGGCCAATGATCTAAAACCTCCCACTCTCCTTTACTTTTATCCCTTCTATTCCTTCTTTTTTATCTTTTAACTAAAAGGAGCATTATGTTTGATTTTGATAGCATGCACAGCTTTGCTTTTATTTTTTGCCATAATTTAATTAATATTCTAATTTAAAAATAACATAGATTAATGGGATGCATATAAAATTAGCCAATAAGTCCTGAGCTTTCGATTGTAGAAATAAACTCGCCACTTGATAATTCTCGTAATTCAAATCTAAAACCATATTCTAATGATCGGTATCCCGCAGCAAGATTGCCTACTACCATATCGGAATAATCAACTTAATCTAAATTTATCTATAACAAAGGATTGTCGTGGTCAAAGAATGGTACCCAATACAAATATAATTATAGAAAATTAAGATAGAATTTTCTGTTCTTCCCTCAACAGTTGTCCTTACTTTTGATAGATTACAAACGCACATATTACCAAAATATATTAATTATTCTGCGCAATGCTTTCTAATCTTCGATATCTATCTGCTTAGATGTAATGATAAGACATTAGCCTGTTTATTTACAATTAGTGTAATATCATTTAATTTAAAATAATCAATTAAAAAAAAATATTATATAAAATTGATGTAAGACTTTTAGCCTGGAGATGTCATAGCCTAGGAATATCAAATAGTCACCATGTTGGCACAGGGGTCATTTGGAAAAGTATATTTGGGAAAATCTTAGAAAAAAAACATGAATGTAGCAATTAAAGTAGAAAAGGCTGAGGTTTCATATTTTAATAGTTTAATCAGAGAGGTATTCTCAATAGTAAATTGTGATTAGGTTGAAATTTTGAAAACTTTGGAAGGAGTTCCGTGTGTGCCTAAAGTTATCTGGTCTGGATCAGAAAAAGGAATGAGGATTATGATCCAAAATCTATTGGGAAAAGATCTCATACATTATTAGAAAAAAATGAAGAAGTTTTCTTATGAATGTGTTTGTAACATTGCTTATTAGATGATTGGAATCCTCGAATAAATTCATAAGAAGTATTCGTTTTCTCAAAATATGAAGAAACATCATCCATAGAGATCTTAAACCAGAAAACATCCTTGGTGCATCACAATCAGACAAATTACATCTCATCGATTTTGGAATTGCTAAGAATTTAGAATCAAACAAAAAAGGCAAGGAGAAAATATCATTCATTGGAACTACTAGATATGCAAGTATAGCTGCTCATCTGGGAAAAGAATAAAATAAGAAAGATGATTTAGAATCCTTAGGCTACATTATCCTTTATTTCCTCAATGGGAGTCTCCCTTGGATGAGTGTAGACAAGGATGACAATGAAAGACTTGAGAAAATAGGACTTTTAAAAAAAGATATGTCTCCTGAAGAATTGTGTGAAAACTTACCAAATTCAATTTTTAAGTAAAATTCCTAAACTTATTATTAGTATAGATATATGAAGTATGTTAAAGGACTGTCTGCTAAAGTGAAACCTAGCTATTCATAATTAAAAGAGTTATTTACCATTACTAACGTATAACCGAATATGCCATTTGACTGGAATCAAAGAGCAAAGGCAAATCGCAAAATGAATTCTAATAAGTCCATTAAAACCTCGAAATCAGCAAAAGTGTTCAGCAAATCTAAATCACAATTCAGAAAAACATAAAATAACATCCCTTAAGAATCATCCTCAAAACTCATTCTATAATCACAAACTCCTATTAAAAAATTATATAAAACAATTGTGTTTCCAGAGTCCCAAGATAAAACTGTTTATCACTCCAGTGATGATAACCAATAATAAAGCAGTCTGAGTGATGAAAAAAAGAGTAAAGAGAGTGTTAAGGTCGGATATTCAATTAGCTATGAACCATCAAAATTCTCTAGATATTCCTAACACAATAAAAGTCCCATCTAATAATAGTAAAAAGAGAGAGCCAGAGTCTCTACTCTTGATGCCAATCCTTAGGACTTATTAATCATGCCTCCTAAATCAGAAAAATAACTATAAGAATTTGAAGAACAAGATTTAGAACTCAAGTATAACCTGTTATACTATAAATCAATACTGTACAATTACAAAAACCCTATTCAAGATTTCAAGGCAATTCATTATAATTTCCTTGACTGATTTTTATTATTATTTCTCTTTAATCAATAATATATTTTTAATTAACAAAGATATATGACATATTATATATATGTAAAATAATGTATAATTAAATCAGAAGATATTTCAGACATTATAAAGCATTCCTGACTATCTTTAATAATAATAATAATAAATTTACAAATTACTAAATGAATTAGAGTGCAAATTACAGTAAGTCGAAATTTGAATTTGATGAAATAATGCAACAAATTGAAAATGATTCCCCATTATAAACTGTCTATAGAAAAAATAGCTTTGCTATTAAGAATCTAAATTTATATGATTCCCCAGAAGATGAGATGGAACATACCGATTATTCAGCTAAAAGTTTATCAGAAAGTTAATAAAATACACAAATTTGATAACCCCATATTTTCTATATTTATTTAAATAACTACTTATGTATTATTCTTATTTATATAAAATTATCATAAGACATGGTCATCTAGGATAATTAATACCAATATGTTCATGTATATAAGCATGAATAAGTCAGTTTTAAATAAATATTTAAAATAAATTAATGGGATGCATTAATTCTAAACTTCCTTCAAAATCTTAACCTACTCAATCTGTACGGAGCTAAATTTAAATCTAAATTTAAAGCCAAGATGAAAGCCCATATGTGATAAAAAAGAATCCAATTTTCTAGAGAAGAGCTTCATAGAAATCAATTATAAGCCCTTTACAAACAACTTCTTATGTAAAAAGAAACAAGTGAACCTTAAACAAAAGAATGATCTTTCTTAGTATTTTGTTATCAATCAATTTTAAATCATTTTTCATCTATATTTTATAAAATTTTTATCCTTGTTTACCAGCAAAGTTTTGGAAAATAACATATTTATTCTGATCTATTTTAAACAAAGTATCATCTCCTAGGCGTACTGCTAATAAAAATCTTTTATAGGTTGAACATGAGAAGATATTTGCACACTCAATTTATTCAGACTTAAAAGAATTGTAAAACCATTTTAATCTAACCTCTTAATTTATCATTTATTTTTATATAATATAAAATTATATAGTACATTCAATATAATTAGAGAAATCTAAAACAGAAATAATTATTACCAAAATTTATACTTTATTTTACTTAAGATAATGCTTTCCTTTTCTTTTGAAAGTTATGTAAAAATTTCCATTTAAATTCCAGATATTTCTTAAATTTGAAAATCTAATTTTAGAATCAGAAAAAATAAGAAGTAAAATATGGTGACTTAATTCATAACGTGATTTCTCTAAACATTCTTTAAATACTAAATACAAATTTAATCAATTAGATCAGAAATATTTGATATTTTATTCAATATTTGTTAACTCTTTGTAATACCGATTGAAAAGAAGGTCAACATGCTTAGTTTTTTCTTCAAATTGTTGAGATATTTAATTTTTTTATATGCATCTTTTAACATGATTTATTGTAAATAACTCTATCCTTTGTAGAACTGGCTTTTATATATTAGTTAATGTCTGAGCTAATTTTCCCTTTGAAACTAAATTGTCTAAAAATGCTTAAAATGAAAAATGAAAGTGTTTATCATTTTTGATGTATTTATTTATCAATGTATTAGTGAGTTATAATTACTCAAATTCTTCTTTAATGGTTTTACATTTCGTTAAAATTAAGTTAAGTGCATTATTCATATCAACAGGATCATTTGATTCTAATTATAATTAAGGTTGAGGTCTTTAAAGCCTCAATGAACCTTATCTTAGTGATGCTTTTCTAAACCCATTGCTTTATTCAGCCACATCATCAGTAGTCTTGACAACTGTTTATTTCATTGAAGTGATTCTATTTTGCGTTTGAAGTTTGAAGGTCAATTTTGGTTTCTTGTTTAGTGTGATTTTAGTGTTTTATGTTTTCGAAGTTTCATCTTCAGGAGTGTTTTTTCCACTCAAAGTTGAATCATTTACTTCATTCTCATCAGCTTCTAAGTTAGTTCGAGAGTCTCCCAATTTTTTGAGTTCTTTTATTGTTTTAACAGTTGTAGATTAAATAATGTTAGAATCAATTAAAGATTATTACATTAATTAAAAAAATTATCATATTGTATACATCAACTAAGAGAAGTATTGCATCTGTCATAGATCTCTAGAGTCTTATCTACAAACTTTTATCTGTCTGGATGGATAACTGAAGAAGATATAGCTTTTTTGGTGTACTGGGAAGTGATTTTAGAAGGATGAGAAGAAGCATTTAATTTTATTTTTTTCTAAAATCTCTTTTTAAGAAGCAGGTCATCCTCATCTTTATTCACATTTATCTCTTTCATTACAGTGTTTAATGCATTCTAGTATTGATTTTCGAGATATATTCTCATTTACGTTCTTTTCTATTTGACACTTTTTGATGCATTTATAGGATCTCTTTTTTATTGCTTAAATTTCAAAGCTTCATTGATAATTTTATTCATTTTCTATTGTTCAGAAAATAGATCATAATCTTGATCAAAGGTTGAATTATATTGTTGCTCAAATTTTTAAGTATCATAATCTTATTAAAATAACTTATCCATATTTTATGATATATCTTGCTCTTATATTTTGATAGTCTATTAATTCTGACTATATTGTTAAAATTATATTTTAGAAATTGTTGATTTGCTAACATAATTATAATAAATAATACAATGCTTAGATTTCCTCATAATCCACTTTTTTATAATTAGTTGGCTCAATGAATTTTCCATATATATTTAATTTTTAATACAACTGCTTTTTATAAGGATCCATTGGGATAGTAAATTCGTTATAATGATTACTAACTTATTTTCTTGCTTGCTGTTTTTATATCTTATTTTCATCCTAACCAACTTTCAAAGGAGGAAGCAATTTCATTTAGGAAGTTTAAAGAGATAAACGTTATTATTGCTTCTATCTCTGTACCTTCCCCAATAAATCAAGCAAGTTTTCTTGGCAACTTATTGATTGGACTAAATCAATGTCACCGCTAAATGTTATTGACCTCTTTTTAGGGTCGATTTAATCTCGAGACTCATAAGAAATTCTATGTTTAGACTTATATGATGATATTGATCGAATGTGAGAATAGGTTTTACATTGATCCATTAATTATATTAATTATAATCAGCTTAAGTTACTAATATGTTGTGATCTAAGTGTCTTTAATCACTACCTATCTCATCTTATATCGTTTATTCATTTGAAGGAACATCGTGAGATAATTCCATCTTGCTTTCTTCAATCCTCTTTTATTTGACAAGCAAATATAATTTATTTAACTCCATAAATTAATGTTTGTTACATTAAATCATCATTTTCAAGTTACTAACAACATTTAAATTAAAATTAAATACCAGATCCTATTTGTCTATCCAAATAATTCTTTATAATTTTCATTAATTTAAGATTTTTTTTTGAAATATAACTTCTTACTTACATTCATCTCTATTATTTTAATCTATATATATTTTTAGTTTAATGAATTATGAAATTAAATTATTTTGTTTATTTGTTAAGTTCACCTAGAACTGTGTTATTTATTTTGTATTTTGATATTTTAAATGATTTTTCGTCTTCCTAATTAATTTGTATATCTTTTTAATAATTAACACCTCTTTCCCCTTATAAATGGTTTTTTTGAATGATCTAAATTCTGAAGAAGTTAAAAGTAGAAAACTATAATGTTCTAAATTTAATTTTAATTAATTTTATTCATATATACATATATATCTTATGAGATTCTTGCCCTAATTAGTTCATAAATCAAAGAGATAAATCTAAGCAAGACAAGTATTAGCTTAATTTAGATTTCTTCAACAGAATTTTGAAGATAAAAACTGATTTATTTATTAATTCTAGAAATCATAATTAATAAATTGTAAAATTAATCCCAATTAAGTTGTAAATTGAATTTTATTTAATTGAAAAGCAAACAGACAAAAGAGGATTAATTATATGTATATTTTCTGGTAATACTACTTCATATCAATTCCTTCTTCTTTATGATAAATAAAATGAATTTATATATATCGCAGATTTGCAATTGTTATTTAAATTCCTCTCATAATTTGAACTCAATATATGAGTTAGAAAGAAAATACAAGTAGACATATCAATAGAATTAAAGGAATATAATATTTTTATTGCGATTTGTTGATTTCAAAACAATAAGAGGAATAAGGCATATTGAAGTTGGAGGAAGGAATTTTGGAGATTACTCAAGTTTTTGAATAATTTGATTGCAATAATAGTGTTATCAATAGTTTTTAATAAAGTATTAACCACAAAATAAATATCTAATTATAAAAATAATTTTTATAATAATTAGCAAATTAGCGAATCTTTTTAATTATGCTATATTTAATGCGCATAGGGTATGTATAAATGCAAATAATATCTTGAATTTTTGCTAATAATTATAATATATCATCATGTAAGTGAACTCTAGAAGTGCAGTGTAAATGTTTTACAGAAGTGTGTATAACAATACACATGGACTTTTGAAGAAGAGAATGAGAGAGCTCGTGCCTGTGAAATAAGCCTTATTGCGAGATGTCAGAAAGAGATATGGAGCAAAGGAGGTGTGCAAAGTGACAGTCGACTAAGCAATCGGAGGAATGAGAAACGTGTTCGGTCTTTTCTACGACGCATCATTGTTGGATGCTAAAACAGTAATACATCCATATTTAACATATAGGGTATCACAATGAGAGATTACAACATCCCTGAATTGTAGGAATATCTCTAAAAGGCTGAGAATGGACATGAGCCTTTACCAGAAGCCTTGTTTTGGTTGTTGTGCACAGGTGACTTCCCATGTACATATATGTTATTATATATCTTTTAGCCGAACAAGAATTCGCTGACGTTCAATAAGAATGGAAATAAAGAGGACAATTGGATAGTGAGACATAAAAGTTCATTTTGAGTTTACCAAAGGCTGCTCACCCAATGACAATGTTATCTTAAACATTGTTGTTTTTGTAAAAGGACTCTCAATTCCAACAAGTCTATGACCAAGGAAAGGTTTCAAAGCCATAATATTGGGAATACTTCTATGAAGATGCCATGGATTTATTGGCCAAAATCCCAAGAGTCGCTGCCTTGATCTACAGACACAAATACAAGGTATTTATTTGTTTATAGACTTAAGAATGGTGAAATCATCTCAGCTGATGACAATTTGGACTGGGCTGGTAATTATGCTCACATGCTTGGATATAATACATTTGAGGTTAGAGAATGTTTGAGAGGATATTTAAGCATTCATGCTGATCATGAAGGAGGTAATGTGAGTGCACACACAACACATTTGGTTGGTATCAGCATTGGCAGATCCATATTTGTCATATTCTGCTGGTGTCAATGGTTTGGCTGGTCCATTACATGGTCTTGCAAACTAAGAAGTTCTCAAATGGCTCTTGGAAATGAGAGTATCTCAACATATTAAACCTTTTATAGGAAGAATTGGGTGAAAACATCTCAAACGAAAAAATCCAAGATTACGTTCTCACAACCATCAGAGAAGGAAAGGTCATCCCAGGATATGGACATGCCGTTTTAAGATATACAGACCCACGTTTCATCCATCAAAAGGACTTTGCTGCTAGACACATCAAAGATGATCCCTTGGTTGACTTAGTCAGACAATGCTATCATGTTATTCCACCTGTTTTGAAGACCATCGGAAAAATCTAAAACCCATGGCCGTATTTATAGATTATTATCATAGAAATGTTGATGCACATTCAGGAGTCCTCCTTTATCATTATGGAATGAGAGAATTCTAATATTACACTGTTGTTTTCGCAGTCTCAAGAGCATTAGGATGTATGGCCAACCTCATCTGGTCAAGAGCCTTCGGATTACCAATTGAAAGACCAGGATCAATTACTATGAGATGGATTGAAGAGAAGTTTGGAGAAAATTAAAACATTAAATGAACATTTACATCATCACACATACCTATAAAGAATATTCATTTTTAGCAATATTAATTTATTATTCTGATAATCACTTTTTCTAGTTGTATTCTCCTATACCTTTCAAACTCATTCCACGATAGAAACAACATCCCTATCGTCCATAAATTCAACCACTAGCATTAATTACTTCTACCTCATATGATAAAAATTGCGGATTTGGAATTCATGCATTCCATCAAATATATATATCAAAATATCCCATCCTATTTTTATTAAGAATTAAACTAAATAGATTAACCTAATAATATCAGGGGTTCTATTGTAAATTGATTGAGAACTTATAAATATTTTAATTCCTTTCTAATTTAGATTTGTATCATATAAATGTAACCATTTAAAATATAATCGTTTGATTTTGAGGATAGAAATATTCGATGAACTCCTAAATTATATTTCTACAGCTATTTAATCCTAAGATAACATCAGATTATTTACATAAGGATAAGAATATTACTTTGGTTTTTTTGAAACCGGTAATTTTTCAATATTATTATTTTTTTGAAATTTAAACCTGTAGACTTCAGTTTTATGAAATTTTTCACTTAATTAATTGACCCATCGGTTGAGGAATTAAAGTAAATTAGTTTCAGTTATCTTAAGGAATCCAAATATATAATTTAATATAAAATCAAAAATCAAAACTGGAAAATATAGATTATGAACAATACATCTATTCCTCAATAAGACCATCTTCCGTTCCCTTTATTTAATTAGAGGTTTTTCGGTGAATTCTCTTAAGATTAAAAACTAATTGGACATCTCAATTAATTGATGTTACATCTTAATCATAAGTGCACATATAAATGGATGAACTAACTCAAATCTGAATGGACTCTCGATAATGATATTAGAATACTTGTGATAACATGGAATATGCATGGAATGATACCTGGTTACTCTTTGAAGAGACTCTTCAATATAGAATCAATTCACCATGATTTAATTGTTATAGGCACCTAAGAATGTTCAAGAAGTATAGCTGTATCTCTGCTTTGTGAATCAAAAGGAAGTTGGGAATCCAAGTTAAAAGATGAACTAGGCAAAAATTATGTGAAAGTTTAATCTGCAACACTCAATGCTATGCATCTAATCGTATTTGCTCATGTATTATTGGTCCCTAAAATTAAAAATGGAAGGCCATATACACTCTCACAAGGTTTCATGGGAATAGTAGGTAATAAAGGAGGCATAGCCATCTCAGTTAATATTAATGAGAAAATATTCCTATTTGCAAATAGTCACCTTGAAAGTGGATAGAATGCCGAGGCTAAGAGGTAGACATAGTTCTCTAAGCTCGAATCTCATTTTGAAAATGAAGTTTATTCTAGTCACAAGAATGTACCATACGATTATTTGATCTGGACTGGGGACTTTAATTCAAGGATAGATTAAAAAATTACAACTTAAACCATAAGAAACCATTCAGATTTTTTTGGATGGCTTTCAAAAGATTAGATGCATCTAAGTAGAAATAATTCATTAAGTATTCAATTGGTTATAAATAGATTACCAAACCTAATTCTTAGAAGGAATGATTTTCTTTCCGCCGACCTATAAACTATTAGAATACTAAAATTAATGGGCTGTAGGAAATGATTTCAGAATACCTGGATGGTGTGATAGAATTCTATTTAAAGAAAATAAACAATCTAAGACCTTATCATCTACTCAAGGTTTCAACGAAAATTAACCATCACAAATTAAATTATAAAATTATGATGCAAATTTCGATATCCTAGGTAGTGACCATAGACCTGTTTTTGCTTAATTCACAGTTTCCTTTTAATGATCTATAATAATTAAATATTTTACAACATTAATTAACTTAATCTTAATTAATGAAATTTTGAATACATTATTTAATTGATAATGTAAATTATTCAACGCAAGGAGTCAATTTTTGATTCAAATATAAGAAATATTAAGGTAAGTCAACTCATTGTAAGTATTCTTCATCCAAAATGGTATTATTAGTTTCCTTATTCAAGATTCGAAGCCATATTATTAGAAATAAAAAATATTTAGCTGACCTCTTAGAGCAATCATTTTATGATATTCTTGGATCAAATAACTCAATATTTAATTTTTTTCACCTCCTGTTCTATTATTAAGTAAATAGTGGATAACGGAAATTGAAAATATAATTTCTCAAATCTTTAGTTTTATACAGTATTTTATAAAATGGATAATAGATTTGGAGTATTTACTCTCCGGGGGATGAAATATAGTATATAAGACTTAAGCATTTTGGAACTTTTATAATTCACTTAATAATTTTGATTAATAAATCGAATAAAGTTAAGTGTCAATCAAAATGTCAAACAATAAGGAAAGATTCTATGAGTAGAAGTCGTAACATTAAGAATCTCAAGAATCATAACCATCTAGAGAAATTAAAAAAGATAAATTCTTAAATAAAACAAAAATAAATGATTCCCCTTTCGATTAGAAAGTCGAAATCAAATAATTCAAAAAAGCTGTCTCGTAAAAGTCAACTGTAGGTAAAGCAAGACATAAATCCCAAATAATATAAACTAATTAAACAATGAAAGAGAGTATGAAGCAATCAAACTAATCAAAATCCATCCAAAAATCAATACATAAAAACAATTCAAATTAGTAAATGAAATCTCCTCAAACAGAAGAACATCTAGTCTCTAAAAAACCCATTAAAGAAGAATAATCAGAATCTGAGATGAATAGTGTTTTCAATATTGAATAAGAGGATTCAATCATAAAGTTAAACGATTAATTTCAGAGATAAGCTTCTAAATAGGCCTTTGCTCAATTATATGAATTAGACGATTGTTTGGAAGAAATGCAAGAGAAAAATTATATAAGGAATTAGATTGAGAACACTAAAATACGGAAAATAGACAATATTGACCAAATATTAAGAAAGGAGGAGTGGGCGGAAGAAAAGGAAAAAGTTGCTCAATTAGATTTCAATCCTGAGCTTGAATACTAATAATTAATAGATTAGAAAAATTTGAATCATTCTATCAATTTAAGAGTTTCTCATAATTTTTAATGGTTGAAAAAGGAGGTTTCGTATTATTAGGATGGGCTTAGATTCTTGTTTTTTAGAAAGATAATAGTCACAATAATCATTTCAATAGAAATATTATGCTACAAGCTATTATAATCCACTATTTTTGATTTATATGAAATGTTGGTAACATTAGCAAATATTATCCTATTTTTGAATAGATCTCCTTAAGAGTCACCTAAAATAAGCGAATACTAATATTTATTTTGTGTTTTATATTTTATTGACGCTTTTATACATTTAGCTGGTTAAGGGTTTAAAAAGTACATATAATCATTTTGGAATATTTATGATTTATTAATCCTCGTTCTCTATCTTTTATACATTTTATAGAACCATTACATACCCTTTGATGTATCTACTTTTAGATTAATCAGAATACCAATCTATGTTGGACGTATTAGCAATAAGTTAAATATCATTTTATTATCAATTAAAGAAGCAGTAAAACAAATTGTAGAAAATTTGCTAATATTAATTCTGTTTACAATTTTAATTGCAATATTTATGCTATATGCTTTTAATGGAGTGCTTAAATATAGATGCATGCACGAGGAACTTGGAATTTTTTCCTTGAATTCATACGAAATTGCAGTCTGTGGATATAAGGAATGCGAGATTGGCTTTGTATGTGCTCGACAATTATAGAGTATTGATGTTCCAACTAATTTTGATAATATTCTGTTTGCTTACTTTTAAACTATAAGAACTAGTATAGTAAATGATTGGACGATAACCATGTATATGCTAATGAAATAATTCAATCCTTTCGTCTGTATTTTATATGTATTCATCATTTTTGCGATTAACAAATTTTACTTTCAGCTTTTAATTGCTGTTCTAAAAGTCTATTATCATAAAACTTAGGAATATTATATCAATAATCCTGTTAAACCTGAATTTTCAGAGGATTAAATTAAAATAAACATGTCATAGCTGTTAGAAACTGATATTTGGAAAACGGTTAAGATGGAAATTTTCAACTATTAAAATTACAAATTTAATACATAATATCGATTAGACCCAAAAAGTAGATAGCAAAAGCTAAGTATGCAACCAATTCAAGAACATAATAATGTTAAATACTTATCTGCACGTTAATAGATAGATTAACAGAATGAAAGAGAACTAATTTTGAAACAAAACACTCATCAGTCTTGGATAATTTCCTTTTATTTTCCATATCATTAATTACAATCATAAATTTAAAACCTTATCAATAATAATGAAAGTAAATTTTCACATTTGGAAACATTCTACACTCTAAGAAGTTTAGATTATTTGAGTATTTATACAGAAGTTCGATATAATGTGCCTTATGATTTTGCATCAATTTAAGATATACAGATATAAGAAGATCCTAAAAAGAAATAGAAAGAGGGAAAAATTATGAAGAAGTAACATTTACATCAACAATATTTTATTGTTTAAAAAGTTTAAAACAACTTTAAAACAAATGATAGACCAAAACCAAGATTTCCTTACATGAAAAAGACAGTTCACATGCATAATGATGAAGAGTTCTTTGAAAGCCTAGGAAATTCAAGCATGAATGAAAGTAGTATGTAATCAAGTTCTGTAAAGTAGAATCATGAGCATTTCTAATAATAGAAGATGGGAAACAATATTTTTGTTATATATTCTTAATAAGAAAGTAAATAGCAAAATCCTTTTTAAAAAAAGAATAAAAATTAAAAATTATTGTAAATGAATACATAGAGTAGAACAAGTATAAATCCTAATTAATTTAATCTTAACTATGATGATGTGGTTGCAATGATAAATCTTAAATTAAAAAATGAAACTATTTCAATTACAAATTATGAAGAAGTGTATGAGCAAGAAAGAAATTAATCCTAAGAAGGAATCTACCTATAATAATGGTCTGGTAGTGATTTGATAGAGAGATTTCATTTTGAATCTGTGGTCTAATATTTAAATAAATATTGGAATTATTATTTTTTGAAAGGAATACGTTTTTATCTTATCAAAATTCAATACTAATTATATTACTTTATTACTAATTAAATTATTTAGATATTACTAGATGGATTTGTTTGTTTAAATATTTTAATATTAACATTTTCTGATTTTTATGACCAAATAATAGCAGATTATTTTGATTTAATTGTAACAATACTGTTATTTTTGGAAACCATTTTAAAGGTTTTGACAATTCATAAGTATTTGTAAAATTTCACTAATGTTCTGAGTGTACTAATAATTACATTTATTTTAATTGAGAGAATATTATTTTTTTCACTTTTTGATGAATAGGAACCAACATTCGAAATTTTTATATATATAAAAATACTAAAGTCCCTCTTTTTCTTTAGAGTCATCAAATATAATACATTTGCACAAAATATGATAATGATATCCTACTAAACATTTCCAAATTATGCAGTAATGGCATTGTTACTTCTCTTTTTAATGTTGAATTATGCAATATTTTCATTGTAAATATTTGATTTCCCTGAATTTGATGAATTAAAAATGTATCATTATTTTGGCAATATTTATCAATCTTGGATAGCAGTATATGATATATCGACTGGTGATGATTGGTATGGTGTCGTTATACTAAGTACAACTTATGGAATCTATTACATCGGATTCTTATTTTGTATTTCTTTAGTATTTATAGTTAACTATTTTGGATTTGGATTATCTTTTGTTATTATTCTTGATGGATTTGCAAACTATTTGGATAGTGCAAAGGAGTCGGAAACATAATCAATAGAAGAAAAGGAACAAAGTGTAGTCTTGAATTTTAATCATTACGATTCAGAAATAAGAAAAGAGAGTTTAGTAAAGAAAGATAATAACAATATAAATTTGAAGAGTTTACTTGAAACTCTAATTGAACCAGAAAACAAAGAGAAATATTATAACATATAAAATGAATATTCATTGTTCATAATTTAGAAAAGTAATTCATTAAGGAAGACATGCTTTATGATCTCTGAAATTTATCCTATTAAATTATTATTATGTTTTGTTTTATGGAGCAGTTTAATTAATTTAATTTTGATTACTTATTATGATGAAACTGATTAAAATTTTTGGAATCCTTTTGAGATAATTTAATGTCTATTTAATTTATTAATATTGATCGATGCAATAATTTAAATAATTACTTATGGAGCTATTGCATAGGATGGATACTTTAGTAGTATATGGGTTAGTATTGATTTTGCATATGTTGTTACTTATTTTCTTTATTTAGCATCTAATCATTCTGCTTTGAAATGGATATTATATTTGGGCTATTTGCGTCCCCTCAAAGTAACATCAACTTATGGATTCTTCGTTAATGAAAGAGGAGCTATAATGAAATCATTTTCTGATATCTTAAGAATTTTCTATGTTATTTTACTTTTTTGGTTCATCTTTGCTATTTTTGGAATGACTATTTATAAAGATAAGCTTGGCTATTGTGATTCTTATTTTAATTATGGAGTGGGAAGATAGGACTGTTAAGGAGAATGGAAAGTATACCCTCATAATTTTAATAACATAATTGAAGCTATGCAATCCTTATTTATTATTTCTACTCTTGATGGTTGGGGAATAACATTCTTTGTTTGTATTAACAGTGCTTCAGAATAAACAGGACCAATTCGATTTAATAATGAATGGATTTCATATTTATTTTTTTTCAGTTTCACCTTTATAGGAGCCTTGTTCTTCTTATAATTCTTTGCAGGAGTTATTTTTGTTAACTTTTAATAAAATAAGCAGCAACTTTTGAATCCTGATTTAACCTTAGATTAAGAATTATTTTTAAAATTAACTGAGATTATAATGTTGGATACTCCGAATTACTCAAAACCACCAAAGAAAGGATTGAGATTAAAGGCTAAAATACTTCTGGAAAATTCATCTTATATTTTAATTACTAAACTAAGTTTAATTCTAAATCTATGTAATTGTTTTAATAATCTTAGTTACTTTGATGTTATTTTATGAGTAAGGCAGTACTAGATTTTTACAAACTCTGAATTGGCTCAATCACTTTTTTAGCTTTATTCTATTAATAGACTGTATTCTAAAATTGTTTACATATCATATTAAAAGATATTTTGATGATATTTGGAGATAAATGTAATTGATTTTTGTGTTATTATCGTTACTTGATTTCTACATCGATATTTAGTTTAACTTTTATATGAGATATGCAAGAGCCAGCAGAGATGATCCATATTTTATTTGGTTGAGAATTTTTATATTGAATAGATGTCTAAGAATGTCATTAATTATCTAGTAGTTTACAAGAATACGAAAATTATTAAATGTTATTTATTTCAATAAAATGGCTATACTGAGAATTTTGGGATTATTTATTACTGTTTTATCATGTTATTCATATGTAGGTTGTGCTCTTTTTGGAGAGGCAAACTCAGGTTCCATTCTAAATGATTAATTAAATTTTAATAATTTTTTTTTTGGTTTACTAGCTAGTTTTAAATGCACAACCGAAAATGGATGGAGATTTATTTTTGTTGATTCTTAAAATTATATGAAATAATAAAACAAACCGTGGGTTTTAGCTTCTGTGTTTTATTATAGTTTAATATTTATTGGGGCTAGAGTATTGATGAATTTAATTGTTTGTGAATTGGTTTAAGAATTTGAAAAATTTTATGATACAAGCAGCAGTTGTTTAGAGACTTATGTAGAAACAATAGATAAATTTAGAACTTTATGGTGCAAATATACTGAAGAATTTCAAGGGACAAAAATGCAAACTAAATACTTAGGACATTTTCTATTAGATTTAGAGGAACCATTAGGAGCTTTAAAAGGAGACAACATTTGGGATGCTGCCAAAAAAGCATCAAGTTTTGAATTAAAAAAGGATTTTGCAGGTTGTCTTACCTTTAGGAATCTTCTTTACGAAGTTTTTAAATAAGCTTTCAAAGAAAGTGTATTCAAAATTACTACTGAGGCTGGTAAAACAATAATGAAGGAAAATGATAAGAAAATAAAATATAGATTGTACAATCAGCGATCTCATCACTTTAGAAGGGAAAGAGTAAATGAAAAGGTGGATATTTAAAGTAATTTCAACATTCTATAGGAATATTTATATCTTAAGATGGCATTGAAGGCTTGGAGAAGTTTCTCAGAACATTTTTTTATTGTTGCAGGTGAAGTGCAAAATACTATTGATTTTACTGAAAGTGATGTTGATGCCTAGATTTCTAGTGAGAATAGCCAAATTGAGGGATTCGATGTTGATGAACCACAAAAATAGATAAAAAGACTACCTTCTAAAGAACATCTAAGGAGACCTACTGATGTTTACATTTTACCTTATTATGATGAAATCAAATTTAAAGACAAAAATCTAAAGTCGATCCTTAAAGCTACTGATTAATAATAACAAAAGGTTTTTAAGTCAATATCAATTGTTAAAAAGAAAGAGTAGTTAATATAATATAAAGAATATAATAAAAGAAGAGATGCAATAGATAAACCAACTGCTTCTAGAAACAGATATCAGTATGGATATCATGAAAAAATTACTAGATAATAATTAGAAGAAAAATCAGATAATAGATTACTTTCGAGATTTGATCCTACTAAAATGCCCAGTGCATATAATATTACTAAAATAGCATCAAAATTAAAATGAAAAAAATCAGATAATATATTTTTTTATTTTATAGAAACCAATAATATATATAAAAATATCACAATTATTTAGAAAGAGAGGCTATTTATTGTAATTTATTTTAAAATAACTTTGTTAAATAATATACTATAGAGTTTGTTTTATAAAAAGAGCATAAAATATTGTATTTATTATTAAAACTTTACTGAATTGATAATTTGTTAAGATTGCCCATTTTATATCAATACTCTGATTAAACTTTATTGTTATTTATTGATTTGCCTTTCAAATCAATTTTTATCCAATTAAGATCAAATGTGAGATTTTGTTTAATATTTAAATTTCAATTAATTCTTAGTATAAATTAATTTCACTTCTTGATGTGGTAGTCTTTAAAATTGGAATGTTTTAAAGGTTAGTAGCATTAATCAAATATAGGGGATATTTTTCTTGTCACCCTTTTATTATTATTCAAGTTTATAAAAATTAATTATAAAAAATAATATATTATTTATATAAATACTTAATATGCAAAATATCTTATTTTATAATTAATGCAATCACTTCCGTTCATATTATTAATTATTATTATAATGAACCTGAAGGTGAATGTTGATATAAACAGTAGAGGATGCACTTTAATCTTTCATTTTCTTAAAGTTTATGTTTATACCTTAGAGCAAGACATATTTCAAAAAAAATACCATATTCATTTTATTTAAAAAATATTATATAACACTATTGTTATTTTACAAGCTATCTATTTTTATTAAACGATTTACTTATTAAGAATTTGTTTTCAATATTGAATCTTGAAAAAATTTGAATACAAGATTCTATTTAGGAAATTGATGTTTCTATTTAAATTGTAAGAAGAGATATTGATACTAATTATTACAATTATATATATATAACTCGATATATTTAATCATTGGAAAAGTCACTTGGTGTGATTGTTAATATATTGTTTGAGTATTGAAGCTCTTGTCTATTATAAGAAAGCCTCCATTTGAGAGATTATTGTTTTTAATCTCTAGCATTACTATAATTTCAAGACATCATTATTAGTAACGTGAGATTTCAGACTTTTTTTTGAAGGGACATCAGTTTCAGAATCAACTTTTCTAATTTTTTTTGATTTTCTGATAACATGCTTAGTCTTTTTTTTAGGGGCTTCCTCCACATAATTAAACAAAAGGACAGGTTCTTCCTATAAATACCCATCAAAAGTATTAAGTTATTCTGGTTCCTATTGAGCACTTTGTTCATATTCATAATATTATGATTCATTTGTTTATTCAATAAGAGGTTCATGAATTAACTCTAGAAATAAGTAGAATAAGTACATTATGAATGTTGTTCTTCAAAGTCAATAGGGTAGAAATTCATAAAATTGAAAATAATTCTTTAATTTAATTATATTGAGATTTTCATAATTTAATCTTTTTATTTCATTAGCGTTTTTTTGGTGGAGATAAATTTTTGTATCTTTAATAAACAATCAACTTGTATTCAGATATTAATTAAATATATATAAAATACTAATTTATATAGAGAATATCAATCATTTTCTTCTTTGTTGCTATTATGTAAATTGCATCCCTGGAAATGAAAATCCAGAAAATCCTGCTCCTCCTTACTATGAGAAATCTCCAAATTAAAATGGAAATCCTTGTCCTCCTCTCATGTTCTAACCCATTCCTCCTAAATTAGTTGTAAAAACAGTTTTAAATCCTCCTGGAAATTCTCCTCCTGCCATGTTCCCAAAACCAAAGTCTGCTCCTCCTTCACTACCAAAGAACATCTTGAATATTTGGGAGGGATCAATATTTGTTTCAAATCCTCCTGCTCCTCCCATTGGGTCATTTGGATCTACTCCCATATCATATTGCTATCTTTTCTATTTATCACTCAACACACTATATGCCTCAGCGATTTCTCTGAATTTCTTATCAGCTAATTTCTATAATAATATTATAAATATTATACTTTTTATTCTTCACTCTCTTTATTTTTATCTGGATGCCATTGCAAAGCTAATTTTCTATATGCTTTCTTAATATCTGTATCTGAAGCATTTTTGTCAACTTCTAAGATTTTATAATAATCTTTCTTCGATAATTGTTTCTGTTTTCTTGTAATATCATTTATCTTCTATCTCATTTGTTATATTGATCCTTAATCTAACTCCATCACTTTCTAATAGTCACCTTATGCACCATCCAAATCTCCTAATTCTTATCTTGAATCTCCTCTTCTCAAATAGGCTTTGAAGTATCGGTCATTCAATTCAATTGATTTATCAAAATCATCGACTGCCTTTCTATGATCCTTCAATTTCTAATAAGCCAATCCTCTATTGGCATAAATTATGGAATTGAATTTAAAATTGTTAGAATCCACTTCCAACGCTTTGGTATAATAATCAATAGCTTCATTAAATTTATTTGAATTTAAACAATCATTTCCTTTAGATTTATAATTATCTGAATCTTTAGCCATTTGAAAAGCTAATAAACATTTTTTGTTATTGTAATCTTGTCTTACTCCCTCTTAAAGGATAGATTTTGCTTTATCTGGGTTTCCTCCATATAATTCTATTAGACCCTTTAAATAAGATGATTCAGCCCTTGTCCCAAACTTCTCCTAAATTAGTCTTAATTATTCCTAAGCTTAATTAGCATTGCCTGTTCTGGCTAAACATTCACAATTCAGAATTTGAATGTCGACAGCATCTGGAATTTCCTTTGCAACTTTTTCCATATAATATAAAGCTTCTTTATATTATTTGGCATCCAATTTCTGTTGTGTCTACTACAGATTATAGATTAATTCGTTAATTTGTTTATGTTCCTTGATGGATTACTCACTATTATCTAAACTAACAATTTGCCCGAAAATAGGCTTGGCCTCTGTTAACAATCCCAAATGTTACAAACTCAAAGCCTTTCTTCTTAGAAACTTAGCATTATTGGGGTCTAAGCTTAGAGCCTTTTCACAGTCCTTTAAACATTTTTTATACCTAAATAGATTATTAATAAAAATTACTTTTTCATTTGAAGGAAACAAGCAGCCCTATTACCATAATAATTCGGTTCATTTGGACAAAGTTCTAAAATAGGAAGATTATTGATACCAATAGCTTTTTCATATTCCTCTGCAGCATTAGAGTATTATGATCTTTTAAAATAATCGTTTCCTCTATTTTTATGATCTTCTGCCTATTATTTAAGTCTATCTATTCCTGTATTGTGTTCCACTTCCATTAGAAATAATTTAAAAAAAATAATATTTTTTTCCTTCATTTTCCAGAACCTTCTTAAAGCCCAAAGTCATTATAATTAATTAGATTTAAATTAAAGAAAAATAGAAAATATATTATACCAGAAAATTATTAGTTTATCTTTAAATTAGCTAATGCTATGCCAATTTATAATTAAATATAAGAATGTGTAAGTTACAATTAGTTCTGGAACTAAATATACATAAATAGAAATTCTATAATAAATTTTTCATATTGATAAGGTTTAGATGAAACTGTAGAAATGATCCATCAAAATCTAAAGAAACATTTATCATTGATTATTCATTATTCTGAAATAGAATTTCAAATTATTTTTTCATCATTCTATTGAAATTATGTATATAGAATTGTATGATATATAGCAATAAGAGATTATGATTTTAAAACAAGGGGAAAATAGATGCAATCAATTCAACAATTTTAGATTTTATTAATTTGGATCTTCTTGTTTACGGATTTGATTGTATTTGTTAATAAATATTCTAATTTGGATTTATAGATTTATCACTTTAACATTGAAAGAGATATTGTTAACAAAATTTGGAATTTACTTGAATTGGAATGATTTATGGTATACTATTAAGGATTCCAAAGGATAGCCATAAGAAACGTTAAGCAGTGTGTTGCCAATAAGGGAACTAAACACCTGCTTCATTAAAATGACCAATATTAGGTTTATTATATATAATTACTAAAATTAACTTAAATGAATTAGAGAATAGAAACCCATAAAATTAAATAATTGCCTTCATTATATAAATTAAACTTGAATTGTTGGAGATTTATCCTTATTCAGGGGCAATATCGCTGTAAGTGACGTACCAACGGATACGCGAGATTGCTAATTGAAAACTACTCCAATGCGAGTGTACGACTTCCTTGTGAAGTCGTTCACCAATTTCTGAAGGGTCGAAAGACTCACACCCTCAATAAATTAAACAAACGAAATTTATATATATATTTAAATTATGAATTAACAAGAACAGGAATTCCTTTAGACTCTCAAATAATGCTAAAAAATGCATTGGATCTAATCTAAATAATTGCCAAATTTGAAAATATTTTATACAGGAACAAATAGCTTCTACTAAAGAGGTGATATAGTTTTTGATTTCCTACTCCCTCTGAATTCCTCATTGGATGAGAGAGTCTAATATTTTAGAATTGGGAAAGAATAGTTATCTGATGGAAGCTTAATTGAGAGATGCAAATTCAAAAATTAAATATATTCTCTTAAATATAAATATCACTATTTCAAAATTAATGAATCCACTTAAGGAATTCACAGAAAGTATGATGATTGGATTATGGTTTAACAATTAGTGTTTTATAAAGTAGAAAAATCAAGAACAACTTTAACAATCCTATAACATCTAAAATCATAACCAAATTATAGTTTTTTAAAGTTTTTACGAGAATGCATTATTAATTACTCAAGTTTACAAGTAGCAGAATTATTTGAAAAATAATCGATCTAATCAGAACTACGTTTAGATGAAGATGAGGAAGAATTAAATAAATATGTATGCAACTATAATGACACAAATGAATTTTAACCTAAAGAAACTGATGAAAAATATATCAATGAACATTATCGGTATGATATATTCTTACTAAATGATAGAGTAACTTAGTTAGATTAAGAAGACTAAGATATTTATTATAAACTATTTTAAATTGTAAGTGAATACAAGCTCTCAAGTAATACTTTGATAAGATGGCTCATTGCAAGAGGGTGTAATTATAGCAATTTGTAATTTTAGATTCGATATCAATGCTTCATATGCAGCCATAATGAATTGGATTGTATGATATATTTATTAATCTTAGGAATGGAGAAGACAACACAGAATCAATCGTTTATCGGCAAAATAATTTCCAGAATTTAAAGGAATCTTGGATATTGTGGGGGAAAGCAAGTGTGGTAGATAAGTTGTATATACAAAGCAGTCTAAATTGTAACCTGATAAAATGTAATTATTCATTTAAAATATTTAGAGATCTCGAGAGATATAAATGGTATTTCATCGGTTTTCTAGAGGATGTCTGTAGATCTTGCAAAGGATTCGTAGATTCCTATATTACCATTTTAGATGTAGATGGATTTGGCTTTTCCAATTTCGATCTCCAAATGACCAAAAGCCTTTTGAATATGGTGCTACAGTTTTTTCCAGAGAGATAAAATAAGGTGTTTATCATTAATATGTCTGGTTTTGTAATGGGATTTTATAAAATGTTAAAGCCTTTCTTACCTACAAGGACGAATGATAAAGTAATTTATAGCAATTCATTTAAGCTAATCTTTTTGGGAAAAGACAAATAAGAAATATAAAAGACTTTGATTGAACATCTTGGATTTAGTATAGACTTTGAATGATATCATAATATTTTATGAAGAGGAATTTAAATGTAAATCTGCAATTCAAATCTATAATTAAAATAAAATTAGAAATCTGTAAGATTGATTTAAATCAATAATTCAGGTTATATGTTAAAAATAGCTTAATCTATTTAAATAGATAAGCTGTACATTAATACTAGATATTTTCTCTATTTTTCATTTCAGAACACTTTTGTTTCAAAAATCAAAATAATCTTGTCTTCTGTTTTTCGCTCATATAATAACTTTCATAGTCTCAAAAGATAATAATATGTTTTAATAGAGCATCATAAATGATTTCTTCTTAAGTAATTATTGCCTTATACAATTAATTCATTTTCAAAACAGGATATTCAATTGTAATTTTAGCTTATTTTAAATAATCGCTGAGAGCTTTTCAATTTATATTTATTAATTGAGGAATTTCTAATTCTAATAAACAATTATTCCCTATCATTAAACTATAATTATTCTTCAAATATTTGATTATAATTTAAAATAATTCTTTCATAAACTTAAATTTCGTAATTAATATGAGTAATAAGGCAATCAAGTTAAGGTCTCTATGGTTAGAAGTTTAGTAAATAAAATGAACATTATGACGTTTAAAATTATTATTAGAGATTGAGAAGAAGCAATATTTATTAAATGGATAAGATCTAGTTTTACTTAAAATATGATTAAATGGATTATATTTGATGGTTAGAAATAAATCTTCTTGCATTACTAAATATAATATCATAAGATTTCATCTAACTTCTTTGTAATTTCTTGAAACACTTCTTCAATAGGTTTGTCTGCCTTTATATGGATACATTGTGAAAGGGAATCAAAATGTTCTAATTATATTATAATAAATGTATACATATAATTGGTCTTGTAGATTCATTGTATGTTTTCAATCTTTTAACAAGTGTTTCATCATTATCATCTGATCTTCCACTTTCTTAAGCCCTGATTTTAATTCTATTTTTTAAGGTCTCCTCATCACATTCAAAATAAAATAACTTTTTAAATTCCACCTTATCACCCATCAATTTAATCCAAACATCAAAATTCTCTTAATTTCTGGGGAATCCATCAATTAAAAACATTTTATCAAGACCCTTAGCTTGCATGGCTGATTCTAGTAAACTAATTGTTATGTGACTCTAGAAATTTATGTATCATAGTTACTGGGACAATTTACCCACTCTTAATGATTTCCTCAATCAATTCAGCATTTTGTGTTTTTTTAGATCTCTTAAAATACAATTATTTAATACCTCCTCCCTCAATAAGTCACCTGCAGATAAGTGAACAAAATGATACCTCTCGACCATTTTTGCACTTTAAGTACCCTTTCCTGCTCCAGGTCCTAGATTGATTAATCGAAAAGAATGTACCTCCCAAAACAAAAAATACTTTTGGCTTAACTTAATCCATAATAAATTATATATTTAATTTTCACTAATACTTCCTATAGTATTTCTTGGATTTATGAGTTGATTTAGATCTTCTTCTATAACCATCGCTACTATCTGATTTGTTTCTTTGTCTTGATCGAGATCTTTCTTTGCTTTCTTGCATTTTTGTAGACTCTAATAAATAAATTAAAAAACTACTTTCATAATCATATTTGTAACTCTTGGAATGTCTTCTTTCAAATTAAAATCCACTATAATACTTACTATTTTTATATTTATCAGAGTCTACAGATTCCTATCTTTTTCTTCTGTAATCTTATGATTTTTGTGAGCCTTCACTGCTAGATCCTTAAATTAGTTTAGATTATTACTTCTCTTATTATACCCCCTATTTCTGGAGTGATCATTATCTTCATAATATCTTCTACTAGTTCTAGGCCTCTCATATTTATAATTCTAATATTTATATTTCTACTTCGATTTATCATAATTGTGTGATTTTTCATATTTATATTTATCATACCTATCAATAGAACTCTCTTAATTATAGTTATATCTATGATGATGAGATTTATGCTTTTATTTAGTAGATAAATCTCTACTTTTCATTGATTCAGAACTGCTCTATCTTTTTTAATGTTAATTATTGCTTGAATCAGAAGAACTGTTATCACTACTTTCCTTTTATCTATCACTTTTTTTGCTGAATTATGATGTATGAGATATCAATGAAATTAAAGACAAATTTTAAAATTTAGGAGTGTCATCTTCTTAGAAACTGTTATATCTTCTAAATGAATCTTATTAAAAGTTTCCATCTATTTGTGCTTATTCTGGCTGATGTCTTTTAAATCCTAAGATTGCATTTAGAATTTTCCGGGTTAATAGGATTAAATTCCTTTTCCTCAACATTTACTCCTAATCAGTTAAATTCTTTTAGATTTCCTTTCCTAAACAATATTAGATATACAATTAGGTTTCATAATCTCTAAGTAAGGATGGATAGCAGCGTTTAACAAACCAATTATCGAATTTCTATTCTCTATACTTCATAATGTTGAATTAATAAAAATATGGTGTAATAAGATCCCAATTCTTCATAAATGCCATATCATTAGTCATCATTGTATTTTAAAGGTATTTAAAAACATATCTACACATTTACATAGACATTTAATCTTAAAACTATTCCAATTTTAATTGACAATCCTCTTAAATCATTTCAAAAAACATTTGCTTTGTTTATTTAATCTGATTTCTTAAACACAATATCAATATCGTCATATTCTTTCTAGGATGGGAGGCTTCAAACAAGAGTACTTTGGTAGAAGAAGAATCCTTTTCAATCCTCTATTTAACCTATTTGCATTGCTCCTTATATTGTGGAGAAATGAGAACAGTGAAATAAGTCATCTCCTTTTCATTATTGGTCTCTTATTCCAGAAGTAATTTAATAGCATTACTAGTATCTTAAATCTGTTAAAGAGTTCCAATCAAACAGACTTCCTTCTCCCTATACTATATGTAAAAGAATGGATGATTGATATCTCTCTAAGTTTGTTCGCCTTTTGCATTGTAAACGGAATCTCTCGATATACGGATCTCAGCATGTTATTTTAGATGATACATGTTTTGCTAAACAGTCTTAGTTTCACTTCTACTTATATACAGTCTTTAAACACATAATGTTTTTAAGATTTTTGATATCTCTTGGACAGTTGATTCGATGTTCTATTTAGACCCCTTAATTTTAATTGGAGTAGCTTTGTCCATTGGAAATATCTCTTCACTATGAGCTAATGATTTATTATATATGATGTTAACTTCTTGTTTTTTATCTAAACTGTTGCTATTAAGAATTAGAATTAAATAATTACAATTTCATTATTAATCTTTTTAAATAGATAATGGGTACTTTAATCTACCCTTCTATGATTCCGAGTTCTTTCTTCAGCTCTTTGATAATTTATTCAATCATGATTAGGATTGATCTGAAGATACTTATCTATTAGACAGAACCAATGACAGTCAAGTTGTTCTCCTTCTTGAAGAAATCTGCATATTATTGATCTATTTATTCAAAACTGATTTTGTTTCCAATCTTATAAATTAATGGAGCATTCTTTTTGACTACTTTCTATTCAAGAATATTGATTTTAAAACATTCCTTTTTAGTATCAATATTTTAGATATTTTACACTTGAATCTATTCTATTTATTATTGCAATTCATTATTATCATTATACTGTTCTTCAAACTTTTTTTAGGCTACATCAACAATAGATTGCATCTACTATAGTTTACCACTGTTCTGTGATTAAAATTCAAAGGACTGTTTAACAAATTGATCTAAGTTGTTTAATGAAGTGCCTGTAGATTTGATGCCCTTTGAAGTCAGAGGTAAATCTGAAGTATTAGTATCCAAATCTTCTTTTTTATTATAATTGACATCTTCCTCTAATTTATTAATTTATTATTATTAATGTTATTTCTATTATAAATATTCTCTGACTGTTTATTTCTCTAAAGATTTCATCATCTTATATCTGTTATCATATTCACTATCAGAATCACTTGAAGAAGATGATGAATCCATCTTTTTCTTATTCTTTTTCTCATTATTCAACTATTTAACTTTCTACTACAATAAGCCTTCTATTTTTTCTTTCTCTTTTTCAGATTCAGCCAATATTCTTTTCTCATCCTAGCATTCCTAACAATACCAAGCATCTTTTGGTACTGATGACAATGGAGGTACAAGACATAATAAATGGAATCCACAATTGCATTTATCACATAACAATAGTTATTCATCATCTTATGGTGTTTTAGTTTGACATATTTTGCATACCATATTTTCCAGATGTTCTTCCCACTCTTCTTATGTAACATCAGTTGGCTTCAATCCCAAGTATCCCTTGCATTTATTAGCTCCACAGAGACATTTAGTCAAGGGTGTATGAAATACGTCAAATTAATAATCAAAGGTCAATTCTTCATCCTCATTTATGTCTCGTATGGCAAATATACCTATACATACTTCACCTAACACATTCCATTTCTCAGTAATACAATTTGGCTCACAAGAGTGATTTATAAATCTTGCTAGATTCCCTTTCGATGTTGGATCAATAACTTCTTAATTGTTGAGTTTCATTAAATAAGTGCATGTAGATTTCTAAAATAAACACACAATTCAAACCGAATATTCCTGCACTCGTCTTCTCCCAAATGCACTATTTATTTGAAATATCTCGCCAACATATTGCATTATGAATTGTCCTTTCAAAATACGTTCGCCAGCAAACAAACCCATCCCTTTTCCTCCGCAACGTAATGGATATACACATGCATCATCATGTTTCTAAAATCTTCTGTTTTTGCATTGTTCTGCGCATGGACACAACTCTACATCACATTCTGTGCAAGTGAATCTATTCAAGCATCTCTCACCGCAATTATACGAATATTATGGACCTTAAGGTCGACTATTTTTACGATTTAATGTACCTTTATATTTGATCTTCAGGACACATTATGCAGGAACAAACCAATGTCTCATCTCTGCTAACTCTATATTGTTTTCTTTCCAAATATTGATTCTTTTTTAACAATGTAAAGTATTTGAAACTATCTTTCAATCCCTATAATCGTGCAGGATTTCCTTGTAATTTAGAAACTATCTTGCATGATAATTATGGGTAATTACATTTCTGTTTTTGGAGGTTTCTTTAAGGATGGACTACTCATTTTTCTTTGTTTTATTACTCTCATCCAATTACATTAATTTAAAATTATTATCATTATAATATATTAGTAATAACTTTTGATGGACAAGTATGTTTGCATTCATCACAGCAGACCAATTTTATAGGAACTTCCTAAATCAATAATTTCTTTTCGCTTTGACTCAACTCTTTTTCCTTTTGCTCTTTCTATACTTTTTACTACATTACTAAAGGATATTTACCTTAAAAATAATCTACTACTCAATCTCTTTAATAAGGGCCTATTTCTCCATGGATTTATCCAGTTACTTTTATTTTTCACGTTATTCTTCTTATTGTTTGTATTAAATCATAGTGTAATATTCCTGTTATTTTTTGTTTTCCTCATCTTTTCTTTTTTATTCATTAATTTTAACTTGATATTAGATTTCTTATTTGAATTGTTCCATCTATTGCTTTTTTGCTAATTCAGCTGCTTTATTCAATTTCTCATTGCTTTTTTGTACATACTTGAGTTGTTCCTATTCCATTTTATTCATTTCTTCCTGTTCCTGTTTCAATTTCTGTTTTTCCCCTAATGTGTATTTCCAATAGTTTATCATCTACCGTTACTATTGGGCTTTAATTTATTGACTATGAATTTGCTCACTCTCCAATTAGGTCCAATACTAAGACTCTATGATGTCAGATTTGTTGTTTTATAACTTTTATTGAAACTTTTCTTCTTCCTTAAATGATATTTAATTTTTAAGATCTCTCAGATAATATTATTGCAATAATTCCTTCTTTTCTTATTTCTTAATCTTGTGAAGATATTCATCCCTTTCTAACTATTTGAAGAAGTTAGCTACTTCGGCTTTCTCATTAGATTATTCAGTTTTAACTCTCTATTGATGCTATTGTATTAAATCCCCATTAATCTTGTGATAAGTGAAGAATTTCCTTCTATTTTCTTCAGCCAACTAATCCCTATATTGATTTTCTTGATCTATCGATTATTTGACTTATTAGTACAATTTCTAATTGATCAATGAGATTATAATTACCTGATCTTCCTATCGTTCCTATTACACTCTGCACTCCTTCTGTCTCATGAGTGATCGATTCAGACAATTATTGCAAACTTTCTTAAGTTTTGGATTCGAGGGAGGAGTCATCTATAAACCTGGACTAGTTTTAACATATTGAGCTGATATGGAAGGAGTGAGGCATTTCTTGGGAGTGTTAGGATTCGATTGTTTTAAGGTTTCATATTTTTACCTCATTTAGCGAATGTCTTGCATAAACTGACAAAATAAAATTTATTCTAAATAAAAATGATAATTCTGTTCTTATTAAATTATGTTGTTGCTTAAATTTTATATTGCGATGTGAAAGTTGACGGAATTGAAAAAGGTTACTTGTCATTCTAATTGCAATGTGACTCAACTCCAAAATCTTGTCACAATATATAAGAAATTTAAGATTTCAGAATGAGTCACATTTCTGAATCAAAAATGGAAATTACAAGTCCAATTGTGAATAAGAAGTGGAAATCAGAAATCAACCAGTTACACACTCAATTTGGAGCCATCGGATAGAAGAGGAACATTGAATCTGGAGAAGTTGATTAAACCTACACTATATTTCTCAACAAATAGGAGTTCGATGGACCAAAGAGCTAATGGCTAGTCATTGGCAATATCATTCGACAAGAGGATAAAGAATTACTCAATTATTTGAAGTGGACATCCCAATCCACCAATCAAATTCCCAATAGAGATATTAGATTCAAGTGCTCCCTTTGATAGTTCATATAATTATACTCATTAAAAGATTTAATTGCACATTTTATTAAAATCTAAAGATTATTATAAAATTTAACAATTTTAATTATGATTCATAAATTATTATATAAATAGTCAGCTATTTTAATAATGCTAATCATATTTATTTTTAGTAATACCAGAAATGTTTCTGACTTGTTGTCCTAATCTTTACTCTATGTTGCTGAAGACGCAAATTAACTTGATTGACAATGAAATTCTACTATCCCTGGATTTATAGCCCCCTTACAAGGCTATCCTAAAGAAAGACTTCTTACACATTTACAAGGATGAAGAACCTTTATTCTCTCTACCATTATCGTATCCCAATCTTATTAGTTGGCAATTCCAAAGAGGCTTAGTAGGCTTTATGATCAGCAACACAATTTATTTCACCGACTAAGCCTATAAGTTGAAGGAATTCCTAAATGGGAAACTATTTTTTTCAAGAATCCAAGACTTCTACACTCCCTTGCAGGTCCTAGGTTAAGGTAGTTCAGCTAAAGTCTTATTGGTTAAATCTAAGCAGGCTGACTAATATTTTGCAGCCAAATGTGTTGAAAAGAATGAGCTAATGTATTAGGAAATCGAAATTAATAATGAATTAGATCACCCTGCATTTGTCAAAGTAAAGGAAGTCTTCTAAGGAGACACCAGTTACTACATAATAATGGATTTATTATCTGGAAAAAACTTGCAGTAACTCATGAAAAATTAACATGTTGGTTTAACATTGGAGTAGACTCAGAAAATAATGCATGTAAATTGATAGTTAAATAGGCTTTATTAAGTGGGATTGAACATATGCACTAAAAAAACATTATGCACAGAGACATCAAACCAGAAAACATAGTTTTACAAAAAAATAACAATTTAACTACACTCAAAATAGTTGACTTTGGTTTAGCAACATACACTACATTAAAAAAGTAAAATCAACCATCTAATTAGATTTAAATATCCCAAATGTGGAACTCCAGGGTATGTTGCTCCAGAAATTGCCAATCTGACAGACAAGGATGCCACGTATAGTTCTAAGTGTGACATCTTCAGTGCTGGAGCACTATTTTTTAAACTCTTGACTGGAAGGGATGTTTTTCCTGGAACAGGGTTTAACTTTGTGTTGTAATTAAATAAGAAATGTCACATTGATTTTTCTATTCTTACTTTAAAGAAAGTACCACCGAATGTTATAGTAATCAATTTTTAATATTGAGGGAACTTGTCTAAAAAATGCTCTCTAGAGATCCTAAGATGAGACCAACAGCGACAGAATGCTTAAGTCATGAATTCTTTACATTTCATGATAAACCAACTAGTGCTCAAAAGAAGACCTTTTTTGCTTAAACTAGAGCTGCTACATTAACTGTTGATTTCTCCTCCCCTGAAGAAAAGTCTGAATATAAAGGTTCCTTTGTTACTAATGACATTGTACCATAAGAATATGGAATGCAAAAAACGAATACAAAATTCAATACCACTGAATTTGATTAATATAATTGAATAATCATTATATAGTGTTTTTAATAATAGGATCTTTAGGTAGTCTTGGTAGTCAATAATGCTATTAAATTCATCCTTCAATATTTTGAAACCCTTTCTACACCATGAGAATATAATATTTTAAAAAAACCATTTTTTTTATGAATACTAATTTAAAAATGAATCTATTATCTTACTCATTTATAAGTGATTATTCATTATATACTATCTTACTAAATTATACAACCTAAACTCGAATTGACTACCATGATGATCAGAATGTGAATAATAATAATAGAACTCTAAGTACTATTAACAACACAAATATATAAAATCACACTCCATAAGTTTTAAGTCACTTCGAATTAACCTACAGGGGTGTATTTTCTACTACATATTCCACTTCTAATTAGACTTGTTATTTTGATTCATTTATGCTTTTAAAACTCTCTTGGATCTATTCCTTTAAGAATTAATTTCGTATTTCTTTTGGTACTTTTTCTAATTTAAGCGAATGGTTTTTCAGCGTTATTCTTCTTAATTTAATTGACCCATCTTAATAGATATGGAGCCAATTTCCTTATTGAAACATATTAATTCAATAATTTAACATCTGCATAAAGCAAATCATCGTTTTTCAATCCAAAATCTTATTTTTTCAACATTGATATATTTAAATTTAGTCTTGATTCCCCCTGCTACGACATTCTCAAGTCTAAACTATAGTATTCATCAATGATATTCTTCAGATTAGAAGGCAGTTTTTCTTTTAATCATTCAGGGTTTCCTTCAAGTAATTTATTAGCGTCTAAAATCTCTGCTTCTACAAACTCATATCTCTATTAATTTTTATCTTTTCAAAACAATCCACACATAGATAATCCTACTTACTTTCATAATAATCATTTTCTTAAGTCGTATTAATTTAGCATGCTCTACAATACTTATATGGGCTAATTAATTATTGACCTTCCTCCGTTTTAGGAGGCTTGCAAGTTTTAGGAACTAAAGCCTTTTCAATTTATGTTAAGAGTGTTATTGATTACAATCCTGACAAAGTGTATAATCTTCGCAAACATGGCAGTCCCATCTAAAATGATTGGGCATCCATTTCTCTTCGTCTTCAAATGAATCAATAATTTCATTAATATCATCTATATGAATCAATCTTTTGTTAATATATATTTCCTTAGGAATTTATCTATCTCATCCGATTCTCTTTCCTTCCCCAAACCTTTATAATATTTCTTAATCTTCAGGCTTCTATTCTTTAATAGCTTTTCAAATTCTTTATTTTCATCCTCTATTTCTTAAACTGTCTTTTGTTTAACTTTTAAAAAGTCCTTCTTTTATTAGTAGTATTCTTCTCTGCATCTATAAATCCTTTTTTTTAATTAGATTTATTCTTCATTAGGAGTCATGCCAATATTTGGTTCTTCTTCTTCTTCTGATTCCTCTTATTCATCTTTGACTCCCTACCTTAGAGTTTCGTATAAGTGACCTTCTTTAGCTTTTCATCTCTGATTTCAGGCTCATCAAAATCTTCCTCTTAAAATATCTCTTTATTTCAATAAATTTCTGGATGTTTATATTTTATTTTGGCAAGAGTTTCGATGAACTTTTATGTTGCTTTGTCATTGAATAAATCTCCATTTTCTTCTTCTTCTGGAATCTAAACTTCGCTTCTTTCTTCTTAATCTAGAATTTCTCCAATCCTAGCCATTAATTTTCTTCTAAAACTTCTTTGCATACTTCTTATTTATTTTCAATTTGAGCTTTGGTTATTCTTGACCCTCAAATAATTTCATTAATTTTATATATTTATATGTTTCTAATGATAAAATGAATTCAATTGATCATCATCTTATATGATTAATAATAATAATACTACTATCAATAAGGTAACAAAGTTAACACTTTAAATAATTAATCATATTTGATAGAGGAGTCTGGCCATTTAAAAACATTATTAATCTACTTTTCATCCATCATTTTATTTAATACTAGTTTCGCTGTTGATACTTCAATTAAATTTGTTTCTGAATCTGAGAAAAACTTTACAACCTCCATTAATTTATCACAATCAGGATAAATCAATTTAAATGATAGATACACGCTAAAGTATGCTGCATCTAAGTCTAATTAATATTTATCTTTGCTATTTTTTTCTTAATATAAATAAGTTTCTTTTAAGATATTTTCTAGATTTACATTATCAACAATAAATCCCAAAGAAAATAAATAACTTTTTAAATTCTCAGATAGCATATAACATTTTGTCCAGGCAGAATTATTCTCATTGGCATCTCCCTGCTAAAATAGTATAAAATTTGTTGAACACAATTGAAAAAATTCAGAATCTTTTTCTTTTAATAAGTCCTTAAATTATTTAGCATCATATTACTCACATTAAATGAAATGACTTTTATTGTTATCAGTAACAGCTTACACTTTGATTTCTGAAAGTCTCTTCAAATTTGGTTCTTATATCAATTTGGAATATTTAAAAAGGTATTGTGAAATAGTGAGTAAATGTTTTTTAGGGTTGTCGAAATGTTAGTTCATATCCAAAACTTTGTTTAGCTTTGTAATTTCTATCAGTAGAACTTATTTAAAAAGGCTTAGTATTGAAGCTCATTTAGGATTACTATTAATTTTAATTTTAAATTTCAGCTTCTTTGACTTATATTGAGTTTTTCAACTTGTCTTGTATAGACTAATAATGAAATACTTAATTGTTTGTATTTTATTGAGTTTTAACAGTTTAGTTGCTCTATTGGTTTTATGATGATTGTTGTTTCAAATTAAAATAATCTTCAATACTAACCTTCTTTTGTTCCTGAGTTGAAAATTTGGCAACTTCATCTTATAATTTATTCTTATAAGCAGGACTTGAATTGTCATTTTTTTATTCACTTATAATCTTACTGCCTGTCAAATAAGGAACAGGTTTAGTATTTTAAGGTTATTTTTCTTAAGGGACCTTTTCAAACACATTGCTCATTACTTCCTAAGCTTATTAGTTTACTAATTTCGGATTTGACTCAATAACTTACTTTGGTATTTATTTAGTTGTGCATTCATACAGATCTTATAATAAGTTATCTAAGTCTTCTTCATCTTTGTCATTCACAAGAGACTTCTACATTGATGAGTCTTTTCTTGCATTTTAATAAATATCATCGAAATGACATTGTTATATCTGTTCTTTAACAATTTCCATTGTATCATTATGTATAGATTATAAAAGAGATTATTATTGAATTACAGATTACTCATTTTAACCTCCACCAAAATGCTATAATTAAGGTTACTCAAATAATTCTGATTAATAGAGTCCTGATTAATCAGTTATTTTTTATCTATGACTCAGAAAATTATCTAAAATGTTACTTATATTATTTGTATTAGAATTATTTTATCTTGATTATTTTTTAATATGTTCAGATTTTATGGACATCTTTTTCATTTATGGTATGTCTTGACTATCATCCAATTATGAGTTAATTTAGAATAACTCCTCATGCTGATGACTTGATTTTTTAGTACTTCTATCCAATTATTACTAGAACACTTAATTAATAGGTAATTGCGGAATAAACACAGGACTTTACTAAGTTATATTAGTTAAATGTGATTCATTGATATTCTATTCTTGTTGCTATTATTACCTATAAACTTGTTGAGACTAATTTTGATTTTAGGATTGCTTATACTTAGGTGACACTGGAGTAACATCTTATTATTTATTCAACAATTGTTAATATTGTTATTGTTATTATTGCAATTACACTTAATACAAATCAGGCATGGGCTAACTAAACGAAAATCTTTTGTTTTATTCTTGATAATAAGCATCTAATTAATTTTAATATTCATCCTCCGAAATTTTCTAAAACTATTGCGCTGATTCCTCTTGTTCCTCTTAAATCACTGGTTTCTGATTGTCAGAAGGACTACTCTTTTTCTAGAGATTTTCAAAACTAATTGCCATTATTTACTATAGTTTTGCTTTCTATTTAGTAGATTTTGGTTTAGTTTTATTTTTCGCTTCCATTAAGTAATTTATATGTAAATATTAATTATATTATTAATATTTATTTTTATTAACTATTCAATTTACGTCATCTATTTTTCATATTTTATCAATTCTAAGCTGAAATTTTAAAAACAATGTTGAAATAGACAACAATTCATCAAATCGTATTGTTACAAATTGGTGGGTTGAAGGTGATTGATACTGTAGAAATTATTAAGGGAATTAACTATTTTTTAATTTTAAATCAAATATCATCAAATTCTTAATATAACTTGTTTACTTCTTTATTAATTTATTTAAAAACCCAGTGATTTTAATTATATTTCCAATATTATTATTTAACAGAAAATGTTGAGATTGGTTTTTGATCGAAATACTAATAAAATTATTATCGTTATATTGCGGATTGAGTTTCTGGAAATCTATCGTACCTCTATAAAGGAAATTTACATTTTATTTATGATATTGCATTAAATTAATTTTAATGGGGAATATTTGTATTCATAAATAAGAAGATTAGAGAGCAAAAATTATTAAAATAATTGGATATCCTCGCTTGAGTTGTCCTAACAAATTGATTTTAGTACCTAGTATTTAAAATTTGACATAAAACTTGGATACTTTTGAAGAAGACTTTTATAAAAGTGAGTTTATTTTGGACTTCTAGCCTGATATAGATAGAAATCAGAGCACAAGAAAGGTTAAACTAGGGTCAACAATTGAGGAAATTAATCGATTGAACTTAATTTAATGCCCTTCTTTATGTCATATAGATGACAACTATGAGATTCATCAGAATCATCAATAACAATAGATGTCTAAACATCATTAAAACAACAACGATGTGATCCTTAGAGGTCAGAAACATAATTAATTAAAAAAAAGAAATAAAAAGGTTTCACTGTAAAAATTCGAATAGCCAAAAAGTATTCTCAAATCTCACGCAAAATTACAAATTCCATCCTATAATAGTTTCTATAAGAATAAAAGCTCGCGTACTGTAACTTTCAGCTTTGCCTCTAGCAAATCAAGAAACTCAAGATCTTTGTCACCTATGATAAATGCATTAAGAGTAGAAAAGTAACCAGATGTAAGCAGAAGTATGTCATAATTATTATAATTTCCTTACTTGTGAAATGAAATAATAGTTTAAATATAAGCTTTATTATAAATAAATATCAGAACTATAATATGCAAATATATAATAATATATTATTTGAAGAATAAATATCAATTAAAACAACCATACCTTGATTCATTAGCATAATATTTTAAATTAATCCATTTTTATTAAATGCTGGATCTTTTTGTATGTAATTAAATTTCTAACTGTTTAAGAATAATCATATTAATAATGCAATTTGGCTCTATAAAAATTCAACAAATGAACTGAAAAATAACTTATGTGGTAATTAAATTGGATAATAAATTCTATCATTTATTATATAAGACTTATCAACAACATTTTTGTGGTTATGTTTCCCCTCCATCAATTTAGATATTTTTTGGAATTTTTTCTCCGTTCTGAGAATTTTGATTTTATCCTCGTCTAACAAGGATTTATTAAACTAATTCTGTATACATTTCCTTTACTTAAGCCCCTGTTCTTGCAGAGCACTCAAAATATTTGATTTAATACTAGAATAGAATAACAATGTACTTTTTATGCTAATTGCTACCCTTCCAAAGTAGTTACTTCTCTTTATGCTATATCACACTTATTTGCAACTAAAACAATGGAGATTTATTCACAATCAATTTGCTCTTTTAAATTATCAATCCAAGTTTAAACTTATTAAAATGAGTTTTTATCAATAACACTATAAACTAAAGACACCCCTTAAGCATTTCTATAAAAAATAGGAGTAATAACTCTGAATCTTTCTTAACCTAAACCTCTAGAATTTTAATTACCTGCTGTGTCCCAAACTTAAACAGTCACTTAGCTTTCTCCTTAAATAAGAATTTTCTATCTATACTCCACTCCCAATGTAGCCTATATATTTTCAGAAAACTTTTCGTCAACATAACGACTTAAAAGGGATGACTTGCCCACAGCACCTTCACCCAACATAAGAATTTTAACTTTTTCTGTCATTTTATTTTTAAATTTATATAAATAATAATCACTAAGCTAAAGTTTATAATTATTCTTTTATTTTACACAAATTGTTGTGAAAATTATTAACTTCATTTTAATTAAGCTGAAATGTCACATTCTCCTTTGTATTTTTCTAAGTATTCAGAGTCTCCAATTATAAAAACAAGACTGGCATATTAACCTATTAATTATTTATAAAGAACCTTACCTTCTATTAATTATGCGTCTAAATTTATATATCCACTCTCCAATCAATGTCAATCAGTGAATCTGCCTAACAGATCTCTCTATTTGTAATTTTATCGCACACTATAATAAGAGTTTAGAAAGCACTTACATTCGGAGATTTAAAGTATAGAATCTGTCAACAATTTAGCTAATTGCTAATCAAAAGTCGATGGAAATAGCTACAAAATGGCTTACTCATTCCATTGAAGTAATTCTGCATTCTCTAAGAGTTTTACCAACCCTATTATGAGTGTATGAGCTTATTTCTCAGTCATTTATAAATCTTAAGGCAATGAAGCACTCACAGGTGTTTCCATAAATTCTTAAAATGAGTTGAGTTTGTTTCTAAATAAATAAGCGTATTCAAATAATTTCCTAACATATTTCTTAGATGGCAATTATGACAGAAGTCCAAGGATTTAAAAATTCATTATTTATTTTAATAACCCATAAAATTTGAGATTTGTGATAAATATTTAAACAATTAATATATATTTATTTTCCTCGATCCTTCCCTGGTCAGATTGACCAAATGATGAGCGAGAATTAAATCCAATTGCGGAATCAAGTCTGGTCTCCAAACTCTTGTTACGCATGGACTTAAAACTATCTGACTATAACTATAACTATATATATATATTAAATATTGTAATGATTCATCCTAGAATTCTCTAAAAATAGGATGATTTAGAGGTGTATCTCTCTAACATTTCAATTTAAACATAATATTTTAAATATACAAAAAAGAATGCTTGTTTTTAAATTGTTCAAAATAATTGAAATTATTCGCAATCATATTAATCCTCAAATTCTAATTACAGTTCGTAAATTCTTTCAAATGAATAACATTCTAAGTAAATTATAAGTTGATCCTTCCAGATTTTGTCATTTATAATAAAACCTTCAATTAGGCTTGGTCTAACTTATTTGGATATAGTACTCAATTTTAATTTTGTGTTACTTGTCAATTTTAAGTAAAATCAATTCCAAATTGTCTTAAGAATACAGTTACTCATTTATCTTGACTTCTTTAAGTTTACTCTTATTGCTTTTAATATAAATACTTAGTATAACACATACTCTTCAACTTCTTTAATTGGAGGCAATGGAAGGAATATCTATTTATGTGAACTATTTTGCATCTCAACAAAATGGGACTCAACATCCAATAATTCTTTATTCGCGTTTTACTAAAGAGCTCCAAGATTCACATTATAAAATCCATGAAAACAATGATATTTTTCCTTATTTTTAGAAAATATTGTTTCTCTCCTGTATTGAGAGGGTTTTGATGAGTAATTAGTTGTAGTTTCTTATGAACATATTAATTAGCCATTTGGAGTCATCTAATTATTTTTGGATATTTGGGGAACTTTGAATTTTCGTATTCTAACATATATGTAACCTTTACTTCTTTGCTTTAATGCATTTGTGAGTGTTGATTAAATTAACATTCGCTTGGGGTTGTACATATTCATAGTCTTAGTATAATTGCATTTTACTTTTAGACATTAATTTAATTAATGGATATTACAGCAGAACTTAGGAGTCTCAAAAATGGAGAGATTCTTTTGGCAGAAGGATTTTCATTATTTGAGGCTATGTCAGCAACTGAATTATTTGACAAGAAAATAGATGTAAAACTGGGATTGGCTGATGCTGATACACCTTAGAAATTACTGTAATCACAGCAGATAAAGGCAGGATCACAATTAACTAATGAAGAAGTAAACCATATTCAAAATGATTATGTAGCTTGTGGGACTCTTTGATTTAGTCATTCAGAAAATTACATGTTGGCTTAATGGAAATGCATTAGCTTAGACCATTTACACATTAGTGTATTAGTATGATGATTCTTTATGGGATAATCCATTTGTTAAAGCATTGTTTGATACACTGAATACAGTAGGCAGCCAAATCTTCAAAATAATCAAGGAAGCTCCATTCCTCAGAGAAGAGGATTATAATCCCTCTGTGTTCAGTTTCAGAAACAAGAGAATACCCACTATTTAGGAGTTATTGACAACTACTTTAAATCCATTGGATACCGAATTAAGTGGCAAAGTTAAGAAATCAAAGCAATTAACTATAGCAGATGCGCTCTCCTCTAGAATTAAATTGCTAAAAGGTTTTTGTTTAATTGTTCAATCTCTCTAATAACCATTCAATGCGGAATCATAAAAATAAATAACAGATCACATCGAATTCATTAGAAAAAGATTTGACGCTGTAGTGTAAACTAAGGCTATGGGGAAGGATATGTCAAACTATTAAAGCGTGACAATTCTTAAACATCTCAAATCCATGATCAGCATGAGGAAAATACCTCAGATGGAAAACCCTTATGAATACTTTAGTACCATGCTAATTTAATTAGAAGCAGTTCTTGATTTAAGTGGAGAACGCAATTACTTTAGCATCTAATAGAAAATTTGTGCTTTGATTCATGATTATCCTAAGAATATTTTAATTAGAGCCTATCTAGAGTAAAATCTATTTAAATACGATTAATTCCTCTATTTCCATTAAACTCCGTGGATTAATATCGTCATCGGAACCCTTAATAAAATGTTTTCATAGAACTTCGATCAATTATATCAAAATGTGTTCAAGGAATATCAAGATTGCCTAGTACCTGTTACTTATGAATACATAATTAAATAATTAAGATCGAAATTCAGAAAGAGCAGAGATTTTCATAAGAATTATTCTCATTTATCGATACTCGTTCATCACAGCAATCAAATTGATCAAGACATCTTCAAAAATAAAAACCCTTTGATGATTTTCAGTTATGAGATTGCTGTACAATCCATGATCCAATAATTACAATATGGATTTGATCTGGAACTCTATTCGGATGTAGATTATGCTGGCATTTACTTTTATCTAGAGTATTTGACGACCATTCTTGACAGAAATCGAACTAATTATGTTAATCAATTGACCAATTCATAAAGAGAATAATTACAGAACCAAAACAAAAAGAAACCCAAGGTATCTCCATAGATTGATCAAATGTACTTTGAGATTTAATATTGGAAGGGATTGAATTGTCTCTTTAGAGTAAGATGTTATTATAATAACAGGGTTTATCAAGGTTATATTATACCCTAATGGAAAATGGGTTCATTAAGAAAGTCCAAGATATGGATCATCGATATTCTAACAGAATGAAAATCTTTGACGCTTGTTATTACATCAAAGCCATCAGATTTGAAGAATACACCCAAAAGATGAAATCTTACGGTTCATTCTAAGAAACCCTCAAATTTGTCAGTTCCTCTCTAAGTGAGGCACAATAGCTTTTTGCTCAAGTAAAAGACAATAAAATGGTGTCTTAGCAGATGCAAGATCAATCAAAGGATTTGGTTATGGTAATTTATTATTGATTAACATTTCATTAGATATGCGTTGTGACATCTGTAAATGCTATGAAATTAATCCAAAATCAAAAATACTAAGTTTCATTCAAGAAAACAACAATATCATTTGTACCATAAATAGAGTTAATTGCATTATAATAATGATTCAAAATAATTTTATTATATGATGATTAGTGATTTCATTCTTAATTACCATTTATTGTAAGCATTCTAAACAATAAACATATCCAGTAGTTTTTAAGACACTAGGAATCTATGGGATTCTTTTACATTTAGGACAGTATTTCTGTACATTTTTAGCATCTACTTATTTTGGTGCTTGAATCACCTAATTCTTTTATTAAACATTATTATTCTTTTTGGAAAAATAGAAATCTAAAAATTTCAATCCCAAATAAACAAATAGCATCCCATATTTGTATGGGGATTCCATCTTGAATCTGATTAGATCCTATCTTATGAAATAATAGAAAACAGCATAGCTCTTTTGTTCATCATTTAATAAGTACTAAAATTTCATTGAAATATCAATCAATTTAAATCCTCTGTATAACCATTATATAATTTTCTTTTTTCTATCTTAATTTGGGTTGTTTGAGTATTCATGTAGTTTTTGTAAAACGTAAGGAATCATAATCCTTAACATCAAAGTTAAAACTCTTTTAACTTTATTATTTTGTTTTTATTCTGATAAAAAGAATCCATAAAAATATTCGGCGTAAGAAGCATTATACTTTAAGGCATAAGGTAGATTAATACAAAATTCAATCAGATAAGCGATTTCTTTTGAATATTGATAATATTATATAAATCGATCTTATTGTGTAATTATTCCTATTGAATATTGCAAGGCATTTCTTAATGATCTATGATGATTATTGGATGATTAAGTACTCTTCAAATTTTTCAAGAGAAAAGTATTCAAAAAAGTGAATTCTTCCGTCAAATTCGGTTCTGCTATCCATTAATTTTATATATATTTATTAATGGAATAGAAACCAAAATTGGCTTTTGGAGAAATCAACTACAAAAATTTGGAACAATTCAAGGTCATCACTTAGAAGACCTTGCCTGTAAGTTATAGCGAAAACTTTTATATAAAAATTCTCACTTATTCAGACTTTTCCACTCTTGGTATTGAAATTTAAGTAATGCGCAGGTTATTATAATGACATTGCAGTTGGCGCTATAACAGCCAGGATCGAGGATAAGGATGGGAAGAAGACTGCCTATATTATGACCTTCGGTGTTTTGGATGCATACCGTCGTTTGGGATTTGGCACATAGCTATTGAATGAATTAATCAACAGAGTGAAAACTCATGAGGAAATCAGAACCATATATTTGCATATGTGGGTTAGCAACGAAATAGGATTTCAATTTTATTCCAGACATGGTTTTGAGAAGACTGTGTACAAAAGAAATTACTATACAGATATTGAGCCTCCCCATTGTTATATTTTAACAAAGCGTCTCTACCCTGATGTTGATCCTCCCATTCCTTATACGGAAGAAGACACTGAAAAAGAATCGGAAATTGCACAATAATGAAGTATATATTAGTAACATTAATAAATAAATATAAAGCAAATTTATTCTAATTATTTTTGTGAATTCTTGACTCTATATAATTTATTAATTGATTCTCCAGAATTTGTTGGTTAAGAATAAATTTTATTAAGTTTTTGAGAAGATGGATGATAATTTCGAAAATCAATCAGAGCCTCAGAATGAAGCTAAATTATAATTTACTTGTTTATAGATTTGTCTTAAAATGGTCAAAAAAGGAAAAATTTAACATAAGTACGTAAGACAGTGTTATGGAAATAATAGATAGAGGTTCTAGGAAATTAAGAAAGGAATTAAATATTATTTAGTAAACACAAATATGGATAATAATTAAAATAATCTTATATTAATTAATTTTTATATAAACATAAACTTGAATGAAATAAAGTTTAATTAAATTTTATGGCTTAGTTATATTTTTTTCATTCACATTTAAGAGTTAATTAATCTTTGATTTGAATTACTTTATATTCATATATAAGTGATAACATAAATTGAATCTTTGCATAATTAAATTAGTCTATGTTATTATCAAATGAAGTAGTTAGATGGGAATGGCAGCCATTCAATAATAATATTATTCATAATGGGTCAGCTCTAAGAATAGAAGCTTCCAAAGTTCTTAAATACTAGAATTCTAACCAGAGCTATTAACTTGACTTAAAGTTATGGAAACCCTTTCCATTTAATACGAATATTGGATGGAATTGGCACAAATCTTGGAACATCCCCGAACTAGAGTGTTAATTAAAAGTAATATCACCACACTATCACTTCTAGATCGATAATGATTTGGATCATCATGTACTGAATACACTAACGATAGTGGCAAATATCTATATTGTCAAAACATAATTATGAGAAAATGGAAATGGAGAGCATAGGATGCAAAGGCTGTTCTGAAGGTGTCTTCAGGAATGGCATCTCAATAATAAGATAATTAAAGTTCAATACAACTTCATACAAGAATGAAGTATTATATGTTATGATAAAATTAAGTATTCAAAAGTTCCAAATAGTGGTGGTGGTTAGTTAAATCAATAGCGGCCAGTAATCCGTTATCGATGCTAAATGCTCCCCTTATATATTTGTCGATTCTCGGAAGCATGCCAGACAACAGGCCCTCAATAATAATATTCAACTTATTATTGACCCATTTTTACCAGAGAATTTGGAGAAATAATTTGTAAAGAAGGAAAGAAAAAATTAACCTAAATGTTTATTAAAAGTTGATAATACAATCCAAGGGTTAATTAATTACTTCACAGCTCAGAACATCAGACATAAAATCAAACACCCTTTATTTCTAGCTCTTAAATTCGAAAAATGTGTCAAATTGTACTTGAAGAAAGACCTTTTTGTAAAAAATTCAAAGGATGCCATTTTAAGAGTGTAGAGCATTCTGATGCAATCAAGTTAGGAGAGAAGGGATTCCAATAAAGAAATGGCCTTACTCTTTTAAGTTGATTAAACTAACGAATAGGAATTTAAGAAGGTAAATATTTACAGAATATCCAAAAGGTTTATGAAATATCTCAAATTTTTGAAAATGATATATTTATGCTCTTCTTGAAAGAGGATTAGATTCCTGAGGGTTATATTCCCATTGAAGATATTTCAAGAATAAAGTATCATTATAAGTAAGTGTATCCTAATTTAATAAATTAAAAAAGCTTAATCAATTATTAATCTAAAAATTAAGAGGAATAATTGATAGTTAAATAAACTAAATTGCTGGAATAGAATAATGAGAACTAAATAGATACTCATTTATCAATTAAATAGTGTAATTAATACATATCCTAATATGATGAATGCAATAATAATAATAGTTAAGTTCTTAATTATAATAATTAGCTTTCATATTATTATAATTTATTTTAACAATAACAACAATTAAAATAATAAGAACAATTACAATAATTCTAATAATAATAATTGTACAACAATATGTAATAATAGCTATACTAATAGCAACAATTTTACATGATGCAACAACAGAATTATTAATACAATCGATTCTATTGATTTATAAATGGATTAATAATTAAAATATACTAATTCAATACGTCAAATATTTCTACATTTTTGTTTCACTAATTTATGTATGTTTCTCTTGATATATATAATCAAAATAATGTATTTCATTCTCCACTTATTTTATCACAAACTAAATTCATTAAAAAAACTGGGATTGGAACATGTTTTAATAGTCAAGGTGGGTTGAAACAATATTTAGTGAAATTAAATTTATGTATAATTAAAATTAATTAATACATGGTAAATATTAAGAAAAAAAATCTGAGAGCCAGATAAGGAACACAAAGATGGAGAAAGAACATCATCGTGGAAATGGGTGAATTTGAGAATATAGATTTTACATAAAAAGACGCTAAGCCAGTCGATTTTTAGGTTGATGCTCAGCCTATCAATATCTATGAAAATAAGGATAGATTCAAGAAGAAGCCTGCAGACCCATTGAAACAATCTAAATAAGAAAAAATAAAAATCTAAAATATGGCAGAGTAGACTAAAAAGCAATAATAACCAGAGAAAAAAAATGAAATTTAAGATGTATGGGCAGAGGAAGGAAGATTCAGAAAAATTTAAACTCCAGGAGTCAAAGCAATTGTTACTCCTCATCCTGGATAATCATACAATCCTTAATTAAAAGATTATAATGAATTACTAGATGATGTAGTAAAAAAAGAAATTAGGTCACATTAGAGATTATAAAATGATGAGACTGAAACAGAGAAGGCATAAAAGTTGATCTAAAGGTATTTAATATAAATAATAACTAAATTAGAGAGAGAGAAAAAAAGAAGAAGAGAAAAATGAGTATGATTCAAAAAGTTCATGGAAAAGAAGTGGTTGATAGATTAATTGAAAAGAAGAAGAATCATGAACTCTTATTAGTCAAAAAAATAAAGAAAGAACTTAATGCTGAAGCTAAGTTGAGACAAGAAAAAAGAAAGTAATAAAGAAAAGAGAAGAAACTCTTAGAGAGAGCAAGGAAATTGTCAGGCAGAAATTTGGTGCCAATAAAAGTAGGAAATAAAAAGTAAGTGTTTTTATATATATTTGAAGAGTGGAAGTAACATAAGATGAATTTGTGTTAGATGACTAATTGAAGAGTCACTTGAGACATGTAACTCAAGGAGATTTATTGGTGAAGAGTGAATTTGATGGTTTTGTAAGAAGAGGATTGATTGAACCTAAATCAAAATCAAATAAATTATCAAAGGCCAAAGTTCCCTTATTTAAAATTAAAGAAAAATGATTGTTAAAATATTAATTTATATTTCAAACTATGTAACAACATTATCTTGACAGCCCTAACACAGCAAATCCTCCTCCAGTCTCAAATCCACCAGCAGGAGCACCTGGTGCAAGTCATTTAGATGAAGATTGGTTGCTGATTGCTGGTATTGTACTAGCTTTTTCTTAATTGGGTTTTGGATTTTTGGAGGCTGGATCTGTTAGATATAAGAATGCCTAGTCAATAGTTATAAAGGTATTTCTTGGAATGTGTTTGACAGTATTGATATATTGGTTGGTAAGATAATTGTTAATAATTCAAAATAGTTCGGCTATGGATTTTCTTATGGTGATGATTTTGGAACATTCTTCTTGGGAGGCACAAAGCTTGGAGCATACAATTGGGCAGCAACAGAAGCATAAAATGATTATTCAAATTTTGGTAGTTAATTTTAATTATTATTTTAGTGTTCAAAGCTACATTATCCTGCATTGGAGTATCAATTGTATCAGGTGGAGCAGCTGAAAGATTAACATTCTTAGCCTGGGGTGTTTTGGCCCTCTTTTATTCAGGATTTGTATCACCTGCAATAGTTCATTGGACAAATTCCAACGGTTGGTTAACTAAATTAGGATACAAAGACATGGCAGGATCAGGATTCATCTTCTATTCAGCTGGCGTTGCTGCATTAGTAGTGACAGTTGTATCCAAACCAAGAAAATATAGATTTGATCCAAATTCTTCTTTGAACTTTTAACCATTCACTTCAATCTATGTGGCATTTGGAACAGTCATACTCTTCGCTACATGGATGTTCATAAATGGTGGTTAAATTTAATCTGGCTAAGCAACTCCATATGTTCAAGGATTGGTGGCAGTTAATACTTTGGTTGCTGGAGCTGCAGGAGGATTTTGGAGTTTTCTTACAAGATACTTCACAAAAGAAACAACAAGTCTATTTTCAATCTCTAGAGGAATATTGGCTGGATTGGTGGCCAGTTCAGCAGCTGCTCATGAATCTTAGATTTGGGCTACTACTATTGTTGCTTCTATTGCTGGCATTGTTTATACCTTAACAGCTACAGCCTTACCTAAAGTCAAATTAGATGATCCAGTATAAGTTGTCCCTATTTTCTTGGTATTCAATTAATTCATATTTTAGCATGGCGGATTCATTGGAGTCTTATTTACAGGATTATTGGATGTCAATGGAGGATTATTCTATGGAAAAGGAATGAAATTATTGGGATGCTAATTGTTAGGATTATTGATTATCACAGTCTGGGTTGCCTTCTTTGTTTTCTTCATCTTGATAGTTCTCAAAGGATTTGCTGTTTTGAGAATTGATTCAGATGCTGAAGTAGCTGGTATTGATAAGGAAAAATGTATTTTTAATTATTAATTGTAGGTAATTATGAAGCCATTTCATTTTCAAATGAAGATCAATAACAAGTCAACATTATTAAATCAGTGTCATATTGATTCATATATATATTAATATTAATATTCATATTTATATGTATTAATAATAATTTGCAAAACCTCCTAAACAGATTAAGAGCAAGGCATTTAAAGACAGACTCAAAGGACACAAAGATGCCATCATTACATTGATTAGTCCATATGGAAATAATGGCAATTACCTTTACTCTGCATCCAGAGATGGAAATGTTAAAAGTATTTATATAACTACTTAAGGTTGGGATCTATTGAATAGATAAATTGCATCCAAATTTCTGATATCCAAAATCTCGGATGACACTACAGTATAAGATTAAGATGAAAATCAATAAAGCATGAAGGGAAACATCATATGTGCTGCAACATTTTCTGAATTCAACATTTATGTTGGATATGACGATGGTTTCATCAAATCCAATAACATAAAAACTGGAGAGCCAGTCTATGCCTATCAAGGACATAAGGCTTAGATTACATCAATTCATTTCCTAAATATCAGATAACTGGCATCCAGTTCGTTAGATGGTACTGTGAGACTCTGGGATACCACTAGCAATGAATGCGAAGTTATATTCAATATAGGATATCCAATCAATATGATGAATGTGGTCTTCGATAAGGAAATTAATTTATTATATGGCAAAAACACCATCGTCTAAGTAGATCCTTACAAATAATCCATTGTTAGAAGTGTTCAATTCCCTAATTTTACTATCATGTCATATTTAGTACATAAGAATCTTTTGATTCTTGGCACCATTGATAATTTTATACACATCTATGAACTCTCATAATTAGATTAGCCTAATCCACAACCTATTAAAGTAATTGTAGGTTTACATGGATGGGCTTTATGCATGCTTGTTCATGATCCATATTTGTATGTAGGAACAGATGATAAAAAAATCAGGGTTTATGAAATGAAAAACTGGGAAATGAAAGAGGACTTCTCAGGACACATTGATGGAGTAACAACTTTGGCACTTGCTAATGGACTCCTTTATTCTGGTTCATATGATCATCTAATCAGATCTTGGGATCTTGAAGAAATGTACTAAAGGATTAGGGAAAGAGCCATTATGGAGAAGGAGGATTTAAATGTAATTAATTCTTAATAATGGTTTAGAGTAGAAGATATGATGTTTATTTAAAGAGTCTGCCGAAAAAGAAGAAAGGAATGGCAAAGAAAAAAAAGTGATTTTATATTTATTTTATTGCTTAAATTATTTATATGTTATTTAAATTAGAATCACTTATTTTGGTAAAATAAGTAGATGATCTTCAACATTATATGGGAATACTAATCTACCATTAATAATAAATTATTATTGATTTAAAAAAAGGTTTCATAACTTTGTTTTCGAATTTTGAATATTCTATTTACCTAATAGAGATTGATTCTTATTATTTTGAAAAGAAATTACTATTCCGTATAAATAACATAGTATTGAACTATTAATTAAGTTCTTTCATTAATAATTCAAATGAATTGAGAATATGAATCAAAAATTATTAATTTTTATATTGACGAATCTGCACGCCTATAATTAAAATTTAATATCTTCTTAAAATATCATATATTAAGTTAAAGATAAAATGTCTTTATAAATAGAAAATTAAGCCCTGATTCTAAAATAATTAGAAGAGATAAGTGTAATGATTCGAAAATTAACTAATACTTAAAAGTGTAAAGTTGAATTCTTTAAATGGATAGAGTTAAATATTATAATTTATAAATGGTGATTTTACTGTCTAGAAGATCATATTTTAACTTATTTTTTAATATTTGCATTTCATTATTTTATTATATTAATTATGGGCTGCAACATTTAAAAACACTAATACACGAAGAATGACATCATTATTTCCTCCCCTCCTCCTACATTTCCATCTTCTCATGAGATCATTATGATGCCATATGCGCTTGATGAGTAGCATCCAGCTTCGAGAATGCCAGTTCAAATTCATTGGAATATTAAAGATCAAAAGTCAAAAGAATAGTCATCTGAAATTACTACGTCGTTTTCACCTAATACTGCCTCAAAACCAAGATAATACTGATGATCTCAATAAATATTAGCAGATATTAACTATGTGTAACCTAAAGATTGAATTTAATTTATTTATCTTTGTGAAATAAATATAGATAATCAAAGAGTTATTTAACATTTATATATTTTATAAAATATATACTTTCATTCTTTTTATTTTTTACTCTTCTAACCGAAATTAGTGATTAAGAAGAAAGCATATGTGCCATATAACAAAATGTGAGGAACATACCTAATATTACTATAGAATTTTAAAATTGGGTCCACACTCAATAATAAAAATGTAATTCCAAATACATTGAAGACAGTGTTGGCTACATACCATCTAACAATCTTGGCTAATGGGTTTGTTTCAAATATTTTCAAATAATTGGTATTGCATGACACTCTGAATATTGCCTTGTTTACATTGTTCATAATAGCCCATTGGAAGAATGAAAAGTAATAACCAATATAGAATCCATGCCACAATGATGACACAACATACGTCATTTGATAAGCAAAGTTTTATTTAGATGAACTCTTCTTCATTTCTTCTTCTGTATAAATACGAGTATAGACATATCTTCTTAACCAAGTTTAAATGGAGATGTTCCATTTCTCTACCTTGTCCTTCATATTATATGTCAAATCCCAATCTACATCAATAGCTTTGATTTTCTCAAATTTTCCATCTCCTTAATAGGTAATACCACAAGAAGCCATACTCATTTCTCCTAATTGCCATCCTCCATAATATTTGGTCCTTTGGATTGCAACCATAATGTTAAACCAAAGGGTTTAATATAAAACATTGTACGTTCCGAATTCATCTGTGGCAACAAAATGCAAAGGGAAGTATTTTTCAGTAAATAGAAAGATACCCATACAGATTATTGCATTCTTTAATAATCTTAATGTCTCCTTGATTGTTGATGGAATATTTTTATATTCGTTATCCTCATTTATGAATTAATCGAAGTCATAGTAATCAAAGCATGGTCCTAACACACTGCCAGCAAAGAAGAAAATAAAGGAGAAATACTCAAAGAAAGAAGGCAATTTAGCAATCTTTCTAATTTCCTGTTCTTTACTCAACTATGTTTTCAATCCATCGCTAACACAGAAAGCAAATGCAGTCCATTTTGGAGTATCCATCATCAAAATAGTAGTAACATCCATCTTCCAGCCTCCGTAGTCAGTATATTATCTGTAGATATGATGAGCAGCCACGAATATCATAGATTCCACAAATACAGGCCAAGGACTTTTCTTCCCCAACACTTTAACCATTATATAAACCACAACTGTCTAAAATAACACATTGACGATTTAACTTCTATAAATATAGTAAGTGATTAGGACACCAAATACTGATCCTGCAATCAATCTAGCTTACCTTCCTATATCATCTATTCAATTTATTACCTCTAATGGATAATTTAAAAAAGAATCCAAATAATGTGCAAAGGATTAAGGAAATGAAGATTTTTAATTAATCATCTGGAATACCTGTTTTAGAACTCAACTCAATTACTTTTGTATCAATTAAATCCATAATTAATTTAATTAAATCTCTTCAGATATCTATAAGCCTTTGAAATCTCAATTAATTATATTAATTTAGTAGTGTTTATACTACGATTAGATGTAACAAAAAAGTTTAAATTTAAAAGTTCTAAGGAATCTTTAAGTCTTATAATATTATTATCATTTTTTTAATTAATGATTCAACAATTTTTAAATCTTAACAGCTTTGTTAAATCTTTTTACATATTCTAATATTTCTTCAAATCTTTTTCATCTAAATGGCAACTTGATTGAAGCATTTTATAAATCAAAAGGCACTGCTAGTCAAACATTTTAATTTAGTAAATAGAATATTACTAGTTGCTTATTAATTTTCACATTTCTGCTACTTTACTTGGTATATTAATAGAAGTGTAACCTGCATCTCATTTTCAGTTCTGATCATTAAAAGTTGATTATAAATAAGATGAATATTGTAATTGAGAAATTATGAATCTATTAAAATAGTATAACTAAATAAATTATTTATTAAATAATATAATCAATAATATGATATTATTTAAAAATGGAGACAAGTTTGAAGGTATTAGAGATCAAAATAGTACCAAGTTGAATGGAAGTGGAACTTTAAAGTTTAATGAGGATAATTCATTTTTCAAAGGGAAATTCTTTAATGGAAAATTTCATGGTGAAGGCCAATTAAGTATAAATAAACTCTCTTTGACTGGTAATTGGATAAATGGCTAGCCTGATTTAAAAAGTGAGTGGTAAATAGATGGGCCAAATTATAAATACAAGGGATCTATTAATGAAGAGTTCAAAAAAGATGGATTTGGAACATTAATATTTGATGGTAATTGTTTTTTTAAAGGGGATTTTGTTAATGATAAATATTAAGGATAAGGACATTTTAAAACCAATGAACTAGAATATAAAGGTGGCTTTTATAATAATAAGTTTCATGGGAAGGGATTGCTTCTTTGGCAAAATTCAAAATACGAAGGGAATTTTGAAATGGGATAGTTCAATGGCAAAGGAAAGCTAGAAAATATTGAAGGAACATATGTGGGAGATTTTTAAAATAATTTAAAACATGGAGAAGGAATACTTTAATACAAAAATGGCGATTAGTATGAAGGTTAATGGTTAGAAGATGAACCCGAAGGAAAAGGGAAACTAACATAATGGAATAAGAAATTTGGATGCTAATTGATATATAGTGGCTTTTTTGAGAAGGGATGTCCAGAAGGGAAAGGAGAGTTATAAATAATTACAGAAGGTTAGGATGCTAAAAAGTACATAGGTGGGTTTAACGAGGGTCTCTTCAATGGTGAAGGAATTATCTTGTTAGATTCTAATGTGAAAGCAGAGGGATAATTTTTTGATAATCATATTAGTGGGGAATGCAACATATACTTTTTAAAAGAGAGTTAGAAACTTGAATGTTAGATGAAGAGAAATCAAAAAGATGGTCATTGTTCAATGAAAATAAAAGATTTATGTTATTAAGGTAGTTTCAGAAGTAACATTGAAAAAGTAGATAGCATAAGGTTTTATAGTAACTACTGAATACTATGTATTTTATATATGAATATATATCAATAAATATAAGATTCTTTTTTTAATACATGATAAATACAAATATCAAATATGCAAATATTATGTAAAATAAATCATTTTTTGGCAGTTTATAATAACATATTCGCAAATTCATCATATTAGATGATTCCATCTCCATTTTTATCACATTAAGCTATGATTTGTCCCCATTAGGCATTATCAATATCAACGCCACACATGATATCTTATAATTCTTGCTTAGTAATTTAACCATTACCATCCTATTGATAATTATCATAAATACCTTATCAAACATTTTAAAGGCTTAATCTATTTTAGTTTTTGATAAAATCGTATTTTATTTAGATGATGCAACCAGAAATTCTGTGTAACTTATTTTTCCTGAATTATTTTAATCAATTTATGTAAAAATATCCTCGACTAAATGCTTAGCCTTTAATTCATCATTAAAAACCTGACTGTAAGCTATTTTATGGAACTAATAAATACCTTAGACTAATTCTTCTTTCGACAGTTATCCGTCCTTGTTTTTATCCATACTCTAAAAGGTTTAGTTTAATTAGTCTTTTTCTTCATTTGTCATCATTTCACCAGCAATCAATTATAAAATGGCTGCTCTCATATTACTTTCATTCTAAGAATAATAGAATAATATTCTTTACATGAAATTTGCCTAAATCGTTCATTACATCCAAACTTATCTTATCCTCTTTTGCTTTTTCTTTGATCCAAGGATCATTCAAAATCTCACTTGCTGATGGTCTCTTCTTGGGATCCAATTAAAGCATAGATTTGATTAAATTTTGAGCCTCAAAAGATAAACTAGTAAACTCTTTAGAATTAAAATTATATTTTCCTGATTTGATATTGTTGAACAATTGCTGTAAACTTTAGACCTTGACGTCGAATGGGAATTTACCAGTTAGTATTTAATACAAAATTACTCCACATGACCATATATCACATTTTTCAGTATAATTTTTGTCGATGACTTCAGGGGCTATGTACAACGGCTATAATAAAAATTAGAGAGTATAAGTACTGTTCCTATAACTTAAGTCTAAGATTCTCCACTTAATTATTTTTTGGCAGTACCAAAATCAATGACTTTTATAGGAGATTTGGGATCTGGAGATGCTAACATGATATTTGATGGTTTCATATCCCTACATAATTCGAAATTTTTGATTACCTATGAATAATATTTTATGCATGACAATAAGAGAGGGCTGATAATACTTATTTCATGTAATCTGCTGCTGTTCTCTCGTTAAAGGTTGACAACTTTGTTAATTTATCTAGCAATTCCCCTCCATTCAAGTATTCGGTAACCAAATAGTAATTTTGACTATCCTGATACAATTCGAATAATTTGACGATGTTCTAATGATCCATATCTTTTAGTAAGGCCACTTCACTAAACATAGCGTCTTCTTGTTCCTTGAGAATTTTTTTTTTTTATATTTGCTTCATTGCTCTTTATTAGCCAGTCTTCTTATGTTAAACCAGTCTCACCTATCCGTACGAACCTGACTGATAATTCTATGTTAATACCTTCTCCTAATATTTTGTTAATGATATAAGTATCAGTTATATCACCCTACTTTAAATTGACAAAGATGTTGGGGCCAACCTCGAATTTATTTACAGCCAATTCTAAGACTCAAAATAATTCGCTTACGTTTCTGTTCTTTCGACATCGCCTGTTGCTTATCTCCTCCTGATTTACCACCACATGCTCCCATTATTAAATAAATTTATTGATATCAAATCTAATAAAATTTAAAGTGTCTTTTTAAGATGTTATTTAACACCGATTTAATATTATAATGCAACACATAATGTATATCCAAAATTAAATAATCTTTATCAAACATTTTTTTAAATTAAATTCAAATCTAACATAAATCCTGTCCCTTATATAATATAGATAAACAATTACAATTAGATCCTTGCTCTGAAATATCAGATCTTAGTTCCACCATTAATATTTGATTAATATTATAGAAAATATAGGATTAAGCTATTTAGACTTTATATTTAATTCATATTTAATACAAATGTAGCAGGAATATTTACGCGTTTATTACAATCTCTCTTAATATTAAATACTTACATTACTTAAAATATTAATTTAGGATAGAGTAAGTTTAAAGGTTATGAAATTTTAACCGGATGCTATTAGATACAAAGAAAATAATTACTTATAATAGTTTAACAATGTTTTAGAATAGAATAGGTGAAGATGGAACAAATTAATAGTTAAAATACACTAAGGCTAATTGGTTGCTGATTGTATAAAAATGAAAAAGAAATGTTGCTGGAAACTTGAATTTAAGTTATTAAAAATTGAAGAATTTATTCTTAAATATATAATTAGCTCAAAAGAACATTTTAGAATCTGTATTTAAGAATGTGAACTAGGATAGAGAGATAACATTGTAATTCAATTTTCTAATTCTAAACTCTAAGTAGTGCTGTTCATTAATAGATAGAATTCTTACAAAGAAAATTGATTAAAATGGAGAATAAGATAATTTTTTCTGAGTGTGCAACGTATAAGAGTAGAAAAAGTTAAATGTCTATTTTTTTTTGAAGTAATTGCAAAGGTAAAGTAGATATTGAGAATTTATTTGGAAAGAGAAAAATGTATAACAAATTACATAAAGAATTTTAAAATTGAATAGGTAACTCAAATTACATGTAACTTTATAATTTTCAATGAATAATATATAGGGTTTTATTAAAAATAACATAAGATTATTGTGAAACTTGATAATGTATGTAGAAATTTTATATTTTTAAATCTTAATAATATATAAATACAATAATTGTTTAAAGATATTTGTAAATTTGTAAATTTTTATTTAAAATTGATTATTTGTATTTTAATTTACAAATGTTAGAATATATTCAACTTTTTATATTATTAAAAATGATTCTATCATTTTAAGTATGTCTTTATGTTTTTAATAAATTAATAGTTGCTGGTTCTTAAGAAATTCTTGAGTAATTATATTCCTCATTAGAAAATTCGTTTGCATTTAATTCAAAATTTATCTTAAAATTGTCACTAATTTCAAAATGAATCAACTCGAAATCAATTTCTTGAAGAGTTTAATTTTGTTATAATATTTTTTGAGCCATTAAGAGGCAAGTAGCTTCATTTGGTATGTGTGTGAAATCTACATAAATTAATGTCTATTTCATAGCTTTGATGATATCAGTCAAACTGTTATATGTTTCATAAATACCCATAAATTGGTCTCCAATTCTGTGGTTCCAGAAGTTATAAATAAAACGTTTAAGTTCTCCTATCTATGTTTGGATGGGGGATATCTGATTCTGCTTATATTTTAGGAGGAGAATAAGGGTAATTTATTCTAAAATCAAGGAAAAACTAATAATTAGATAAAGGAATACAAAAAACTTTTTAAATCCATAAGGTCCAATTTTTGGAATCATAACAATTTATAATATTGAGCTAACCATTTTAAAATTAATTTCACAGGTATCATCATCAAATTCTTGTAATTTTTCATCAAGCATGTCATTTTGTAACCTTTTTAATGATTACTATTCTGTACTATTTCTTTACGACTTTTTTTCAAACAAGAACATTTTTTTTATTATTATTTATAACAATGGAAATAGATTTCCTGAAGATGTCTTCTTGTTAAAATTGAGGTTTAGCTCAGAATAAATTAGTGCAAATTTAGTTGATTAGGGATGCAAATAGTTGAGTTTGTGCACATTGCTATTCCTATATCAAACAAGACTCTTCAAATTGATAGATTTAAGCAAATATAATAATTTAATGACATTTTACAGATAAAAATTTTATAAACTATTCTGCCAACATTTTATAATTATACTAAATGCATTTTTAGTTGAAATCTCATTCAGTGCAAGTACAAGTATTTTAGGTAGGATAGAAATGAATAAATTCTTCCTAATTAAATTATATAGAAAGAATTAATTGACTTTCCCAATATAATTTTTTTTATATGGATAATTAAGCAGAAGAATTAATTTCTGTAGAAAATGATCAAAATAATCACTAAACAGAAGTAATATACTAAAATTAAGATGAAACTAATAATAATTTGTAGGATTTAAATAATGGCTAAGATGAAGAATCAAAGGCACATTAAATTAATGAGGATTAAATTTTAAAGAATGCAAATGAAAAGAATTAATAATTCGAATAATTACAATAAAATTTTGAGAACGTGAAACTTGAACTTGAGGGATAAATTAAAAAATACGCCTCATTAGAAATTTAATATAGCAATTTGCAATCTTCTTAATAAAAATAAATCTAAGAATTGGAAAATGATTTTAATCATAAAAATGAGGAATATTAAAGATAAATTTAAGAGTATTAGAGTAAATTAGACAATATGCAAATGGAATATGATAAAGTACAGAATACTTTGAAAAAATCAGAACAAAAATATAATTAACTTTAAGAGGTTTAATTAGAATAGAATAATTAACATAGAATTGATATAGAGTCCTTAATAGAAAAATTATAGAAATCAGAATCATCTAAGGACAAATTATAATAAGAAATGTAGAAGCATTAAAGTAATTTAGATATGATTTCCAAATTAAAAAAAGAAATAGACTCTTATAAAATACAAGAGAAGGAATAAAATAATCTGATTGACATCATCAAATAAGATAATAAAATTATTGTATAGAATCTGGCTGAATAATTGAGAAAAGAGTAATAAAAAACACATGATGTCAATAATGAAAAAGTCAAACTTGAACAGTCAGTACAAAGATAACTAAATGAAAAAAATGAATAAATTAAAAAAATATAGAATGAAATTCATTAGTTAAATCAATAATTGTCTTCATCGGAACAAAAAAATCAAAAAACTATTAAATCTTTCGAAGAATAAATAGAAAAAGCAAATGCTGAAATTAAAGATTTAAAATAAAAATCATAATCCATTAATAATAATAATGAACAATAAAAAATGAAAATTAAATAATAGGAAGACATTATTACATAGATCATTGATGAAAACACTTTATTTAAAAAGTAAATTGAAGAATCGCAAAAACAAATAATAAAACTAAAAGAATAGTGTTAGAAGGAAATTGAACAAAAATCGCGTTTTGATATAAAATGCTTAAATTTATTGGAGGAGAAAGACATGGCAGAAATGAAAATAAGCTAATTGGAATCAAAACTTCTAGAATAATAACAAACATATAAATCATTTGAAAATGACTCACTTCAAGATATAGAGAACTTTTAAAATACCATTAAGTCTCTCCAATAGTAGCTAATGGATGAAAAGTAAATTTCAGAAGATAAAATTAAAGAATTGAACAATCAATTACAATAGCAAATCCAAAATAATTAGGTTATTACTATTTAATAGTAAGATTTAAACAGTCAAATTGAAAAGCTGAATAACTAAATTGCAGATTGTGAAAAATAAGATTTGTAGATTTAGAATTTAGAAATAATGCATTAAACTTAAAAAGAATAGATTGAAAAGCTTAATTAAGAGATACATTAAAATAATGAAAAATTAATATTGGAAATTGATTCAAAAGAAAATTTATAATAAAAATTAAATGAATATGAAAGAACAGTTTAAGAATTGTAATAAAAAAATTAGGACTATTTAGTTTAATTTGATAAACTCAAAGAAAGTAGCAGTTTGGAAAAAGCTTAAATCTAATAAGAATTATAGAATGCCTAAGAGGAAATAACAAACTCTAAATAATAAATAAAAATAGAATTACAAGAAAAAGAGGAAATTTTAATTAATCTAAGATAGAATATTGAATAACAATCAATAGATGTATCTAAATTATAAGAAGAAAACAATAATTACAATTTAAAATTATAATAATAAGAAGAGACATTATTAGAACTTAAAAATTAAGTTGAAACATTAACTTCATAAATCAATGAAAAAGAGAATACGATTAAATAACTTGAAGAAATTAAATAATCCTTCTAATCATAATTAGTATTATGGACAGAATCGATTAATTTAAAGGTGAATGATTTAGAATAATTATCTTAATAAAATGATTAAAATACTAAAATATTGATGTAAGAGATATCTTTATTATCGAATAAAACAAAAGATTAGAATTTTGGCTCTGAAATTGAAATAAATATTCAAAATGAAAGTCAAAAGGATAAAAAAATAGATTAACTTCAATAAGACCTTTTAGAATTAAGTACAAAATTGGAAAGTGATAGATAAATATTAGAAGCTAAATGCTCTTCATTACGAGAAGAAATTACTAAATAGTATGAGGAGACACTTCAAAGTAATTTAAATGCACAAAGATTATAGATAATCAATTAATATGACCAATAGATTAGTGAACTTTCAAATGAAATTCAAATATAAAAATAATTGCTATTAGATTGCTAATAGGAATCACAATAATTTAAGGAGTAACAGAAACATACAATTGAAAAGTATATTAAAGAAATTGAAGATTTAACTTAAATATGCTAAAATGAAGAATCATAGAAATAAATTCTAATAAAAGACTTGGAATCTGCTCAACTTTTATTATAGGAAATTGAAAATATAAAGGAGGAAAATAAAATCTTAGAGAACAGTGTATAAACTGAATAAGAACAAAAAAATCTAATGGTTTAACAATTCCAAAAGGAATTTGATATTTAGAAATCTTAAATTTTATAAGAATAAAAAAACAATGAAGTTAGTTTGGAGAAAATTAATTAATTACAGTAATAAGTCTAAGAGTTAGTGGAGAAACAAGATAAAATGCATGAAGACCTAGAACTAATGTAAGCAAGTTTGAAGTAAGAGTAAGAAAAGGAGATCAAACTATTAAGTGAATTCAATACTCAAGGTGTATTATTAGAATCAACTTAATCAAACCTTCATGCAGCAACTTAATAAATGAAAGAGTAGGAATAATAATATTTATCTGAAATTCAATAGCTGAAGGATCATATTGTTGTTTTTAATAATAAAATACAAGAGTAAGAAGAGTAAATAGTTTTGCTTAAAAATTCCCATCAGGTTGAATTAGAATCGAATTCTAATAATTTGGAGGTGAAAATCAATTAGGAGAATTAAAATAGTTTGTTGCAATTACGTAATGAATTTGAAACAGCAGCATAAATATTCAACGAATAAAAACAAAGAATGCAAGAAGAAATTGAGGGATTGCAGTTGTAGATTGAATAAATCGAAATTACGAATTTAGAATAGAAATAATTATATTAAGAGCAATTTGAGAAAAAGTCTAAAGAATAATAGTAGGAAGTGGATTTGTTAAAAAAATAAAGAATGGAACAGGATGAGATGATCTAATCTTTACAAATATCTTAAGTTTAACTAAAAGAGAAAGATACTTAATTAGAATAATTAAATCTCCAATTATCTGCATTTTAAGAGGAACTTTATCAAATGGAATAGAAATATGAAAATAAGTTATTATCAATAAAGCAGAAGCATGAGTCATAGATTGATGACTTACACAGGTTGATCTAGGAACTAAAGTAACAATTAAATACAGTTGAAAGTGAAGGAAGGATGATGTAAAACAGTCTAAATGAAATGGAAGTGTTGGATTTTAAATGCAAAGAACTTAAAACTGAAAATCAAGAGCTTTAGTTAAAAATTTAAGAACTCTAAAAGGGGCCTGATTAAGAGAAATCAGATATTTAAAATAATGCTCAGAATAATGAGTTAAAGGATTAAATAGAGGAGTTGAATTCTTAAATTTTGAAATAATAAAGAGAACATTTGCAAATCTAATAGTAGCTAATACAAGAAAAAGAACAATAAAATAATTTAATAGAAGAGCTTAAAGAAAAAATTCAAGAGTAAAAGATATAAATTCTATAATCTTAGGAATAAGTATAAACAATTACCTAATAATTATAAACCAAATAAAGTTAGGATTCAACAAATTTAACGAATCCTACTCCTTTTTTTAAAAATCATAGTTATGAATAGGCATAATTAAGTGAGATCTAATAGAAAATTCCTTAAAAGGATTATCAAATACTAGAGAATAAGTCAAAGGAATAATAAAACCAAATTAGGTAATTATAAAGTGAACTTGCTTCTTTGAAGTAGTTATAAGAAGATTAAGCAAGGATGCTGCATTAAAAATCTTCAAGAAACTCTACCTCTACATCTATGGAGGCTATTACAGAGAAATGTGCAGCCTTATAATCAATAATTGAGGAGCAAAGTATAATTAATTCGAAATTAAATGTGGAAATTGGATTATTTAAATAGTAAAATGAATAATTGAAAGATGACTTAAAGTTATGTCATCAAGAACTTAGGGAATTAAGAGTAATTTCAGAAGATAGATTCAGATTGGAAAGTGAACTTTAATAAGCACTTGCATTAGTAGCAGAGCAAGAGAATAAAGCAAATATATTTACTCACAATACACAATTAACCAAAGAGTTATAAGAAAAAAATCAAAAATAATCGGAGGAATTAGAAAGTTTAAGAAAGCAATTGAAGTAATTTGAGAGGTAGAAATAAAAGGTAAAGTTAATTAAAATTATTAGGTTTAAGAAAAATTGACTGAGACAGTGGAAGAATTAGAGAAATTGAAGAAGTAACTAGAAATATCTTAAGAAGAATTGGATAGGAGAAACACTAAAATAATTGAATTAGAAAAGCTACTTTAATCATAATTGTAAGATTTTAAAATTTTGGAATCTTAGTATAATGAATCATTAAAGGATTGTTAAATTTTATAGAAATAATTAGATGATTTTAATATGCTAAGTACAAGAGAGATAGAAGAATTAAATAAAGATAATCAATAGAAATAATAACGAATATCTTAATTGTAAGGAGAGATATAAAGTTTAATAAAGGACGTGCATGCTATGAAAGATTTTTAGGCTAGATAGAAATAAGTGTCTGAAGCTCCATTGACAAAGAAAGATAAAATAGTTGTGGAGTCTTTAGTAAATAGAATAAAAGAATTGGAAATGCAGAATAAAACAATAAAGGATCAATTTTCAGGAAAGATAGTTAAATTGACAAATGATTTAGAAGAAAAAGTTTCATACATTTAATTGTTAGCATATCATCTTAGTAAAGCATATCCGAATCTAACTGAAGCTGATTTGTAAGAATTAATATTCTATAAAATATAGGATAGAATAAGAAGATGTTAAATTAATCCAGTAACTGAAGAAGAAATAGAATGTTTAAGAGATAATAGAAGTATAAATATAAAGTCATTATGATAGAAAACAATGATTGAAAATTTGTAATTAAGGGAATAGCTAAAATTAATAGGAGCTGAACTAAATAAAAAAAAATCATGAATTACTTGTTTATTTATATTTTTAACATAATATCAATTCATTTTTATTATTATTATTATTCCTTATTAGCTTTCCATGCAACAATATCTATAATTCTTGGTTTTTCCCATAAAAATTCAGATTCAGTTCTACCAAAATGACCACCTGAAGCAGTTTTAGCATAAATGGGTCTTCTTAATTGAAGTTCTCTAATAATAACTCCTGGTCTCAAATCGAAGCTTTCTTAGACAATTTCAGATAGATCATCATCATCATAACCTTCTGCATGTGTTCCATATGAATTAACAGAAATTGACAATGGTTCACTGATACCAATACCATAGGCAACTTAAATCATGACTCTCTTGCATAATTTAGAGGCTACTAATGATTTGGCAACCCATCTGGCAGCATAAGCAGCACTTCTATCAACTTTAGTGGGATCCTTTCCTGAGAATGCACCACCACCGTGGCCACCCCATCCACCATAAGTATCTACAATGATTTTACGACCAGTCAATCCTGCATCACCATATGGTCCACCCACAGTAAATGCTTTGGATGGATTCAAATGGTATTGAGTATGTTCGTCAACATATTATTGAGGTAAAACATGCCTTTGAAAATAGAATTAAGTTATACTTGAGAACATGAGAATGTAATTCTGCTTATATTTCACTATGTGTGATTTTTTCATCATGTTATTATGAGATTAAGACATTGTGAATTCTAACGGGGAAGAATGTTGCACCATCTCTTTTGTATTCAACGGTAACTTAAACTTTAGCATCTGGTCTCATCCAAGGACAGATTTCTTTTTCTCTGCATTCCTGGAGTCTTGCAATTAGTTTATTGCAGAGATGATGAGTCAATGGCATCAATTCAGGGGTTTCATCTGATGCATATCCTATCATTAATCCTTAATCTCCTGCGCCAATCTCGTCTTCGTGTTTAGCACCCACGACAGCTTGATTAATCTCTCTAGATTATTGGTCTAGTGAGACTATTATGGATGCATTCTTGTAGTCCAATCCCTTGCCTAAAATGACGTAATATTTAATTGGATTACTTATGTTATCATAACCAACGTTTTTGATTGCTTCTCTGACGATTGTCTCATAGGGCACTTAAGCATTTGTTGTGATTTCACCGAAAACCATAACAAGAGAGTTTTTGCATGCTGATTCACAAGCTACTTTAGAATTGGGATCCTGGTCTAAACAGGCATCAAGAATGCTGTCACTAATGAAGTCACACAATTTATCAGGATGACCAGCGCTAACACTTTCAGATGTAAATAGGAAGTGTCCCTTTGGTAATTGGAACTTTGTTTTATGAGTTGAAAGCAAATGATGCTATTCATCTAATCTATAATGAGTGGCCATTTGTAGCTACAGAATTAAAAAATTAATTTTATTTACATTATATAGATATATGTGTATATATAAATCACAACTTATAAATCTTGCCACGTTCATCTAGAATGTTTTTCAATTCATTTAATTTACGTTGAGATTCGATTTCAAATTGTATAGTCTTTTTTTGATATTCTCCTTACTAATCTTACGGAATAAGATATTGCTTTGATGGATCAGAATTGTTATAAATAGGTAATGCATAAAACACTTTATTCCCTATTTTTCTCTTCTACTTCTCCTCAAAGTAATTATCCAATTCTAATGAATTTTTGTGCATTAATATTACCTAATTCACATTGCTTGAAACAAGTCTCCACTGTTTTGGAATTTATGTCTTTTACGCAGTTATATTAACATTAATGAAACTAGGCAAAGGCACGAATCTTTAATTTCTTGCTCATTATTTTGTAATCATGCACACATTTAAGAATCTTTAGGTCTTAAGTATCAACATTCTAACCAAACATTAATTTTATTATTATAAACAATAAATTTATAAAATATTCTTTCTCTATCTTTTATTATTATTATTTTGTAATATATTCTTGCAGATTCATATACATTTATCTTGATTATTCACTATGGAATTAAATTAAAAACTGCAGATTTATCTATAATAGTGAAAACTTATTGCATTTAACACCATATTCATTAGTTTAACGTAAATAAATATTAATCGAATTCATGATTATTTATACTCAGTATCAATTCTAATAAATATTAATTAACTATTATTGTAATTTGTTATTAATGTATTTTCAGAAAAGCTAAATATCCTAATAATATAAAAGTATAAATTTATATTCCAAAAGTCTTAGGATGATGATCCTTTTTAGTTAATATTAAAAAATTTCATTACTTATTCTATGAAGATGTCAAATAAATATAAGATATTGTATTTTTCTAATATTAATAATGAATCAATTTTTAATCACTTCAAAAACTTAACTGATTAAAAATATTTATAACTGCCCTAACAACCACGTATGCATCAAGTTTTCAAGTTCACTAATATTCTTAATAATCTTTAATCTAGAGTAAAATTTCATCAATCCTTTATAACTCATACTGTAAGGAGGATATATAGATCTGAAATTCTATTAGAAAACTTAAATTAAGATATATAATCCATCATCCGTAATTAATAAAGAGATGAAACTTCAAATTTTAATAATCATATATCTATTTCATTACTTAACTTAAATAATCAAATAAGTTCAATTTCAAGTTCTTTTTAGAAAAGCTCATTATATATAACAAGTAGTATTCTAAGCTTTTAAATGTTCAAATTTGTATTGGTATCATGGTTAAGGATGATAAAGTTCACTTTTGAATGATAATATTTAAAGTCTAGATAAACTTTAAATTCTTAAGATTTGGATCTTATAATCTGAGAACTTAGAACAACTTTAATTAAAATTCTTATATTCTCTTACTTAACTATGATAGTCTTCAAAGATGATAAATAATTTGTGATATTCTTTTGAAAAGGATTTCTATTTTTTCATTCTCCTATATAAACTAATTTGCAGATTTGAAGCAACCTTATTTATGTTGCAATAATTAATAATACTCTTAAAATGATGTAAATTGAGTTGATCAATGATGTGCGTTCATCATTTTAAATTATTAAATGTTTTATAAAAATAAAATTAACGATGTTATTAAAAGAGAGAGGTTATTATTGGAGTAATGGGTCTTTTTATTATGGATAATGGATGGATAACAAAATAAGCGGAGTGGGATTATTCATTAATAATGATAATATTATAGTGGGTTAATTTAACAATGGACTTTTGCATGGATATTGCTAACTCATATACTCTAATAAATTCAAGTATTGCAAATACGAGAACGGCTTATAAGTAGGATTGATAAAGTACGAATACTTCAATGGAGAAACCATTGTGGACAATACCCAAACTTAAGATTAAGAAGAATTAGACATCATAAACAAATTGAACAATTCCTATTTTGTAATATAATTAAATAACTTAGTTGATACTATTGAAAACACAACTCAAGAATTGGAAATTGATGAATGAGACTTAGCTCTACTTTAGTACTCTCATCAATTAAAACTAAAATGAAAACAGAAGGATCGGAGTGTTATATGACACTAAGCAGAATAAGTTTGAATATGGCTACTTCCTGAATTAACAATTAGATGGTAAGGGAGGCATAATTTTTGAGTCAGGAGACAAGTATATCGGGGATTTTAAAAATGGATAATTAAATGGAATTGGAATATTCTATAACAAATCTGAAAATCAGTATACCTAGAGTAGATTTAATAATAATGAGATTGTTGAAATCATTAAGCAGTCCAAAGATCCAATTTCGCTAAGAAATCAATGGCATCAAATACCAATTCCTGAATTGATAAGCAAGAATCATTTGACACCTATTAAGTAAAGCAATTACTACTCTTCTAAAAATTTCAGTACTAAATTATCAAGATCAATAAGTCCTATGAGACCTACTGTTTCAGTTAAAAAATAGGCTATGTATTCACAAATAAAAAACTATCCAAATATAGAATATAAGTTTGGATCAATTCAAAGTCATTTTGGAAAGGACGATCTCAACATCATCAAGCCTTATAGGAGCAAACAGATTAATAGTTATATCAAGCAGAGTACTAGGATCGACGATTAAAGCATCCTATAATTACATTAACAACTATTTGATGATGACTAAAATAAATTTAAGTTATTTCACAATTGATTGTTTGTTTGTTTTGTATATAAATAATTTATATATAAATATCTTAAGGTAAAATGTCAGGTTTATAAAAGTAGATGTAAAACAGTGAATCGAAGACCTTAATGTCTAGGAAATCCTTTTGTGGGTCCAATTCAAATATGAATTAATTATTTAGACCTGAGTTTGGATCTACGCAAAGCTTGGCTAATCATGAAAGATTGTGGCATTTGATGTAAAATTACTTGCCTTCTGACAAGAAAAGGTATGATGATCCAATATAAAATTAAGTATTTAGGAGCAGATAGTGAATCATGTTGAATTTTCACTTGCAAGAACAAGATTTGATTTCCATTAAGTACATTGTTATTAAGCTGTGTCTCACTCTATAAGAGATAGATTGATTGAAAGTTTTAATGATACTCAATTGTATTTTCATGAATAGGATTGCAAGAGAGTATACTATTTATCAATTGAATTTCTAATTGGAAGATGTCTATAAAACGCTGTAGGAAATCTAGGGTTATAAGACTCTTACACAGAAGCAGTTCAAGAATTGGGTTACAAATTGGAAGACCTCTATGATGAAGAAGTAGATCCAGCCTTAGGAAATGGTGGATTAGGGTATAAATAATCAATTATTTTCTAGTCGTTTAGCAGCCTGCTTTTTAGATTCACTAGCAACGTTGAATTACCCAGCCTTTGGTTATGGCATTAGATACAGTTATGGAATATTCAAGTAATTGATTCAAAATGGGTAATAAGTGGAGGCACCTGATTACTGGTTAGAGAAGGGTAACCCTTGGGAAATCGAGAGATTGGATGTGTAATATCCAGTCAAGTTTTATGGAAGAGTAGTCAAGAGACATGAGAATGGTCAAGAAAAGTCATTATGGGAAGCAGGAGTATAAATCTTTATTAGACCTAATAGGAAACAATAGTAGCCAGAGCTTACGATACTCCAATCCCAGGATATATGACATTCAATACTATTGCTTTGAGATTGTGGAGATCTGTGCCAGCAAATGAGTTTGATTTTACTAGTTTTAATGAAGGAGATTATTTCAAATCATTAGAAGCCAGAGAAAAAGCAGAATACATAACATCAGTCTTATATCCAAATGATAGTTCCTATGCTGGAAAAGAACTCAGATTGAAATAAGAATATTTACTAGTTAGTGCTACTCTTTAAGATATTACCAGAAGATTTAAAAAAGTAAGAAGAGATTGGTCCCTTCTACCAGAGAAGGTAGCCATTCAATTAAATGACACTCATCCTTCTTTAGCTATTTTGGAACTCTTGAGAATTTTGATTGATCAAGAGGGTATGACTCATGCAAATGCTTGGGAAATCATTTCCAAGACTTTTGGATATACAAATCATACAGTATTACCTGAAGCTTTAGAGAAATGGGGTGTCGATTTGCTAGGTAGTTTATTACCAAGACATCTTGAAATTATCTACTATGTTAATATGATTTTCTTGAATAAGGTAAGTGCTAAATTCCCAGGAGATGCACACAAATTATCAGCACTTTCACTTATCGAAGAAGGCCCAGTGAAAAAGATCCGAATGGCTAATTTATCAATCATTGGATCACATATGGTTAATGGTGTTGCAAGAATCCATTCAGATTTATTGAAGACTGATTTGTTTAAGGATCATTATGAAATGAGACCTAAGAAGTTCATTAACATCACTAATGGTGTTGCACCAAGAAGATGGCTCAGATCATGCAATCAACAATTGGCTAAATTGTACGATGAATGGTTAGGCACAGATGAATGGGTACTCAATATGGATATGTTGAAAACTCTAGAGGACAAATGCGAAGATCAATTGGCATTAATCTAGTTTATGAAAGTCAAAAGAAATAATAAATTAAGACTCATCAAATGGGTTAGACAATATTGCAATGTAGAAGTTAATGCAGATACTCTATTTGATATTCAAGTTAAGAGAATTCATGAATACAAAAGATAATTCATGAACATCCTTTATGTCATCTATAGATATCTTTTATTAAAGGATACTCCTACTGAAGGCAGAAGAAAATTCGCACCAAGAACTGTTTTCTTTGGAGGAAAGGCAGCTCCTGGATATTTGAATGCTAAAAGAATTATCAAATTAATTAATGCTGTTGCTGAAGTCGTAAATCATGATTTGGATACTAATCATTACTTGAAGGTAGTGTTTCTACCCAATTATAATGTATCATCAGCAGAAATCATTATACCAGCCTCTGATATTTCTCAACATATTTCAACTGCAGGCACAGAAGCATCAGGAACATCCAATATGAAATTCGTAATGAATGGTGGAATCATTTTAGGAACTTGGGATGGTGCCAATATTGAAATTGCAGAAGAAGTTGGACTTGATAATATTTTCATTTTTGGTGCAAGAGTAGAAGAAGTTGGTAAATTGATTGACAATATGAAAAACTCTGATCCCTATCAATATGTTCAAAAACCTCTTTGGAATGTTATCTAAGCTATAAGATCAGGTATATTTGGACACGATCATCATGGACTATTAGACTCAATTACAAATAGAAATGATTTCTATTTAGTGGGACATGACTTCTATCATTACGCCTAAGCTCAAATTAAAGTATGTTATACATCCAATATTTCTTCAGATTGATCAATTATATCAAGATAAGATTTAATGGGCTAAGAAAGCATTCTACAATTCTATCAGATCAGGCAAGTTTAGTAGCGATAGAACTATTCATGAGTATGCTTAAAAGATTTGGTATAATTATGCATCTTAATATTTTAGGAATATAAAACCCATTGTTGTACCACAGCCCACAGCAAATAAATAAGATAGATTTAAAATCTAGAAATGAATAATTTTTATTAAAAACATAAAATATTATAATCAATCAATTCTTAAACATTACATATTTATTTATGATAATTAACATACTTTAAATGTTCTTGAAAACTAAAAAAGTCATACCATCTTAAAAGATGAAAATTATAAATTTGATTTAATAACAGTCAAAATTTAATATTTAAGTATTAGATTAGTTCATATTTTATTTTTAATTATTATCTCAAGTCTAATTTTTTGATTGATCTCTCCTCCTTAGTTAACGAATTCACTTAATTAAAGAGATTGTTATGGGGAGAATAAAATAGAATTATCTGAGAAGTCATTTTAAAAATTTATAAGTTAAATTAGTCAGGAGGTTTTGGAAAAATTTTAAAGTGAAAATATTTCGACTTTATAAAATGCTAAATAAATTGGTATAGGGATGATTTTCGACTTTAAAGTCAGATTATTTTGATAAAAAAAATTCATTAATTTAATAAATTTTTATTTTATGATGATTTTCATAAATGGTGACAATTCTTCATGGACTTTAGTCATAGTTACACTGATTAATAAAACTATATTCTTATGATGTAAAATCACGTACGGTCTGCTGAAAATTCATGCGGATATTACGAAAACCCATTACTGATTATATATATTATTACAATTATTTAATGAGCTACGGCCTTGAAGAAATATCAAATAGAATTGCATGCTTAATCCTAAGACAAATAGAATCAATACTTATAGTGGACTGCTAAATAATACATTCAATTATTGAAAGTTTTAATTTTGCTATAAAAATAAGTATTGTATTGTTTGTGATGGATTTTCTTGAAGTGTGTTAATCGTAATCACACATCTACTCTAAAATCTCAATTCCTTATTAAAACGATTAATCATTACTTGATGACTTTCATTTTTGTTTCAATTTCAAAGAGGATAAATGAAAACATAAAAAATGTTAAGTCTAAAGTTTTCTTAGGATTTAAATAAGCATCTCATTTGTTTTGGATTCTTCAGCATACTGAATGAAATTTAATCAAGACTCCAAATATTTTTGGCATTTAGAAATCAATATTGTGTGAGAAAGTAGTTTGATAAAATAATTAAGAATGAATCAATAATTTGTAATAAAGGACAATCAGATAGAAATTACTCATCTCAAGAACTATTAATCGTGATTTATTAAACAAAATTAATTATTTGAAAGAGATTGAAGAAGAAATTCGGAGAGGATGGGATGTCTTGAAACACTTAAATATAAAGGATAAATTGAGAATTCAAAATTAGTTAATCAGCAACTATACTATTTTGTGATATAATACTATAATAATATTCCATTTTATTTTGTATACAAAATGTTATCGTTTAATTTTATTAACTTAAAATGTAAAAGATTGTTGGGAAATATTCGTTCAATATGAATCATCTAATTGGTAAAGGTGCATATGGCACAGTTTATAAGGGGATCTCAAATGATGGATTACCTGTGGCAATTAAAGTGATAGATAGAAGGATGATTAATCAAGTAACGTATATAAAATAAAAGAGTAGACTAATACTTAACAATTACTAAATGAGATTAGATCTATGAAGTAACTTAATCATAAAAATATTGTTAAATTTTTAGATTTCTATGAAACTCAAAACAATTTTTATATTATATCAGAATTTTGTAATGGTGGAGATTTAAGAGATATAATTAAAAGAGGTAAATTAGACTCAAAATCTGTAGTCAATATCCTAAAATAAATCTTGAATGGGTATTGGATGAAATATATTTAGGTATCACCAACTCTATTAAAACTCTTTAATCCATAGAGATTTAAAGCCGGCCAATATACTTTTGCATTAGGGAATAACTAAACTAGCAGATTTTGGATTTGCAAAAAAGATTGATTTCGAAAATGATTTGATGACAAGTATTGCAGGTACTCCACTTTATATGGCGCCGTAAGTTATTTTAAGATAACCTTACACCTCTAAATGTGATATTTGGTCGTTAGGTATGGTATTATATGAATTACTATTCTAAAAACCTCCTATAAATGCTGAGAATATAATTCAATTGTAAGAAAGAATTTGTAAACCAATTATTGTACCTCAATTAGATAATTCTTAATTATAATAATTAATTTAAGGATGTTTGTAAATTCATGAAGAAAATAGAATAAATTGGGACGAAATTTATTAGAATCCACTGATTTAAGAATAATAATAATAAGAGAATACTAAACGATAATATGCAGGAATATTAGAAGAAGTGGAACCAGATTAAACTGATTACAGGAAATTTCTAATAACAAATTATTTGTAAATTGAATTTGAAGCTAATTAAAGAATATATTTGAATCAACTAAATTTTGCAAGAAGTGCATTTAATTTTAGTTTTTTCATATAACAATTTGAATAATCATTTTAAGATTTAGCCTAAAATTTAAGATGGTTTTCTTTTAATTGGCTATAACAGCTAGAAAACTCAAAGTTTTTGAAAGAATAGCAGAAGTTTTTCAACGATGAAAGAGGTTTATATTGTATAACTTAATTGAAATAGATGAAACAAGCTTTTATTGATAATTGCCCTGAAAATTATTAATCATTAGCTTTTGATATGATGAAATTATTATCAATACTTGAAGAACATTAGACCAATTTATCTGCTAACTTAGGAACTTTAAATAGACATCAATTATTAGCAACATATATGATAAAATACTTAAATAAAACATTGAGAACGGCAAGACTGAATGAATGTTTTTATGTGGCAGATCTTTAAGATATTTAAAAATTTCCAGATAAAGAAATTATGCAAAGGATCTTAGAATTTTGATTTCAAATTATTTTATAATATGTTATTATTTTATTGATACTATTTTATAAAATATAACAATATAAATGTAAAATATTGTTATGGATAAGGAAACATCAAATAAAATGAATAATAGTAAATCCTCTCTATAAACATTAAATTTCTCATTAAAATTAAAGGTCATTGATGAATTTATCGTGCTAAACCCTTAAAACTGAATGTTATTTTTAAAAAACATGCAGTATATATAAAGTAAGTTTTTGTACTCAAAACATGTAATGAATTGTTTAAAATAAATGAATTTGGATTTATCGAAGATATTTTCAATAAACTAGAGAAAATAAATCCTAACTAAAATTACAGAACTATACTTATTTATAAATATATTAATATATTATTATAATCCTCAGATATGAGTTTATTTAGTATTAATGCAATTAGTTTTTGATTGCTTATGTTTTAATAATAATTTAATGAGAAAAACAAATACAAATTAAAAAACAAATGATAACAATTTGAATTACCTAAATGGAGGAGGTTTCGCAGTACGACCAAAATCATTGCTTTGTACAGAATATATCTATTTTTAGGCACAATTTGTGGGAGAGAGTTTGGAACAGCTTCTCTTGAAATTCATTAAAAAACTTGCATTAAAAAGTACCAAAATGATTTGATTAATATGGATCCTGGTCACAGATAATAGATGCCCACTAGTAATAATAAATTATTGACTATTTTAGCTTAGTAGGTTTTACAAAAGTTGAACTAAGAGAAATAAGTAAGGTAATAAGGTGGAACAAAAGTTGGCCAAAAGTCACAGCAGGTGTTATATGAATAACCCTAATAAGTCATGGCTCTTGTTGGGGTAAATGAATTTAATAACTTTGTAGTGCAGAAAATGTGGAAGAAGATTCAATCCTGATAGAATCAGAAAACATGAATCTGTGTGTATTGGACCTGAACCAGATATTTAAAAAATAAAAGAATAATAACAGGAATAGAACAAAAGGGCTGCCAAATACTTAAAACCCAAAAAAACCGGTAAATGGAAATAGGAGCATCTTGAATTTTAATAGGCTATGAGAGAGATGAGGAAAGTTAGATAATAAGAAATAGCAGAAGGTAGAGGTAATCCTTTTGGTCATCAATAATATGGTTAATCATATGGAGTGTCAAATAAATAGCAACCTACCAAATATGGGAAGGGCAATTAATATCAGTAAAATTATAATAATCAGCCTTAATCAAGATAATATTAATAATAGAAATAACCACAATATTAATAATAATAATAATAGTACAGTCAGAAAGGTTATTCATAAAGTGTTAAAGCGACACATAAGCAGCCAACATATGAACAATAATAAACAAAGATGGTCCAAAAGTCTCCAATATCTCAAATGCCATAAAAATAATACTAATAACCAACTAAAAGTTCTTACAATGATGTTGGTTATGGTAGACCTGCATATAATGCTGGTGGTGGAGCATGTAAAAATAAGATTAAATTTTAGCTTACTAAATTGCTCACTCAAATGTTAGTACATTTAGTCTATTTACTTAAGATGGTAAGCCAAAAAACTATGATAATTATCAATAAAACAACCCATATGTAAAGAAGAATGGTTTATATTGATCGCATAACAATCATTAATAATTAATTTACTCCAATATCATTTTCTTATTAAAAAATAATATTTATAAATTTGAATGATTATACATACATTCACAATCGTTCAGATTCACTGAAAGGACACCACCGTTTCAAATAAGGTATTATAATTCAAGTTAACTTGATTTACGACCTGCTGATATGATTAGATTTAAGATTTAGATAAATCAAATATAGATAGGAATTACTTAATTTTTTGGATTGTGAATAATTTAAAAATGAAATTCTTCAATGTTTTAGAAGTAAAGCAGTTAAATGAGAATCTATAATTTACTACTTAAAACGAGTTGAAGAATAACAAAATAATTTTTTTGGAAAATATCCCAAATCCTTTTTGAGTGCTTATTTTAGGGAGATTACTGGATTGTAAATGAATTATAGATTTAAAAGGCTGAATAATTGAGCAACCGAATGTAAAGACAGGTCGATTTTAATTAATTCTAAAGAGATACTCCAGAAAGAGTTTTAATTATGGAATTGCTAAAGGAATAATAACAAAATTAGGATTGCAATAATACTTTTAACAAGAAAAGGAGTTAATTGAAAGAAATTAGATTTTATGAAAAATTTCTTTTATTTGAATGATTTCAAAAGGAAGATGGATAAGAGAACATTAAAAAATAAAGGGGAAAGGGAGATTAAAATCTTCTAACTGAAAATAAGTCAGAAAGACTACATGTTAATGAAATGATTTTATTTTTTAAATTTAAATAAATTATTATATAGAATTTAGGAGAATGATTAATTAAGAAGAATCAAACAATCACATATCTGAACCAAATGAATAGAATTCAAGATATAAAATAGTTTTTAGTAGCGAATAGGAATCAAATTAACCATAATGTATTATAAAATTGAAAGATCAAAATATCAAATTCTTTATCCCAGAAAGTGAAGATGCATAAGAATTAAGTGCACTTCTTGAGAATAAAGAAAATGCTAAAACCCCATAATAACCATTGTATGTAGAATAATTTTTTAAAAAATACAATCAATTTGAAGACAGATTTAATGCATTTTTCACTTGTAGTCCTAGACAATACAGAATAAGTTTTGATCTAAATTAGCTTATCATAACAATAGTATATTGGAGTGCATACTTCAGTGTTCTCTCAGAATCTATAGTAAAACTGAATTTTATTTTAGGCAATCGAAAATAATTAAATCATAAAAAATGATAAAATACGTTAATAAATAGCTCATCAATTGCCTGTATATGCTTTTTTTTATACAATATCATCATAAATGTAATAATTTATGAAATTTTAGTTGTTAATAAATTAAAAACTATCTAATTTGGATCCTTCTATTTATAGGTTTAATAATAATTCCAATTTTTGTTCTACTAGGATACCATCTCAATATTTTTGGAAATTAAGATGGATTCTCATAAGACTATATAGGGATAGGATATTGCATAGTAAGTATTGCGATTTTTATAAATTCTCTAATAAATAGAGGACTTTTAGAATATATTAGAAGAGTATCATCAGCTGTTATTGCGACAATATTTAATTGTGGTTTTTGTGTATTAGTTTCATATTTTATCCTCTTTAAAATAATTGCCTTTGTACTCCTTATTTAATCAACTAAAGTAGAATACATTATTGATAATATATCTAAGATAATAGCTCCATCTACATTTTTAGTTATATTTTTATTCTCTATTTTTCTAATCAAAGGACTATTTTATTTACCAAAGAAGACAATAAAATACGACTTATATTAGCTCTCATTATTAAAGTATGCTGATAATGATATAAAAAATGAGTATTTAAATTATAATATGAATAAAAGAGCAAAACAGATATTCAAAAAGCTAAAACTCTAAAAGTTTGTTCCATGGATGATTACAATTAGTTATGTAATTATTGAGATATTTTGCTATGCAAATTTAATAATAGGATTATAATCACATGATTTTGAGTAGATTGTTACTTTTGGCTTTTTAATTTTAGCTCTACCAATTTTTATAATATTTGGAATATGCATAAGCAACTCAAGATTCAAGAGATAGAACTTGTATCTCTACACTCCCTTACTATTTGGTGCTGCGCTTAGTGTGATATGTATTAAAGTATGGAGTTCGACTATTGAAAACGAGTATATCAAGTCAATTTCAAGATTAATAGGCATATGCCCGTTAATTATATCATTAATGTGGCTGACAGTTGGGTACTTTAGATCTGAAAAGAGAAATCAAAAGCTGTTTGTGATGCTTTTTTCATGTTTTTCCTTTGCCATACCTTTTGGAATTTTATTAACATTTTCTGAGTATTTTGATGATAAGGGATTATAGATAGGAGCATTTGTGTTGGCTAGTGCTGGACTTATTCCAATAATATTCTTAATCATTTATTATATTATTATAGTAATAATCTACTTATTGAAATTACCAAAATAGGCAGAAAATTTATAGTTTGTCGCTTACGAGTATGTAAACTTAAATAGCTATGCGGTTTGGTATAATTCGATATGCTATATAATATCTTTTTATTTAATTTGTTATTTTGCTTGGAATGAACCAAAAACAGCTACTGGAACAAAAAAGGGAACAGTAAATTATTATTTATACTTTTAGATAATAGGGTTGCTAAGTATACATACAATTTTATTTATTCTAACAAGTCATGCTTTATCTCTCGAAGTTAAAGAACAAACATAAAAAGATATTGACTAGAAAGAAAATCAAACTTATACTCAAAAATTATTAAATAGAATGTAGGATTTTACTACAGTGGGAATCATTCTTCCATTAATAGTATTATTGCCAATAGCACTAACCATTTAGAGTGAAGTAACTAAAAATGCTTTATTAGCAAATACGGTTGGAGTACCTTTATCATTTTTGTATTATAAATTTTAGATTTCATTAAAACAGGAATCAGTCATCTATTAATAATTTATTCAACCACTAGTAGTAATTATCGGATGGACATTTATAATAGGTCCAATTGGAACCATATTTCCAATTTTTGCAGACTATTTTGAAAACTCTTCTACAGAATTTGCCTTATTTGCTTAATTAGCTGTTGCTTATTCTATTTTAATTATTATAATAAGTGTTACAGTTTTGTCTATTTTTTATTCTGTTTTGTTAAACAAAGAACAATTAGAAATGAAGAAGAAAGAAGTTCTTAGAGCAGTTATGAAGGAATTTTCTGAAAATGGGGTTTATGCAACTGAAGAGATTTCATCTTTATTATTTGTTAGATATGTTCAGCATAGAAATTCGAGTAAGTTAGAGGCAGATTTAATCAAAGGGGATCCAGTAAATATGTATGAACATCCAGATCCTGCAGAAAATAACAATATTAAATACATTCTTGTAACAAAATAAGATTTTGAAAACAAAAAGAAATTAGAGTAGATTTAAGAAAGAAAACGACTTAAAATAAGGAAATCCTTAAGTGACAATGAAGTAGAAATGGCATCATTAACTTCTGCCGATACAATTAAATAAAGAAATTAAGAAGAAGAGCAAGGCTTTTTGTATAAAGTTCAAGATTGTTTGTTTTCTTGCCTATTGTGCAAATTTGGATTTTATGATTTAGAGGATATGGAATTAAATGAACATAATAAATAGAAAGACTTATAAGAATTAGAAAAATAAAAATAAAGTTTTGAGTAAAGAATAGAAATAAAAAAAAGAATAAGATAAAGACACTCAACTATTTTATCAAAAGATACTAAATATCTTGATTAATTTTAACCCATGATGTCAGATTCCAGGAGAGCCGAAAGATTTTGGATAACTGTCTATCATTATTTTATTAATAAAGGTGATTTGTCAAATATATTGGAGGTCTTAAAATTAGAAAAGGATTATGAAATATTAAAGTAATATTAAAGTTTTGAAGAAAGAAATGAAGGGTTTATTCTATCTGAAGAAGACTTTGCCTTATTAATATACGATAATTTTAAGTATGAAGATCGTTCTTATTAAGAGACTGTTTAAGAATTAGCTATTGCAAGTTATTATCATTTTGTTAATGATTATCCTAATTTTTATGAATAAATAACAAAATTTAAGGGTGTTTCAAGTGTCATTTAAGAACATAATTTTATAAAAATTGAGAAATTCAAAGATGAAAGAAGATGTTTAAATAAAATATAGGTTCCAGCACGAATAGAAACAGATAAATTAAATGATTTGTAGTCTGCTGAATAAAAGGATCTTAATGATAAATATTAGTAGAAAATACTAGAAATTGAAAACAATTACAAAAAGAAAATTCCACACAAATGGGAAAAGAAGATTTGGGAAATTTGCAAAGAGATACACATTGCTATTTGGATAACACCCAAAAAATATACCCAAAAATTTATGAACTAATTGGCAGATCTTTACAGCAAAATTGCTCCAATAGAACCTAAAGCTATTCCAATAAATGAAGATTGGACCAAAGTGGCTTAATAAGTGTGCAGAGTTTTGGTAGAAGAATTTAATAAATTTGATAGGAAAGCAAATGAGCAGGAATTCCACTTTAAACTTACAATAACAAATCTATTAGCTGTATTCCTAAGAGTTTATGATCTATATGGATTAATTACGCTATCATTTGACTCTCAAGTAGGTTGGTTTGGAGAGAAGTCTGAATTCAAGCCTATCAAGTCTGTAGATTATTCAGCTATTTGGAGTGAATATAATTTTTTCTTCTTTATGGCTTTGACAATGAGTATAGCTTATATAGTTTTAGGATTATAAGCTAGTAAATAAATAGCTGATAATTCATTTGGTTTTGATGAAGATGGATCAATAGCAGGAATTAAAAGCTTCAGATTCTGGGTGAGTAAAACCATATAAATTATTAGTGGATAATTTATATTTGTCATGAAGACATACATCGATGCTTTCATTTGCGATTACAGTGAATATCCATATACTTTAGTAAGACAACCCTCGGTAGAATGTATGAGCGACATACATTTTTTATATATCTCTTTTGCTATAATAGGATGTGGAATTTACTATCCACTTTCAACATATTTATAACCTACATTTCAATTCATGGATCGTTCATTAGATTTAAAATACAAATCGAATTTTGTAGTCTTATATATATAAGCTAAGCTATTGATACTGGGGTCAAGTTCAGTATTTTCGAATTTGTAAGAATCAGCATATTAGTATTAAATGCTTTTCTCTTTTGCAGTGATGGCTGGATTAATTTATTTCCATTTTAGACTCAATCCCTCATATATAAAATGGTTTAATATCGTAGAAAGATCCTTATTGCTAATTTTATGTTATGTATATATAATAGCAAATAATAGTTCTATTTTGGAGCATTCGTTATTCTAACTAGTAAAAGTGTCTTAGTTGGGTGGATAATAACTTTAATCTTTACTCTTGGGACATTAATATATCTAACCTACTATTTGATCTAAGAATTCTACTAAAATAAGGTTAATTAATAAAATTAAATCAGACCGATCCAATCATAGGAATAAAGTTGAAACAGAACATACTTGATTTTTTAGAATAAAATTCTTTATTAAATTTATCTCATATATCTAGAATCAAATTTCTAATAAAAATGATATCAGTATTTATTATTAGAGCATCTATTTCATTTTTGCTTTGCGATCATTTATATAATGGACAGTGTTTTCCTGGTATGATTTAGCCTTATTAATAAATTCAAGTTTCTTTTTTTCCTAGAATTTCTTGATGTTTAGCAATGGCAGTGGCTACTCGCAAAGTACTCATTATATTTTAAAGGTAATAATATCATCTAAGGACACTTGCATCATATGCATAGAACATCAATGTTATTTTAATATGAATATTTTATGAGGTCCTTGAGCAAAACATAAAGTAAATAATGATCTTTGCTACTAGTCTAAATTTCATCTCTTCATAATTCTAAATTGATGTGAATGGCTTAGAGATTGATTTAGCTCTCAAAAACTTTATCCAAGATTAAAATGTTTTTAGGTAATGCTTGAATAAGTTAGTTTTATCTTAAACTGCCTTCAAACCAATCACTATCCTAGCCCAAATAAAAATATTATCTGCCATTTGATTTGCATTGAATCCTCTAAGTTCAACTTAAATCTCCTAATAAATAATGAGCAACCACATCTTATTGAGCAAAAATGGTTGAGTCTGAAAGAAATTCATTTAAAAATATCACTTAGACCAAAGCCACTTTTTACCCAACCTGAAACTACGATAGACAATCAAAATTCTCTAATCTAATCTAAGCTACTCGGAACATCTACTGTTGGCATAGGTTTGAAATCACCACATTCAGGTAATCTCAAGTGTCTTTTATATATTGCTTAAAGTATCCCATCTTCTGGGGTAGCATAGAGAGGTGATATAAAAATTTCAGTAACCTCTTCCCTTTAGTTCCAATCATAGGTATATAAATTAAAGAGTGTATTTATATTTTATTTGGAATTAATAAATTTAAGTATTTTAAATTTTTCATTAAATTGTACAATCATAATTTTATGGTATCCTAATATCTCCAGATACTTAGTTATCTTATACAATAGATTCCAAAGAAGGATTCCTCCTTTCAACAACTAATTCAATCTCATTAGCATTAATCTCATTTTTAAGTATTTTTCCATGACTTTTATCCCTAATAAACAATCCTATTCCATCATTATGATTTATTTTATTTTCAATGATTTCAGGTCTACTATCTTTAATAATCATAATCCCATTGCTTTTGTTCTTTTAAATTTCGTTTCCACTAATAATTGGAACAGCTGTTATACAAACAATTCCATCATTCTATCTACATAAGTAAAATATTACATTTTCAGCAATCTTATTTCTAAATATCCAACACCTTCCACATTCAATTAAGAAGATACCTTCACATCTCCCTCCCAGAATTTTATTCTCGACTATAAATGTATCTACAGAATTGGCACCGCCTAAGGCAATATTAGCTTTGATATTATCAGTAATTTCATTTTTTTCAATGACAGCAGATGAAGTCTCTACTAATAATACACCCTAACCTAGATTTTTTGTAATCTTGTTCTTATATATTGAAATACGAGATTCAGTATCAGCTTTGATTCCTGCCTTCTTATTATATCCTATAAAGGCATTCTATTCGATCCTGGTATAATTATTTTACCCAGTGCAATGAATACCATTTTCCTTATTTCCAGATATTGTTTGATTAGTTTTAATCTTACCATCACATCTTAATTGTTCGAATACTTTGGTTAATATGCCATCAGTGAAATTCTTATCAATTTTATTATTAAATATCTACGGATCAGCAGATAGCACTTCTATTCCTACAACATTAGTTTTTATTTCGTTTCCATAAATCCTGGCCCTGTTTCCAATACCTACTTTAATTCCTGGTCCTTCATTATTTTCAATTCTACATTGCTCTATTTAAGGAATTGCATCTGACCCAACAACATGTATTCCCACTTTTTTATTTTGGATTATTTTGCTATTCATAACACGAACATTTTTATTAGTTGGTGCCTGTTATATCAATATACCACCATATGTATGATTGTGGATCTTGCTATCCTTGATAATCAAATCTCCTAATTTCACTATAATACCTATTGTCTTGGCATCTTAATTTTTTGAGGAAGTGCCTTTGATTTCACATCTAATGAATAGGGCTTCAGCATTTTGATTCACAGCTATACCTGGCAATATGCCTTTAAAGGATTTCACGATGAAACTTAAATTTGATGTTATTCTTACTTTAATGCGATAATGCAATCTTCCATAAATAGTTTGCCTCCATTCAATAGCACTACGCAATTCAAACTAGAATCTATTGTCACTTTGCTTACAAACTCCTCATCTGGATTCTACTCCAAACCACCAGCTCCATCCTCATGACTCCCAAAGAGATGCTTTGCCATCTCCTAACCTTCTATCAATTTTTCTAATTCCTCCACCTCTTCGCTTGTTCCACTGTGTGACATTTTCAATCCTATCAAGGTGCAACGTTCGTCCTTTTTTAAATCCACCAAAATAGTAGGTTTGGAGGACACAACTATAATGATATCTCCAACCTTTTCTTTAGGTTCCAGACGCAATCCGGGTTTATTGATAACAATGTTGGAGGAATAAAGTCCTGGAGCTATTTTTATAACTGTGTTAGGTTCTGCCCTATCAATGGCTTCCTGAATAGTCTTATATGGACCACTTTCAGAGTCAACGATTAATTATTGTTTTAGAACACCTTTTATCGCATTCTCCTATTGATTCATTCTAAGAATTAATAAAATTATAGCAATAATTAATTAAGTTGCTGATAATAATTTTTAGTTATTTTTGCAAGTCAATTGAATTTAAAGATCCACTTACAATTTAAAAGTTCTCAATTAAGTATTAGTTTTCTACTTTTTATTTCTGTTTAATTAATTTTTGTTGATATAATTTAATTATGATCAGAAAACTCTTTAGAACTCCAATTTTTAGAAGTCTGAAATTCCATGCTCCAGCTATTTACATGTTTAGTCAACAAAACCAAGATCCTAAATTCTCAGATGAAATCATGAATAAATTGAAGAATTAAGCATAAAACTTTTATGACAACATAGTAGTGGATAATAAATTGTAGCATGTGGATGTCATTGATGCAGACCATTTTAATCAACTAGTTTAAGAAAGCAATCAGAAAATTATCATTGTTTATTGTTTTGCCCAATGGTCTTTAGAATGCAAGGAATTTAAAGAGGTATTGATTAAAAACATGGAAAAATATTCAGATGTCTCAACAATAATCAACATTGACATTGATAAACATCCTAATTTGATCACTCAATTGTAAATTAATTCTGTGCCCTTTGCAGGTGTGGTATACAATAACTAATTTGTTGATGGATATTTCAAGAATGGAAAGTTTGATAGATTTATGACTATCGTCGAATAAATATCAAGAATATTGAGAGGTGAAAACGTTGAACAAATGATATTGGAACAAATGGCTCAACTGTTTGATAGCAAGAATTATTAAGGATTAATGACTTTAACGACTGAGGCATTGGCAAGAGATAACGTTAAAAAGGAACATCCAAAATATTTATTATTCAAAGCACTAGCATATGTTTTGATGGAAGATTTAAATAAAATCTAAGAAACTTTAGATTTATTCGATAAACAATACAAAGATGATTTAGAAGACATGAATACAAAATAATTATATTAATTAGTCTAAGATCAATATAAACTTGTTAAGCAAATAAAATCCATGACTCCTGAAATCGAAAATATTTTAGTACGAATAAATGACAATCCTGAAAATTATGATCTATATTTTGACTTGGCTTTGGAAGCTCTTAGTATAAAAAACAATGAATTGGCTATTAAATCACTTCTAACTGTAATTTACTTAGTTATTTTAGATTGTTAAAAAGGATAAGAATTGGGCTGACAAGAAGGCTTAAAAAAAGTTAATAGAAATATTTGGAGAATTGGGAAATCAACACAATTTAGTTATTTAAGGAAGAAAAGAACTAGGAAAACTATTAAATTGAATCATTTTGTTGTCCTTAAAATAATTATTATCTTTAATATCCTTATATCTTTAATCTAAAAGTTGAATATATATTTTTGAGAAATACTCTTTAACAAATTTCAAATCCAAAAAACATCTTTTTTCAACATTTATCGATGCTTTATTTCCAATAAATGTTTCATTAAGTTTGTTCTTTATTCAAAACAAACAAATGTCTTCCTTCCTCGAAATCAGTCTCAGAATACTTCTATTAAAGGTTAGGCGGAGTTTCTGCTTAAAACATCCCCTAGCCATTAAGGCCAGGGGATTCAACCTCAGCAACCCTCCTTTTAAGCTTCATCTATTCCTTTAATTGCTGTTACTTACACAAGTTCCTATAATAATAACATTAAATATATACTTCAGAACAAGTTGGATGAATACCTACTGTAGAATCAAATTATTCCTTTGTCACTCCCATTTTCATAGCAACTGCATATCCTTAAGTGACCTCTCCAGCATGAGGTCCAAGATAATGAAATCCAATAACTCTTCGATTATTATTTAAGACAATCAATTTAGCAAAGCAACTTTCACCTGAATGCATCTCAAAGTAATTCCACTCTAATGGTTTGAATATTGAATGATAAACGGTAATTTTGTCCTCCCCAAACTTTTTGATTGCATCTTCTTCACTATATCCAATACAACCATATTCTAAAGGAGTAAATACAGTTGTAGCAACATAGTCATATGACATTAATTCATTTGCCTTATTAAACAATCTGTTGGCTAAAAGCTATCCACACTTAATAGCTGTAGGAGTTAATTCTGGTCGACCTTCTACACAATCACCAATAGCAAATATATTCGGGACAGATGTTTTGTCGTCTGCTGAACATAGTATTTTTCCATTTTTATTCAAATTTACTCCTACTTTTTCAAGATTTAACTTTTAGGTATCACTTATTCTTCCTGTTGCAACTAAAACTGTATCAAATATTTCTTCATATTTTTATCCATTAAGTATCCAAGTCACTTTTCTCTTATTGTCTTCTGTTGCTTCAATCATGTCTGGTACACAACCTCTAATGAATCTTATTCCCTTCTCTTCCATGTATAATCCAATCTTTTCTGCTATTTCTTAATCAAATCCTCTTAATAAAATGCTTCTCACCATAATTGCCACTTCATTTCCAATACCATGTAGAAATCCTCCACATTCTAGTGCAACATATGAAGCACCTACTACTAGTGTTTTTCCAGGATTCTCCTACAACCAAAATAAATCATCTGATGTTATAACCAGTTTTTAAATATTTGGAATATTTTCTGGGTATGATGGTCTACCTCCAACAGCAATCACAATTGTTTTAGCTCTAACCGTCTCAATTTTTCCTTTATTATCCGTTAACTTAGAATAGTTATTATTCTTTACTTTAATTGTATTAGCATCAATAAGTTCTGCTAATTTATTATAATACTTGACATCCCCTCTCATTAATTGATTTTTATAACCAAAATTCAATTTACGAATATGATTATTCACATTCTCAACCATTTTTTCCCAATTATGTTTTGAATCCACCTATGTATCAATCCATCTAAAATTCCTTAAAATTAAAATACCCTGCCTCTACTTAATCATGTCTCAATTCTCCTAAGGTTGAAGCAAAATGCATTAGTTTTTTTGGAATACAACCTACATTCACACAAGTTCCTCCCAATCCCCATTTTGTCCCTAAAGGAGAAGGTTTCACAAAATCAGCCAAAGCTACTTTTGCACCTAATTTGGCTGCTTATTTCGCACAAGCAAGACCTCCAGACCCACCACCTATTACAAAAAGATCAAATTCTTATTCGACGTCCATAAATTAATATTAAAATTGTGTTTAAATCTTTATTCCAATAAATATCCTAATTAGATCATTATTATATAAACTATATTTATATATTTATGTGTATAATATAAATTTATTAATCCTAATACTTTATAAATCAACTTACAATAAATGATAACTCATAAAATCATTCAGTCTGCTAGTTATGGTTAGTGCCTTATCATAGATTAGTAGATCCTCTAAAAGACGTAGTTTATAAAATATAAAAATTTAAGTACTATTATAAAATTTAAATTTATAAATTTTAAATAAAATCCATAGTTCAAGTTAAATTTAACTCTTGTTCTTATGAAATAATAGTATTTTACTGAAGTTAAAAGATTTCAAAGAGTTTATTCTTATCTAAAATGTTTGATAAATTGAAGTAATATCATTTTAACTATCTGAAATAGTTAAATTAAGTAACTATAGTTAAGACTATTGTTTTAAGGAAGCCAAATACTAATAAATCTATGGATAATATTCTACTAATTTTAGTTGAAAAAATAATGTTAACTCTTCTTTGATTGTTCTTAAAGATTCTTATTAGCTAAAAATGGAAATAAAAATTTTGTTGACTTCTCTATGCTTAGAGTAGCTAATTCAGCTGTTTATCATAAGAATCTTATGGATTAGAATTAGTTAACAAATAAAATATATATACAATCATCATTAGAGTTATTCTGAGATGGAAGCACTTAACCTTTTTAAAATCAGGGGAGATCGAGCAATTAGTAATGAGCATCGATGACTTGGAGTATTTGAAATATTATCTGATGTCTCATTGTCAGAATCAAGAGATCTAAAGGAGAATATTTGTTTCTTTTTCGAGTCCTCGTAGTTCAATTGTTTCAAATGTGGATCTGTTAGTTGTTCTAGTTTTAACTATTCACATAAATATTTGAGAATTCTTTTCTCGATTTCCTTCATTTCTTGGAAACACAATTCATTATCTATCATATCATTCATTGTAATTAAAATATTAATAATTTTTGTATTATTGATTTAAATTTAAAATATGAATTGTGACAAGTCTATTCTAAAAGAACTGATTTAAACCAATATTATTTTGATTGAGGAAGCAAAAGAATCTAATCTGCAGAACTTCAACAATTCTAAGATGTGGATCAAAAAGTCATTTAATAATTTGTTCAATTTACTTCCAAAGGAAACTCTGGAAATGGACATTAATCAACTACTCACAGTCTCTGAACAAGAAGAATTGATTAAGGATCCTCAACTTTCAATTGACTTTTTTAAAAACAAGTTCTAACGAGATATCGATGATCAAGATTGGGAAGATGAAGTAGAAACACACTTAACCCCACCAAAAAAGTAAATTGAATTTTTCATAAACAATAAGATTACTACCTTAAACTAGAACTTTATAATCCAGCAATATGGGATTTAGAAAGAAGCCTGCTACAAATTTGCAATCCTCTTAAAAAAAGCTACTTTCTAGCGCAATTCATAATAAATATAAAAGAAAATTAATTTGATTTCTTCAAATATAACTTAATTAATTTCACAAATGCCTTATATATATATATAGAATGTAAATAGACATCTTATCTCTTCTATTTTACAATATAATAATTTAATAATATTTTTATATTTTGTATAACCTTCAATAACCATCTTCTTCCCTATCATCATCTCCTTTCTATGTGCAAGTCTCTAGAACCTTCCTTTGCATTTCATCTACAATCTTATCCAATTATAATTTTTTATCTGCTTCTGATTGAGGAGGTTTGAGTTCGTCTGCTGAAATAATTTCATAAGGGTATCCCTAATTAATTACGGCAATTTATCTCTCAAATTGTATTTCTACTTCTCTTGTTCCCTTAGTTACAATTGAATAGAAGAAACAATCATACTCCCCAATTTAATTTTCCTTTTTTCTTTGAATTCTACCCATTCTTTAAAACTCTTATCGAACAGACTTGAAATTAAAACTAATCTGAATTCCCACATTTGCAGATGGCAAATCCAAACCTTGATCGGCAATCTAACCGAAAATAATAACATCTAATTTATCCTCTTGATATAATTTATAGATAGCTGATCTTTCTGTTTATTCAACCTTCTGACTAATAATAGGACAATTATTAAGTTTAGCAAATTTCTCAAGAGTGCCAGTATCTGCTAATTTGTTGACTTTCTCACAGAATACCAGGATCTTATCCTTTCTAGTTCTGTGTATATTGATTAAACTTTATAAGACTTCGAATTTTTTAGGCTATTTAAATATTCATATTTACATTCATTTAATACAAAGTATTAGTAACAAATTGATTATTGACTCTTCTGTACTCCTCATATTTTTGTTTATACAGATCCTACATGCCAACATAAACTTAGATGCAATAGATTTTACTGACATATCCCATTTATTTAAGATCCACAATCATGGATTCATGTAATTTAGGACCTACTTTATAAAAAATCTCCTTGATTTTATTATCCTATCTGTAAGGTGTTGCAGTTAGACCAATTTTCATATTTGCTTTCAATTTTGAAATTTCAGCATTTATCTATTCTGCAGGCAAACCATGGACTTCATCCATAATCAATAATGGCCATTCCAAAGTAGTTACATGTTTGATGTCCTTTCTATTTGATGAAATCATGTCCTTGTTTGTAATCACTATGATGTGTTCCCTTCCTAAGACTGCCATAGGTACTTCTTATTAGGTTCTCAAAATAATAGCTAAATTGTTTTTATCCATTTCCGTAAACTTAATAAAAGACTTTTACCATTAATAGACATCATTAACCTAATCGCATATAATAAGTGTTTTTCTCTTGATTTTTAAAGCCACATTGATTCCAAGCAGAGTTTTGCCTGCACCACAAGGTAAAATAATAACTCCAGAATGAGCTTTGTCATTTTAGAATATTTTCTTCAAGGCTCTATTCTAATGACTATATAACTAATAGATAGCCTTCATTCTAAATTGTTACAGCTTCTTTTATATGTCTTGCTTTGTATTTTCCAAGTCTTTTAGATAATCGAATTCTTGTTTAACAGGTACATTGAAATCTTCCACCAATTCTCTATTAACACTAAAGTGTTCATTAGCTTTGATTTTAAATTTAACAAATGTTTTGTTGTCATTCAATAGGCTATCTTATCTCTCGTAATTCTCAATGCTTGTTAAGTTGTGCATCTACCCAAATTTTCGGTGTTTCAATTCTTACAATAATTTCATTTCTATGTCAATGTAATAAGAGTCTTTTTCCAAATAAAAATACGCTCTGTTGAAATATTGAGTATTCTTTTCAATGAAATCAGTAATGTCCTTTGGAATTCTCTCATTCTTAGCTAATCTGTCGATTTCACTTTTAATGCGCTCTTCATTCCAGCCAAGAGTCATTGCAGTATATAGAGAATAAAATGTAATGATGAAAGTCTGAATGTTGGTGGTTGTGGAACTCGGCTCCGCAAATTATATCAAGGTTTCTTCTGCAGCAGCTGCATCTCGATGGAATTTTTCTAATATGATTTCATACTTCTTCCATTAAGTGTCATTACTGTTTTTAGTTTTTTTCAGTTGCTATTCATTTTGAGGCTCATCTATTCTCATAATGATAATTGGCCTTAAATAATGATCCATCTTAAATGTTTCATCCATTACAGAATTCTAGTTTGATTTATATTTATTATAATAATTCCAATTCAAAAGGTTTTTAATAATTAGACATAGTAGAAGTTGAGAATCCAATATGTTATATTCAATTTATTAATTTATTTTAAAGACATCTATATGCTCTTTGATAATATCATTCTTTTTAGAGTAGCTTTATACTTCCCTAAAAGAATTCTCGAAATATTATTTAAATTAAATAAGTTATAAGAATGGACAACGACACATCCACATGCTCTATTAGAAGCAGCAGTGTGAAAGTTCAAAAAATCTTTGATTAATATATGGCTTAAATTGCTCCTCTGCCTCACCTCTAAAATTCTACTAACAAAGAAAATTCATTTTCAATCTCAAATGATCAACGATCCAATTATCACACTAGAATTTAAACACCTGACAAGACAACTCAAAGAAGCAATTCATAAATTTAAGCTCTATAGGCTTTGTAAAGAAAAAATCTGGAGCTCAAAACAGATAACGATAGTTTGAAAGAGCAGTTAAAAAATTATTAAAATTAATAAAGCACTATTAATGAAATCAATACTATCTATCAAAATCTATAATAACAGTACATTGCCTTAGATTTAGATCATAAATAATTGTTGCAATCCTATGAATTATAATTAAGTCAACTAAAATTAGAAAAGGATTAATGTATTGATTCAATCAATCGACAATATAAATTACAACTAGAAGAAATGAAGTAATAAATGCAATTGCAAAATGAACGATATAAGAACATAGAAGTATGTAGAAACGATTAGGATAGTCTACTTCAGAACACTCTAGATGAATTAAGAAAGGAAAGGCAAATGCTGAATAAATTAAAATTAGATTAGAGGTTATCAATCGAGGATAATGAATAATAATATGAAAAGCAATTGCATTATCAATAAAAACTTTATTAAGAAATGAAAAACTAAAATGCCATATTAGTGAAAGAAAAATAAGATTAATAGGAATAAATAAAGGAACTAGAAACCACTTATAAAGAGCTTGTCTCTCATTAAAAATAAGAGATCTAAAAGCTATAAAAGTAGTATACTGATATAAAAGGATTTTTCGAAGCCTAGATGTAGTAAGTCTAAACAGAAGTCTCATGTGCAATGTAAGAATTAAGAAGTAAAAACAGCACTTATCATCAATAATTGTAGGAATAAGAATTAATAATAGAAGACTTAGAAGATTTAAATAGACAGTTAAAATAATAACTACTCTTTAAAGATTCAGAATTAATTAACTTAAAATCTTAATTAGAATAACTGTAAATTCAACATGAGCAGTTGAAATAAATGAATGATGAACTTATTAATTAATTTAACCTTTAAATATAAGACTTATCACAAAAAATAGAGGTAGAGAAACAGAATTTTGATGAAGAATCTGAATTAAATGATGATGATAAGAAAGAAATTTATAATGCCTTGCATAATGATAAAACTCTGTAATTAACAACGTCTCATTCTTAAAATGATTTACTATATTAATAGTAACCATAAACATCTACAAGAGATCTTGAATATAAATTATTACTTTCACAAATAATTGAAGTTGAAAAGGAAGCGTTTCGATTAAATAATAATTACTAAACATAATTCTAGTAGTTCTCGAAGAACACTCAATTATCTGAATAATAGAAATAACACTTGAAACAGGAGATGACTGATTTAATGTAGAAAATCAGAATAAATAACTCAAAATTATACGAACTTAAAGCTAAGGAATTCACATACTTATCTTGATAATTAATATATATTTAATGGTTATTTTATCCGCATTCAAATAAACAAAATTGGTTGATATTTGTATTTTGATGTTTGAGATATTTTCATATTTTTTTACTAAAAATAATTGATTTTTAATTAATATTGAATAGCCTAATCAACATCTATATATAAATAATTTAAACAGAAGACCCAATTAAATGTCATAAAATATATATTGATGTTTGATCTATAAAATTCATTCTCTTGATTTTTCTTGTACTTTGTTTATTGATAGGTATTTGTATTTAACAATATTCTTAAATTTCTTTTCTTCATAAGTTTTATTGGCAATCCTCCCTCTTGCATTTATAAACCAAATTTAAATCTAATTGTCAAATAAAAGAGCTACCTATTTGCATGTAAGATCGCACTTCTCAGCCAATTGGATTGTTTATTCTTTCGTTGGATAAGGGTATGAAAAATGCTTATATAACCAACCTTTGAGAATAATATTAGACTTTTTTGAAAACTTGTGGCCCTTCTTATTGTCCTATTGATTTTGATCCTTGAGAATTTGGCGTTATGAATAGAGTTTAACCTCATTCTCCAGGACCTATTGCATGTAGTCAAAGTGCTATTATAGAGATTTGATGGTGTGACATTCCAATTCGTTATTATTCAGTGAACGGAGGTAGGTTAAGAAACCTTGAAAATGAGAAATATGTGTGGCTGTTTGACTTTGCGTGACTTGCTCTTCGATTTGAGAGGATAGGTTTTGTTCTTCGTTTAGATTGTTGGAGTTGATCCACTTCTAAAAGAGAGTTTCAAGTGCGCTGACTTGCTGCAAAACAAATAACTTGCGTTATTCAGCATGAATAGGTAATGATTGAGACATTTGATTGAGAAAATTGAGATATTTATTTAAATTAGATACATTCACTCATCCATAAACCTAAAAACTTAGAAATCAAAACAAATTATGTTTTTTATTAAAATGAGTTTAATTATTATATATATACTCAATATTGAGGATCAAAATTAAAAGTATAGTATTTGAGTCTTTCAAGAAACAAAGCGCACTCATTGTTTAGTAAAATATTGAAACGAAGGTATGCAACCATAAATGAAGAGGCACAGAACAAAAAAAATATTAAATTATAATTTTTTAAGAGAATTTTATAAACTTTTACATCAACAAATCCTGCTTTACATTTTCGATCTTTTATCAAATGGTTTTTTCTCTATTAAGAATTTAGGTCAAGAAAAACAATTAAAATTGAGGAATATAGTAAATATTATTATATTATCTTCTATCTTGAAGTATATTAATATCTAAGATTTATTTATTAATGAAGAGTATCAATAAATTGAAAAATCAATAGAATTTTTCAAAGTTGAAAAGAAACACAAAAAAAGAGAAAGATTTAATTGTTATATAATTTTTTCATTTACCTTAGTTGATCCAATATTACTCATATTTTTCATATTTCTCAGTGTTTCTTTTTAATATGTCTTCTAAAGGCCCTAACATTCTTTTGAAACTATGTCTATCCAAATATATCAATTTAACTTCTGTCTATAAAAGAGTGAATAATAAATTTTACTTCAGCAACAACATTGGCTTACCTTGGAATGTCCTTGAGTAAGGCTAATTCTCCAAAATAGTCACCTGCTTTATATTAAAAGACTTTAGTGGGTTCTTATCCTTGAATCAAAGTTTTGGTTGCTATTAATTCACCTTCCTCTATCATATAGAAAATATCTCCTTATTCTCCTTCTCGAATAACGTAATCCCCTTTTTAGAAAACGGCACTTCTAATAGCATCTGCAACATGAGATCTTTCATATGGATCCATCATTGAAAGCAATTCAATCTACTTAAGGACATTTACATATTTCTCCCTCTTTCTAGAAATGTAATAGGTAATGAATACTTCATTGCTGCATCCTTAACAATGTGATTAAATGTTTATCTGTCTAATGCAAACAAGACAGAATTAGTTTTACCCTGGAATTGAGGCAGCTCGTGGTGCATTGTACAATAAGGCTAACTCTCCAAATGATTCTCCAGGATAGTAAACTTTTAAAAATTTGTTTTCCCCATCTTTTGTAAATCTCTTATAACAATTCAACTCCCCTTAATCTACAACGTATAAATTATCCCCATTGTCTCCTTATTTGATGACCCAGTCCTCTGCACTACTCTATTGCATATCAATGTTTACTTATAACTACGTTCTTCCATTGCATCAATTACAATATCTTTTTCTTTCTAATCGAGTGATGCAAACATGAATGATTGCTCCAATCTTTTACCTATTTTTTCCTTCTATTATTGAGTCTTGACAATCACTCTAGGTTAAAATGACTGTTATTTTAATATTAAATATACACCTCCTTTCTATTGTATTATCCGTATGCTTCAGCTGAAATAGAAGCTCTTTATTTCCTAGCAGCAACAGGTCTTTTAGGCAATTCTATAACTTCGTCATCAGAGGAAGAGGAATGTGCATTTTATTTCTATCTGGATTTAACAATATCCCTTCCCTTTTTATCTAACCAAGCAATTGACCAATCAATCTAATATTTTGGTCTGATCATACCACATTTTTTGGCTGTTGGGCTAGAATGTCCTCCATCAATTTCTAGAGTAGAAACACCACATTTTCTTGGGCATAAAGACGTAGTTTTTCTGCCTATTAATTCATTTAATGGATAATTAATTAGGCATCGGAGCATTTAAGTTTCAATCATTAGTTTCTAGAGAGATGAGATCATCAAAAGACATTATCAACAGCAGGTCTCAAATCAGAATCGATCACAGGCTCTCTCTCATCGAAAAAAGTAAATAACAATTAAAACCTCCCAGGAAAACCAAAATAAATTAAGCATCTAGAAGTTCTAATAGATAAAATGCTTAAATATTAGGTGACAGACAAGCCTAATAATTCGAATTCAATGTCTCCTCGTCTAGTAGTTCTACAAGCTCTGAAGGCATTGGTGAAAAGGATGATTAAAATCGTGCAATACGTTCAATCAAAAAACTAGGCATGGTATTCAAATACTCTATAAATTAGAATATCTTTACTCCTCAACCCTCTCCCTAAAAGCATGTTCCCACTTAAAGAAGCTAACCAAGACCTTAAAAAAAAGAAATTCAGTTTTTACGTAGCTTATGTCAAAATTCAGAATTAACAAATAATAGTCTAGTGAAATTGGATGAATATAAAATAGACAAAGAAATATATGTGGATATAGATTGCAAAGATATAACTACATTTCTCAGATTACAACATGAAGTGGAGGAAATGAGAAGAAAATAAACTGATTTTCACCTTTAAAAATAGAGGCATTTTGAAGTTTTGGTAAAGAAAGATCCAAAAAAAGCATAAAATTCCTAACATGAGGATTTTTGGACTATTATGATGGCAAAAAGAACTGCTAAAAAACTCATTAAAAATATGAATCGGAAACACAATATTCCAAATGAAGAAAAAAGGGTCCTAAGCAAAAGTATTCATGCTTTGTGATTTTTATATATATATTTAATTTTTAACGAATGCTAAACTGCCAACATAAACCAAAGAAAAACATATGCAAATTATGTGGAATAGCTGTTTATAAAGATGGATCTGTTGCTTATAAGCATAATAACTTTAAGAGTCATCAATAAGCCAAAAATCTATTCGAAGATCTAAGCAACATAAACCCAAATTATGAACGAAGAGAAGAACTAATTGATTTCCTCTTTTAAACTAAACAGCGCTTATAATTAACTGATCAAACTTTTCATTTAGCCATTTACTACTTGGATAGATGTCAACACTTACTTCAATTTCAAAATTAAAAATTAATATCATTGTTGTGTTTGATGGTTAGTTCGAAAATGATCGAAGATGATACTCATATTCCAGGGATGAGCAAATTGTCTAAAGCAAGTGATTTAAACTTAAATAAAAATGAATACAAATAGGCAGAATGCTTAGTTTTAAAAACATTAAATTGGTAATTTAATATGCTTATTCCCATAGGAAACTAAAAGTCAGCACTCTATATGAACAAGTCTAAAGTCTCCTATGCATTGGAGTAGTCTTCTCAACAGACACTAATGATGGAATTCTGGATAACAACATTATCAATTTTGTTTGTTGTAAAATGCTAAAAGACCATTCTAAAATTGCCTATTAAGTAACCAAAATACCTTAATTGATGTAAATTAACACTAAGATTTTGGCTATGGCAATCGTTTTATACATGAGAAAACAATGTCGGTTGCATCCTCTGTAGTAATTTTTTGGTTATGTTCCCTAGTCCACATTAACTATAAGCTTAGCTTGAAGAAAATTAAAATCAATTGTTGATTGACACATATGGTCAACTCAATAATCTTTTATAAAACAATTCATTAAGCAATACAAAAAGTGTTTCAAGAGCCTTGTCACCTAATACACTTACTACTTGCAAATCTATGCCTCCTGTAACTAGAGTTACGTAAAACGCAAGAATGCCTCTTAATATTATAACAAATCATCAAATCTGCGTCAAGCCTAAACTCATAAGATCAAAACATTAAGAATAAGATTTGAACCCATTAAGAGTTAAGCACAAGAATTGTTGATTATATATTTGTTTACTATATATAAATTAATAAGTTATAATTATCATTTTTTTTATTCATAAATTCTGTTCCTTAAAGCATAGTATTTATCCTGTAAGATTTATAGACAATTTTCTTTAGAGTGATCATCTATTTGTCTATCAGTTTAGAGTTTGCTTGAATTCGAAAAATGATCAGTCCTAGCTTAATGTCTTTTCGTATTTTCAATAGATTATTAACCAATGTTTGGATTTCCCTCTACACATTGTTATTTAACTAACTTTTTTAATTGATTCACTGTTGTAGTCTAATTAGATAATGGTGATTGATTGCCCATAGCTTAAGAATCATCTGTACCTCTTTGTATTGAATTGTAACTATTTCTTTGATTACTCAAAGTAGCTGAATTCTATAAATATTGAGAATTTTAAAAAGATCTTTATTAATTGATTTTGCTTTGTTGTTCTATATGATCTTTAAGTTCCCTTTAAAATTCCACTGCGTATTACTATAGTTCAACAACTCTTTAATTTAAATTCTAGATCTCCATTTATAGATTAGTATTCTCAATTTAGATTTATTAATTATCTTTGATAAGTAAAGCATTTCTTTCTTGTAATTATCGGTTTTCTTGTTGTAGATCTTTTAACTCATACAAAATTTATTCATATTCCTTTTTTACAATATCATTATCCTGTTCTAACCTAGCTATTTGTTGCTCCAATTAGTCACATTCCTTCATTAAATCCTTATATTATAATAATGTTTAATTTGTATTTTCTTTCCCTTCTTCTGCACTCTGCTTTAATCCATAAGCAATGTTCTCAAGTTAGTTAATTATTAGAATCTTTTCCTATAACTCTTATTCCATTTATTTTATTATTTGCTCTTTCTAATTTAATTCTTATTCTAACCTATTAATTTTCTATTTGATATGATTCTAATTATCATAAATAACCTTTTTTTCTATTTTTAAAGTTCTATGAGATTTCTCCAATATTTTATTTTCGTCTTAAATTTTGTTTAATTCTAATTTTAATTAATTTTATTCATCTTATATCTTTTTATCTTTCTCTTCTTTTTCAAATTAAGTAATTTATAACTATTTGTATAATTATTAATTTTCATTCTCCAATAAGTGCAATTCTCTAACCAATTCTTAATATTGAAACTTCTCTCTTTACTATTCTAACTCAAACTATTTCTGTAGCTCCTCATAATATTTGATTTTACTGTGATACATAGATTCGAATTGATTGAACTAAATTATAGACATCATTATAATACCTTTTCAGATAATTTGTAGAATTCATTTTAACTAGTGCCCAACTACTATTAACATCTCTTATTCTCCTTCATTATACTCTAATATTAGGATTTCATGGAGGCATTTGTTTCTATTAATTCTTTAATCTCCTTCTAAAAGTTTTGATTCTCATTTTTCAATGTTCCTACTTATACCTTGTAAGATTCATTCTCAGTTTTATATTTAATTAATGAATCTACCTATTCTTTCAATATATTGATTTATTATGTTTATGATGACTATTGTGTATTCGCTATTGTTTCTAATTTGAGTCGAGATGTTTCCAATTCATATTGCAATGTCGTATTCTGCACTTCTAAATATGATACCTTCTCAACCAATTCTAAATTCTATTTTTCATAAATGCAGTACTTTTTATTAATACTCTTGAACCTATTTCTCTAATTTCATTTTGTAAAGTCTTAACTCGTCAACCATATGTTCGTTAGATTTTAATGTTTCACTAATTTTTCTTTCGCTTATTCGTTCTATTTCTTGTTGTGTTTTAACAATCTTCTTCCTCTCTTACATAGATCTTGTTCTAGATGATAAGAAATCTTAAAAGAATAGCTTACTCATTATTTATTTTAAAATTCAAAAGTTTGTTAATATATAATCATGATTATATTTTACAATTTGCCTCAATTCCCAAATAATTCAAGATAGAATTCTCACATTTATTTTATTCTTCAATCCATAAACATAGAATTACTTTAAGTGTTATAAATAAGGGCCACAATCAATACATTGGTATAATAAATAAATTATTATAATTACTTTTTCTTAACATATATACTTAATAATGAAATCTACAAATTTGTCAAATTATCATTCCTTTCATCAATAACATTCATCATATGCAATTATAATCTACCGTTAATTCAGCGAATTGCGATTTGGACATTCATTACAATCTTACTAAATTATCCTTAATCTTATATTATATGGATTTTTTTAAAGGATTGAAATAAATCAATTAAAACATAGTTCGAACTTTCTAATCTTTTTTTATTAATACGCAAATAAAACTTGTGTGTATCAATTTACTATGATTAATTTCGGATGAAGCATAGTATTACGTATTATATTCTTTAGGATTTATAAAATTAATATTAATATAAAACAGGATTTTTATAACTAACTAAAAATAATGTTTGTTTAATGTGTGCTAAAAATAAATATTTAATTCTTATTCATTATGTTGATTGGAAATAATTGTCAATATCTTCTTCTTGTTAGAAATTGGACACTCTGTTAAAATAATATTAGTGGCTTTCGTAATCTTCAAAATTTAAATTTTCTTCCTAATAATATTAGAAAATGGAAATACCTATATAAATTATATTTCAGTATCAATATAATTTTGATCATCACATATTATAAGATTGGATGATTCTTATTGAGATCCACAACTATCTGTAGTTTCAGGATCTTCCTGCAATTTTTATTTTAGTAATAAATTTTACTCCAAGATCATTTCTTGAGTCTTTCTTTAGGCTTCAAGCTCTTTGAGCCTGATATCCTTAAGCTTTTTTTTAAGTTTGTTTTGATTCTTTCTCAAATAGCTTCTTAGAAATCCCATCTTTTCATTAGAAAATTACTTAATATCTGCAGTAAGTAATTTCACTTTTTTGAAAAGTTGAGTATAATCTTCAAGCGTTTTTTTGGGGATGCCAACTATTTCGGCAGCTTAATTCAAGGTAACTTTGATTATTTCTCCGTTATTGGTTTATAATCCTTCAGTAAACATTTATCTCCATCTCTCGACTTTCTCAATTGCCTCACAAACAAGTCTCTCTTTAACTCTCTTGAAGGATTAGTGCTTATTAGTAATAGAAGTAGAAGTATTCATTTTAAAAAGTAAAGTAATTTATGCTTTGAAATTTACATGCTCACACGGCTTTAAAATTTTCTTTAAAAAAGATACATTAACAAATTTAGTATATAGAAATCAAATCAATAAAGGTTTCGAATTAACTCAATTGATTTTTTTTTAATTTTCGATCTTTGTTCCAAATGGCTCTGAACTCTGGAAACTTGATTCGATGAGTCCTCCTTAAATAATTATTAAAGTCTTTTGGAGCAATTATCAATTGTTTTTCTATTTTCTTGTATCGATTTGATTTTCTATCTTGTAATAACTTGATGTTCAACCTTTTTATCATTGTTTTATGGATTTACAATATTATTGATTTAAATATGTCTACTACTAAAATTATAAATATTACGGCTTCAATACTGTTGTACTAATGCTTCTCACATGCTTCACAAATGACCCCATTCTTCTTCTTTGAGACATAGCATTTGTTATTTACTCTCTATCAGATTATAAAATCTTTCTATATGTTTCGATTTATTCTTCATGATAGTGATCAAATTCTTTCAATTTTTTGTTTAATCGATGACTTCTGAGTAATAAAGGGTCAATTTCCTTTAATTTATTATTTTTTAATACTTGTATCTATTCATTAATAGTGTATTGAATTCTTTTAAGCAGATTCTATTATTTAATCTTGTTTAAGATCAAATCTATATTTTCTTACTTTTGAAGCCAGTCTGGATTTTGGGGAGGCTTTTCATAAATGTTTAGTGCTAATTCTTGACTGTACCTATAAGTCATAATTATAATAATAATTTCTATAGTTCTGCATTATGTAATAAATCATAAATACAAAATAATAAAATTGATGTTCTATATAAAGATAATTTTATGATCATTTTTTCATATTTTTTCTTTCTGCAATCTTCCTTCTAGCTTTCTTAGCCTGATACAATAATTTTACAACTATTTTCAAAGCCATTTAAATATTGAGACTAGTTAAGGCAAATCGAATATCCATCTCTGTGACATCGACATATTCAATATATTAATTAATAATTGGCTACTTACCAAAATCAGTGACCCAATCATCCATAATAATCTAATCAATTTTCAACCTTTTCTCAGGAACCTTTTATAATAAACCCTGCAATAATTTAATAACTGAACTAGAAAATCCTTAGGGTTACGAGAAAGGAGGACTAAATAACACAAATATATTGTACTTCTCTTCCAAAATTTGTTATCTTAACTCCATAGACTTTTAACTTGTGAATGGCAATTTTCCATAGACCATTTAATATAAAGTGACTCCTCCTGCCCAAATATCAACTGGCTTTCCATCGAAATTCTATCCTAAATGATTGAGAGGATTCATACCTTTAAATACTTCTGGAGCTAAGTATGCTTGAGTACCTGTCTAATTTGATATTCGACCATCTCCTCCATCTTCCATAATGTGGGAAACTCCAAAGTCTGCAATTTTAAGTTAATTTTCGATGTTGACTAATAGATTTTCTGGTTTGATATCTCTGTGAATCACATTGACACATTCATGCACTAAATATGAATACTATGTTACAGTAATATAATCCTTTGATAAAATCAGAAAAATAATGCCTACACTACTCTTCTGTTAATCTAGAGACAGGATTTTTGTCATCAATTTCATCAAGTATATTTGAAGAGGTTTTCTATTTTTTAAAGAATCCTTTGCTTAAGATACTTCCTTTGCCCATGTACTCCATCACTAAGTATAATTTATCTTTGTTTGGGTCATCAATGACTTCAAATAATTGAACAACATTTTCATGAGAAATCTATTTTAGAGTCTTTGTACTTTTTTCATGATTGCAATTTCTCTTTCAAGCATCGTGTAAGCATTTGATTTCGAAAGCAGTTTCTTTTTCAGCTTTTTTTTATTTGCAATTTTAATCGCCTATGAAATCGAGTTAATATATCTACAAAGATTTCGCCTTTAAAATTTGATGCTTTTTTAACTTTTCCAAAGGCTCCTTGTCCCAGAGATTCTAAGATAGTATATTAGTTGATTTATGCCATGCCTTCTTCATTTACGCTCTTCTCTAAATGCGAAGTTTGGACCACCTCTAGAGTGTGTTAGACTTATAAAGATTTCCTGGGTTGTTTCTGCCTCTAAGAGCTCAGCATCTAGGATTCCTTAATACTCAAATATTTTTCCATTGATATTTCTACTTTCTCATACAATATACTCATTCTTACCTCCATTTTGTTTGATTTCCGAACAACATCAATCAGATTAGTAGTAACATAGTCAAGAAATGGCGTTTTGATTCCTGGCGACTTAGAATTGAAGGCTTGTAAGTTTGATGGATTTTAATTTAGAACTATTTTTGAAGGAACATTTCTGACTATTTCAAGGAGATTAGTCTAATGTTTAAGTTTATTTTTATGCGAAAACAAAGTTGTATCATCCCATCTGAGATTAAAATCACTTGGATCTGTTTTCAGTCTTTCTGGCTCTTAAAGTAGCGATAGCATCCTTACCAGTTTAAATCATAGATACCTATAATTGTTTAATTGATTGTTTGATGTCCCACTACCCATATAAATTATATTCAATAAATTATTATTCAATTATGCAATCCGAAGACAATGAATGGTAAAAAGTAGTTTAAACAACAACCAAGCTAGATTAATAAATAAAGAATATTAAAATGAGATTATAATCAGCATTGACACAGCTTATCATTCAATCTGAAGAAAATAATAAAATCAACAATCCTGACCCTGTCCTTCCAAAAACAAATGTTCCCTTAATTATTCAACATAACAGCAGATCCATTGAAACGAGAGAAAAACCAGCATTGAGACAATGTGCATCAAAATCTCCTATTCGAACTCCTGAAACTACAGACTGTCCATCTCCAATTTCATCCATTGTCCATAATTCCACTTTGAGAATGCAACTAAAGGCAGCAGAAATTTTGAGTCCCAAATACCAAAATATATCAGATAGATTTCATATAGGAAAATTTTTAGGAAAAGGTAAATTTAGCGATGTGTTTTAAGCATAGTAAAATTATAATTAAGGTTAGAGAGAAAACATCAAAAGTACTAGTAGCTTTGAAAGTAATCCAAAAAAGTGTTATTAGCAAATATAAAATGGAGGCTTAGTTGGCCCATGAAATCAAAATCTAGAGTTATCTCAATCATCCAAACATCCTTAAATTATTTGGGGTATTCTAAGAATAAACTAAAGTATTTAATTGAATAATATAAAATAGATTGTTTTAATTTTAGAATATGCACCTGATGGGGAACTATATAAATTACTAAAGAAGCAACCTAATCGTAGATTCAGTGAGAATAAAGCCGGAAATTATATTGCATAAATTGTTGAAGGAATTTCATACATGCACAAAATGAAAGTAATCCATAGAGATATCAAACCAGAAAATATACTTATTAGTCTAGTAAGGCAAATGAATAAAATTAGTAATTTTTAAAAATTGCAGATTTTGGGCTAGCTACTTATTCACCAGAATCAAAACCTAGGCAATCTTTTTGTGGCACCATTGATTATATGTCTCCTGAGATAGCTTCTGGATAAGATTATGATCACTCAGTTGATTTGTGGTCAATAGGCATTCTAGCTTATGAATTAACAACAGGAATAACTCCTTTTTATTAATCATCTAAAGAAGATACCATGAGAAAGATCATAGAAGGTAGAGTTGATTTTCCTAAATATGTTTCTAATGAATTATAAGATTTTTCAAAGTGCTGTTTGAGGAAGGATCCCTCATAAAGATTGAGATTGGAATAGATGGCCGTTCATAAATGGATTTAAATGAATCATCAAGCTGGAGGATAGTATGATCGAATGCTTGTTTAATAATTGGTAACTATACTGAAATGATTTATATGACTATGCGAAATTTGTTTTAATTTTATTATAATTTAATGAGAAGTAATAATTAACGCGAGAATCAAGAAAAAAGAGTCAGAAAGCCTAGTCGATATAAAGTAAATTTGAGATTTCAATTAAAGTAGTTTTAAGATGAGGAGGAAATAGATTAAATAATCAAATCATGTGAGAAACCATCGAAATCTAGGAAGCTTAGAAAATTAAGCCAGGAATCCTCAATGGAGGTGGAAGAGGAAGAGGATGAATAATCGGATAGTTAATATGAATCAGATTATAATGAAGACTATTGTTGGAAATGTAGATAAAAAAATAGACCTTTATTGTGTTGTGATTCATGCTACAGATCATTTCATATGGCATGTGTTGGAATTAAAAAGATGCCTGCAGGTTCATGGTATTGTCCATAATGTTGTTAATATGAGTAATCTTATTGTCCCTATTGTGATGAATAAAGTACAAATGAAAAGATTATATGCTCAAAATGTAATACTTTTATTCATTTGGAATGCATTTTAAAAGATATTCCATTTGAAGCTGTCCTTAGATCACCAGTAAATCGGAAACACATTTCAGAAGAACTATTTTAATAATTACTACCTGCTGAAAAACCTACTAAGAATTGCCCATTGATATTTCATTGTTGTCTAAGATGTCTGTAAAGCTTTGGAGTTGGATAAATATTAACTCATTTGAAATTCAAAGATAAATAATGTTATTTAATTTTACTTGAATAATCATCTTACTTACATTGTCACTTTTTTAGCCAAGCATAAGTACAAACAGTAAATCAAAGGAAATTGAAAAATTATATTGATAAAAATGAAGGCAAGCAGGATGCAATTGAGAATGATAATGAAGCTGAATTATAGACTTCTTTGAATTATATTGAAGAAGACATTTTAGAATATTTAGAACCTGAAAGAATTATAGGGTGTAAAAGAGGAGCAAATGATCAAAAGAAAACTTGGAGAGAAATCTATAATTAGGAAATGCCTAAAATTACATAATATGGAACTAAAAACAATTACAAATTCTTAATTAAATGGTCTAGGATGTTTTATGAAGAGAGTAGTTGGGAAGATGCTTATTTCATAATGGAAAAATATAGGGATGAATTTAAAAGATTTCTAAAATCAAAAATATTAGAAGAAACCTATGGCACTCCTGAATATGATTAATTCATTAAATAGTTTTTGAAGGTGCCTCCTAACAAAGCCAAGAAGAATCAACCTGTATGGATCACTGGAGGTTAATTACATTAGTTTTAACTCCAAGGATTATAGTGGTTATAAAAGTCATATGAAACAAATAATAATGTAATTCTTGCAGATGAAATGGGATTGGGTAAAACAATTCAAACTATTTCCTTTTTGAACTTTTTGTAATATGAATATAAAAAGTCAGGACCATTTCTTATTATTGGACCAGCAACAATTCTATATAACTGGTTGAAAGAATTGAAAAAATGGGCTGAAACATTCAATGTCATTGTTTATACAGGAAATTAAGAGAGTAGAGACATCATCAAAGCAAAAGAGTTTTATTATAACAATAATATATGCAAATTTAATGTCTTGATCACTAGTTATGATATAGCTATCATAGATTAAGCAATAATCAAAAAAATTAATTGGGAATGCTTAATTGTTGATGAAGCTCACAGATTAAAAAATAACGATTCCAAATTCTTTAAGGTCTGCTCTCAATTTTCTAGTTAACACATTATTTTGTTAACAGGCACTCCATTATAAAATAATCTATAAGAACTCATTAATTTAATTGAATTCATTGCTCCTTAAAAGGTTAAGTAACTTAAAAAGGAACAATTAAATGTTTTATTCAATAATTAGGATCTAGAAGACTTTTAAGAAGTCAAAAAGTCTACTCTCACAGAATTGAATTCCTTATTAAAACCTCACATTCTAAGGAGAACGAAGGCTGATGTCAAATTGCAAGTTCCTGAAATGGAGGAAATTATTATTAAGTTGTGCTTGACAGATAAACAGAAATTTCTCTATAAAAATGTTATGTTAAGAAACTATGAAAAATTAAAAGTTTTAGATTAAAAGAAAGGAGCTAGCAAAGCTAATTTATTAAATATTTTAATGTCTTTGCGGTTAGTATGCAACCATCCTTATCTATTTACTTATAAACGAGAATTTCCTAATGAAGACATTGAAGAAATGATTAATTAATCTAATAAATTGAAGTTTGTGGATAGAATCATACCCAGGTTATTGGAGATGCAGCATAAAATGCTTATTTTCAGTTAATTTACAATGATGCTTGATTTGATGCAACACTATCTACAATTAAGAGGGTATAGCTATGAAAGATTGGATGGAACTACAAGTATTATGGATAGGTAAAGAATAATAGATTCATTTAATAATTCAACTGGTAAATCAAAAATATTCTTATTATCAACAAGAGCAGGAGGATTAGGAATTAATTTAACATCTGCTGATACAATTATCTTTACTGATAGTGATTTTAATCCTTATAGAGATCTTTAAGCAATAAGCAGAGCTCATAGGATGGGTTAGACAAATAAAGTGAAGGTATTTAGATTAGTAAGTAAATACACAGCTGAAGAAAGAATAATATAGATAGCTACTAAAAAATTACTTTTGGAAGAAATCATAATAAATCCAATTAACAAATTTACCAAGGATGATTTCTAATCTATCTTTAAAGAAAGCACTTGGGAATTGTTCAACAAAAATTTAGAAGAGAAAGATTAAGAGTTTACTGATGAACAATTAAATATCTTATTGCAAAGAGACATTGAATAGTAATCTGATTAGTAATATGTGAATTTAAAAAAAAATGATATCAACGATTATTATTTGTCAGGATTCAAGTTTACAAGTTTCAATTTAGAATAAGTAGAAAAAGAAGGAGATGAGAGTCATTAGAATGTGAATTTAGACAAATATTGGGAGACCTTCTTAGATGAAGAAGCAAAAGAATTTGCTGAAAAGGAGAAGGATGAATTTGGAAAAGGGAAAAGACTGAAAAAGTAAAATATACCAAACTATCACGAAGATTATCATCAATGTATATTATATGTAAGAATATTATTAGTTTCATCATCCTAATATAGTCCATCTGATTAAAGTTAAGGAACTGGATCAGAATAAGAAAATGATGAGAATAAGAAAGATTAAAAAGTAGTGTCTGAAAGAATGTAGAAATTGATAGACAAGGATTTACAAATCATGAGATTTTTCTAATAGACTGTTCTTGAACACTCAGAATTAGCTTAACTTAGTGTAGACAATGATATTGTGATATACGGGTTTACTGCTTATCATAGATTAGAATTTCTTGATTTTGTTATGTCTTTTGGAATGGATTTCGACTCTATTGATTAGTTTTATTAACTGTAATACATTATTATATATTGCATGATAGATTATAAAGAGAGAAGCCTCAATGTTTTTCAGCTGAGTACAAACCTACTAATGATGAATTTAAAAAGTATGTTAAAGAGTTTTACTCCCTCCTTTTAGATTATGAATAATTCAAAGAGAAAAGAAATATTGCATTTTGTAATATCAATCCAAAGGATGTATTTTATAGAATTTGTGGATTAATGTATTTGAAAAAGAAATATTAATTCTACTAAAATAGATAGGTGAAATTTACAATAAAACATGAAAGTATATATCAATCAATATACAATTTTAGACTATCAAAAGAATAAGGTACAAAAAGATTAAGAATAAATTATATACAAAAATGAAGAGTGGACGAATTTCGATGATTTTACTCTTTGTAAATACATTGCAGAAAAGGGTTTTAATACAAGTATTTAAAATTCTCATTAATCAAGTTGATCAAATAGTGGAAGATTAAGGCTACTTTTAATTTGCTTCAGAATTGTAAGAATATCCATTCTGGTTCAAACTATTCAGAAAAATTGATTAAGTGCCATTCGAATAGATTTAAAATGAGGAATCAGCCAAGAAATATCTGAAATATTGGGTATAGTAAAGATGTTTAATGTTAATGAGTTTAATTATTGATTCTGAAGAATGAAAATATAATTATTTTATTATATCTATATTATTAAGTCAATCATAATTATTATTTCTAGTTTGTCTACAAGAATGAAATCTTTTAAATATAATTAGAATATGATTAAACAACTTAAAATCAAATGAAACGAATTGAAAATATAAAAGATTGGTATTTTAAAATTCAAGATTTGTAGATTATTATTACTATGGATAAGAATTAAAATTAACACCCAACGTATTGAGAATTCTATATGAAAAATCAACTAGATTGAATACCCCCAAAATTTATAAATGATTTTAAATATTTCGTTAATTTGAAATAAATATCAATTTTAATCAATCAACAATAAATTCACCAATCGCATTTTACATTTGTAATAAATTTTTTGATGGTTTCCATATTTTAATTAATTTATCTTATCCTCCACTTATAACTAAATGATTATCTTAAATGACATGTAAAGCATTAATTTATTACTAAAATTAGAATAATCATACATTTGAAGCAGTAATATCATGTAGTAACTAGAATTTTCCATCTTCATTAACTTTTATGGCCCTAACATTACCGTCTTTAGAAGCTGTATAAATTAATTTTAGACTTTTATCAACTAGAGATGAATATCAAATATACTTGTTAAAGCTGTAATTAAATCCTTATGAATGCTATCATTTGTTGTAATTTCTAACCCTGTTTGCTAATTCCAGAGCAACATTCTCTTACTCAGAGAACTAAATTAATTATGAAAATTCCTTACCAACTCACTATATAGTCACCAAAAGAAGCAACTCCAGTTACTTTATCTAATTAAGGAGGCTATAACTATTAAATTTGATTATATTTATTTTTGTTGAAAGGAATCCTTTTTGTATAATGCTTCAAAGTTCCATAAATCAATTCAGAGTTTTCATCAGAACCATAAAGACTTAGGATATCAGAACCTTTTTCGAATTCGTACAGAATACTTAAATAGGCTGATTAAATACGTATTTTATCTGGAATCCCAAATATTTAAGGCATTAGAATTGATCGATTTTCCAGCTGCGACCAATAATCCATTGATGCTAGTTATTGATTTGATTTCTTCAATAGAAGACTTAAGTAATCCTTTACACATCAACGTTAAAGGATCATATAATGATATTTAAGATCCATGTGAAACAGCAAAAGCATCTCTATCAGCCCAATAATAGATGGATCTACAGTGATTACTTTGATCAATTGTACTAATAAGTTATTGAGATTCTATATCCCAAACTTTCAATTATTTATACTACCCAGAACACAAAATATTATCTTTAGTATATAAAGATAAGACTGGTTGGTCATGTCCTTAAAGAGTTTTCACAATACTAAAGTAATATTAATTTTTACTCGTAATTAATAATCTCTTGAGACGAATTTAACTATTCAGTAATCCAATGTTGAGATACAGAATTCCTAATTCTCATGCTTGATCCTAATTATCCGAATGACTTTACATGGGTCAAAGCCAGAGGTAGTTATTCTTGTTTTTATTCTTTAGTGATTGAATTTCTAATTGAATGAAATGATTAAGAATGCTATAGTTATTAACTTATTCCTATTGATTTATCCTTTTATTATTTATTTATTTATTCGCTATAAAAGTTTTTATAATAATCTAATTCTATGCTTGTGGTTCTATATTAGTTTTGTAATGCTTAAAGTTTTCTTTTGTACTCATTTATCTACCTTTTGAGATCATCTATAGGAGTATTTTATCTAATTGATTTTTTAATTGGACTAGGCTTTGCATTAATGAGTTCCTAATTTGTTTAGTTTAATTCCTCTATTTATTGGGCATATAAAGTCATTTAATAATGATCTTTAACCCAATTATCAATAACATATCTGAATGACCTTGTACACCAATTCGGTAAATCTTTGAAATACTAATTTGTTAAAACTATGGTGTAGTAATCGTTAGCTTTCTAGGAAATCACTCGATAATCGTCAATTTTTTTAATTTAAAATTCTATTGTTTCTGATATATTTTCTCTTTTTTACTAAAAATCATTCAATTCTAATTCATATTATTAAACGTTTTCTATGCCACAAACTGCACTATTTTAAGTCATATCAAATTGAAGTTAATCAATTTTAATTTGTAATGAACATATCTTAACTTCAATTTATCTTAATTCTTCTTAAAGTTCCTCTAATTTAGAGTACTCTTTTGTTATCTATTCCTCAGCCTATTCTCCAAGAACTAACTCTGTAAACAAATCATCAATTTATTTTTCAAATGTGTCATATTATAAAGATTTATTTGGATTATAACGATTATGCTATTTGACAATCAATTTTTCATTCTTTTATTTCTATAATTCATCCTCCTTCCTTTTCAATTAGACATCTTTCTTAGTATTTTCATTTTTCAATTTACTTACTAAAGTATCTTGCTATATTTTTTATTTTTTGGCATAAATCAATTCTTTATGCTTTTACTCTTTGTCTTTAATGTATTTCTCATTCTCTTATTTCATTTTCTTAATCAGATCAACTTTCTATTTTTTCATTTGTTCAATATTAGTTCTTAGTTCTTTTACTTAACATTCTTAATCTTCTAACTTCTTTTACAATTATTTGGATGTCATTTCCTTCTATCTCATGTCCAAAATCTTAGTTTCATACTCTTATATTTTAAATTTAAGTGAATTCATTTAAGCAGAATCCTACTTGTTATTCAATTGCTTTTGTAGTTTAGCCTTCTCTTCTTCTAAAATAGAAATTTGTTTTAAATAGTTCTGTTTATCATCTTACAATAATTGAATTGTCTCTATCTTTATTTTATCAAGTTCCTGTAGCTGCTACTCCTATTCTTCAATTTGAAGATCTTTTTCTATTAATTCAGAATCATTTAATTCAAAATCGTCATCAATTTAATCTACATCTTATTTTTGCTTTTCTATTCTCATTAATTCATGTTGTTTTTATCTCAATAGCTTTTGATCTCTGCGTGCTTCCTGTACTAAGTTATGTATCAAAATACATTACTTTTAATAGCTAATCATTATTCGATTACAAGAGGAATATCCTTTGCTCTTGTTCTTAAACAACTTTCTTTAAACTAGCTATTTCGTTATAATATGTATCCATCTGCTGATCCTCATTAAAATTGTATTAGATATTGTATTTTTATAAAATTCTAAAATATATTAACACACTACTTCTTTGCATCTTAAAATTGCTTCATTATTTAATCTCTTTATTTCTTTGCTTTATAAGATTCCAACATACTTTCACTCAAACCTTTTTAAGAATTCTACAGTTCTTTTTGTACACTATTTAATTGTTTTTCTAATTGGTAATTTTAGTTCTTCAATTTAAGAATAGTCTCTCCATGTTCTGAGCAATTTTATTATGGTCCAGAACTCGGAGAAATTGATTCATAAATTTAAATAGCCATTGATTTTACAGAATCTGTATTGATATTATTATCTTAGAGTATTTAGGAGTATTGTTTGATTTGATCCTAAAGACCAAATATTTATTATTTTAACTACAGTATTTAAGCAGCATGAGGATCCTTATATAAAAATATCAAAATACTCTGTTTTGAGTAGGCTTGTTTTTAATTTCTCTTGCTCTACTAGCATATTTCAAAGTATTAATTGTTTCTTCATAATTACTAGCTGATGGTGAAATACAGGCTATCATGTAGGTGTTTGAATTACCTCCCAAGGAATCTTGTAGAATTCTATATAATTATTTAGATCTTTTAATACCTAGTTAACTTACTTTCTCTATATGGAACATGAGCTGATTTTTTTTAATCACTTAATGTTTTAATTACATTTCCTAACACCAAAAGGCTTTAATTAATGTTAATTCCTTCTTCCATTTGCTTACCTATAGCCATAGTTTTTTTTAGTCTCTCACTACCAGCTAGATCAACAAAATGGAATTTGGCACTCAAAGACCCTTCCTCAGATTCCCGGTTAATTTCAAAATAAATTGTAAATATTGCGTGGGATCTCGAACTATTCAAATTCATTTGAGTTGCTGCTGTTGTTCTATGGGTTCCTCCCTTATTTAATATTTGAAGCATGTCTTATGGATTAATTACTGCTATTGTCGTCAAATTTTAAATTGAAATTGTATGATCCTTTTCCTCTCTTATTGTTGGTTATAAATTTGATTTCATTGTAGATTCATTTAGCAAGTCAATTATTTATTCATTATATAATTCTACGTATGAACATGTAATAATTATTTCCTATTCCTATTTCCTCTTCTCCACTTCATCAAATAAAAAATATACTGCTCTTGGTATCATTCCCCATTCATTTTAGTCTATGCATTAATCACAATATTAAACCAGAATATTGATCCAAACCTGATGTTCCCATTGTAAAGGTTTTCCCAGAACCTGTTTGGCCATATGCCAATATTGTACTATTATAGCCCTCAAAGCATCTTAGGATTAAATTGGTTACACAACTAAATTTAGAAATTCTAGTCATTACCATTCAAAAATTTCTTCTTAATTGGAATCCTAATTGAATACGTGGTCAAAAGTAAATATTTTCCCACTTTGTGGCAAAATTATCTATATTCATTGTAATTAATACTCTGTTGTCCTCAGTCTTCAAACAACATTCATCCTTAGCATTTAGTTCCTTGTTGCTTAAAGGTCTAACTCTGACAGCAACTTATACATTTAATTATTAAGTTTGAATATCCATTTTAATATTCTAACTAAACTCAATTATTAAATAAATACTTTCTTAATAACTTAACTATTCATATTATACTACCAATATCCTTTCAAAATTTTAGAACTATAACTTTTTTTAACAGGTCACCCTAAAGAAATTATCAAAAAATGGATAATCACATTATGTAATGAATTAAAAAACTTGAAATAAAATTCAAATCAACTACATCAATTAGAAGCGATTGAACCCAGTAGACTTATGTGTGACTTATTGCCATAGTATATTGTTTTTAAAAACTATATTTGGGTAAAAAATATCTTAAATAATGAAATTATTAAATAAATAGAGATAAAATTAGTTTTTAAACCTTTAATTCTAATATGACTATGCTAATGGAGGAATGTCATAAAGTTAATTTTTTTTATATTAATTTATTCTCGATTTGTGATATAGCCTGAGGTGTTGATATTATTCAAATAGAATAAATCTTTAAATAATACTTTAGAAAAAGATAATTAAATCTTAATAAACGACTTACTTTTGGCTTACTGACTTCTAAACCTTCTTTCAATAGTTAATAAAATAATAACATTTACTTATATTTCTTATTGAATAATTACTAAAATATTTAATTATGATTTCTTGTTTTTTTTATGATTAATTATTTAAAACTTTAATAAATGAATTTTAGTAAGTGTTATGAAGTATTGTGTGACAGAATATATAAATAATAATATTATAATAATCAGTCAAGATAATTTATTCATTTTATTATAAAAATTTGTTTCTTAGTAATCAGTTGAATAATAATCATTATATTCAATAGGGTCATTGATATATTCATGTTTATTTATTTTATTACTTTACTAATCCAATAAATCTTATAATGCATAGTCCATTTGATTAAAGTCTCTCTTTTATTATAAAAGATCTATATCTTCTAATCTATCAAGTTTATCTAAAATAGATATAAACTAAATAAAATACTAGAATATCTTTAAATTACATCTTTAACTTCATCCTATTCTTGCATGTAATAAGGATGGGTATTACTAATCAAAGAAACATAATCTGATTTTGGAATAATTGAATTATTTTCTATTTTTGTATAATCATAATTATTAACAGGCTTAGAATCCAAATAACTTTTAGCAATATACAATTATTAACGATTTAGATAATCTTCAGGTAAATCAAACTCATTATGCCTTATTTCTGAGCCCATTCTATGATTAATTATTGTATGGTCTTCTTCAGTTTATAGTCTTTGATCTTAATTCTTCTCTTTTGTTTATAGATTATATCCTTTTTAAAAATCTTAAGATGCAGGACCAATTTAAGTATTGTCTGTGATTATTTCATATAAATCTTTATTGACATCTTCGTTACTTCCTAGGAATGGGTCGTATGGGTTGGAATTTAATTTTTATCTTCTTGGAAATGCATATTTTATTGCATCTGGTGTTTTTTATCTTTAAGCTGTTTCTATTATTTATCTAGTCCTTTCTTAATTCTGAAATGCTTAATATAATTCTCTTTATCGAATTTCATCAATGATTTAGGTTGATCTTAGTTCTTCTTTTAGTTTTCTGATTTATTCTTCGTTATAGTGTCTCTATTCGTTTGCTTTCATTAATTGACTCTTTAATGAAACTACCTATTCAGATACTTAATTAGTTTGAAGATTCATTTCTTATCTCAATCTATGTAATTCAACATTTACTGTATCTCTCACAGTCTTTTCAACTTCAATAGGTAACTCTTTGATAATTCTCTATTCGATTCTAGACTGCAGGATGTCATTCTTTTAGTCTCTATAAGCTTTTTCAGCTTCTTAAACAGGAGTTCTTTGTCTGACTCCTGTTTTAGCATTTTTTCTATTTTGTTATTCAATTAATTCGTTTTAGTATCTTAACATTTCCAACCTTTTTAATGCTTTTAAACCATCAACATCAAAATTTGATTATTGAAGATTTCTTTTTTCCAATTTATCAATTCCAAATTCATCTTTCATTCTTCTTTCTATTTCTTCCCTTTCTCTTAATATTCTTAAGTCATCTAATTCTTTGTCTCTCTTTATTCTTTATTTCTCTTCTTACTTCTTTTTCTCTGCTATTTCAATTTATGTTAGTAATTCTCTTTATAAAACAAATTATTTTTATTTTTTTTCTGCCTAAGCTATCTATTCTCCAATTTGACTTAATTAACTTTGATTCATACTCTGAATATAAAAATATCTTACATTATTTTAAGTGGGCAGATTTATCATACTTTGGTTTGTAGTTACTAGTCTTTGTGTTTAAATAGGTAATTGACTAGCACTTAAATAATCCGGTTAATTGAATTAAACAGATGAATTAGATTGACCGAAAATTTAAGCTGATGACGAATTAGGGTCCATAGGATTTCTTCTGGTTGTCTAAACACAATGTTATTATTTACAGTTATATTTCCATAAAAATCTCGTAATGGAGCACCTCCTCCTCCTCTTGCTTAACCATTTAGTTGATTTTACAATTATAATTCCTAGCTAATAACTTAAAATTAATAACCATAAGTCGTTCTTAAATTTTCTCTTACTACTCTCTTATCTTCTTTTATTCAATTTACTATCGCAAAGTATCTCCATACTACTTTTTATTAATTTACTCCAAAGTTGGTTCACTTATTGGTTATGCACTTGAATTTTAAAGATTAGGCACTGATTAAGAGTTAATCATAATAAATTATTATTAATCATAATACTATTTATTTTATTTCAATTTTCTTATAAGATCTTCAGTGTTCAATAGTTTTAGACCATTTCCTATTTATAAGAATTTTATTTAAGTGTGACTATTATTATATCATAAGCACCACCCCACTTTTAAACTGTAAAATTCTTATATTTTTTGATTCACAAAAAAACCCAAAAATTAATATGAGTTTGTTTATACTATAATAGATCTTTCATTTATACTCAAAATTATGTATACTCACTCATTTAGCTAATTTTTACAAATATTGAATTCTCGAAGGAATAATTTTATTCTTAATCTTAAAATATTGGAACAATAGTCTTTTGTTGTTACGTTTAATTAGTAATCACTCCATAAGAATTATTTTATTTTATTGAACTTGATTATTTCGTGTAATTCGTTCTCATATTGCTGAATTTAACCAAATTTTAATAGATCATTCAAAAATCAATTTTAAAGATATGCAATTACTTTTAACAGAACTAACCCTAAGTGACTTCAGACTATTTCCAGGATTTAAATATAGTATTAAACTTTTTCTATTAACATTGCATATGTATTTGGCTAACTAATAATTTTTCATTCGAAGCAATATAAATTATAACTGCAAATTCCATATTATACGATCAATTTTTATTGATCTATCTCATCAAAAAGATGGTTTATTATGTTTTATTTAAATTTCTTAAGCTCTTGCTAGGAAGAGTAGAACCTCTTCTTCCCATTTTTATAATAACTTTTTATTTAGTGATCTTTGCTTCTGCAATTCGTTAATATTCTACACAGATTAATATTTGTAAATTTCTTATTTCATTTGGAGCATCGATTGTCTTACATTTAATAAATTTTTTATTAATTATGTATCTGTCCAAATTAATAAGACTCTTTAGAATAAAAGAACCCTTTTTGTCTCAATAAGAAATGGACCAGGAGTAGGAGGCCTTGGTGTAAGCATAGAAGAAGATTAATTTTGCAATGGAGGTTTTTAAGAGTGTGTTGGAATTATTATTGGGGTACAGACTATTGCCTAATTTATATGCAATAACATTTTTCCTTTTATCTCTTTCAAGCTTAAGCTCAATAGTTTTAATACATTTAAAAACAAAAATAAATCCTTTAATAAGAGTTTTGCATTCATTATTGTTTTCAGCACTTTATTTGTATAAATTTTAAACGTCAGATTTTTTGTTTATTTACTTGATTTACGTTTCCTCAGCAATAGAATTAGACGCAATGAAGGTGTTCTATTATTTGGGATTTTAAGTAATTTATGAGACATTGAAACCTGAAAATTTCGTGTTAAATAATGGAGAACAAATATTCTCTTGGTTAATTTTATGTACAATTTATCTAAATTTATTTGTGACGAATAAAAAAAAACTATCCTTAACATTCCCTTAATTCAGCATTGCCAAAGATGCAGAAAGCTATAGGGATGCGAATAACTATTTGATATCAATGAAAAGTAGTTCCTCGTTGTTTTAAATGTAATTTTTTATTGATATTTAATAAAAGGTCAGAAACCATGAGGTTCTATATGTAAATAAGCCATTTCTGAAGAAATTCGGAGCATAAACTAATATCTTAAGGAAATTAGAATAGTTCATCCTCCAGACTGACCATGAGTATAATAATGAGGGAAATAAATCAACTGACCATTATTTTACTAAGTCAACAAATATATTAGAAAGTCTTAATCATTAGGATCTATTTTTGTAAGCACCCTTTATTGCACAGGCATAATTGGATGATTAAACTTATAAAATAAATATGCAATAATGCACTTGGAAAGGATAATAGAGTTATGCAATCACTATCATCAACATAACAGATGATCAATTGGTGATGGAATTGAAAAAATTAGATTCTTATAAAGATAACATTCTTGCCACAGTTAGTCATGATTTAAAAAACCCTATTGGGGCCATTTATTAAACACTTTTATTTGTTTAAGATGATTTATAAAAATTAATCCAATAGCAGTAAGATCTATAATAGAGTGTTCAATTTATTGATATTTGCATCAATAACATAATATTTTTATAAAGTTTTGTTAAGGATTTATCTGATTTTTAGATGATTAAAATGTAAAAATTGAAGGTTTTTATAACAGAATTTGATATCTTAAATCTTTGCTAGTAAATTTAATAAGCTTTCTAATTGTAATTGTAAATAAAGTAAATTGAATTTCATATTAAAAATAAAGCAGAGGACACCTTGATAAAAAATGATGAAGTTAGATTAAAGTAGGTTTTATTTAATTTAATTTCCAATTCTTCGAAATTTACTTCCAATGGACATATTTCGTTGAATATAACGGATAACAATTAGGACATTTAGGAGTTTTATGTCAATGTTAAGAATTAGATGAAACAAAATAAGTCGAAACAAAGTTTGTGTTAGTTAGATGAATAATTAAATAATTTGATTTTGATTACAGTTTCAGACACGGGAGTGGGTATTAGTGATGAGGTTAAGGGTTAGTTATTCAAAAGTTACAGCACTTTTGATGGTGAGAAAAAATAGAATAGGTAAAGAAATCTTCAAATAATAGGAATGGAGTAGGACTAGGATTAATGATTAGCAAATAGTTGTGTGGATATATTGGGCCTCTGAAATATATTTACATTAACAGTAGGATTGGAGTTGGAACCAATTTTTAGTTTGTTATTTATAGAGTTCATCAAGATGATGTTGACAATTTGGATGATTAACCAATTTAGATTCATTAAGTGCGATACTAGAAAATACCTAAGTAAACTCCTTAAAATAAATAAAGAAGTGTTTTGCTAGTAGATGATGAACTATTTAATAATGCAACTAATAAATAGTTGTTTTAATAATGTGGAGTGAATTAAATTTAGATAGCTTACTCTGCCAGTGAAGCAATCTAAATGGTTAAGCAAAAGTAATTTGATATGATATTACTGGATGTCAATTTACCTGATAAGAGTGGAATTTAATGTATAAGAGACTTTAAAAAATTTAACAAAAATGCTAAAATTTATATACTTAGCGCATTTGATGATCAAGAAACGAGATAATAGTGCATCAAAGAAGGAGCAGATCGCTTATTTTAAAAACCATTAACATAAAAATAAATATTAAATATATTATGAAAGCATCAAAATACTAAATAGAAAATCATGATTATAAAATAATCTCATTCATAAATTTTCATCTCTCGCAGCAACCCTTGCCGTCCTCAAAGAAATTAGCTCATTTCCAAGATCATCCCTTCTTAAAAAAGCTAAATTTTAATTTCTTAAAATATATAAATTAATTCCATCAATCAAGACCTATCAAGAAAAATTTAAAGAAATTTAAAATGTCTTTAGAAAACTAAAAAGTGATTATCCTGGTGTAAACAATCCTAAATTTACTTATGTTCCTTTATGAAACCCTTGAAAAAGTAAAAATTGTGATAATAATTTTATCATATATATTTTTATGATATCAATTAAAAAAGGTATCATTGGAGATAATAAAAATAATGAAAATACTCTATTAACAACCCTTGGTTTTATCTTGTTAAATACAGCTTTAATCTAAAGAGTAGAATATTAAAAATCATCTTTCTATTAGTTCAATCCTTTTGTTAAACTGCTTAAATTGAAAAAATATTTTAAAAGGGCTAAAATAGTTTCCTTAAAAGATTTTAAATAAGAAGAACTTTAGACAATTTCAATTAAAACCCTTATTTAAGAATGAAAGGAAAATAAATAAAAAAAATTGACATTCGGGTTTATTAATTTATACTAATTACAGGTTTATAAATTCTGATATTTTATCTCATCACTATTTCTATTCTCTTAATAAAATACTTCAATTGATAAGGTCATAAGTTTTTAAACAAGTAATAAGTTTGAGTATTGGATTGATTTGGCTTAGAGAATTTCATAAAATTTATATTAATTAATATTATAATATACAAAATGCGACCAAAAGTGAATACAGAGCTTGTTCAAGGATCTTAGAAGAACTCTAATCCAAAATATGAGAATTCGGAAGAATTCAGGTAAAATTTTTTCAGATTTAACACAACTTTTCAAAGACATGATAATTATTAGCAACTAATCTAGATTATTGATTTCTCAAACAAAGAGTTTGGTGAAAAAGGTTGCTATATTAAAGATACTTAGACTAAATAAGATAAAATCATTAATTATATTATTGAATATCAATAGCAATATAACATCTCATAAAAACAAATTTACTAATTAAGAAGATCTTACGTTGATTTAGAGAAAACAGAGGTTAATAAAGAAGCAAAAGATGATGATAAAAAAAACAAAAAGGTTGTTTCAGGAGCAAAATAGGTTGATTTTGGAACAAAAGAGGTTTAAATAGAACAAAATGGGGTTGATAGGACAAAGGTTGATAAAACTAATTTGCTGGTTTATAATAACTTTAAAAATTGTTTAACTGAAATATTTAATAGTTTTTACGAAGGAGATAATTCATAAATAATTTTACAACACATAAGTAATGAGCCAAACCTATTAAGGTAATTGATCTCATAAGCCATTAAAGAATTTAATGAAACAAAAAAAAAAGATGAATAATCAGAGACAAATGAAGACTTGAAAAAAAATGAAGAGGTGAAAAAAAAGATTAATAATTTGAAAATAACTTATATTGGAATTACTTAAGAGTATCATATACCAGATGTTTTCTAAGATTTTGAGACTAATTCTCTTTAAAATTTTTCAATAATGCTGTAGGATTCATAATCATTTAATTATAAACTTAAATAGGATCTTAAAAGCTTGGTCTTATAAGATCAATATTATATGAAACTAAACCTTGGGAACAAAAAAATTACAAATGAAATTTTACATCTTTACAGGTACTTTTTAAAAATGAAAATTCGAAAGTACTAACCAAAATTGATAGTATTATTGATAGAAATTAATGATAGCTTTGATTTCGAAACGTATTTCTTTTAAAAATTAATTTCTTAATTAGAGAAAATCTCATAAAACTGTCTCATAATCATTCCAATACTCACATCATACACTTCAGAAAGCTTTGAAAAATATTTAAAGTAAACTCTCTTAATAAGCAATTCATACTTTGACTACAAATTTAAGAGAAAAAACAAAACTCATTATTAATGCGAAGATATCTCTGCTTAAAAGTATAAAGAGTATAGCACATATTTTTCGTAAACTTAAAAGGAGGAACAGTTCTTCCTTAGGTAATACTTAGCCTTGAAGGTTCGACAAAATTTTTTTCAATAAAATGAGTAAATGGAAATTGAATACTAGAAGCAAATGTTACCGACAGAATTGAGTACATAAGTTATTGAAGCATAAGATAGCAATTAAACCTAAGATCTAGAATACAATCTATTCGGAATTTTGAATAGCAGAAACTAAATAGAATTAACAAAGTTATATGAGAGATATTCAAAATAACCTATAAGAATTTTTGAAGTTGAGCATTTCATTTATTACAATTAAGATAATAAATCCTTTATCATTTGTATTGTAAAAGATGATAAGCTATTTTATTAATATAAAGCATATAAAATAGATTAAGAAAAATAAATCGAAGATTCAATCTATTTGGAAGAATATAAATATTTTGAAAAATTCAATAAAGGATTAAAAAGCTCATATTTGTTATAAGGTGACTATTTTTGTTAATTTAATGTATCATTTTAAAAAGTAGTATCAAATTTAAAGGAAAGAAAAAGAACATCTGGTTTTAAATATTATGTTTAATACAAGAAATACAATTTAAGATATGAAAAAGCTCCCGACTTTTATCATAATATCGAAAATCAGAAAGATGGGTTGGATTAATTAACAAATTTTACAATTAGTCCAATAAAGGATAATCAATTCATACTAATAGGGGGAACTTATGAATCATACATACCCTAGAAAGAGCATGAATAATAAAGCAGGTAATCCGAATATGAATTTAATCTTGGTGCATATGCAGTAACTGTGGAAATAGATGAAAATTAAAAGAATAAATTAAAAGTTACAGAAAATATAGGTAAATTAAAATGCTATGAGAACTGTCTTACTTAGAAAATCAATGATTAATCATTCTTATATTTTGAAGGATAAACCAAGTATTAAGCAGGCTAATTCTAATCATAAATATAGAGGATGTCAATATTTGGATATGAATAAAATTTGCAATTTGATAACTGTAAGATTTAAAATCAGAATCAATTTGATTTTTACCAAAAGAAAAAGAAATTGTTTAGATCTAATCAGTTAAATAAAAAGATAATTGAATAAAGTAAAAAGAAAATTGACTTTATTGTGGTGGTCTAAGAATTGATATATGATAAGGTAAAAATAGTAGATGAAGAGGATAGTATTAATTTGAAATAGTTATCAAAATAAGTTTAATTATAAGCTCATAAGTTCCGATTTACATATGACCCTGCAAAACAGGTAATAGAGGATAACAAAACGAAATAGATACTTGATATTCAAGAGGAAAGTTTTTACTTTGTAATAGAATAAGTAGAAAAATCTAATAGTCTAAGAAATGCATGTCTTTATGCTAATGTAAATATAGTTTTTTAAATTAGTGGTTGGAGGATAGGAACAATTAATACATATTTCATTACAATGGAGTGCAGAACTTATATTTATTATATTTTTAAGAGAAGCCAAAACCGAAGACAAGGAAGTTTATCTTTGAAGACCAATAGGATAAAGAAGACAATTTAGATTTTGATGAAGTAATTTTGAATGATTTGGAGAATGAGCAGCTTTGGATTGTTCGAAAGATAAATCATCAAGATAAGATCTACTTAGATTTATATGAAAGGTAAAAATTAAATCCATACAATAGTGCTTGGATAAATCTATAAGATGTAAAGGATTCAACTGAAGATGCAATTACAAAGGTTCCGATGAATCAAATCTTTAGAATTGCTGAACTTAAAGAAGATTTTTGTTTGATTGGGCTTGAAGTGAAATGGTAAAACGAGCAAGGATAAAGATGCCCATATTTAGTTGTGTGCACAAGTACTACCATTTATGAGATTTCAATAAAGTAGATAAGAAAAACAAAATGGGATTACATTTTAAGATATAAGTTCAATTCTTGGGAGAAAGAACCTCTGTAGTTCTAATAATCACCAATTACTAGATCCAAATAAGTTTCATTTTAAGTGAATATGTAAATACCCACAATAGTAGCAAATTTATAAAATGGGGATTTGTTGCTATTTTATAGTTATTGCAATGTAAAAAGCGAATCAAATAATAAATATTAATTAGAAATCAAGTATTTGATCTTAAAGGATTGCAATCAAAAAAGTGATGAAATGGAGGCAGAAGAAAGCAATAGGGAATTCTAATTTAAATCAATAGAATACAATTCAAGGAAGTAGGTTAATCTTGCCAAAGTAAATACCGTTATTATAAATAATGATGAGTTCCAGTTTTCAATAATCGTAGAAGAATCTGATGGATGCTTATATAAAGTATTTTCAGGCGATGGGGAAAAAAAATAATATATTACATTGATAAGAGAAAGCAAAATATTGAGTAACGCTGCCTTTTTAAAGAATTAATCCATTATCATAGGCAAAAATAAGGAAACAGTTGTACATCTGGAATGATTTTAAACTTTATAATTAACAATGATATTTTATTTAATAATCAAAAGTTTGGATGTCACTATTTTCTAAAAGAGCATATAGAGCAATTAAGACAATTCTGGTGTCTCCGCAAGCAGAAATACTTACCTTACTTATTCGGATTATCTCAATTTTGATTCTGTTATATTTAGATACCCTTAATGATTTAAGCAACAATATTCAATATCAAATAATATCTCAGGATTAATAAAAATCATCATTAGATAGATTAAATTAGAAATTGATATCTCATTAATTTTATAAGGACAAATTGCAAAATGCTAGTTTACATGTTTTAAAAGAGAATTTTTGGGAGTTATTTGTTGATCCCAATGAATTTGAAATACTCTTATCTGGATTTAGATTAGTCTAATATTAAATAGCTTATTCAGTGGATTGTCATTATGATGTGTCTAAATTAGAAACTGATATTTCAGAATAATAAAAGTTTATTGATAGTTTGTCGAGCAATTGTAATCCTGCGGATAGTGATACTCTTTCATCGTTATAACCCTCATTATTTATATGCAACAGCACAAAACTATGTTTATATTCAACAGACTGCATTGAATTTTCATTGAGAGATGTATTCAAAAATAGTTATGAGGGGATTCTAAAGAAATATTCAGAAAATTAAATAAAGACCAGACAATTTGGGACATATCCGAATAGTGCATTTATTGCTGATATCAAATTCAATGATCGTTCAGAAATGGAAGAAATGATTGATAAATTAATACGGAATGATTGGATTACAAATAATACAATTGCTATTGTTGTTTAGTTTAATAGGATTAATAAATATAATAATGTAATCTATTAGAATACTTTTGTTCAATAATTTCATGAAACTAAAGAATAAACTTTTGAGTATTAAATTAATTAAATAAATACTAATTCGATGAACTCCTCAACATGGTATTCTTTTTCAATCATTTTAATTGTGTTTAATTTCTTTTTTATCATGAAAATAATATTTGAAGGGTCAATAGATCCAAGAGCTACTTAATTGTTAGTGTTTTTGGTCTCTATTTTAGAATCAGCCTTTTCAGTTATATGTACACTTGAGTCTGCTGTTTTAAATAGCGATATCCAAGAAGCTTTGAATGATTAAAATTGTTTGTAAAACAAAGCAGTTAGTATTTGGAACAATGGATTCCCAATGCTCTCCACTTGTCATAATTACATCTTGTTAGATGCTACATATTAAATTTAACAAATACGAATCATTTTTTTGGCATTTGTCTTATTGTTCATCCCATTTAACGTATTTTGGATATTAAGCTATTTAAATGGAACTGAATTGATAGTTAAATTTATTAATTTAATATACAGAACTACAATTCATTTTTTAAAAATGTTTTTCATTCGAGTTGCACAATATGTGACTTGGTCTCTAGCCTTTTATATAGCATTTCGCAAAAACTTTGAGAGTTATGACTCATATGCTAGTTCACTTTATTGCATGATAATTTGGTCTATTCCAACCTAAGAAAATGAGTGGGAAAGAGGTGCCATGAACACTGGTCAAATAACAAATGCCCTATTAGTAGTTCTATTTATGGTAAATATTAATAAAATATGTTGAGGTTTGTCGAATTTACGTTTTTCTAATGATTCTAAGCTTTACTTCTATATCAATCTAATCAGCTAGTGACTTTGAATTCGATATACGATCTCCATCTGCAATTCAGAATTTAGAAAATATTCATCAAAATATAAAAAAGTTGGATAAATTTTAAAAGAATTACTTAAGTGATCATGAGTAGAATAAATTAGAAAATGGAAAATTAGTGGCCTGGCTTAATTTAAATATTAAAGATTTAATTTAGTATTAATAAATTATTTAGGAGTGTATTCAAGTAATTTAATACATTTATTTGGTTAGAAATAAGTGAAATTGTAATAGTTTTAGAATATATCTGATTTATCATAGTTTGTTAGTTTCTTGTTTTAAATAAAGCCTTAATTACTTTTTAAGTCTCAAGTGTATTTTAGAATTATCTTAGATTTAGAGCCAATGGATTAGACCTAAAATAATTAACCACTCTATTTAAGAAAGGAAGAGCGTCAAAATGAATATATAAATTTGGTCAGGTTTTTCTAAAGATTAAAAGATAAGGGTTCTAGGGTTCCTCTATTAATAAATTATAGTTAAAAGAATAGACCAGCTGATAACATAATAATTACATTTTTTAAAATTTATCCTTATATCCATCTAAATAGTGGAAATTACGATTTATTTAAAGAATTTATTCTCAGTAAGGATGTTAGACAGTGGCAGAAAAGAGTTTATATAAGAGATGAGGAGAACCAAGATTTTGATGAGGAAGAAAGTGATGCTAATTAAATTAATTGAATTAATTAGAATAATTAGACTTTTATTCATTTAAGACAATATATAAAAATAAATGAAATCAAATTTAAATTCCACTCTTTTGACATCACTCAATTTTCTGGTTCAATTAATTCATCCAACTTTTATTCGCCCTCCTAGAATTAGAATACATGATTCTATTTATGATCCGATGATTAATTGCCAGAAGAGTTTCTCTCTTCATCTTTTTCATTATCACTATCCTCACCAAATTAAAAGGCTTATTCATCAATTAAATGTTCTCTATGATTATTTTATTCATTCCCATCAGTTTTACTAGAGCTTTATTTTGTAATGGTTATTGCTTCTATTTCTGCCTTCTCTTTGATATCCTCTTTATTTTCTTCCAATTAGATTGGCATCTAAGATTAAGGAATCTGCTATCTCCTTCTATGCCTTTTTACAAAAACAACTAAAAATGTAATTATGAGAAAGAGAATTATCAAAATAATAAAAATCATTTTAATTAATAATGAATCCACTCAATGATCATTAATAGACATCTCCCAGATCCCCACTGCATGCAAGTAATGTAAATTCATGGTTTAAGAGTAGGTATGAAATTACTTAAAAAAAGGCATTGTAACAAAGTGAAAAAATCATACCTCCTATTTCCTGAATAAATTAAGCAAGAGTAAGAGATTCAAAAGATATTTTAAAATTTTGATAGAGACAATTCAAGTATTATGTAATTAGTAAATTAAGATAACCTTGACATCACTGAAATGTATGATATGTTTTAAAAATACGGATTTAAAGTTACAGAATAATAACTTCAACATTTCTTTAAAGTGGTAGACAAAGATAAAGATAGTATCATTATTATATGATTAATAGATGCATTGAACTGGAATGAATTCAAGAATTCCGTATTTGATGAATAAGCATCCAAATGTAAGGAAAGTTAATCTATATAGTGTTCTATAATATCATCAAACAAATTAGAGAATAGGATTAAAATGAATCTTAAAGTAACCATGGTTATATTCCATTTCAATTTAATGAAATGATAAGCTATTTAAATTATCTAATTAGTAGAGATGAATTACAAAAATCCATCTAGGTATTAATAAGATTATCTAATAGGAAGCTTAACAAACAACATTTGAAAAATTCTAAAAATATTTGACCTTGCTGGAATTAAATTAAATTTAGATGCAAAATTTTAACAATCAAACTTAAACAAATATCAATTCATAAGAAGAGTAAAATTTTACCAAAAAAGAAATTGATTTCACTAAAACCTACTAAAATAAATATAAATCTTCCAAAAGTTCATGTAATTTTTATAACTTAATCCCAAGACTTAAATGGCAAGGATTTACCTCAATTATAAAAATTGAAATCGGAGAAAAAGAAATAGACAAATACTTTGTTATAGTTAAATAAAAGTATAGAAAGTTCTAAAATAAATCTTTAAAACTCAATCAGCTTTTAACCAACATTTAAGATAGATAAATTTTCAACCTAATTAAATTCTGATTTCAAGAGTTTACACAATATGAAATCTCTATAATTAAAATTAAATTAATCTCCTTCGAATCAGAAGAACTTTATTCACAAACCTTATTTAAATTTGAATTTAAATAAAATTAATCAAAATTATAGGGAATAATTATTTAGCTAATAATAGATGAACGATAAAAATAAATATGGAAATAATCCTGATAGACTTCCAATATCAATTATATAAGAATTATAAAAATTCAAACTCTTATCTGGATAATTTAAGAAAAGATCTCAGAGCATAGAAAAAAATTCACCTGAATGTGAAACCAGATGTAATAATCTTAAATCTGAATATTCCATATTTAGAACATCAACGGAAGTACTAAGTTAGAGCAAATAAGTTTCACCAACAAATAGTAAATTATGTACTCCAAGGTTATGGAAGGATGAAAAATAATTAAGCAGAAAAAAGTCACCATTTTAGTAAGTTTTAATTAACCTTTCCCAATAGAATCAGAAGGAAAGAAGATTAGACATAAATTTAAAAGGGAGGTCCATCTTGTATAAATGATGTTTCAAATAACTTTAATCATTAAATTAATTAATATTTAGTTGCTTATATATTTATTAAGTACCTCGTGGCTTATTCTATTAAATCGATCAATTTAGTTATTCAGATAAGAAGTAATAGAAACAAGAAGCTGGTTGTTTTTATAGTTAATTATTTAGTAAATAAATATGATAATATTTAGTATCAAAAGTACTTAGGTTGGTAATCCTTTTTGATAAGTTTAATTAGCTTTCAATATAAATGTTAATATAAAATATACAATTCATTATTTGAAAGAATCAGATGAATAACATTAACTTTCCCATCGCACTGTTTTATTACTATGCTCTCTCATAAAAATGCTATTATGAGATATTTATTTTAGCGAAGGTTTAAGTTTTTTTAGGGTGTTATCTTTATTATAAATTACTGATTCAAAATTTGAGCCGCCCCTGATTCTTTTCTTTCTTTTTATCATTTCAAATTAAACACTAAAACCTGGCTCAATTTAATCAATTAAGTTTTAAAGATAATCTTCATCAGCCTCCATTTTATATTTTTGTGAAAAAAAATGATTCAAATTACTTGCTTAAATACTTGATTTTGCAAATACTTCATCATCTTCCTCAATTATTACCTCTGCTATACAATGATTTCCCATAATGAATGTTATTTTATAAAGAAGTATCAATTATTTTAGTTTATTAAGTTTTGAATTTTTCTAAAATTTTTCTAATTAGTTTATGCAATTCAAAAAAAACCTGCAGTAAATACTGACAGATAATTTTTAAGTTCCTTGAAATTGAAATATTAATACATAATTTAATAACTATTGCACATAAACTAACCACCCAATGCCCTCTCAACTTCATTTGTAATTTGTATCTTTTACCTTATTGAAGTTATTAGTCATATTGATAAAATTTTTCATAATAAATCTGTGACTTTTTCTTCATTTTTAACCTTTATAATATAGGATTGATGCCTTGATCTTCTAGTTCACATAATTTATTAAATAGAATAATTTCTGATTGTTTTATAACAGATAAAAATAAATTGTAAACACATATATTTATTATTAATCAATTCTAATGTTCTACTTTTTCCTTCTTGATTGGACTAGAAAATGCAAACTGCATTACTTCCATGCACAAATCTCCAATTTAATTATAAATCCCTTTTTATATCAAGTAATGAAAGAAATGAATTTGGTTAGGAACAAAGGAATGGTGATAATATTGTGTTACTTCCTGAGTTTGATTTGGTAATATAATTTCTTCCTCAACTTTATTTTTGGTTGCATCATCAAATAGTTCAATAAAGTGTTTTGGACTTTGAGAAAAATAGAAATTCGAAACCCTTTACTCTTATTTAAAATTGATCAACTTACAGGGTTCTAATTGCTTATTAATGTCGCATACAGCAATTGTGATATTGGTGTGAGTATAGTAAGATACTATTAATTCATTTCCTACCAGCCATGGACTTTCTATCAAGATGCATCCTTTTGAGTCGATTTAATAAGGAGCGTAATTAAAGTCTTTTAGATTGAGGTCTTAATCACATTCAATATTAATAAAAATAGGATGAGCCTAGTGATTTGGATTTGCAGTTATCATAATTTTCTTGCTGATAAATGATGCATCCGGTTATTCTTCTTTGATTATAATTTTATTTTGGTTATCAAAAGGTTTCAGAATGGTTGCATTCAAAGCCTATTTCACATTAATGAACTTATATAGATTGCTTCCGGGTATCCATAAACTAAAAGTGAAATCCTCATCCAAATACACCTATTTACAGATTAAGATAATCTTTTGTTTTTGTAACTCTTCAAAAACAAGGTAGTTTGACTCATTAATCTAGCATTCGTCTATCTTTTTGTTTTCAATTACATTCCAACTTATAAAGTTATTTTCATTACAAGTGGCATCTTCACTTGCAAAAACATAAAATTATTCTAAAGTAATAAAACTTTAGATCCCTTAAAAGTATTTGTACCTTAAACATTGATCCACATAAACAACTTTATTAATGTTTAGAAATTCTGGAGTAAAAAAGTTGTTTAATCTTTAACTAGGTAAGGTTACCTCTGTATTGGTTATTTTAGAATCCATAAAGTCAAGTATCCATAAAGATAATGTTTCAGTATTGAAAAATCCTATTTCTCTATCTGAATATTCAAATGGTTCGCTCATTATTACTATTTCTTTCATTTATTTCTTAACTATCGGCGCTGTTTTCCTGATTTCGTAAACTTCATATTCTCCAGCTTCTTCGGTATTAGATTGAAAGAAACACACTACCTTATAATTTGAAATTGGAATGAGATATTTCAAATAATGATCTACGTAAGTCTTTTGTTCAAGTCTTCTTGTGTAGAGAAATTTTGAATACATATTATTGAGAATTATAACTCATTTATCCAAATTTAATAACCATTAAATCCTTATAAAATTTGAGTAAATGCATTAAAATTAATTGTAAAATTATCTATTTATATATGATTTTAGAATTAATGTAAATTTTTAATATTTATAATCATCTTAATTCAATACCATGCGCCTTCTGTTTTAAATTAAAGTGTAGATCATTATACTCAAGTGTATTAATTGAGTTTATAATAAATATTAAAAATTTGTCTGTATTTATTTTCAATACAATTTTTAAATATTATGATGAAGATCTATCAAAATTAAAGCGAGGATTAATTTGTATTAAACTTATCTCAGTTTTCAATTTGAAACCCTATGTTTTTCACCTAGTCACTTTTATGAGATTTATTATCATTTTATTAAAACAAACTTTTATCGTAATTTATAAAAGAGAATATAATCATAATAAATATAATATATTTGTAAAGTAGTATATAAAATAAACCGATTAAAATCAGCTACATCCTAGAAGATTAAGAAACCAATTCTTAAGCTTCTTTTTTTGTTTGCCATCATTTTACTTTCCTTCATTCTCTTGACTATTATGAGTGCTATTTTCAGGCGAGTTTGTATTTTATAATGTAATATGAACCAAAGAAAAGTTACTATTTCCGGTTTCTTCTAATATAATGTCCTTCTAATAGGATGGAAAATCCAATTTTGGTAGCCCATTCTTTTTAGAAATATAAATGGCATAATTATTTGGATTATTATCTAATGGATGCACTTTTCCTACTTCTTAAAGAACTTCATAAACAGCATCTATAAGTTTTATTTTAGAATTCAAGTAAATGGTTTTTTTAAGAATTTATTCTTCATGTTAAATAGAAAAGTTTATTAATTTTAGGTTTGGATCAGCCATCAATTTTAGAGGGCTTAACAATGACTTTTTGTTTTTGGATCCGGGCTTGCTGTCTGATTGAGACATTGTGAAAATGAATTTTAAATTTATTATAGAATACTTATAAATTCTTCATTAATGTTAATCCTATTTTAGAACTATAATCAATTCAGAATTATGTCTTGATTACACAAGCTAATTAATAAAAATCTAGATATCATTTAGATTCATAATATATTTTTAATCATTTTTATGTCTTCTTTTTTTTACCTTTCCTTTATTTTGTATCAACTGGAAGGTTTGCTAAGAGAATTCCTGGTTTTGGAAGAGGAACTTTATAAGGATTGGTATGTCCTTAAGGAATCAAAATAGATTTCTGAAGAATATTGATTGGAACAAATTTATTAGCGGATGCTAATCTATTCTTTATTTGCTTTATTTCTCCAATCTAAATAAATTCAATAAACCTATCTAAATACTTGCGAATCTAATTCTTATTTAATACTATGTGTTTTTAAAACAGAACTAAATTATCTTTTAGGTTAAGCACTCTTAAAACAACTAGAAGACATAACCCTGTTACTTTAAATAGTTTCTTGATTAGGATTATTTATAAGTCCACCTGGCAGACAGGCTCCTCTTGACATTTTCAACAAGTGAAGTCGTTATGAATTAATTTATTTTTCAAGATCAGCTTATTTGCTTTAAAAATCTTCTGCCTCTTCCTCAACTTATGTCGGTATGACAGTGTTTGAAACTATCTTTGCCATAGGCACAGCACTTTATACCATTCTAGCTTTTGGTAAAGAAGATTTGTTAAGATAATTTGCATAGGCTTTTTCTTCTGCCAAATCCATTTTTTTTGATTCATATAATTCCGAGATTTTAATTCCAACATTTGGATATTGCGATCCCATGGCAGTTAACTAATAAAGATGATAATTTTTATATTACATATTCAGATTGAAGTACCATTTCATCAATTCTACTTTTATTAGTTGACCAGTTTTTCATTGATTAAACCATCTCTATATCTTCTCTCTATTCTCTGACGTCTTTGACTCTTTGTTCAGTATAATATTAATTAAGTCTGGCCGCAACCATTTTATCTTCAATTTGAGTAGGGTCATATTGATGAAATGTCCCTTAAAATTCTCCTAATCTACTATTTTATCCAATTTAGTAAGCATTTTATGTCTCAAGATCAGTCTTATAGGTTTTATTTGTAGGAGCAATACTAATATATTTATCAGGTCTTTCTTTTTTTTTCTTTTTTGCTGGCTAAATTTCTTAGTCAGAAGCCAAATTTTTGTTTGACTCCTCTAATTTATCCGGAGATTAATCTTCATCTTCATCTGGTTCTTATTCGATTCCTTCTATTTAATCTAATTTATCTCTGTCGGTTGGTTTATCTGCTTTCAGAGGTGACTCTTCTCTTTGAATTTACCTTCTGGTTGACTTGGATTATTAATCTTCGTTAGTTTAGAAGACTGGAAATGTCGGGTCATACATCCAAGATTATTATTATTTGGGAAGTGAATGTTACTGATTGGTTTTAGGTCTCGAGAGTTTTTCAACTTAATCAATCATTTTGTAAGAAGTTTGAGAAGTTTGAGGTCTAGTAAATTGTGAAATTCCTAAGACTCCTGGAGTAGTTCCAGGACGAGTACTAGTATCTGATAGTAGGTTTTTTCTTTGATAGCTTTTAACCCTATCTTCAGGGGGATCAAATTCAGGATGAACTGATCTAAATTTAAGAGTATAATCTTCAATGACAGAAGCATACAAATTTTCATTGTATATATTGGGAATAAAGTGGAGAGTCTTAAATAGTGATAAATTAATTACCGAGTCCTTTTTCTCTAGGAGAGATTATTTTAATGAAGCAGTTTAAGATTTTGGTAATTAAGAAAAGAACCAGTTAGATACTTTTTTTAGGAAATCTTATTGTTATATTTTGTTCCTTGTACTAACCACTTCTAGTAGGGAATTCTTGAGTTATCTATAGAGATTGTCAGAAACTAAAGGATCTTATAATTTGATTTGTTCAGCTCTATGAAGTGTCACCTTTTCATTCCAATTCATTAATTACTGTTTCAACATTTAAAATACTGGATTGTTATTCAAGTAACCGGAAGTAAGACCATCAAGATCTATCTAGTCCATAAATTAAATAAGTACTATTTGTAAAACTGGTTTTTCATTCAATCTATTTAAATCATCAATTTTGTATCCTGTTCTATCGAGTCTCTCGTTCAATTGTTCTTCAATTGTCAATGGAGGATTAATCAATGGTTTGCCATTTAGATAGAGACTTCTCTCCATTTTCATTTTATTTATATAAATTTTATTGTTTAATGTGTATGGTGAAACTTTAACAATCTATGTTATATAAAATCATTTCTAGGGTTGTTACCAATAATAATTTTGATATTACTACTATTGATATTTTTGAGGATACTATTGGTATTATTATTGGTAATCATAATATTGATATTGATAATAAGGATAGTATTATTGTTGATTGCGTTACTGCTGCATCTAATATTTGTATTATCTCAACGCTTATTCTCTCTCGTCAATTACTGTGAAATCATTCAAAATGCTTTTTTTATCTGAAAATTCTTCAAATATTTTCATCATCTCCTTCCCAGTTTCCCAACTCAGACATACGCCATCTCTCGATCTAGTCACCTCTACGTTATCACTATTCACAGTTATGATTAATTCTAACCTGTTTCTCAGATGCTCAAAATGTTTATTTGGCACATCCTTTACATACAACCATTACACGTTGAAATGTCCCTTCCATTTCTTTATCTCCCACCAATATTGGAAGCTCTCCTCTTTATATCCAGATGTCAACTTGGCCACTCCAACAAATTGCCCACTTCTAACTACGCTGAAAAACAAATAAACTGGAATTTCATCCTATTGAGCCTCCAAATACTTTGCATTCAACTTCTCATTGTTTTCTTTGCTTGATGTCCAAATTCCATATTTTATAGACTATTTTCTAATATTTGTATTTATTACCTTATGAATATCATCATCATTGTTACTACGAAGTATGTATGAATATGCATTAGTAGCATCTGCCAAATGTCTTTCACTCTAATTTATTTACTTCAAAGCAGGTATCAATTTAGATGCCTACTCTAAATTTGTATAATCTTAGCATGAAATGTATGGAACTTTTAAATCTCGTTTATTTCTAACATATGGTTCATAATGATTGTTCATTAATTTTTTAATCAAAATTAAATAATAATAATAACCAACATATTCATTTGCAATTTCTTAATTATTATTTTAATTATCACTCATTGTATTAACTCTTTGAATGTATTTTCTTATAATCCAATTGATAGTTGAAAAAATAAAAATATTTTAATAATGTACATAAATGTCAATAAATAAATAAAAAAAACAAAAGAGTTCAATAACTATTTGCAATCGATTGTAGAGTATTAAGCATGTGCTCATATTGATATTTTAAGTCACGAGAACTTAATAGAAATTGTTCACTATTCTGCTTTAATTCATCATACTTATCCTCCAATAATATGTACTTATCCTCTTAAGATTAGATTTGTTCTTACTAAGCTTTATAATCTACTCATATCTAAAGAGGATATAATCATATTTAATACTTAATCAAAATATTTGTATTTGTCTCACTCATTTCATTGTTTATATTCTTCTATTAATCCAATTCGGTCTTTGAGAATTCCTTATCAGATTCAAATTATTTTAACTTATATAATAATTGCTGATTTAATTCTTATAATTTTGATGCATACTTCTGATTCTCTTTTAATTAGCTATTGCATTCAATATATCTTCTCTCCCATTCCTTACATTATTTCTTGATTTCCTAAAACCCCTCATTATAAACTTCTTTATTTGGAGGAGTATTTGATTTATGAGTAGTTTTTTGGAGAGAATCAATTTACTTTTACTTTTTAGCCAAATCAATCTCCAAATTTTATATAATGACATTTTTATCTTTCACTTCTTTTTCTAAACATTTCAATGCTTCTCTTGTACCCAATAGACGCATTTCCAAAGAGTTAATTTATTTATTTTTTTAGTCTACATTTTTTTATGATTGCCTATTACTTTAAATATCGACAATACTACTACTATTTTTCTCCAAATAATTGTTTATGGAATCTTAAATGTTATCTATTACCGATTCTAATAAAAAATTCAAAAATATTTTACCTGGCTTTTATGGAGACTCCATCAATCTATGTGGCTCAATGCGATTGGGTTATTCTTCATCTGTTTCTTCATCTATTTTACTTAGATCCCCTTTTTCACTTCTAAAATTTGGATTATTATCCTCATCAGGATCTTCAAGTTCTTTCTCTACTCTTTGTCTCTTTTAACTTAGAAAAGGTTGGGAATTATTATTTACTTTAAGAGATTCTACAATTCCTATTCCAAAATCCTATTTTCTTCTTCAATCTATTTCAAAAAATTAGAATTCATTTTTAATTTAATTTTTGTAAAACATTAATAGCATTATCAATCTAATTTAATATAACTTCCACTGGAGGTTCTCCAATAATAATTTAAGAATTCTGTTTATACAGTGTATCTTTAATGGATCTATTAATTAAATATCTATATTATATACTATTTTCAATCCTTCACATTCATAGATATTACTTATGAGTTTCTAATAGTCTTTGGAGGTGTCGAATTCTTGGCTAACAACTCTCAAATCATTCCAGATGTTTGTCAACAACAATACAAAATGCCATAACCCATTCCTTGTAGTATTAATAGGAGTAAAAATAGATTTGTCTGGGTAAGTTAACACATAAATGTTCTATGATAAGAATATCAATTACAATAGGTTATCCCAGTTTCTGTAATTCAGTAATCATTTATCTTGGTGGTGATAACACTCCTAATTGATTGGTCTAACAACCCTATAAATATGTGTATATAATAGAAAATACTTCAAAGAACAATAAAGTTGGTTTATCTTAATATATCACTTAATTTAAGTATACTCCAGTTCCTGTTTATACAGTAGTAATTGAAAACAAATTCTTAAGTACTTAATTTAAGGATAGCATTTGATATCTGATTTCGTCGCCATTTTCTACAAATGTTGCAAAGTTTGGTGATGATTAAGCTAAGAAATATATCCAATCTATTGGGCTAGAATGATTTGATAAAATGAGTTATCCACCCTTATCTTGAATTGGAATCTAATTCTCGATGTTAACAAATCCACATGTAAACAACATCAATTTACCAATCAATTAATTTAGAGAGTCTACTTTCAAAGCATTCAATGTTTTTAATAATAGGATCAAAATGGCCAATAGAGGAATTCTAATCAAAATTAATAAGGATCCTAGAATCTAAATAGTATAATGACATAACATTACTATGTGGATTAAAAGGATAAGGGGGGATATTTTTTAATTAACAAAGGCTGGCACAAAGAGATTGATTCCTGTATGTGAATCAGCATAAGCTCTAAATTTTTCCATTAAATTAGAAATAATTTTATAATATAAAAGAAAAAAGAAATTGATTCATTTAACTTAAAATTCGCTATTATTTTGCCTTGGTCTTCCTTCATATTTGTAAGCCTGGACGACTAAAGAGGATTATCTTTTATCAAATTTGTGTTCGTTCAATTTTTACTTTAATGATATGAGAACTTATTGTTTCTTTTTGTATTTTTGCAAAATCAATTGTTTTTTGGTTATTCCATAATTGCCCTCTTCGTTTATAATTTTTAATAATGCCATCTGACTTTAGACTGACTCTTTAGTTTGTGCAATTTGTTATTGTAAATCAGAGATTTCTTTTTATTTGCTAATAATTTCTAGAGTGTTTTAAATAAAAGTATACTTTGTTGTTGATAGACTCTAGATTTTTAAGCCTACAATTATTGGAATTTATTAATGAGTTATTTGATTTCATTCATTTGTTGTTTAATGGTGTGAACTTCGAATTCATTACCAATCTAATATTCTGAATTGATGATGTTACTATTATTATGCTTTTATTTGGTTAGAAACTATTGCATTAATTGCACACTTCCTACGGTGGGTGATGCAATTCGTTATTGTTTGAGTTTAACTTCTAATTGAGAAAATAGGTATTATAATTATTCTTGACATTTTTGTATTTTGTTATTTTGGTTGAATTGGAAAGTGAGACGAAGAGTGCCTGTAATTTATTTCTTATCTGAGAAGCTGTACCACTCATTCAGATTGTTGGATTGCAATTCTCTCAAATCCAAGGAGAGTGAACCTATGGCCATGTTTTAGTCATTGACTATAATTTCGATGCCACTCATGCTCAATTGAAATGATTGATTCCATTTGGGATTCAAGTTTTCATTAGATTTAGTCTCTGAAGTGAATATTTGATTGCCTTACAAAATTTTAATGCATCTATTTAATGTTTTTAAGTTACATCAGCGCATTACGCTTTTAGTATGATATAAATCTCGCTTCATGTAATAATAATAACACTGTTGAATAATTATTTTATTCAAAATAGTTAGAGAATGATGTTTCTCTAAACATGAAATTTAATTTTATTTAATTTTAATGAAATAGTTAGACTCTCGTTTGCCATCTGCAATTCACAGTAGACGAATTCTCACTCAATTCACTTCAGCATTAGATATCTGCAGAATCAATTTGAAATCTCGTTCTGAAGTCCGATGCAAAACAGATGCAACAATACTGAAAACAGAAGGAACAATACTAAAAACCGAACATGGCACATGCACTACCGAAGACGAGTTTTTGCCCATATTCGGCAGCGTAGACTTGTGGTCTATTTTGGGTTAGAAGGATTTCTACTTCACCCAATCCCCAAAAGAAATCAAATTACTGTAACAAGCTGAAACTGAAATAAACTTAACTTATATGGACATTCAAACCATGATCGCTGAAATAGAGAGTGGGCACATCACAACAAAAGGATAAATATGCTTCAAATAAACTTAGTTCTTTAGATAAACTAAATTACTCTACATAACTTCAAAGTAGAGTTAATAATGTATATACATTTGTTTGATATAAGGAATGTAATCAAATATGGAGGTATAATTAAATTTTAAAAATTTCTTGCTAAATATCTGGAGATGTGAAACAAAGAAGTTGTGTGCTGGTTGCTATTTTGAAAATATTCACATCTTGGTTTGGGATTATTTGAGACAGTAGACTTGGATATTATCTGGATAAGATCTTGATTTACAACATACACGTTCATGTTAAAATTTCAACAATACTACCACCTAATATAGAGGCAAGAAAGTAAAGAGAATTCTATTTCACAATAATGAAAATTAAATGAAGATGAAAAGCACTTCTTTAAAACAATCCTTCCATCAACCTAAGTTGGTAATAGAAGATAAAATTGATTTTGTTATGGATTTCATCAAACCAATTATCTAGGAGAAAGATCGAATAAATGAGGTGGTTGTTCTCAAAAAAAGTTTACTAAGACCAAAATCATGTGTCGATAGAGCCAAACGGAAGAATTAAAATTTGATAACAAAAATCTTCACTCCAAAGGCAAATTAAATTAGTATTAAAAATAATATTTATAAATGATTTCGCTTCCTTCATTCATCAAACATCAATTTGGGATTCCTGAAAAACTCTTAAAACAAAGATCGAAGATGATCATAGACACAGATTCTGGTGGCGATGACATTCATGCTTTGTTGACAGCCTTCGATTTGGCAACCAAAAAGAATATAGAAATCATTGGAATCACTTGCATCAAGTATCATTAATTTCTAATCAAAATAGTGGAAACTCCTATATTGATGATGGAATCAAAAACATTTCCATAGTTTAAAAAATAGCTGGAGTGACTATCCCCATTTATAAGGGATGTGATAGAAACTTGAAATAATAAATCACATTAAGTTCTAAATTTTTTGGTGATGATGGATTAAGTGGCCATCAAGAAAGATATCTCAAAGAGTTAAATATATCCTAATATCCAATCCAGCCTGAACATGCAGTTGATTTCTTGATAGAAAGTGCTGTTAAATACAAGGAAGAATTAGTAGTCATATGTCTGGGCGCATTGACAAATGTAGCATGTGCTATGATGAAGACTGCAGACTTCGAAGAAAACGTAGGACAAATAATTAGTCTGTGTGGTAACATTTTAGGATTAGGATTCATGAATGATGGCGTGGCTGAATATAATGTTCACACAGATCCAGAGGCTGCTCACCTTGTCTTTAAGGTCCTAGCTAAGAAGCTCATCGTCATACCTTATGAAGGAGTCATCTCAGTATCTGAATTCACGGTAAACTTAACAATTAACCTTAGATTACAAAAGTTTTTGAATAAGATACAACAATCAAAGGCAAATTCATTAAAGAGATTTACGAAGGAATGAAAAATGCCAATAACAGATATGATATTCAAGATCCATTATGCATACTAGTAGCCACCATGCCAGACATTATCACTGAATACGTTGAAAGACCTTGTAATGTTATTTTGGAAGGAGAAGGAAGAGGAATGGTTTCAGTAAAATGGTTAGAAAAAGATCCAAAAGCAAGTATTAAATATAATCATTAACCCATTAGATTAAGTGACCTTCATCTTAAAAGTAAACGAGAATCAATTAATCTAAACTCTAAGCAATGTTGTAAATTGATTCACCCATACACATTAAAAAAATAAATAAATAATCTTTATTATTTTCTTTAGCATTCTTAAATAATGTCCAATCAAAATTCAGACTTCTTTATCTCCAGTAACTTCAGACATGAAATTAACTATATGTTTATAAGTTTATAAAAATTTAATTTCTCCATTATTATACTAAATTGATTATTATTATTCGTTAAATTTTATTCTTCTTTTATGCAATTTCTAAGCACTGTAAAACTGAATTAAGAAACAGATTCCAATTCAAAAATAACAACTTTAGAAAGTAACAACTGATTTTAACATAGATAATATCAACAAAATCATCACTGAATAGGATGGATTAATTACATAGATTAAATTATTCGAAGGTGTTCAAGAATTAATCAACTCATTAGAACAAAGAATAGATGATTCTGAAAATTGTGGAAAAGTCAAATCATATAATAAAAATAATTCTCAATTATCACATCAAATTAAATTGCTTGAATCGAGAATGATTGAAATGGACAATTAGATTTTGAATTCCAAAACATAACCTAGACGACCTGAAATACTCTAAATTGAAAACTCATTTAAAAAAAATCTGAATTCTGTTAAACAAGAAGTGCAATAAGAATACAAAAATATTTATAAAGTAGACTTTTTATTTAAATTAGGAAATGAATGGATTAAGATGTGACTTAGATTATGTAATTAATAGTTAAGTGAAGTAAAAGATTACTAATAAAATTAAGACCCAAAATATTAATCTAGAAAATAATAAACTATTGCTTATAAATTTATTAGAATTAGAAACCTTTATTGAAGAACTTGATTTATATGAAAATCAAAACACCAAAAGATTTCTTGAGGAATTAATTGCTTGTGATTCAGAAAAGGCTAGATCTCTCAATTATTAATTGGCTGGAACTAAAAGAAAATATTTGAGTGAAATTAAAAAAATAGAGCATAAATTTAAGATCCTTGCTGATTTGGTACAAGTGTAATCACCTTAAGAAAAATATACTATATAATTAAACAACCAAATGAATCTCATAGTTTAGAGATTGCATAAAAATATTGATATGTTACTCTTAAAAATTAGTGAATAATTACGCTGAAATATAAATCACTCCTAATATTTCTCTATTAATTATTACTATGTACTTATTATTTCTAGTAATTAATACATAGTCTCTTCTATAGGCAATTCTACAACCAACTGTTTATAATCATGATATTTCTTTTTCTTCTGCATTCTTATAATTGCAATTATTAAAATTACAATTTTCTTTAATGTAGTTTTCTATTCATTATGAGATGGATCTGATTATAGAATTTAATGATTTAAGTTTCTGATTCTAAAAATATAAATAATAAAGGATTCAACAATTTAGTTTAGAAAGATATTTATCGATTAGATTTTAATAAACTTACTTGTTCTAAGTATATCCTATTTAAGATTGTTTTGATAAAAATTATTTTAGCTATTCTTCTTACTGCATTATATAGTATTATTTACATTATTATTATGGTAGTACTGGTTTTAAGAATTATTACTTAATAATAAATTGTCTTATGTTGAAATGTTAAATTAATATTGAAATTTTATTTGTTATTCTAACATCTGATTATATTTAGTTATTAATGAATCAAATTGTTTAATGAGTCTATTGTATTTCTATTAATTATTGACATCTAGATTAATGTCGTGATACTCTTTTATTAAATGAACTAATTGATTAGTCTCATTATTTATGTAGGTTAGATGAGCACAATAATCATTCAAGAATCTTGTGATAATTGTTTGTATTTCGTTTTTATTTGATAGATCTATTTGTTATGTTTTATTTATAATGTCCTCTTCCAAAATATTTTATTATTAATTTACAAATTATTGGTTTTATTGAAATTGCAATAATAAATTTTATTTTTCAGACCCTAAAAATATATTATCCTTATGCAAATCATTAACTTACTTTTATAAGATAGTGATCGTGTTCTCTTAGTCTATAATTTATTTTTTTCTTATTTTTGATCTTTCATGATATTTATTGGCTAAGCCTATCAGTTTTTCCCTTTCAATTTTCAACTTATTTAAATCGTCTAGACTTAATGAATAGTCCTAATTCTTGTTTTGCACAGTAGATTCATAGTTAATTATTCTGCCTTTCAAAATCTCGTATTCTTTGGCTAAATCAGAATATTATAATTTTAGCTGAGTGTTTTATTGTGTCAATTAGGAACTAATCTAAATGAGGTATTTAATTCTTTTTTCTAAAGAAGTAACCTTGATTTTATATTCTTATTCTTAAAACACTTGTCTTTTTTAAAGCATTTAAATAATCTGATTGAAATATTGATCATGCTAATTATGTTCATTAGAGTAAAAATGCTCAGCCGATTCCATTTAAGTAAAAACTGTATTACTCTTTTCTCTATTTGAAGGTGATTTTTATGGTTATGATTAATATTATTTCATTAAATAAATAGATAAATTGGGTGCTCTAAAGTAGAATCAAATCAATTCCAATTAAATTAATGATAGCAATAAACAGTACAATAGATGAATTCAGGATTAGAGAGATCATGCAATGGGTCATTGATTTTAAGAAATGATTTAGTTAAGAACAGAATAATATATATTGATTAAATAAAATAAATGATTGGCAAATAAATCTTTCGTGCATTTTCATCGACCACAGCTCCTTATGTGTGGGTTAACAAACATACGAAGGTGATCTGTTAAGGTATCACTGGTAATTAGGTATTGCTTGATATTAAATAATAATAGGGTACCTTCTAAACAGAATAAGCATTAAACTATTTCACAAAGATGGTTGGTGGAGTGTCACCTAAGAGTAAGAATTGAAACAATAAAATAGAGGCTGGAAGCACTCATCTAGGATTACCTGTATTCAAGAATTGTCAAGAAGCCAAACAAAACACAGGATGTGATGCCTCAGTTATTTATGTTCCTCCTCCTACAGCTGCTTCAGCTATCATTGAAGCTATCGAAGCCTAAATTGGTTTGGTGGTAATTTTACTATTTGTATGTAAAAGGTTGTTATTACAGATGGAATCCCATAACATGATATGATTAAAGTGAAGCATGCATTGAGATCTTAATCAGTCACTCGTGTCATTGGTGTATGTTCATATTGTTTATAATTTAGCCTAATTGTCCAGGAATCATTAAACCAAATGAATGCAAAATTGGTATCATGCCTGGATACATTCATTAAAATGGAAAAATTGGTATTGTCTCCAGATCTGGTACTCTCACTTATGAGGCTGTTGATTAAACAACAAGAGCTGGATTAGGTTAATCAACTGTTGTTGGAATTGGTGGTGATCCATTCAATGGAACCAATTTTATTGATGTTTTAGAAAGATTCATGGTTGATCCAGAAACAGAAGGTATAAAATCAGAAATATATTCATTTTAGGAATTGTTATGATCGGAGAAATTGGTGGTGAAAATGAAGAAATGGCAGCTGAATGGATCAAGTAAAATAATCCCAAAAATAAACCAGTTGTTGGTTTCATTGCTGGTATCACTGCACCCCCTGAAAGAAGAATGGGACATGCAGGAGCTATTGTATCTAGTAATATTACTATTTTATTCATTCTTTAGAGGGAAAGGGAAGTGCCCCAGAAAAAATTAGAGCTCTTGAATAAGCAGGAATCAGAGTTGTGAAATCACCTGCTTAAATTGGTAAAACTATGTTGGAAGTTATGAAAGAAAGAGGATTGGCATGAGTATCATTTAATTTTATCAATATTATTTATTAATTCATTATTTAACTATTTTTATTAATCTTATTCATCTTTTGTTTTTAAAGGATGTGTAGTTTATCTTTGATTTATTATTGTAATTTCTATACTATTCTATTTTATTATTAATTAAATTCAATAAAAGATCAATAAGCAATGAATTGATTAATAATATTAATATTGATGATTTTAGTTCTTCATTTGTTAGATATTTTATAATTCTCTCATAATCATAATCTCAATATATTTCAGAACTCCCAATTCTTAGATTTAAGCCTTAAAAAATTAATTTAATTTTAATTTGTATAATGAATTAATAGTTTAGAATACTTGATTTGATTAACTTCTCTTATTCATGACTAGTTATGATCATCTTCATTATTCACCTATTAGTTCTTTATTTTATAAATAATTTGTAATCTTTTTCTTTCACTGTAAAATTAGTATATAGTTATTATTTATGTTGACTTATATAAATCCTATAAGTATAGTATTGAGATGAAGTGAATATCTCAAAGAATCAATCATTAAATATACACAAATTTTTGTGACCATTCAACGAATTGGCTCTTCTAAAATATTTCTTACTAAATCTTTTATTATAAGATTCATGGTTGAGTTTGTAATGATTATGACATCGATAAGATTAGACACTCTGAATTTATCGTACTCAAGATTGATATGAAACCTGTCAGAAACCTTCAAATTTCTAAAAAACTATTTTAATATAAGCATAATATTCTGAAATATAATGGCAAAGAAATATATCGAAAATAGATTGTGAAAAAATTATAAAAATTATTAAGAGATGGAGAATTATTATTATGATTTTATTTGAATATATTAAATAAAAGAAAAAATGGCGCATATAATTATTATTCAACACTATATAAATGAATTTTTTAAGAAAAATTTGATTGGTTAATTTTGGCATCATTTGGATTTTGATCCAATATACAACCTCCAGTTTTTAATTGTAATAATTATAATTCAAAATAAATATAAAATGGCTGGAAAATCAGGAAAAGGTATTGGAAAAGTTAGTGCTAAAAGACACGCTAGAAAGCCAAACAAGGCTTCAATTGAAGGAATCACAAAACCCGCTATCAGAAGATTAGCTAGAAGAGGAGGAGTCAAAAGAATTTCATCATTCCTCTATGATGACTCAAGAAATGTTTTAAAGAGCTTTTTGGAGAACGTCGTCAGAGATGCCATTACATACACTGAGCATGCTAGAAGAAAGACTGTCACTGTTATGGACGTCGTTTACTCATTAAAGAGATAAGGAAGAACCCTCTATGGATTTGGTGCATGAGTCTTATTTTCATTCAGGATTAATTAATTTACCTTAACTTCCTTTTTAAACATGGTTCTTTTCTTAAAAATACTTTTCTCTCATTTTATTTTAAGCTAACCAATTTTTAATTTATTACTATTTATTGAGCTTAATAAAATTGCTTAAATAATGACTATCATTATAACCATTCTTCCCATCAACTGTTCATCTCTCCCAAACTTTGATTTCTTGACGCTTCATTGAGTAATTCAAAATTTTAAGAGCCAAATAAAGCTTACTTTTTATTGGCTAGATTAAATTAAATTGGATTAATTAAACATAAACCAATCCTTTGTAGAAGTAGGAAAATCTAATTTGTATCGAATCTGAGATATCTCCTCATATAAAGTAGAATACTTTATATTTTTCATATTTTTCTACGCTATTATGACAATTACTTGAAAATGTACATTAATAATTTGAAAGTTAAATCTGTAAAACATTGGAAAACAACATAATGAAGCTAGATAGGATTATTGATGACAGTAAAATTTTAATAAATGAATAGATGTGAGTGAGTGATTAATATAGAAAGTAAAAGAGAAAATAGAGATTTTAAAATTTATATATTATTTTTGACTACTAGTTAGGTATAAATTAAATGAATTTTATTAATTAGTTTATTGCAATTTCATCCCTTCTTATTTATATTGAAAAGCTAATGAGTTATGTTAAATTTGGATGGAAAAATTAAAGGAGATGGTGTTTAGAACAATATAGGTTTTAGAAGAATTTATTGAAATTTAATATATTGTGTGAAAGTACTTAGAAAAAACAAAAAATTTATTTTTAATTAAATCTTTTTCAAAATGAAAACTCACGTCGAAGTTTCAAGTTAAAGAAGAAAGGGCAGAAGAGCCCAATTGGGAGCACCATCAAACCTGAGATATAAATTAATGAGTGCTCATCTTTCAAAGGATTTAAGAAAGAAATACAATGTTAGAGCATTACCTGTTAGAAAGGATGATGAAGTCACAGTTGTTAGGGGCACACATAAGGGTACAAAGGGTAAAGTTTCATCGGTTTACAGAAAGAGGTGGACTATTTAAATCGAGAAACTCACAAGAACAAAAGCCAATGGTAAATTAATAATTGTTATTGTAGGAATGCCATACTAAATCCCAATCAGAGCATCATAATGCATCATCACAAAACCCTACCTCAATGAAGACAGAAAATAATTGTTAGCAAGAAAGGCATCAGCCAAAGTTTCAACAAAAGGAAAGGGTGAGAAACATACCACTGAAAGCACTAAGAAAGCTGATTGATTTATTAAATATAGAAGTACATTAGAAATATTGTTTGTTGGCCACATATAATTAAATAAAGTAACACACATAAGTTTAGATCATTATTCATCATCTTCTAACTAAAATCCATTAAATTTTTTTAAATTTTCCAAATTTGGAAAATGCTTCTCAAAGTTTTTGGCTAGATTCAAGACCTTAGCTGCAGTTTCTATCAGTTAATCTTGATCAACTTATATGATTTAAGCCACATCTTTAATCTAATGTTTAATACAAAATTATACTTAACTATCAGCATTAAAACTAGAATCTAATTGTTCTATGATTTTAAAGGCGACAAAAATTAAGGCAGCAGCCAACAAAGTGTAATTAGTTTTACCGCAAATTTCATAATCATACAGTACCATTTTAGAGAGATATAAACAAAGTTTTTTGAGATATTTGTAATGTTTCTCTTGTAATCTATTTTCAACAATACAATTTGTTAGTATTAGATTATACATATCATAGAGAGTACCACCACCCAGATCAAAACCAATAGTTTACAACATATCACTCTCTTTCTTCTTAATTTGATCAGTTGATAACTTTTTATGGGCAATTTTATCATGAACAACAGACAATTTCATTGGATGAATTTCTTCATATTTTGCAGCAATAAACATTGAAGTCACTCCACAAAGATGCAAATCTGATATTTCTAATTGTTTTTCACATTTTGAGAAGTAATAGTCCAAAGTTCTTACTGCCACAAAGAATGTTTAATCTGTGCATTTATATGAACATAGAACTTCAACCATCCAATCAATCATTTTAGCTCTCAAATTACTTGGAATAGAGTGATTCTTTAACCATTCTAAGGGTGTCGATTTTCTCTAATGAAATTGCAATCATAAATACTTCTTGTTCTTTTAAATAGAAAAATATTTCATCTGTATACTATTTTTGAAGATTCTTATTCTCCTCAATGGTATGATCGAATTTATGCTTAATTGTAATTGTTGATAATTCTTGGGGGAGAGTATAGAGCTTAGTCATAAGTCCTTTATGTTGAGGCATGTTTTCCTTATCATCCAAGACATCCTGATTGAGAGATCGTTTTACTCTCTCTTAATTGAATGCCTTCTTCCTCAAATCATAATTACTGTTGAGCATTGATTTATTAATTTATTATGTGTCTTGATTGCAATAATGTTTAATTTTTACCTTCATTATACAATTGAGTCAAATTCCTTCTGACTGGATCTTTGTTTTCAATTTAAGTTTTAGTTACTTTTCTGAATGGTTACTATAATTGATTTTCTGGTATTCCACTTAGTGATCTGTTGTATTTAATTTCCATAATTTATTCGTTAAAATAATTAACGTCGCGCAAAATTAATAATAAAATAAATCTCAAGTATTTTATAAATAATAATAAAATTTTGATTTTTGACATCTATTTTATTAATTGACGCTAGAAGTGAAAACATTCATCAAAATACTCTTAATCCATTCTATTATTGAGGATCGAAGGTTTGGACTTAGCATAAATTAAAAAATGAAATTGCATCATATATATAAAAATTATAATAACAAATAACTTTATGTTCAAATTTTTTGTTTTATTTATTTGTTCCTACTCTGGGAATATAGTAATTGACATAGATGTAGATGTGAATTTCAGTGAAGATGGAAATTTGTTAGAATTAGTAAGAGAAGAATATCTTATCACATAAAAAATTAGCAACGCAACTTTCTATCTGACAGTAAGTGAAGAAGATATTGCCAAATATATATTTTTAGAGTAAGCTAATACAAATAACCTAGAATTAATTTTTAATATCCGAAGAATGGAGATGTCAATTTCATTACAACTGCAGGAAATAATAAATTGACAAGCTTATAAAATTCTACTATCATGGCTGACTATGCTGACTATAATGCTTACTATTTGCATAAAAATTATCATTCTATTGTAATTCCTGCCCACCATTTCAAATTAAATGACACTTTATACATAACAAATTTAATAAGAAATGATCGACGCATTTATTAATATATCCTTAAAATAAGAAAACTAGTTGAGTAACCTTGCCCTAAAAATTGTTCTTCACCTTTTGGAACTTGTATTAATGGGATATGTTAATGCAATTTTAATAAAATAGACTTAGATTGCTCCATAGATGCAATTGCTTTAAATTTGGATTAACCCCTTGATAATTTTACATTACAAGGATCATCCTACTTTTATTTTTAATAAGAAACAAAATTAGAAAAAATTTAGTTCAGCTTTGGATTCTAAGGGAATTTTTATCAAGATAATGTGAAAGTGTCATTATCTTACATGTTCGAAAATTTTATATATGGTGTTCCTATTTAAATTAATGAAACCTGTACTTTATCCAAAGAAGCGATGAAAATAAGTAGGATAATTGACATCTCAAACTTAACTTATAATGCAAATTTATAGAGGTACTTATATTAATGATCTAGATTCAATCGTCTACTTCTCAAAATAACTACTAATTAGGAATCATTATTGTAATTTGAGATCTCCGAAAAGCCTTCAGATAATAGTTATAATGACGCAATCTAAATTCTAATTACTATCTTAATTTCTTTGGCTTGTGCATTCCTTACTCTAATTGTTGGATGTGCCATTTAAAAATGTAGGGCTAAAAGGCACAGAATTATCTCAGTGATACCATAAATCTTATCAGAATCTTAACCTTATCTAACATTAGAAATATTACAACAATGCTTGTAGTAAGCTTAGAAAGGAAATAATTAATGCTCGATTTGTTAAGATTAAAATAATAACATGATATAAACTCCTTGCTTTCATACATATCATGCATAATGCTTATTGAATTGGTTCAATAACAATTAATCCTATTCTTGTCCTAATTGTAGATAAGTAGTCGATTTTGAAAAAATTAAGCTGGAGCAGACAAAATCTATAATTTTTTCAAGAAATATAAATCCCTCGATTAATTAATCTTCTATCAATTTGAATCAAGAATAAGCTCAAAATTGAGTATATTTTTTTCTTGTAAATTTTTACAAATTTATAAAGATTATTTAATGAAATATATATGTAAACATTTATATTTATTTAAAACAAAATGTAAATATATTTATAGGCTATTGAGATGATATTAAATTTAATATTATTTTTATTAGATTATATAATTGTAGACGGAATCATATCAGACAAGACTCTACAAAGCAAATTACCTGTAGTGAAATTAATTGTCAATCTATGCCAAATAAATATTCATCATATTTGATACAAGAGTATAGAGAGAAGAACGAGGCCTGAATTATATAGAAAAACATCGGAATAAAAGGTTGCATAAGAAATCTCAAATATTAAAGTTACTTAAAATAATAACTATCAATTGATAACTTTTAGGTCTATGAATTCATGTTTAAATAATTATGTTGTGCTTTAACTCTCCTGATATTAAGGTAAGTACTAGATGATTGCAAAATTTGCTTACTCGTGAAAAAAAAATATCGTTATATTTTAGGACTAAATTATACATATTTACATAAATTATTACGTTAAATTACATTGTTACTCATCTCTGTTTATGTTCATTTTTAATATTCAACTATTATTTTAACATTTTAATAATTAATCTAATCTTCAATTATGCTGTGATTATTCTATAAATCTAAATAAAAATTAATTAGGATAATATATGATATTAATAATTAAAATTATAAAGTCAATAATCATTTTTTATCTAACAGTGTATGAAATAAGGTGAATTTTAATAATCAGAAACTACATAAAATACTTAAGAATGCACGAATTTCACAAATAAGAATGACTCATCACAACAATTAAATTTTGGAGATTCACAAAATTTATATACCTGGGATTAATAATCTGATGAGTCTTTCGAATTAGTAATACTAAGCAATCAACACCCTGAAAACGAGTGGATAAAGAAAGAGTAAGTAATAGTAGTATACTTAAAATAATTGGGGATACAAATGAAAACAGACCCTTTAGAAAAGCAAGAGAAGTTTTATAAAAAACCTAAAAGAAGATTCAATAAATCCAGCACAATGACGTTTGATACCATACCAAATAATAATGAAGAAAGTGACAATAAGGAAGACACCCAACTTTGTATTCGATAAATGAGTATAGAAATGAATTCAATCAAATAAAGAAGAACTCCAAATTCAACTCCTTAAAGTTCCCCATTGATCACTAAAATCTAAGAGAAATAAGTACCTCTAAAATAATAAAAAATGTCAATCTTTTAGAAAATGAAAGGTTAATAATAAGCATTCTCTTCTGACGAAGAAGAAATTAAAGAAAATATGAAAAGAAATCAACATCAAATAAGTAACGAATATTGCGATGGGAAAAGTGACTCTAGTTAAAATAATATTGAGCAGCACTATTTCTAAAATTTATGCGAATGATATATATATAGTAACTATATCATTTTATTCCTGCTTATTAGAGTTTTTACATTAACTATTATATTTTACTATCCTTTAATTTTACAAGTTATTCTAATTTTTATATTTTAAGTTCTAGAATCTCAATTGTTTCCTTCTAATCCTAGAATAATCAAATCTTTCTCATTTTATTTGTTATTGGGTGCCTATTTGTTATTAACCTTATTTTAATTTTGCTAAACTTCAATGGTTTTCTCCTATTGATGAATCTAATTTTGTTCCTTGTTGTCCAAAAACATTGATATTTTGACTTAAACAACCTTGAGAATTCTTTCGACTGCTTCAGGTACAACTGCAATAACTGCATCGATATCTTTTTAAGTAATTTAGAAGCCCATCTTCCTAAAGACCTATTATTTGATTGTTACAATTACTTTTGTATTCAAAGTATTCCAATTGTATTATTTTTGTTAAACAGAATGAGCCAAACTATAATTATGGATATCCACTATTCTGGGTATGTAATGTTAAACTATTTCAGCCATCAAGACTCCATCTGCAAAATCTCTTCCGATGTGTCTTTTAGGTCTCGATAAAGGTATAGTATCAACCCAATTGTAAATTTCGTTTAATTCATCCTCATTCAAAGGAGGAGCATCCATATCCCTGTGTGTCATTTTTGATTTGATATAATTTAAAATTTATTATGCAACTAACTAATTTTATAATAAATAGAGAACACAAAACCCTATAATCAACTATTTAGAGAATTCTAAGATTTATTCAGCTTCTACAAATTTGTTTTCAGGCATTACCTAGAAATAAATGATTGATGCTTACGAATTCACTTCTTCCAATCTAATAAGTTATTTTATTCTTTTGGCAAACCCAGCATCATTTTTTTCTCTTAATTTTTTAGTCAATTGGTTTGATTGATCATATAAAACATCAAGGTTTACTTCATATATAGATTAAAGTGATTAATCATCTGAAATCTCATCAGCCTATCTTTCAGTTTACACCCTTTTCTATGCCTCCAAAGATCCGTGTTAACGAAATTTCAATTTTCGATTTTTTAATTGATTTAAATGTGTATCTAATTATTCGTTTAACTGCTATTCATGTTCGCTTTCAACCATGGTATGGAATTTCTAAGTCATCTCTTTAACCCTAAAATAAATAGCAATAGTACTGCTTATTCAAAGTATAGATATTTCTATTGTGAATATAATCGTATAACTTAACATCAAAGTTTGTGATTAACCCCTTTGAGTTTTTCGAGTTTTTATTACCCTCTACCTACTAGGTAAACAGATAAAAAGGTTTCTTAGTAATTACATATTACTTTCTTTTTCTCGGATCAGATATGGAATCCTTCAGTTAACATACTGATTGATATTAATTACGGTGATGCTTGGGACTGGCTACTACAACATCTAATGCACAATCAGCTGACATCTTTGAATTAGTTTAGAATATTTGATCTTATTGTTACTTAATTAAGAGTGGAGACTAGGATTTTGAATTTTAATTGCTTTTTATTTTGGATTTTCTTAATTCAGATTAAAATTTAATATTCTGTTATTCCAAAAGTTTTCTGACTTGATTTAAAGCTAACTTAAATTAAATTTATTTTTGTTATTCTAATTCCATTAAGTAATCTTTGGAATATTAGTTCATTTGATTCTTCAACATTCCCAAAGAAGGGTAATCAAATTTATCAAAATGCTTTTCCTGATGTTTGATGATTGGTTACACATTGTCATAATTCACCAATAATTATTTTAGTTTACGTTGACATGGTACTAATTTTTTATAATATTAAGCATCATCTTTAAGTTCATCTTGCTGTTACTGTATATGTTAATTATAATCGTTAGTGATGTCAAAAAATGTCTTGATAAAATGAATATTTCTAATTTCTTCCTCTCTTTGCTCTTTATTTAAGGATTTCCTCAAATCGATCTATAAAATTACAATTTACAAGTACTCTTTATTAAACGAAGTCTCTTAAAACCTGAATCTTTTTGTTTATTTTGGTTTTAAAAATGTCCAATAATTTTCCAGCTTCAGTAAATCTCCTTTAATCAACCATACGTATTTGATGTGCTTTGAGTTATCTGGTTGAACTATTGATATCTAATAAAGGAGTTTAGTCAGTAGTAGTTTTAGTTGATCCATGATTCTTAAACTTTTTGATCTTCTGCACAATCGACAGTTTTCTCTGAAGACTTTTTGAATCCTCAACTTATTTCTATTTTAGAATATATCAAATAGACGTACAGCATGAACGTGAGGAAAGTTGATGGCCTTCATTAATTATTGAATTGATTGTTCCCCTTCAAGATATTTATAGAACTCCAGCTTGAATTGCTTATTAGTACAAGGGAGTAGAATAGGAATTTCATTTACTAATGGATCCTAAAGATGCTATACACAATATTAAATATATGTACTTGTTTTGCCTCAGGGGAGAAATGTTTCTTTTTTTGTTTCAAATTAATATCATGTAGGAAATTGCCAAACATCTGCTTCCAAGCATCCTTCTGATTTGATGGATTTTACTTTTTAATGTTCAAGTAAGTAACTTTCTTACCATTAAGAATTCTTTGATTGTTTTGGATCATGTTTTGCTTAAACTTGCTTGGAGGATGCTCTCTAAGTGAATCTGGTTCTGTTTTCATATAAGCCGATACTGATTCTTACATATTTAATTAAAAAAAATTATAATCCTTAGGAATAAGGTATAAATATAGAGTAAACATTCTGTCGAATATAAATCTAAGTAATTTGTTGAAGAACAATAGAACACCTATATTGATACCCTCTAGATTACTTATTCCAAAATTATAGCAGTTATTGTATTTTAACTCCTTAATAGAGGTGAATAATAATGGAACTAAGAGAAAGAGTCATTTATATATTCATAATATATCAATTTCAGTTATGTTGTAAATTCAGAATGGAATATTTCAAAGGAAAGTGAACTCCTATTCAAAGATTGAGAAAAATCAAATGACATATTAAATATAATATTTGGCAGTAAAAGTTGCTAAGGTTTGATCTTAATATCTCAGAATTCATGCAAATTGCAATGAACTTTCATACAATAACATAGAGATAGGATTTTGCATAATATATTTGCAAATTTTATAAATTCTTTTATTATTTTGGGTATGTTATGTGTGAAATGTATAAAAGTTAGAGTTTGACTTATGATAATTAATATAAAACAAATTTAATGCACATGAGGCATATATCTATTAATGATATGTCAATTTAGCTTAATTCAGATAGAAATAAAAACTGGATGCGATGTTTTATTTATTAAACAATAACAAAATTTAAGTGTTATTTAACAACACAATCTTATAACATTTTAGAGTACCAGAAACGAAAGAAAATATTTAAATAAGGTATAGGTTCCAGGACTAATAGAAACAACTAAATTAAATGATATATAGAATTCCAAATATAAGAATTTTAATGAAAAAATCAGTAGAATATTAGAAATGAAAACTAGTGAGTAAAATTATATTAAATTATCAGGCAAATTTAGAATTCATGATTCTAATAAAAAATGATTGGAATATTTATAATTTGAACATCTATATGCTATATAATCATTCAAATAATGGGCAGGGTTTTCCAGGTTATGCATTATTACCTGCTTATTGAACTGGTTTTGCATCACTCTTCTAGGCTACTATTGAGTCAATAATCTAAAGGATAATAAACATAAATTACAGCGAATTCTTTAACCTTCAGATCACTAATTATATACTAAGTAAAATTGTTTAAGAATGCTTCCTCATCAAGGGTAGGATTTGGATTGATGGCATCTACTCCTCTTTATTTATATTCACCCTAACATTTAATATTGAAGTATTACCATGATATAATTGCTAAATTGTAATTAGGCAGCCATATTTTTACCCTTGTTAGCCTTGATTTAAGCGTTGAAATCAAAGCCTGGTTCATTATCAATCAATTGTCTATTCATGAAGATTAAGACTTCTTTCTACCAATCAGCAAAGTCTTTAGCAACAACCAAAGTAACCTTATTAATAACTTCTGGCTTCTTTTGCTTCTTAAGAGTTTCCTTGTATTTAGCAATAGCAACTCTCAAACTACTCATTAATATTTAAAGGTAATTATATTATCTAAGAACATTTGCATCATACACATAGGTTCCAACATTGGGTAAGACAAACTTAGTCAATGTTTCTGGATATCCTTAGTCTTTAACAAATGGATAGAAATATTTCTAATAGCAATATTCAGTTATATGAGGAACTATTGGATTCATCAAGGTTAATTGGATTTCAATGTATTTTAATATTAAATTTTTATTAGGTCCTTCAGTTTAAACAGCAAGTAAGTAATCATCCTTGTATCCTTACAAGACATGGAATCCATTTTTGGCAACATCTCTGAATTTCATCTCTTCATAATTCTAAATAACTTGTATGGCTTGATGATTGATTTAGCTCTCAAAGACTTTATCGAAAAATTCAATGTTTTTAGATTAGGCTTGAGTACGATAGTTTTATATAACTGGGAAGATCTTTTCAAGATACATTTCAAGTGTTGTCAATTTCAAGATACCAGAATCGGCTAATTTCAATTCATAATTAGCATCATCCAACAAATCTCCTGCTTCAGCACATCCTAATCTTGTTGCATCAGCTCCGTAGATCTTAATCATATCTTAAACAGTCTTAAAGTTTCCTAATTACTTGGACATCTTCTAACCATCAACCAATATGTAACCATTACAGAAATAACCTTTTGGCCACAATTAAGGTTAGTCTTTCCAAACAGCTGCATGATTGAACAATGCAAAGATGAGATGATTTTTAATTAAATCTTTTCCAGATGATCTCAAGTTCATTGGATAATAATACAAGAATTCCTTTCTCATGACATCCAATTATGGTTTCATTTCAGGTGGAACCTATTCACTGTCCTTGCCCAAATACAAATAATCGTAAACAGGAATTGTCATTTGATTTGCAGTGAATCCAGCAAGTCCTGGAACAGTTCCATTTAGGTCTCCTTATATATAATGAGCAACTGTATAATAAGCGAAATAAATGGTTGAATCTGAAAGGGATTCAATCAAATATTGCTTATCCCAAGGCACCTTTGTACCTAATCCGAAACTTCGAGACAATCCCCATTCTCTAATCCAATCGATGGCATCCAATAATTCTTGTTTGACTTTAACATTGTAAGTTTCGAAATTGTTTTTAACGTGCTCCTTAACTCTATCCTTCCACTCTTGATTCTCATATGTGATGTACCATTAATCACAATAGGAAACTACGCATTCATCACCATTTCTTGAAATGACTGTGTTCTCTGGTTCGAAATATGGCAAGGCTTCACCGCTTTCAATCATGTCCTTTCTAACTAATGGCTTGGCATCACAAACTTTCATTCCTTTGTATTTTCCAATAATCATTTTTCCTTCATAAAAACCTGCCTTGTAGACTTCTTCTTTTGCTCTTTACAATAAGTCTTTATCTTTCAATGATTTGATCTAGAGTTGATCGCATGCAGTCAAAGCGGCTAAATCGCCATATTTAGGAACATCAATAATTGGAATGGGTTTGAAATCAGCCCATTCTGGTTTGATTTTATAAAAATCAGGTTTCTTTTACAAATCTCTTAAGGTAGCCCAATCATCTGGGGCATCACTTGGGACGGATGTAACAACTCCAGTTGCCTTATTCATTTTGATTCCAGGCATAGGTAACACATATACTTTCTCATAATTAGTCAAAGGAGCTTTAATTTCCAATCCAATTAATTATGTTCCCAAAACTGTAGCTACTTTGTTAACCTTCTTTTCTTCTTTGGTCAAACCTTGATAGGCCATATTTAATGCTGATCTTTCACTACAAACAAATAATTCATCATTTTTCATTTCGAATACTCCATATTCTCCTTCAGGCAATACGAATGTATTAGTTTGACCATACATTGTTTCTGGTCTTAAAGTAGCACATACCAAAAAGAGGTTTTTTCCAGCCAAAGCTGCATCTACCAATTCTGGCTTTAATACTCTTTATTTGATTAATGTGTATTCTTATGGGTTGACTCCTTCTCCTTCTCTTCTATCATGATCAGCACACAATTAACCATCTTAAGTACTAAATATTGAAGGTCTCTATCCGAATTTGACATATCCAGCTTCCTTCAATTTAGTTAAATGCCATTCAATAAATGAATTAAAGTATGGATTTTCATCTGTGGTGATGAAACTTCTTCTCCAATCAACTGAGGATCCAAAAGAAATCAAATCTTCCTTACCCAAAGATGGGAAAAAACGAATCCAATAATATGGATCAGTAAATTTATGAATTTCATCTTCCTTTATATTCATCTAAAGAAGTGATGAGTATTAGCATTGCTTTGGTAACTCTTATCCTGATTTCTAATATTAACTATTGATTTTACCAATGTGTCCAAATCACGTTAAAGTCTTTTGGCAGCAGCACTAATTGGCATTCCTGTGCAATGAAATGCAAATGGCAAGAGCACATTTTGACCCTAAAGTCTTTTAAATCTTGCAATAAAATCGCACTTGCTAAATGAGAAACAATGGCCTAGATGCAATCTACCATTAGCCTAATAGAATATATAGATCTCTTACATATGGGAATGGAAAAGTCAAGAAAAATTTCTTTCTCTCATCTGGATTTGAATAGAAAGATTAATTGGCTGCCCATTATTCCTGGATTGATATTTCAATCGCTCTTAGCTTGTCTCTTCTTGCGAAACTTTGTTTTTGATCCATAAATTAAAATGTGGTTTTTTAAAAATATTATCTTGCTTTTTGAATTGCAAAAAGCATTTTAAATAACATAAATTTTATTATCTTAATTCTTTCATTAAACTCTCTAATCAGTTCTATATAGTTTATTTTCTAATACAATTGATTCTAAACAAGGGTCTCCCTATTCAACAACTAGGGCAATCCCATTAGAATTAATAATATTATTGAGTATAGTCTCATGACTTTGATACTTTACAATAAGCATATTCTATGAAATTCATGCTAGATCTTATTATCAATGATTTTAGGTTCATTATCTTTAAGAATTATAATCTCATTGATAATTAAAATAATTACAAAGAAATTGATAGAAATATGTATCTTGTTAAATTTATTTATATATTTAATCAATCATTCAATCTCTACTTACTTTGCATACTAAACAGATTTGCCCTTATCCACATTTTCATACATCAAACCAGGTTTCTATTAAAAGGCTTAATGATATAATTGTTGGCTTGATTATTCTATTGATTTATACTAGGTCTGAGTAACATCTTCTCCATTTATTATGTATTCCAAAGTATTCTGATGGAACAAATAAAAGCAATCACAAGCACATAGAATAACTAACTTACCTGATATCTCTGAACAAGGTTTACATAGAGTGATTAATTAAGTATTTCTTTTACAAACTAAGCAATTCATTGATCCAGCATAAGTTTTAGGAGTAGCCATAATTGTTGGGATGTGGAATAAGGATTTTGTATTGATTTTGGTTCCTTAGCCATAATCCCCAAATATTTCTGTCCCCAAAGCCACATTCACTACTTTCTATTTATGTAATAAAGTTGGAACATTCTTTATTTAAGTAATTTTATTCTTCAATAATTCTTAAGCTAACCCTAATCGAAACTATTCATACGTTTACTAGTGCTGTGAGGCTTTTAATTTCATAACAATCTAATAAGAATTCCATATTGTAATTTCTTATAATTCAGTCATAATTGCACTTGAGTAATGAATATACGAAAAATTTGGCCTAAATTTGTGTATGCAATACAATAACATAGTCTCTTTGTATTGATTATAAGTGCAGATTAATTGCTAAATCTATTCTCCAGAAGTAACAGCAAAAACTTCATTTTGCTCTTTAATTATCGACATATAATCGAGATAAAGTGGAATTTAAGGCACTTAGCTTGCTTAAATGCTATCAAGCTTTTGGACACATTAAATTTTGAGTTTAATTTTCAAATATGCAATTTACTCTAAATTTAGAATATTATCGTAGATGTACAATGTATGATTGTTATCCTTGAACTACTGTAATACATGAACAATTTAAAGACCTACTTTCTCTTCTTGGATGTTGTTACAAAAGTATTACCAAACTATTAATTTGCTCTTTGGATCACAAATCATTATTTATTAAGAATTAATTGACTATTCTATTATGAATCCTGAATTTACTTATAGTATTAAATCTTTTCCAGGTGTTTTAATATTTCTTAACGTTTTTCCAATTTTTTTACATACTCTAATTGTTTAAAATTCATTTATTGGCTTTGCTTTATTGATATTCTTTAGTAGACATTCGTCAGTAAAGTTACTCCATTATTCTAAACACTTGAATCTACCCTCTTTAAAACATTCGAATATTTTGCATTAAAATAATTGCTTCTCATTAAAATAATCTTCCAAATGAGGCATTTTAATGTATCCCATTATTATCTTTATTCCAAAAAAATCGAATATTTAATCTATCTTCACTAATTTTTTTCTAATTTACTTTTCATCTTAGTTAGCAAATGAAGTCTTCATTTTTACATTAATTTAATCTATCAAGTATCGAATTAACTTCTTTGGAAAGATAGAATTATAAATTCCCATAGGAGTTTCATTCTACAATTATTACCACTATTCTGTAGCTCTCAACTCTTTAAAGATCACCATTTAAATAGAATGATGATCTTTAAAGTTCTCTTTTTCAAAATATGCAGAATTTTAGAACGCTTAAGCAATTTAATCTTCCAAACCTTATAAAATCTGTTTGAATTCAATTTAGACTGTTTATTGTTCCTATGCTTATTCTATTTTAGGTGGGTAATTGTGAACATCTTATTTGATTGGTTTTTCTAACTCCATTAAGAAATATACTTTTTTAATTTTTCATACATTTTCTATTTATAATTCTAAATATTATAATGATTTTATAAATATGAATATAAAGTTAAATAAATTATTCATTCAATCTTTTCATCATCAAATTCTTAAAGCCATTAATTTACTTTTTGCCACATTTCCTATTTGTTCTACTCTCGTATTCTTTAAGCAATATTTTCCCTAGCCACAGTTTTCCATTGATTAAAAAATTGTTTCTAAAGTATAGCCTATAATTTTATGATAAAATTTACTCTTCTAAAATCATTAACTAATCTCTCTGAAGCTCTTTCAAGTTTTACATTCTCAGCTCTCAATTCTGGCAATTAAATATACCAAGCAGTCATAATATGTCTTTTAATATACTTTTCTCTAATCTATAAAGCATCCTTTAGTTTGTCTTTTTAATTTTTCTGAAGTGATTTTAGACTGAAAATAGCTTTTAGTTTTAAATTTCTTTCATAATGATTATTAGATATATTGATCCTAATTTATTCTTCATATTCTCTTTAATCCTCACATATTTATTTAATCTTTTTTAAGATAAGAAAAAGGCTTTATTTTAAATTATTTTCGTAATGATTTTCTGCTCTCTACTAATTATTTTGATATTGTTGATGCAATTTCAAAATAGGTATGAATATTTGATATTTTTGTAAACTTTTTTCATAATGTCTTATTGCAATTTCAGTTTTATATTCAAGTTCAAATTTCTCTTGTTCCATTTTTTATTTTTGTTCTAATTCTCTCTTCTTTTTTTCCTGAATTCTGTTGTATTCCTCCTCCTTTTGCTTTTTTATCTCCAACTATCTTTATTATTCCTATTATTATTTTTCTATTTCTTTCTATTTCTTTTTATCTTCATGCTTCTTCTTAATGACTTCATTCATTTCCTTTCTTTTTTTTGCCTTTTCTTCTAATTCCTTATTGTAAGTACTCTTTTTATCAACAGATCTTTATCTTGAAAAACTTTATTATGACATATTTTGAGGACTATTTTGCTTCTATATTGATTATTCATTATCTTCAACCATATTTTAAATTGATGTGGTCTACTTCTATTTCCAAGGATTTATTGGTAAAGGAGGTTGATAACTTTCCTTAATGATTGGAGTTTTTTATTTTCCATTAATTACCTCCTATTATTCAATTATTTATTTCTCGTTTTATTTCTTCTGATTAATTTATTATATTTCAGGTTGTTGTATAGGTTTTATTGTTAATTACATTTATTCTTCATTTGACTATTATAAAAATTCATTTTCATAAGACTAAAGAATTTCTTCTTAATTGAGATCAATTTACTCTTCTCTCTCTGATTATATTGATTATTAGGAATTTGAAATTGTCAATTCTTCATCGTTTATCAAATTTGATTATTTAATCAATTAAATTTCCTCCTTCTCTTTTTCTAAAGCATCAGATATCTGCCTTTGCATTTGATTCAAGAAATTATTGACTTTAACTTTGATTTAATTTTAATCTGTCTCAAATTATTTAGTTAATTTATTCATCTTAACATATTACTTAAGAGCTTTGAAGCATTTATTTGTTAAACAAAAGTTATTGAATTCCAAAGCCAATTGCTAAAATTAATACAATTTCTTACATTCTATCCCATTTCGTATTTCTTCTATTGTTATTCTTCCTTCAATCTTCTCTCTTCCTTTATTTATTTAAAATAAAGGGTCCAGCAATTAAAGGCCTTCTTTTGTAATTGGAAATTTCTGAATTCTATGTATTGATGCAAATCTTCTTAGGATTTCTATTGATGCTTCTTTAATTTATGAAGAAATTCCTGCTTGATTGAAAAAATAGAAAAGATCTTCCCCAATTTTTATACAAACTTCTCTGTTCTGAATTTGAGATATGTGAATTAAGTTTCTTGTGCTACTTTTTCTAGATTTAATAATATATCATTATGCTTTTGAGGAGGAGCTAATTATTTCTTTAATTCATTTTAAAGGATTTGTTACATATAATCATGTTCTTAAGATATTTTATGGGATTCCTTTTCTAATTGAATTCTCTTTTATTTCAGAGCTGAAACTTACTCCTTAACTTTGTTTTATGATTACTTTTAAGGATGAGGACCTATTTCAGGAATTCGCTAAATTCTTATTTACTAGATTTCTTTACTTTAGCTAACTTTATTTATTTATCTTTAATCTATTGAGCCTCCTTTTCGACCTACAAATACGTCTTCAACAAGCCTTACACCTCTTTAGACATTTATAACTTAATTTAATTATTAGAAGAAGTTAAATAATAAATCTCAAACTAATACTTCAAGTCGATAAATGAGCAGTTAATTACAAATAATCTTAATATTAATCAAAAAACATTTCGAAATCCTTTGAAATCTGAATTGCATACATAAACATTGGAACATCTAGATCAATTCTTATAATATTGAAAAAAATTCAAAAATTATAGCCAATTTGAGTTTGAAAATCTAAACATTTTATTTATGTTATAAAATATGATATTTGCAATTGTTAATATATAAATCACTATTATATGTAAATTATATCAGATTATTTAATTTAATTTATCTTAATTTGTTTTGAATTTGTGATATAATTCGCTAGTGTGGATATCTAAAAATAGTTTTAAAATTTTTTATTTTATAATTTTATATTAGACTTCTTTAGAATAATTTAGATGAAAAGTTTTAGATTGATATATTTGGATAAAAATAATAATTATATTTAAATATTAAAGTTTTTTAATCATTTGAATTTCTAAAGATGATTAATTATTAAATAGTTCCATTCAATATCTTTTATTCTAATTAGAACGATTTGATGGTTTTATGGCTGTGATTATTTAATTCAAGATTAAAACATATCTAAATATAATTGAAATAATTATTAATAATCCTCATGAATTTTAATACCTAAGCACCTGAATAACACTAATATAAAACATATACGATCATTAACTTAAACCAATTTCCAGGTGAAGTGATCGAACTTCAAAAATTCAAAAAATAGTTGGCTTTAAAAATATTAAACTAAAGTTAGCTTCAACATAAAAAATCTTGATTAGTAAAAAAGAATTTCAATGATTATAATTATTTAAGGAGTATTTTCATTATTTATATATTTTTCTACTTGTCCAACAACTCATTACAAAAATACTGTGTTAATAATTATTTTTATGACGAAAGATTTCAATAGGCTACAACTAAAATCATCATCACTAAACCCAAAGAATATTTTATCCACTTGTGCTATAAAGCAGCATAATTTTGATAAAATTAAACTCTGAATCCTTTTTAAGACACTATATTTAAAGGATGTTAATAGTCATAAATTGAAATAACTATAATTAGAATCGATAATGTTTAAAAGAATATCCTAAACAAATAGACTTATCAACATGAAAATCAATCATGAAGCCACTTTCTATTTGATGAAATAAAAATAATTTGATTTTAAAAATATAAATATTTATATCAATAATTTATTATTTTAATTCAATTGACAAAGAGGCAGAAATAAATAATGTCGCTAGTATTCTTGATGCCCTTTCAATTTCTTAACAATAAAAAATTACAAAATGGTAATAATTTCATCAAGTCAAATCTTCTAATGTATTAGCCAATTAAATTAGTTATCATTTGCAAATCCACAAGGATTCAACAAAAAACTAATCATTGTTTATATATCAGTATTTGAATTAGTGATTTCTAAGTCATTTTTCTAATCAAAAATAATTTAAGAGAAATATAACTTATATAAACAAAGCATGGGATTTATAATCAAGTGTATGATTTTAATTTTGTTATTATATCATCGTCATTCCATTTATTTGATTCTAATTACGAATATTGATTAAAATATATTAATTTTTATATTTTTTAGATCAAAATTTATATTCATTATTTATATCATATATAAAACTTTTGTTTTAGCCTTTGATATTGCTATTATATGATGATTTCATAGATTTTCTCAATTGTTAATAATATTATAACAATCATTAATTTATTATATTATTAATTTTATGATTCTATTTAATCCAAAAATGATTAAATAATTTGTTAATAATATTATTAAGATATTTAAGAATATATATAATGTAATAGTGTTGCAATGTTTCAACTTAAGACGAGAATGATAATCTTTCACAAGGCTTGAGTTGGTATTTTGTTATCATTACCATATATAGTGAAAGTATTTAAGACGAATGTGAACGCCAAATAAAAAAGTAATAAAAGAACAAAAATAAGACTTCCTTCATAGTGAAAGTCAAAACTGAGGTATTTCTAGTCTTTATTTGTTTATAGATTTGCAAATATTGGTCTATAGAAGGCTATTGCCCTTATGGAAAACAAGTATATTGAAGTATAAATAAATTAGTGTGCATTTGCTCATGGAAAACATGAAGTAAGGCAAAAAGTGCATGTTCCTCATAATTACAAAACACAAATTTGTAAAAATTACACAAAAGATGGGTACATATTAAATAATTAACATTAGGTATTGTTGCTACGGAGAAAGGTGTTAATTTAAGCATCCAGAGAAAAAAGGAAACAAGCTTCCACCTCTTACTTACTAAAATCTTCTCAACAACATAGAGAATCTCTTTTTAAAACAAAAGTATAACATTTTTAGTATATATAGTCTTATTAAAAATTCAAAAAGGAGTAAGGGTTTACCTTATAAATTGTGATTATAATTTGTATTTTAGAAATGATTATTTAATATAATATTATAATATCGAAGGCGATGAAAAAATTACGCATCATTTCTCTACACCATTATTCTTCTTATAAAATTCCTAAGTTAGTTTTAGTAACTGATTTTTTTAGACGAACCAAAAATTCCTATTCGTTTATAATCCTCCAACATCTCAACCATTCATGTTTCGCAGTCTAAGTTTATCGGGTACTTTATCAGTTGTTTATATAATCCATACAGTCATCTCATTTATTCTAGATATTACAGAGCAATCACATAGAATCCATAGACTCTAGATCTATTATGGGATGTAAATTTTGAACTCAATCCTGCCTAATGTTGACTTATTCAATAATGAAGTTTAGTTTAATTCTAAAATCTTCTTTTGTAGGATTATTTTTGTACAATCACTGAAATTTCAGAAATAGCTTAAAGATAATCTTTATGATGAATATACACTTGGGTTATGCCTTGTATATTATAATTTTGTTTTATATTTGAATTCTAAACACATATATCTGGAATAACAAATGGATTTTGTATTTTATATAGTACCTTAAATTTATAAAAAATGTAATTCTAGAAAGTGTTGAATTTTTTTTAAGCTATTATCAAAGTTGCTTAAATCGATTTACTAGATTCAGTTTGATTTAATTCAATATTATTCTTAATGAATGAAGGTTTTTAATTTACTGAATAAAATGATTTCATTAAAAATAAAATGATAAATATATTGTTGATTAACCAACATATTTGTGTTTAGAGTATGCATTCATTTTTGTAAGATATAAATACTCCATATTAGTTATTGATTACTATTCATTTCAAGTGATGTTCGCTTTGTTTTTGATACAGTTACAGAACTTTTAAAGATAAATTATAATCCAAATCAACTTTCCTCAATAAATACAAATACTTTAATTATTACTTGATTTTAATAGTATATTCTTTCAGATACTCTAATCTTTTTTAACCTTAAAATAAATTTATTTATATTATTAATATATTAAATGTAAGACGCTTAGAAACTTTAAAAATTATCTTAACTTCCAAAAAACTTTTCAGATTGGCAAGTTGGTGATGATTACGAGATAATACGATAAATAGGATCGGGATCTTATGGGTAAGTTGTAGAAGCTATGCAAAAATCTATTAATCGGAAAGTCGCTATTAAGAGGTGCAATATGATTTTATATATTTAAGATTGACAGCAATATTTGATGATGAAATTGACTGTAAAAGAATTTTAAGGGAAATTTGCATCTTGAGGGAATTGAAGCATCAGAATTTAATTCAAATCATAGAAATTCTAGAACCATAAGATCCGAAATCATTTGATACAATATATGTTGTTATGGAGTATGCTCAAGTAATTATTTACGCTATCAAAGAGCGACTTAAAAAAATTATTCAAATCCCCAATCCACTTATAATTTCTGCACATCCAAACCATTGTTTATAATATATGTGTAGGTCTTAAATATTTACATTCTGCTAAGGTTTTGCATAGAGACTTAAAGCCAGCAAATGTTCTATTAAATGAAGATTGCACTGTTAAGATTTGCGATTTTGGATTGGCCAGAAGTGTTCAAGGTTGCTCAATTATATTTATTATTTTCAAGGAATTGATGCTACTGATTAGGCATTAGAAGAAGAACTTGCTAGGCAATAGGAAGAGCCTAAAAAGAAAGATGAGAAAAAAGGTCCTAGAATGCTGTAAAAATAAAACAAATTAAACGCCAAAGCTGTAAAAAGAGAGTTAACTGGTCATGTAGTAACAAGATGGTATAGAGCCCCAGAAGTTATTCTCTTGGAAAAAGATTATACTGCAGCTATTGATGTTTGGTCTGTTGGTTGTATTTTTGCTGAGTTGTTAAATATGATGAAAGAAAATGCACCAACATTTTTAGATAGAGCTCCTCTATTTCCTGGAACCAGTTGTTTTCCACTTAGTCCAGAAAGAAGTGCTATAGCTAAGAAAGGAGGATTTCCATATTCGAATACTGATTAACTCACAGTTATCTTTTCTGTATTAGGAACCCCTGGAGACAAGTATCAAAGCAATTAAATAAATAGGGATATGGATTTTGTAACTGATAAAAAAGCTATAGAATATTTGAAGAGTTTTCCCAAAAAACCTAAGGTTGCATTTGTAGAAATATTTCCAGGAGCTCCTCCTGAGGCGTTGGATTTTTTAGATAAGTGTCTATAATTAAGTCCAAAAATAAGAATCACTTTGGATCAAGCTATTGAACATCCTATGCTTTAAAAAGTCAGGGATAAAAAGAAAGAAATCGTTGCTCCTGGTATTAATATTCATTAAATTTTAGGACCTATATATTTAGATTTCGAATAAGAAGGTGATTTATAAATTCCGAGATTAAGAGAGTTATTTTTAAGAGAAATTTCAAAGTATAAACGTTGAATCTGTGGGTCTTATTCATTAGTATATAATTTAATATTTATTTTATTTATCTCGTAAAATTGTCTGGTGCATTAATTAATTATCCCCATATCATACTGAATGAAATAATCTAATTCTAAACAAATTTTATTTATTAATTATAAACACATTCCATTAAAAACTCTTATCATATAAATGCAAGTATTAGAATCACAAGATCTTATCAAGAGTTTAGAGAAGAAGAGCGAATTGAATTTCTTCTTCTCTGTCTTCTTATTCAAACCACGATTGCTTAAATTCAATTTCATGTTTTTTTAATAAATGCTAAGTCATTCCTTTAGACATTTTTGTGCTCCCAGTTGTATCGTCGTTTTGATTAAAATAGTTCCCACAAGCTTTCTGGATTTTATCTCTATTTATTTGCTGAATGTTATTTGTAATACGAAATTTTGTCTAAGTCATAACAATAAGTAACTTACTGATGGAGTTGCTGGGTTAAAATTGGTTTAGCTTTTTTCTCTTGTAAATTATCTAGATATCGTTGGTCGAGGTATTGTTTTCCTTTAGATATTAAATTATGAGTGAGTATTCATAAAGTTCATTATAAATATTTATGTTACCTATTTATATAATTTAAAACAAAAGCTTAATCTTAAGTTTTAATACAATGGGTAAAAATAACAATAAAATTGAGAATTCAAAATCATAAGTAAACACTTTATTAAAGGTCGCTTGCAAAATAATAGAGTTAGTAAATTCGATCATATGTTCATCTTTATTAATACTTTGATAAATTGAAATATTATCGATTTTATGAGAAAATTATAACTGTTTATTATATCATTTATGTTTTATCTCTAATATGTGAATCACATCTTATTTTGTGGATTAATTAAAACTAAAATTTTGGAAAATTTCTTTTTTAATATCTTCCCTACCATTTGTTACAGAAAAACAATTCAATATATTTTTATATATATTATAGTATTATACTGTCGATTTAATATTTGGTATCCAGTATTTTTTAAAGAAAAGAGATAGAACGATAAAAATTTAATGGAATTATCTCCTTCAAATTAATCAAATTTTTATGATTTTTATAGTACTCAGTTTCTTACTAATAATAATATTATTGTTTTATATTCTATTTGCATGTTGTATTTACTTTTGCAATTCTACTTTTGCTTCTTCCAAATTAAAATCATATATTTTAATTATAAATTATTAGGATCTTCATAATTTAAAACAATATTGACCAGAGAGTCTAAACCTATCTATTTATGATGATTCTCTCAACATATTAAGACATTTTTAAACTTATGAAATAATGATGAAACTTATTTCAAAACAGTTGAATTTATGGCAATTACATTGATATTTAAGTCCTCTTATCTAAATATTGCTTTATTATTAATACATTTACATTTATAAATAAATTACTAAACTAAAATAATATTTATATTACATTTTAATATAGCTATCTAAATTATATGAATTAGCAAAACCCAAATTAAAATTATCAAAGCTAGCTTTAGAGAAATGGCTATGAGATTGTGAAGCCATAAAATTTATCTATGGACTATTATGATCCTATGCTTCACAATAAACCTCAATATAATAGGTATGATCCAAATACATTTAAAGATTATGGTAATTTATCATAAAGAGTAACTCCTGATATACCTGTTAGATAATTGAAACCCTAAACAATTTATACATCCGCGAATAATAAATATGTTTAATAACCTTATTATGAGGCTGTAGAACTACAAAAGAAACCAATCGACCTATAAAAATATGATAGGTAAAAGGACTTTATGGAACAGAAGGATAGAGCGTAAGATAAAATCTAAAGTCTGGTGTTGAAATCAAATTTAGCATAAAAAACCCCAGAATAAATAATAAATGAATTCAAAGCTTATACGCTTCCGAAATTGCGATTGAAGAGATTGATAATGTTGTAGGCTGCAATGAAAGGGTATCATGTAAGGAGATTCAGAATACCAAGAATAAAGTAGAAAATTAAAGTATGTTAATTGTATTCTGAGGATTATTTGAGAAAAGTTCTATATGTATGAAAGTTCATAATACTTAGGATAAATTTATTCCAGACATAGTATTGGAAGTAATTACTTATAACAAATACAACCAAGATTTGTCACTTTACAGCGATAAGCATTAGGCATATTTGAGAATCATCGATGATCTATTGAATAGAGTGGTGAGACGAATGGCTAATGAAGTAGTTAAAGATTAGACTGATTATTTAGTTACAAGCATATTAAATTAAAGGTTCAAGGATAAGCCAGAGTAGGAGAAGGATCCAATGAAATTGGTTGCATTTCAAACGATTCAAAACTTCATGGATAAGGAAGTATACGTCATAGCAAAGGAAGCAATTTAGGAGTCAAGTGCTAATTATTACATTGATTTATAATATGCAAGAGTGATAAAGGATCACATCATCCCAAACACGTTGAGGACAATAATCTTCGAGGCTTTGGATGATTTGGCCATTGAGAAATACCTGAATGATTTATGTTCTGAAATGGTTAGGGAAATATCCTAGCCATTATCAACTTAGATGACGTAATTGTTGTAAGCGGAACATGAATCAGCCTCTCTTGATTAGGCATTACAAAATTATGTTCATAGAATGATGGGAGATGTATTAATAGAGCATCTATTATTGATGGACAATCAAGATTTGGGGAAGGATCATGTTCCATCTGATAATTCAGAACTGTGAAAATTCCTTATTTTCATTATATGATCAAGCATAAATTATTATATTAATTGTAATGAGTTGCGACTCATCCTTCTTTTTTAGTGATTCTAATTTAGAATAGAAGTGCGAAATAGCCAATTCGTTATGTGCTCAAAATTAAATATTCATAAACTATTACTCTATAATCTATTGCCAACTCGACGGACATTGGATTTTGTTCATATTGATGGCCATATTTGTTGTATTGATAGTATTCAGGTTAGTTGATATCATTTATATAGATTTATGAGCACATTAGTGATGTTTTATCTAACACCTGCAATAGAGTTTATAACAGAGAAATTAAATATTTCACAATCATTGAGTGCAGTCACTTTGTTGGCTTTTGCTAATGGGTATCTCATGTTCAATAGATTTAAGGGCTGGAGATGTTGTCACTGCAATTGTGGCCACTGAAACCTTGGACGCCATCAGCTATAATATTGGTTCTTTATATGGAGCAGGTTTTTTTGTGGCCACATTAGTTGTTGGAATAACTATAATTAATTCACAATCATATATAGTCATGAAGTCCTATTTTATTTGGAGAGATATCTTGTTTTATATTGTTGCAACAATCATAGTAATTATATATGGAATTGTGGGCGAATTTTCATTGATTGATTCTGCATTCTTATTGTTAATTTATATAATCTTAGTAATTATAGTATTATTTTAAGATAAGTTTTCAAGTATAAATTTATACATTAAATAGGTCGATCTAAAAAACAATTTGATGAATTTTTAATTGAAAATGTGATGGATGAAACCTAGGTAACTGAGGAAATATAGCCTGAATTGCAAGGTGTTAATCTCAATGAAGATAACAAAAAGACATGTGCTGACAAAACATTTTGTGTTGTAGATATCCCCTTTAGATTCATCTTGAAATATAGTATACCTCCCTCTTTTAATGTTGCCAAATCTACTTTGCTAATTACCATTTTCCCAAGTCTTAGCTTTGTCTACTTCATATTAGGATCAAAAAATTACGATATTTTCAGCTATTTATACATATTGTCCGTCTCTATTGTATTAGCCATAGCAATCTATTCATCATATCCATAAGATAATGTAATATAGTCCACATTTAAAATAGGAATTGCCTAGCTACTACATTTATATCTAGATCTACATAACCATAGTATCCTTGGTTTGGATCTATTGTTTGAGTGGAATTCTCATAGATACTCTAACCTTTTTTGGAATGCTAACCAACCTATCCAATACTTATTTAGGGATGACAATCATTGCTATGGGAAATGCTCTCCCAGACGGAATAGTTACCATGACTCTTGCCAAATAAGGGTATGCCGTTATGGGAATAACAGGAGCGTATCAAAGTTCATAATATATATAGATATTTTGGGTAAATTTTTGGATTGTTAGTGGGTCTGGGCATATCACTTTTAAAAACTAATTTGAAAACAGGTGCCAGTGTTGAATTCGATTTGTTTAATAAAGATCTAATTCAATAAAATTTGGTAAATAGAAATTATAGCATTTTAGATAATGATTATCATCATATTTTCCACTCTATTTGTATTGATAATCACTTTTTTATATGGTATAGTAAAGAAGTATCATTTCGCCAGAGATCTTTCAGTTTTGCTCATATTGATATATGTATTAGTATTAAGCACAATTACTATAATTGCTATATATGAAGCTGTATGAGTATTTTTATAAAACATATTGTATTTAATTTGACATATATATATTGGCAAAGACACTTTTACATAACTTAGTTATGTTTTTGAGACTAAATTCAGAGAAATTGTGATATTTTTTGATTATTTATTTCTTATTTTGTTATTCATCAGTTAAATATATATTTCAAAATTAAAAATGCGAAAGAAAATAGAGAAAACAAAAAAAAGTATCTGCTCTCATTTATCTTTAGAGCCTTGGACCGATTATGAAGACACCCAGGTAATGTAATTGGTCGAATAATACGGTCCTCATAAGTGGACATTCATAGCCTCCAAATTACCAGGAAGAATTGGAAAATAATGCAGAGAGAGGTATTCAATTTATTAATTGTCTTAAGATGGCATAATCATTTAAATCCTTTGATTAAAAAGACTCCTTGGGACTTAAGTGAGGAGTGGCTGCTTTTCTTATATCATAAAGCGATTAGCAATAAATGGGCAGAAATCGCTAAGCATTTAGAAGGCAGAACAGACAATGCCATTAAAAATCATTGGAATTCTGGAATGAAAAAAAGAATCCCAGAATTCACACATAAATTATTAGGCATTAAATAGTAGTTTCTCTAAAAAGGGTTGTATCTATTAATTTTATGAAGGAAGACCTTCCTATTTTGAGCAATTTGAGATTGAGTTTGAAAGGAAAGCTTTGGAAATCATCTTTCTCAACAAAACTTATGTGAGCTTACTCACAGATTCTGAAGACGAAGAAGAGGAACAACCAAAATAATAACCAATATAATAAAGCAGAGAAAGTACTGCAATTAGAATTTAATAATATGTAGATAATAATTAATATCTAATAGAATGATATAAGAAATAGAACTATTATTAAACATCCTAGAAGAAATAGAATGCATAAAAAATATCTGCTTTTTAAGAAGTAATAGAAGGAAAACAATAATACAAACAAAGAGAACTTTCTTTAATGGACACACACTCCTTAAAAATACGAAAAGTACGTCTCTATTTTATTTTAGTGATGATTATTATTACACACCAGCTGCATTCAATAAACAAAGGAGAATGAGTCATAGTAGTTTTAAGTATAGTTAACATCAAAGCTATGTAAATGAGAGAATATAACAATAGTATAACGATTCCTACTTAGAAAGGGAGGAATTAAAGCAGAATTTATTCCTTTGAAATTTTGATTCAATTTTGAGATTTTTTTTTAGTTCTTTATTTGGTATGAATAAAGAAATCAATTATTTTTTATAGTCTTACTAGATTAGATAATTTTGTTTTTTAGAGCTTTAAATAACATACATATTTCGATATTTCTATAAAATAGTTTTTTCTATCATTAATAGTTAATAAATTTTATTTACAATAAATGGACAATCTCTTGAGCGTATATATGAGGAAAAATGATATCAAATTTAATGTTATACCTCCTCCCCCAACACAATTTTACAAAAACTTACCAATTTAATAGCAAACAGATCAAAAAAATTTATAATTTTAGGGTAGAGCTCCTCATCATCACAATTCATTTCATGAGACTAGATAATAAGCTTTCTCATTTACACTTTTAACATTAGAGATGCTTCATAACAATCTAGATCACATCCAGATTTAATAAATTAAATATAAAGTTATAAAGAAAATTGGATAAGGCAGTTTTGGGTAGGTCTTTCTATTAAATAAGGAAAACTCTAATTTATATTTTGCTCTTAAGGTTTAAAAGTAGATTAATGAGTAAGAAAAAAAAATTCTTCTAGATCTCAAAGGAATAAAATTTAAAAATCTAGTAAACACTATTGACTGTTTGTAAAATTGTTAGACTAAAGAATACTTTGTTTTGATGGAGTATTGCGAAAAAAGCTTATAAGATGTGATAAATCAAGAAAAATTAAATCACCAAGATGCTCGCTATATAATTAAATAAATTGCAAATGGTATAAGGGAACTTCATGAAAAATAAATTATTCACAGAGATTTAAAGCCAGAAAATATTCTAGTGTTCTCCTATGTAGATGGAGAAAACACCTAGATAACGTATAAGATATGTGATTTTGGATTGTCAAGTACTAAAGAGATTTCATAAACCTATAAATGTGGTACATCTCATTACATGGCTCCAGAAGGAATCTAAAATTTATCTAATAAGTTTATAGGTTATACTGCTTCTGTGGATATTTGGGCATTAGGAGCAGTGATTTATGAACTATTTTCTGGAGAGGTCTTATTCATGGGCAACAGCAACTAAGAAATCTTTGATTTGATATTGAGTACTAAATAAGAAAGCTTAGAGGAAAAAATTAAAAACAAGATTGGTAATTTAGAGCATGTCAATCTTGTTTTATAAATGATGTAAATCGATCCCAATAAGAGAATTACAATTAATGAAGTAATAAATAAGTTAACAAAAGGAGGAACCAAAAAGATTAATAAAAACAAGTCAGTCAATGACCTTTAAGTTTCTTAATTTCAACCTAATAAAATTGTACAAACTATGACATAATAACCCATAACTGATGCTTAAAGAGAAGAAAATCATGATAGGGCAATGAAAGTTAAAGAAGCATTAGAATAATGTAACGAGTCTATTATACGTGGTAACATTTATACTTAAGCGTTTAAATAAGTAGTTGAATAATAAGATAATCATTCAAAGTCTATGATACGTGGTAACATTCATACTTAAACGTTTCAATAAGTAGTTGAATAATAAGATAACCATGCTAAGTCTATGATACGTGGTAAAATTAATACTTAAGCATTGAAAAAAAAGCCTTAACTTCTTTGATTTAGTTCATTAAAATTAATATAAATTTATGCAATTAAAAATATAAATCTATTGATTTCATTTCTTTTATTCATTAAGCATTTACTATTAATACATCGGGTACAATAATCCATTTTAAGGATTTTACATTTGTCCATTTAACTATTGAAATCCTGCTTAAAGTGCTTGTATGTTGGACACTTAAGGTAGTTAAGCCTACATATTTGGAAGTTAAACTTGTTATTAAATTGGTTATCCTGGACCTTACTATAAAAATTATTGAAATCCAGCTTATTGCAATGAGGGCAATATTTGAAATAGAGGAACTTAGTGCATTTAGGGTATTCCGTTAAGAGGAGGGGTTTTTGATTGATCTTAGAAGTTATAATATTGAGATAAAAATTATGGTGGAATTTAAAATTAAAGAGGAGGGTTTATTTGATTTAGAGGATTAAGCCATTGTAATTGTTATAATTGAGCGATTTATTACATCTATTAGAATTACTAAAATTGATTAGGCTGTTGGAATTATAAAAGATCTGAAGGAAATTATCCAATTTTAGCTTCCTACTTAATGTTGTTTGGATCGGAGGATTTATTTTGGCTGCCTTCCTCCATTTTCACTTTCTTTTAAAGTGGTATTTGCATTTGAAATTATTATTATAGTAACTATTATTATTATAATTACTATTATTATTATTGTTAAAATTATTATTATTATTATTGTTATTAAAATTATTATTATTGTAATTATTACGAAGCAATATTCAATTATTAAGGTTAGATTATCTATTATTATTATTGTTGTTGCTATTAAGTTATCTTTAACGGTTTTTTCTATTCTTTAGAGGAGTCTTCTTCTTGACTATCACTATCCTTCATTAATCCATGCTCAAATTTCTTTTTTAAAGGTTCCAAATATCTTTTTCTCGAGTTTGTAAACCAATTTTAAATCTATAAAATATATGTTATCTAGAGTTACTTATCGAACGTGCATTCCAGTAATCTTAGAGAGTCTCTACTTTTCTGTATTATCTGGATATGGATTATCGAGATGATCCAAAAACCACTTTTTAAGAATGTCTATAGATCTCTTCTGAAATTTGTTCTTGTTAGAATTTTTGTTAAACTGCATTATGGGTTGTTGGTCATCATCCTCATTTTTTTCTTTTACTTTTAAACATATAATTTTTACTGATTTCTTCATTGCTACTGCTTTCCTCTCCTAATGAATTGCTCTCTTCTACGTCATCTTCACAATTAAACAATTGAGAAGCCAGTTTATCAAACTATTCTTTGGATTACTTGAGTTTTTATTGTTTCTCTTGTATGGATTCATATAATTTGTCTAATCCTTCTTCTATTTGTTATGTTAATTAAGTTTCATTATATTCAGTAACAGTAGATGAAAATAAAGGCAAAAACACCTGCTAAAGTCTATTATGTGAGCATTTTTCGCATATTTCAAGGTACTTGGTATCAAATATTTGAGCAAGACATTTACGGAACTTCAAACTTTTAAAAATGTAAGGAAACATCTGAATAGGTATTTTATGGTCTATATAAATATTCGATTTCATACCAGAAATTGGAGTAGTAATTTAACTTAGCATTTCGGAGAGGATACAAATATCTTCAGCTTCAAATTAAATGCAAATTTAACACTAAGACTCAGTCATATATAAATAAACTTTATTAATAAAAATGAGTAATTAATCTCCAGAACCGGAAAAACAATCAGATGAGATATCCAGGCTCAAACTAAGTTTGATGATGAAGGATAATGAAATAAGAGCATTGAAGTTAAAAGTTAATCCAAGCGACGAAATTGAAAGGCTTCAGCAAGAAGCTGAAAAAATGAAGGAGACATACGAGTCCGAAATCAATCTTCTCAAAGAGGAAAATTACGAATACTCAGAACTTTTGAAAGAAACTCAAGACTAAGCCGAATTTCTTAAATCAGTTGTAATAGGTAAAGATAAAGAGATAGCCGAACTGAAATCACAAAATGCTAATGATGAAATTGTAAAATCAAGATCCAGAAATGGAGAATTGCAACTGGCATTGGCAGAAAATGCTAATTTAAAAAACGAATTGTAAATTTTGCAAACCAAGTTGGATGACGCATATCTTAGTAAATAAGTTATGGATGAACAACTACAAAGTCTAGGATAGATGTTGGAAGTAGAACAAAGAAATACCTTGAATCAGGCTAACCAAATTAGCACTTTACAGAAGGAGGCTTAATATTTGAGAAATTCAGTTAATGATAGAGAAAGATTTATAGTAGGCAAAGAGAAGATCATCAAATTAAAAGATGGAGAAATTAATAGATAATAAGAAATCATCAATGACACCCTTGCTAAATTGGCAGAAATGTAGCACGATAACTAAGTTATTGTTACATAGAATGACCAATATTATAAACTACTTTAAGAGAAGCAGGCAGAAATAGATTCCCTCAAAGATCAATTGTAATTCTTTGCTGAAGATTTGTAAAGAGTATAAAACTATGAAGGACAATATAATGATGCTCAAGCCAAAATTAAACAATTGGCTTAATACATTTAAGAGCTTGAAAAATAATTGTAAGATCAAATGAATTAATATGAAAAACAAATCAAAGAGTTGCTAAATAATGCTAAGGCAACTGAAGATGAAAAAGATCACAATATAGATCAACTTGAAAAGGACAATTCTAATAAGGCCAATTAACTGGAGGCGTAGAATAAATAAATATCATAATTACAAAAAGAACTTAAAGACGCTGATAATAAGAGAGATAGAGAAGTTAAAGATGTTTAGAGGAAATTAGATGCGGAACTTAAGAAAACTGCTACTTTGGACAAAAATAATAAGACATTGAAGGATAAAAATGATGAATAGGCAAAATAAATTAACGCTGCTAATGAAGAGTTGGATCAATTGGATTAAAAAATTGCTGACTTAGAATAAAAGGTTAAAGATTAACAGAATTAAATTAAAGATCTTGAAAAAGAAATCAAAGATTTGAATAAAGAAAAATAAAATTTAATTTAAGATAACAATAATTTACATTAAAAGTTCAATTAGGCTGAAGAGAAGGCATTGCAATAATAAAAAGATTTAGTGAAAGCATAAAAAGAATTGAATGATAAGCACAATAATGCAGAACAATTAAATAAGGATTTAGATGAATATGAGTAAGAAAATAAAGAATTATAAAAAGAAATTAATTCATTAAATGATTAAATTAATTAATTAAATAAAGAAATTAACTAAAAATAGAAATAAATAGATTAACAAGCTAAAGATATTTAAAAATTATAAGAGAATTTAGAAAAATAAAAGTAAGATAATTAAAGTAAGTAATAAGAAAATAAACAATTGCAATAAAATAATAATGATTTAAATAAATAATTAAATGAGTCAAAAAAACAAAATTAAAAATTATAAGATTAAATTAACAATACTGAGTAGAAATAGAATAAGACTTAGGATTAATTGAAAAATTAACTATAGGATGCATAAAATGAAATTAAGTAATTGAAGGATTAAATTAAAGAACAAGAAAAAGAGAAGAAAAATCTATAAAATGAAGTTAATAATCTGAATAAGGAATGTGATGATCTAGATGCAAAACTCTAATAAAAAATAAAGGAATAACAAGAAAACTCAGAAATTAACAGACTCAATGATGAATTAAATAAAGCCTAATAATAACTAAAATAAAAAGAAGATTAATTAACTAAAGTATAAAATGAATTAAATAAACTAAAAGAGTAGAAATAAAAAGAATAAAAAGAGCAAAAAGATAAGGATTAATAAAGAAAGGACTTAGAAAAATAGGTAAAAGATTTGGATGCCGAATGTGATCACTTAGATTAATAAAGACAAGCAGCTATTAATGAGGCTGAAAAATTAAAATAAGAATTGTAAAACTTGAATGATTTGAAAAAACAATTAAAAGATACCTAAAACAAATTAGCTTAAGCTGAAAAACAAATAGCTTAATTAGACCCAGAGGCAGTTAAAAATAAATTATAAAAAGCAGAACAAGATGCTAAAAATGCCATTTAAGCGTAAAATTAGGCAAAGAAAGATTTGGATAAAGCTAATAGTCAATTAAAATAAAAAGAGAAAGAAAATAAGGATTTAGATGATGAATGCAATGCTCTGGATACTCAGGTATAAAATCTTAAAGAGTAAGCCAAGTAATAAGAGGATGAAATTAAAGAAAAATAAAAATAAATAGATCAATTATAAAAAGAAAATCAGTAATTGAAGAAGGATGATATAAAAGGAGAAATTGATAAATTGAGAAAGTTTATTTAAGAATAAAAACCAATACTAGATAATTTGGAAAAGGAATCTACTTAAAGCGATAAAAGAAGATCAGATTTAGAAAAATAAATCGCCAAAAGTCAGGATGATTTAAATAAACTCAAAAAGAAAAAGGGAGGGAATGGAGATGATGATTAATAAATACAAGGTTTAGTTTAAAAACTTGATGAATTGGATAATAAATTATAATAAGAAGTGGACAAGTATATAGAATCAGTTTCAAATATTGAGAAATTGCTAACAGGTATAAAATAAAATAATTATTTAAGACATTACTGAAAAGTTATTAAAACTAAAACTGTAAATTAATGAAGTGCAAGAAGAGGATGGATAATAATTTAATGATGTGTTCTAAGTATAATTTAAGAAATATTAATTAGCTTGTAAAAAATCTTTGTAATGATTACAAATAAGGTTTAGCGACTCATAATTAAGCAATGGAAGATCTTCTAAAGTAAATTAATAAGTAATTTTGAATATTATTTGATTAAACATTATTATAAATCATTTATTATGATTAGATTTGAATCTATTTTTGCATATTAGATTCGATCTATTTGGGTTGTAATTGTAAAGACAAATATAGATTTGTATATTTTTGGATTGTTAAAAAGAGTAATGCATAATTAACTTACATAAAGGACTTTATTGTTTCTAATAAAATAATGTATTATTAAGCAACCCAAAAGCTATTAATATCACATATTTATATAATTTAAGATTATTAATTGTAATGTCGAAACAGATTAATATTATAAATAAATTAGATTGTTATTTATGAAATTGGGAACATGTACAGAGTGGTTATTCTTTCATATATGGAAAAAAAATCCGAAGACTGGACATAGTTGTGATGGAATTTTTGTTGCAGATTCAATCATTTATCGTTGGGCTTAGCCATACTTTAGTAAATAGCATAATAATTTAAGGATATTTTACTGTATCGGATGGGTAAATTATCAGGAAAACTAAAGAGAGAGTATTTATAGATCAAGTTGAAAGTTCATTTAACCAGGAGAATACAGTGGCTTAATTAATGACAAGTCAGGTATAATTTAAAATTATATATATACTTCAGATGCAAAGCAAATAACAAGAGATTATTACATTTGAGTATTTGGATTATGAGAATTTTATAATATTTCTTCATTAGAGAGAGAAAGACTTAAATTTAGTCCTATAAAAGTATGAATCTTAAATATACAAGATTTATATACCCAAAAAACGATTAGAACTCTTTGATTAAAGTCACGTGGTCTCCATAATTCTGCCTGGTTATGAGGAAGACAAATATCAATAAAATGAACGATACAAGGAAGACTCAAGTTGAAAGAGTTGCTACTTTTGATGGACCAGAATATTTAATACAAGCAGACTCAATCAATTCTCCTTTATTAAGTGCAGATTTAGAATAATTATGTGTGAATATAGTAAAACACATTTTAGAAGTGTCAGGAGGGAACATTTAAATAATAAGAATGGTCCTATATTTTAAGGTTGATTATGAAAATAGGATATGGTTGCTTTTTTGTACTAATATTAAGGTGAAGGATAAGTTTAATGATATAATGCAATAGCAAAGAGTGTTTTCTCCTATTTTTAGGGTTTTAAGAAAAGATCAAGAACCAGTGTCTTTTGCCAAGGAATAGGCTTAGACTGTTATTAAAATAAATAATTAAGGTGAAATGCAGTCTCTATTATATTAATTTAAAAATATCTGTAGCAATTGTGATAGATTTTCTCATTAACTATATCAATTGAAATTACAATTTATTATTGAAAGCTTTAAATAAGTATTAATTTAAAATATAAGAATTTAGTGAAGAAAGATTTTACTAGGTTGCCTGAAGAATTAGAAAAGATGAAATAGAAATAAGATTAATAAATTCCTAAAGTCACTTTTTCCAGAAACATTAGAGTGAGGTAAAAATAAAACCTTAAAGAAGGTAATAATCATTATGACATTTAGAATATGAGGTTTAGAATGAATTTCAGAATGATAATAACTCAAATAATATTTTAATTGAAAAGAAAAAGATCTGCTAAAATAAACTAACAGAAAATGAATTATATACATAAATTAAAGAGTTAGTTTAATTATTGAATGAAGAATAAGAGGATTAAAAGTTTAATTTTAATCATATTCCTCCTTTGATTCTCAAAGTTTGGGGTAAAATTAATGAAGAAAAATATTAATAATTATAATAAAATTAAAGTTGGAAAGACTTAACCACCTAAGTTTGTTTGGATTGCTTTTTATAATATACATAATAGTGTGAATAAACTTAATTTGAAAGAAAAGCGTAAGAATTTAATAATCTATTTTAGAGATTTGATGTCTTAAAAATTAAGAAAGCTGGTTAATGCTAAAGAAGAGAATGAAAAGGAGAAACTTCTTTTATCTAATACAAGTTTGAATGTTAATAGAATAACCTTCAATTAATTGCCAAATCTCCCTTCAATATCAGAATTACCCATTGAAAAATAAAAGCGTTTGTCAAGAAAATCTTAAAATTTAACTCACTAAGAAATTGGAACCAAATAAATTGAGTAAACTCCTCAAAAGGCATCGCAACCATCTATCTATACAGCTAAAAAATAACAATAAACTCAATAATCACAATAAACCAATCAGTCTAATTAATAGCCTCCATAAACTGTGATTCCTAGTACAACCCTTTCAAATAAATATTTTTAATTATAAAGATAGTCCACAGGTCAAATAAATCAACTCAAATTAAAGATTCCAAGCACTTAAAGAGTATTATCTTATTTTATAATAGATTTATCTCAATAAATAAGGTTTAAACATTTCAACAAATAAATCAATGTAATCCAAATCATCAAGATCTACTTTAGATTAATCAAAGATTTCTTTTGATTTTATGATGAATACTGTGACATAATTAAAGAGAAAGCTTGAGGAACTCGAACAAGATGAAAAATAATAAGAATAGTAAAACCTTTGAATTTTTATATTGAGATATATCATATATATAATAATTTGAGATTTTTGAATTAATTATAAAGGATGCTTACTATTTTTGTTCTTTAAAATTATACTTATGTGGTAATTAGTTAAGGTTTAAAGTTTATTTATTTAGAATTAACCGATATAAAAAATAAGAAAGCAATTATATTATAGTTTAATTGAATACATGCATAAATAATGTAAGATTTATTGAGGTAGTAAATTTTTTAATATATCTATTAAAATAATTATTCCCAATTGAATTTATAATATAAAAATAATTTATTAATTTGACTTATAAAATCAAGATTTTTGATAATTTGTTTGTTTATTAATTGATTTATAGATGGGTGCTTGTTAATGCAAATAGCAATAAAAGGAAATTGAGTGCGATGTATAATATGATACAATTCAATTAGGAACATCGCTAACCATATAAGGACATCTATGAAGGCACATAAGGCAGCTTAAGTGATTATGAATTGATTCAGCCTCCTTTGGGAGAAGGAGCTTTTGGAGTGGTTTGGAAAGCAAAACATAAAGCCAGCGGTTAATTTAGAGCTATAAAGCAAATAAATAGTAAACACTCTGAGGAATATCAAAATATTATCAATGAAGTTAACATTTTGAAATCGCTAGTAAACTAACAAAATAAGTTTAGGATCATCCAAATATTATAAAGATTTATGACTTTTTTGAAACCAATCAGAAATTATTCATAATAACAGAACTATGTACAGGTGGAGAATTATATGATAAATTGATGGAGATTCATAATTTTTCAGAAATTGATGCAGCAAAGATCATGAAACAAATATTACAGGCTTTAGCCTATTGCCATAATTAGAGGATAGTTCATAGAGATATAAAGCCAGAGAACTTATTGTATGAGAGTGATAAGAAGGATAGTCAGTTAAAAGTTATTGATTTTGGCACATCTAAAAGAACTACAGGAAAGAATTTAAGAGAGATTATTGGAACAGTAAGCATAATTTAACTTTTAAAAGGCTTACTATATGGCACCCGAGATGTTTACCGAATAGTATAATGAGAAGTGTGATATTTGGTCAGCTGGAGTTGTCTTATATATTTTGTTATGTGGCAAGCCTCCCTTTGATGGGAATACTGATGATGAAATCTTCGAAGCAATAAAAAAGGGAACCTATTCATTATCCTCAACTCAATGGTTAAGTGTTTCACCAGAAGCTAAATAATTAATCCGAAAGATGCTTGAGTATCAATAATCGAAAAGATACTCAGCATAAGAGTGTCTAAATGATCCTTGGATACTCTAATATACAAAGGAAGAAGTGAAAGCCCCAGTCCTGGAAAGCGTCCTAACAAATATGAAGACATTCAGAGTATTAAATAATAATAGCTAATGATAGACTACTTAAAGAATTCAAGAAGCAGCTTACATGTACATAATAAAGCAATTTACAACTAAAGAAGAGAAAGAAGAATTACTAAAAACCTTTTAAAGTCTTGATAAAAACTCTGATGGGGTTTTGACAAAGAAAGAATTACTAGAAGGTTATATGAAGATAATGCCTGAATCAGAAGCAATTTTATAAGTTGAATAGATTATGTAGTCAGTAGATAAAAATCAATCTGGTATTATTGATTATTCAGAATTTGTGATGGCAACTATTAATAGAAAGACTGCCTTAACTTAAGAGCGATTAGAATAGGCTTTTAAAGTCATAGATAAAGATAATAGTGGAACAATTACAATCGAAGAGTTGAAGCAAATGTTTTAATCTGGAAATAAACTTCCATAAGAAACTTGGGAGTCTTTGATGGCAGAAGTTGATAAAAATGGAGATGGATTGCTCTCTCTTAAAGAATTTAAAGACATGATGCTCCGCTTAATTTGAGAATATAAATCATTGAATTATAATATTAATTTATAAAATTAATGTCACGACCAGAATCACAATTACCACCAAATCTAGTAAGTATCATCATGTAGTCATCCTCTAGTATTATAATCAATAGGAAAGTGTTAAATATACTAATTGCAATAGAATTATCAATATTCAAACTTAATTAAGTGAAAGAGCTATCTAATTATTGGATCTAAATCTAGATGAATGCAGTTTAGTACTTGATATTGGGTGTGGTTCTGGAATTTCAGGGTTTTATCTAACATAAGAAGGGGTGAATTGGGTAGGATTAGATATTTCAGAATCAATGTTGAATGTAGCTCAATAAGAAAAGACAGAAGGGGAATTATTATTATGCGATATTGGACAAGGTTTTAAATTTAGACCAGGAGTCTTTGATGCTGCTATTTCAATTTCTGTTATTTAATGGTTATGCGTGAGTTTTAAGAAATCAGAAAACCCATATAGAAGATGCACTGTTTTCTTTGAATCTCTTAGAAACTGCTTAAAAAATAATGGAAGGGGAGTTTTTCAATTCTATCCAGAGAACAACGAATAAATAAATATGATTACTAGTGCCGCTTTAAGAGCAGGTATTCTAAAGAAGAGTTATGTAATTAGGTTTTAGTGGTGACATTGTTGTTGACTATCCTAATTCTGCTAAAGCCAAAAAGCTTTATCTAGTTGTACAATTAGGAGGATAATCATCCAAAAAGACTATGGATGTTATTTAAGGATTAGTTGAAGAATCAGATGATGAAAAAGTTAAAGTTATTGGAAGATAATAAAAGAAAATTAGGAAATAAAAAAAATAAAAGAATGTAAATGAAAAATCTAAATTATGGATTATTAAGAGAAAAGAAAAATAGGCTAGATTAGGTAGGAAAATTAAAAAGACTACCAAATACACAGGAAGAAAAAGAAATAATCTAGGCTTATTCAAATGATGTATTTTAAATTATTTTATTTAATTTTATATATTCTGATAAAAGATGATGCATGGTTAATCTAAATCAAGGACTGAAATATTGTCTGAAGAAGAGATAAAGCAAAGAGCAGAAAAAGGACAATAGATATTAGATTCTTTAGACTATTTTTTTAAAGTGAGAAAAAATCAAGTGAATTAACCTGAAGATCAATTAGCTTTTTCAGAACTTATGGCTAAGTTATGTCCTGAAATTGCTACTATTTATAATTACAGAAGAGAGGTGCTTTAAACAAAGTTTGATCATTTAGGAGGATTACTTACAGAATCAAAAAGCATAGATGCATATAAGTAGTTAGTCAAATTGATTCAATCTGAGTTTATGCTCATAGCTATATTACTAAAATAGCATCCAAAATCATACACTCTTTGGACTCATAGATAATGGATGGTTTTAAGAAGCTAAGAAATAGATTAGCTCATTAGTTCAATGTATTTAATTAATCTTATTATAAAGTAATTAAGATAACTAACTTAAATTGATAGAAGCCATCAAACAGGAATATGAATTATGCAGCAAAATGTTAGACAGAGACGAACGTAATTTTCATGTTTGGAATTATAGAAATTGGTTATCATCAATTTGTGCTTTTGGAAGAGAAGATGAATTTACTAAGAAAAAGGTATATTTATTAATAATACTATTTAGATTGAATAAAACTTTAGTAATTTTTCGGCTTATCACTTCAGAAGCAAATTTTTTATGAAAAACTACAATTAACCTGAAAATATCATTGAGAGAATTAAATCTGATAAAATTTTAGGTTTACTACCTTTGCCTTATGATAGATTGAAAGAAGAAACAGAACTAATTTAATAAGCAATTTATATACAACCAAAAGAACACGGTGTTTTTTTATATCACAGATGGCTAGTTGGTGTTGTTTAACCCTTTGGTGTAACAAAAGTCGAAAAGATTTCAAATAATTCAGTCACATTATAATTTAACAGGGCAATAACTAATGTGGAGAACTCCTTTGAACTGTTTAATAACGAAAATGCTCTCAAAATTATCAATGTGAAAGTGGAAGGCATTAATGTTATTATTACTTTTGAAGAACAATAACTAAATAACTTAAAAATAAGGATTCTTAATTAAATATATTAAAATGGAGCTTTAGATACAATGATTAGTGAAGATGAGTTCTCCAAATTTCTAATTCCAAGTGAAATCGATGTAACATTCGATAATGAAGGATTTAAATAAACTAATACTATTTAATAAGAGTTTTAAGGGGCAATACATGAAATTAATAAATATCTTGATGAGAATATAGACTTCATCAAGTAGGTTATTGAAGAAGAGAAAGAGAATAGGTATTATATAAAATTATGCGATAGATTCCCATATATTCAAATATTATATTTATTTTAATTCAAACTACGCACTCAAAAGTTGATTGATGCTAGCAAATCCAGTGAGATCGTTAAGGAAGCCTTACAACATTGTGATAAGTTGAAAAAGATTTAAAATGATCACCAAGCCTAATTTCTATTTGAATTTTGGAGTTAATTTTGAAGTTATTAATTGTTAAAATTTGAATTCAATTTCCAAATGCAATAACAACGAAGCAATTTTGGCTAACAAATTTTCTAAAATGAAATGACAAATCAAAACATCAATCCCAACGATGTCATGATGCAGAGTATGATGAAAATGTTTCAACAGCAAATGATGTAAATGATGCAAACCCAATCTTCTGGTATTTGATTTTCTTATGTCAAGGTTTTGATTTAGAAAAGTTTTACCATAACAAAGTTAATGATATGAATTAATTCTACAACCAAATGAAACCTGAAGAATGTTAATTATAATAGTCATCCTAATTCATCCATAACTATAATCCATCCAAATACTAAGAAGTAATTATTAGTATTAAGTAGGAAACCAACGTAAACACCAATAGATAACTTCACTTTGATGATATTTAAGTAACTTCGAATTACAGAAATGAGTTTCATGATTATACTTTGCCAGATAATGAACTGTTCAATTAATATAAAAATAAATAAGATCAAAAACAACGCTAACATAGACTCAATGAATATGGAGATCAGAGATCAACTAAATAATAAATTCAAAATTTTGATTAATCAGATAATGAAGACATGTACAATAAATAACAAAAATAACCATAAAAGAAAACTCCTGCTTTTGATGATATACCAATTAAATAAGCTACTCAAGATGAACAATAAATTCGATCCAATTTTAATAAAAATAATTTATATTAATAAGATGAGTATGATTTTAAATAATAATCTAATCCCTTTGATGAAATGCCAATTAAACCTATAAAAAGCAATAATTTCGATGACATTCCTATTAGAACTATGAAACAAGATGATTTTACTAAATAATAAGAAGAAACACAATGGCAAAATTAATAAAATCATAAATAATCTAAATAATTTGAAGATTAACCCATTAAGAGAACAAACTATTCTAATCCTTTTGATGAAGTCCCAATCCCTTCCACAAAGCAAAATTAAAATAATTTCGATGAAATTGCAATTAAACCTGTTAAGAAAGGTTATGAAGATTAAACAATCAAAACCAAAAAGAACTCCTTTGATGAAGTTCCAATTAAACCTGCTAAAAACCAGGCATTTGATGACATACCAATTAAAACAAATAAAAATTAAGGTTTTGATGATATACCCATTAAAACAAATAAAAATTAAGGTTTTGATGACATTCCTATTAAGACAAATAAAAATTAAGGCTTTGATGACATGCCTATAAAGACAAATAAAAACTAAACTTTTGATGAAATACCTGTGAAGACAAATAAAAACACAGCATTTGATGATATGCCTATAAAGACAAATAAAAATTCTGCATTCGATGAGATCCCTATTAGAAACAATAAAAATTCAGCATTTGATGACATGCCTATTAAATCTAACAAAAACCAGGAGTTTGATGAAATGCCTCCGAGAAATCACTTTAAAAAACCACTTGAAGAGGCTAATTTTGAAGATTAAGGGCGTGCCAAGAAAAAAGCATTTTTGAAAAAAGGAACAAGATAATTTTTATCAAACGCTTAGTAAAGATCTGATATTGCTAAAAAAGAACATGCTGAAATTTTAAAGGAGAATAATGCTTCAGGGGTTCTTCCTATTTAAAATTAAAGCAATTAATTTAAACCTTAAAAAATATAATAATAATAAAAAGTTGAATTTAAGTAAGAATAGAAAGAAGTCTAATAAAGACAAAAAAAATAGGATTTATCAAAGGAATAACCTAAATAATAATAGCCTCCTAAGTAGTAATAATAATAATAATAATAATAATAATAATAACAACAATAATAAATATAATAAAAACCTCTCAAACAAAAAGAAGAATCTGAAAATCATCAAGACTCATATTAAGAATATTAATTTGATGATAATGAAGATTGGAATGATGAACCTCCTAAATAATCCAAGATTGCAACCTCCTATTTTGGATTAAAAAAGGAAAAAGATGGAAAAGAAAAAAAATAAGAGAAACCTTAACCTCAAGAATCTGAAGAAGAAATCGTAAGGAAATATGTATAAGACAAGATTGATAATTTAAATGCTGAAATTGCTAAATTTAAGAGTGAAAATGAAAAGGTTAAGAAAGCTAAAGTGAAATGTGATGATTAATTGAAATAATTACAAAGAGAGAGAGAAGAGTGGGAGAAGTAAAAAGAAATAGAAAAACATGAATTAGAAGAATGGAAGGAAGAAGAGAAAAAAAAAATGCTAAGGGAAAAAAGAGTGTAAGAAAGGCAACAAAAAACGATATAAAATTTGCCCAATAGAAAAGAACGAGAAGAAATAGAATTATTAAAATAGTAGGTTTAAAAATTAACAGAAGAATAGAAATAAAAAGATCAAAAGAATAAGTTATCCTATGATAGATTAAAGAAATAGAATGAAGAATTATCATAAAGAAACTAAGAATTGTAGGCTGAGGTAAAAGCCTTAGAACTTAGATTGTTAGAATAGAAGAGACCAAACTCTTAAGCAACAATTTAATAAAGCAAATCCTAATAAATTTAATTGAAACCCAGTGTTTCTGGACTTTCTTAAAAGAAAGAGGTACCACAATAAAAGAATAGAAGACAAAGCCCAAACAGTTTTGTGGAGGAACAATAAATAAAACATAAATAATCAATATAGGAATATAGGAAATAAGAATCAGATGATGAAAACGATTATGATAACGATAATGATGAGGAATAATAAAATGATGACCTGAGTGATGATAGTTAAGAGGAGAATGATTATAGATAGGAAAAATAAAAAAGAAATTTGTAATAATAAAATACTAAGAAATATGATTTAGTAGAAATGTAGGATGAAGGTATCCCATTTACAATAAAAAATATCAATAGTTTGATTTCGGAATAGGAATTTAATTATGATTAAAATCGTTTTTATCAGGGTTATAGAAAGAATAAGGATGTTCCTTCAAAAATAATTAATCAAAATGTTGGTCCTGATGGTAAAATATCTAGACAATATTCTAATGGTAAAAAAGAGGTAGTTTTCCATAATGGAGTTAAGAGGGAAGTATTTCCTGATGGATATGTTGTAGTTCACTTTACCAATAAAGATGTAAAGCAGACTTTACCCAATGGAACAGTAATATATTATTTTGCTGATGCAAGTACGACTCAAATTACAATTGCCAATGGACCAAATGTATTATATTTAGATAGATTTTTAGATTTATCGTTTTTCCAATTAATAGATCGAAATTCATTTTAATGATGGCACGAAAGAAATTAGATTTGGAGATGGAACTGAAAAGTACATAAATGCCAGTGGTGAAGAGTAGACTTTCTTCAGTGATGGGATAATATAAAAGATTAATAGTTAAAAAGTAAAGTAAATCGAATATCCAAATGGAAATGTAGATATAGTTTATCCTGATGGTCAAATATAGAGACAGTATAGGAATTGATTAATTATATTTGGCGCTAATTATTTTAATTTATATATGAATTAGTGCAGAATTAAACACCATGATTGTCAAAGAATTAAATACATCTGCTTAGACAAACACTGTGATCAGGAATAAAAGATAGGTACTGGAAAATATCTTAGATGTAGGTTGTGCCGATTGTTTTTTGGAATTTCACGTACCAAATGATTTTGGCTCTCATCATAGAAGATTAATATCAGAGTTCGAAGTTGAATTGAAAGGTAAGATAGAAAAATTGGCATCCGTGTCGATTTAGCCAATATGCAATAATTCAGAGAAGGTAGATCAATAATTTGATAATTGCATGAATAATTTAATTTAGAAATTGACAGATTACAAAGAATAAATTAAGTAAGAGATAAACAATGAAAAACTGGATTTTTTAACTTATGTTAATGAATTTAATCAAAAAGTGGATTAGAAGATTGATTTGTAAAATACACAAATATCATAATTATCAACTATTGAAATTAATAAATCCATTTCCTTTTATTAGAATACTAATCATATTATTAATGATCTAAGAAAGGATTAATAAGAATTAGAAATGCATAAAAAGAAATTAAACTAAAAAAACTAAAAACTAGCTTAAAAACTAAGAAATACTTTTGAATAAATCATGAAAGAGTTTCATGATCATAACAACAACAATAATCATAATAATGATACTTCATCTACTCCTGAAAAATAAATCTGTCCCTCTTAATTTAGTAGTACTACACAATCAACCCCAACAAAGAATATTGTGGATGTTGCTAGATCAAAAAAACAAAAAAAAGGGAAGAATTGATATTATAAATGACTTTAAAAATAATATTATTTCATTTCTTTTTAGGATTTATTACTTAATTGGTTAAATAATTTATCTTATATCTTTATACAACTAATTTCATTTAAATTTTGGATGGATGGTTAGTTACACATTTATTAACCATTAAAAAGTCATTATAAACTTAATGAAAGCATTTTATGTTGAATATCTCTGGTTATTTATAAATAAAAATAATAGAAATATTTTACGAATTCTAAGATTATAAATAAGAGGATGATTGTTTCCTTTTTTAAATTTAGGATTGCAATCAATCAAATTAGAGACAATAAATTAATTAAAGTTGTATATTTCTAAATAAAATACATTAGATAATCATTTATATTTATTAATTGCTTATCTCGATAAAGCTAAAGCAGAATTTATTCTATTATTTAGTTCTTGGCTTTCCTAGAATTCGTCGATAGTTGAATTTCGTGCATTAGGATCCAATACAATTGGTGGAGTAGGTAATGGATGTATCATGTAATCCTGTAAGTTTGGTGCTTTTTGTTCCTTGATTTTTGGTTAAGGTGCTAAGTTCTTTAACTTATCTAATTATTATTAATATAGAAGTATTTATTGCTATTGTTATTAAATTAACAGCTATTACTATTGCTACTATTATTCCTATTGTTGTAATAGTTATTGTTATTATCTTAATTATAATTATAAATGTTATTGTATCTGTTATTCTCTTAAAATTTGTTCTTATCTTTGACGATCCGCTTCTTGTTACTTAGGATTATTGACAGGTAAATACTGAGGAGGAACCACTTGTGATTATATTCTAATAGGAGAGGATTGTATTTATTATTGATTATTGGTGATAGGGATGCTTGGCTAAACTATATTCAAACTAGAGGAATCAGATGGAAATCTATTTTAAAAAATCTTTAGGTCTTGTTTAGGAGTGTGAGTAGTTGGTTGCAATGGATTATTTTTAAAGTTCGCTAGATTTTAAGTAACTTCATGGGAGTTCTATATATAAGTGAAATAATACTAATAATTCCATAAAAGTGGGTCTATCTATCTCTTCATACTATAACATTGTCAGGACAATCCTCACTAGATCAGTAGAATATCCAATATTTTGAATTTCTAGTTGTCTCTCCTACAATACTTGTTCTTTTATGTATGGATTATGAAGATCATAATTATAGCACTCAAAGCTATCCTTGAGTGTCATCAACTCCAAGAATGTCATTCCTAATGAAAAAACATCAGACTTTTGAATATCATGAATTGGAATTTCCAACTTTTATTTTAAACCTTCCATCTGTTAAGGTGATAATAAGGCTTATCCTTTTCCTGTGAGTACTATTTGATATCCACTCATAAGTCTTAGAACCCCCTTGGGAATCAGTTTGATAGTATCGTTTTTGTCTAAATAAATTGAATCAGGTTGAATGTGAGTATGCCATTTCTATCTTGCATCAAGAAAATGTAAGGCTAATAATATTTCATGAAGACTCTTCCATAATTACCTTTCTGGAATATAACTCTTATTTGAAAAATGATGTCCACAAACCTATTTCAAGGTCTTATAAACTGCTTCATAAAACCATCTGCTTATTTGTTAATTTGTAGTGAGGTTGGGGTCAATGCATAAACCATAATATTTAACCAAATGATGGTGCTTTAGAAGCATTAGCTATTCATGAAGTTCTAACAATGGCCCTTCATCGTCAGTTGCTGTATTCGAATGTCTTTTTTCAAAGATGGTTGCATATTTTGTATTCTCATTTTTTAATCTATAAAGTTCAACACGATCAATGTGTGGGAAAGATTACCCTCCCACACTTTCAAATTAATCTTCTAGTGATTGATTCTAATTGAAAAATGATTTGTCTGCCGATTTTATGATATATACTTTGTTTCCCATTTTTTAATAAAATTTTATTTAATACTTAAATTTAGCAGTTCATAAATGAATTACAATAAAACATCTTACTAAAATTAATTAATCTCAATCACCAAATAATATCAATAAGATTTCAGTCTAATAATTCTAAAAATTCTTATGAGTTCATTATCGATTAACTTTTGTTTAATAAGAGAGAATACAGAATTCATAGAAAAAGTTAAAAATACATTAAAATATAGAATTAATAGTAGGATCCAGCACTAAATAGATTATTCTTGTTGCTTTCTATGAGCATTGGGATTTCATACTCTCATATTGATATCAATAATTATTTTATAATGAACAGTAAAGGAAATTAAATATTTATTAAAAAGAAATGCTTTAATTAAATGATTGTGAGAGTCTTAAATTTCAAATTTAAAACTTAATAAATTCAATGATTTTTTAATGTCTTAAGATTCTTGAATATAAATTTATAAAAATATAATAATGATTTTTTGGATTGATAACACGAGCATTTATGACTGTAGAACCTATAGTCTCATTAAACCATAATAGTATGATGTTGCTATAATTTTGGATTATATCAAGCAAGAATAGTAGCAAAATAGAATAGATGTAAAGGAGAAATTACCAAAGTTGTTAAAGACTCTAGCTTTATTGCTTATCATCCATAACAAAAATGATATTTTTAGATTGCTCCAAATCTTGGCATCAAAAGATTTTAACTAGACAAAACTTTTCAATGATTTTATGAATAATCCTGCAGCCTTATGGTATATTGAGTAGATGAAGGTAGAACCAGTGTAAATGATTATGCATCAATACATTTTAGGAGAATTTAAGTTCCTAGAAGGCTTATTTCAAAAAATCATCAGTTCTTATGATTAATATTTACTCAAACTACAAAATGGGTAAGTAACTCAAGAGTTTAATTTATAAGGAGAATTGTAATCTAATTAAAATTAGACATCGTAGAATAAAAAGAAAGGTAGATTTCATAAGAATTAAAAACAAGAAAATTAATATTAAATAAATAGAAATCAAGTCTCTGAGGTTTAATTAGATTAAAAGAGTCCTGAAGAAGTCAAGTCTAATCAAGATTCAATAAATCCAATGATAAATACAGAGCAAGCCTAAAAGCAAAATTTAGAAGTTATATAATAGTAGTAAATAAATAAAGAAAAAACACTCATATCATCAATAGAGATAGAGGATAAAACACTCTAATAGTAACAATAAAATGAATCAAATAGATAATAATAAGCATAATAATAGGTAATACAAAATTAGAAGCACCAAAATAATATAGACAACCCAAAGGGATCTTATTTTTCAGAACAACAAAAAATTTCATTGGAATCTGTTTTTAAAGATGATTTACCAGATTAAAAATGTATTTTTTCTTTTATTTTATTTAGTACCTGGGATGGCTACAATGCAATCAGATAAGGTTCAACAATAACAAAACCTCCCTTCTTCTAAATCCAAATCTAATCCAAAACAAAAAGAATAAATTACTGAAATGTCTGAGAAAATAAATAATACAGAATAAATATTAGCAAATAATAATTTTAACAATGAATCAGATAAAATCAATTAGTTAAGTGATACCCTAAGTGATAAAGAACAATAAGAATTTGACTTTTCTCAAGATACAGAATTAATTAAATTGTATGATTTGTTAAAAGAGAAGTGTTAATAGAATTATTGGTGGTCTAAATTCTAAGATAGATGCCATAAAGCAATGAGTGATAAAGAACTTGAGTTGATATTGTTTGAAAAATTACCTATATTAATGAAAAGATGGGCTATCAAAACAAGGAAAAATGTTACTGAAATTGAAACAACTCTTACTAGACTTCATAGAGCACCAGATCAAGAAAAAACAAATATATTGGTGGATAATTAAAATTCTGATGGATAGAAAATAATTCATATTAGTTCTTCTCCAGAGAAATTTGATTATACTAAATTAATTGATGACAATAATCTAAATTAAAATTAGAAAAATTCAATTAAGAACCCATAGGACTTTTAATAGCCTTAAATTCATAAATAACAAGATCATTTAGATTATATCAATAAGGAAAGCAATCATTTTACTTCTAGGGCAGATGATGATACCTTTATTAACCAAAATTAATTACTGTAAAATGAGATTTAAGAAGTAACTCCTTATTAAATAATTGATATTGATAATGAGATATTTAAGAGTTCTCAAGGAGATATCAACAAAAAGGGCTAATCATCTAAAATAATTAAAACAGCTTCAAATAGATTGAATTCAGAAATTACTAAATCAAAGGAAATATAACCAGAAAATGTTGATAAATAGCTTAAATTATAAGAAACTTAATAATAACAGAGTCATTCTAATAAATCAAATATTATATGCATTGAATCTTCAAATGATGAAATCATTTCCAAACCACAATAGCCAACTTTTCAACAATAAAAAGGGGAAGGCATTAAAATTTAAAATTAAAACAATGTTTGTTCAACCTTTTAATAAGGTAACAACTAAATGAATGATGATATTGATAATCTATTTCAAGATAATAATGATATTGATAGTCCAGATTCAATAGTAAGTTCATCATCAATTTTGATCAGTGATTAAAGTAGCATATAGTTTGGTGAAACCTAAGCCAATAAAAAATAAAAAGAGTCCAGAGAATAAATTAATCAATAAAAGAATAAGGATATCTAAAAAGAACCAGAAAAAAATGTGGAGAAACCTAACACCAAAGAACAAAGGGAAGAAGAATAAAAATCTAGAGACAAAAAACTCTCAGAATCAGATATTGATGTTAAAGATAAATAAAAAAATAAAAATAATAAGAGATAACATTAAAAAGAAAGGAGTGAAAATTCAAAAACTAGGTCTAAAAAGGATAGTAAAGAAAAGAAAAGAGCTAAAAGTTCATAATAATCTAAAAGAAAAGAGAAGAGTAAAGATAATAAGAGAAGAAAGAGTAGCGAAAGGAAAAGTGGTCAAGATATTCTCAAATAAATGTAAGCAGAAAAAGAAGCTAAAGAGAGATTAAAGGAGGAATAGAAGAAGAAGGAAAAAGAGAGGATTCATTAAGAGAATATCAAAAAAGCTGAAATAAGGCTACAGAAATTGAGATCTGAAGAAATTGAATTTTAGAAAGAATAAGAGTACCTTTAATAACAAGCTATATAAAAAGAAATTAAAGAAAGAGAATTAAAGGAATAATAATAATATCAACACTAGCATCAACATCATCATCACCATCATCAACATAAGAAATATTAATAAAACTACTAATAATCTTATTAAAATTATAAAAATGATAATTAAATTTAAGAACAAAATTAAAAAACTAAACCATTTGATAGATAAGTTTAAGATTAATAATATGGCAATACAGATGCAAAATTTAAACATCATAATTAGAACCATAATTAGAATTATAATTAGTAAAATCAATAAAAAATATAGGAAAGTTAATCATTTGGAAATAGATCTTAATAATACAATTAAGGCCATGAAAAATCAATGATGCCCCACTCTCAATAAAACAAACAATGGGATTCATAAAATAATTAATAATTCCATTAGCAAAACTAGAAATAAAATGATAGACACTAAAGAAACTAAAATTCCAATGAATAAGTTAATGCCCAATAAAATCAATAGTAATAAAGATAAAACAGTTATGCATTTCCCTTAGAATAGTATGGAATTTAAGAATTTTTAACTAAAAAAGACTAGACCATTTAGAAAAACATTTAAAAATCAATTGTCAATCCTGTCTAATATGATCTTGAATAAGTACAATCTCCAAGCATAAAATAAAATAATTATAGGAAGTAATAGTAGTAATAATAATAATAATAATACCCATAGCAATTTTAGTAGTAATAATATGAATCATAACAATAATAATAACCATTTTAATAATAATAATAATATTAGCATCCATAATAACAATAATTCTATAATAATTAAAAACCAAGGGATAATAAATTTAGAAACCAGTCCCCTCATCGTCAATAAGGGTTTTATAGGTAAAAATAAAATTATTAGAATCACTAAGAACCTCACATAAAAAAGCAAAGAAAATTTAATCCTTATCATGAATAATATTCTAATAATTAAAGCTTTAATCACAATCAGGGGCCATCCAATATGCATGCTTAGCCTTACCCTTATTAAGATTAAAGGAATAATAATTAGATGCCTTACAAGAATTCTAGTTCCTACCCTACAAGTCCAATCCATTCATCAAATTAACCATCAAAGCAATAAATGTTTGAATTTTTTTGTTCGATGTTTTATGATAAGTTCTAGTAGACAGAGTGAGAAAGCTTTAATAATTTTTAAATTACAAAATATTATTTTAATATATACCTATTAATATTTAATTCTACTCTTTTTTTTTTTATCCACAACTAAACAAATACTGTTGAATATCAAATTATAAAATATAAATTATTTATTTATTATTATAACTCTCATTATGCTAATGCAAGGGCCACTTTTGTTTTTTAATGATTATCTAATTATTCATTTAATGAGGAGTTTTATGATCTTAAAGCTTCAATTTCAGCAAATGAAACTACTAATAAGAAACTGTATTCATCTATTTTATATTGAAGACTGTTTAATTTGGAATATTCAAACTTCCATTAGCCTAAATCCTAAAAAATATTCAACTATAGAATTATACCTTTTCTAATTCAACAATTTTTGAATCTGCTTCATTCAAATCATGAGTTAATTGCTCAACTGAGATTTATAGTTCGTTAGACTTATCTTCCAATTTCTTAGCTTTAAACTCATATCTCTTAACTTCACTACTTAATAAAGCCATTTTATCTTCATATTTATACTGATAATATTATAGAATATAAATACTTTGATGTCTTCAAGTTCTGCAATCTTACTCTCTAATTATGTAATCTTTTATTTAAACTATTCTATTATTTCATCTTTTGATTGTGACTCCTTTTCTAATTTCTTAATTTAATTCTAAAGATCCTCTTAATTGACTAGTAATCCTTCTATTTCAGCAATTTGTTATTTAAGTTGAGTAATTTCAGCTGATTTATTTTAATTTTCATCAGTTAATTATTATAATTGGTTTTCAAGCGAACTCAATTAAGTTTTTAATTCATTAATATCTTCTAGTTGATTATGTAAATCGTTTAATTCTTAATCCATTTTCATTAACTTCTTAGTTTTGTTGATCAATTTCCCCTTACTTCTTTTAGTTGAGTACTTTTAATCTTTCAATTTCTGATGAAAGCATAGCTAATTTATTTTCCATTTATTCCTTCACATGAAGTAACTATTGATATTGTTAATCCAATTATTCATGTTTTTATTTCCACAATTTTAATTCTTTTTCTAATTCAGCTATTCTGTCATTAAGACTTTCAATTTCTAATTTTAAGGCATCCATCTCAGCCAATTAGGCTTATTGATCTTATATGATCTTTTTCAGTTCATCAACGTTTTCCATTTTTTCAAGTTTATACTTCATACCTTCGATGTGTGTTGAAAGCATGGCACATTTACTTTATAGATCGTATTTCTCTTATTCTGATTATTAAATCTTCTCCTCTAAATCCTTTCGGCCTTATTTCTCATTCTATAGTTGTTCTTACAACACTGAATTTGATTCATGTAATTGTTGAATTTACACCTTCAAAGTATCAGAGGATAACAAGTCTTTTTGTAATTATTGATTTTATTATTAATGATTTAAGACCTCTTAATTCTTTTATACAATTGTTTAATTCAACCTCTGATTTTCTTGTTTCAATAAAGTTAATCTATTTTATAAATCCAAAGTTGGGTCCTCTTCATTGGCTAAATTGGATTCAGATACCTTCTTATAACTTTATTACAATGAACTTAATTATTATTATAAATCTGAAATAACTTGTTCTGAATTAGCTTGCTTATGTACTATATTTTAAGCTTTTTGTTCATCTAATTGTCTTCTCAATTCTGCAATATTGGTATCTTATTAAGTTGATTGTCCTCTTAGTTTTTCTAATTCAGCTTAATAGTTCTAATTCATTTATTATTGTGCATCGTATTTACTCTATAATTAGTGTAGTTGTTCTTTAAGTAAATTGAGATCTGATAATTATTGCTCAGCTGCTTTTAATTATTCAGTCTTTTAATCATTTAGATATCTTAATCTTTGAGATTCAGCACTCAACATTGCTACCTTATTTTCTAAATCATATATTTTATTATTAGCATCCTAGAGCTTTTATTCAAGTTCCGTAATTGCTTGTAATTTCTTCTCTAATTCATTAATTGTACTATTTGCTTATTCTAATTAACGTATTAAATCTTCATTCTACTTTTATAATTCATCTATTTCATTCAATTATTCTTAGAGTCTTTTCAATTCTTCTTGTTCTTATAAAATTTTATCATTCTTCTATTTCAATTAAACTTTTAATCTTTCTATTTCTGCTGCCAACATACTTACTTTATTTTCTAATTGCATTTTCTCTTCTTCTAATAGCTTAAATTTGTCTAGATTTTTCAATAATTCAGCATTCTATTAATGCAACTATTCATTTTATCTATGTTGCTAATCTAATTCCTATTGCAATCTTTAATTTTCTTACTACAATAAGGATAATGATTTAATTTTTTGGTTTTATTCTTAAATAGTTAAATCTGCATTATTAAGATCAATATCCTTTTATTGTGATTATTGTTATAGTTATTAAAGTTCTGCACTTTTATCGGTTAACAACCTCTTCAATCTATCTAACTCTCCAATCAAACCCTAATGTAATTTTAATTATCCTTTTGTGGCTTCCAACTCTATTTATAGCTTTTGTTTATCATCATTCAAATTATGAACTTAAACAGTGAGTTTATTTTATTCCTGATTTAAGGCATCTATTCTTGCAACAGATTCCTTTTATGCTGATGAGAGTTGTTAATGTTGCATATCAAGATTCTATTTTAGAGAAAAACTCTTACATTATATTTAATTTTGCATTAATCTAGTTGTTTAAGAGCATCAGTTAAATCCTGTTAGAGTTTCTTTTAGCTATTCTACCACTCTTATTTTTCTCTATCCAATTGAGCTTTTAGAAATTGTACTTCTGTTGGATTGTATTCAGCTAACTTTTATTTTAACTCATCTATTTCCTTTTGCTTCTTTTAATCATTTTCTATATATTTTAGTTTCCATTATTCAATCATCCTTTCTTTACCTTCATTTTGATTGTGCATATCTTGCAATGCTTATTGAAATGCTTCCAATTCCTATAACTATTCTTAGTATTCTCTACATTTTTGTGACAACTATTAATTAGAAAAAATTAATACTTAGCCTATTGTATCCTCCCTTTCACCAACTAATTTTTTCAATCTTTCCACTTCTACTTATTAATTCAGTAGTTTTTGATTTTCAATTACTAAATCATTCATTTCTCCTCTTTATTTGTCCATATCCGCCTGAACTTTGGAAATATCAATTTAGAACTTTTTGGCATCTTCTTGAGACCCCAAAATCCTTGATTGTAATTCATCTTTCTTAAATAGTCAGATTAATTGAGTACTATTTCGTTTTCAATATCATATTTAGCCAATTAAGCCTCTAATGTAAAATATTTTTTCTTCCACAACTCCAATTCATCCTTATACTCATCATCATGTTCTTTTGATTTATCATATGAAACAGGGTTTTTCTCTTTTACTATTACTGTGGTTGGTAAATTTTGGGCTGCTGGAATCACATAAGAATGACCCATGTTGGATGCAATTGGAATAACTAACTCATAATAACAATCACATACTTCTACTGGGTGATCTGACTGAAATAGCTTATGAAGACTATGGTCTAAAGGAAGCCATTCTTAAATAATTAATTATTAATAATAAAGATATTTTTATCAAATATATGAGACACCTATCAAAATTTAGATAGTTATTAACTTTTGTATTGTTAAAGAACCTCTCAAGCATTCTCACATCCATTTTCAACTAGTTACTTTACTACAAATCTCAATTTTTAATATTTTAGCATTATCTACCATTATGATCTCCCTTAGATAATGAATTAATTTTGAAAAGGCCTTAATCAAATTGATTTCATCGAAATATTTGTTGTCTATAGTGCAATATTAAATATGCTAATGTTTTCCAATTTACTTAGGAAGGTTAAAATCAGAGGGCTTACTATGAAGACTGCAATATGAGAGTATAACTTCATTTCATATATGAATTACTCATCATATGAAAATATGACAGATATTAAAGTGTGTTCCCAATTAAGTGTACATTGTTTATAATGAGGGATATGAAAAATCTGTAGACACAATAGTAAATTTTATAATTCAAAAAAGTGATATTTATTCCATATAATTATTAATGGATAATTAATGATCTTCTGTCAACTTATTCATAGATTTCGATAAATCTTATAGTAATTTTACAAATTGTAAATTTATTTGTTTGATTCTGCTTTTTATTTAAAAATACTGTTTATTTTTGTTATTGATATTTTCAATCTTGGATTTTGCTTTATCTGATATCAAATCACCCAATAGTATATCGTTTTATATTTTATGAACTTTGACACTAACCATGGCACATAAATGGATGAATAAATATTTATCCAAAATAGCAAATGATGAAAACAATACTAATCATATATTTTAAATTACCTAATTATAAGGTTTTCAATTTGGCAAACATTGATCAGAGATTACCAACTTTATATGATTTTGGATAACTAAAAACCTTTTGTTGATCTATTAGCAATTTAACGAAACCTGATGATTTATACTTCTTCCTTATGATCATAGTGTTAAAAACACCTCTTATATAAGAAATGCGACTATAAGGAACTAATTTCTAGTTTGTTTATTTTTTCATATATTTTATTAATTAATCATAAATCAGTATATCGAATTACTTCTATCTTTAGTTTTTTAATATAAATCCGCTTTATATTAAATGGACATATTATATTTATGTTTACTTATTGTTTATTCCTTTTTACCTGTAATAACGAAAATTTTTAGTTTCTAAAGATTATTTGTAAGTTTTATTTAAGAAGCGATTAAAATTTCATTTGTTTTTTCTAGGTCTTAAACATATCGATACAATTCATCTAGTTTGGTCTCAAGTGATTTTGTTAATAGTAATTCATCCTGCAACTTTTATTTATATTGATTAAGTTGTTTATTCAAAGTTTTATTTGAGTCTGCCAATGAGGTCAATTAAATCAACAATTTATTTGGACTTATGAATTGTCCCCCTCTGCCTTAACTGGGAGTTTGAGCGTTTGTCTATGGATAAATCTTTTTATCAATTGTTAGAAACTATTCTAAGGGAAGGTGTTATTCTTCAGATTCCTGTTGTTTCTCAACATTAAGTTATTGGATCTTGCGAGCTTTATTAAGATCAAGCTTGGGTACTGTGATTAACTAATTAGGATTAGGAGGTTGTTTAACTTTCATTGGGAGTGACTCCAAAAAATAACTTGAATCATTGATATCTGGACTTTATTCTGAATTTAATTTATTTTCTGCATTCTTATCTGTGGTTAATAAATCCAACAATAATGACATCTTTTTATTCTCTTACCTGAATAGTTTATTCTCCTAATAGTAATAGTTCAGAGCTTTGCTCATAGTCTCAAGTTGATTCTAAAAGATTAGGTACTCACTTTACAAAGGTATTTACTTAATCTATAGTATAAAATAATTACGATTTTGGTTTTGAGACGTTTTCTAGAGAGAATGTTCTACAATTAATCACTCAATTCTTAGATTTGATTATCTTTTCCTAGAATTTAATTTTAGAAATCAATTAATTTCTGATGCTTTTCAGCCTGGATATCGAGTATTCTTTAAGAGTTTTCAATTTCAATTTGTTGTAATAGGAGATTCTAAAATAATATATTTAACTAACTTGAGCTCTCAATTAATCTCTCTACTTTCTTAATTCTTCATTGATGGATAGTAGTTTATTATTTTCATCCATCAAATTTGCTATCACGAATTAAGTGTCATGATAATCATTTGCATCAGACTTGCAAACTTCAATTGACAACTATGGACCACTTGGTAATGACTGAATTCAATAATTAAAATACAAAGTTTGTGCTTGCTTATCCTCCTTGGATTTTAATAATTTGTTTATTTAATTATAGGAGATGTCTAAGCTCTGTGTTTTCGTCTTAAAGTAGCTTAATTTCTTATTATAAGAAATTCAATTTTGTATTAAAACTACTCATTAATTATAAATTAAATTTTCAAAGTCCCCATATATATATATATTTGTATTTAATCATTGACGAACAATTACTACTTACTTATTAGGACTGATATTATGTATCTATTGAAGTGGAGGTTTCTTGGAATATGGTTGATTTTATGACAAATTGTGAAACGAAGTCTTGTTGATGGATAATCTATTTGAGTTAACATCAGGAAGTGAAGGAACTCTTCTCTCTTTTACTAGGTTCTAGGAGGGACTTGTAAAACTGCAATTATGCACTCTCAAGTGAGGAGACAGTCTCTATTTATTAATTCTACAAATTTACTTTAACTTCTTGAAAACTGTTCTCTTGAATAGAATTCGTTCTTGGTTTTTGTTATTACCTGGACAATTCTACCTTAAGTTGATTGTTCTCTTGTTTGATTTCTGACAACTCCTTTAGAAGTGAAGCTATTTATTGTTATTCAGTTTAACCTCTTGTTCTCTAATAAAAACATGAATATGAATACTTGCAAATTTTTTATTTCGTCTTAGGCAAATGCCAACTCCCTTTGCATAAAATAAATCTAATCCTTGTGAGTCTATTCTTGTTATTCGAATTAGTAATTTAACTACATGATGTACTAGTTTAGTTCTTCCAATTATCTGAAATAAATAGCATTTCTTACTAATCATAGTTTTAATATTTCTCCACTTATGCCTTCAATTTATTGATCTCAGATTGCTTTGATTCTAAAAGTTAGCTCATCTTTTACAATTGGCTTTCTATATAGTAATTCATTTTTGAGTCTTTTTGAGATATAACCGTTAATAAATTAATATATATTCTCTTTGTAATAGTTCTGATGACAACCAATTTATTTTGAATTTTAAAGTGAAATTCTTATTAATATCACTACAATACAGCCTAGTACTATCAATCCTAAAGGCTTAGAATATGACTCAAAGAATTACTAAATCTAATCCCAAAAATCAACAGTGTATTAGAATTATATTAAGCTATAATTCGATTTCTATATATAAAGGAGTGTAATTATATGATACCCTTTGAGGTATTTTAATGTTTGCTAGAATCAGAAGTTGATAGTATAAAAGAGAATATAAAAATTTTAATCAATGTGAAAATTAGCTTTGATGAATGATTATATATTAATTAATTAAGTTAGGATAAATTGTATTGTAAAATATATATTTTTATTTTTACCATGCAAGAAGAGATACCCTTCGTTATTTTAAGTTATATTACGTTGCAAAGATCGTAAGCAAAGATTTATTATCAAAGGCTGTGCAGATAAGAAATCTAAAAGAATGAAATATTACTTTGCTAATAATACTTTAATGAGGATGCACATATGGAGCACAGTAATAATGTGCTTGAGATAAAACAATTCCTTGCTAAATTCAGCTAATCTATATACTAGGGCAGTAGTATAAAACTTCATTAGAATAGTTTTAAATATTCATGAAATCTTAAAATCTATAACTATATTCAGATAATATTGACACTTAAAAGACTCTAGCGGCTTCGGCTATGATATTTATAGTAAAACCGTTCTAGATGCACTTGCAATAAATTAAAGAAAGCATATTTCGAAAATTTGACTAATTTTACTCAGACTGTGAGTCATTATTGAATAAATCAGTAGGCAATTCTATTCTAGATTCTTTCTTGAAGCCAATTCATTTTTATCTGCACTTATCTGACTAGTAATTTAAGATAATTCAGAAGAATATCTAAGAAAAATAAAACTAATTCATGATAGTATTTAAGAATATCTATAGGATTCATTCATAAAATTGTTAATAGCAAATGAGTCGCCAAAGATTTTGAATCTGATTAATAAAGATAAATACTCGACAATATAAGAACCTTATAAAACTATATTTAGGTTATTGTTTTAATTAAGAATACCTCCCTTAATCTCCATAATTAGTGTAATAATGTATTAATTTTTAATAAAACAGTCAAATGAATCCTAAAACAATTGTAAGTGAAATGAATGGGCTTTCAGACTCAATTATTATTGGTTAATCTGGAACATATTGTAAATTCAGTAGGGCCTTAGATCTTACGAAAAAAGAATGGTCCCATTTAAAATTGAATAGAAAGTTTACATTAAATTTTACAATAGGGGGGTAGTGATCGGATTATCTAATTCAACATTTGTTATGAATGCTTAAAATGATTCCAAATGGAGGGTGTTTGACACTCAAAAAAGAAATCTTTATTGGCATTTGATGGGCATACTCAACGGATAAACTGGATAGAATCATAATCACCGAACACTTTTATAACAGAAGCAGATGATGGTTAAGTTTATTACTGGATTTATTAAGGACAAACTGCGAAAATATAGGATAAATGTACACTTTCAAATAAACCCATTTTATCAGGTCTAAATTTGCAAAATAATTCATTTGCATTTCTAGATGCTGATGGAAGATTGGAATATAAAGAGATGACCAAACTAGAATTATTTCTAAATTTTAGTATTTAAAAGTACAAGATAGATAAAAATAATATAAAATGGAATTGATTAAACCTGAAGAATTGTTTAGTGTATACATGGCTGGAGAATAAGGAGCAACTATAATTTAAGTAAATTATAAGGAGAAATTATTAAGAAAGGTGAATACAAACATGTTGCCTTGTAGTTTAACGATGATCCCATTATCAATTGATGAATGGCTGATTGCACCTAGTATTGGTATTAAGGTATGCAATACAAACAGAGATTACATTTTATATGGTAATGATATTGACGTTGTACTGATGGAATTCACTCCTTCTTAAGTAACATATGCTCTTTGTATTCCAGTTGAGAATTGTTAATGTCTGCAATATCGAATAGAGATAATGGTTAGTATAAAATTCAATAAAAAGATTTGGTAATTGATGGAATAATCTAACTTTCATCTAAGTATGTATTATTAATATGATTTCAGACTAAAATCTAGAGTCCAATTAATTAAAAACCAAGACAAAGTGATGATGGCTATTGTGGATTAGTAAAAAATGAAAATTTTTGATATTACTATAAAATGAATAAATTAAAAAAATGCATAAGGCATTTAATAGAGATCAAATTTCTAGTTGGCCATATGGTTATTTTTCTGATTGTGTCTTTAATTGAGAGTTAAGAATGGCATATTAATTAACTATATTAATTAAAATGATCGAAAAATCAAAAATTCGATAAATGCTTCTTGATAAATCGTTAGGATAGATTTTGAAAGTCGATGGACCTGTAGAATGCATTCAAAATGAGGATCAATTAGTTAATTTACAAGCCTTTCATTAACATTTTCATACAACTGCCAAGAGAGAGCACTCAGCTACATCCAGATTCAGAAACAAGGTTGACAAAATATAGGATGAATTTTGGAAATGCATCAGACCCAGAACTCCTTCAGTCTCTATCAATTGTAGATAGAGAGTGACGATATTTGAAGAACAAAAAGATTTTCAACTGCAGTAAGCCACTAATTTTGTAATTCCATGGGAGCCAACGAGAAAACACATTCCACTTGATAAATAAACGAAAAGAAAATCGTGGCATACTTAAGTCGTAATGCCTGATTTGAGTAGCGATCCTCCAAAACCGAAGACCATTTGCTATGTCAACTATTCTAAAGGATCGTTTAATAGATAGAGACCAACATCATAATATCATATAGATGATAGGAAGGCAACATAAACATACTTACATTTGAAGTACATTATAATTAAAAAAGACCTAATTTTTATAGAAGAAATATGGATTTTGCAAGATTGGTTGATAGGAATAATGCATCTCCTTATATCAATAAATTCTGAAATATCTTCTCATATCTAATGGATTCTTATTTTCAATCCAAAGGTCCTTTTCAACGGTTTCTAGTTTGCGTTTGAAAAATTTAACATCCTAATCTGCTCTTTTAATTTCAACACTGGGAGTGTTAGGATCAGCTTAGAGAGCATCAAATCTAGATTGGGCTTAGTCTAATTTATCTTTAATGAAGTCTCTCTCTTCTATCAACCATGTTTTATTGTATTTACTGATATCCACAATCTTACCTGTCTCCTACAATTACTTTTATTAAGATTCTTCATATTTGGCAATTTCATTCTTTGTAAACTCAATATATCCCATTCTAGCGAAATCACTTCTTCTTCTTTTGGTTTCTACAACTTTAAACACTTATTCTTTTGGATCTTTGAATTTAGGTACGATTTCATTAATGAGCTTCTTAATAGCAAATTTAGTAGTTAGAATACCTAATTAGTAGTAAATAGATGCGATACCCATTAATCTATTGATAGCATTGCCTCTATTTTTGCTGGCATCTTATCCCATTTTGAATGTCTTATGAGCTACAAATTGGAGTGCTCTGGCTTTGGCCCAAGTAGTGTGAATACGTTCATGTGTCACTAATTGGGTCATTTGAGTTCTCCACAAATGCCATCTCTATTTTGATGTTCTGGCTAATCCAAATCTCTTAGGATCAGATAATCTATATCCCATAATTAATATAATTAATAAAATAATATTTCTTAATCACTTTTTATTGCTAGCTCCTCCTCCTCCATACTTGACCTTCCCCAATAAGAATTCACAAACTGCCAAAGGAGCTTTCTCCTTCATTTCCTCTAGTGATACCCATTTGGATTCAGTGGACTCATCAAAACAAACAAAGAATTCTATTCTCCCACAATCATGTTTAACTGATTTCACTTAGCAAGCCTTGCTTTTTCTTGGTTTATGAGCAGTATTCCCAATAGTATTATTAGTCTAAACGCTGTCAGTGTCTTTTGCTTATTTTTATTTTTCAGGTGCTTTATCTAATGATTTATCCCTTTTCTCACTCTATCTCCTCTCTCTCTTTTGTTCTTCTGGTTATCTGACAACTTAGGAATCTTGCTTGATGTGTTTTTATGGTTTTGGTTCCTGAGGATCAAATCCCAAATTTCTCAATTCAAAATCATTAACCAACACTAACATCTCCTGAGTTAATTGAGTCATGGGTTCAATAGAAACAGAATTGTTGCTCCATCTAAATTTGTAGGTGATGCCATCTGAATTCACTTTTTTCTTGATCAACTCTATTGGGTGTTTGATATTCATTTGGGAGATAATTATATTCTTGTAGAAACCCCAGCCCAGTATAAGTAGGACAAATATTCGAATGGTTTATCAAAATAATATATAACATTTATTGTACATCATTGAATTAAAAATCTCTTTAAGGATTTTATGGCCTTCTCCTATGATTTATTCAATTCAAATGAATGTTTTACTCCTTCCAAACGAGCTAAATTCGATATATTAAGTTACTTCTTTCAGCTATAAACAATTTTCCTGGGTCATTCTATTATCCAAAAGATGGCATCGTTGGCATTCCCATCATTTACATCTACATCTACATTTGAGTGTCTAATAATACTCAAAAAACACTCAATACCATCAACAAACTCGTCAGTATCATCTCCAAACATCAATTACTGAATCTTTTAAAGACCTCCAAACAACAACACAAAGTAAATACTGATACTACTTATATATCTAACATCTAAATTTTGCACATCTACTCCTCTCTATAACATTGTTCTGAATTTCTAAGTCAAGGGAAATGGGACTTTGCCAATCACAAAACCAGAGAAAAAATAAGAAACCCATTAATATTGAAGTGCCATGAATACAATTCCACTTAAATTTTGTTTTAGCATATCAGCCATGGCAGCTGGATTCATCATTGACATTGATTGCATTGGATCCTTTGCTGGCTTTTCACTTGCCTTTGTTAATATGCCTGACTTATTATCGCATAAATGAGCCCTCTTCATCTTAAAAGAATGATCTGGCAATAATCCATATAATCGTGCTAGTCTTTAAGATTGTTGAGTTATATTTCTAATTATGTTGTCTACTCTATGTACTTATCAATCATCTCTGAAACTTAAGCTTTTGATGTCACTTTTTGCGATGTCTTTTTATTGTCCATATATTTTGTTAACAATCCTCTGAACATCTGAATCATAAACATCACAATTATTATTGGCAAGAATACCCAGTCCCTAATACGATCATCAATCAATATATCACTCATTAAATTATAATAATTTTATAATGAAATTATCTCTTCTTTCTATTCATTTTCACCAAAAATCTCTAATCTCCAACTCTTCTTCACTGCATTCTACAATCTGCCATAAGAATTATCTTCCTATACTGATAATTTGATGTCACATTTCAATCTACTTAATTTGAATCATAAATTGTTGGATAAACTTGCTTCAACTTAGAATTTACTATAATTCAGAGAATTATTTCATTTTAATTATAATGATTCTCAAATTATTAAGGTAATCAATTTACAGATAACATTGCTTAATGACTTGATATTTTAAATAAAATTTAATTAATTAATTTTTTCGAATTTAAATTGTGTATATAATCAAATATTTGTGAATCATTTCAACATTATTTGCACTTGAAGATCGATTGTAACATCTCTAATTTAATATATTGCTCTATACGTTCCTAATAGATTTCACAGATTTTATTGTTTTAATATGTAAGTTTTTTTAAATTAAGGAGAGTAAAAGGGTAGGAAATTCGGAAAAGTTTTGATAATTTTATGTTTAGATTATAGCAAATTGAGGGAGCTTTGAGCATATATATATTAAATTTTCAATTAGTTGTAATAATTATGAATAATTTACTATTTAATCGATGGACCTTGAGATTTAGAAACCAAGACTTTGAAGATTTGTATGAAATTGAGATGAGTAAATACAGGCTTCATTATTTTCGCATCATAGAGATAGTCGTTATGCTTTTAAGTTTCTACTTTTTTATTATTTATTTGATTGATGGACAACATTTGGTTTTGATAATCTCGTTGGCTGTTTTAGGTGCATTTATCTTAGGTGTCCTGATAATTACTAAAATATTTGACAAAAAGATAAGATATTATTACTTTTTTATGTACCTAATGTCTATCATCATCAGTGTGTACATAGCCACAGAGACTAAATAAAAGTAATTTGTTCTCTCGATTTTAGGGCTCTCTATTTGTATGGATTTTACAGTGGGTCAATTTCAGTTATCCAGTATCTCTTTAGCAGTTTTCGCTTAAGACTATTAGCATTTGTAATTGTTCCTACAGTTTAACTATATATATTAGACGCTCTTACTAACTAAGATTTCTCATATATCATCCTCATGTTTGCATCACAATTTTTGGTTGTCATATACTCCCATTACAATGAATTTATGTTTAGATTAGCGTTTTCTTACACCCATCTGAATGCTAAATATAGGTAATCTATTGTAGTTTTATAATAGAGAACTACTAGAGGAATATGTACCACATTCTTTCTTTGCAATAAGTTTAAATGAACACAACAATTCCTTTTAACTAGAATTCTTAAATCAATAGGCTAAGAATTAATTAAATATTGAAGATACAAAGTCTATGATCGAAGTTTTGAGGAATATATAGGTTTCACATAAGAATTAAATACCTACATTTGTGGATTTGTCCTCTATTCCAATGCAAAAGTCAGCAGACTTGTCAGCAAAAAAAGTGTAATAGAAGCGATAAACATTGGAAGAGTACTCTTTTTACAAAATTAAACAAAATTTATCGATAAAACACGATGATCTTAAACTTATTGAGAATTTGGATGGAGTGTATTTTGAGAACGAGAAGGAAAAAAATAAAATTCTCAGTATTGATATTAGATAACTTACATACGGAAAGAATTACCTTTTATTTGTTTTAAAAGAAGAGAAGCCACAATAAGTGATGACTAAAAATGAAGAACAAATCAAATTTCTCAATAAAATAATCACTTCTGTGTCAAATCAAATATTGGCATTGCTATCTAATCTTTCGAGTGCCATCTTGAATCTGAATTCTGTAGGCAATGATAAAGTATGGTCTATCAAATGCTTAAATCTATCAATAATGAATTAATTTTAAAACTTTTACTATTTTGTAAATGCTTGTAGAATAAACAATGATTCAGTAAGTTATAAAGTTGTTAATCTAAAGAATTTTATTAAAAATTTGGAACCCTATTTCTAATATATGTCAGATGCATTGAAGAAAAAATTTGTTATCTAACTGTGTTTAGAAGATTGCAATGTCAAAATCAATTCTAAATTTCTTTCTTAAATAGTTATGAATATTTTTGAATAGTGTCTAGCTTAAGCAGATGTCAATACAATTATAACATTAACTATTAGAACAGAACTGAACTTAAATCCGCTGAAACAAGAGAATATTCCTCTAGAAAATAGTTGTATTAAAGAGTTTGATTTCATAAAAAAAGTGGTCTTGGAATCAGAAGAGAGTCCCACTAAAACAGATTTTCAGAAATTAATCAAATTTGAGTTCTCTTTTCTTACCGAAAGATTTATTGAACTTCAACCGTAAACTCAAATTATTCTAAATCCTAAGTCTTTTGAAGACTTTCAAAGCAACAACAATTAAGACTTCATATTAACCTACCCTATAACTAATTTTTTACTCAAAAAAATAGGACCTTATAATTCAGTTCAGCAATCTCAAAACGTGTATTATGAAAACAACTCAGTCTAAAAAGATTTCATGAATGTGTTTCCTTCCATGATGGATTTAATCTAAACACACAATGTGTATTAAAATAAACTATCCTTCTATATCTACACTGATCAAACCTAATTAACTTAATCATTTATAAAGTTTTTGCATTAGAAATCATTTTTGGATTCTTGATTGTATTATTAAACATCAACCTTATATATCAAACCAAAAATCGCTTTGTTTTAACCCACTTCAAATATTCATTTCAAATTCTTAATCAATTTATACTAGTAAATTATTTCTTCACCAATTTTCTATTTTTCTTTAATGAGTGAAAGGGCTTATGAGTTCCCCTTAAAAACTATTAATATCTATTAGATCTGCAATTATTTATAAACTTTCCCTTGTAAGTATTACCTCCAAAATTATATTATTTAATAATGAAAATACATTTTAACTCTCCAATAAAAAACTTAATTTTAATACTTTCCAAAAATAAATAGTATATCAGTTAAAAGTAGCTCCTGTTTTTTTGATATATCACTGTAATTAATAATTCCGTTTCCATACATTATAATTACATTACATGAACAAACTAAGCCTTCTATTTACAAACTTTCAGATAGAAAATATTAATATTATTTATATATGCGAAATAAAAATTTCCAATCTTTTGAACCCTTCAAGACTTATTAATCTATTAAATTGAGCACTTTAATCTAAGACATCCATTAAGCTGGAAGAAATATGTATACTGAGTCTGAACATACATCCAATTTTGATTCTGCATTGCCTTGTTTGAAGAAAGGCGATTAAAGAAAGTTTGTTAATCGCATCTTTTAGAGTTATGAGATGGAAAAAAAAGTAGTTCAACAAGGACTTTTGACTCCGCAGCATCTTAATAAATATTTATAACCAAGAAAAAGTAACTTATACTACGACTATATTTAGAACATTTCGATTTGAAAAAATAAATAAACTTCTTAAAAAAAACTAAGTTTTAAACTTGTATTTAGAAGCTTAGAGCTGCAAATATCATATTGAATGGGCAAAAAAGCTAATAGGGAAAAAATGAGATAATCCAAGAAACAATAGAGAGTAAAAAGGGTCAATTGCATGATATTGAGTTCATCTAAAAAATGAATGAATGTTAATTGTAATAAAGAATGGGGAAACTGATTAAATTGAAGTCAGCACCATTTTTATTCAGTAATCAAATAACAGAAGGTTGAGTCAAAATTTAAAATTTCTTAAATCTTTTTATTTTTATTCTAATATTTTTAAATAATTTAATCTAATAAAATAAATTAAAATAATAAATACATCTACCTCACTAAGAATTAATACTCCTCCTATCCCTCATATCAACACTAAAGTCTCATATAATTAGCATAATCTTAATAAGAATTCAGATCTAGAATAGATTAATTGAACATTGAATTTTTAGAATAATTTTATTATAAATGTAAAAATGATAATTTTTTAACTTGAGTAATATAGTTCAAACTCAATATTTTCTGTTATTAATCTGTGGACGTAGTAATACTTGTCTATCTTATTATCGAAGTCTATAATATAACCAAAATTATTACTAATATTTTATTAAATTCTAATCTGATGCATGTCTCTGATAATTATCAATTGGATAGAAATGATTATAATTGCCAGCAATAAAGTTATTCTATGGTTTAGGATCAGACTTAATCCTGTCTATTTGTTAAAAAATATTATTGGATTATTGCCTTGAAGCTTTTCCAGCAGGCCTAATTGCCTATTATTAGGCGGGTGATGAAAATTCTTTTTTCAAATTAGTATCAGATTATCTTTATTTAACAACTTTGGCTGAGGATGGAAACACTTAAGGCCTTTCAGATTTCTAAGATTCTCTAATATTAGATGATGGTAAAGCAGATTGTGGATGAGCAGGGTACCTTTCTGTAACTGGCTTTTGAAAAGGACTGTATTATTGTCTAGGAGCAGCAGATTAAGGAGTTTATGATATTCTATGCTGAGGTATTTCCTAATTATAGGGTCTGCTATATTGACTAGGATAGTTTTGACTCACGTTGATTGACTGGCTATTTATTGGTCTCTGTTGCAATTAGTTACCATAATTGACTCTTTAGCCACTAAATAGAAATAATGTAATACTTATAACCCTATTATTATTCCGCTTGTCTAGTGATAGGAGAATAGGAATGTTGACTTCTTGGTTATTGTTAGTTCATATAGTTAGCATTCTAATAGTCTCGAGGTTAAGCTGAGATTGGAGAAACTCTTCTAAATTACTGTTATTCTTGTTATTCTCTTTGTTGCTTCTCCATTAAAAGCCTTTATTATTCTCTACTCTCTCGAAGTTTGGCTTCCTGAAGTTATCTCTCTTTAGCTTCTTGGATTTATCTCTCTTTAGCTTCTTGGATTTATTTCTCCTTAGCTTCTTTGGCTAATTTAGCCTCTCTAGCATCTCTCTCTCGTTTTTCTCTTAATAATTAGTCTTTTTCTCTTTATTATCTGATTTCCCTTTCTTTTTGTTCTTTCAATTCATGTGCTCTTTCATAAGGATTTTATCTTGAATTAAGTTAGGCAGACTGAGGCTTTTCAGTTTTATTATTGTAAGATTATTAGCGAATTTGAGGTTGAGGTTGCTGAACGCCAATTGAATTTTTATCCAAAATAGAATTATTTTTAATTTACTAAGGAGAAGATTGTTGTGCTTATATTACATTGACTTGGCTTTAACTTTAACTTTGGCTGATTCCTGATTCGGTAATAGGTAGGTATTATTGTTGAGGGTATCGAAATGGACTTGTAGATTTATCAGTAGATTTGTTGTCTTAAACTCTATCAGCACTAACATTTGGATTAACTTCATCGTAATTTGACTTAATAATTTAATTTAATAATACCTTTGGCAATTTATTTTTCAATTATTTAAAATTATTTGGAAATTGAATAGTTTCCATAAGAGTTTTATTAATTGGTTTTGTTTCTATGTTAGTTTCTAAATTCTTCATATGTTTTTAAACAATAGGATTAGCAAGTATCTAATCACAAGTTGGTCTTAGATGAGGCTATATTTGCAATAAGCTCGAGATCATTTGAGATAGATCTTTTGAAAAATGACTTTGTATTTAATCATAAGTTCCTCTCTAGACCTTTTGAAATAACAAATCCATATCTTTTGCTCTGAATGGAGTCTGCAAACTACACATTTCATATATTACACATCCAAGTGACCTTAAAAATAAAAAAAATAATTACCAGATATCACTTTTCATATCGTATGGTTAATCTCTCCATACTTCTGGACTGGCATAATATGGAGTACCTGTTTATGTATATACAAAGCCTGCTTTGGCAACTTTGGAAACATTTAAATCTCCAAGTTTGAAAGTTCCATCACTTGATAAAAAAACGTTAGCAGACTTTAGATCTCTATGTACTACCTTTTAATCGTGAAGAGCCTTCAATCTATCAATTATATGAATTCACAATACCCTAAAGTAATGTGAATCAGTGCTCTCCAGATGTCTATTTCTGTAAAGGGAGTGGAACCTCTGGCTTAAGAAATCTTTTTATAGACATCTCCGCCTGACAGTAGTTCCATAACTATGCAAAGGCATTAAGACGGTTCATCAATAAAGGCTTCCTAAAATTCCAAAAAAGGAACTTACCTTGTATGCAACAATATGTTTGTGATTAATAGAATATAAAAATCTCACTTCATTTAGAGCATTCTATTTTTCCTTAGGTTTCAGGTTAGCTATTTTAACTTTTTTTAAAGCATATTCTTATCCATCTGCAATCCTTTTGACCTAAGAATAATACAAACTATGTATACTCTATAAACGTTGCTAAATGAACCAGATCCCAATTCTTGAATAATTTAGAAGTCCTGTAAAGTAGATTAGTGAGTTGATTAAACGTTCATATTTAATTAAATATAATAATATGTACAGATTAAACAAAAATGTGAATAAATTTATAACTCTCTCACTAAGAGTTTATCACTTAATCAAACAATATTTCAATTTAGTTCAACTAACATTACAAAACCCAAACCCATAATAGTTATATTAAGCAGATTTTTGTAATCACTGAGCTGTCATATAACTTGATTGAGATCTTTATAAAAATTCATTAAATACCACATTTTATCTAACCTATGTAATTCTGATAAAGAGTGGCTAATGAAAAAATTAAATGATAAGAAAGACAAACTAATTAGAAATAATTGACTTTAGTAAATTATCCAAAGTTTATTAAAATAAAATTATTGCTACATTATAAATATAATATATTTGATAATGGACTTCCTCTATCCATATATAGCCCATAATTTATGCCTTATAATGTTCTGTATTGAAAACCTGACTTTCTACAATAATTACTAAATGGGATAGACGGTATACATAATAGTATCCACTATATCCATTAGTTCTTTAAAGTAAAAATACTGGACCTTATTAAAGATTGAATTTTTTCTAATTTAAGGATCTATTATATATTCATCCTCAATTATTATTATTATTTGTATAAGTTTCTTTTTAGAACATTCTTCATTTAGATCGTTTTAAGTTTATAGAAACTAGTATTTAGCATTTAGTAGATATAATCAAATTGGACCTCCTGCATTAATATTAGAAGTTCAAACGTTTTGTTTTTGTGTATGAATTATTCACTATTGCATAAATTACATTAATTATAAAACTTAATCGTTAAATTAATTTACTATGCAACAAAGTCCAAGAGCTATTTAATTGATTGCAATTGAGCCTTAAACAAAAAGTATTAAATTAAAGGAAATTAATAGAATTAGTCCTTTGTTAGGAGGCTGTATAGATAATAAAATCGTTTAATGATAAATGCAAGAATTTTGCTGTGATTGTCGTTGTTGGCAAATACCGAACTGGAAAAAGCTACCTAATTAATTAATTATTGCTTTAATAAAGTAGAGGGTTTGAAGTAGGTTCTACTATCAATGCTTGTACTAAAGTAATACAAATTGAATAATATTAAGGGTTTATGGATGTGGTCCGAGTTGATTTATTTTGAGTCTAGCAGAAGTAAGGAACCAATTCCAGCCATTTTAATTGATACAGAAGGGATTGGGTCAGTTGAAGAAGATATGAATCATGATGTTAAAGTATTCCTTTTGGCAATGTTAATGAGCAGCTATTTTATTTATAATAGTGTTGGGACTATAGATGATATGGCATTGTAGAATTTGGGTTTAATTGTAAGTTAATAATTTAAAGTAGGTTAACTTAACAAAAATGCTGCAGAAGGCAGATCAAAATACATAAAAGGATTTATTTGAAACCTTTCCTTCTTTTTTGTGGATCTTGAGAGATTTCACACTAAGACTTTAAGATGAGTATGGGAATAAGATACTTCCAAAGGATTATTTAGAAGCTGCTCTTAAACCATTAAAAGGAATAAGTGAAACTATAGAAAATAAAAATAAAATTAGGAGACATATTTCTTAATTCTTTGCTGAGAGGGATTGCATCACTCTTGTAAGACCTATAGAGGATGAAAAAGCACTCTAAGAGTTGAGTAGTATAAATTTTGAAGAATTAAGAGTTGAATTTCAGGAATAGGTGCTTGCCTTGAGGAAGAAATTATCATTTAAAGTATAGTTCAAACAATACAAAGGCAAAGCCATAACTCCATTTACTTTTATTGAAATGTCCAAGTATTAGAAAATTTAATTTAGGTATTTTGTGGATGCAATAAATGAAGGTACTTTGCCTGAGATAGCAACCTAATGGCAAATGATTCAGGAGCAGGAGTTTGAATATCATATCAACACTTAAATTGAGTATTATAAATAAGCTATTGAAGAGTTCTTTCAAGATCAAGATTTGGGAGATCTGGTGGAATTAAATTAAATTGTAAACTCAATAATTTATTTGTAGTTATTAAAGAAAATAAAGAATCACTTAGAAGGGAATAGTGAGAAAGAGATTTTTATGAAGAGATGGAAGAGTGTGAAGAAGGATTTGGAAAGATTGTTTAATGATTCGTAGAGAAGATATTAGGATATATAATTGATTTAATTAGAAACAATAAAAAACAATTTTATAGACGAAATTCATCATTATGATAAAGAGGACTTTTGGGGAATTGTTGATATAGCAAATAATGCAGTCTCAGAATATCTGTCTAAAAATATCAATGTCAATGAACTTTAAAATTATATCACATAGATTTGGGAAAGTACAGTTCAAAGAATATAACACGAATTTCATATTATTAAAAATCTATCGAATTTGCATATTCAAATTTAATCAAAATAAGAACTTGAAATTAGAAGATTATAAACAGAACTACAGAGTTATTAAGAATTTCAATTAGAGGATAATAGATAAAAGGATAAACTGATTGAAAAATTGAAGGCTGAAAATGAGTAAATGAAGAAACGAAATTCTGTTTCAGAAACTCTTATAGCTGATATAAAATTATAATTAGAATAGTTACAATAAGATCATAATTAATAGTTAAAATCAATTGACAACCAAAATAAGTAGGAACTCAACAAATTAAGATCTATAATATCTAAATTCGAATAAAGAGTGATTGATTCGAATGTCAACATTGATAAATTCTCAAATTTGTATCAACAACAAGAGAAAGAACACTAATAAGAATTAAACGAATTCAAAATAGAAATATTCAAATTGAACTCATAGATATCGGATTATCAAATATAAATTAAAGAGAACAGAGGTGAGGTTGAAGGTGATAAAAAGAATGAAAATTATTATTCAGCCAGAAAATAATAAAAACATAACACCAATGATTGTGCCTTCATTAATAATATGCAAAAACAAAGCGAAAATACATTGTAAGAATGGAAGTATTAAAAGGAATACATAAGGAAACAATTGCAAGAAGCCTATTATAAAATATAAGAAGAAAAGAAATAAAATGATGCACTCATTAATAGTTTAAAGTAATATTGAATAAAATTTATTTTAATTAATTAATAATATCATGTCCGAAATCGAAGAATTAACCAAATAGAAGCAAGTCTTGTAGACTCAATAAGCAAATCTCGAGAATTGGGTTATTCTAAAGAAAAACCTTTAGTAAAAGTTCAAGAATCCATCAGAAGCATATAAAGGTTTGGTGAAAGAGAATGCTCAAGAATTGTAAATTTAAGATTTTGCTGACTATGCAAAAGGTCTAAACTTGTAAGTTTCCTTATCATCCTAGGAATGAATTGTTTAAGGATTAACACTTAAATGAAGAAAACTTTATTAAGATTTGGGAATCATGGGAATTTAATTATAAAGCCAATTAGCATAAATTATAGATGATAGATGAAAAGTTAGAAGTGCTTGTAATCTTGGAAGATAAGGATGCTAAGATGTTTAAGGGAGATCCTTAAAAAAAAAAGTTAATAGTATCTTAAATTTAAGGATGTGAAAATCTTGAAGATTTATATAAAAAGTTAGGTGAAATGGTTTAAACAAGCACTGATTAAAAACAAAAGGACGAAGTGGTTCCAAATGAAAGTGATATTTTTTCTTAGTTTTTGGCAAAAAAAAGTTAAATTTAATTTAATGAACTTTCAATTAGTAAAATGCAAACCAAATTGGCAGAAATCCCATAATAGGCAGATGCATCAGATGGTGCATAAAAATAAAAACTTGAATAGCCATTAGTTGAAAGTTAAATTGTTGTCATTGGAAAAGTGACATTACCTAAAAAAAGTTATTTAGACTCTTAACATAGTATCATTCACAAAAGAGGCAACTATTCAACAAACTAATAATCAAAAACATTCATCTATGATTCCAATAACATCAAAATATTATCTCCAAAACTGGCACGTCCTAAAGATTAATTTAGAAGTCCTAAGAACTTCTAACAGCCCTCAAATTTTGATGAAAATGATCACATTAGAAGATCCTAGAAAACCAAAAGATTAAAGGGAGATTTGTAAAATTATATTGGAGAACTATTTCATTGTGACACTCATTAAATAAATCCATATGAAGTTCAATAGAAAGGCTTATAGGGTTTTAATTGTAAAAAGAGTTTGAAGACAGTACAACATAGAATTGATTTAAAACCTGCTGAGTCTATTGAATCTTAAAATATTCAAAAAAGAGTTTAAAATATTAGGTATATTTTGACATTATACTAAGACACAAACTAGATGAATATTCCAATAAAAGAACTAGAAGATATTCTCCTTAAAAACCATACATCTCAGGAGTGTTGATTAAGAATGACGCTACTCCTGAGAGAAGATACTCTTAAAGAAGATCGAGTCCATATACACCTGGAAATGTCCATAGATTAAATGTGGATAGATTAAAATAAGAGAAGGAAATTATTTAATAACAAAATTCAGATAAAAGACCTTCAGGCAATGAAGAAGAGTATAATTAATTTTATAATTTAAAGCGAAGTCCCTTAAAAAGGTTTGGATAGATAAAAAGCTTTTATATCAGATTGAATTTAATATTTTTATTTCATAACATTAAATAACCATCATATATATGTTCTACTAGTTTCCCTATTCTTTACAAACCTGTCATATTAATCAGAATTGAAAAATGTAAATATTCATTAAATAAAACTTATTTATTTTTACATAATTACGTGTATGAACTAGGATTCTTAATTAAGATCAAGGTTTACCTTTTGGTTGAGTGTCAGCAAAGACTAAAATATTGACAATTTTAGTGATCAGCTTAAATAAATAGGTAAACTATAGACATATTCAAGGCTCATTTGGAACCGCTAGAGAATTTTGGTCATACTATTCTTATATGGTTAAACCTGAGAAGTTACCTTTTGGAGCACAATTTTTCTTATTCCAAGAGCAAATTCAACCTGTATGGGAAGATCCATAAAACATGAATGGTGGTAGATTAATTCTTAGAGTGAAGAGAGGATTTGAAAATAGAGTGTGGGAAGAATTAATATTGCACTATCTTAAGTGATGATAATCCACATTTACAAGGCGTATGCGGAATCGTAAAATTAATATTTATTTTTAAGATTGCTCACTCTAAAAAAAACTTTATACTAATCTCAATATGGATTAAAGATTAGAACAAATACCCAAAATTATTAGAAGAATTAACAAAATGGATAACAAATTGTCTGGGTCTGTAAAATAAAAAAGACTTTGAATATATTGCTCATCCATAGTAATAACAACAAGGAGAAACTTAATGAATAATATATTTTTATATAAATATTGATATTAATTGATATTTAAATTATTATTATGTAATTAGAATAATTATTGATTGGAAAAATAGATAAATGGAAACATAGGATGTTTACCTGAAAAATTGATTAGAAGATATCCTATGGTTGGTTGAATATTTTGAGAATCAAAACATTAGGATGCTTTTCATAAAATTTGTCCTTATGAAGAACATTTAAATTAATTTAAAATTTTAATATTTTCATATAAGAGTAAACATAAATCTAATAAATAGATCAACCATAACATTCTTAAAATGTCAATGCTAAGTAAAGCCAACCATCACTATCCTTATTTTATTCATAAAATTCTTTTAAAGATTTTGGAAATGAATTATGTAATAATAATTTATTTCCCCCAACATATATAAATATTCCAAATGTAGGTGTCATTTATGGATAGTATTTATATTTAAGTGTATTGAATAGATCTTGAACTGAAATAGTTTCTCTAACAATCATTTTTTAAAATTATTTATGTTTATTAAAAATTTCTTTTAGCCATCTCGATTTTAAAACCAATTCAATTATTACAGGTATCATTTATCCATGCTTTTCAATTAGATTAAAAGATTATTATGTTCTTTATTCATAAGAATTTTGTATTTTGTATTTGAATTTCATTTAATTTTAATTATTCTTCCTATATCCAGTAATTAATTATTTTCAAATTTTAATAATAGAATTATTTATCAGTTCATATCAGAATAATTATATATAATACATTATATTTCAATCATTCAGTAATTATAATCATATTACTTATTTAAAAATATTTTTGAGTACATCAGTCTTCTTACTTTAACTTAAATAAATTAGTAACTATTTTTATTCAGAATTATAACTAATATGACATGCCCAATATAATTAATTACACCTTATTATAATTATATTAATTTTTATACTAATATTTTATAAATCAATATTAATGGTCTTTCTCAAACTCATATTTCACACAACCATAGCAATTATATTTATAAGTTGCCCAATCTCAATTAGCTCTTATTATTTATATGACCAAATCTAAACAGATAGATCAGAAGTATAATACTGCATAAAATTTAGACAGCCTATGCACTAAAAATACCTTTGACTTATTTAATATTGTATCATTTAGGAGTTATTTATATTTGGGTTACCTTAATTTGGCATGCCTATTTGGGAACTGGAGATAATTTAAGGAACTTACTAATCAATTTATGGCAAAATCATTACAAAGTCTCATACCCTATTATACTTTTTAATGAGGTAGTGTTTTTTTTATTCATCCAACTAGATTTTTAGTTTCATTATTGCTTTATATGGAACATTCGATACAAACCTTTAAAAATACACCGCTACCCAATTATTATATTATGCATCAGCATTTTTTGTCTGCAATCATCTTTATTCATTCTATTCGAGAAATATAATCAGAAGGAACGATGTACATTAGCTTCCCCCTTGTGACAGAAGATTATTCTTATCATATGAATACCTTTTTTATTTTTAAACACTGATCATTTTTGTGTGTAAATATTCATATTTGAAATCTTAGGCTTCTATTATTCTATCAAGTTTGATAATTTACAGAGGGAAATCAAGCCTTTCATTAAGTTTCTCATAAATTAGTTAATGTTTCATGTCTTTGAGATTACTAAGATTTACCTTGTGATAAATCTATTTGTTTTAATTCAATTCCTACAAGTCATCATAGATGGTATCTAATTGGTTATTGACTATGAGTAAATTTCATACTTAATTGCTGGTGTAACTGTAGCAAGCATTGTGATCGCCTTCATCTATAACCTTCATATATTAGTAAACATTTACATATTATCGAGGGGCAATATTATTTATAATTAAGGAACTGTAGAGACGGAAGATTTTTTAATGACAATCCTCAAGTTTAAGTTACCAATTTGAGAGAAGAGGATTTAGAAAAATTAGAAATTAAGTCCTTTAATTCTTAACTAGAAGTGTAATAAAAACGAAACTAAGCTGTAGATTTAGCCTAATTGGAAGAGTAGAATAATAATACAATTTAATGTCCCATTTGCGGTGATGATATCCAAAAAAAATAGAAAATTATATTACTGGAATGCTAACATATATTTCATTCTGACTGTCTAATTAGATGGTTGAAAATCAAGAATTCTTGTCCCTACTGTAGGAGATCGGCAGTAAAATGTTAATAATGATTTTATAGATATATTTAATTATATATTTATGTCTCGTAAAAATTTATGGTACTATTTCACAATTTATATTTAATATTAAATTATATATTAAATTTCATAGAAATTAATTTAATTTTTATTTTTCTTTTGTCATTGAAAAGCTACAATCTAGTAGAGAAACAGTTTAGGCAACAAAAAGGGCTACATTTGTGATTATAAAAGGAAGAAGTCCATACTAAAAGCTAATAATGCAATAATATTGGAAATCATAAAAAACTGATTACTTAATGGTTGTAGAAGGGAATGTCGCTGTCAATTTTCATAAACAATATGGTTAGATATCAAAAATAAAAATTTTATATCAGCAAGCTATATTGTAGATATTTGAATAAATGTAATAATTTTTCACAAAACTGTAACTTTAACTTATTAAATTGGCTCTTTAGAATAAGTAGCATTTGAAAATAATTTATTCTTTAATCTTATTCATTCAGAATATATAAATATATTTTATTTTAATGAAAAATTTATTACAATTTATTAATTATTAATATTTTTAATTATTAATGAAATATAATTCAAATTACTATCAATCAATAATTTATCTTCTAAATTATTATCTAAATAATTTGTATACCAGATGTTTATCATCAAATCAAGAAATTTAATATTATTCATGATTAGATGTGTTATCATTTTTCTCATTACTTATTAGTAATATATTGCATCATTCAAATAAAAGAAATAGTAAAATTAATATATTTATATAAAATAGAAAGAACAATTAAAAAATAAAAAGTGCCATTTTTAAGGATAAAGTTATTTTTTTATATTGATAAATAAATTAATCGTCGTCATTGTGAAGGATCATTCTAAAATTATTAGTATTACTCATTTAAAGTTTTAACAATGTTCAGTAAGGTTTCATTTTATGAACTTTATGCCTCATCTTCTTAATACAGAGTATACTTTCCAAAATATTGAGCTAGCTAAGAATAGTGGGCTTCTTCAAGACTAATAACCTTTAATTTATGTGGTTTTACTTTATTTTAGCAGTCTGAAAATTGGTTTTTAGATCACTGCATTCAGATTTGTGTTTGAGCTTTTCTATTTTGCCTGATTACTTGTGAACAACTATCATGAAGGTTTCAATCTCTTAAAAAATTCGTTTATCTCTTGTTCGTTTTTTTCCTATTCTTCCTTCGTTTTGGTACACCTAGACAATAGCTTTTGCAGTTGAATATTTAATTCCATGGTTTTGAGCTATCTGAAATTAAAAATGATTTTACTTATCTTAATGGCTACCCCATGTTGCATGCTTAATCTATAATTTGCTGTCTAATATTCTCGTCAACCTTTTGATAATGTGAGGGTCGATTATTTTTTCTGGAATTATTCATAAATATCAAATTACTTATACTTTTCAAAACTATTTTGAAAATCTAAGTTTTCTTCACTCTTGATAGCGTTGTTCATAAGTGTGATAATTTATTAATAATTATTAATTGGCGAAAATTTTAAATTTAAGAAGGAATTAACTATCTGGAGGTATCATTATTTTAAGAAATTAAATAAATTATTATTTAAGTCATTAAACTTAAATATATCATAATAATTATCAATCTTGTATTCGATTAACCTAATTAGAAAGGATATTAAGTTCTAAATGTAAAATAGTAAATAAAATTTGGCATTTATTTTAATACTAAAAAGACGTATCAAACATAATATTTATTTTATTAAAATTACATGATGTCGGTATTCTTGAGATTTGACTCAAAAGTATATAGGAAACTTTTCTGAAATTCACATGGGAAGAACCAAAATAAGAAGACTACTTAAAAACCGGTTTGTAAATTAATTATTATGAATATAATATCTTTGTTAAATTTTATATTATGTTTATTTCTTTTATTAAGCTTTAAATATAAATATACTTAAATAAATTTGTTAATAAAATGAATCCAAATACACCCTTCAACGAAAGATTTGCTAAAATCTCTGAAAAGCTCAACTCAATCTAATTATAACATGATTCATCCAAAGCCCACAGAATTGACACTATTTGCGGAAGAATCACAGGCGTCGAGGAGAGAATGCAAGACACAATTACCTCATACAATAGGAAACTTGTAAATATTGTATTAATAACATAATAGCATGCACTGAAAGATGAAATAGTTCGTCTTCAAAAATAAATCGAAGAGGAAAACAATGCCTTCGAGACTTAATTTGAACAGAGAGTGAGAGAAATTGCTGCTTTCGAAAGTAGAATCACAACTAAACTCGAATAAGAAATTGCTTTAAGAAAGGATGGAAATCTCAAATTAGCAGGATATTTAGATGAAAAAGTATCAATAATCGTTCCACATAGGTTGTCTATTTGAAGTCCGATATCTAAACTGAAGGGAAAATTAGATAAGAGCAAATCGAAAATATCACGACATCTTTGGAAAATGATCTACCTAAGTTATATGACATGGTTAAAACAGAAGGATAAGACAGGGAAGACAGTGATAATGGTACTTTGAGAAGAGCTGGAGATGAAATTAAACGATTGAATGAGGGATTGGGCAACTAGAAAAAATTAAGGTACTGATTGAATAAATTAATTTCAGAGAGGAATCGGAAGCAGCAATCTTTGAAATGCTGAAAGACCTTGTTTCCAGAGTCAAGAGCGAAATCGAAGAAGAAAAAAAATTAAGAGAAGAATCTCAAGAATCTCTCTTAGGACTTTTAGAAGATGCATGCAATAAAATTTATAGAGCAGCTAAAGATTGAATATTTTGAGATTATAAATATAGACATATTCATATATAATTATAATATTTATTGGTGCAGATCCAAATTAATTAATTAGGTTTCTAAACTCAATTCTCTTTTAAATTAATCCTTCATTAATCTTTTAGTTTCATTTATAATATCATTGGTTTTTTAGGAATCTTAACGATTTGAACAATTTCTCACTTTATATATATGGCCTCATAAATGATTTATAAGGAAATTTAGTTTAATTATGAAATATAGATTCTTTTATAATAAAAAGTCGTTATTTTTTCAATCACAGAATTCAACTATGAGAAAAGTGAATAGATTGGATTCATGTGATAAATAGAATAGTGAGACTATGATTGAAGATAAATAGAGAAGCAAGAGTATTTTGTTTATATGAATAAAATGTTAATTTGAGTCATTTAATATATTTTTAAATATCCTTATATTTATTTTTTAAATTTTTTCTAAAAATGAAGCACAATTAACAACTCCCTAATGCCCATTTAAGAAAACACTGGACAAGATTTGTAAAGACATTTTACAATCAACCAGCTGCCAAGAGAAGAAGATAATAAAGAAGATAAGCTAATGCATTAAGTAAATAATCATAATCTAAATCCTCAATAGGAGCTTCTCCAAGACCAGTTGAATTACTTAGACCAGTCGTAAGAGGATAAACAATCAAATACAATGGAGTATAGAAATTAGGAAGAGGATTCTCATTGATTGAATTGAAGGAAGCAGGTCTTAATGCTTAATTCGCCAGAACCGTAGGAATTGCAGTTGATCACAGAAGAAGAAACAATAACTAAGAAGAATTGGCAGTTAATGTTAAGAGAATCAAGGCTTATTTATCTAAATTAGTCTTATTCCCAAGAGTGGCTGGCAAACCAAAGAATGGAGTTGTTAAAGACTCAGGAAATGATGTTGTAGCATAACCAGTGACATAAAATACTAATCCAGAAGTATCTATTATATCAATTATTTTCAGGTAATCACATTCTAAAGAACTCCAAAGAGAGAGAAAGCCACAGTAATCTCAAAAGAATTAAGAGCTAAGAGTGTTTACAGAAGATTAAGATAAGATTGGTATAATGCTAAATTCGTGGGAGTCAAGGAAAAGAGAAAGCAAGCTAAAGAAACCAAGAAATGAGTAGAGATAATAAAGTGTACATTTACAATAAAATATTTAAAATAATCAATTAATATGCTATACGAATTTGAAAGCACACTCTTTTAGGTTGAACACTTAGAAAAGTTTCCAAGTCTAAAGAATAGCCCTTTCTTTATAAATACAGAGCAAGAACCTTATTGCAATAATTATTACAAAAAACATAAGACCCTTTCCAATAAGCAATCATCCATTATTAATTGGGAGTAAATTTCCTAAAGCAAAAAAGAATATGGAAAAGTCACTTTAACTCTTCTCTTAGATTAAGGATATAGAAAGTTACTTGACTTATATTTAATCAATCAATAATCATTTAGGATTCTTGGTAGTTAATTTTGACGATAATGAAATTGAAACTGGATTAGCCATATTGGCCAAAGCTGAACGATTAGGGGAGTACTTAATAGCTAAAGGAGACTTTGAAAAGAGACCCTTAAAAATAGAAGGAGGATTTGAAAGAGCCTAAGAATTTTAAACAATCAACGATTTAGATTACTTAAGCATATGGCAAACTTAGAACAAAGACAAAGTATAAATAAATTAATGAGTTTAGGTAGGTTTTTATTTTGGATAGTCAATGCTAAGATAAATCAAATCTAAAACTTATGAATTAAAAGATTTTTTTTTCAGCTGCATATCTTTATCTGATCATTATTCAGGTTTATAGAATTTCACCTATGCTTTTTATCTACTTCTAGTTGGTGAATCAGTTATTCCAGAAGGAAAAAGAAAAAAGCTGTATTCATTTATTATAATTCCAGTCGAGCTAATTTACAAAAGGCTTAAGGGAGAGTAATAGGAAGTATGATGTCATATTGTATTGATTGCATTAAGAGCAATTAATAGAACGACCCCAATCTTCCTAAACTATTTAATATATATAGTATTACATTTGAGGATGTTAATGTTAAATAACTAGTATTGCTTACTTTGATTACTTTAGGTATTCTAACCAAGTAAAACTTATGATGAATAAAGTCCTTATTTAGGCATGCTAATACTTTATACAAAAAAGCCCTATCTATATTTGTATTCGATGGTTTTGTAACAGAACATATCCAAATACTTAGTGATATATCCACTATGTATAGAGTTATTATATTTCGTGAACCAGACCCCAATAATATTATTTCCTATATAGAAAAGAGATTAGACCTATTACTTCCAGTATTTAATGCCCTAAATCAAAAAGATAATTAAACTATTTATGAAATGTTATTGGTTGATGTTGCAGAAATCAATAATGAATTATATGAATTCATTGTGAAAATTAATGGCATCGATGATATTTTTGGAGGGAAAAGTAAAAAACTAACTGAAAAAATGAATAAAGATTGTCTTAATGCTATTCAATATTATGAAAAAATAGTTGAATAATTGAAATTGAGTGAAGGGGACAAAATAGAATGAGCATATTATATATCCATTACTAGGGCTTATTAAATATTGCTAAGGCACAGTCTAAGTATTTTTCGAAAGACAAAAAAATTAAACTTACTTATTTAGCCAATTCTTTAAATTAATATAAATAATTGGCTCAATTTATCAACTAATAAAATGAATTTTAAGCTATGTTATAAAAGTGCGAGGAAATGATTTATATTTTACCATCAAGGATTGATAGAATTAATTAAATATGAGCTAGTGTTAATTAAATATACTAAAATCTTAATAATAAATTAAATGATATATTATTTCTCTCTATATCTCAATAATTATACGATCTTATCAATCCCCAAAGAATTAAACTAAAGCCTATTGCATAAATCAATTTAGTTTCAAACGGACTCAAATTAATAGTACTAGGCCTCTCTACAGGTTAATAAGTAAATTAATTTGCTCCTCTTGGATATTAATACTCAGAATTATTCATTTATTCAATATTTATTTTATATAAATAAAGTAATCTGTAATTTTTATTAATTGATTTAGAGAGAATTTATTTAACTTTTTGATTTTGGATTATTTTCTTTGATCAAATTATTCTCTAAAAATATAAGGACCCTTAAGAATAAGATTATTTAATAGATATTCAATCGATATATAATAGATTTCTTAAATTAATTTGAGATTTTTTGTGTAATTATTAGTTAATAAATCTAATTTTTCATTAATCTCCATATTTATTTTTATTTTACCGATAACAGAGGATTGAGCATTTTAATGTACTAAATTTTAATCTTTTTACAAATTATTATTTATTGCATATAATAAGAATAAATTCTTTTTGAAAGATTGTTTATTGGCGTATTAAAGAATCCAGACAATTTTTGGAATTAATAATAATTTAGAATTAATTCAATATTACTTTTTTCAAATAGATTTTTTTTCGACTATTCATTTATGATTATCTTTATTTATAACTTTATATTTTCTATTTTTATTTAGTGCCATAGATAGATTAAATAATGTTTATACTCAAGGATCATACTGAAACATTTGGGTAAGATTAGATGAAAGAAGTTTTTATCGAATACTAAAAGTGTTATTTAATTTCTAAATTTTTGGTTAAAAAAAAGCCAAAAAATAACTAACACTTATCGAGCAAAATGTCTAGGTTCAAAGATTCTGGTTGAAAAAAATTATCAATTTATTAAAAATGACTCTACTATTTAATTCCATACTGATTCATTTATAAAGAGTTGATTAGTAATGAAGTAATTGAGTAATTAAAGGATGAAATGAATATACATTTGTAATGAAGATCTCTTTGTAAATATAAAATGAAGACATAAAGAGAAGGAGACTTTATTATGAAATTATTTTACTTTTATGTTAATTAAGTAATTTTTTATAATTAATTAATAATTGAAATTTAATGTATTCTTTATAATTATTAAGATATGACCTGGATATATAATTCTATTAATAAAATTCAAATAATTAACAAATGATAATTAATAATAATTATTAAAATTAAATGAAATTCCCATATAAAATGCAAAAGTCGTACAAGAAAGATAATAAGAATCCTTTCATCTAAAGGAAAACCATGAATAAATGATACCTACAATCATAGAATTAGATACTGAATTCTTTAAAAGGAGGAATACATAATGGACATAAATAATTTAAAAAATTTATTATTTCTTAATAAATTTTAGTTAAAAATCTATTCTATATACTTAAATAAAGATATTCACAACATACATCCTATACTGATGGATTATTTATATTTTTTGCCTATAATAAATCATTAGCAGGTAATTCATATTCAAAAACTTTTAAAGAAATTTATTAAAAATAAAGGATAATAATTGGTGGCTTATTTTTAATAATGAACATATTTCGTAAGCTTTAGGTCGAATTATTCATTATATTTATAAATTTTTCTTATATATCATATATAGTATATAATGATACTAAATTTAAATGCTCCTCACAATGACAAACTTGGTAAAGAATATCCTAAAGTCTTGATTATCAAAATATCCAAACAACCATTAGATATCTTCTAATCAAACTTTTTTGAGGTAATTATTCTATGCTTCCATTTATCTAAATTCCAAATATATAATTTTTCTTATCACATAGTAATAATTTAAAATACTCATTAATATCAATATTTAGATAATAATATGTTTTTCATTAAGTTTTAAATTGGTGGATATTTACCATTTTTCGTAATTTTTTATAGAATAGAGAGAATATGATTATTTAAATATTATAATCAATAATTTAGATTCCATAAAATATATTTGTCTAATTATTATAATGCTTAAAAATAATATATATGCATCATCAATTGTTAAATAACACAAGTTCTCACTGCGAACTGTTATTATTTAGTTTGATTTTTTTGATATCCATATATTATTTAGTTAATTTAATCAGGTTGAGTAAGTAATAAAAATTTCAATCTGGTCTTATAATTAGTTAAATTTTGACATTGATCATTCATTATTGAGACTTCTTCTTGGTTACAACTTAAAATAGTACTTCCAGATTAATAGTACCATTTTTTAGTTAGAATGAAGATGATTATTATGATAATAAACTGAATATCTTCAGTAGTATTATTTTATCTATTCCATATTTGATCTAAGTTAATAGGTAAATCCATGATGGTCATCATAACCTGTCTAGACTACTTATTAGGTTGATGAACAACAGTTTTTAATAAATGTATACATGATATTCTTATAGTTAATTAGTTAATTTGCTGTTGTAATCATTAATTAATAAAAATGGGAAATTGCACACTAAAGTCAACAGAGTCAGAAGATTAAACAGGTAATACTATTAGGTAAGTTTAGTAATTTCTATCTCTAATTTCACACAGAAGAGTGTTATAGGCAAGGGAGGCTTTGGAAAGGTAAGATTAAACAAAATAATAAAGGAAATTAGGTCTGGATGGTAGAGAACAAAAAGTCAAAAAGTTTGTATGCTATGAAAATAATGTCAAAAGCTAAGTTAATAATGTAAATATTTGAAATAGGATCATCGCCAAGAAAAGTGTGTAATCAGTAATGAATGAATTATAACTACTTAGTTAATTGAAACATAAGTAAAAGTAACCAATAACTTAGTTTCATTATTAATATGTAAGGAGCATTCTAGGATAGAGACAATCTCTATTTGGTCATGGATTTATTAACAGGCGGAGATCTGAGATACCATCTATGTAAATAAAGGAAATTTACTGAAGAACAAACTAGTACTCAAAAATAAACAAAATAGAATTCTTTGTGGTTTGTATAATAGTCTCTTTGGAATATTTACATGTAAATGGCATTCTCCATCGAGATGTGAAACCAGAAAATCTAGTCTTTGATGATAAAGGATACTTAAAATTGACAGATATGGGAATTGCCCGTTAGTGGAAACCAGAAAACGCATAAGACACTAGTGGCACACCTGGATACATGGCTCCGGAAGTAATGTGCAGTAAGAATTTCAATTTTTAAATCTAATTAAATAGGATAAAATCATGGAGTGGGTGTTGATTATTATGCACTGGGAGTTATTGTATATGAATGCATAATGGGTAAGCGACCATATGTTGGGAAAAGCAGATAAGAGATTAGAGATCAAGTTATTGCTAAACAAGTCTAAATAAAAAACACTGACATTCCCGCAGGATGGTCATTAGAGGCAGTTGATTTTGCCAATAAAGTAGAAATTCTGATTAAAATTAAGCTCATCTAAAGGAAGCCTGCTAATAGGTTAGGAGTGAATGGTCCTGAAGAAGTTAAGGCCCATTAATGGTTTAAAGATTATTGTTGGGATAAATTTTTAGACAGATAAATAACAGCTCCATATATTCCCAGAGAAGATGAAATGATTTAAATAGCCAACGAAAATCGTAGGGATTCTGCTCATGAAATCGATCCTGAAAGTATATTAAGTTTAAGGAGGAACTCAGTCTAAGGTATTCATACTTATGGAGTTTTAGCTTAATTCGGTGGGTATAGTTTCAATGGAAGCAATAGTAATAATAACAATGCTAAACCTCAATCCACTAATGTTAGTGTCCCAGCAATATTGTCAACAAAGGCTAATTGATTTATGATAAAATATTTAATATATGTATATGAATGTACTAAAATGTATAATCAGTCAAACAAACCACCCATGTCAACGTCTTCTTCTGGTTCTGGGGCCTTTTCAACTGGCTTTGGTGCCTCTTATTTGGCAGCAGCTGGAGCTTAGGCCTTAGCTGGAGCATTTGATGCAGCTTAAGATAGTGATTCGGATATATACCTCCTCCTCCCAATTAGAGAGTGCCTACTTTTTTCAATCCTTCACTGATAACATCAGCAAGAGTCTTTCCTTTCAATGCATCAACAATTGCCTTGATTTAATCATCAGCTCCTTGAGCACCTACTTCAGCCAATAATCCCTTGATATCTGCCTCAGCTACGATATTCATTGTGATATGAATTACTTGGTTGAGCCTTTCCTCCCAAAACTAACAAAGCATAAGCAGCGACGAATTACATTGTATTTATTTAAAAAATTATTTTTAAATTATGCTATAATCCTTTGACACTTTATTCCAATCTAATTAATGTATAAAATATCATAATATCCATTCAAGATTTAAAACATTTAAACTTGTACACTCTCTTAACCACTCAATTCGATCACCTCTTCACAGTCTATAATCATTAAAAATAACTGAAATTTCAACATCACACTTAATATATGTTTTAGGAAAGTTTATAAATTTAGATCTTTCCTTTAATTTCTATGCTAGGATGTGATAATTAATAAGAATTCGCTCAATCTTGGATTAAATGTTAAACAAAAAATAGAATTCATTCATTTTTTATTATAATAATGAGTTATTCTGTTTAGAATATAAATATATCTAAACTGATTTAAGAGATAATATTAGCCTAAAATATACCACATATAAGAATTATAAAATGTTATTCTAACCATTTAATCACTCCCTTTCTATTCTAGATTCTCCTATAATATTGGAATATTGTTCAATCCATATTATTCTTAATTAAAATAAACAAACTAAAATAATTTAAAAGGATTTAAAGAATTTATAGTTATTTTGATGAAATGATAATAGAAGAATATTATTAAATTTAATACTTAGTGGTTTTCTTATCAAAAATATAAATCATATTTAAGACATATAATTGATGAGGATCAAATGAATATGAATTTACATCTTGATATAATAAATGACTACTAAAATATTAATGAAATTAATAAAATCTTTTAAATTAGAAGAAATATCAATCTAAATTTCGATGAATTTTCAACATTAATATTTGAAATCAAATAGTTCACTCAAAGCTATCCATGTTCTTCTTTAATAATGCTGATTCTTTTGGAAAATGCCATTTTTTATTGTTGTAGCTATATTGCTTATTTTATTTTTGAGTTTATATATATGGTTTTTCTTCTAGATCCTCAAAGGAAGAATTGCTATCACAATAACTAATAACATCAAAAAGATCTTTAACATCATCTGTATTAGGTTTAGAAAAGCATTTATTTAGATTCATAGAATGAATTGATTATTAAAAATGAATGGATTTATCTCTTATTTATTAACTCGTTTCTTTTAAACCAATTATGATTTACCCATGATTTTTATTGAAGTCAGTTTTATCAATACAATTCTCGTTGGCATTGGAAACAGATTATGAAAAAATCTTAGCATTAGCTTACATAGATCTCAAAAGGGCTAATAAAGGTTTATCATTTGAACTGGAGAAATTATCATCTTTAGAATTTCCTTTGAAATGTGTTGGTATTAATTTTGATTAATAAAGCCAAGGATGAAGAAGAGCCTCTTTAAATTATAAATTGATAATACCTTAGGATGTGATTCGTTTTTCTGGATCCCATTTTAGGATTCTTTTAACAAAGTCAATAATTAATGGAGGAAGCTTAGCAAACTATTCGTCTTGAAAATGGCCAGTATACTCAGTTTAAGTAGAAAAACTTTCCATTTGGTTTGCTTAATCCAAAGGCAACTTTGCACATAGCATTTAATAGCAAACTACTCCTATAGCCCATATATCAATTTTATTGGAATATCCGGTTCCTTTCCATAATTCTGGTGCTTGATATGGCATGGTTCCAGTAACAGTCCACATAAGGTTATTTTTAATATCTTTACAACCTTTTTCAGTAACAAGAAATCTTTTTGAAACACCAAAATCAATCAATTTAATTGAATTCGAATCACTATCAAATACTATATTATCTGGTTTAATATCTCTATGGCATAATCCAACTTAATGGAGATAAGATACTGCTTCAAATAACTGTCTGGTAATTAAGCGGACTTCCTCAAATTGCAGTTTCTATCTTTCTTTGAGGATTTGCTATAGACTTGGATATGGCAGATATTCCATGACTAGATATGAGCACTCCATATTAGGATCTATGTAAAGCATATTAGTTTAGCATATATATGGATGATTCAAGGAGACTGTATTTAGGAATGTTTGTTTCATTATTTCTGTGATTTCAGGGTCTGGATTCCTGGTAATTTTGACAGCATAGGTTTCATCAGGATTTGTAATTTGCCAACATTGTCGAACTACTGCATGAGCACCTTCTCCTAATGTCTTACCTACTTAGTACTGATTTTGAAAGGACTGCTTCATTTATTCCAATTGTTTCTGATTTGAGAGAACATCTATCAATTTAGTTGGCACTTCTTTAAGTTCACTCTAACTTGAGCAATGAACATAGTCTAAAATCTAAGGACATTAGTTTATGATTTCGTCGGTTTACTATTTTTAGTGATTCTCGTTTTTGAATAAATCACTTTACAACTTCTACCTTAACTTTTCAAAGTTGCCTTTTTTGTCCATTTATCTTCGTTTTTAATTTTAATATAATTAAATAGAGTGATTTTGTTATTCAAATAAATTAATTAATCAAAATAATTAAAACTCATTGTTATTGAATAGGACGTGATGGTATTCTAAAAGAAAAAAAAATATAAATAAATCCAGTAAAGTACATGAAAATAACACCTAATCCAACGAATTTCAATTTGGTTCTTTAAAAGATTCTATTTTATGTTGGTTAAATCAATCCGATTATAATTCCAATTAAGAAACTTCCGTAAATTCCAAAAATTAATGAGTTTTTATAAAAAAACCCAATTAGTCCAATAATAAATATAAACATGGTTACTTGCATGATTACTTGTCTTGCCTCATCCTTTGATATTGTAATTTAATTTACTTATTATGCATTCTAAATTATAAACCCAAACATTAAGCCAACCATTCCAAAAACACAAAATGAATTTCCTTGTATACTTTGATCATAAAACACTATGAATGTTATAGATCCAGCCACTCCAGTCAACAAATAAAGGCACAACGTGGTTTTCTTATCAATAAACTTCTCCGCCATTGAAACAACAATCACTTACAACAATAGTTCTCCACACAAATCTTTGACATTGTTAAAAATGAACAGACAAGTTAATAGTCTATAGAACTCTAATTGGTATTTCACATTATATGCAGAGCACCTTCCAAAACTATCAAGAGTTTCGTCAGAGAATTCTTTAGTAAATAATATTTAAATACTATACACAAAATAGTATTCTGAAGATTAAAATCCCCAAAGAAACACATAACAATAAACAAAGACAATTGAATCAATGAAACTATGGCAGTAAAAGACATCAAAGTGAAATTTGGACAACAATAATCTTTTATTGTTGAATAACAATTTTCCTCTCTTGGATCCGATAATATCAGAGTATCTTGAAATCATTACACTATTTTTACTTTCGAATAAAAACTCAGGCATATTATCAAGATCTGGATGCCTTCTTGCTCTATACATTATATTAATATTATATTTTTATTTTTACTCAAAAAGTTTAATAACACAAATGAAAAATTATCAAACTTTTAAATAACAGATAGTGTTAGGCTTACAATTCAATCTAATTATATTAAATACAACCCCTCTTATATACTTGTATTTAAGAAATATCTAAATGATAGTGATTTCATCATTTAATCAAGTAGGTTGTTAGTCTTAATACAAAATCAGGTGAATTTAACCTTTAAATTAAATTTAAAAACTCTACAATATAATTATCTCTATGTTTCAAAATAAAACTACATTATAAATTATACAATTGAACAATATAAATAATAATATACATGTCATAATAACACTGTATGATGATGATTTTATTTAGAATATTAAAGAATAATTCTTGAAAATTTGATTTAATAACAATTTTTTTGAAAAATCACAATTATTTTTATAAGTCCCATTTATAATATAATGTGAATAGATTTTATTTTATTTTATTATGATAAATAATGAGAATAACTCATAACATCTTAAAAGCAAACCTCTTTTTTCAGTCATGAAACTGATTAATAACAACACCTTTCGTGGATAATTTAGTGAACCAAATCAACTTAGCTCAAGCATTTTATAATAAACCAATCCTTAATTATCATTTCCTAGAGCTGAAAGATTCTAATCTCATCATGCTCCTTAACTTCCTTCTCCAAAATATCTTTGTCTAACAGACACTAAAACTAAAAGGACTACATCTTTTGGATTCGGGAACAAATAGCTTAGACCATTAGATCTTGAGAAAAGAGATCAATTAAATCCGGCTCCTGGAACTTATGATTTAAAATAGTCATCTTGTAGATCATGCAGTTTTGGAATGAAACTATAATCAACAAGAACTTTGGATGTTCCAGGTCCTGGATCATATGATCTAAAATTGCTGAATAAAACTAAAGCCTTTAGTATCTATGGCAAAATTAAGTACGAACCAAAAGTTATTTATTAGCTCTGATATCAAATTACCAAAAACAGCCTCCCCAACTATTTATCTTCCCACTGATAACATCATTTAAAACAATAGATTTAAATAAATCACATTCGGATTTGGAGATAGACCATTACCTGGACTGAAGAACGAATCACCTGGGCCAGGGACTTATGCTTTGAAATCTGTTTTTGAAATCAAACCAAAGAAAAAAACTTAATTATGATTGACTTTTTTTATAATAAATTATTTGATTATAAATATATGGATTGATTGTAAATAAAATTTCTGAAACATTAACTTTTGTATTCAAAATAGATATAGAAATCCACTTGCTATTAGATTTAATTAATATACTCATTCTTCATTTTTAAATGAGTTAGTTAAAATTAGCCGGAATGTAGAATTCATTGTATTTAGTTTTATTTACATGAATAACTTGCATTATTATATAATCAAGTTATAGTATGGAATAATCATTGTTTAATAAATAGCTTCCACCAACATTAAAGAAAACTTTGCAATTGTTAATTTTAACATTAGGATTGTCTGTATTTGTTTGTTTATTGGAAGGAATAACATTTACTAACTTCACTTCTGAGATAAGTATTGTGAATTCATAATTAAGGTAATGAATGTGAGGTAATACCAGCAACAATTATGCATGCAATTTCTTGTTATTTAGTTTTAATAACGCTTTTACTATTTATATTTTCCATTTTTAGAATGTTTAAATCATACCTCCTGATTGCTACAATTTTAAGCATTGTTTTTAAATTCATAGCACTTATTATGACTAAATCCATGGTGGATTAAATATGGGGAAATTGTTATTTTTAAAGGATCTAAATTACCAGCTTTTACTTTAGTGATGTATTTTGGATAATACTTTTGTTATTTTTTTATAACACTCTTTTAAATTTATATAAAAAGTTTCCAGAAATCTTTTATTCAAGAATTAACCTAAATTTGGTATGGCAAAGTTGAATTGTTATTGAATGTTTATTGTTCTAATTATAACTATATATTTAACATTAGTACTTGTATTAATTCTCTTGTCTCAAAATCTTTTTTAAACTATATAATTTAAAACATTCAGGTCATTAGAGATGAACAACAAAACTTAAATTATAATTGATAAAATATAAAAAACTATCTCAAACATATATTAAACCCATTATGTTTATTATGATTAAATAAATTTGAGGTATCAATATTAAATATCTCACTATTTCATTACTCATACTTCAATGACATTCTATTTTTTATTGATTTTAGATGCCTATAAATAAATCTAGATTATTGAGCTCAACATTCCTCCACATGCAACTAGACCTCTATTAAATCTAGTATGTAACTTGTATAGTAGCAATTAATTACAATTTTTTCAGGAATTTAAGCTTTCTACATAGCGCAAGCTAGATCACCAATGATTCTTAAAATCAACAATCCATATTAATATCTTTCTTTAGAGAAGGACTTCAATTACTCAAGAAAATCTCCATTGGTCATTCCATTTTAGATTTAAGATTTCAATTCTAACTCTCTCTCTATAAAGATAAAAATACCTTCGAAATGCTGATCTAAGTCTATTCAAATAATAGATAAGTTAAGTTAGTAAGCCTAAAGCCCAGAATGTGTGTGATGTTATTTTTAACAATTTATGATTAAATTTTTTCTCAAAAAATCCCAATTAATGAATGACCATGATATTTTCAATCAAATGAAAGAAGAAATAAAATATATACACTGAATAAGTAGTCATTTAATTGACAGCATGAGGAATTTTATTATATGCCTTTTTTGGACTTTATAAGTTTTTTTTTTCAAAAATGTTTAGTATAGTTTAAAGGCTCTTTCCTAATCGGAATAATCTTCTGCAAATGTATAATTGTTCTATATAGAGTTAAACATATTAAGTACAATATATAGAGAATTTCATTTCTGATTCTTCATTATTGTACCCTATGAGTCTATAACTTTGTAATAATTGCCAATTTTATAAGAATTTAAGTAGTTTATCCCGGTTTTCTTGTTTATTACTAATAAGCTTTACCTATGGATGATTAAAACTTAATAAAATTTTGAAGCATTCTATTTTATTAAAATTATTTTTATTTTAATATAAAAAGTTTTTAATGATGAACAACATTTATATGATAGTTATATATTGAGACAGTTTATCAACAATTTCTATTGATCTTCATAGATTGAAACTGAAATTTTCAATTTTAGCATGAGATTTGAATTATCGGATGAATTCACTTATCAATTTCTAAGTGACTAATCTTTATTTATTATACCTCTAACCATTATTAACAATTATTACTTTGATCTTTTCAATTTCAATATCTTTCCTATTCAGATTTCTAAAATATGACAAATCTTAAAAATTCTCTTTTCTCTTCTCTTATTAATCAATTTTTTTTAATTTACATAAACTGAACACATTATTTGTTTTGGGAATATAAGATTTAATCTGCCATTTATCCTTATTTTCAATACTATTAGATTAAGGTTTGAGTAATTCATTACACATCAAGTGACTAGAGGTAAAATTTTTATTCGGAAGTTTTGCAGTGAAATATTAGAGTTCATAAGGAATATTTTTCAACCTCTTTGCTCTTTTGCTTTCTTGCTAGGGAGTGTAGAGTTGGGGATGCTTTGGATTGGAGAGAGAAGTCATAGCATGTTTATGAAATCGATTTCCAAGTGGTTAGTGTCTAGAGGTGATTGAAATGATCCCTAAATATAAAGAAGAGGATACTTGAACTTGAAGTAGTGGTTTGAGCTCCTGATTCAAATTTTGGATTGCCTTGAAATTTTGGTAGAGTCAAGGTAACTCTGACTTATCTTTCTGAAAACATTAATTTAATTATTTATAAATATATTATGTATTTACTCTCCATAATTAGATTGATGGAGTATTGATGTTATTCAAATCTTAAATAATATTGAAATTAATATTGACATTATTTTTGATTCAATTTTATATTTCTATGAAAAATAAGAATATGATAACAAATTGATGAATTATTTACGAATTAAATATAAAGTTATTGTGTAATATTTTCATTTGATTTTCTGAGTAATCTAACAATAATAATTTATATTATGTAATATTATTGCTAACTGCATTCATTACCATATACAAAAGTATGTTTGTAACATGATTGTACAAGGAAAGGACCACTTTGTGATATGTGTATTGATACTCATGATTCACACATGATTAAAAATTTGGATGCTTACATAAATGAATAATTCAAATACTTAAATACTGAGTATTAAACCAACATATTGCAGAAACTTGAATAGTTAAAGGCTTTCTTTCATAGCAAAATATCTTAATTATTAATTGATGTGAGTTCAATAGATGAGAAAAGAAAAAAAGAATTGGTGAAATAATTAAAATAAGACAAGATGAGTGTTTAACAATTCCAATCAAAGTTGATTGAATTAATTCAAAGAGATCAATTAAGGGATAAAGAATATTTAGAATCATTTTATGAATAGATTGTTGATATCGAAAAATAGGTGAAATAGACATTTTCATAATTACCTATAAGATAAGCCCAGACTGCATAAACAAGTTAGTAACCATCACAGTCTTAGAGCATTCTCAATTATAAATCCAATTTATCTGAAGTCAAAGACATTTCTCCAGAACTAAGTAATAGATCAAATCGATCCAAAGAACCAATTTTCTAATAAAAATAAGCCAGCATCTCCCCCATAAGAAAGTAGTTACTATAAAGGGATTTAATGCCAGTTGGATCATTTAATAACTCAAAACTAAAGAATTACTTCACAGAATAAGATTCTCAATAGTCAGGCAGAAGCAGATAAGACACATAAAACTCATTCAAAATTACTAAACCCTTTGACCTGGATAAATCATCGGATAGAGCCTAAAATTAAGAGAGCAATCGATCTAAATAAAATACATACAATTCATCTTTTGAAATACAAAGGCCAGTCGAACCTTTCAAAGTTAATAATATGCAAACTCAGTCTATAGACATATTAGCCAAGTCTCCAGAATCTAAAATATTCGATAGGTCTCCAAAATCTCTAAAGTCTCCATAATAACAAAGTGTGTTCAAGTATATTTAGTAAGAATAAACCCATTAAACAGGCTATTTTGCTAGTCAGAAGCCCTTAACTTAAAATGACAATAAAGGTTTCTTAAAAGATAACAATTCTTATCCTTCATAGGCTACATCAAAGGATGAGAAGTACTAGAATATTAATTTCATTCCTGCTACAAGTGAGATCCTTAATTAATAATAAGAAAATTATACAAATGAGAATAATAATTATCCATATACAATATTTTAAGATAACAAATAATCAAATGAATAACCTTATTCTATCTCAAATCAACTTCTATTTGAACCTAAAGTATAAAATATCCATCAATAACAAAACAACATTAAATAGTCTACCTCATCATTGTCTAATCTTTAAGGATAATATAATAATGATAACAAATCATAATTAGATTTATCTTACATTAGTTCAAAGTATTTAAAATCCAAACATTAGGTCTATTGGTCCACCTTTGGTAAAAATCACTCCAAATTTGTTGAATCCTTTGTCAATAGAATGTGATTAAACATTAAAAGGCCATGATAAAAGTGTGAAATATCTTGCATTGATGGATACTGATAAAATTATTTCTTGTTCCAAAGATAATTCAATTAAAATATGGGACAAGTAAAATATAATTGTTAAGTCATAGACTATCAAGAAAATTAAAGATTACTCTAAAGGAACATGAGGATCAAGTATTATGTATTGCATTTTCAAAAAAACGAATTATTGCAAGTGGATCTGTTGATAAAACAGTTCGTATATGGAAACCATGTCCACTTTGGAAGTAAGTCCATATATGTGAAGGACATGCAGATAGAATAAGATGTCTGGAATTCGTTGGAAACTACATTGCATCAGGATCAGATGACACATATGTTAAATTTTGGGATTTTGAAGGAAAATTACATAATTCATTTAAAACTAATGCCAGAGTCAGTGCTTTGGCTGCTGAAAGGCATAACTTAGTTATAGCAAGTGGAAAAAATATTATTTTATATGATACATAAAAAAATAGTAAGATTTTAGATGTTAGTGGGCATAACAATTTAATATTGTGTCTAGCTTTGTCTAATTCTTAAAATAGTGGAATTTTGATAAGTGGTTCAAAGGATAACCATATAAAAATATGGCAATATCCAAAATTATAGGAACTAAGAAATCTTGAAGAAGATTATCCAGTTCATTCTATAAGTTTTGATACTGAATCATAGTATCTATTTGCTGGGCTGATGGGCTTTGAGCAAGAGGGGAAGATTACAGTTTGGAAATTAGACACTTAGCCATAAAAAGTTTAGGAAATTACTATGAATCCTTATGGATGCAATAAAGTTCTTTCCGATGGAAAATATTTATACAGTGCCCACGAAAATAAGAGGATTGAATTCTATACTATTAATTGAGTCTAACATAGCTAGAGATTTGTGTGTTTATGTAAACAATAATTATAAAATAATAATATATTACTTAATTATTAATTGCTTTTGAAGGTGGCGTATTATATAAAATAATAATTTAAAATGATATTTCTTAAGAACAAAAATAATTTCTAATTGATTCAATTAAACTCATATTTTTTTGATATGTAGATCAATTTTTGATTGGATGACAAGGGGAATTCTAGACTGGTACAGAATTATGTACCTTATATCTTTTTATTATATTAATGTGGTCTAATTTTGAAGATTCTCAGATTATTATATAAAAATAAATAAACTAAATTTATCAGAACAAACTCATCTCAGAACATGTAATCATAATCGTAATGTAGATAGATGAATCAGATAAATTAAATGAATTTTCTCCAGCCTTTCAATTATTGCTTGTATCCATATAGGCATCCTTATTATTATAATTTGTATGCGGATAACATTCATGAATAGAATTCATCGACTGCAACATACAAGTCAGAAGTGATATCATGGTATCTGTTTTGTTGATTAATTTTTACAGGCTCGCTACACTGGAATAATCCGAATTGTATAAGCTATTTCAGATTAAAGGATAAATAAAAACCTTTCCAATAATGAAAATGTACATCTATGACAAACTAAATAACCCTTCAATTTATGCACTACTTCAAAAGTTAATATTAAAACTATATTTAGAAAAACAATTAATTTGGAGTCTAAAATTGATGATTAGTTCATGATGAATTTTAAAGCAGTCCATCCCAAAGCAGAAGTACTTAATAAGCATAATTAATAAAGGAATTATATTCGAAATTGAATATCGTTGACGATGAAAATTTTATGGATACTATTTTCGTTGCTGAACCACATTTGGAAAATTTAAACTCATTTTTGGATTTATTGCAGGACCTTTCTGATAAATATTTTCTATCCACATTCCCAAAAACCTCATTAGAAAAAGCAGAAGACCCTATTTGGTTTCATCAGAACAGTTTTCATAGTTGCACAGTCTGGATCATCAAGGAATTTGAAAAAAATATTTCATTCCATTACAATCTTCACAGAGAGAAAAAGAAAAAACAGAGACTCTTTAGAGAGCCTATCTATAAAAATACCTCAAGCGAACTAAAGGAATTCTTTTTATAAAATCTAGCCAATAATAAGGAAAGAGTAATATAAAATTAATTACTTTTAGTTAACCTACTATTTCTAGGAAATATATTCAGAAATTAAATAGCAACCTGATCGTTTGGAAAATAGATTTTACGAAAACATATTCTCAGGCACAGCCATCAAATTATTGAAATCACAAGTTGAATTACTGTTTAATTTTTAACTAAAATGTCACACAGATACAAATATCATTAATACTATGCTAATTTCATCTATGAATGACTTAGTTGATTAGAAAACCTACATTTTAAAGAAGTTTTACAAAATAGTCTAACAATTATTTTAAGAACATTTAGAATAAGAATTATTTAAAACTGAAAATTTAGATAAAAAACAAAAAAAAGATAAAAAAAAGAAGAAAAAGAAATTCTAAAAAATGTTAACATTTAAAGGACTAGATCCAATTGAATTAGATAAAAGATTGTCAAGCAAAAATCTTTAAGAATCAAACATATTAAGGTTTTAAAGATCCTATTCACAAAGCAACCTAACTTATACCTATGTTACACCTCCAAACACCCCATCAGCTTAGGAAATTAGCGATGATTTAAAGTATTCATTATTCTTATTTAAGTGAATCCAACAAGTCTTCAAACACATAGCAATAATCTTATAAAGTTTAATGTTTCAAAAATTTAAAGACTAATCTAAAATAAACTGAATAGTAATCCATCTCTTAATAATTTATCACAGATTCCGATATTCCAATACATGATGACTATATTGATGTTGGTCAAACAATTACAATTCACATTTTAGAGATTGCAAATATATCTCTAAATGATGAAAATTCATTTAAGGAATAATTTTTGAAAGAGTAAAAAAGAATGAAAAAAAAGTAAAAAGGATATTAAGAATCAATACCAGAAAGCAGAGATGAACAATTATAATTATAATCGCCTTAATCCGAAATCACCAGATTTTCAATTGAAACTCAAGCATAAACAATTAAAAGTCATTGTTCTAATAGAACTTCTTCTACATCAGAAGAAGAAGAAACAAAATAGAAAAAAAATTAGATGAAAAATTCAATTAAAATTAAAAAAAACAATAATGAAAAATAAAAAAATATAACGAAATTGATTAGTTCATTCAAAAGGAATCAGTTTGAGGACTCATAATGTCAATAAGATATTAATTCAATTTCAAATGAAAGTGAATAGATTTCTCAAAACACTTTAGAGGATGAAATCACTCATTCAATTTAAAAGAAAAATTAGCAAATCGACAAGAAAAAGAATCTAAGCATAAAGCCATAAAGTTCAGAAAAAAGCTTGAAAGAGTAATTAGAAAATGTATAATAAAAGGGAAAATAAAAATTGATTGAATAAATCAATTTAGACATTCTTGATTTCACTGATAATATTATGAGTGAATACGAAAACATGCTCCCATTTAGACTTTTGGCTTTTGACAGAGTTAAATCAGTAATTTAGAAAGTGTTCTTAGGTATTCCTGATGGAATGATTATGTAAATATGAATCTTAACATTTAGGCTCTTTGGCTCATGTGCGACAGGATTAGCTTTAATAGATTCGGATATCGATATTGGGATCAATGGTTTAGAAGTCTATAATAGGAATATGTTAAAAAGTCATTTTGATAACTTATTTTTTGAGTTTACTAGAAAAAAGTGGGTGGTCAAGGCAAAGTACATATATTTAATTGAAATTAGTCCAATATTTAATTCAGCTGTTCCAATTATCAAATTAGAAATAGATCCATAGATTAACATATTTGAATATGAAGGAAGGAACTTGGACGATTAACAAATTCAATTGTGGAAAAAGCTAAAGCAGAAATTAAAGAGTGGTATAAAGGTTGACATCTCTTTTAATTTTAATGGGAATGGCAATTATCCTACTCATATTGGTTCAATAACTACTGATTTGGTTAAAAAGTGGATGGAAGAATACCCATCTTTATAATAGATTGTACTCATTTTAAAATCTATGATTAAAAAGCTTAAGCTCTCTGAATCATATACAGGTAATAATTTCATTTTATTATATATTAGGAGGGTTATCCTCCTACTCATTAATAATTATGGTTTACTCTTACATGAGAGAATAGAGAATTACTTCTAATTTAATCAGCGAACAATTTATTGACTTGCTTAACTTTTACATAAAATTCTTCGATTCCTCTTCTACTGGAATAGGTCTGCTGGCAAATATTAATGATCCCAATTCTAGGTATTTAATTATTCCTATTTAGTTATTTTTTTAATTTATAAGACTATTGCTTGCCTGCTTTGCCGATTACGATATTTAATCCATACAATAGAAAATTACTTACTCATTCTTGTGTCCAAATTAACAAGATATTTGATTTCTTTAAATTAATTTTAAAGGAATTAGATGCAAAATAAGATTTTTATTGTAACTATGTAGTGTTAGGAAAGAAGAAACAATAAAAATTAAATAAATCGTTAGAGAATTTTATTGTTAGCATTTTAGAATAAATAAAATGAGCTAAGTTGTATATAGGTTATGTATTGCTTAAACTAAAAATATATATTTAATAATGAATAGTGAAGATTTAAATAAGCAAATAATCATTGACGTATCTTATCTACAGAGGAAACCACATTTTTAGTTGTTAGAAATATAGAAGCTGATCTAGAAACCTCGGAGATATAGGTCAAGTTATCCATAGTTCTCTAAATTCAAATGAATAATATATTTTAGATATTGCTCAAGTGGATATATTAAATAAGTCAAAGGTGGTTTATACTAGGCAGAATCTTATGCTTAGCATTTTGGAGTTTTGTTTTTCCTAAGGTCTAAAGATTATCTTAATTCAATTTTAGAATCTAAGGATTGTAAAAATAATCACTCCAAATAAGAAATTGCAGAATTATTTTGCTTAAATTACTACTTTAAAAGCCCAACTTTGATTGTTATCAAAACCAATAAGAATTCATAGAGACATTGTTTATAACAGAAATATTTACAACAATATAATTTTAGAATAATTAAGCAGCGTTATATTGAGAGATAAAATAGGCAATAACTACTAAAGCAAATTTGGAACTCATTATTTAATAACTTATAAAAATTAAGAGAAAGTTAGTCTGAGGTTGAAATATGTATAGTGAAGGAAATTTGCACAACAACAATTTGATGCTTTTAGAGGGTTTTATTTTCTGGAGTTATTCAAATATAAGAAAAACTTATTTGATAAACTTCTTTATAAGAACAACTAAATAAGTTGATAATATAAATATCATTCTGGATAATTGACTTTTTGAGTTATTTACTACTATGAGCTTCTAAATTTATTGTAGATAGATTAATATGAAATTAGAATTTGACACTGAAAATAATGGAAACCAATTGAAATAATATCAATTTAATTAAATAGGAAATCTCATAAATTCATAAGAATTGTTGGCAGTCTTAGATTTATTAATTGATTCCTATTAGTTTTGAACATTATGGAATCTTATTAGGCCAAAGAGATTAGGATAATTTTTATTAAAATGTAATTAGAACTCAAATGTTTCTTAGTAAACTCATGAAACAAAGAATGGAATATAGAATAAGTCGTTAATGAGATCAGATTGAGAGTTTTAGATTTATTCAATAGTCCAGGATTATGATTAGTAAATAATTAGATTATATCATATAATGTACAAATTTCATTTTCTCAAAACATAAAAATAAAGAAATGCAATTGCCAATATTAGCAATACAGAGGTAATTGCTACTAGTCTTTGATCTGAATCTACTTACCATTTTGCGGGTTATGAATTCTTATCGATCTCTCCAATTTTCAAGGATTTCAAAATATCTTGAGCATTCTAGGAATGACCTTGTTTCATATATTGTTTAGTACCCATTTCATAAAAGAATCTAGTGACATCTTTGCCTGCTTTATTCCTGATGACTGCGGGGCCTCCTGGATGAGAATCTAAAAATCCTTATGGTCCATAGACTGAATCGCCAATGACAATCCAGCCATTTTTGGCATTGTCACCAACTTCTTGCCATGTGAATTTCCGACTCATTTAATTTTATGATATGATATTATTAATTAAGATTTCCTATTGGTTTGGAATTCAAAAAAATAAAAACTAAAGCAAATGGAATAAATTTTATTATAACATAATGGGGAATTAGGTTTTATGTTAAAGCGATAGAACTGAATCAATGTTGAGGGCTGAGTTCCAGATTCGATAAAGGAAGGTTACTTAAGTGAATGAGGCAGTTAAGCTAGACTTAGAATAAGATCATAAAGAATCATTAATACCTACGCAATATCAGAATGAACAATAGAAGACGTCATGTCTTCTTAATTGGTTAGAGAGTCTCCATGAATCTGTGTTGATAACTTAAATAAATTTAAATTGTGATGCTTCCACCAAATTCTTGTCTGAAATTGATGAAGAGGAGGAGCAAGATTAAACCAAGTAATCACTCATTGAATCATAAGAAATATTCGAATATAAGAAGAGCTACGATTATTGTAATTCAAATTTGGACATGGTAATCATAAATTTCTATATCTTAAAAAAAAATGAATTCAAGTAAAAATAACTCTTAATCAAGAATTAAATTAATTATGGGGCCTCCCAAATAACGTATAAGATGGTCCTGTTGGCAATTGATGGCATACACTCCCAAATTCCAAATATGTTCGGATGGACTATCTTTTTTAGAAGAAGATTAGAAATATGCTAAAGCAATTCGAAAGGACATTCACAGAACAGTAACATCAAGTGACATTAAATATTTCGAAACTGGAGATGGTTAAAAAGATTTAGAGAGGGTTTTGTTGAAATTATCAAAGTTATTTCCCAAACTTGGTTATTGTTAAGGAATGAACTTCTTGGTGGGATTCACCTTAATCATAAACAACAAATAGATCGATCAAAGCTTACAATTTTTGGCATAGATGATGGTGAATCCCAAATTTATGCTCTATTACATTTATTAAGATGAAATGCCTTTAGTGAAACTATTGGAATTTATCTGCATAAACGAAATAAAATTCAAAGTTCCTGATTTATTCAACCACATCTATCATAAATTGGAGGTCTAGAATGCAATCTGGATTACCAAATTAATAATGACACTCTTTCTATATAATTTTCATATTAATAATGTATGTAGATTTTGGGATTATTTGTTGGCCACAAGCATTTTTGATATTTCGGACATCATTTGTTCTTTGATTGATCTCAACAGGAATTTAATACTAAGCATGGAAGACTTGCATTAGTTTATCGAGTGGTTTGACTCCTTTCAGAAGAAGGAAATAGATAAACCCTAAATTGATAAACTAATTAAGAATTGCAATTAATTTAAATAAAAGAAGAATAAGATAAATTAGTATGCTCTTCATTTTTGTATGCAGCATCCTATGAGACACCCTTTACTACAATAAATAGCTGAAAATTACGAAAACTAAAGTAAGATGAAGGAATTCATCAAAAAAGATATTTTTAGTTGTTGATAATATTAATAAAACTAATCATTGTTATTAATGTGATCTAGAATCCTATTCTTTAATTTTTAGTAAAACTAACACAAGGTTAAAAATCATAAACACTATCGAACTTACGATAAAATAATAAAACTATTTGATGTTCCCCTTGCCTATGCATTTCCCAGTCCAAGGACAATGATGATCAAATTCTTAAATACAAATATCACAATCTTAACAATGCTAAGTTTCTTTGCTCTGAATCAACTTACACACCTTGCAATACCTTCCCATAACAAAATAGTTTACCATGTTTTTTGACTAGTTTCCTCATTCTTTTCAATGTCGACTCTCTCTATATTAGCAACTCCAGGGTTTATCAGTGCAACAATCAGGTAACTGATACATTGATTAATACTAATAATAAGAGTAGTATAAAATATCAATGGATCCTCATCAATCCTAAGGAAAATAAAGAGTCCTCCCATTATAAAGAATGAAAGAAAAGCACAAATAAATAAGGGCCCTTAAATCACATCTTAAATCACAATGTGGTCCAATAACAACAGCAGGACTTCCTTTCCTAAACATCATTGGATGACACCTCCCCCAACAAATTGACTTTTATTTTGTATAGTGATCATCCAATTCTAAAGGTTCAGCACTTGAAGTATTAAGAGTAAAATCATCTTCTTCTACTTTAGAATGTCCTTCTTTCTGATTCAGCATATTATTATTAATGAGAATTAAAACACAAAAAAAAAAGACAATATTAAACATTCAAATCCTAATTTCCTTCTTTCATGAAATCAACCTATACTAAAACTACTTAAACCGAAGTTCTAAATATTATTTTATTTAAATTAAATGACTATCCACTAGTTTATTTATTTTTATAATTATTTTCATAATTTAGCTTTCTCATTAAACTCTACAAAACCCACAATTACTTCTAATCCTCTTTCTTAAGTTCTAGCTGAAAATTGAACTCTGGTTCCTTCCTTCCATAATGAAATCAACAAGGTTTCTCCTGGAAAAACATGAGAAGTAAATCTGGCTGCCATATTTTTAAGAGCATCACCATTTCCCTAATTTAGAATAATCACGGATTATACTTAAGTGAATGTCTGAATGGCAGCTTTGGCACAAATACCATATGTGCACAATCCATGTAAAATTGGTTTATCAAATCCTCCTAATGCTGCCATATTCTAAATTCAATTTAAATATCTATTACAGGATCAATATGCAATGGGTTAATATCCCCAGACAGTCTGTATATGATAGCTTGATTTGGTGTTGTGACCTATTTCACTTCTTTGCATGCAGGCCTTTTAGGAAGAGCAGGAATGTTTTCAACTGGATTTCCTTTAAGTCCAAAACCTCCCAATCCTCTAATAAATAGAGATAATGTATTGACAAAAGCTAATGTTTTCTTGCCTTAATCATCTATTTCAGAACTTAATAAATCGAACTAAATTAATGCTCCCTTTCCCTTATCAGAAACATTGGCTATTTTTCCTTTAGTTACATATTCCACTCCGGTTTTCAAAGGTCTCAAGACTTAAATTCTCTATTCTCCGTGTAATAACATCATTGGATTAAAGTTTGGAATACCTGGACATGATGTTAAAGCCTACTAATTTTAGGTCGATCTACCTTAAAAATGTCAGTTCTGTGAAGACATGTAGTGTAGGTTGGGAAAACTTTGAAATCTTCATGCAATTCGTATGAATATGAAAGTTCCTCTGCATTCATTGGATCAGAGCTATATCCAATACCAAGAGAATATAAAATTGCATCTCTATCAGTACATAACGCCTTGACTTCATCTGTTTCAAATCCAATAGCTTTTGCTACTTCAATCGACATATGGATATTAGAATATATATTAAATAATGCGAATCTTAATTAAATAATACCTAATAATAGTTGAAGAAATAATATCGTGTACTCAAAACAAATAAATTATTAAGCAAATTGATATACTTAAGCATAATTAAGCAGTAAAATTATTACTTAAAATTTGAATTCTAAAAATACTGATTTATAAATATAGCTATTTTTATCAAAATGGTGATGATAGAAATCCTTTTGAATTTTGACAACATCTAATCTAGAATCAAATTTTTTCTGTTTAATAGCAACATTTCTATTTTTATAAAAGAGATCATATGGAGCACATACTTTATTTTTATGATTAATATTATTGAATCAATTTAATTTTAAGTCAAAATAAGAATAATATTATTGTATAAAATAAACATAAAAGGTGTATATAATTGATGATTATTCGACCAATCGTTTAGAATGATTTATTTAATTACACTCATATTGAGCATATAAACATAGAAAAATGAAATTTAATAAAAAGAAATTATCTATTTGATTCTAAAACTTATTAGTTAATAAAATGTAGAACATTATAATAGACTTGTTTTCAATGAAATTTAATTAATCAAAAGATTAGGTGATATTATATTAATTATAATTGAATCCAAAAAAATAATGAATCATTTCATACTAAAATAGAATAGAAGCATTTAAATATTGTCACAGGCATCATATTTGTTGAATAACTGTTTCTCAATTAGAGACTAGATATTATAAATAGGATTAATAACCTTATAGATAATCAACACAACATAACATAATTTGAAATTGAAGTCAAGTGTAAAATTTTAATATAAATCTTTAGACACAATAGCTAAATTTTTTTGATTATATTTTAAATTTTTTTAGTTCTTTTGGAACTACTATGAACTAAGTTTATGAAATTGATCCATCAAATGAATTGAGATTACTAATAAAAATATATGGTTTTTAAATTAGTATAAATTTTATAATTTCCAATATTTGATAAATAGTAAAAACGAATGAGTGATCAAACTAGAGATCAGTTGTTTTATGAAAATCAAAGTAAAGAGTTAAGGGAAAAGTATTAAAAAGCAAAGGAGGGATCATGTAATAGTGAATTTAAATGAACTTAGCCACATCTGAACATAACCCTAAAAGAGATAAAGCATAAAAAGTACTAATGCTTATTATGGTATTGTACTCCATCATACTGGTAACCTTCGTCTTACTTTTATATTGGGTAAGGGACTTTCGATATTTTTGTTTTAATGTTCTCAATGATTTCAATGACTAGGGTAAAGTTATTATAATAATATAGATAGGGCATTATATAGGAGCTTTTTATATTGGAGTAATAGGTTTATGGTTTGTTTTGACTGGCTTTAATGTTGTTCTCTATGATATTTTAGCAGGATTTTTAATTCACCCTTTTTGGTTTGCTTTGTTCACAGTTTCCTTAGCTAAATTCTTGGCAAAGTATATAATAAATCAGTAATTATGATAGATATATTGGTTTCTTGATTGGGAGATATGCAATAAGAAGTTTTATTTATACAGCAATGAATGAAAACATATACTTCATCACTTGTTATCTAGCAACAGAACGCAAACCTACAAAAGTTATGTATCTTCTGTAATTTTTGGCAATTCCTACAATCTTCAAGACTTATGCATGTGGGTTATTTAGAATCACTCATTGGGAATTCATTCACCCAACATTTTTTGGAACTGTCATTTGGGCTGGATTCTGGGTTTATATGGGATCAAACTTAGATTCACTTGCTGATGTATTATAATCAGGAGACACCAGCAATTATGTTCCTATTTGGTTGAAGGGCTTAATGTTTATCATAGTTACTTTGATAATCTATTATTTCATTAGATTGACAAATTCAATCTATACAGAGATATAAAATGATGCAAGTTTAGCTGATTTGAGTCACATTTTAGAAAAAGAAGATGAAGAATAAGAAAAACTGTTAATTTGTAATGAAGTGAACGATGAAACTTAAATTTAAGATGAAAACGAACCTATTGATGCATGAATTTTCAATTTTAAGAGCTTATTTTTAAAATAAATATAAATATTTATCAAATCAAGATATATTTTTTATATATACATTTTATATTAGCATTATTTCATTAGTTTTGGAAATGAAATAGATTCTTGCAGAAAAATTTAATGAATTTTAACATTTTTAATAATATGAATTATAAATTATAAAAAATATTATCTAATTTTAGGTCGATCATGAAATTCAATTTAATGCTTAATATCTATTTATTACTAATTGTCTCTGCTTAATTGTAATTTATTATATTAAATTTAAAATCTATTTTTCAATTAAAATAGGGCAGTATTCAAAAGAATATCATAATTTTCAATGTATAATGTGATATTAACAGTTTAGTACTTGCATCTCCCTTACTGTTTAATATTGAAGTTTTTAAGAGCAAAAATACATCTAGAGTCATCACATTAAAGTTTTTTTTGTAAACATTAATCCAAACATTGTGTTTTGAGTATTAATTATAACTACTTATTTATACTGGTTGGATATGGATAGGTTCAGATATGTTCTCATATAATTGTTGTCCTGCTTAGATATATAATTTATTGCCTTTAATCTTAAAATAAGAGTGTTCTTATTGTTCTTCATCTCTTCTTATTTACTAAATAAATTCTTTACTAACTCTAATAATCTAAATCCTTTTTCAATTATACATGAATATAAATAAAAGAATATGCAAGGGAGAACGTTTTGTTTGAATTTTGATTTAATAGAGGGTATTTCACTTTATGAATTTATCAAGAAGTTTCAAGAAAATTGATATAATTAATAAAAACTTACTTTAATGGGTATTTCTTGCTCATCTTAGAAATCTGCTAGATACTAAAAATCTAAATAAACTTAGCAAGTGCAAATTACTAACAAAGGTAAATGCCTTCAAAAAGTAAAAGGGTCTAAATAAAAAGACTTATTTATAGCAGATGATCTATGTGTAAAATTAAGCAGATTGGACTAGCTACATCAATCTCCAAACAAACTTAAAAAAAACTCTTCGATTTCATCGTTATTTGATAAATAACAGTAATTTTTAGAGTGGAAATTAGAATGTGACATAGCCTTTATTATCGATTTGACTATGAAAGAAAATAAAAAAAGACTACGATTACTTAAGGAATTATTATCGGAAAAGGAAAGACACTAATAAAGATTTGGTATTGTCTATTTTGGGCATAATAAAACCTAATTCGACTTGATAGATGATTGTATTGAAACAACATATGACTTATAAAGATAGCTATAAACATTAAAATTAGATGAGTGGATAAATATAATTAAGTCCCTAAGAAATTAAATAGTTACATCAAAGGACAGGCAGTTATCTTAGATATACATACTAAGTGAATAAAATTAGGAAAACATTGATTAATCAATATTGGATATAGTAGATAACCTTTTAGAAGACACTTGCTCAAGAAATTCTTTGTCTTTTTAGTGTCATAGCTTTAAGATTGAGGAGTAGGATGATATATAATATATGGACATATCATTTTAATGATCAGGATGATTAATGGTATTTTAAATGATTTAACATTTAAAGATAAAATTTATAACTTCACAATTTCAACATAAACATTATTAAATAAATTGAATATATATAATATAACTCAAAATTATTTGGATTGGTTTTCATTTTTTCTACATTAGGTGCTTTATCTTTCACCAGTTTTACCATCCAAGGTATCAACAGATGTGACATCATTAAATTAAACTTTAAATTGTTTTTATTCTTTTTAATCAGTTTAATCAATTGAATTGGATAATGATCTATTTTGTTTTAAGTTAATAGGTTTTATTTAGTTTTCCTATTCATCAGAACCTATTTTTATTTGATCACATTCTTCCTTATTTATAATTACTTTTTAAAATGAGCCAAAAGTGTCAATTGGATAGGATTACTATTAAAATTGTTTATTTTATTAATCATCATTCTCTTCTTCGTGATGATTTTTTCTAACGCATGATGAAGACAGAGCATTATTTAGATTATATTATGTTCCTTTGCTATCTACTTCTTCTTTAATTGTTTATAATTAGTCCTATATTCCATTATCTAATTTTGCTTCTTCTATATTGTGATTTGGTAAAGAAATATCATTTTTTTTGCCTAATTAAAATATTGTTTTGGGTTTTTCTTATTTTTCAGATTATTCAACATTAATGCTAACATTATTCAGATTAACTCCATCAATTTCTTCAATTAATTTATCATCATCATCACTATCTTCATTTTCATATTATTTTTAAAACATCAATTATTCTAATGCTCCTTTCACATCTTTTAAAGCATTCTCATTTAAACTTTCAAAAGGATTATATTTTCTCTCAGGTCCTGAGTATCCATCTTATTCACCATAACCTGAACAATTATGATCTCCATAAATAAACTTTTTTATTACACTTGCATTTATTTTTTAATTTGTATCAAATATAGATCCAGCAATACTAATGTTATCCATTGATTGAAATACATTGTCTTTTTCTCTTTTTTAGTTCTATATTAGATATAATGGAATAGGAACAGTTAAATCTTGCTAACTTAATAATAATCTTTTTGCAAAAATCACTTTGAGAGTAAGTATATATTGAAATATAATTCTTTTAGTCTTCAAAGAACTTTAAGGAAAAATCGCTGAAGCTTTAGTAGGCTTGCCATTTGGTAAACTCAAAATAGTTTTTACCTCTTTTTACTCACCAGCTGCAACTTATTCTAATATAAATAGCAGATATATTTACAATTTAATTCTTAATCAAATAAATCAAAATAATTTGATAATTTACGTTTTTACTATTTATACAAAATGACTAACTGTGATGTGATTTAGAATTTGAAATTTTGAATAGCTGAACTTGATTAACTATTGTCAACTTATAGAATTATATCAATATTTTCTCCAAACGTGTAGTAAGGTTTGTTTAACTGAACCTTAACTTTTGTGCTCTATGCTAATAATAAATTATTATACTCCAGTAGAAAAACAACATCTGTTTGATACTTTTGATTCCCCAGAATGCTCCAATGACAAATGAGCATGTATCTGGGGCTTTTAAAGAATATGGATCACTACTCTATGTTTCTTTGGAGGTTTATATAAATATTTCTCATCCTCACTTTAAATAGTAACTGAGAGAAAATATAAGATTCTGCATTGTACCATCTTGTAATAGTTGATTGTAAAACTAGGTGATAAATTTGGAACTTCCATTTCAAAATATTTCCTGCAAGCAATAAGTGGCATTTTCCTATTTATTTAATTTTGCCATACTTTCCAAAATCTGTTATTTTCTTTTATTTTTTAAAGATAAACTATTTAAAACTGAAAAATTGGTTGTGCTTATCCAATTAGTTGACCTTCTCTTACCCGCAAAGCTTATATAAATTATATCTAATTTTTACCTTAAGGTACAAGGTACCAGCATTTATATCTTTAGTTTTTACTTTTAAATAAATGACTCCTCTAATAACCTCTCCCGGATAATACATGGGTTTATCAGTTTTAATTGAGATTTATGCTTGCTCTAGAGTTAGAATAAACACCATTTTTAAATAAAAATAATAAAGTAAACTTAATAAATGTAATTCGAGATATAAAATAGAAAGATAATTAATTACATATGCTAATCTGTCATATATATTACTTTAGTGACATTTTAGGTTTTGAATCAAAAAAGTTTATATCACCCCAAACCATCATTAATAAGGCAGTTGATGCCCTAGCTTTCCACTCCCAATGAGTAATCTCGCTTTTCGTGTTGGTATTTCTTCATCAGAATTGAATTCTATAGCTTTAAAATAACACCTATTTATAAATTTGAAGATTTTTTAGTTATTATCTCAACCAAATTCTTCTTGCAAAGAACTCCATTTTATTATTTCTTTATATATTCCATCATCATTTCACATCTTTAACATATCTCCTCAAAAGAAAGTATTCAATTCTAATTTTCATCAATTCACTATTTTTATCGATATTTACTTTTAAATTAATTCAGTTGATTTTCTTTGCTTTTAGTGGTTATTAAATTATTATTTAAAGCAATCCTTCGAATCCAAGCTGCTTTCTAGGCCAAATAAATTAAATAATTAATTACCCCTGCAGATAAATTTTGAACTATTCCATTGGGATCACTTGATTTATATTAATTAATTTTTGTTTATGTCATTCCTTGTATGTAAGTACATTCAAAACTAATATCCTGAATAAATTTCACTTCTTCTAAGTCTAGTTCATTAGTTATTTTTGAATATATGATTAAGTTGCTAATGGTTATGATTAAGTTATTTAGAAAGGAAATCTAGTAAACCAACTTTGTAAGTTTAGCTTTTGATATGTGATTTGCTATTAAGTTTCATTGTAGTTTAAAATAGGACTATTTTAATTCTATATATTTATGTGGAAGGTAAATTTTTATTTTTTGTTTTTAACTTATATTCAAACTTTATTATTTGAAAGTCCTTTATAATTTCATCTAGTTATATTTTCTAATCATTAGATTTCATCATTTGTTCTTCTTTTATAGTTTGCTTTTATTTTTTGTCTCTTATCACATATAATTCTTTTAATTACTTTATCTAATAACAATATAAGAAGGTCATATTTAATATTATTATAAGTTAAATGATTTTCAAGATTTTGATTTTATATCCTTTTTATAAATTCAACATTATAATAAGGCATAAAAATTTCAAAAAATTCAATACTATTTCATAACTTAAAATTACAAGTTTACTGTTCTGTTGACATTTCTTCAAGAAAAAATTAATTTCTTAATAATCGGTGCTTCAAATATTAATTTTATTTAAAGGAGTCATCATAGCAAGCTAATTTACTGAAAATTTAATATTTTTTCCCTAAAAATTACATTTAATGCATCCCTGTTTAATTGTTAAAGTTATGATATCTCAAAATACGAATTGTTTTTATAATATAGATTGCTTTTAGTTTTCTATAATCATTTAAGAGTAAAATGAAAAAGAATATATTACTACTTTCTTATATAATTTTTACTGAAATTAATAAATAAATTAATTCAGACAAAGTCATGCAACTTTGTACCAAATAATCAAAAGCTTCAAATGTAACTTCATGACTTTTAGTTTTTTATATAATTCCAGTAACATTGATATTAATATGATCTAATAATTGTTCTTATTCTACTTTTATTTTTTCTAATTATTGTTTTTCATTGTATCAATACGATAATTTTGTTCTTTGAATTCTTTTTTAACAGGAATCACTTATTTTTATTTTTCAAAGTATTTGTGGTATATATCTAATTAATTTAATTCAGGAACAATTCTAGATAAATACTCAGAACATGATTTATTATTTATTTATTATTAATAAATGTAATTAGATGCATAAAATTAAAATTTAGTAAATTAAATTAGGCGTCTAGATTTTAATATTTTAAAAGAGATAAATAAATATTATATGATATAAGGAATAATGGCATTATTTATTTAATGACATTCCATTCAGTTACGGAATATTTCTTTATGAAATACAATAGTTTATTATTATTATAAATATATAGAAACTAATTTCAACCTGTAATACTGTAATAGATGTATATAAATATATAATAAAGAGGAAATAAAATGAGAAAATTCAAATGAAAAGTTAATTGTTTGATTTTTGGTCTAATAAAATTCTCCTTAAATTTATATATGTAAATAATAAATTCAAACTTAATTAATTTAGTATTGGAAACTATCAATGATAATGTATTTTATTTTGTTTATAAATAATTAGAAATTAGCAATTTGTTTTAATAATCATACTATGTATTTTTGTTAATAATAAATTGATTTATGGGCAGTGTTTCTTCACAGACAACATAGGATGAGAATGGCAATTTGAGTAGTCTACCTATGCATTTGAGAAAAATGGAACTAAAATTTGACATCTCAAGAGATGTGGATCCAGCATTGAAATAGTTGCTTTATTGTATTTAATTTTATACATACAGGGTCATTAACTGAAATTCGAGCTGTATATGAATAGTTTTAACGTAGAACTTCAATTCCTTTTATTGATAAGAGTTTATTCTGTAAAATAGTTCCATTTTCTCGTCCGAATGCAGGATATATATTTGATAATTTTTGCAGGAAATCGAAACTCTTATCAATTTATGAGCTCATTTGCGTTTTAACAATTTGTTCATATACTTAGCATATTCATAAAATTCATTGTAAAACTGAAAAGCTATATTAGTTTTATATATTGTTTTCGATTTAGATTGTAATGGGAACATAAGTTTAAATGAACTCCTCATAATTATTAAATCGATAATAATAGGATATTGTAAATTAACAAATGCTGAATTACCTCCATATGTTCAATTAGAGAAGTTTGCAAAACTGATGTTTTTGAAAAGCGACATTCAAGTTGATAATTAATTGGAATTAAGCGAGTAAATTGAGATTTAAATTTAGAATTATTGAGTGGTTGGAGAAGGAGAATGATATAGGCAAAGATTTATTCACATTGTATGAACCAAAATAGAAAGTGCAAGAGCCTTTTGAGGTGTTTAAATCATTTAAGCCTTACAGTGAGTAAGAGGCTGCAGACATGTTAGAAATGATAACGAAAGCAAATAAGAACGAGTACTTTATGAAAAGTCTAAATGATAAATTAACTTAAAGATAATAAGAAAGTTATAAGGCTACAACAAAAAGTGTTCGTCAACTTTAAATCAGATCGAAATAGTTTGGTTCTAATGGTTCTTTACCTAAGATTTCATAAATGAAACCTTCAATATTGGATGATGAAGTTGATGAATTATAACTCTTAGAAAAGGCAATAGGAGATCATTCTAGAAAGATATAAAGATATGATTCTCCGACTATCAGATTTGTCACTTAGCGTGATGGCACTTCCAGAAGGGTAATAGTGCCTACTAAGATAATGAAGAATATCATCATTACTAAAGGGTGTACTCTTACTAGAAATGAGATCTTCAAATTGAAAAGTTATTTTGATAGTCTTTCTGATAAAAATTAGGTTATATAAGTAAAGGAATTTACTAAGTCTTTTCAGAACAAGCCACATATGAAAAGAGTGACAGCAAGCTTATATAATTACTTAGATTCAAAATAAAAAGGGTTTGTTACTTTTGATTAACTAATGTTGAAATTGTATCCTTCACTCACTTAGGAGTAATTAAAAATCATGAATTAATGGATTCAATAATACAACGAGGTTTTTGCTAAAAGTTCAAAAGAGAGTTTAGAAATGGAGTTTCTGAGAGTAGAAAAACAACCAAATAAAAGAAAAAGGATTCTTCCAAAACAAAGTATGATTAGAGTTAAATAATTATTTAATTTAATCGATTAGGATGGAAAAGGATGTAATTAAATATATTTAACCAATTAGATATATCTATAGAGGATATGAAGAAGACCTTCACTTATGGATTTACAGAGAGGGAAGTTGAGAATCTGTTTTAATAGTATGATATTGATCGAGATGGTAAACTCAATATGGAGGATTTAGTTAGAATTATTTTACCTCCTGATTATGAAATAGAGTAAGAGACAGAAGAAAATTCTTGATACATATAATTATTTTAATATTAGCTATTTGGTATTAAATTTAAATTCGTTTAATAATTCAGAATATATTCAAACCTTTTTCCTTTGAGCCAAATTAAAGGAATCATATTTAGGATTGTCTAATTTTAATAAATATCAATACTATCTACTCTATCATCAATTTATATCCATTTAGGAATATTATAAGTTTCGGTTCCCTCATTTTGGGCTAATCTTAAAATTCCCAGTTGTTTGGAATGTATAACATCGACTTACATCATTCTTGATAATTAATTAAGTATAATTACTAGTTTTGAAATGTAAAACAATATCTTAGTCGTTCCAAGATTTTAATTTTGTTCTAATTCTAATTCACTATATGATGAAATTAAGAAAAGGAAATCATTCTCCTCAAAAACTAAATATCATCTTTTTGCTATGATTTTTTGGTTGTAATCAAATAATATTATTTAATGCCTCCTTCAACTTATCTCATTCTGACTCTGTTTATTTCTTTTTGAGCTTAACTCTTTTCGTCTAAAAGGAAAATATCTGTAATTTTTATTTGAGTACGAGGGAGATCACTAGGAAAGTTAACTATTGTAAATAACAATTGATTGTACTTTATTTTAATCCAATTTTAGTCCATCTGATATTTGTTTGTACCATTCCTAATATTTTCTAAACAGTCTTATAGGCCCTCTGAATCTTTTTATCGAATGTAAGTCCACGATTGTCAATCAAGAAATGATTTTGATGCCCCATCCAGAGTGTTTATATCCTTCGATCAGCCTCGATAGCCTTGTTTATTTCTTAATCTCTGTTGATGAAGGAATTGCCAAAATAAAAGTTTTATTGGAGTCCTTCAGCATTTGTTACTAAATGTATAACTGCATCATAATTTTTATCTCTCAAAGTTGCCAATGGCTTAAATTGCTCTTCAAGATCCTCGAACATTTTGGCCTTCTCCTTTTCATCTAAAACAGACAACAAATCCAAAATTCCACCTTAACAAAGAATGATAGAATCTTTGTCCTTTACTTATTATGCTAAATCCTTAGAATAATCGAGCAAAGTTTGCATCAACATCATCTTCTTAATTATCATTTAGTTTCTCTCCTCATTACCCAATTCTTACATAATTTCTTAATCTTGACCCAATATGAAATCATCCAGAAGGGGAACCACTATAACATTATATTAAAAGTCTTTGAGTCTTTCTTATAAGAATGTCACTACACTTGTTTTTCCACATCCTGGCCCTCCAGTTACGCAAATACAATGTATTTATCTTGTGCCCGTAAAGCTGATGTTCAAAGTTTTGTTAAATGAACTGTCCTTTGGATCAAGAAAGATGGTTTGCTTTTCCTTTTTCAGAGCCTAAACCTCTTAGAATTATTTCAAATCAGCTTCAAACTATATTATCTCCTTCTGGGTTTTCTTATAATCATATGCTAGGTATCCTATCCCTAGGACTCCTGCCAATGCCATCATCGCATAAGTAGTATTTTTCTTAAAATTCATAAAAAGAAAAATTTGATGTTATAATCATCATAAATATTTTTTTAATAATGTCAACTCTAATTGGTTTTGAAACTCCTATTTGATACTTAATCCGATCTATCCCACCTCACTAGTTTCCCCATTATACAAAATACAATTTTCAAAAACCTGCAACACATCATCATAAAATTCCTGGCAAGAACTATACACATTTGAATTTAATTTGTTCTATATCGTAATAATACCTCAATACTTTAATTGTTCCAAAATCCATTGGTTTTGAAACTATTTCGTAGTAATCACTGATTCCATACTTTTTCTGATCAACTGGTTGATGAAACAAATGAGCTCCTTTTGCCTTCCAAATAATGCCTAAAGAAGGAATTATGCTGTATAAATACCTAAGACCTTCTTAGCAATCTTCTCCCATGTATCATCATCCTTAATTTAATTGATGATGGTATCGTCAATCAATTCATCAGCATTTACAATTAAATTAGCAACTTCAGGGTATTCCTATTGAAACTTTTAAAACTCAACAGAATTCAATTCTCTCTAGTTCCCTTAGTTATCTGTAAATATCAATTTGTATGACTATTTGGGGAGGTTATTGAATTTTCGCTTTTATTGTTACGATCTAGGTGCTTCTCCTTTGCTATTATCATTTCCTCCACTGTTTTTAGACATATCATCCTTATTTTTATTGAAGTAGTTATTAAATAGATCTATCACTTCCTTTCTATTGTATTTCCTAGCAAAAAATAGAGCATTTTTTTTAGATGAATCAATGTGTCCTGGATTACTTCCATTCTTATATTAAATATGATTGTTGTACTTCTATCAATACTTTGCATATGTCAACATGTCCTCCATTGGCTGCATAGAATAAGGCTGTTTAACTTGAAAGTTTATCCACAATGTTAACATCGATTCCATACTAAATCAATCTGAAACCTATAGACAATTATTATCATACCTAATGACAATGTCATATCTATTATCTCTTGCAGCATAGAACAGAGGTGTTTATCCATATCGATCTTAGTCATTGACATTTACAGAGTTGGTTGACAATACAAAGTCGAGTAGTTTTAGTCTTCCGTCTCTGCAGATATAAAACAAAATCGATTGCCCTAATTAATCTTTGTAATTAAAGTTGGCGCCAAAATCAAACAACAATTCCAATGTTTGCTATGCTATATTATCATCTGGACCCTAAACAGCTATGTATGTTGAGATTTATCTTTAGGATGGATCAATTTTATTAACTAAATCAATATCTCTATACTAATCTTGGGATTTAATATAATCAAATACTTAGAATTAACTTGGTTTTTTCGAAATCCTGATTTTTTAATGCAATTTTGTAATCATCATAAATGCTCTGAAGCTATTCAGATGTCAACTTTTATTATTATTCAGAAACCATCTCATACCCATTATTTTATTAATAGGTTTATACATTTTGACTATTTTCAGAAACTCCCACAATCGACAAAAACTAATTATAGGCTATATAACAATTTACTTTTACTTATTTCATCTTCATTGATTTATTAGATTAAAGATTAAATTTCAGATTAACAATAATTAGCAGTTTCTAGTATTTATTCTAAATCACTCTTTGTGATCCTATTGTTCTATTATTTCTCCTAAAACTTTTGAGCTAGAAATCCTAATTGTGGGGAAAAGTTCATTATTAAAATTTATTTAAATAATTTAATATTAAGTAATACTTTTAATCCGCATAGATCAAACATTGCTCAAGCTCTTCAAGAACTCAGCATAATTGACTCTCTTCATCGTATCAGTGAATGGATCCAATTGATGACATAAAAATTCAACTTCCTCAGCAGGTACATTATTCTTTAGCAACACCTTCTTAATCTTCTCTAAGGGAATGTACCTAAATATTAATTGATCTATTGTTATACCTATCATCATCTTTTGCTAATAATTTGAAGGCATTTCTCACATCATTAAAAGTGTAATCTGTCAGTTTTAAATTAAAGATTTTTAAAAACTCTTCAAATCCAATCTATTCTTTCTTCCCGAATATTCTTTAAACCATCTCATCAAATTATTCTTATGGAATCTAACAATCATTACAAACAATCACATCACCTTGTAATCAATCATAATAAAAAGATCAGCCAGTCCCTTTTTGTCTAGTTTTCCTTCAACTGCCTTCATCGAAAAGATTTCTTTAAATGCTTATCTATGTGCATTCTTAACTTCCAAGCTCATTTATATAAATTATTTTTTTTAATATTTATAAATAAATCATTACTATAATAAAATAACATACAGTAATTTCATCTGTTTAAGTCACAAGGAATATGATTAGATATCCTGATTTTGCAGTTAATTATCATTTGTTATAATCAAGTCATTTTCTTATTGTAGAGATTGGTAGATCTGCCTTTTTATTATTACATAGAAGTGTTTACTATTTATTATTATTATTAACAGAGTATTTAAATCTATATAACACACTTTATTAGATGGAGTATTATAAGTAAAATATTCAATTTTATCAAATCATATAAAAGATAAAAAATACTTTATAATATTTATAGTATCAAAAATATAAGTGAAATAAGATAATATTCAAATAGAACCATAACAATATCTACTTCCTTTCATTTAATCTAGACTTTCGATTCAGCAAATAAAAGAATTATAATAATAAATGATTTAAGTACTTACTATTATATTTAATAATAATATCTTCAAAAATAATTATGTTTAGATGAAGATCAACATGAGAGGAAATCTGAAAACTTAAAAACTGTCGATTAGTATTAAAATAATAAAAATGGAGTAAAATTAATATAATCATATAAACATATTTTACTTTTTATTAATCATATCTTTAAGAAAATGATATCATAGATGTGCGGAAAAACCCATTTCTAATTTTAATTAGAGATGTTGATATACAAGAAAACCTTTTAAATCTCAGTCAGCGTCTATAGTATAGAGGTTCGTACGAATGCCTTCCAAGCATTTAGGTCGGGTTCGAGTCCCGATAGACGCAACTTTTTTTTATTATAAAAAATAACTGTAGTTTTTAAAATAACTATAATATAATTAAACATATATTTTTAATATAAGTATAAAAAATTGATTAGCTATGCAATATATATATGCATAGTTAAGAAAAATAGTAATTCATTACAATTATGAGTTTTGATTAATTTTAGTTTCTAAAAGATTAACAAATTCATTCATGGATATCTAATTAATATATATGTGAAGATCAATACCATTCCATCTTTATTTATGTCACAATCTTTCAAGATGTCTTGCCACATATTTTCATCGATTTCATTTCCAAATAATTCATTAATTTCTTATTTAGTAATAAAACCATTGCCATCCAAATCAAACAATTTAAAAGACTATTCTATTTTTTTCTTGCTTAGTGATTTATCTCTGTTCATTGAGGCAGTAACAAATTCACTAAAATCTACTTTTCCAGATTTATTAGCATCCAGTTATGGAAATAATTCATCCACAACTTATCTTGCTGCTATAGAATCACCTTTATAAATTTTCATATAGGCTAAAATTATATGATTTTATTACCAGCTAACAATTCTTCTTTGCTAACAGTTCCATCCCCATTTTTATCTATATGTTAGAAGGTTTTTAACAAATCATCCTTCTCTTAACTTTAAACCACTTAAACAGTTATGAATTATAAAATCGCATATTTTAGTTTATTTTTGGAATCAAAATCCTATAGTCTTCTCAAACTGATATTGTTGACGACTCCTTTAGCTCTATTGCTGGCTATCCAACTATGTTATTGTGCATCTGATGCACTAATCCGAGCAGAGGGATCATAAAACAACATTCTCCTGATCAAATCTTTTGCCTGCATGGATACTCTTGACCAATCATTACTATTAAATTAGTATGTTCCCTTTCTGACTTTGGCTAAGACTTCTCCCTCACTGTGGCCAAAGAAGGGAGGATATCCACAAAGTAGAACATACAATATAACTCCTAATGACCAGATATCACATTTTTCATCGTAACTGCCATTCAATACTTCTGGAGCTACGTAAAATGGCTAACATAATCTATATATATTATACAGTTCCAATCCTTTTATTAAGTTTTTCATCATTGACCAACTTAGCGCTTGCTCCGAAATCAATGATTTTCAAAGTGGCCCCTTGATTTTTAGAATCGAATAAGATATTCTCAGGTTTCAAATCCCTGTGTACAATACCTTTTGAATGACAATAAGCCACAGCTGTCAGGATTTATTTCATATAGTTGGCTATCTCTTGTTCAGTTAAGATTTGAACTAATTTAATTTTTTCAAATAATTCACCACCTTCATAGATGATTTTTAATAGTTTTACCATCACAATATTCACTGATTAAATAATATGAATTATCGTCTTAATACATTTCATACAATTTGACAATGTTTGGATGATCAATGTCCATTAATATTTTGGTTTCCTCTAATAACTTCTCCTAATCCTCTTTCTTCAGTTTCGATTTAAGGATCAACTTCATAGCCCTGACCATACCTTAAAATTACAAGTAAGAATACCAGTTTGTCTATGAACTACTTTGTATACTTTTCCAAATCCCCCTTGCCCAATCATTTCATTTATACTGTAGAATTCACTAACATTCTTTTTTGAATTAATTCTAACAAACATAGACTATTTAATGGTCCACTATTTCTCTTATCCTTATGAGTTACTTTGTTATTTAGAATTATATATATTTTCTTTTTTTCCACTTTTCATATCTTGGGAATAGTTGGTCTCCTTTTTTTGACTCAATTCATGCTCTTTGTCTTATTCATCTAATTTTTCCTTTAACTTTATTTATGTTTGCAAATCTAAAATATCAGCCAAATATTCAGGCTACTGGTATTCAGTCAATTCTTTCCCTAATTCTGTTAGTTGATGCATATCTAAAATATTATATTTTCTAACCATTTGAATGTCCTTAACAACAGCCCATAATTAGAACTATTTTTTATTTATTAAACTAAAATATATATTAATTTTGTAATTATAGGGAAAACTCCTTTGTGATCTTAAAGAAATATAATTTCACAACCCTAAGAAGATTCAATCTCATTTAAATTTTTATATTAATAATAATATTAAATAAATCTTTAAGGATTTATCTTTTGTTAGTGCTTTCGTTCTATTTCTTAAGTCTTGAAGAGAATATTATTAAATGAATTTCAATTTTACAACAATGTTCATAATAAATCATATATAAACTATTATATGCAAGTTTATTTTAAAATTCTCCTTAAAGAATTTGAATTCTATTTCCGTTGATTTAATGAAATAGAATTCAAATTCATAGATTTTAGACTTTAAAAGAATAATCAATCTAATTTAACAAAATAACATATAATCACTACAAAGCTTATTTTTGATTACTCATATCTTTTAAGCCGCCCTTCTCAAATCTGCTATAAACATCTTTATAAAAGACTATCTATTTTTGACTCAAACTTGGTTTCATACTCTTCATAATCTCCTAAAACAATTCCTTTGTTAATTTAAAATCTTCAATTTTTTACACCTTTCTTTTAAGACTAAAGTCTTCTAATTATACTATTCTATCAGTTAAATATATTCTGGCTTCTTTGAAAAAGGACACAACGTCTGCCTAAGATAACCCAAACAATGAATCAGCTATTTCTTATTCTGAAATTCCATCAAACTCTAATGGTCCTTTATAAATCTCCAAAATTTAAAGGATCTCCTCCTTATTCGGCAAATCTATTCTAACATGCTTGTCTATTCTTCCTGGCCTTAAAATAGCTGGGTCAATTAAATCAGGTCTACTAGAAGCAGCTACTATGTATACTCCCTTCATTCCTTCCTCCACTCCATCCAAATAGCATAAAAATTGATTGACTACCCTATCTGTCACTCCAGAATGTGAAGATGTTCTCACTGGCACTACGGAATCTATTTCATCCAAAAATATAATGCAAGGAGATTATGATTATGCCTTTTAAAATAGATCTCTAACATTCTATTCAGAAGATCCTATACTTATTATTTCTTAATATACCTATATATTTATCTAGTAATTCAGGTCCCTTTACTGTTATCACATTAATTTTTAATTCATTGCAGATACTCAAACTAAAATAGGTTTTTCCACAACCTGGCATACCATAAATTAAAACACTTTTTGGTAGCTTAATTTTGGATTTAGCAAATAAATGCTCATATTTCATAGGCAATTCAAATAAATCCAATATTATCTACTTTTATTCTTTCAGACCACCTATTTCTTTAAAAGTGGGTATTTTTTATTTCAATTACACTTATTAATCTTGCAAATCATTAATTTATTATAAAATCCATTCTTCTGATATTTCTTGATTCAATTCTTCTTAATATTTCTCTCTCTTTTATAAGGCGTGAAATTAGGAATAATTGAAATTTTCAGATTTTGATGCTAAAAGTTCAGCAGATTTCTTGATCTAATGAGAATGATAACATTATTCAAAAATTCTCTATCTGAGTTCTTGTTTTGGTTTATTGAATTCTATGATAGTTTCCTTTGAAAATATTTCTTAATTTAAATAATAAGTATACTTTATAGATTTCCATTTAAATAGTCCTTAGATGGTGAAATAACTATTAATTTAACAGATTGATATTCCATAATTGAGTTTCTAATAATCTTACTTAAAACCTAGATGAATGATATCAATATACATTTGAAATAAGTATTTAGAATGACTATTAAAAATCAATTAAATCGATGCTTTTAATTGATTCAACTCCTTTAACTACTATAAGGATAGGATTCAAAGAAGCTTATCTTGATTACCAAAAGATGTGCTTGATAAATTTTTTAACTATGATAAATTCAAATTCTTACCATTTGATAGTTTTTCATTCTACCCTTGTTGATTTAATTTGTCTATATTTAATTTAATTATTTCAAATTTAGTTTTTAAATAGGAAACCAAAATTTACATAGCTTAAGTTTCTTTACAGCTAATTAAACATTAAGATTTAGATTCTTAAATTAAAATAGACTCTATTTATTTGATTGGCCCATCAAATAATTGCAAAAATAATTTATAATCCTATAAAAGTACTTTTTTCGATTTTAAACCATAGTACTAAGCAAGTTTTATTTCTTTTTAGATTGGAGTTGTAAATCCAATAACTCTAACATGTTCTTCTAAATATTTTGTTAACAATCCTTTTTCTCTTTCTCCAATTACTTTAGGTTCATTATGTTCATTTACAATAGACAACGTTTAGAGGAAGTGTTCTGGTTGATTACCAATTAATTGCACTATCCTCAAAAAGTAGAGTTGTTCCTAATAATGAACTCTGCCTAATATTTTAATCTTTAATTACTTTGTAAAACAGTTTATTAGTTTTTCTCAATTTTTTCTAATATCTATTAAATAATAGACTCTTTTTTTAAAGGTTGATCTGTGAAGAAATTGAAATATATTTTTTGAAATATAAACTAGTTTCTTTTGAATGTTCTAATAGTTGCTTCTTTACTAATATCCTGTTCCTATGTATTGATTAAAATCACTTAACCTTCTCTTATTCCAAGATATTTGGCATAGAATTTCGAAATTAAACATTATTTATTATTTTTGATTTCATTGTCTTATCTGAACTAGACAATCGCAGTTTTAGGAATATTTTATTTCTATTTGTTTTTTTTCAAGTGTTTGGCATATTTAACATAATTTCTATATGATTTAGGAAATGATGATGAGTAAGTTATCTAATATAATTTGTCCAATCTATTATTATGATATAGATCTGTATTTATTTCAATATAGGATTCAAAAGAGTCTTTGTCTTTGAGAAGAACATTCAATTCAATTAAATCCAATTTCTGATCTGGTTTTTATTCCTCCTCAATTAAAATATTAATTTCACAGTTAGGACTGATGGCAATTGGACCCTTATAATCTTAGGCTTTGAAAGTAAAAGTAACAAATTGTCCTTCTTAATAAAATATTGGAAAAAGCAATTCGTTATAGACAATTTAAATACTATTAAGAAGACCTGTTTCAAAAACATCTTTTTAATGCTGAACAATCATATAATCTGACCATTTTTAAACATATATAGTTATAGCACTGGATTGATTGCAATTTGAGACTTAAATTTATTCTAAAAAGAAATTTACCTGTTGCTATTTATAAAAAATCACCATCATCAATATTTAAAAGCTGAGCAAATTAAAAACCAATTTCAATCATATTATCTTCGGAAATACCTTAACAACTAAAATATGCAATTTATTGGGTCTTCATTAATTCACTTTAATAAGGAGGATATCATTACGCTTTTATCACCTAACCTAGATTGCCTTACGAAAAAGATTGAGTTGTGAATTACTAGAACATTCTTGGGAGACTAACATAGCAATCTATTCTTTGTGTTATTTTGACTTATAATTACATAATAAATATTTATATAAATAAAATGGATTAGGATTTAGATTTGCAAACAAGCATATCCTCAATTGATATTGATTAATCAGGGAGGAATTTGGTTGTTGGAGGGAGAGAAATCTTAAAAATAATAGATTTGGATTAAGTGAATAAAAAAATGAATATCAAATAGAATATGAGGAGACAAGGCACAAAATTAGCTATAGGTTATGTTGAATTTAATCGCAAAAAGCCAACTCTATTATTGGCTGCATCAGTATAAGGGTAATTTTAGGTTTGGGATATTGACAAGCAAAAAGAGACTGTTTATAGAAATCATCAAGCAGCTATCCATAGAATGAATTGGCACAATGAAAACTGTTTTATAAGTGGTGGCTAAGATTATACAATTAATTATTACGATTACCGTTAAACTACTGCTTAACCAATTTTCACATTATAACGAAATGAAGCCATTAGAGACATTAAATTTAATATTACAAGAGACAATTATTTCATGGCAGCTTCAGATACAGGCTAATTAGAATATTTTGACATTAGGAAACAACAAGATATAGTTACCGAAATTAATCTAAAGGGTAGGAAACAAGACCCATTGACAAATCTAATTATTTGTTTGGATTGGACTAAAGATAATGTTTTGGCTAGTGGATCAAATGATAAAGAAATCAAGATCTTGTAAGTAGAGAACCACACTGATATCAGGGAAAAAGGAATCATTTAGCATATAGATGGGTCTTCTCATATCAAATGGCATGTATAGAACAATTCACTTCTGAGTGTGTCATCATTGAACAGAGATATCTCAGTCACCACTTATGATATCAGAACTCCTTTTAGACCCATGCACATTGTCAAAGGTCATAATGATATTATTACATCCTTTGTTTTTAGTTAGGATGAATAGTATGTCTTTACTGGATCTAAGGATAAATTCTTGAGAATGCAATCCGTGAGATAGGCGTATCAAGTATATAATAATTGTCCCATATTTCCTGTTGCCTTTAATTAATACAATGATCTGCTCATGAAACTAGAATCTCCCTTTTAAAATTAATATGAATCAGAAAAGAGCAACCCCTATTACATGAACATGTCATCAATTCAAAAGTAATCCTCTAATGATGAAATCTTCTTTCAAAAGGCTAAGACTTAAAATACATCTCAAAATAATCTAATTCATAATTCATAGTAAGACATTCAAAAGGCAACATCAGTATCTCCATAAAACTCGCAAATTCAGAAGAGCAATGTGAGATCAATTTTCTATATGGAAGCTATCGATTAAATATTTGATCCCAAAATCCCTTTTGATGAGGAATTAAAATATTTTTAAAAGAATTATAATTCGAAAAAAGACTTTTCATACAATAGCAATGTTGCATTGCAAATTAATAAACCAGAAATCGCACACTATTGGAAAGCTTTAGAACATCTTATCAATGACTTTAAAAAGTTATCCAAAGACTGTGCCTCCAATATTTCTATGTAGGATTGTCCTGTATAATTACCAAACAAAGGTAATGATTAATCTGATGATGATTAAAAATCTCCTCTAGAATAAACTACACAAATTACAAAAAATAATAAAACACATGAAAAAAAATAATTGGATTCACAGGATCTATAAAAACTTTATAAATATTTCGAAAAATACCCAGCAGCCTTCAGATAAGAATTAGATAGCAAGAATATCATAATTGAAGATTAAAATCATTTAAAAGTTCATATAGAAAGAATACCTTACTACAAGAATTTGTTAAGAACAATGACTCCTATTGGATACTTATTGACTGATAAATAACATATGATGTAATCTTTTAATTGTATATTAGGCAAGTTATTTCTAATTCTATACTTTAATTAATCCAACATGTCATTGATTAAGGAGATCTTCCAAGTGGATTTTGGATGGCTGCTTGTGCAAAAAATTATGTGTAGTTCCCTGATTTAAATGCCAAAAAATGGACTCAATCATATATTGAATTGTTAGTGGCATTTGGAAAACACACGTTAGCAATGAAAGCTGCATTAGAAAGTCCAGTTGAATAATTTAGAGCTAGCAATAAATACGTAACCAATTATAAATGTCTTGGTCCATGCAAAAATAACTAAACAACAGGAGCTTTTTGCAATGTCTGTAAGATCGATTTTATCTGTTCAATATGGTATTATTGAATGTTAGAAAATAGTTTTAAACCTGTACGAGGTCTTTACTTATGGTGTCAATAATGTATGCATGGAGGTCACATGAAAGAAATGAAAAATTGGTTTAGCAGCAACAGTTAATGTCCTTCTGGGTGTGGACATAATTGTTTTGATAAATGAAATTTAATTAAATTGTTTATATATAAACATAATAATGAGCTTGTAATGGTTAAAAAGTTCATTAAATAATAAATCTCCTTTATGAGTTGACTTATTTGAATTAATTACTGAAGATATTATTTAAGAGATAAAATATATAATATTCCATTTCACCACGAAAATAATTATTGACTGATATGAGCAAATTAGTTGCAGTTTACATTTAATATATTAACTTGTAATTTGTAGGATTGAAAACGATTTTTCCCTTATTTTGCCAAATTTCATTAAATATTATAAATAGAATCATCCAAAAATTAAATTTATTGTATATTGAAAATATTAAGTATAAAAACACAATATAACCAGCTGTAAACATATTTTATAAGAAATAATTTTCATTTTTTAATCAATACTTCATTTTATATATTTTCAATAGATATAAATGATAAAGATTTAATTTTTCTATTCGAAAAATAAAGATTATAAAATTCACTTATTTTTTTATTTATTTTATTATTAATCATTATAAAAAAAGATTATTATCAATTTTTAATCTAAACTTAAATTCAAGATATTGATGATTTTTATTAACACTTTTAATATTTAGATTTCCAATATTAGATTTCTTAAATTAGCACTTCTTTTTCAAAGTCTACTTGCTTCAACTTTTAATGATAGCTATTTAAAATGTATTACATTCTTTCAGCTAATTATTGTAAATTATCGTCTATACTATTTTATTGGTTTTACTGAATTTAAGTAGATGATGAATTAGGGTTAAGATGAGAACAAAGTTAACCGGAGGAATTATTGGATAATGATCCTTTCATTTTTTGTCGAAACTTCAATTCTGTATAAAAACATTCTTAAGGCTGTTACTTTTAGTTATTAACAACATAATTAGAATTTTAGGATGTTTATTTACGATGTTTATTATGACACTCCTTTTCATGCAATTTCTCAAATAATGCAATTAATGAACTTCTGTCAGTTTTATGATTTCTGGATTGAGTAGAATTAGGCTTAGCAATCCCAACTTTTTTTGCTGGATTGATTGGAGGATTACGGTTTTCAAAATTTTGATTCTCTAAGAAGGATGTGTACTTTTCAAATTAGTTTAATGATGGTTATGACTATACATTCTTAGCTGAATTTCCAAAGAGATTTTAAGCAACTGAAGTATGGCAATCAAGAGTGTTATTTTGTTTTTGTAAAAGCTATTTTGAATTTTATTGTGTTGATGTGGAAACAAAATAGTTTTACTTAAGGGAATTAGTAGGGGATATGGAGAACGCTTTGTTTGAATTATAGTTTTATCCCAACATGTTAAATAATTTTTTCTTCATAGTATTGCAATCTTACACATTCTAAATAAATAAGAATTTACTTCCTTTTTTCTAGTTTCAGCACCTTTTGATGAATGAGGTTGACTGTAGATTTAATTAATATTGGTTAAGGAGTCTTTCAGACCTAGCTTTTACCTTAAATTTTATGAGGTGTTTGTTTTTATCTATTTATTTTGCATTAATTATATTAAAAGCTAAATATTAATAAAAGTTAAGGAACTAAAATATAATGATTTTAGTTATTTTGTATTGCTATCTACATACACTAATAACATCCCATTTCTAAAGATTTGAGAATTTAGAAGGAAGATTATAATAATTATAAACAATGTGGATTGATTTTTCCATATATATCATTCCTTTTGGTTAATCATTACTTTCATATTTAATTCTTATATTTATTTAATATATAAAGAGGAAGCTCAGTCAATTATTAGATATTGTATTATCCTTTCATGTAAATGCTCAATAAGCAATTCAGGAATTCTAAATTATTTACTTTATTCTAACGAATCTTCAATAAACAAAAGAAATTATATTCCATCATTTCGATTACAGCAAAACCAATAGATTTGGTTCCAATATTGTTATGTTCCAAAAATAACAATATCAAACCGATTTTATTTCGCTTATGTTTATTGAAATCTTTAGATTTAACAAAGAAAGTAAAGTAATAAGATACTTTGTAGTTTAAATCCTCTTCTTGGTAATTCCTTTGCTTAATCAATCTTTAATCTAACTATACAAAAAATCATTAAATCTTTTATTAATTATCTTGATATATTGTTAGCCTCATTCTTAAATTACTGGCTCAGAAAACAATTAATTTTATATTCTACTTTTAAGTTATTAATTAACCTAAGATAGAAGCATAATTGAGTTATTTCTTTTAGGTAGATATTCAAAATTTTATCTATACAGAAAAATTGAAATTTTTGGAAATATGAATTTCAATAAGAAAAATAATAATCTTATATATATACTATCTTTTTTAGTCTTCTAATTGCAATATTTTAATGATGAATAAAAACTAAGGATACTTTGTAAGATAATGGTGTTAACTTAAAAATAGTTCTCAAAATTAAGCTAACATATTATATTAATTTAATAGTAGTTGAAATTATCATCTAATTAATTAGGAGGACATTTAAGTATAATTGTTTTAATTCTGAAGATCAAACTTGGGATTATCAAAGTTAGATAATTCTTAAAAATAATTATATCTTAGAACAAAATTTCTTAATTAATATGGAGAATCTGTAAAATAGTCCTATAGCCCGATATTAATTGTTTGTCAAGCGATCATTAACAAGATAAGTCAACAATCAGAAAGTGCTACCTGTTTTTGGATATAAAGTTAACATAAAATCACCTCGATTGCAGCATAATCATATATGTTTACAACTCTCTCCAAATCCTAATCAATCGACCTAATCTCATTCCATTAATCACGAATTAACTACTGTGAGAAATCTTCCGAAAAAAGATTCTTCATATCAATATTACATTAATCAAATAAGGAGGAGGAAAAGTTTAAAGAAATTTAACTTTGAAAACTCAGAAACGAATACCAATCTATTTAAAAAATAGTCATAACCTTATCAAACAAAATACAACATTGTACTACCTCAATTATATACTCCTATGAAAATTAAAAAATAGTTTCTGCCTAAAAATATTTTTACAGAACCATCACTATAAGAAGAACTACAACCATGGGAATCTAGTCATAAATCTATTCCATATTTTTGATTGAATTAAATGAATATTTTGATTAATATTTTATAATTATCATATTAATCAGAATAGATTATTCTCTTCTACAAAGCATGTAACAACTTCTATCTTTGTAGCAATGATATTTTGAACGTCCTTGATAATTGCAATCTATTTATCTCTTTCGATTGTGTTTTATTGATATTGTAATTCGTATTCTTGACATTATTAATTTCTCTATTGATTTCCATTTTTGGCTGCGTTAAATTCCTGATTAAATATGTTATTTTACAGCATGAGCATCTCTTGATCTCTTATCTTGAATGTCTCTATTTCTGATTGTTTCTTATAATGCTTCCTCATCGCTTGATTTTTCTCTGGTCAAACTCTCCATAGCATTGAATACGGCAGCCAAGATTGTATCTGTGTCCTAAAATAATTGCAACCAAAATTACTCTGGCATTCTTTGCTTCAGCCTCTTCTTCTGCCTTAATGCTCTCCTTAATTGAGTCTCTTATGGCTTCCATTTTTTCAATCAAAGTCTAAACAGCAGTTGGTTCCAAAGTTGATGTCAGGGCAACCATAGCAGTAATTGGGTTCTCTTCTCTAAAACAGATGAAAACGTTATTTACCCAATTTTGGCTAATTAAACTAAGGCTTCATTGATTGCTTCTTCTTCAATAAATGATCCAGCTTTGTGTTAGGCAGCTACATCCCAAACTTAGTGTAATTTTGGAAGAATAACTTCAAAGGCTTAGACCATCTCTTTCATTTATGTAGTTCTTGTTGAAAAGTCTAAATTGTCTTGTCTTCTAATGTCTCTTAATGTATCATCTTTGGCTTGGAATACTTTGATTTATCTAGCTTTTTCATTGATTTCAGCTTGGTAGACAGCAATAGCCTCATTCAATCTTTTGGCCTTGAATTCGGCATCTTTAATTTCGTTAATGGAGAGACTGATTCTTTGACTATAATTCTAAAGATCCTTTTTGCATTATGAGCCGATTTATGCTCTTTCATTATCAGCATCAATTTATTTACCCTATAATATTGATTATAAATTATACTTCCAAATCCCCTTTTAAGTCATTCAACAATTTGCTCACAGCACTCAAGGATTCATTTCCTCTTAATTACAAGGCGATTGTCTATAGAATCTTTGAACCTAGGGGATGATCTTAAATCTCTTCCAATTTGCTGTATGAAGGATCATCTTAAAGAGAGAGTTTTTTGTGACCTAAAATATACCAAAGAATTATACTTTTCTCGAAAGCTGAATGTTCTTCATCGTTGTAGTGTTTCTTACATACTACAGGATGACTAAGCAAGCAGAATACAATTGCTATTGTTACTAATGTTTTCATTAATTTAATATGCTAAGCGTTTTTGGAAAAAAATTTTGTTATATAACTTATATATATATATTTAATACATAAATAAATAAAAAAGAATTATTTTTAAAGATAGGACATTAACATAATGGTACTCAAGATCAATACCTCATGAATTATTTATTAAAATACAGTTAAAAGAATTTTGTTATTAAAATATATATAAAAATAATTAGAGTTCAATGCATTTTAGAGGAATGAGATTTTTTGATTTGAGTTTTTGGATATTATTATTAAATATGATTCATAATAGTTATTAGGAAATTCTAAGAATGGAGAACTTGATATCATCTTTATTTATACCAATATAATACTAATTTCAGAATCTGAAGTTTGGAGAAAGATTAAGGAAGTTTGGGTTAAGGTTATGAAAGATTTTGGGCTGAATTAAACTTATAATATATAATAAAATTAATATAATGAAAAATTCATAAAATGTTCACTAATTAAAAGAAGATGAAATCAAAGAATTGAAGTAGTATATCTTATAAATGGAATAAGAACCATCAATTTATGAGAATCTGAGTCAGGATTAAATCTTTGGAATAGTTGTCATTATACTTACAAAATCTTCGTATCATAGAACATAATACGAAATTGAGATTTTGAAGAAAGCCACAAAGCATATTGTGTATTTTTAGAAACTGCTAGAGAAGGACTAAGGAGTCTTATTATGGGAGAGATGTTTAAGAAAAATGAGTTACACGTCCTTGAAAAAGGGGGAAACTCTGTTTAGAGAAGGTGAGCTAATTTTGGTTATATTTAAGGTGATGTGGGAACTACATTCTATATTATTCTATAAGGTCGAGTGTCAATACATAAAAGAATGTTCGTTGGAGATTGCTATCAAGAAAAAGAGTTAATACAAATGAGTGATGGTTAAGCCTTTGGTGAGCTTGCACTAGAAAACAATGAACCTAGATCTGCTACTATTACTGCTGTTGGTCCTACTCATTTAGCAGTTTTAGATGCAGAGGATTATATGGTTATCAAAAAGACTGTGGTAATGCTTTTTACTTATCCTAAGATAAACTAATAAAGGCAGATGTATTTTGAAGAATTTGCGAAACTCTCCATATTCAAAGATTGGAAGTTTATGAGTGTAAAATCATTGTTCGATGTTATGAAATTAAATAAATTTAGATTAAACCATACTGTTTATAAGGAAGGTGATCCATCTAATGAAGTTTATTTCATTTAAACTGGGGAATTTAAAGTATCTTCTTTCAACATCTTTAGGTTATCAAATGCTTAAGAATGAATAAAGATAAAACTAATAATTATTAAGACGTTGATGATGATGTCTAATTTTTAAAACAATAGTTTGCTTACAATAAACCTTCCTTAACAAATCAAGAGAAAATTGATAAGTTATATCAAAAGAAAAAGTATGGCAATCTTATCGCCAGTGACAAAAAGCTAATTATGACCTTAAAATTCTTGGGGGCAGGGGAAATGTTTGGAGAATTGGAAATCTTAAAAGCTCCAGACTTATGCAGACAGTTTAGCTTAGTCTCTACATTTGAAAGTAATAATGTTTATTCAGTTTCCAAGAGGGATTTCATGAGAGTCCTCTATTGCGATCCTGCATTAAATAACAGTTTAACTGCTTTGAATGATAGAAAATTAAAATAAATCATATAACAAATAAAGGTTTATGAAAAAAATTTTATTGATCAATCAGAAAAAATTAACTAACTTGAGAGAACATAAAATAAAACTTTCTTAAAACCTGAAAATCTCATTCAAATTCAAGAAGATAAATAGAAATTACTATTCAATAGTACAAGTTAGATTTTGAAGATTAGTAGTAGGACAAAATTAGACGACAATAAACTAAGAGAACAGACTCTGACATTGGACAACCCCGCTGAATCAGAATAAGCCTATTTAAATAAACTATTGAAATCAAGTCAGTCGGCTTAGCATTCAAGATAAAAAACTGAGGAACTAATCATTTAATAATCTTTAAAATATAAGAATAAAATTACGAAATAAACTAAGAAACACAGATCTCCTCCTGGAATATTGGGAACTGCTTTGGAAAATATCAGTTACCATATTCGAAGATACCCTACACAAACTTCTACAAATCAAAGATTTCAAACAAGTCCATCCTCTAAATTCGATATGGATAATACATAAAAATCAAAATTCTACTTTTCAACTTGCTTACCTCTAGTATTGTAAAATAACTATTATAGACTTAAAACTAAACAATCATAATGATAATTTATATTTAAATTTAATTTCTTATTTTATTTAATATCAAGTGTTAAAATATATAAATAAAAATTAGAATAAAATACTTTTATGCTATGTTCTTAAAGTGTTAAGAATTGGTTATTTCAATAGGTTGCAATTTTAAATAATTAAAACCTCTGCTTGAGGATGACGAAAACACTCTCGATTCTTCAAAGATATATTTTCTATTCATTTATCTAAAATCAAGTCCAACATCTGTATGAAAGAATTAAATTTTAATTTGTGATTGTAAACCAACATGAAACTACATGAAGTCCTGAAACCAATATTCTTTTACAAAAAATTGAAAAAGAGTTATATAAATATTAATTGTGTTATATAAAATAAATCCTTTGTTTATTGCAATTTTGAGTATCTTTTTTCATTTTCTATAATGATTTTAAGGAAAGTGAGGAACAGAAATAATTTATAATTACTAAAGATATATCATTGTGTCATTTCAATATGTTATTTTTCAAGTGTTTACATGAGAAAATTAACTTTGTTTTCAATTTTTTCTATTTTATTCATCTGTTTTATTGGGTCGATTCTGAAGTTCTTATTCAATCTCTTGAAATTAAAGTTACATATTTATTTGTGGATTGAGACACTCAGATTATCAATTACTTTTTATTTGATCTGGGCATTGACCCCATTTTTGATATAGGGAGTCATTTAACACTAGGAAGTGGCTAAAACTATATTTCCACTGCTAATTTCAATTAAGGCTGAGACCCCACAACAGATTATCTTTCTTCTTCTCTTTTTCTGAAGTGAGAAGTAATTGGCAGTATCACTGTAGTAATTTCTCAATATGTGTTTAGCGGATGAATATTTAACCTTATGAATGATAGCTGCCTCAAAATATAGAGAAACTTTAATACTTAATATATGGGCAAATGATCTTTTACTACGCTAAGGATCAAATTGGTTTTCGTATCTGAATCAATAGGTTTTCTCTTTCTGAAGTTGGCATCTTTTAAGCTCTAGGGACACTCCGATTTAGAATTCTTGTCTGATTAAGCAAATTGCATGGATTAGACAATTAGGTAAAATAAAAATTAGTGAAAAATTTAGCATCATGCCGTGTTTAATAATTGAGAAAAATAAATTTCCTGAAGCGAAGTATTTCGGAAATATTAATTTTGGATCTTTGGAAGATAGCTCAGATTTTTCTAAAACGAATTATCCACGATATAGTACAAATGTATAAGATATAACACCAAATAATAAATTCATCATAAAATAATCCAATTTAAATAAACATATAAAAACATAAATATTCAACTAACTTCATCTTGAAAACATTCAAAGATCAATTCCCCTTATTCATTCTCGTACTCTCTGATTCGATCTTCAGTTTTTAGTTCATTTAACTCCAAGGTCTCAGAATTGTCTAAAGAAGTATCCTTTGGATGGAACATATGAGCGCACAAATCTAAAACTGTTTTTTTATCAATTTCTGCTGCCTCATTTTCTAAGAAAGATATCATTTACAATTATACCAGTATTAATGACACTATAATATTCTACAAATTCGCTGATTCTATCCACAAATCTGCATTCCTCCATCTATTTAGCAAAGTTTTCCTTGCTTAAATACGACAAACAAATCAATACATGCATAAGTACTGAAACTTATATTTGATCCTTCGTAAACTTTAGCAGTTACTCCATTACTTAATAAGCAAACCGAGCTTAATTTTACAGATATTGCAATGTATATGGAGTATGAATAATATTGGCCAAAGTAGCAGAGGCAAAATCAAGACAAAATACATGAATTTTAGAATTAACTGACTTTTGAATGAGATTAATAATCCACTAAATCATCTCATTATGAACATAGGTTGGGATGACAGTGTCTTTGATACTTGCCTTTTATAAAATAGCTAGGCAGAATCTCTAGGTTACTGAACCGCTTTCCTGTTCTTTCAAGATTTTTATGATCTTTTCAATGATTATCATATTCCCATTATACGTTAGATATTCGACCCCTCTCAATGTACTACTGATTACACTAATTAAACTAGTGATTGCATGTCGAAGACTTTGATTATTGATATCCAACAAATGAACAACGAAATCGAATTTTTCAGTAGCTTCTATGTTAAATACATCATTTCTTATCAATTCATAGACTAAGTTTTTTCTTAATTCTGGTGCAATTTATAATGCATTCACTCTTAGAGATAGCAAAACTTCGATCATACCATCTACGTGTTTATCCTGGTAGTTTTTGAATAGTTTAGTTTTGTGTTCATGCATCACTTATTCAGTAATCAATTCAGTGCCTTCTGGCTTTCCTTCATTTATAATAACCTTATGGTATTTTCCTAATTATATTTTGTAGTTTTCTAAGGTTTCGCTTAGATTTTCATTTTTAGCAGTCTCTTTTAATGAATGCAACAATTGTAACAAATTTATGCTTACAGAAAATATTTATCTGCCCGCCTAAAGAATTTATTGGTATTTTTTATTAAATTGCTTTGATTCTTTTTCCATGTTGATTTCCCTTTTCGATTTTACATTATCACTTTTAAGCATTTAAAATATGCGAGGCACATCATCCCCTGTTTATTTGATGACCTACTATTTATTTAGCATCTAGAATAGGAATTTAATTATCTACTTTATTGGAAACCTATTTACTCTTTATTTCTGCTTCAAAACATTCTAAAGTATTGGAATAGCTAGAGTATCTCAAATACTCCTTGATGTACTCATTAATTTCATTTGCATCAGGGAGAGATGATTACCCTTAATTTGAATTTGCAGTTCTCATACTAATAATTTAAAATAAATTATATAGCAAAGATTTCGTTTAAAATTAGTTGTATAAATAGGAATATATTTTTATTCAAAAGCATCAAGATCATGCTTTTCAAGTAAAGGTGAAAAGAAGCCAAGTCACCGTTTTTATTTGGTGTTCCCAAAGAGACCTATCCAGATGAGGATCATTGGATACACTAATTTACCAAGCAGATTACCTACTTAAAGTTCAACATTATATGCTTATACTATCTAAAAATTGATGTAGTACATTGTAGGAACAATCAAAGATCCAAATGGAAAATGACTCAAGTGAATTTGAATGATGATGTGGTTAGACAATCATTAGTAACATTAAATGGAGAATTGAAATAGCCACCTCTTTCAATCATTATATCTAAGAGTGAACTCTAATAGCTGATATAACTAAAGCTGCATCTGCTCATAAAAAATAAGAAATCAAAGTATTCTGTATATAATTATAATATATAATTTGAACATTTTAGGTGGTTTCTTAGTCACACAAAGAATGTTAATATTTTAGAAGACCAACTGACCTTGCTGAATACAATTATTTAATGGCATTAGCAGGTGCTACAGGAGTACTTGGATATTATGGTGGACAATACTATGGAATTCCAAAGAACCATTGACAAATCTTTCATATTTAGTTTCATCCGTCACTTGTATTTTAGCTATTGGTGGATTAGCATAATAATAGACAGCTTAAATTGATAATATTTTGGTTGTTTTGGAGTTGGATTGGGTTTTGCTGGCACTCTTGGATCTAAAGGATTCTCCCCAGAATTATTAGCTTAATGGACATCAATTGTTATTTTAGGATCTACTGTTAGTGGTATAGTTACTGCCAGAGTTGCAATCACTGATTTATCTTAATTAGTTGCCTGCTTCCATTCGTTGTTGGTTTAGCAGCAGTCTTAACTTCTATTGGTAACTATTTACATGCATCCCTCATTTGGCTGAGGATCCAGCTGCACTTTTTCATAAATTATCAATCTTCTTTGGTATTTTCACAAGTGGTATCACATTTACTGGATCACTCATTGCCTTAGCTAAATTATAAATCTATTGCCTTCAAATTCAACAGTTATTCCTTATCACAATTAAGTAAACATTACATTGGCAGCCTTATCTGTGTATTTTTATTAATCCATAATCAAACAGGTAGTTTTTCTGTTGGAATGACAGCTTTGTTAACAGCAACAGCTACTAGCAAAATTTTAGGAATTACATTAACTGATGCTATTGGTGATGCCGATATGCCAGTTGTAATTACAGTTTGAATTCATATTCAGGATGGGCATTGTGTGCTGAAGGTTTTATGTTAGATAATCCATTCTTAACTATTGTTGGAGCATTTGTTGGATCATCAGGTGCTATTCTCTCTTAGATTATGTGCAATTTCATGAATAGAAATTTAACAAGTATTATGAGGATATCATGTTAATCCTGCAGTCATTTAAGATACTAAAGTTGAAGGTATTCACACTGAAATCAATATTGAATATGCTGTTGAAATGATGGTCAATAGTAAATCAATTATCATTCTTCCTGGATATGGTTTAGCCTAATATCCAGTTGCTGACATGTGCAAGACACTCATTGACTAAGGAATTAAGGTTAGATTTGGTATTCATCCAGTTCCTGGTAGAATGCCTGGATAATTGAATGTCTTATTGGCTGAGGCTGGTATTCCTTATGATATTGTATTCTAAATGGAAGAAATTTAATGATGATTTCCCTGATACTGATCTTGCTTTTATTATTCGAGCTAATTACGCTCTCAGTTAAGCTGCTGAAGAAAACCCAAAATTTACCAATTGCAGATATTTTAGTATTTCAATTTTTTAGGTATGCCTGTATTGAGAGTCTGAGCTGCTAAATAATCAATGCCATTAACAATCCAGTTTCTATAAACTTAACGATAATATGTTATTGCGTGATGCTAAGAAAACCTGCAATGAACTCTCCTCAAAAATTAAAGATCATTTTAAATGAAGATCAAGATGTTGTACAAATTCATATAAATTACAAATATATATTTAAATATAATTTTATTTTTATCGTTCTAATTTATAACAGAGTAAAATACATGTAATTTACTATCTCCTCCTCAACAATTTCGAAAAATAGATAATAAAAATAATAAATGATGAGGCACTTTTCTTAAGAAATTATTCAGAATTCCAATTTTTATAATATTTTTATTAAAATTTACAAGGAAAAATATATGTAATTAATGAAGGCTTGCAATTAAATCTAAATTATGAAATTTTTAATGATTTAAATCTACCTAAGAAACAGCTTACATATTTAAATCAAAACTAATGAAAAATTCTATAAATATTAAATTAACTAGATAGCCAGATCAGTAGAAACCTCTTCATACTTTCTTATATTTTAATAAATTATTGAAATTGAAAAAGAAAGGCTTGAAATCTGTTTTTGCTTTTGAATTATATTCAAGTATATAAATTAATATCCTGAATAATTTTATATCTAATCAAAATTGCCACAATAAACAAATCAATTCTATTAATAGGCATTCATACCTTAAATATAGTCCTTATCTACACAAGACTCTTTATTTTTGAACAAATTAAATAAATTATAGATATGATTTCAATTATAATTCAAAAGAAATAAATTCTTGAGAAAGTTCCTAACAGGTAAGTCTTTAGAAATAATTCTTTTCAAGATTTATCTAAAGCAAATCTAATCATTTAGTACATTCATTGAAGTAATAATGAGAGTTCTATAATCTTAAATTAGATTCATTCTATTTTAGTGATCTACGCTCTCCTCCTTAAACCAATATTTATTTTGTCTTTAACATGTTTATTCTAGTTAGATATTTTTGGAAATGCAAAAACACTTTGAATAGTAAACATTTGGTTTCAAAAGTTACACTAAATAATAAAGGGATGTCCTCTGTATTTATTTATATTTAATAATGATTTGTGATATATAAGAGATTGCATTCAATTCAACGCCATAAAAGGGAAGAGCATCATAAGCAAATACAACAGCTTCATCTGGTAGTTCAAAAGATTCCTCCTTTGAATCCAAATATATGCCGAAATTATAAATACCAAGGCCATTGCTAAGTTAAGATGAGAAGTTTGAAGCTTCTTTATGTGCATTTGGTATCACAATCTTATCATGAGACTTTAAACTACTTATGCCTGATGAAGGAAGTCTCTATAACCAAAAATTACTTATTTAAGAACTTATTGATATGAAGTTTTTATTTGATTGTGATCAAAACCTATTGTATTAAAAAATGAATACTCTTTACTACAACCTTGACATTTAGGAAGAGAATGTAATTATAAATTTATTAGTGGAGATTCTTTGTGATGACAGAACCACTCTAATGTTAAAAAATATACCTAAATACATGAGACCAAGTGATTTGAGAAACCTATTAAATAAAGACTTCAAGCTATAATTTGATTTTCTTTACCTTCCCTCTGATAATAATGTAATTATTAATTAATCAGATAAGAATGAAGGAAATCTAGGTTATGCATTCGTCAATTTCATTTCCCCAGAAATTGTATTGAAATTCTTCAAAAAATACAATAATAATAAATGGAGTATAAATGATAAAGTAGACTAAGATATTAATTATAAAAGCAAATCTGTTAATTGAAGTATGCAAAATTACAGGGTCGAAGAGATTTGATGAACTAAATGGATGAATGATGCCAAAATCATTGAATTTTAATCATTTTTGTTTTTGTTTTCACGTTCTGAAATCATAATATATTAACATCCTATTTTTGAACAAAATTTAAGGTTGAAATACATTATTCTTTAATGAATAATTCTATTGACTATCTCAAGATAGAAATTGAATTGATTTTTTTATTAAGACCATCTTGATTATTGAGTCTCAGGATTTTAAACTATGTAGTTTTTTCATTTAAATAACTAAGGTTCCAAATTTACGACAATATCAATGTAATAGCTGCATAAAAATGGTTGATTAAACAATTTAAGTTAGTTCTATTATATTTAAACAACAAAATAATTTTTTAAAGAATGCTTTAAAATATGCTAAGGATATCAATATATTGACAATTAGAAGAAGGAGAGCATATATTAAAATAAAAAGGATTTCTTAAGAAATTGATTGTGATTTTATGATTATTTTAATTAGGAAGGTATATTATTTATTAATATAAAATATTTATGTTCAGAAAAGTACTTTAGAATTTTACAAAAAAGAAATTAAAAATAGATAATTATGGATAAAACTTAGAGGATCCTTATTAGTATCACAAATCTTTAAATAAATTGAAAAGAATGGACCCAAAATATTAATCAATATTGGACGAGCCTCATTTCTAAAAAGTATTTTTCTGATTGAATTATTGCAGCTATCCAATTTTAGAAAGGAGTATTTATTCAATTTGAAAAGATGGCCAGATGATAATGAGGTTTTAATCGACATAGATAAATTCAATTTTTTAGAATATATTAAATTTCTTTTTAAAAGCAAATTTGATGATTTAGAGGAAAAAGATTAATTCCCTTACAGAGCATTTCAGGCAATCTTACTGTTTATTGCCGTTGAAGTTTTATTGAACCTGCATTATTATACTTGCAAAGAAGAATACAAAGAATATTAGAAGGAAGACATAAAACCTCATTATAATTATAAAAATTTAGAAACTGAATTAAGATACTCAATATTATTATTTAACAGATCAGTCAATTGAATATGTATATAAATATCAAATATCAACTAAATTTCAGTTCTTACATTCAGGGCATATATATTTATTTATTTTCTCTGCTTGATCCTAACTTAATCCTACGCATTTCAAATGAAACCATCGTTAGCACAGGTCGCAGAAAATATACCTATCGTCATAATGTATAGTTACTTTAAATCAGGATTAGCTGATTTCTTACAAATACAAACCTTTTTCCATTGTTGGAAAGGTGGCAATAACTTTTCATTTACATATTGAGCTCTTGTAAAGAATACATTATCATATAGCTCTTCTATTTGATCATATTCTTCGAAACTCAGAATTGTAGCCAGTCCTACAATGCTCTCTATTTCTATATAGTCAAATTCATTTGTTTTAAAGACTTCATTTTCAGAAATGCAATCTAAACAATCTTTCGATAAACCCGTCAGCTCAGTCTTCCTACGAAACCATCGCACTTTGATGAAAGGTAAGCAATTATCTTCATCATCGTACAGTTTAACAATCTTAATGAGTTTAGCCACATAAATAGATCTGTTGTCTCCTCTTATGCAAAGATTTTAGCCAACATGATATATTTAGTTTTCGTATTTCAGCTTTTGATAGTTTGTTCTAAAGCATAGGAATATGACCTAACCTTGATTTGTTATCAGTTTGTAAAATTCTTACAACTGATCTATAATCTTTTCTTCTTAGTAAATTTGATAATTGGCACTGCCTTTTTTAGGGGATTTATTCTTCCTTGAGATTGGAGGTGGATGTAATCTTTTGTTCTTACGATACTGACATTCCAATATCAATTTGAGATTTGAAATAAAATTAATCAAATATTTAGTTGCTACTAAATCTTTATATACTTAGATTATCATTACTTAATAATTAAAATTAGTAACTAAACATAAAACTTAATATAATCAATTATATCACCATTTATAGGAGAATATATTATAATAATCTCAAAATATCTAATTGATTTTTTGATAAAATAATTCTCCAATAAAAAATTACATTATTCATTTTTATAAATTGATACCTAATTCTAAATATTTATAATATCCTATTAAAAAACTAAATTATCAAAACAAGAATTGGGAATCACTCAACTAGACTGATTAAATTCGATAAAATTAAGATTCAAATTGTTGAATCTCAGTAAAGAAAGCGGATGTCAACTGGAATTATTTAATTTCATTTTTCTGAATTTCTTAATAAATAATATCTGAGCAATAGAAAATTCTAAATCATAAGAAATTTTTAATTAAATTTTCAAAATATAGGGAATCAATATTATGATTAATATAATAGTGTGTGTGTAACTTTATCTTAATATTTGTGATATGTATATTTCACCTTATCTTCATTTAATATGTAATTAATAAATCTTGATTATTAGATATATAACTTATGCAAATTTATAAATAACCAGTATTTTGCAATAGTACCCTTTGTAGAGGCAATAGTCCAATACAAAATAGGAATCATAAGAAAAGAAATGAAAAGTATAGAATTTATATAATTATTATTTAATATATTTAATACTTTAACAAATTTAATGTAAAATTTTGAGACTGTAGAGATTGTAAATCCAACTGTCGATTATTTAATAATAAAATGCGGATAAAATCTTTATGAGCATTACTTATGTGAGAAAGAACCTGGATATAATTGTGAAGTGATAGCGAATTGGCAGTGTGGAGTTGTATAATAGGAATTCTTAGTATGTAAAATAAATAACAATAAAAGCCATTTGATCATGGTGAATCTAAATATGCTATTTTGAATAAATGGATCGATGAGGACGAGCCTGTACTTAATTATATAAAATGTTGTAGCATTTTAAAACAATCGATAATATGACTGCCAAGGGGGTAAAGATTGTGAAACCATAACCACCATCAACAGGATAAGACACACTTGATGATGCTAGATCCCAAAGAAGTCAATCTTCATCCAGGTTCTCCAGAAATTCAATTGCGAAGTTCTAAAATTCTGTAAGCAAAATGAAACTTATAAATAAATTGGGTGGTTCTTCACAATAGATGACAACTCTCTAATCCACTATTCAAGAAGAATACAAGCCTAACCTAATTAAGATGCCAGAGACTAAAAAGCCTCCAACTCCTGATGCCATTATAGAAAGACTTCGTGAATAGAGAGAATATTAAGAATTGGACAAGTAGAAAGAAAACGAAAGAATGCGTAAAATAAAAGAAGAGCAAATTGAATAAGATGAGAAAAAGAAGGAACAGTTGAAATAATTAAAAAATAAGTAGTACACTTATGATTATGATGGTTAAGTGGTGTTTCTTACAACAAAGTACAAACCTTCAATATATAATAGGCCCATAGACTTACAGATTAATGAAATTCTCTAACCAGAGACGAAAACTAATCAACCTTAGAAAGTCATGAGGGAAGTGAACTCACAACCTGAAATCAAACCAGTTAAGGAAGCATTTGCAAAAGGAGATGACGAAAATAGAAAATTAGAAAAGGCTGCAGCTGTTGAATATCCTAAATAACCTCCTTTAATTGAAGCCATGAAGGTTTTATGAATAGTTATACTAGTCTAAACAAGGTACGAATATCATTTTTGACAATGGGTATGTGAAAGAAGGAGGAGAGTACAAGATTCTTGATAGAATGAGTAAGAGGGACTATCAAACAATGGTGGATGGTTTATAATAAAAAAATAAAAAGTAGTATGATGATGGAGAAGATGGAGTGGTTGAGGAAATGGACACATATGAATAGAAAATATATGATGCTATTAATCGTGAAGGAGATCGGAATATCAAAATATCAAATGAATAACATTTCAAATGGATGATGGAAGATGAAGATATCAAAAAGTCTTATCGTTCATCTTCAGCAGAATCTGCTAATGCAAAAAGCATCTATGAAAGCAAGAAATAGTCCAAAAAACATACTAAAGAAAAAGAGAAGACTAGTCCCAAGAAGTTAAAATCCTAATTTGATAGGATTAATGCTTATAAGAATTGTATTATTTGGCTTATCTTTTAGTTGATGATGTGAAAAAACCTTAAAACCTTAAAGCGAGCAAGCTACACAAAGCTTTGAATGAATTTGACACAAAGTTATAGAGTCCAAAATGGGGATATACTGAAGACAAAGAAATTCCTTTACCAAATTCAACGATATATAAATTAAAACATAAATCTGAAAGCTAGCCTAAATTGCCTCTTTTAAAATAAAAAGGAAGAATTTGACCCTTTATTATAAAATATATTAATAATAATAAGACACGATTAAAAATCGGTCAAGTTTATTTTTGTCATATGTTGTAAAAAAAAAGTGTAAATCTCACTTTTAGGTGATAATATTAGATTGGATAATCTTAAAATCTTGAAATTATTATGAAATTAGCTCAAATATATTATTCTTATAACTCTTTCTTTAAATCATGATTTGTAATGTAAAATAAAATAAAAAGATAAATCTAATATAATCAAAGCGCTAACTTGATTTTAAAACTATGTTGGTATAAATAAATTCCATTATTTTAATATTCATATGGCATAGTCAAAATGCTTTTCGAAGGACAGAAAAATTAAGTTTACTTATTTAGTCAATTCTTTAAAATAATATTAACACTTTTAGAGCCAAAAAATAGCTAACAATATCTTTGAACTTATGTATAGGTCCTAATTTCAGGCTAGGAATAATTTATCAATTTATTAGAAATGATTATCCTAGATATAAAAATGAAGTTGTTTGAGTAATTAAATGTTGATATGAATATAATTTTTAATATTATTATGGTATTTTCTGATATATAATTCTATTATTAAAATTCATTTCAATTTAAAAAAATAATAAAGAATAATAGTTAATTTAAATGAAATTCTAATTTAAAACTTAAAATTCATTCAAATAAAGATAGGAACAATCCTTTCGTCTAATTGAAAGGTATGAAAAAATGATACCTATAATTCTTGAAATATATATACAGGATGCTGAAAAAAAATAAATACCTAAAGCAGATTTGTAAATTAAAAAAATTTTAGTACATGAACAAATATCAGTCTAATAAATATTCGATAAATTTAATCAACGATTCTCACAATATATTGGAAAAAAAGAATCACTTTTTTTGTTTTATGGTGGAAATAAATTAATTACAAATTCATTTTCATAAACGATATAAAAACTTTATTAATAAGAGAAGGATATTGATGATTGGCTCTACTTGGAATTGAGAATATAAGAAACTTCAGGCTGAATTATTTATTATGTTTATATCTGCCTATTTAATTTAGTATAATTAATTGAAATTTTCTTCGCTAGAACATACTTGGGTGAAAAATATCCTAAAGTTGGTTATTATATTACCTAGCATGTATCTCCTAATTAATTTTGAGGTAATTATTTTATGTACATAATTTTCAATCAATAATTATTCTGATCGCTTAAAAATAATTATTTTATATCCAACTAATATAACATTCAAATCAATATTTAAATGAGTATATAGTTTTCATAAAATTTCTAGTAGGTATTAGTGAGATTAGTATTATAGATAATTCTCAAATGAAATCAAATTATTTGTGATTAAGATGTTGACTATTACTATTTTTGTTTCAATAAATAATTATAGTATATTATGAACGATTCAGATTCTCAAATTAACAATCCTCTAAGCAATAGTCATGTCTCGAATTTTGAATAAGAATAATTGATACGTTTAGAAGAATCAGAGTGCGATTTCGAATGTTCATAAAACCCAATGTTAACAGAGGAAGAGAATAATGAAAAGTCTGTTGTAAATAGTAAGCTCATCTAGAATTCATGTAAAAATAATAATATCTCAGAGTCTTCTAACCAAATCAATAAGAAGAGTTAGTTTGGATCATTTTTGACCTCTTAACAGCTAGAATCATAATAATACAAAATATCAATTTAGTAAGTCGATTCACGCATAGGGAATCATTCAGGAGAAGAAGAGATTCATGAGAATTTGAGAATTGTTAAAGAGAAACTAAAAGAATTAGATCTAAAAGTAAATTGTTAAGAAAAGGAAATCCAAGAAATTCAAAGTAATTTATTATGAAAATTTAGACACATACAATTAAACAAAAGAGGAATTACAGCAATTAAAATCTGATAATGAAAATTATAAGAAGGACAATATGGAGATAAGATAAGAATTGTAAAGTTATGATAGTCAAATTAAAAAGGTTTAACATTTATTATCATTATTGATCTAAGAGAAATAATTAAATGGCTATGATCCCCCTATTTAAATTTAGAATAAAAGATCTAAGACAACAATTGAATTAGGCAAAGAAATTATGAATAATTCCCATACATAACAAAAAAAAAAGCAAACTGATAGTAATGGTTCTCCAATTAAATAATGTGAAACCCCATTATCCTAATAATAGGCAGCTCTGCTTATAAGTAGCTCAAAAAGTTACTACCACAAACCGTATATACCTCAAGTCCAATTATTTAATGCCAATTAATTAGCGGCTTTGCTTAAAATACGTATCTATCATTTTAATAAAAGCTCTTAATCGAAGAGATGAGGAGAGAAAGGATATTCATTAAAAATCTGCTGGGAAAGACTTTAACTATTTGTTTCATAAACCAGCAAAGTATAACTGTAAGATTTCATTAAGATTATAGCTATAAATCTGAACCAAGTAAAAGGATAAGGAATTCAGTCATCCTATTCATTTACTAGCACTTCCATGACAAAATGATGATGGATTTAAAAATACTATTTATTTAATATGTCTCAATTTTTCTCTTTAATTTTTGCATTTGAGTCAAAGTATAGACTTTCAGCAAAGACGATATCTTTTTTAATTAATAAACAAGCTTTTTCAACCTTATCTACCATTTTCAAATTTCCCATAACTCTAAATGCATTAATTACACCTCTAAGCATATTCTCTAATCTCTAGATTGTTCTAACAATGGAACCCTCCTCTATATCAGTTTATAAGCAAACATCTACAAATGATTAACCCTAAGCCCACAAATAGATACTAAAAATATAGGGTTTGACACTTACACTTGAGTTAAATTAAAATTGAGAACGTTTTTTATATGTTCGGTTGAGTCTTTTGAATCCACTGCGTCCATTTTCACTAAATATTACAATTTAATAATGTACTTTCTTCTTCAATGGTCTTTTTGATCAAGACATATGTAGCTATAATAGCTCCACTTAATTCAAGGGAAATCTCATCAAATTTTTTATGGAGCATAACTTCAATGTTACTTTCATCGAATTCCTCATCGAATTTTCTTCTATCTTGACAGACAAAGGCTGCCATCAATGCAGCTATTTCACTAGGTTTTAGAGTTTCCATGATATTATCTACAAGCACTTCACAAATGTAAATGGAACTCTAATCCATCAATTCTCGAGCAATTCTAGCTTTAATTAGAGGTAATCCTGCTTAGTCTACATAGCCTAATAATTTTAAGGCATTCAATTTATTATTGAAATCACTTTAACTTTAATTATCATTTCCTTAAATCTTTTTTTTGATGTCAAGCATATCATTCTTCAATTTCTCTTTGAGTTGCAATTGTTATAAATGTTTATCTTTTAAGTCACAAAATTGACATTATTGATTAATCAATTCATTCAATTATTCTTCTCTGAATTTGAACTATTCAATATTTTCCTCATCATTTTATTGTTTATTAGATTTGAATTTATATTTAAATTTAGTAAGCACAGCCTATCGTTTTTTATTATTGTTTTATTATTAAGGAGTATATATGTATTGTAACATCTGCTTCATGTCTTAAAATTGTTATTGTTTTTCCAACAATTAAGTGGCATAATCTTCATAATAGACTTCAATATTTAAAAAGTTAGTTTTGTTCGAGGTCTTAATTTGATCATCCAAAAAGTCTATAATGCTCTCTTCGGTTACATTATTAATGATATAATAAAATTCCCTATTAGATTTCAGTTAATTGTTTCTTTGCTTTTCTTTCTTTTTTTCTAAGAATTATGTTTAATATTGTAAGTAAATTTTCTTATACCTCCTTTGCTGTTTCTCATCTTCATTTCCAGAATGGATTGTTAAAATACTAAAATTAAATTATGCTATTATATAATTGATAATGTACTTATCTCTGAAGGTCTGAGAACGTAGTTTTAATCATAGATGTCATCGTTTAAGTAGTCTTAAGAGAGAGCAACTCCCAAGTTTATTTCACCAAAATGATCAGAAAATAAAACAAATCTGGGGAAAGTGATATTGGTTTTACTCTAAGTAATGGCTTATTCAATGAAGCCAATCTAAGAGAATCGATAATTCTTTTAGATTTCCACATATTCTTCAATCAATGACTTGGATACTCCTGATCTCAATCCTTTTTGATAAGGACATTAAATCAGAGAAGTATTGATATATTCCTTTTTTAATCTTTCTAAACTCAGCATCTATTTTGGCAATTATACAAATCTATAATTTTCATGAAAGGATCTCTTCATCATTTCAGTTGCATCGATGTCTTTACTAGTCAATAGATTTAGAATAATGCTATAAGTGATTTTGAACTTACTATCTAATTATAATCCTTTGGAGTCAACCATTTGCTTCATTCTTAATTCATCAGGTAAGTTCTATGCATCTTTGATGTAAATGATCACATTTCCTTTTTCATCGATTCCTCTTCTTCCAGCTCTGCCACTCATTTAAGTGTACTCACTAGAATGCAACATTCTTTTGGTATTGGATCCATCAAACTTCTCAACGGAATGGAAAATAACAGTCTTGGTGGGCATATTAATACCCATAGCAAAGGTTTCTGTAGCAAACAACACTTTGATTAGTCCTTCTGAGAATAGAATTTCAACTATTTCTTTGGCAATAGGCAAGAGATGTCCATGATGTATTGCAATGCCAAATCTTAATAGTTCTCTCAATCTGATTAATTGTGGTGATTATCTATCTTAAGATTTCAATTTAAGCAAAGCCTAATCAAAAAATCCAATAATGCGAGCCTCAGTTTTATGATCAATCAATTTTAAGCTATTTTATTTAGTAATAGATTCAGCCAATTCATTTATTTTTTTTCTTGAGAACACGAAGATGACACAAGGCAACAAATCCTTTTTCTCACACAATCTAATCAACTAAGTCATAGCTCTCTTCTCATCCTTTTATTTCATATTGGCAGCTGATATATTTTGGATAAATTTGGATTTGATCTATTTTTGAGTTAACTTTTATCTCATTGACTTATTGGTATTCTTATAAAGTTCATCATCCTTCTTTTCATCCATATTTTTCTTAATTCGTTCCTTCAATCCTTTCTTTTCATCTTCGATTTCCTTTATTTTTTTCTATTAATGTTTAATCAATCAATTACTTTTAGACCATTGTATTCTTAAGCCAGAAAGTCTCCATCTCTTTCTTTAATGGTATGAAATTTGTCAAAGAGAAATATATGGTGTTCTAAAGGAACAGGTCTGGTGAAGGTTTTCATCACGAACACTTTTTACTTCCTTGTTCTTCCAACCCAATTAGCAAAATCCATATAATTTGGAACTGTTGCAGACAACATGATAATTCCTATATGTTGTGGTAACATGATAATTGTTTCTTCCCATACCATACCTCTTTCCTAATCGTTTACGTAATGGACTTCATCAAAAATGACCCACTCTATATCACGAATCAATTCTGCCCCTCTATATAACATATTTCTTAATATTTCTGTTGTTAAAATCAAACACGGTGCCTAATATCTAATAACAATTATACTCCTGGATTAATTGAAACATCTCCTGTAACTACTCCTGTATTACCAAACTTCTGGTCGAATTCTCTAAATTTCTGATTACTTAAAGCCTTAATTGGTGATGTATATAATGCTCTTCTATTATGTTTAAATGCTAATGCAATTGCATACTCAGCAATGACAGTCTTACCAGCAGAAGTGTGAGCACAAACAAAAACGGACTCTTTTTTTTCAAGATGCAATATGGATCTCTTTTAAAAATCATCTAATTCAAATTAGAACTGTTTAGCCATTTTGGCTTTTGGCAATTGATCATAAAAATTGGACATGTCTGTTTCATCCTCAACAGCAAATTTATAATCCCGATCTTCAATTAATTTGCTGGAATTATTAATGACGTCTTAAACTTTAATGATTCTGAATTTTGATTTAACTTATAAGGCATCCTGTATCTATTTTCTAATTTCAGGATCCTATTCTTAAATTTCTGGTTCTGCCTTTTCAGCATAATACATCTAGTCTATAAATGTGGGTTCATTATCAATCTAATTGAAATCCACAACCTATTTAGCTTTAACAATAGTGTTCTATTCCTCCTTGATTTCTTCATCATCAGCATCATTAGCGATATTATTGATTTTAGCAGTTTCTCTGGCTTGTCGTTAGAGTTCAGTGAGTGTAGACAACATTTGTATATCAGATTCTGAAACAATAGCATTTTCTTGGAACTCTAAATCTTCAAGAGTCTCAATTTGCTATGGTTTTTATTATTAGATGGGCTATTATTCTTCTTTTTATTCATCGATAAAGAGAGACCAAACTGTATTGAATTTAGGATCGCTTTGACTAGGGAAGGTGTGTAAAATAGATTGCATCTAATCCTTAACGAATTTGTCATCTATATATTCAATTCTTTATTAATATTCAACTACTCTCTCCTGTCTTCTAATATCTCTTTCCTATTGTATTTATTGACTTTAAGCAAAAATAGTATCTGCCTAGCCTTGGATCTATTACTCTAATTTCTCTAATGAAAGTAATTTATCTCCAAGTTCTACCTTTTCTGGACCCCTCTTATCCTTTATTAGTTGACCTCTATTGATGATATTGGTGGTGCTAAAGGATTTCAAATCAGTGTGGAGATAAGCAGAACTTACACTTTCAATTTCGCCACTAAACATATCATGATTGGTATAAAGCACTGTCTCAATTCCCGGATTTAATGCTAATTCATCTTGCATAAATGGTAATATATTGGTGAATTCGTAATCCCTTTGCTTTAGATTGGATTAGAGATATATTTGTCTTATGTCTTCAAGTTGATCTTCTTAATAAAATTCATCTATCTCGTCTATTAATTCATCTCTAAATTCTTGAAATTTGACCATTTTCTAAGACTACATTTTATAGGACGATGGAATTCTAACTGATATCATTGATAATATACATTCCATCAAGCATTCTCGTTGCAATCTCTACTCTGGGGTATTATTCTCCAATAGATAATGGATCGATTGCAACATTAGGTATTCCTTTAGAATAGGAAACTATTTCAGAATCATCATTTTGAGCTTTGTCTTGTGCCTGATTTAAATAGTCAAAGAGACATTCCCATATATCTTAATCTTCAGCCATTAATTTATAATTATATTAATTTCAATCTATGATTAATAGTTTTCAAAATCACATTGTATGCAGCTCAAGTTCCTATTCTATTTACAATCTCTTAAATTTAGTCTTGTAAAAGAAGATCAAGTAAATGTAAAAGGGACTCAATCCGATCAAAATCACATACAATCCTACATCTAGGAATACGTCTAAGATTAGAATGTAATTCAAAACGAACCCTAGGAGCTAAACAAATAATGAGTATTAACAATATACATTTGACATTTGCATTATGATGGTTGTGAGAACCAATTCAAATGATGGAAATAGTTTTTCTATATAGCACTGTAAGGCTAAGGGAAGAAAGGAATTCAGCCCCAATCCTATGATTCCTGATAGTATCACTATAACAATATCACTAACATAGTTAATGATTAGGGATTTTATCAATATTCCGAAGACTCCGATTGTAAGGAAAGTTTTAATCAAATAATCGTAGTTAGGTTATTGATGATTCTTGGCTTAATGGTCCATGTAAATGCTAGCAACTGTCCCTCCAATCGTTCCTGTTGCCGCATAGACTATACTCACATAACCGATTTGCTCAATTGTGTAGTTGAAAGGAACCAATAGGATAGCTATCACAACCATATATGCCCAAGATACACCGATAAAAATTGAGAAGGCCAATAAATCCATTGTTGATTCAAAACTACTAAAAGCTGACTTGAAGGATGGGATAATTTACATTTTGTCAAATATCTTTTCATTACAAATACTGATACCGCTGACTTCGATGGTGGAAATTAAGGTTTATTTCTTAACATCAAAACACAAAAAATCAATGAGCATGTGGCTAAAATGGAAAATAAAAGGTTCATTTATTCAATCTTATTTTTTATTCCGTCATAATCATAAGTACTTTTAAATGAAACTGAAGCATAAACAATTGAGAAATTTAATCCAACTAAGTTAAAGAAGCTCCCCAAACTCGTTGATAAAGTACGTTCTTCAATGGGAAACCAACGGTCAGAGATAACTAGTACTTACTATAGATTTATTACATGCAGGTGCTGCTAAAGTAAATGTTTAACCCAGACCAATCAATATAAATCCAATCAGAGCAACTGAGTACTACTATTTACAAATATATATCATCCATTAGCCTATCTTGTTTTTATATAATTTGTACCTATCATTGTTATCAAAGAGGCGAAGATTAATGATAAGTCTAATCTCTTTTCTAGAGGTTTTATTGTAAAAGGACATACTGCAAAGTACGAGAGATAGTAACAATTGCTAAACCAAACTATATCTTCATCCTAAACTCCATAATATTCAGATGCAAGAGTTAAAATGGGAGAGTATTGAACAAATCCAAAAGCATTTGTAAATCTATTATTATGAAATTATTTTACGTAAAAAAGCAGAAGGCAAACAGTACTAACCACCTACTTTTGAAGACTCTATATCGAGGAATTCCTTCAGGGACTATCATGAGTATTATTTAAAGTTTGTATGTTTAGTACAAGTATTTTTATTTTTTAAACAGAAAATAGATTTAAGTTTAAGTAAAAAAACGAACTATTTTTTGATACTACTTTCATAGATTAACTAAAATTGACAAATCTTTAGAACTTAAATAACCCTGAAAAGATGTGTCATAACCCTTATGATTTAATAAAAAACCTAATAATAAAATAGAACAAAATGAACATAAAGTTAAATTATTGATCGGAGATGGAATATTTTAGGTAAGAGTAATAAGTAATATACTTAATTCTTAAAAAATAAACAAATAAGGATCTCTTATAATTATTAAATTATTTTTTTATTTGATTATATTATTTATAATGTATTATGTATCTCAGTTCATTTTCTCTAATCAATACTTAAAAAAATAATTGATAATCCAATCAATCTATTGAATCTATTGTCATTAGCTAAATTAGTAGTGTCTATACAATTATATAAAAAAAACAAAGGTTTTGATTTTTAGAATATTGATTATAAAATTGAATCAAACTTTATAATATTTTATATTGATTGCTACAAACGTAAACTTTAATTGAATTAAAAGTAAATATATAAGGTTTTCACTTGATTCTATAATTTAATTATTTGCAATGAGTAGGCCACTGTCTTGTTCAGATCCAAAGTTTAATTTGTTCAATGGAGGCTTGGGATGCACTGTAAATGGTTGTGGTCAATACAACAAATGCCTAACTGTTCTAAATGATAAATTCATAGAGACAACAGGGTGTTGCCGTATCAAAATTTTAGAACCAAACTTTGTGACTGTTTTTGTCTACATGTTGATTGTCCCTGTAATCGGAATAGCAAGTTTGGGAGCTCTGGGAGGTACATCTTTATAAATTATATTCCTAAAAGGAGGGATTGTAAAACGTCCATTCCTCTAAACTATTCTGAATTTCGATGCTAGTATCTCAGGAGATATTACCGCCTGTCTCATGATCAGTGCACAAATCGTGAATATGGTGTTCATATTCCTCTAAAAGTAAAGATGGCAGATTATAAAAATAGTCATCCCGACGTACAAGAACGACCCGTTATTAATTATGATATAGCTATTATATATACTTTAGCTATTCCGGTTAGTTTGTGCTTAGGAAGTGATTTAGCAAACTTTCTACCGTTACTGCCATTATTATCATTTTAAATCCTTTTTTTTATAGCCATATCCCCTGTTTTGATATATTATGCAAGGAGACAAAATGAATTAGAAGATCTAAAGGATCAGAACAGTGATTTAGCTAAGGAAACAGCACTTCTGACCATGTCCTAGGTGCAGATATAAAATCAAAATGAATACACTGAAAGTTAAGCTAAGATATATAAATAGCTTTATGCTGAACAATGTTAAAGATTTCCCCTTGTACCAATTCTAATAACTTTGGGGAACTTCGTTGTTAATGAAGTATATATTGCAATTATAAATTGTTAGCTTTTATTACTGCTGAGATCTTCTCCATACCAATATTCCCCATATTTCTTTCCAGATGGAGATATAAATAATAAAAATAGAGATAAAGGTCCTTGTGAACCTTGGAATTTTTATATGGTTCTATTACTGGCAGGAGTGAACTTCTTGATAACAAGTTGTGTTTATTTTTTTATGAGGAAGAAGGAATTGTTGAAAAACACAGTTAACTTTTATCCTAATGAACGCTACTTCACCCCAATAAGAAGATTCTTTTTTGTATATTTAGCTGGGTTTTTAACAGGATTTGTAGCTGGTTTTGTGGGAATGGCAGCTGGATTAACAATGGTAGTTACAATGGTCCAATTTAAATTGATTGCAGCAGTGGCAGGAGCAACTGCCAATTATTGCTATTTCTTGATTTGCATTTAAGTGTTTACGAACTTCCTTGTTGGTGCTTCCTAGAGTTAAGGATTGGGTGTGGGAGATCAATTCTTTTTCTATGCTTTGGGAGTAAGGAATTCAATGAGATTTGATAGGTTATTGCGGTTCTCGTGTTCACAAATTACGGTTATCGATTGTTATAGAGATATAATATTGGACATATAATTTTTTATATTGACTTTGCAATTGTTGTTTTAAATATAATTGGTAATATTGTATGGGGAATCGAGAATGGTTATCGGGATGGTTTTCGTTCATTGGAGTAACAGCCTTCAACATGCGGAAATTATGTATTAGATAATTGAAAGATTTATTTATTTCAATTTATTTAAAATAAGTTTCATTTTGCACAATAGGTGTTCCAAATGTAAAATCTCTCTGGATTTGAAATGGATGGTAAGATTACTATTATCATCGAGGAAGTGAGCCTGTTCTGTCTTGTGGTGCATTAACTTCGATGCACTAATGTATATTTCAGTTAAGTTAGTAAGTTCTTATGTTCTTATTTCTCGAAAAACATTTTGTAAATATTTTTATAATGTCTTCAATATTGTCGTGCCAAAACGATCAATACTCATTGTTTCAAGGGAGGGGAACAATCAATTGTTAGAGCTCGACTTGTGGGCAGTTCTCCGCATGCAATAGCTTACTTGTCTCAGGCAAACCCACTGGACAGGTAGGCTGCTGCAGAGAGGGAGTTTTATATCCGAATGCAGTTTCTATCATCGTGTACATTTTGATTATCCCCATCATCGGAATTGGCAGTCTTGGAGCATTGGGAGGTTATTATATTTTTAAGTTCATTAGGCGGTGTTGTCAAACGCCCTTTTTTAGAGGCCATTCTAAATTTTAATTCCTCCACCTCTGGAGATATCACTGCGTGTCTAATGTTCGGTGCACAATTGGTGAATCAAGTCATTATCTTTTTTTAAAGGTATTTAAATATTATTCTATGTTTGCAGTCATCCCGACACTCCAGAACGCCCTTTAGTTAATTTCGAGATAGGATTGGTTTATGCCTTGGGAATACCAATTTCGATGCAAGTAGGAATGGAGTTGGCAAACTATTTACCACTTTTACCTTTGTTGACTCTATAAATGCTTTTTTTCTTGATAATTTGCCCAGTGCTATTATATTTCGCAAAATCTGAACAAAAAGTGGAACACGACAAAGAAGTGAACAACGAAATGCAGCAATCCTCGATTATCACAATAGAGTAGTAGATCAAGGGCAACATAATTGAAGAACAAAGAATGGCTGAATTATTCAAATAGCTCCAAGAAGAATCATGTTCTAGATTTCCTTTGGTGCCAATCCTCTTGGCTTTTGGGAACTTCGCAGTCAATGAATTAATAATTTTATTAAGGACAACCTCCTATCAAACATCGCCATATTTCTACCCCAACGACCAAGATGCGGACAGTAAATATTCTGCTTGTGAGCCATGGAACTTTTACATGATGATTCTCTTATTTGGAGCAAACCTCATAATAACAGTGTGGGTGTTATTCTATATGAGAAAAAAAGAACTGCTAAAAAATACGGTGAATTTCAACATGAACGAACGTTATTTCACCCCAATATCTAGATTCTTTATGATCTATGGTGCAGGATGGGCCACAGGATTTATAGCTGGATTCCTGGGAATGGCAGCTGGCTTAACTATGTTTGTAACTATGATGGAATTTGGCCTAGTGGCTGGAGCTGCTGGAGCAACAGCAAATTATGGATATTTCATCATTTGTTTGCAAGTATTCATTTCATTTGTGGTGGGCGAATATCAGAATCTGACCTTACCAGTTGGCTATCAATTCTTCTTTTATGGAATCGGAGTATTAATACATATTCATCTTAGGCTATTGGAGTGTTGATTTTCACTAATTTAGGATATTATGTGATTAAGAAGTACAATGTTGGTCATGTATTATTCTACATTGATTTTGCACTGGTTCTGCTCAATATGATTGCCAATATTGCATAAGGTATTGAGTAATCTGAGAGATTTTCATATCATTCTTTGGTGTATAACCCTCAAAGTTGTACCGCTTAAGTTTTAAGCAAAAGCTCTGTGTAATGAGCTTTTATTTATTTATTTATTTATTTATTTATTCAACACCATGATGTTGAAAATAACATATCATTAAAATTGATTAAAAGAATGAAATAAAATAAATCATTCATCTTGTTTGATCTCAACTAAATTTATAGTACCTTCCAATTATAAGAATGTTTAAGCTTTTACTATTCTTCCTGAATTGAAACCTTGATTTGCTAAAAGTGCCGATAGAATTCTATCAGGAGGTGGGGCAGGATCAACTGGCCATTGTCTAGGATCTGGTGTGGTTGTAAATGCTCCATCTCCAATGCCCAAATACCAATCAAAGGCTTCACCCTAAAAGAATTGTTAAAACATATAATACATCGAACATCTTTCCATAGCCATCTTCTGCGAAGAACACACTCAAATAATTAGGAACAAAGTGGTAAACCTCTTCGAACAAGAATGAATTTTCAGTTTAATCAATGAATCTGATGTAGGCATATGCCTATTTCAATTTAAATGAATAGCCAAAATAGAAATATGTCCATTTGCCCCATTGTTTATTCATATCAAATTAGTGGATGACTATAAAATCTAAATAAATTCTTACTTGCTCCATCGTCGTCATCAGCAACTTCAATATCCCCGTAATCATAAGTACTATAGATCCATTTGCCTTTGTCAGCGAATATTGAAAGAGTTCTGTCTCCAGCATTCTCGTTGTCCTTCTAAATATCTGGTGTATTTTGTGTGACTCTTACTAGAGTAGTCCAGTCTGTGACATTCCTTAATTTATTCCCTTTAGCAAATCCATATACACTGTACTCAAATACACCACTGTATTTCTCCTCATACTATTTGAATACTCTTGCAGTAATCTTAGTTTTCTCCACTTGAACAGGCTCATTATCCTACTTTTCCTTATAAGGAGGGAATGCTCTAAACTTTGGAATCAAACCATTAATAAGGTCTTCACTAGTCTCAATGTAACTGCCTTTACCTAAGAAGACTCTAGGATCAAACAATTTTCCTTGGAATGCAGAATGACCAAACTCTTTCTTGCCAACTACTAATCTAGCATAATTTCTTAGTAACCAGTGCTTAGCATTATCTATTTCCACTCTCTTTACTACATTGGCATTCGACAAGAACACATATCCTATTGCTTTAGGATTAGTGGGAATTCTTTTATAGCAGAAATAAACGAAATTCCAATATCCTTCCAACTCTTTATCAAACTTGCTACCTATACTTATATCATTCTTATCAAGGACAGCATCATATGTACTAAACTTATATTCTCCTCTTCCAACAAAGGCTGATACAGTTCTATCACCATTTTATTAAGCATCCTCATATTATGCATTAGTAGTAAATCTAAAGATTGAATGTGAATCAGCTTTCTCTAACAAAATGAATGGATAATTCATCAACCATCTTGTCCATAATCCTATACCATATTCATAAATGGCTTCGATATCAGAACCTGGGAAATTGGTCTCAGTAAACTCTACATCAATTGCTGCATTGCCATCCTTGGCCACAATTAGAGCATCTTGATCTTTTTCAACAAAGAATTCAAATTTATTATTCAATTTATATGGGATCCATGCTGGCAAATTCTCCTCTGCTTCTACCTTATTAACAAAATGCCAACATTAGGTTGTACCATAACAAGCATGAACATGTCTTGATTTACCAATAAAGTTCTTGTTGATGCCATCCTTTCCGAAATATACTGCTAGATACTTTGGTGAAAAGTGGAGAGTCTTTTTAATAACTCCACCTTTACTAATATCTGGGAATCCCAAGAACCATCCTGTCTGTTAATCAAATCTAGAATATCCTACCCAGATGTACATCCAAATTCCTCTATATTCTCCAAGATCAACTTCTGTCTGTCTATTGACTTCGTAATCCTTATCAATAAATCCAATGTCATATGTGCCAAATATCATATTACCTCCTTATTAGATGGCAGTCAATGTTCTATCTCCTAATATGGAAGCATCACTCAAATGACCAACTTCATTATTGGTTAGTCTGATAATTGTTTAAGCTTCACTATTAGACAGATCACCATAATATTTAAACCATCCATAAACTGAATATTGTTGAGTTTCAGTTGCTTAATGATCATACAGGAATGTATCATAAGATTCGGCATCTTTATTGTCTGCTCCTTATATCTCATAATCTTTAGTTCCCAATTCTTCATCAACTGGTACTGAATAAGGTTCCATCCATGTTTAGTATTACTCTATTTCATAAATAAATGAGCCTCTTCCCATACGAATTACAGCTGATGCCATTCTACCATTAAATCCATATTAATTGTTCTTCCAATTTCCAACATAAAAACGAGCATAATTATTAGCAGGATCAGCATCAAATGGCTCAAATTTAGTTCTTTGTATTTATTACAATGTGTTGAAGTTCACATAACCAACTGCAATTTATTATAATTTCGAATAGCTGAAATAAATATAATTCCAATATCCATCCAAATTCTTAGTGTAGGAAACAGGTCTCATTGATCCAGCCCAAAATTCGTAGTCACCTCTGCCTATATAAACAGCAAATTCAGCCTAATCATTATCACTAAAACCCAATCTAGCAATCAAGATACGATCTGGCTTTTCATAAATACGTGAGGGATTTGTAATGAAGAATTTAGTCCACATTCCAAATCCATATTCATAGACACCATCAGTAACCCATTCTGGTTCCTCATGTAATAAACTATCATATTCAGATTCCTTAGTATGTGTCAACCATTTAGACTCATAAGTTTTCATTTGTACTCCTGGCCATAACTTACTCTTACCAACTTTGTACTCTTCAAATTCTGTTGGAACACCCCATGACCCTTTTCCAAATCTTAAGGTTGAATAGGCAGTTTTGCCATGGAAACTGTACTTAAAGTCCTAACCTAAGTACAAAGCCCAATATTTGGCCACAACATGCCAACCTTTAAATGATTTAGTTGCTGAACTATCTGGCCATTCAATATAGAATTCCAAATCTTCATTGTTGTATCCAAAATATGCATAGGTCCATAATTATTATGATTCCTGATTGATTTTAACAGTTTCTACGATGTTGCTGAACTTATCCTAATTCTCAACTGTATATGTTTTGAATTGATAGTCAATTGCATCAGTTTACCATAAAGATAACACATTGTCTCCATGGGCTACTTCTCCAGAATCAGGTTCATTGGATGTCAATCTGAATATCAATTAATCAGCTTTATCTGTTCTTCTAACATATCTGAACCAAGTAGAAAATGAATATTCTCTGTGTCTATCCAAATCCCAATGGAATTTGGGTTCAGTGATTAATCCTTCATATTCAACCTTATCATAATATTTGTTTTCCAAATACTCTAAATCTGTTTCACTTGGAACAGGATATTCAGTTTCTATAGCATTCTTCATAATAATATCATCTTCAATAAAGGAGTCTTTATTCAAAACAACTCTAATATTAGTTATGATTCCATTGAAGGCTTTGTAACCAGTCCACCATCCTGATGAAAACTTGATAGTATTGACTATTTTTTGATATGTCACAGTAAATGTCACACTTTTGATCACTTAAGTCCTTGCCCAATAGACATAACCATTTGCTTTGCCTTCTTTGTATCCAAAGTAAACATAGATCCATTCAGCATCCAAATATTTTCCATAATCTATTTACTATTATGTCACAGAGTCTCCATCAAATACTTAAAAGTTATAAAATCCTTCTCCGATGAGTGTGACTAATCGACTTGAACCATCTCCACTTAAACCTCCAACTGCTAGAACTTCTTTCTTCTCTGAAATTTTTGTAGCTCCATTATATCTGAAATATGTCCATAATCCATAACTATATTCTGTGGATCCCTTGATTCTGGTTTCAGGTCCATGATTGACTTCTACTTCCCATTTTGATGATTCTTGAGTATGAGAGTTTACATGTTTATCATCTGATTTATAGATTAAATATTGTATCTCCTCAGGAGGATCAACTGGATATTCTAATCTACCAAAATCATCATCTTCTTCTTCTGGAATCTCTTCGACAATTTCCTCTACTATTTCCTCAAAAATTTCCTCTACAATCTCTTCAACAATTTCTTCTACTGTCTCTTCAACCTACTATTCTTCTTCAAATGTTTTATTGTCATCAGGTGTTGGTTCAGTCTCAATTTCTTCTTCAACAATAACTTCTTCCTCTTCTTTTGGTTCAGGTTGTGGTTCAGGTTATGGCTCTGGTTTAGGTTATGGTTATGGTTCATCCTCATCATCTTCAACCACAATAATAATTGGTTATTCTTGACATCCAGGATATCCACATCCAGGTTAATAAGCACTTGGTTAAGTTGCTGCATCAATAAGAGTATCAATCAAGTCTTCCAAAGCTTCATCAGTACAACCTTCTTCCTCTGATATTAATTCAAATTCCTCTTCATAAAATTCTTCATGTACTGGTTCATCAAGAGGTGGTTCATCTTGACATTCCTTAGTTTTTCTAGCCTCTTCTGCCAATCTCTCTGCTTCTTCTAATTTTCTCTTAGCCTCTTCTGCAGCTTCTTAAGCAGCCTTCAACCTTCGTTCAGCCTCCTCTGCATCTACACATGCTTCTTCTTCAGCCTTTTAGGCCTCTTACAAAGCCTATTCAGCAGCTTCTGCTCTTTATGCAGCTTCTTCAGCCTCCTTTTCTTCTTTCTCAGCCTCTAATTATGCTTAATTTTCAGCAGCTTTAGCCTCATCCACCTCCTTCTTTGCTTCAATCTCAGCTTCCTCAGCTAATTCTAATTCATGCTGAGCCTCCTTATCTAATGCTTCTGCCTCCTCTGGTGTAAGTTCTACTCTGTTTTTCAACTCTTCCAACTCCCTTGCTTCTTCTTGTTTTCTTCTTTCCTCTTCTTCTGCTTATTCAGCTTATTACTTTGCTTCGGCCTCTGCCTACAACCTTGCTGCTTCTTATTCTTGTTCAGCTCTCTTGACTTCTTCTTCGGCCTTAGCATCTGCTTCCAAAAATGGTGCCCAGACATCCTTACATGCAGAGGTTTTTTGATTAACTCGAGTTGATAATTCATACAAATCATCTATTTCGACTGGTATGGAATTCAATTACAATTAAATCTCAGTGATTTATTGAATGAGTTCTGAGATCTTGGATGCAATCATAGTGGCCAATTGTATTTTATCTTCGTCAGCTAATAAATCAATATGAATTAAATTACTTTTCGCTTTATTTAATACTTCAACATAACCCAATATATCATTGATATCATACCAGGATGATAATGACTCAATTTCTGATAACTTTTTAAATTGTTTAGACAATTAATGGTGAATATGTTTCACTTGTACAAAAGTATTTCCAGAAATATGATGTACAGAAGCTAATACTTTGTCCACAAGTGCCTTAACCATTGCCAATACTTGCAAATCACCATCAAAACCATCTTTATGCTTTACTATATCAATCCATTATTCAATGTCATGCTCAGCTCCCAGTTACTCCTTGTATGATGGACTTTCACATGTCCATCCAGAAGGATCAATTCCTAAAATAGTTTCCAATGGAGTTATTTATGTTTTAACTGAAGTCTTAAATTCCAACGACAGGCTGACTAACAGCAACACAAGAAACATACGTTTGTACATTTTAATATTAATAATCCGTTTTTATTAGAACAATAGAGAGTCTTTAATTAATTTTAATATAAAACCATTCCATTAATCAAAATATACAATCTCAATTCAAAATAGTTATAATAATTTTCTGGGTATTTTATGATCAACTTTGTCATTGATTTATGTCCCAAAGCCTAATTAAATAAAATGAAGAAGATCCTTTTAGATAAAAATCTTTAAATAATTAAGAAAAAATTAATACGAAATCTAAGAAAAATATATTTTTATTAATAAAATTTAAATGAAGGCTCAAGGACTACACAAATTGAATAATCTACTGGAGACAGTTAATTTGAGAAATCAGGAATTACTGTCTTAGTTGCAATCAGACTATAAATCAAGAGAGACATCGCCTCCGAAACCTAAGATTTTATCATCTTCATAAATAGAAATGCAACAATTGGCTGAAAAAAACAAACAATTAGTTGAGGATGTATGTGTTATGTTCTAGTAATTAAGCTCAACTTTTTGAATTTAAGCTTTAAGGAATTGAAATTGGGAACAGATGAATTGAACTCTAAAAATTAGTCACTCAAAAAACATATAAAAGAACTTCTGCAGACACTCAAACACAAGGAAGACGAACTTAAAAAAGCTAGAGAAAAACAAAAAAATGGAGAGCAAATTGAAGAGAATAAAACTTAAGAAAAATCTGTGATTGATTATGCTATATACATGGAAAAATAATTCTAGACTTTGGAAGACAAAGTCAAAAAGTATAAAAAGCTGTTAGAAAAGAATGGATATGATGATTAATTAGCAAAAAAAGTATAGATCTTAATAATCTAAGGTTGAGGAATAGAAGAAATCTATTTAGTAATTAATATAAGAGAAGGAAACAATCAAGAGAGAAAAAGAAGAAATCTAAAACCAGATCTAAAATTAAAGATCTGATTTAGAGCCGCAACTCAAAATTCTTAATGAATAACTTCAAAATAGTGAGCAATTACACATCCAGGAAATCCAACTTAAGAACAGCATGATAGAGAAATTGAATAATCAATTGATCAAGTTAATGGATAACCAAAAATAATTAAATGAATCTAAATCACATAACTAAATATTACAATCGAGAATCACCGAGTAAGAAAGAAAATACAAAGATTTAGATGAATAGGCCAAACATGTGAATGGCACTGCTCTCGAATATTCAAAATAAATTCAACAATTAAATAAAGAGATTTAAACCTATAAATAATAACTAGCATAATAAGAGGAGCAATGCAATCGAATTGTTTAGTAAAAATAAAAAGAAATTAATTAAGTGCAATCATAATTAGAGTAGAAGCATCTTGAAGAAACCTTAAAAAAGTAATAATAGAATGAATAGTAATATCTTTAGGTAATAGAATAATTCAATTCATTATAAAATAAAATTGCCTTATTAGAAGATGAAAATAGTTCTCTTAAACAAAAATCATTTAAAACACTGAAAAATGTAGTGCAAGAATTAAAAAGAATGAAGTTAGAATTATAAAATCTGAAAATGATGGGTCACTATGATATCTCATAACTTAATGGATTAGAATAAATTTTAATGGATTAATTGGAGTAAGCCATATCACAACCTCACAAGAATTAAGAATATATGTAAGAAATAGTTTAAGAAATGAGTCAAGAATAATCTTTGACAGAGAGAACTCAAGTTTAGAATCAATTATAATTGTAGCTTATTAAGCATAAATAAGTGTTTAAGTTTATATTGGAAGACGTATGTAATAGTGAAGTTATAAAATAATAAATTTTAAATACTTTAGGGTAATTCAAGTAGTTTTTATTGAACATTATTTAATAACAGTATCTAAAATCTTTAGATTTGATGAATAATTAAAAATAAGATTATTCATCCTAAATTGATAGTTTGATCTAAGAATTAAATAATGTCAATCAACAACTTTTTGAAATGTAAAAATAGAACACTAATTTACAAGAACAAATATAATCTAAATAAGATGAACATTAATATGAAATGTAAAATCTTTAAGGATAAATTGATAACTTAAACTCAATTTTGGAAGAGACTAATTAAAATTTAGAGAAGGACAATCAAAATTAAGCATTAATTGATCACTATCAAAATTAGATTTCATAATTAGAAACTTAATTAGCATAATCATAATAACAATAAAAAACACAATAATAAACATTAAATACAGCAATTGAACAAAGCAATGTTAAAGATGCTGAATTGAATGAAACAAAATAAAAGTTAAACTCACTCAATACTCTGTTAAAATAGAAAGAGGAAGACTTAAAAATGTAAAAATAATTAGCCTAAACAAAATCTACTAAGTATGATCAGGAAAAATTATTAACCTAAAAACTTCAATAAGAGATAGAAGCACTTAAGACATAAAATAAATAATTCTAATTAGACTTGAATAGATAGAAAGATTTAAATAAGCAATAATAAACCGATTTAGGCAAACTAAAAGCAGACAATTAATAATTGAAATAACAATCTGAATAATTCTTATAAACGTAATAAGAATTAACCAAAATTAAATCTGAATTTAGTAAGACTTTGTAAGAGAAGAACACCTTATAAGAATAGTTTGATGAAGTAAAAAAATCTCAAGCGTTATTAACTACTTTAAATGATGAGTTATAAGAAGAATAATAAATTAACGATAAGCTTAAATAATAACTCCTAGAACTATAATTAGAATTCGAAAACTCGAAAGAATAGATGGAAAATTATAGTTAGGATAATGAAAGACTTAAATAATAATTGAAAGACTTGAATAATGATTATGAGTTAACACTTTAAGAGAATCAAATGTTATAAGAACAAATTATTTCCAAAGATTAAAATTTAATTTAATTATAATCATAATAGCAAGAATAAATTAATCTGTTTTGCAGTTAAAGTATAGAATAATCAGATTTGAAAAATAAAGATTTGGCAAATTCAAATGAATCTTTATAATCACAAATCTATGATCTAAAACTATCATTAGAATAAGCCTAAGAAACAATTGGATAAAATTAAACGAGTATTTAAGAGCTTTAAGCTGATTCCTTAAAACTTAAGGATGAAAATTCTACACTAAAAAATTAAATTTAGGAATTATCAATCAAGAATTAACAGATTTAAGAAAGTTTAGAAACGTAAATGAGTATCTCTTAAAATCAAGAGAAATTAATTTAAAATTAAACATCATAACTTGAATAAGAATAAGTTAATAACTAAAGACAAGGAATTCAATTGACAAATTTGAATAAAAAATTTGAAGCTCTAGAGTAATAATTAGAGAGTAAAGATCAAGAATTAAATGAATATATATAGTAAACAAATTATCTCAAAATAAAAAATGAATAATCAGAATAGCAATTATTCAAACAATCTTAAGAATTATAAAGCAATAAGTCTCAGAATCAAAGTTCAAATGAGAGTATTGTCTAACTTAATGAACTTGTTAATCATTTAAGAGAAGGGGAGAAATAACTATAAGAAAGTGTGAAAGAAATACAAAATTAAAAATCACAAATTCAAAAATAGTTAGAGGAGAAAGAACAATTATTATAGAATTTACAACAGGAAAATAAAAATTTAAACGCTGCTTTATTGGCAGAAAAAAGTGAAAATTAAACATAATCTGAATAAATTAGATCATTATAAAATGAGTTAATTTAAAAAATAAATGAAACAACTTTAGAAAATGAGAAATAATTATAGTTGAATATTCAACAATAAAACAACAAAATTTAGTAATATGAACTTTAGATATCAAAATATAAATAGCAAAATGAAAATCTAAATAGTAATTTGTAGGAGGCTGAAAAACATAAATAATTAGATAAAAATTAAATAGCAGAACTAAATTAGAATATCTAAGAGTTGTAAAGAAATTTGCAATCACAACTCTCTTAGATAGAGGAATCTAAATAATAAAATAATTAGAAAGACTAATAAATATAGTAACTTTTACTTAAAATTGACGAATAAAAATCTTAAATCGAAAGCATAAGCTTACAACTTTAAAGTGAAAAAAAGAACCTTCTTGAAGATAATGATGTTTTGAAGAATGCCAATTAACAACTTTAAGGTTTGGAATAGTAACAATAGACAATAATTGCACAACTTAAATAAGATTATGAAAAGAAAATATCAGAATAAAAAGACTTGGAAAATTAAATTCTTAAATTAGAGTAGAATTATCAAAATGAATCTTCAAATAGATAAACTATTTAAAACTCCCTAAACTAATAGAGAGAAGAAAATGAATAAAATTAATAAGAGTTAAAGAATAGATTAATTTAAAATTAATCTCTTATTGAAGAAGTCGATACATTGAAATAGTAACATCTCTTAAATTAAGAAGAAAATTTAAACTTGCAAACCTAGTTGAAAGATTTAACTTAAGAAGAATAAAACATTCGAGCTAATGCTAGGTAATAAGAATAAATATAGAATTAAAAGATTTAGGAGTTAATAAATGAAAATAGAGAAGCCTAAAATTTAGTTGAGATCCTATAAAAATAAATAGTCTAAATCTAATATGAAAAGGAAAAAATCGAAGAAGAATTAAGCGAAAAGAACTTATAATTAGATAATTATTCTAATGAAATAGAGGATTAAAAGACTTAATTTTTATAAAAAATAGAAATTTTATAATAAAATTAATAGATTTTGGAAATTTAGAAAAAATAAACTGATAATGAAATACTAAATTATTAAAACTAAATTGAGAAGTTGAATTAAGATAACTTATAATTGTAAAATGAATTAAAGGTCTTAAGTTCAAATATTTAGAAAGATATTGATAGTATGAAGGAAAAATAAATTGCTGAAAAGGATGCATAATTATAACTAAAAAACCAAGAAATAAAAGAATTAAAAGAAAAAAATATTTAATTGGATGAAAAAATGAAATTAATTGGAGAATTACAAAATCAAATTAGATAAACAAATGAAAAATTCCAGGAAAATCAATAAAAATTACAGGAATTAGAAATTACTATTAATTAATTAAATTAGGGAATATAAACTAAAGAATAAGAATGTTAGGAGAGTCTGAAAAAGAGCAGAGAATTGGAGGATCGTTTACTTGTAGCGCAATAAGAGAACAAAAAGCTTATTTCCTCAGTTGAAAATCTTTAAGAAGAAATTTCACAGAAAAATTAGAATGAGTAGACAATTTAAGATGAACTTAAGCAGTTTTAATAAGAAGTAAGTAAAATAAAAGAGGAAAAGATTTTATAAGAATCAGAAATAATATCAAAAAATACATAACTTAATTTATAAGAATAAAAAATATCTTAATTAAATGATGAAAAGGACTATTTGAAAACTTAAATGAATGAAGGTAAAGATATGTTAAAGGATTTGTAGTAAAAGTTAGAGTTATAATAATAAAGACAATAGAAATATGAAGCTTTGGTGAAGAATGAGGAGCTTAAATACTTACAAAAAATAGAAAATTTAGAAACCGAATTATCCTCATAGTAAGTAAATTCAAAGTTAAAAATTGAAAATGCTAAAAGGAAATTACATTCTATATTAATCGAGTTTGGCAAATGCAAAAGATAATAATAACACTCAACTAATTTTATTAAGGATTAATTAGTAAAGTTTAATAAAACATATCAAACAATTTTGGTTAAATTGGTTAAGAAGCTTAGTGTGATCAATTCATAAATAGCCTAATTGAAATTAAATCATTAAGAGTTAGATGATATGTTGAGAGTACAAGTTAAAATAAATCCCTAAATTTATAAGCACTTAAATTAATTATAATAATAATAGGAATCGGTTGTCAAAAGCTTTAAAGAGAAAATATAATAGCTAATGTCTCAGTAAGAAAATATGCTATTTGCTGATGAGAATAGAAAATAAGAAATTTAATCTTTGTCTACTGACAGGAGTGACTTAAAAAACCAATTACAAGAGACTAATTAAAAATTATAACAGCAGTAATAAATAAATTTAGAATTAAAAGAAGAAATCTAAAGATTAGAAAGCTAAAATTTGTTATATTAAGGTTAAATCTAAGAAAAAAATAGTGCAATAGATTAATAAAATGAAAAATGTAAGTTAATTCCTAATCTCAAAAATGAAATCCAATAGTTAGAGTAATAAAGACAGAGATAACAAACCATGATTAATGAAATTCAAGCAAGCTTTTAGGTTACGATTGATCATTAATAAGAGTAAATTTAATCTCTAAAAGAATAAAATAGAGATTTACTATCTGGACAGGAAATTAAGACCTAAGATATTTATTTAAAACTATAAAAACTAGAATAGTAATTAATTAAAGAGAAACAATTTAGTTAATAAATATTTGACAAGCTTTCATCAAAGGATGAGGAAATACAATAACTTTAATTAGCATAAAGAAAAAATCTCTCAGAAATAGATAATCTAACTAATATCAATGAAGATCTTAATGATAAGATTGAAAACCTTAAGGATCAGACATAGAGATTTTAGGTTTATTTTTCTGAAAAAGAAGAAACGATTAGAAATTTGAAAGAAACTGTCTATAATCAGAATTTATAATTGGAGGAAAAAGGAAAAAAGCTAAATTAGCTTTAAAATGATAATGAAGTTTTAAGGAAAAAGTATAAGGATTAAGAAGAGTAGATGATGAAAAATGATATCAAATTTTAAAGACAAAACAATAGAATGGAATAAATATAAAAGTTAATTAAAGACTATCCAAAAATAAGTAAGGAGATTGGTGATACCATCAAAAATACAGAAGAATTCTGTCTCGAAAAGTTAAGATTTTTGACTTAATTATTTATGAAAAAAATTTAAACTTTGCAAGAGAAAATCGAAGAGTCTGAAACTGCTAACGAATAAGAAATATAGAAGTTAAAAAAATAATTATAATAGTAGTAATAATAATATGATGAGATGTTTTCATAAACTTTAACTATCAACAATGAAAATCCTGATATGATGACTCATTTTAAGGATGTATTGAAAAATGCTATATCTGAAAGAGATTAATTTTAGTAAGAATTAAAATAAAAGAAGGAACAATTTGATAATGCCTCTGTTGAAAATAATTATCTAAAATTATAGGTATAAAATTTAAAGGATTAATTGGAACAAAAATGGAATGAGAGTGCTAATTAAAGTCTTGATTTAAGTTCAATTGATAATCAAGAGATTAGAAAATTCGAGCACAGCTCCATTAATAATGCAACAATAATTGATCCTACTGTTTAAAGTGGACATACTAAAAGTAGTTTATAAATTAAAGAATTTTAAAATTAACTTGCACAATAATTACAATAATAAAATGAAAATAATAATACCAAATTTTATGATTTATAATTAGAAATAGACAGTTATAAATAAGAAATTGAAAAGTACAAAATGAATTTAATTGATTATTAATAGGAGGAACAAAAAATGGTTAAGATGATATCTGATTTAAAGAGAGAGAATTATCAGCTATCATAAACAATTAACTAAACGGATACAAAATCTTTGAAATAACAGATAAAATAATTACTTTAGTCTTTCCTTGTATCACTATAAAATTAGTAAATTTTAATTATTATCTTTAAGGGCTTAAGAAACTGAAGATTACTTTTAAATTCTATCGAAGATGTTGGAACTAACTGATCAAGAAAGAACAAAATTCTAGGCCATAGTAAGTTAGATGAACCAAAGGAAGAAAGGAGGCTTATTTAGATGATTTATTTAACTAAAATTTTTATAAAATTTAGATATCAAAAATAATACTAAATTTTACATCAAAAACTAATACGAGAGTTGCTTTTTAATGAATTTATACTTAGAATTTTTGTTACAACACTTCTAAACTAATATTCTATGATTATTTTACTTTTGAATTTTTAGTAATGAATTTATTTCTTTTCTTTTCTATTCTTGTTAATTGGAAGACTCTTGTATTTTCAAATTCAAACATAGTATCCTTCTTTTGTAATTGAGATTTAGTAAAGTACCTTTTTAGGTCCTCTTATTTCAAATGAAAACAATAATATTATAAATATGATTAAAATTCTTCAACGCCAAATGAACTATATTTTGGTGGAATCTATGATATGGATCCTTTTTTTTATATTTTATGATATCTTTCTAAAACAAACTCAACATTATCTCTTTAACAAAAATTCTAATAGCTTGAAACTTTATCAAAATTTGATATTTCTGAAAAATGAATATGTGAGTATTTTTATTTTTTGTATTTCAATGTATTAATTTAATCCAAAAAATCATTAAAGCGATCAGAAGCTATTTAATCAATGTATTATTCTTCTATCATAATTCTTTAAGTTAATAAACCAACTTTACTTTTAGAATAATTTGAAGCCTCTTCATAATCAAATTTCAATTAATCAAACTTTTTTTTATTTTTATTATTAAAAATAGAGACTTGTAAAGATGTTATTATTCTTGAAGGAGTATCGTCATCAACAGAATTGTTATCCTCTTCAATATTATAGTAATTTGTAAAGATTGTATCAACTATTCCTTTAGAATTGAGAAATGATATTCTTTTATTATTAATTTAAAGAAAACGCTTCTAAGTTTATTATATTTAATATGCTGAAGATCTTGCATTAAAATCCTGTCTATCTTTTCTAATATACACAGTTTATTCAATCTTACGATATTGATGCAAAAAAGAAAGAAAATGAGAGGCATTACTAAATAATTAAAAGAATTTACACTTAAAAATGTAATACTGGACATTCTTTAGCCAAATGATCATCCATTTAGCAGACATAGCATCTAATTTGTAAATAACTATAATCTGATTCAAAGATTATTGCATCCCTTACTTTAAAATACTATTGCAGATCTCTTGGGTAAATTTTGGCAATTTCTAAGAATTTCTATTAATTTAGTACAAAAATATGAGAAAAGTTTCTACTTATTGCACTGGCTGATCTCATTTGATTAGAAAAAAAGCTGATTTCTCCAAAATAATCATTCTTTATCTTATTATCAATTACGATGTTTGTTTTCATGAAATATATATCCACCTCTCCTTTTTATATTAAATATAAGTCATAACTGATTGCAGGAGCTTCAAGAAATATTATTTCATCTGGAAAGAATAACTTATCCTCCAAAATTGGAACAATACCTTATATGAGAAATCTCTTTGTATGCAAACTCCATAGGATATCTGCATGTCCAAATAGTTTTCCATTTACTAATTCTTAAATGTCACTTGCTAACTCATCGGATAACAATTTTGTTATATCTTTTAATAGAATTTAGTGACTATCCCAAACAAACTCTAAGTATTTCCTAACCTTATTTTAAAGAAGATCTGGAATTTACGCTTTTTTCATGTATTTATTCAAGAGACTCACCTTTTATTTTCTAACATTTGATTTTTCTTCGAGAGAAGATAATGCAAATCCAATTGAATTCATAGTAAATGCAAATCCTCCACAAGCCACTAATAATAAAAAGATGCCTAACAATCTTTCAGGAGCAGTTAATGGACTTATATCTCCATATCCGACTGTAGTCATTGTTGCAACACCCCAATAAAGAGAAAAAATATATCTAGTCTACCAATCGCTTTCTTCTTAATCTCCCAACCAAGAATGTTCTTCTTAAAGAGCAGTATAATGAAATATGCATCCTAGAACATGAGCAAAAAATAGTACAAATACAAACAATTTTATAAAAGTTATGATCACCCCAACAATTCGAGATGTTTATATATATTCATCAATTTTATCAATTATTTTTTTGAGTTTTGCTAATCTTAGTAATTTTAAAACTCTAACGAATTTCAAAAATTTAAATAGTCTTAATAATTTAGCACTCTAAATAAGTTATTATGACTCATCAATAATAATTTCATAAGGGAATGTTGAGACCAAATCAATCCAGAACCAAAATGATAAATAATTTTTAAATATTTATCTTCTATTCATTTAAAGAGAACCATCTATGTAAACTCCAGTATTAAAATTCAATAGTATATCAAAAGCAAACACTCCCAATGATAAATTTGAAATTTCATTACTGATTTCTATTTCGAAACTAATTTAAAAGGGAATACTAATCATTTCGTAAATAACGAATCCTAGGCAAATTAAATCCCAAATTAATTTTATCGATCCATCAGGAGTCATTGTATAAGGAGGTTAAGGTGCTAAATGCTTTTTTAACTTTCTTAACTAAGAATTGAATAAAATTAGATAGTGCTGAAATTTGATCGCACATGTTTTCTAATATAATCTAGTATGCTTTGAACTCATAAAATTTAAACTTCTTTATTCCCATTAAAATTTTCTTTTTTATTTTAACAAAATTTTGAATTCCTTTTTCTTCTCCAACTCATCTCCTGAATCATCGCTCGTAACTGCAGTGTCTCTTAAATATTTTAATTATTTTCTATTCAACCATTCTTTCTCCTTTCTATTTTTTTATAAATATTCATTAATTTTTGTTTCATTCATTAATTATTGAAAATAAATTGTAAATAATATTGATGGTAATATCGAAAAATTGATGAATAGAAATTAAAATACATTAGATATTAAAATAACATATTAACCCTATCTATATTATTTTTATTCATATTAAATATCCTCAAATCAAATTAATTCATAATGAATACACTGAACAAAATCACAAATGAATAATTTACTCTAAATATATTACATATAATTTAACTACTTTATTATTCTTATTATTATCGAATTAGATCAAGTTATAATAATTTATTTTAATAAAAAATAATATCAATATCCTTAAATAATCCCATATTCATTTATAATTTAATTAAATTTTTGTAGAGTTTGTTCTGTGTTCTTTTGCACTTTATTTTCAAAAAAATTCGCCATTTCTTCAGCCTTCATTATTATTGAATCTTCAATTCCCACAACTTTCGCAACATTTATTCCAAAAGAAGCTTCACATGCTCCTTCCTTTAATCTATAAAGAAAAATGACTTTTCCATTTGAAATATAACAAGCCATATGAACATTAGTCACTTCGCTAATTAGTTTGGCTTCCTCGATTAAAATCCTAAAATGAGTTGCAAATAGCACTCTACATTAAATAGTCTTAATAAGATAATGCATAACAGCAGAGGCAATAGCAACTCCATCATATGTAGAAGTGCCTCTTCCTAATTCATCAGTGATAAATAAAGAATTTTTGGTTCCATATTTTAATGGTATTAATGTTTCTTCTAACTCAACATAAAAAGTTGATTTTCCTTCCATTAAATAATCTTTAGCTCCTATCCTTGTAAATATTCTATCGATAGGAGAGAGTTCCATTTCTTCGCATGGAACTGAACATCCAATTTATGCTAAAACTGCGAGTATGCAAACCATTCTCAAAGTAGTGCTTTTGCCTCCCATATTGGGACCGGTCAATAATTAAAATTTAGTAAGCTTTTCCCCCATATCAATTGAATTTGAAACAAAATTGATGTTGGTCAAACAAGGATGTTTTCCTTCTTTGATAACTAATTTAATTTTATCAGTAGTAAATTTTGGCACTGTCATTTTTCCTTCTGATGTATCTCCATATACACTTAAGGAACATAAAGCATCCAATTCGTTTAATATCTTTATAAGAGAATCCCAAACATGCTAATTAGAATGAAAATGCTTGAATATGAAATTACCAAATGCAGTGAGCTATTACTTTTTAGTTTCTTCAGCTTGTTCTAATTCGGTAACTAAATCCTTAATTTCTTAAGTTAAATATCTCTTATATCCCTATCTTGAAGAAGTGAATTCAAAATCTTCAGGTTTTGACTTTTAAACTAACTCATCTGGAATTTCAATTTCATATCTGAACTTGGCGTGTGCATATTAGATGTTACTATTATTCTTAAACAGTTTTCTTTTTATTTGTTAGAGATAACTATCAAGCTTTTATTCTACTAACTCAACCTCAGCAACTGATTAATCATAGCTCTCTAAGACTCCTGTAACTGGTTTAGGAACTTCTTTATCTTTTTCCTTTTCCCATATAATATATTATTCGAATTCATCTAATTACTCTTTAACATTTGGTAGTAAGCCTCCATCTGCTTCATAAGTCATCATATTTCTTAATCTCTCACTTCTGAAATTTATTTTATATTGACCAAATAATGCTATTTCTTGTTATGCCAATCTCAAACTTTTAGTAAGATTCTTAAATTCTTTTAGTCGTTGTTCAGAAAGGTTTTCATAGAATACTGCTTTACTTTCAGTTTTAATTGAATATTCGTATATTCTACTGCATCTTCTTTCAAAATCTGGAAATTACTTAATACTCTATCTAAATAGATCTCTTTCTTTTCTAAAGTTGCTTATATCGCAAACCATGGTTTATCTCTCTCTAATTTGATCAATTTAATAAAGGGGTGCACAAACCCACCTTCTCAGTAATCGATGTCCACCAGGAGTAACAGTTTTGTTTAAGACACCAAACAAAGAGAAATCTTTTTTATCTACTTAATTAGTAGTTTGCAGAATCTCTAAATGATACTAGAATATTAAATAGATAATATACAATTGCTTAACTATCTAGAATCATACATTGTTGAAGTGAAAATTCTTCATCATATAATTTGAATTAGGCACATCCCAAGACTCGATCTAAAATTAAGATCTAATTCAAGTAAGTAAACAATCCATTCAAAGCCTAAAGAACAACTTAGTTATTTTTATAAAACTTAATCGCTGCAGGAAGTCCATTTTAATAATATTATTCTAATCTAAATAGAGCCTTCTTTTCATCCCAATTATCTTTTGAGGCTGTTATATGGGAAATAACACTTTTGATAACAGATCCCGATATCATTTTAGTTATTGGATCAAATGAAGGTAGATTATTAGAATCAATAACTGTTTCCACTGGCCTCATATGCAATAATAATGTCTTAAGAGATTCATAGTTTTTATCTCGATTTTCAATAAATGCAAGTGATATTGTATTTGTTTATCTTTCCAAAATAGCCATTCCATATTCCTCTATTGTGTTTGATAAGATTTTCTTTCTTATCACTAGTAAAACCTTTTCATCTAGATTCATTTATGATTCTCCCTCCTCATACAAATATGTTCCTTTTGTCAAGATCTCACTTACTGATCTTTGAACTATTTTATCAGTATTCCCCACTCCAGCTTTCTTATTTTAAGCCACTCTTTGATTCATCTATTCTGGAGTTTCTGTTTAATCTACTATTACAACCTTGTATCCATACTCCAATAACAGAGCCTTATATTTGTGGACAGCTTTTTCTGGGAATCCTGTATGCCTATAATCATATATATACAATTTGTTACATCTTTCGTCCCATCCAATTTAAATCTAAATACTTATTTCCAATGTAAGCATCTTCATAAAATAATTCATAAAATTTTCCTAATTTAAAAAATATGATCTTATCGAAGTTCTCACTCTTATACTTCCAAAATTATTGCATACATTTGGTTAATTTATTGAATTCATTTTAAGGAATAAAGAGGGTAGTTGGATCTGCATCTGAAGTCCCGTGTAATTTACCACTTTTATCTCTTGATGAACCAATAGTTGCCCATTGAGGGGTCACATCATCAAATTCTTCATGCACATTAATTTTATCTGTTGGAAGCTTGAAATCTAGGTTTCCTTGCTTATTTTCTTAAAAATCATCAGGTTCCTCTTCTTCTAATTTTACAGATTATTTTTTCATTTTGCCTGATTTATCATATTCTGACTTTTTTTACTTCTACTAGGATTTAATATTATTTTTTGGAATGTCTTATTTAACAAACACGGCTAAAGATTTCCTCTCTTTATTCTTTTCTTAAGAGCATACAAAAGAAAATTTTTCAATTTTGAACTCATCTAAAAATTCATTTTTTTTTTCTTATTCTTCATCACTTTCTACTACATTATTCCTTTTCAACCTACTGAATTATTATGGCCTTTCTTGTGCTTTTTCAAGTAATTTATCTTTAATAGCCTAAACTTCTTCTTTTGTGATTGAAGTTGAAGGCTTAATGTATTAGATGTCTACCTTTTTTTCTTCGAATACAGTATTAGAATTTGAGGTCTTATTAACATTTAAGCTGCTTGTATCATTCTTTTTCTAAGAAGAAGTTAAGAATCTTTGAAGAGTAGTTTACTTCATTAGACCGCGAATTATTTTTTTTAACTAATGAATTAGTAAAATTATAAACTATACTATTAATATGGTATTAAATAATTGAAGATAAATAAATAATAAATCTTTAAATTCTCATTCTGCCATTCATTTATTGCTATGTTCAAATCATTTACCCTAGGTCTCAATCCTAATCATAATCCAATTTAAATTGGAACTTTTGTTTAAGATGATGAGATTATAATCATTTAGAGATATTCATCTAAAAGTCAATAATAACTGATCTAATAGCTTTGCAATTCAATATTAAGCACTACTAGTTGTTCGAAACTCAAAATTCCATATAAGAATTGATAAATTCTACTATAATTCTATATTTATCTTTACTAATAATATATGTGAAATTTAATGAAAGAAATTAGAGACAACAATAATTTAAATTTGGTTAATGCACCCTCGACTTGTTTCTAAAAAAGACTTAATAGTTTCTTAGAGGGGATTTCAATATGTTGCGACGAAATAATTATTTACATATATTTATTGAAAGAGCATCCAAGTAGAACAAGTGCCAACTTTTAGAGTTAGAACAGTCTAAAACTAGAAATTTAATATTTTGGTTAAATGTGAAAATTTAGATAAAAAATAATGAATAAAAAACATCACTACTAAAAATATTTTTAATCCATGAATAAAATCACATCAAATAATATATGGAATTAGATATGTTTCTGAAACTAAAATATAGATGTTCAATAATGTGGAAAAATAAACCAACTATTTATTTTTGTAAATGGTTTGGAATTCAGAGTGTTTACAAATAAAATTAAATAATTAAGTAAAATTTTGGATTTTATTATTGTAAACATATTCTAATTTTATTTTAGATAATTACTTTATGGCTTATATATTTGTTTTTTTTTGAAAGGAGTTGACAAAGAATGATTTGACACATTATTTTGGGTTTGAAAAAGCCTACTTTCAAAATAGTTGAAATAAGTAATGACTGATCTTTATTGAATAAAATTAATTTATTAATGAATTATATTACATTAAGGTTCAATAATTCAGAGTTTGAACATCGATATTCCTCCTAAAGGAAAAGCTATTAATTATAGAGTTAAACTGTTTATAGACTTTTTCTCATAATTCTAATATTATTTGAAATTCTAGAAAACGTATTGCAAAAGCTGTGGTTTGAAACTATTTTAAGTTTACTTGGACTTTTGATCATGTTGTTTGGCTATATTTTTAAATAATAATTGGCATCTGTTAACAATACTTTAACCTTAATAGCAATAATAATTTACAACATTTAACACCCAATTAAGTATGGCTTTTTAAACCATTTTAATAATAGAGAAGTATTAGAAAGCTACTTCATTTGTTTAGGAACTCTCGGGTAAAATAAATAATTATATTAGGATAATCTCTTAATAGAGTTATTTAGTAAAAACCTTCATTACAGTAATAGTGCTCATCCTTAATATCACATCTCTCTACCTAGTTTAGGATGGTTGGAGAGAAATTTTGTTATTTATTTTTTCTAGTATGATAGCAATCTACAGTTATTATATAAACGAATGGCAAACTAGAATCTAATTTATAATAATGAATAATAAAGACATTGTTGAAGACAATTTATATTAATAGATAGATATTCAATCCTATATTGTTCACTATAACTTAGGCAATAATTCAATCGATTTAATCAGACAAAACAGGGTCTCATAAATTACTGAAATTAAATAAAACAGTTTCATAAATCTGATAAGAAGTATAAGAGTGATTTTATTCAGTTAGAGAAGAAGGAAGTCTATTATACCATCTTCTCAAATGCTCAATCAATAAAATAAGCTTAACCTAGAATAGTTTTTGTTCTATTTATTTATGAATCAGGAGAAAATGCAAGAAATAACTAAGAATTGCACTAAAGATAATTAAACTTATGAATTGATTGGGCTGATTGGATTAGATGTTCATCATATTAAAATAATTCGTAGTGAAGATACAAAACCTTGTCTAATTATTTTGATCAAAGAAAACAGAAGAGAGTCATAAAATAAATCATTGAAGTATAAACTAAAAATAAATAATAAACTATTAAGTTAGGTTTAGGAAAGTATATAATCCAGGATAAGGATCTGTTTGATTTATCTCAAACAAATTTTATAATATGAAAAGTTAAAGAAAAATAAATAGTAATTGTTTGATAATCAAAAAATATTTTTATTCTTGAATAGCCAAATTACGAAAACCTATACTGACATTAATAACATACAAGATTTTGCAAACGTGAATTCTACATTTGCCAAGATTGTTCTCAATCATTTTGATATTTCTAATTGTATACAAGAATGCATTTCAATCTTTAACATACTTTTCCCTAAAAGAGATAATAACAAAATTAAATTAATTTCTCATTTGACTGATAATCGTATATATACTGATCAAAAAAAACTAAAGCAGTTACTTATAAATTGCTTATTCTTCATTTACTAAAATACCGAATAGATTGTAATTGAGTTGAAGGATGAAGTGAGTTAGGATGATTTGAATTAAAAATTCATAAAATTTGATATAATTTACAATGGTCAAGTTTTCACAGCTGAAAAGATTAGTAAATTACCAATTCTAAATCCTTAAAGCTTAGAAGAATTAAGACATAATAGCTATTAATAATTAAATTTAGAAATTCCAATTGCTTTAATGATAATCAGATAAATTGGACCCTATAAATAAATTCACTTTAAATAAAATGGCATTGAAAAATAGAACAAAATCTCGTTTTATTTGTTTAGATCATTAGAGGACTTTCATTTAATTCCAATAATATCCTTACACCCTTCATAGAATTTGATAACAAGTTAAAAATTTTATAAGAAAACTTCAAACATATATAAAACTGAAAAATATAATGCGATAGAAGAACCTCATTTAGAAACATTCCGTTAAATTAGTGAATAAATGATATTGAAAAGTTGATTAAATCTATTAGAACATCTAATTCATTTTACATATTATGTTTTATTAAAATATTAGTAATAAATCTAAAATAATGTTTGAATAACAATATTTCAAATGAGGCTGAGAGATTTATAGTCTCATGACGAACCTTATTCAAATGATAATTGTCAAAATTTGAATACATAGATGAGTGCTTATATGTTAAGGAGCTTTAAATGATTTATTTTGATTATGATCTTCCAATCAATAAGTATTTCTGGAATTCCCGTTCCTTCTAAATACTTGTTATGATGTGGACAAACAATTATTTGGATTTTGAATTGGATGGAACGAGTAATGAAATTCTTTCACCTTTGAAATTTGATGAAGTATTGAATTAGGTTTTAGCTTGTAAATTCTCAAATTAAAGTATATGAATAAAAGTGGAAGAGTTAATGAAAATACTAATTTTTCTTACGAAAATTTATAGTCTCTAAATTTTAAACTGGCTTAAAAATTGATTATGTATTTATAAAGAGAAGGTAATTTTAGAGATGGCTAATATACTATTGATTCTTACTTAGAGAAATAATATTGATTTCTTTAAAATTATTATTTATATATCAAAATTTTATTATCCCTGTAAATTTATTTATTTGTTCTAAAACTGCTATGTAATGTGCAGAATTTAAGAAAAATAGGTAACCTTTTAATATCCTAAGAAGTATTTTAATATGATTTTAAAATGAATATAAGAAAAAAATTAGATTTAATTTCATCAAAAGAAATGAGAATTTTTGGGTCTAAATATTTTTGGATCAAATTTAACTCGCTTTTAACTTTTTGGTGTTTTTTGAGATTGAGTTTCATTATTGATTGCTTATTATTATTATCTTAATCTAACTCCACTTTGTAGTTAATTAGTGATTATTTGTTATTTGTTTTTCAATATACTTTTTTTGTGTTTGTGTCAGAATCTCTTTGGATTGAGACTGGAGAATCCTCATTATTAGAAAATTGAGCTCTCTAAGCTATTGAATTGCTATTTATGTTATGAGCATGAGCTTCCTTTTTTTCACCCTGGTTATGTGCAAATATTTTAAATTAAGAATCTTTATAAGCCTATTTCTTTTACATTATCTCTTACTCTCTCTACTCGAAAGAATCTTAAAATGATAAATTTTGAATGGTTTATTGATTTTGGATATTAGATTTCAAAGATAGATTTATGTTCGGGTTGAATTAAGTAGATTTCGGATTAGTGCAACTCCTAATTAAAATAGCTGTTTTATTAATGTTTAGATTAATGTTATTTTCATGTAGTGATAATTCTAATAGTTCTAATGATTCATAAACCTCTCCTAACTATGAAGGTGGAGGAATCAATGTATTTTATTTATGTGGATGCTTAATAAGTTGTTTTCTTTTCTAGATTGAAGGAATGTAATACTCAGTCTATTGATCACAGATTCTTTATTTGATACAAGTTTATAACGCTCCCATACAATAAATAAATTTTAGGATAATAAAAAATTATTTTTTATAAGACAAATGTAAATTTTAACTACGTTTTGACGAGCTCAAAATAAAATTTAGTATATCCGATTTATATCTGGATTACATATAGAAAACGTTAAATATATAATTAAATTTGATGTACATCTTTAATATATTTATAAAATTTTATATACATACAATATGATTTACTGGCATAATTATCTAAAAATAATTTCGTAGTATTTTTTCCAAATTAATCTCATTCAAATCTATCTCCGATTTTCAGTTTGACATAATTCTGTAATTTTTCATATTTTTAATTCAAATAATTTTTTTACCAAATTTTCTTTCATAATTAAAAGGAATAAAAGAACCTAAAATTATCATTCAATTTACTTATTATTTAACAACTTTAAACCTAATAGTTCCAAGTATGTCCAATATTATATCCATTCTCTTTTATTGAGAAAAAAGGTTTATTAATTCAATTATTGCCTCTTCTTGTTTAAATAGTAGCTTATCGATTTAATCCAGATAAATTCTCATCTTTTTCAAATGATCTATTTATTTCTTAATTATTTTAGTAAATATTTCTAGGAAAGACCACTCTGCATTTTAAGTCAATATAAAATCAAAATATAAATTGCAAATATTAACTGTCTTGCCAATATTTTTTTTAAAGATTCTATAAACAGTATTATCATATATACTCAAAATTATTACCGATTTAACAAATCAAATCAAAAAAGAAATAGAAGAAAACCTCTTTAGAAGGATAAGAGATATATTTAGAAACAATATTACTACCTCATGAATTTCTCATCTTTGAACACAGATTTGCTTTCATATATCATAATGATGCTTAGCCTGCATCAAAATAAATTTTAAACTACAATCATTATGAATTTTATATATGTTTATCTCTAATTATTTTACGATATTTAACAATACAATTAAAAATAGATTTTGTTTAAATTATGATGAAATCTGAATCTAAATAAGAATAAAAAAAAAGTTGGGCTCGTTCGGGAATTGAACCCGACCTACTTGCACCCAAAGCAAGCGTACTACCGATATACTAACAAGCCACTTATGATGTTTTACTAGGTGTTCCCAATTTATACAGCTGATTAATATTTTTATGAGACCAAATAAAAATAATGAAGATGGTACATATTGGAAATTATAATATGAACAACTCAAAAAGTAAAAGAAGATATTTTACAGCAATGATACTAATTAATAATTGGTGTCATAACTATAAGAAAAATGCTTAAAATAAGAACAATAGATTGAGAAGCTGAATTAACTAATAAAATAAGCAACTCCATCTAAAATAACAGATCCATCAAATGAAGATTTCGAAATAATTAAAGTCTAATTTAAAACTCAAATCGATTAAAAGGATTCCCTGATCCTCCAATTATAAAGGGATAATCTCAATATTTAAAAAATTGCTTTAGAATAGTTAAAAAAGTCAGATTTTCAGATTGAACAACAGAGATGCTAAATTACTTAACTAAAACAATAGATTGAGGAATTAAATCAACTTGTTTCTCATTTATAATAAAAATTATTGCAGGAATAATAAGAAACCAAGGAATTCAAAGAGAAAATTATCATTTGCGAAAAAATGAATGAAGCATTAGAATAGACTATAGAGACGCTTAATCAAAAAAGTTAAACTAGTAGAGAAAAGCAAAATAAAGACGTCTAATAATGGATGCAAAAATTTAAAAAACTTGAATAAGAGTATATTATCTTAAAAACTAAAATTGAAGACCTCTCTAAATCAAATTTTGGAAAATATAGCATTGAAAACCTTGATTTAGTATCAGTAATTGATAAAATAAACGAGAAAATTAATTAATTGCAAGAGGAGTGCAAAGGATTAAAATTAGAAAAGTAATAATTGAGTTCTGAACACTCTTAACTTTAAGAAAAATTAAAATAGATAGAAATAAACTATTAATAATAACTTCAATAAATTTAAGAATTGTAGACAGAGATTAATTACCAACAATTAAAAGCTAAATCTAGTTCTAATAATTTAGAAGAGTAGTAATAGAATATTCCGTAAATAATTATTTAGCCATCAGAGGATAATAATGAGGAGAATAATAATGAAGAGGATAATTAATTTGTTTAAGAAGAACTTTAATAAGAAACTTGAGGAATAATTTGTTATTATATCAATTACATATTATATTTTATTTAAATCACTACTAACTTAAAAAATAAAATATATTTCAACTAAAATGTAGATATTATTTATTGAAACAATAATGTATCATTTTTTAAATGCTTAAATAAGGATATTACAAAAATATATTAATATACACTAGATTACTAAAAGTACTTTTTCCTTTACTTTACCCTTTATGCTCTATTGATGAAGAATCTCTTACAATTTTTAATAAAAAAACAAATAAAATTATGTAGCCTAATTGAAGAGTTATTTGTGGATTATATATGTATTAATGAAGTAGTGACTTTAATTGAAATATTTTACTCATCAATTTTTTTGTGATTTTCTTCTTAACTCTTCTTTTAGGGCTTGTTCCCATTCTCTCTGTCTACCTAATTAAACAAAGTGAATACTTCTAGAGCCTTTATTCATCAAGTCTTTGTTTTTATAATTGTTATTGTTATATATATGTTGAATTGATGGGTTTATCTTAAATGTGTCCATTAGTACCCCCACCAATAGAGCGTTTGGAAGGAACAGGATCTAAGGATTATTTAAATCCTACTTCCTCACTATCAGTTTAAGGATCAGATATTTGTACATATGGGTGCTAGAGTAATTTGCTAGCTGTGGGTCTAAGGGGAGCTGCAACAAAAATAGAATCTAAAAAACTTTTAGCTAACATTGATGCTTGTTGAGGATAATTAGGTTTTTCCTCTTAAGCGATTTTTTTCATTAATTCATAGGCATCAATATCTGCTCCATATTTGTCAGCATAAGGAGGCAAACCTCCAATCATCTCTATAACTACCCCTCCAAAAGACCATATGTCGGATTCAAAGGATGCGGCTTTTAATTAACATACTTCAGGAGCCATCCAATAGGGTGTGCCTTTTAAGGATTTGTTTTATATTATTAAGTTTTCTTCAGACTCTAGAACTTTGGATGTTCCAAAATCAGATAATTTAATTGTTCCATCACTGTCAACTAAAATATTGGCAGCCTTGATATCTCTGTGAATGACTTTATTCTCATGAAGGTATTAAATTCCTTCTAAGATCTACCTTGCATATATTCTAACATTGGTTTCATCAAGTCTGACTTTATTTATAACTTTTCTGAGGGATCCTTAAGCAATATACTCTAGAGCTATATCAACATAGGAATGATCAGGGCTGATTTCTGTAAAATAGTATTTAATAATATTTTTGTGCTACAACTTTTTTAAGAGTTTGATTTCTGCTTTTAATGCATTTATAGTTCTGAAGATCTAGATGTTGAAAATAAGATTGTACTTAGTCTTTTCCTCCTTAAAGTTTAACTGTTTTAATAGCTAAGATTTTTCCAGTCTTATTATCCAAGGCTTGATAGACTTCTGAAAATGCACCTGTGCCTATCAGTTCACCTTTTTTATAGTCTCTTTTTGTTCCAACTTTGTTCGACTATTCAATAACCTATAATGTAAAATTACATCTGATGGTTAAATTTAACCGGGTGGCTTATTTTTCGGAACTTCAATTTTGGATTTTTCTAAAAAAATAAGAAATGAGTACATTCCTTGCTTCCACAACAACCCATTAATATTTGTAGATATATTATTAATAATAATAAAATCAGTATTTTTGTAATTCCTTAATGATGAATTCATTCCACTCCTTTTATCTGCTGATATTTTGACTGTGATTGGTTTCTTCGTCATACCTTCTTTCCAGGGAGAGATATTCCTAGAATGTATCTTAGAAGATTCTCATTGATTCGAGTCTATAGTTCTTGGTGAATTTAGTTTTCTCAGCTCTACGATAGGATACGGCAATGTTACCTCGCCTTGAATTCTAAAGCACACAAGCACCCAATAAGATAATGCCCAGTTTCATGTTCCAACAAACGATCCCATTTATTTTTTACCCATGATTTACTGTTTAAACAGCACCATGCATTTACACTCAATCTATACCTGATATTGTTGCTGTGCTTCATTTTCTTCATCGTAAAGTCGTAGGTATAGCCAACTGTCCAAAAACAATGAGCTTTCCATTGAGAATATACATTTGGAGGGGCAGAGAAGAGATCCCAGGTTACTTTCTGAATTTTGACACCATTAATCACGAGGGGTAAGACAGTCTGGAAATCATTGAAGGAAGCATAATTCAAAGGGTCATCGATCTCATCGATTTCTGATGAAGTATTGCTACAGCATGTTGAGAAGTGAGAATTACTACTGCATTATTCATTTTCTGACATTCTACAAAAGTATTATACTTAGCGATTACTTTTAAGACTATGATCTTTGAGATGTAGAATTAGAAATTGAACATCTTCTAATTATCATTTGTGAAAATGTCACAAAATAAATAAATTAATTATCAGATCAGATCAGGTAAATCTACAAATTCGATATTCCGAATGAATTCTCAAGTGGATCATTGTCTAAGGTGCTTCCAAAACCCAACTTAATAGTATCCTTCGTATGCGGGAATGAAACATCAATTACTGAAGTCAACTTTCCTTCAGGATATCTACTGCCACATACAGAAATGCCATTCTTGACTTTAGAATAATCGTATTTCTCAGTCCAAACATATTCCATTCCATCCATTCTACCTATACTGGCTCTTAAGAACCCTGTTTCTCCTCCCCACCCATCTATAAAATGATAATTGGCTACAATCCTAACTTTACTGTGTTGAGGCAATTCAACAAAGGTTTTCTGAACCTCCCCTCCTGCAAATTTACCATAACCACCCAACATACTGATACCTCCACATGTGGATATTGAGTTATCACTCCAATCTACTGGCTATTACCAATAGTTTTCTTACCACCAAAGCATCCATTATGGTTGGTTTTTATAGTAAAAGTTACCTTGGATTCTCAATGAATGAAAGGAGGCCTTCTCTGCAGATGTATAGAATTCCAAAGGTGATATAGATAATACTATGTCCTCATTGAATGTCCATTTCACAGCTCGGTCAATCGTTATTCGAGATGTTGAATGAGGAAGACTTATAAATTCTAAGAATGCTGGGGATGAGTCTGTTCCCACTAAACTTAGTGAGGCCATTTGTAATGCCACTTGTTATGTTATCACTTTTTCATTTGAGAGTACTCCAACTATCAATTAAATAAATATTAACATTATTATATAAATAAAAACGATTAACATGCTAATAATATTTCTACTTTTAGGTCTGAGTGTAAATATCGAACTCAAATTTGAAGAGGAAATTACTAAATTGGAGCAAACTTAATTAGGCAAAACATTCTTGGATACAGTCTAAATTGCTGTGAGAAGCAAAGAGCCATTAGATAGAGTCTTCCAAATTTTGAGAGATTAAGCATTGTCTTATGAGACAGAATTCCTTAATATTGATGAAAAACATAAGGCATTCTCATCCAAATGCACTAAAGATCTCGGAGATTTTGATAATTATGCAGCTTTATTGAAAGCGCGTATTATGGACATGCAACAAGCCTTGGATGATAAAATACCAGACAAAACCAAAAAAGTTAACACTCTTCAAAACAAAAAGAAAGAGAAGACTATGTTACTTAATAGAATAGATGAGATCTAATAAAATAGAGAGAAATAAAAGTGCATCTTCGATTCTAGACTTGAGTAAGTATATACATGTATATCAAAGAGAACATTAAGCTGCCATATCTGCTGTTGTTGCAGTTAGAGAGATATTTGAGGCTGCTTTGTATGAAAACGACAATGGAGAGACAGCGTTTATTCAACTCCAAGAAGACGATGTTGATAAAGTTACTAATTTATTAGGCTATGCAAGTCTCAAAGCAGGTATTCTATGATCTCTAAACCAAGGCGATTTCAAACATTTACAGGGCTATAGTTCATTGTTTACAGTGATGGAACAATTGAAAGCAGGCCAAATTTCTAAACATGAAGAAACTGTAAGATAATTAGTAGAGACCTGCAATGATTTAGAAAACTATATTGACATAGCCAGAAGTCTATTAAGATCAGTGGATGATATCAGAGAGTCCTATTTCTAAAGATTATTCAAAAACTTAAATCAAGATCTAAGAGATGTAAGTGCAATCATAGAGGAACTAGATTCAGATGTAAATGTTTTGGAAGCATAAATCAAAGTATTAACCATGGATAGAGATGAAGCTGTCTAAGAACAGGACAATAAATTAAAGTAAAGAGGAGATAGGGCAGTTGAATGTGATTAGGAAGATAATGTCTATTAGTTCAAGTTATAAGAAAAGTAATTGGAATTTGTATTATATATTAGTTAGAGAGAAAGAGAGACCATTCAAAGGATATTATGATGATGTTTAGAGAATGTCAAGGAACTTAAACATTACATTAAAAGAAGAGGGGACGAATTCTAATGAATATGAAATAAATATATAAGTGTATCAACTAATTCAAGATTTTATCAAACTTACTTCTTCAATATTATATCATATTATCTATCAAGGGATAAAGTAATTTTTGATCATATTATATAAATTATTATAAATAAGTAGAGAATTCAGGAAGGCATGGTAATTTATTGCATGACAATTAGTTTGGAATTTTCAACTTCTCAACAATGATAGTGATTTTGTTGCTTGTTATATGCACATCAACTTATATCAGACAAATGAAACCTGATTTAATTAATTCACATAGACATGGATTTAGAGGATTCTTTAGAAGAAGTGCAGTCATTGGAGTATTTAACAATAATATAATGTGTAGGATAGATTATCGCCATTAGTATCAGTTTTATGTTTTATTATGGGTGCTTATGTATTGTTATTACGATGATTAATTAATACATGTGTTTAAATTATGTAAGAATTACTTATGAATTTATTTAAAATTATTTTTAAAAATTTTACCATGAAGTAAGCCAAACCTTAAGAGATAAGCACAATATGATGTATTGAAAGGAGCAGTTAAAGGTAGTTATCTCTTATATTTCTTCATTTTAGGATAAGTTTGTACCAGATTTCCACCCGAGCCATCTGGTTATTTACATATTGGTCACATAAAAGCATCAGTACTGAATTATAGATATTCCAAAATGTATGAAGGCAAAATGTTGGTACGTTTTGATGATACAAATCCATCAAAAGAGAAGGCTGAATATCAAGAGGCAATCTTAGAAGACTTGAAAACTCTTTAAATCGAGTGGGCAAACTTGTCACATTCAAGTGATTACTTTGACCTTGTTGAGGAAAAGGCAAGATTCTTAATTAGAAAAGGATTGGCCTATTGTGATAATACAGCTAAAGAAGTTATGAAGTAGGAAAGATTTGATGGTATTGAGAGTGTCAATAGAAATAACTCTGTGGAAGAAAATCTCGAGAAATTTGAATAAATGTTAAGTGGAAAGACTTTTGATTATTGTTTGAGAGCTAAAATCGATATGAAGGCTTTAAATAAATGTTTAAGAGATCCAGTTCTCTACAGAACAAATTAAATACCACATCATAGAACAGGTACCAAATATAAGGCATACCCAACTTATGATTTTGTATGCCCAATTTTGGATAGTATCGAAGGAGTTACTCATGCAATGAGAACTAACGAATACTCAGATAGAATTGAATAATATTAATGGGTACAAAAAGAATTGGAACTAAGACCAGTTGAGATTTATGAATTTTCAAGATTGAACTTTGTTAATACTTGTTTGAGCAAGAGAAAACTTTAAGAATTTGTAGATTAAAAGGTTGTAGAAGGATGGCAGGATCCTCGTTTCCCAACTCTTAGAGGTATCATAAGAAGAGGAATCACAGTCGAAGCCTTACATGATTTTATGTTGGAATAAGGACCATCAAAAAATGCTAATCTTTAGACTTGGGATAAGCTTTGGTCGACCAATTTCACTAAGATTGATCCAATTGCTCCAAGATACACAGCTGTCGGAAAGGAAGGGATTGCTATTTTGTCTATTTCAAATTTTGATGATTAAGGTGTTAATGTAGTCACTGTGCCATAACATCCTAAAAATAATGAATTAGGCACAAGACCATTATTTAGAAGCAGCCAATTATATATAGAGGCTTAGGATGCCAAAGATATTAAAGTAGATGAGAAAATCACTTTAATGAAATGGGGAAATGTTAAAATAACAGACAAAAAGGAGGTTGATGGATAAATCTTATTGACTGGTGAGAACTTACCAGATGATAAGGATTTCAAAACTACCAATAAATATACTTGGCTTGCTAAGGATACTCCTATTGTCAATGTAGATTTGGTTGAATATGATCATCTCATTAAAGTTAAAACTATTGAAAAATATCACAAATTTGATGACTATTACAATCCAAATAGTAAGTATGTTACTGAAGCATTCGCTGATGCTGGAATTAAGACACTCTAAGTTGGTAAATATATAATATTATGTAGGATCCGTATTGTAATTTGAGAGAAGAGGCTTTTTCAGAATAGATAAAATTGTTGGAGATAAATATGAATTGATTTATATTCCAGATGGTAAGACTAAAGCAGCCAGTATTTAAACCAAATTAGATTTGAAATCAGTTCAAACCGGAACTGTTGATGAATAAAAGAAAGAATAATAGTAATAATAATAATAAGAATAATAATAAGAATAACCAAAATAATAGAAATAATAAGAGTAACCAAATCCAGAGAGCAAAAAATAATAAAAGAAATTAGAAGCCGAGAAGAAGAAAGCTGAGAAAAAGGCTGAGAGATAAGCAGCATAATAAGGAGAGAAAAAAGAGTGAAATAATATTCATATATTATTATTTACAATCAAAGTATCTATATATATATGTGTATATCGATTTAACTCAATTTGGATGTATAACATATAACAAATCATAATCTGTTCTATTACCAAACATCATTTTGACATACTTGTTTTATTTCCAAATATCCATTTGATTAGTGTACAATTTACTAAAAGGATTACCACTTATCCCTGTATCAATTACAAAGAAATTGGATTCTTCAGAATCCATCGATATAATTTATTTATAATTTGATCCTGTTTTACCTTCAAATGATCCATCTAACTCATATTATGACACTGCCACAGATCTTCTATTTGAGTGATAAGGTATTCTCCTTTCAAAAATAAAAGCGAAAGGTGTTTTTGAAAATGCATGTGGAAAGAATTAATTATGTAATGATTCCCATTTCCATTCTTTGGTTTGATTTCCAAATTTTTCATGTATATATTATCTGGCTTCTCTTAAAGAATCAACCAAATTTTAAGCACATTTATCTTGAGCAGAACCATTGCAATATGGCTAATTCAAAATTTAGTCATTAGGTTGTGCCTTACTCATATCAATCAGATTTTTAAAGTGGAATGAATCAAAAATGTAAAAATTATTCCATTATTTGATTACAGCCTAATCTAATTGAGAGTGAAATTTATATGAATAAAAATATTCAAATACTCCATATAATAAGGCACCTGAAGAATATGAGTCCCATTTACAAGTCCAATTTTCTAATATTACAATTTCATTTATTAATTCTTTCTCTTTATCATATTATTTAAGCAATTAAATTAATTCATTTTTAGTATTACAAGCATAACTATCGTAGGTATCTGATTAGATTTTTATGTGGTCTAAAATTGAAAATTTCTATCCTTTATTGATCATTTCATTGATTAAATCATTTATTCTTCTTCCTCTACTTGTTGGTTGTGAATTCCAACTTAGTTCATTATCTGGAATAAATTTGTTATTTGCAACAACAATATATCCTTTTTCAGGATCAATAATCATAGGAATTTCTGAATATGGAACATATCTGATCCATTCTTTATTGTTTTTTTTTACATATGCATTTTCATCTGGATGTCCCTCTTTTATGACTAATCTTCCTGTTGATAGATAACCAATATGATTGTCATGACTAATGAATACCATTCCATTGTTAGGATAACAGATATTTTTCAATAGTTCCATGCTTTGCTTTAAATCCTTCCCTTAAGCAAATTTAATAAACCCATCAAAGGATTCATAGTCATCTATATGAACTATAGATTATAATGAATAAAAATGTCCATTATGGTCCCTTAATTTATTGTTCTCAATATAATATTACATAATTGGACCATGATGAGTATGAAAAATAGTGATAGATTGATCTTCTTACCCTTTAATTTTAATAATTTCAACTGTTTTATTACAAGGAATCCATTCATTATCAAATTTGTAGAATAACTTATCATCATCTTTAATAATTATTTCCTCTTCATATATGTCTCCTCCATCGGAATACAAAGTAGTCAATCCCCAGCCCAAATACTTGCTTCTTCCACTCATACACATTGGTAATCCAGGTAGTGTTCCGCCTATGATGAAGTTATATTCTTGATTTTCCATCTCGAAATAGATTTCAGCCTAATACCATTAAGATGGAATATTATTATCTAAATGAGGATCATTTGCTAAATGAGGTTTTCCACTTTTGGTATGTTTTCCACTTATAACCCAAGCATTAGATGCCTTGAGAGTTGGAAATATATAATTTGAGTAATATTCTGGTATTGATTATAAAATATCTGTTAAATTGTATTTTGATGTATTTGAATTTTTACTATTATTATTATTTGTATGATTAAAACTCTATTAAAATTTTTAATTGTATGACACATTATGTGTTTGCATAAATTAAATCCATTCATTTACTTAAACTTCTGTAACATCTGAATCAAACTAGTTATGTGGTCCAACTGAACCTAGTATGTTTGCAAGTTCTCTTCCGTATAACTCATCAAATTTTGATCTCATAAATTCATGAAACATATCATTTACATTAAGTAAGGACATTAACTTAATGAATGCAACTGTGTCAAATATCTACCAATCTTGAAATTATGCTCCCACTATTTTAAACTCAATTGGTAGAATTTATAATGATTTCACTCCATCATTTATTCCATCAGCATATGATTGTAAATGGGCTCTTGCTTCTTCACTTAGTTTTTCTACTATTCTTTTACAGGATTCAAGGTATCCAAGATTTCTAACATATTTGTCAATATTCAAAACATCTTAGCGATATCCAAAGATCTCACTTAATCTACCTTATGATGACATTCTACATTAATGAATTTCTTAGATTACCTTCTTAAATGTAATTACCACAATCTGTCTTAGGCATGTACAAATCCTAGTCCATAATATCCTTCTTTTAGAGACTTGGCATGGATGTGGGGGATACCAAATATTTTATCTCTAAATATCCTAGAATGATTTCAGGATGAATTGTTACTTAACATCATTGTTTATATGTTGGGATGACCACTCTCCTTTGTAATCTGGGATGCTTTGGTAAATAAAGACGAAAGAAGATAGAATCACAATGATAATTGTAGAAATTATGATTTTTCCAAACATTATAATTAATCATTAATTTACATATACAGGAATGTGACGTTCTGAAAATTTTTTTGCTTTAACTTTAATATTCTCGACGATGAGTGGTTGAACATCCCTACTATTGATGGGTTCATCATTTGATTTGAATTAGGGTAGAATAGCCAAAATGATGGATCCATTTTAATAATGGGAAGATACTTCCCTAATTTGGACTCTCGTAAAGAAGGCAGTTCCTTTGATAAGAGGCACACACAAGTGACCTTTCAATATCTGTTCTCCTTTATTATTAACTTTGATTTCCTTGGGATATTGTTCTTATGAATAGATTGCAACAACTAGTTCGATTTTATTAGGGTTTTTAACGAGGTCGCCACTTTTGTTTTTCAATTCAACTCTCAATTGAAAGATACGGTCTCGATAAAGTGGAGTTTCTAGGGCATCTGCTAAGGTAAGTTTGTATTTATATTGCTTCTCCAGTAACTAAATACTTAAAAAAAATAGAGTTACAGATCTTAAATTGAATTATATATGTAATTGAGAATGAGTGTACAGCTCATCATTTCTTTTAATTTGAATTTAAGAGCAGGAAAAATCTTGCCGTCCTTAGACTAGTTTATTATTGATCGTTTGAAATTTTAGCAAATAATCTTAAAGTAAATTATTGAATTTGTCTTGACTCGAATTCAATTGATCAAGCAATGTCTTATAGGCATCCACTTATTTGTCTAACAAATCAAAAAATTGTTATTATTAAGATAAGATGTTTTGCATTACCTTTGAGAGAAAATAATTTATATATTTATATAATGAATATTAGTACAATCTAAATTCAAATATAAATCTCCTTTTCATCAATTTTATAAAACGAAAGGGTTCATCCACTTAGTCTAAATTTGTTAGATGTGATGAGTGTTCGGGTCTAGATTTGGTGACTGGAATCCATTGAGCGGAGAGTCTAAATAAAGATACAATATACTTTCAATAGATTTGGTTCTTCCAGTGATGACTGGGGTTCTCATGATGATTTTAAGAAAATCGTTCTTTTCCTGACTCTAATCAACCTTCAAATCCTCAGTCTTGCAAATGTCATCCTCATCATTCGTTCTTTTTAACTTTTCCATATCTAATCGAATATATTCTGCATTCAACTTGACAAGCATTTCCCCCAAGTGTGGATCATCATCAGTATACATCTAGGCGAACTCCTCCTCATAATAAGCACAAAAGTATTCGTGCTTCAATGCCTATTTCGAAGTGATCCTTAATTCTGGGTCTGCCTGGAGCATCTTAATCAATAAGCTTCTCTAATTATCGGATACTTATCTAAGTTTTTCAGTTTGAAAATCCACAATGGCTTCTCGATTCCTCCTCACAATAGTATTATAACTCTTGCCCTTGAACACCGGTTGTCCGGTAGACAAGATGTATAAGATTACTCCCAAGGAGTATACGTCACAGATGGAACCATAAGACAATTGGTCATCCTTCAAATTGATAACTTCCGGAGCAACAAATCCAGGGGTTCCACATTTGGTATACAGAAATGGCTTTTAATCCACCTTTGTGGCCAATCCAAAATCAGCTATCACCACGGAATCGCAATTACTAAAGTATATTAAGGTTATCATACTCTGGTTCCTTGAATAGGATATTTTCTAGTTTGAGATCTCTATGCATTATCCCCTTGTTGTGCATATAATTCAATCCTTCCAACAAGCCTTTCATAATTGAATGTATTTGTTGAGCAGTAAATGACCTTTTCGTCTTGAATAGTCCATACAATTGATCTCCTTCTAGTAATTCCAAACACATATAGATAGAATTTTTGGTTTCATAAACTTCATACAGTTTCATTAAGTTTGGATGATCTAGAATTCTCATTATTTGAATTTCATTAATTAACCCTTCCTAACTTGTTTATTTTCATACTTACCTTTCCGTTCTCTTCCTTATAAACTGCATTCTTGCAGAACGCTTTCACAGCCATCTTTGTTCCATCCTCTATTCTCTAAGCCAAATAAACCGAAGCGAAACTCCCTTTCCCTATTTTCTTGTACACCTTGAAATACTAATGGAATCCGATTTAGTTCATTTTTAACCCTAAAAACTGTCTCAATTAGTCCAAATCACTCACTGATCCCCTAAATTCACTCCACTTTTCAACGTCTTCCCGAATGAACCTTATAGCAAGTATTTCTCCCAGAGATACAACATTTTCGCCTTTTTTATCAGAAAGCGACGGGTTTATAAGTAAAGGTGGAGTTCTTAAAACTTGAAACTTATATTCAAAGTTTATTGGTAAATATTTGTAAGGTTTCGTGTAATCGGCATCCTATTATATAAAAGGTTTTGTTACTTTAAATAGCACTATATTATATTCTGTGCATAGTACATAGACAAAATGAGTATTCTTGCTTGATTTTAAGAGCTTTAGACGTAGTCCATTTGTATGGTTCGATTTGTATTAGTCTACTTTGTTCCAAATTCTTTAATTATACATAATATTTATAGATCTGACAAATTAGGATATAAATATACTTGATAGGATATGAAAAGAGAAATTGAAGTTTTTTGATAAAATTGCTCATTTATATGATTGATATAATATCATCTAAAACCAGGTCTAAATCCTGATCCAATTTGGCTGTTTCCTAATTTAACCAATTCGGTCTTTGGTACTAGAGGAACCTCATCAATTTAGTTAGCAAATACGATGGCTTCACCCAAACCTAATTATAAGTTGCATTTAATTACAATGTGCCTTATCAATACCAACGCTCTCAGTTTCTGAATCAATTCTAAGAACTCCGAATCCCTTTAAAATAAGTAATGTAATCAAGACGAAGAAGGCAACCCATACAAAAATGATCAATAATCCCAACAATTACATTCCTAATAATTTAGCCCCAAATCCATAGAAAACACCTGCTTTAGTGTCGAAGAATGCTGACAAGAAGATTCCCAAGAAACCATTGCCCTATATGATTTATACAATATTCTACCAAAAACACAGGTACAACTTCTACAGGGTCATCAATATGTACTTTTGGAATGACTTTAGCCAAAACACTGTAAAATACTGCAGCCAAAAGACCATAGATGAATGCAGTCCATGGTTTCATATCATCAGTAGCAGCACTTACAGCCACCAATGCACTGATAATACCTCTAGACAAGGCGACCAAACTTGTGGTTTCATATTAGAAATATCTAATGATAAAAGCGAAGAATCCTCCAGTAGCTCCAGCAACCAATGTGTTGACAGCGACTAATCCTTAAGTGTATTTAGAATTAGCTCCTTAGGCAACAACACCTCCATTGTAGAATAACCATCCTGCGAAGACCAAAATTGAGCCAAAAGCAATATAAATTGGAGAATGTCTTTAGAATTATAAGGTTGTATTTGGATCAAATCTGAATCTTCTTGGTTTCAACAACACGGTCACAACCAATCCAGCAACACCTGCTGCGAAAAATACTACACCTGCTCCTGAGAAGTCCTTGTATCCCAAAGTTGTCAACCTATTTATATTCTCATTGAATCTATACCATCCTTATGCCAATGTCCAATGTGCTAATCCAGCATAAATGAATCCTGCGTATATTATAGCTAAAATTGACCATGCCAAGAATGTCATTCTTTCTGCTGCTGCTCCAGATAACACTGATACGGCTATTGCTGCACCTGATGCTCTGAATACTAAACAAAATTTGAATATTAACAGAAATACCAAAGTTTGTGTAATCATTTCCGAATTGATTTGCTTCCCAATTAGCTCCTCCTAATTTTGTGCCTCCCATAAAGTTTGTTTAGAAATCGTATCCAAATGAGAATCCATATCCAAACTATATTGTTATGTTTATTTCTTACCAACCACCATATTAAAATTGTCAAGAACAAACCCAATATCACTTTTATCACTATTGATTAGGAATTCTTATATCTCACTGATCCTGCTTCAATAAATGCAAATCCCACTTAGGTCAACACTATAATGAACCCTGAAATTAGAATCCAATCATAATCAATAGTTGATGCTTGAGGTGCTGGAATATTGGCTATTGCAGGAGGTGGTGCTACAACTTCGAGTACATAATTACCTGCTTCTCCTTCTTAATGTCTAAAAAGATGACCCATATCTTCGGTTATTTAAATTATTTAAAATAAATTTATTTGATAACTAACTAATGCACACCCTTTATATTATTAATATAATCGAGTTTTCAACTCACTTCGCATTAATTAGTATTCGTTTTCAAAAGATCTTGAATTGAGCTTATAATGTCTTATTTTTGCAATTATTTAATAATGAATATCAGGAGAATTAATCACAATCTAATTATTTCCTTATTATCTAAAATCAAAGAAAATTAAATTGTTAAATTTTATTTATGTTTTTAATAAATTTAATTTATTAACAAGTTATAACAAAATTAATAATGCCACAAATACCAAAAATAATGCGGGAAATCATTTTTGCATTATCTAACAACCATTTAAACTAATCCTGAGAAAAATTCATATAAAAACCTACAGAATTTAAATTTAGTAATTCAAATCACTACTACCTTTAAATGGCGCTGCTTTCTATTAGATTCTTCGCTCTAAATGCGGGTAATAATTGTTTGGTATTTTATATATAAAAATTTGAATTTAAATTCAGAGGGAAAATTCATATAACAAATGAGCTCAGAATTTATATAGGATGGAACTCCATTTACTAAATTGTTTTAAAGATTAGAAAAAATTCATAAATCCCCAGTTTTTAATGCCGATTGCATTCATAACCAAGATGAAATATATATAAAAGACTAGTCCCCTGAATAAGTATGCAAGAAATTAGAGTTTACACCATGCTTAAAGTCTCCCAATTAGTACTCTATTTTCTTAATAAATTCTAGATTCTAACCTTACTCCCCATTAAATCGCCAAACGACAAAAAAAGCTAATATCTTTGTGATATCACCAGCAAGATAAATAAATTTCGATCACTCTAAGACAGAACAACGACTTGTCAATATTAGTTCACCGCTTAGTTCTCTTAAGGTTCCAGATGATCTATTATGTGATGAAGAAGAAATATTCTCTGATGATTAAGAAATTCACTCGTAATTTAGAAGTCCCCCTAAATCCCCTCACAGAAAATTGGAAAGAGCCACAAAATTGAAATTCATCAATTTTGTTACTCTCAAGAAACCTCTCAAATTTACAAGTGATTAAGTTAACAATAGAAAGAGAACCAGCTCAAAACGAAGAAAACCTTAGACTGAATAGAAACCTAAAATTATAGTTTGTAATTGTAAAAAATCAAAATGCCTAAAATTATATTGTGATTGTTTCGCTGCTGGAGTTCCATGTGGAAAGGATTGTAACTGTTGTTCTTGTCATAATAATGAAGATCATGTAAAAGAAAGAGAAAATATTATCAAATAAATTATGGAAAGAAATCCACAAGCATTTAGACCAAAAGTTGAATCTAGAGTATAATATCATTTATATTATTAGAGTAATTCTGAAGATGAAATTGATCAAAAACCTAGACATTTTAAAGGATGTAATTGCAAAAAGTCTAATTGTTTAAAAAAATATTGCGAATGTTATTAAATGGGGGTTAAGTGCTCAGAGTTATGTAAATGCGATGAATGCAAAAATTGCGAAATGCCTGTAAAAAAAGAATCAAGAAAAAGAGTCAAACATACACATTCAAGTTTTAAAAATACAGAAATGTATTGATTCAATTTCTTTTATTTTTTGTTTTTTTCATATTAATTTTTAAATACTTTATTCCTAATTTAGATTATGAATTCAATATGTGAATATAAAATATTGAATATCAAAATAATTTCCACATATTTTAAAATGGATTCATATATAATGGATAGGGAGTTTAATGGTAATGTTAGAATTATTAATTAACAAATGGCATTAAATTTTAATAAGGCGACATAAAGTATTATTGGTATTAATTAATATTTGAAAATGGGATATATTATTAAAATATATTTGATTATGAATATTACTAAATTTTTAAATCTTCTTCCTTTTTTATTGAATTTTCAAATTCTGTTTTATGCAAATTAATATCTTTAAATGTTTACTATAGTTAATTATTGAAAGAATCAGGAAATTATTCAATTTTGACCTTTTTTTATAAATTATCCTCAACTTAAAGCGAAAATTATGTATTAATTTTGTCACAATGTTTATTCTAATTAATTAATATTTTAGATTATAGGACGAATTCCTGATATTACAGAGTTAGCTATTGAAGATCTTCTATCTCGCATACAGTATTAGGTAAGTAACATTTTTGGGTATAAATTTCATAGCAACTATTTTCTAATTATTAAATAAGTTCAAGCGCCTATATTAATGATAAATCTTACTTTTTTTTACATGAAATAATCACCATTTGAAAGGGATATTAATATCTTTATTTTCTTTTAATGCTCTAATTTATTTATGATATTATTTAGATGATTTTAAATCTGAGTCACTATGTTAGTTGAGGAATCAAGCATTTCTTAATCAACAAACAATTTAATAAGACTGGAGAATCTTAAAGCTAAAAATATTGGGTGCTTAATTTTATTTCTAATATTAGAGGCAGTAAAATAATTAATAAATCCTATAATTGAGTTTTCTATTTTAATTATCTTTAAAATCTTATTTTTTGTTTCCCTTTTTATAATTTTTGAATCAATCAACTGATAAGGAAATATTTCTGTAAAAGAATTCTAAAGGACTGAAAAATTGTGAAATCTGGCATATTTTCTAGAATCTACAAAGATCTCAGGGGATATGATGGAACTAAGAACCATAGTTTCTCCTTTTACTGAGGAATAAAATAAAACAATCATCAAATGGAATTTTTTGTGCTAGCATTACTATTTAAATTAATACATTGTTGTTGTATGAGGTAGTAGTGAATTTTAGACATCTAAAGTTTGCTCCTAGGTCTATTATTTCTTTTTTTGATTCTCCCTTAATACCTAAATTTCTATAGGATAAAGAGTTTTCCAAAGCTTTAACCACAAATACTTGAGCAAATAAAGTTCCTTAAGAGGCTAAAACTTAGATATGAGCATCCTAATAGAGGCTAAAACACATATTTACTTTTAGGATATAATCAAATTCAGGCAAATTCCAGGATTTATGCCAACTCCATCCTGCTTCCAAATCATAATTTAGTGATTTCTTAAATAAAACATGGGGATGGATTTCAATTCCAAATTCTTTTGGATCAGCTTTTCTTTTAGTCTTAGGATCAATCTAAATATTGTCATTCTCTTCATTGATTAACACACCGGAAACAGGATTCCATTCAAAATCAACCTACGAGATACTGTTCATAATGCTGGAATGATAAGTTTTAAAAATTTACGATTAGAATAAACAATTAAGTAATAAAGTTTAAATGAGATTCTATTCTCAAAGTCATTAATTTTTATTGAAGAACAAATTAATAAACTTGAATTAATTAATTAACAACATTAGTAATTAAGAAATTATAAATTCTTCATTTAACTATTTAAAAACCGTATTTTATTATTTGTTATTAAAGATTATTTAGCTAGATACAAAAAAATTATTATTCATCATTCTTAAATAATCTTTTGTTTATATTTATCTTTCTAAGCATTCAATATTTATTTTATAGTATTTCATAATTCAATCGCATTATCTAATATAAAATAAATTATTTATATATATGGATAAAATTGAATTACACGCCCATTTTAGTGGTTGTATTCGTTTTACGACTCTTTAGGAGCTCACAATTAAATAATTTGGATAAAATCAAGAGATACAATTCTAGAAATGTACGACTTTAGAATAATGTTTTATATTATTTGCTAAAATAAATTCTTTAAATTTAAAGTTAGAGGATGTTCGAAGAATGGCGGATGAGATATTTTAAGATTTTTATTCAGATGGAGTAACCTATTTAGAAATTAGAGCAACACCTAAAAAAGGTTAGGATTTCGATTAATTACAATACTTAAATGCAATATCAGAGGCAATAAACAAAGCAAAACTTGAAATCAAATTAATAGTTGCTATTGATAGAGCAAAAGGTGTTGATGAAGCTTAAAAAACACTCAATTTAGTGAAAAAAAATAAAATATAGCATTTAGTTGGTGTAGATCTATGTGGACATCCAGGGATTGGTCATTTTTTAGAATATAAACCAATTTTGCAAAAGTTTAGAGACTTAGGATATAAAATTACTGTACATACTGGGGAACTTAAATAATAAATAGAGGAAAATAATCATGTGATTGAATTTTAACCAGATAGAATAGGACATTTAATCTATTTTACAGAGGAGCAACTTCAAAAAATAAAAAGTCTAAATATTCCAATAGAAGTATGCTTTTCATCCAATCTATTTACAACAAATATGTAGCCTGATTGTCACCCTGTAAAAGAATTCATTAGTTAAGGCATTCCTATTGCTATTTGTACAGATGATACATTATGTTTTAATACAACAGTAACTAAAGAAATAGAATTGATTAAGACTACATTTGGATACTCAGACGAATTTATATCAAACATTCTCAAACAAGGCTTAAATTACAAATTTAAAATAGAATGAAACTTTATATAATTTAATGATTTCATAAGTAAGCATAAATTTGTGTATATTTAATAAAGCCTAATCAATTATTCAAATATATAGAAGTTAATTGTACTTTTTAATTTTAATAATTCTAATAAAAATATTAATAAATGAGCTTCATTTGAGAATTATATCTGATAAGTATTTTGTTCTACAGTCTTATAATTCAATAGTCTTAATATATTTAGATTCTTGCTTTCATTAGAGCAATCTTTTTATTCATTAAATTATCTAATGGATCTATTATTATTTTTTACTAATTTATTAATTTACTTATACTGGATAATAATAAGATAATTAGAATTAATTTTTATTTTTAATTCTTATGATCATCCTTAAATTAAGTCTTACCGCCTTAATATTCTTATTGAATCATTATTAAATTATAAAGAAACTGTTTAATTTTAACTTATGTTTCAATGCATAATGAGATATCTCTAATATGTGTATCCATTAGCATAATACCTAAAATATTAAGCAATTTGTCATATTAATCATATTAATGTAATCAATATTAAAATCTTGATGAAAAATGTAAAAGTTTTTCATAAGAATCTACCAAAGGAAAAAAAAGAATTTCAGAGTATTTATTCTTGAAGTAGAGGATGAAGAAAATTTCTAAGTTTTTAATTATCCTTTAATAAGACTAATATAATTGAATTACAGAAAAATAAAGATCATTTGTTTATGGAGCAAAAATGATGAAAATATTATGATTCATCCTCAAGTCAAAATATATAGTTGAAATAAACTATGAAAATGAATATCCAATAAACATCTTTTACCAAAAATGTTGTTGTTTAAAGGGAAATATTTCAAATTCAGAATTGGGATTGAGAATTAACTGTTTCGATTATTTCAATAATAATTCTCAATAAAAATACTCAAAAATATCTAATTAATCTCTGAGAATATGTTTCAATTATAGTTAACTTTCTTTCCTTTGATTTTAATGATTAACGCTTAAGATTGCTAATAAGAATTAATCCATTTGATGAAGATTTAAAAATTGGTTTAATAATCTTTTATCTAAAATTATCATATAAAATACCAATTCAAATTCATAAATATCGTTATTTTCATTTTTTGATGTTTTTTGTGTAATTCAGATTATTATTTAAATATTTTCTTCATAAATTTCTGCTAATAATTTTGTATTATGTTATAAGTGAAATATCTTTTCTTATTCTTAATTAATAAGTCATAATTGCTTTCTCTTAATATTATTGAATCAAATTAAAAATTTCATCGAGATCAAAATGGGAGGAATCTGTTAAAAGTAAATTACTATTTCAGAATAAGAAATTAACAAATCTGAATAAGCAAGAATCTATATAAAAGGTCCGCCTAAAGTTTAAAAGCCTTCTCCAATTGAGAATTTGTAATTTTAATCAGACGTAGTTATGATAGAAAAGGAAAAATGTATTTCACTACCAAAAATGTAATCTTAAGAAGAAGAATTTACTATTGCTGAATTAGAAATGACCATCAAGGATGTCAAAATTTAATAAACTGAAGAAATTGCCTTTCTTTAAGAAAGTGATTAATAAGAGCAGTAAAAAATCTCAAATGTTGAAAGAAACAGTCTCAAAAACGAAACCAAAGGTTCAAACTCTAACATTTCTAAGCGTAAGTCAATACTGAAAAACAAAATACATGATGGATCGAACCCTTAGAGCCCTAATACTCAACTATTAGAATCTTAAACGACTGGTTCACAAAGATCTTTGAAAAAGGTAACCTTCAATAAAAAGCAGAAAGTAGTTTATAGTAGTTTTAGAAACATAAAAAACTGATTGACTTATATTTACTATTTGTTTATATTCCTTCACCCAAAATTATTATATATAATTTATTTATTTACTCAATTATATAGATATGAGCTAATAGGATGAAACAGAATAATAGAAAGAAGATTTAAACATCCAGAATGATAATGAGAATGATGATAAAACAGGCATATAGTAAAACCAATCTCTCAATGATGGGACCATACAAGACAATTCCAGAATAGAAGCACCTATTGTAGAATTGAAGAACTTAAATGAGGAAGAAAATTAGGATTAAGCTTAGATACCAAAAGAAGAATCGAATGTGGCAACACCAACAAGAACTTCTTAGCATGAGGCATCTCCAGTTGTATAAAGAGATCAAATTTAATCTCGAGAAAAGGATAGGTAATCATAGGATGGTACAGATTTAAAGTAAGAAGAAGGAATAGAAAAAACAGAGGAAGAGATTAACCAAGAACAAATTACGGAATAATAAATAAATTAATAAGACAATCTTGAAGAGGCCGATTAAAATTAATCAGAAAAGGATCTAGAAGAGTAGAATGATTAGAATGATTAGAATGATTAGAATGATTAGACTGATTAGAATGATTAGAATGAGCCTGAGGAATTTCAAAAATCCTTTCATTCATAATAATAATCATAAAAATCAAATAAATCAACATTGTCAGAAAAAATAACTTTTTTACAGTCTGCATTATAAATGAAAGATGAACTAATATCAACAATGTAGGACGAGATTGCAGTTTTGAAATAGGCTTAAATGGATAAACAAGAACATATAGATACTATGGAAAAAAAACATGAGGAAAAACTAGATAAACTAATGAAAAAAGTTGAAGAATTAGAGAAGCTACTTAAAGAGAAGGAAAATGATATTGAACAATACAGGAATGGAAATCAAACTTTACATCTTCAAGATTTATCAGTTATCTCGGTATAGAAAAATGATAATTTGAAATCCCATGTTAATGAGAAGAAAGATGTTACCATTTTCGAGGTTCTTAATGAAAAACAAACAACCGCAGATTTATCAGAACTTGGCAATAATTTTTGGCTGATCTCTGCTGAAAGGAAAATTTAAAAAAACAATCCTTTGTATAAAGATTATTTCCCAAAAGATCCTGAACCTGATTAGCCTAAAAATAAAATTGTCATCAATCACCCTACTAAAAAATATGACAAATCTTATTGGTTTAAATATGTGGAAATAAAAAAACCTCCAAGATACAATCACAATGTTTAATTGCCAAAATTACCAGAAATTAATCATTAATATCAATAAAATGACCCTAAAATATTGTCGAAGTAATATTAGCAATAATAAGAAATGCAACAATAAATAATTTAGTCTATTCAATAATAAACACCTCTAGGTTTTTCTTAAACTGCATAAAATAAGGTAAATCCTGTTTCATAATCTATTCCTTTTAGCCAGAAATTATTAGCAAATAACCAAAGAAGTGGTAGCTAATAATAAAAGTAAAATATTGTTTAAAATTAGTAATAATTTAATCAAAAATAAAATGTATGCATCATAACCTACTATTTTAAAGGCACAATAAGTATCATTTGATCAGGAAGACTTCTTGGCCGATTAAGAAATCGAATAGATGTTTGCGTAGTAGTCTCCACCAAAAAAACAAAAGATAGATTGGGATTCTTAGCCCTAGAATAATTACATGATTGTTTAACATACAAATTCCTCCCAAGTTTTAGAATAACAAGAAAAATTTCCCATATTGTCCCAAAAACTCTCCTATGTTAATCAATACTCTCACAAAAAAGAATTGTATTAATCTTATTTTAATCAAATAGCTCAAGACTAAATGAATCACAAAATTAAAACAGAACTAAGTTATCGAAGTATTATTGATTGAAAAATCAATTTTATAATTATTATTTTAAGTTAAATTTATGAGATAATCTCTAAATGCAATTCATCTTATAGCTAAATATAAATAAATTTCTGTATTTCTAATTTTATACTTAATCCAAAAGCTTAAAGTGTCATTGAATATTTTAATGCGCATAAAATTACAAACTAAAGATATTTATTATAAATTATAATAAAAATTTCATGTTGGAACCAAAAAGAACTAGAATTATTTGTTCTGTAAGTGAAAATTGTTCTAATTATGAATTATTGCGGAGTATGGTTGAAGCTGGATGCAATGCTTTCACGTAGAATGTTGTTTAACCATTTTTAGCATTAATATGGCCTATATTAAAAATAAAGGGAGTTTATAAATATTGGATAAGAATAGATGTCAATTAGAGGCTGAATTCAAAACTAAAATACCTATAAATTTAATATTAAGAGGACAAGTAATAAGAGTAGGACAATTGTAAGATCCTGAGACTTTAATAGAAGTAATTAATTAATCAATTTTGAGGAAGGAAATATAGTATATTTGACTTCAGATTAACATAAAGTAGGAAATAATTAATTAATTCCAATAGATTCAAATGAATTTCTTGAGAAATTAAATATAAATGATAAGTTAGCAATTGACTATGGTCATATAATATTAGAATTATTAGATATCTAAATGTTCGATTAGTAATAGTTGTTAATATATTTAGAGTATATGAGAAAATAGGAATAGATAAGATGTGCTTATTAAGTGGAGTTAAAATATATGTTTGCAGATGCTGTAAGACTGGAACTTTAAAATCTTTCAAGCCAATATCAATATTTATAGAAAATAAGGCATAAAAGGAAGAAGAATAATAGGAATAAGTACCAATGACAGAACAAGATATTTTAGATATAGATTATGCTTGTGAATGCAATTTCGATAGTATAACATTTTCAAAAGTGAATACTGCATTAGATATTATAAAAGTAGTTTATAAATTAATGAAAAGGTCAAAGAAAGATTGGAATAAAAATATCCTCATGTCTAAGTATTCGCGAGGATTGCTGAAAAGTTGAAGGAAGAGTAATTAGAAGAAATAATTACCTTGGCAGATGGATGCATTATTGCGAGATCTCATATTTCAATGACTTAGCCAGTGGAGGATGTAGTCAAATATTAAACTTAAATAATTTCAAGTTGCCGCAAACTATTTAAGCCAGTATTTATACTCATTAAAGAAAGGTCTTTGTATCGACATATATATTGGAATCTATGAGTGTTCAACTAAAGCCCTCTTTTGCAGATATGGGAGATATTTCGAATATTGTAAAATAATACATAGATGGAATCTTATTATCAGGGGAAGCAAGTTTTGGGAAATTTCCAGTTCTAATTGTGCAAACTTTGAATAATATTTGTCGAAAAATTGAAAAAAAACTACTTTAAGAACTGTTTGATTAGCCTTAATAAAGAGATCAATATTAGGTAAATTTTACAGGGCAACCAATTGCAACAGTTATTGCTAAGTCTTGTGTTGAAATGGCATATATGTATTATCATTTTATTCATTTAGCTTAAATGCTAAGGCGATATTGATGTTAACTCGTAGAATTTAAACTACTCTGAAGTTATCAAAATTGAGAGCTTCTTGTAAAATAATTTCAATTAGTGATAACTAATAGATTTGCAGATGTTTAAATTACATTAATAATGTGTAATCGGAACTAGTGAATGGATTTGCAAATTAAGAGGAGTAAATTAATTTTAAAATTATTAAAGAATTATTTAAGAGTGTATATCAAGATTGATTGATAAAAAATTACTATAACCTAAAGATTACATTGTGGTTATTACTGGGATGGTGGTTTAGAAGAAAGATTGGCACATTAATTAGATGAAAGTTCTGGAAATATGAAGGAATATTTTATTGAAGCTTTTTATTATTTCTTAATAGTAAATATATTTCAAATGATTATAAAATATAAATTTCAATTCAAATTGTTCTATTCTGCGTTATCTTCCTTCTGTTCCTCTTAATTATGTTGTTAGTGGGTTCTCTATTACAATGGAGGTTGTCTTTCATTCATAACAAAGTTATCTAATTGCTAAAAATAACAAAATATCTTTGAATGTCATACCTTTATAACGTCTGAATTAGTTTCTTTCATTTTTCTTTTGGCATTCATAGTGGGATCTCTACTTTCATACTGTTCTTAGCCACTGGATTGGATGTATATGAAATATGATATTGCAATGTGAAATGAGTTTCTTTTTAATTGTGGATTGTTAAGTTGATTTCTAGAAATTATTTGCTATGTTTATGTATAGATCATACTAATTATGCTGGGGTAGTATTATAAAATTGGTTCATGTAATTATGGGAAAACTATTAATATTACTGAGGATTAAAATAGGGCTGAGCTTAAAAAGCAACTTAAGAATATATCGGCTCTTTTTTAAAATTGTAGAGATCTGTTTTCTTTAAATCTTGCGATTGAGGTTTTTTCTGCAGTGGCTTTTTGTTTTAAACATTAGTTTATTATTTATTTTTTAGAGGAGCTGTCTTTTGGATTTTCTTATTCGCAACTTAGATAATAAATTGTATAAATAAGGTACTTTTGTTTATCTCGGAGATCAAGGCGTAAAAATTCTTGACTACCTCCTTGAAATCTCCATCATCATAAATCTTCCTTCTTCTACTCCTCATAGACTTAGGTCAATAAATGATTTACATATCTATTTCCTATTAAATTAGGATTATTTGAACTGTCGATGAAATTTTCACTATCAACTTGCATCTGTAATTTAAAGATAATAATATGATAAAAAAAGTAGGTTAATTCTGTAATATAAATTATTAATTATAAATGACACTAACATAAAAATAAACAAATAGTATCCAAATAAACTTCACTCAATACAATACATCTTTTCCACTGCTTCAACTATTGTTTAGAATTGATCAATTTAATCTAACTTGAAATACTCTTTAAGCAAAGGTCGAACATCTTCTAAAGGCAAAACCTTATTTATTAGAAATCTATATAATTTGATTAATTGATTGTCTTGCTTATCATCATAAAAAGATACTATGGGGATCCCATTCTCAAGATGATGACTAAAATTACAAAATAGAATACAAAAAACTATATGATGCGTTATCCACTATCACAACATCCTTCAGATCTCGATCGATTACCTCTAAGTTTTTAATATAGTAGATGGAATTCTCATCCGTAACACAACTATCTCTGAAAATTCTCCTTTTTACTCTCGTCTAGGGATCCAAATGATTAATAACCTTATTTTAATAGAAAATGATACTTCATTAGCATAACATTCATGAGAAGCTGTAAAGATCATCACTTCGCAAACATTACTTAATAATTGTATCATTTTCTCTGCAAATGGCCTAATATTGATCCCTGCATTCACTTTCTCTCCAGTAGGGAATGTGATAGGCAATACAATTTAAGATGGCATACTCTCATCTTCATTGCAATGAACCAAAGTTTCATCCAAATCAAAAATTACTGTCTTCTTGACTATATAAATCAATTAGTATATTGTACATTTCAGATGTTCTGGGTAGGGATCCATTTTTACTTTTTTTTCTTATTTTTCCTTGTCTTCAGCTTAAACAAATTGCACTGATTTTAATGTAGGTATAAAATTAAAGGCATGTACGAAATTGTCTCGAAATAATTTAGAAAAACTCACTGTTTCATCCTAAAATGCTGTGATCAGATCATCAATATAATATCTATTAGATTATATTTTCTAGTTAATATTTTGATTATTATAAATCTTATTGTTTATACCATTAGGAGCAATATCATCATTATTATTATTTTTTTCCAATCTTGTAACAACTTTTTATAACTAATTACTATTTTTTTTCTTCCCAAAACTATTAGGCTAGGTGACTTATGATTTTTCATGTATTCTTATTAAAGGGTTTGGTTTTGTTTCAGTTAAATTAGATTGAGGTTGACTCATTTACTTAATAGGTTATTCGGGGGCTTTTTTCTCTTATGTCTATCCTCTGCAAAAATTTTAATTTTGGCGATAAATAGGTTGGTGTAGTCTAATAAAATATATAACGAAATACGGTAGAAGGTGTTCAGAATTGTTTGCTGCAAAACCATTCTATGTCATCTAAAAAGGATTTTAGTACCCGTACATAGGTAATTTCACTTAATAAAATTATTTACTATAATAATAATTTAGGAAATTCATAATATATATACTATTACCATTAAATATAAATTGAAGGTTGACTTCTAAATGATTTTTTTATAAAAAATAAAATTTTTTGAAATCATAAAAATTCCATAGACTAATAGAGTTTTGATCTCACCATAACCCAAATTACAATATTTTGATAATCCAAAAAATGGGTTATCTTTAGGATATTTTAATGGAATAATAATTATATAGCATTCATAAACTTATTATTATACAGAAAAAAATCAATTAATTCTAAAATTAATAAAGTGATATTAATTTTATTATTGTTATTAGCTGTGATATTAATTTTATTGTTATTACTATTAGCTGTGATATTACTTTTATTATTGTTGTTGATTTTGAAATTATGTTAAATCTATAAAAATACTTTATTAGAAAGGATTGCCTTAGTTTTCTTACTTAACATCCTTCTTTTAGCAAAACTTAAACAGTTTATATTTAATGAAGATAATCTTTAATTATTGGTATAAGTCAATGATGAGACTGATGCACAGCATTACTGTATATATTCCTACGTGAACATATGATAACTTTTCAATCACACTTTAGTCAAGTAAGTTCAATTTATCTTGACCATAATAAATTAAGATTAACGATAATGATAAACTTAATCCCACTTCTTAAGTTATTCCTTTGATTGATTGCAAATAATTTAAATAAGGATTTTAGGATATTTAAATCAATGAAGATATAATCTAAATTGAAATTAGAAGGGATATTTAATATATTGCTGAATCATAAAATAAAATTAAGGCTCCCATAAACAAAATTTTTCTTAATGGCTGCAGAAATTAAATTTATCTAATTATTTAATTTTTAAAATTAACTCCCTCATATAAGGAACTGAATTAAGATAAAAATCTTTTAGATTTTAGTTGATAAGTAGATGCTTTTAATGATGAGGATAATAAAAATAAAATTGCAATTTAAATGAAGAGCAGGAACATTGCTGCTATGAACGATATTTAATCTACTAAATTAGGATTCTAATTCCAAAGCCAACAATAGGCTGAGGTGAAAATTGAAAAGTTTAGATCATAAAGACTAGATAAGTAAATTCTGAGAATAATGTTATAGAAGAAGTTGGAATAATATTTCAAGCTGATATAATGAATAAAGTACACCAATTTATAGCTTAAATAGGTAAGACTATTAAGCTTTTCCAAACGATAATTTGATAAAATCTTGAGTTTGTTAATCAAGACTTCATTGATAATAAATAAATTGATCTTAGCCAACACTAATAAGATTATAGGAGTGACCCATAAGACTACAATTGAACTCAAATTGATGACTAAATTATACTCTACGTGCTTTTCAACAATCAAGGGATAGTCTTTATTCTAATTATAATCTAGGTCTTAAACAACATCAAATTTAAAATAGTCATTTGTAAATTCCAATCTTGCAAATTAAAATATCTCCAAGAATTTATTGTGTAAATAAGGAAAATTAACATTGATAAATGTAATATAAGAGAGAATCTATAAATTATCAAGGACATTCCAATAAAATTCTAAGCTCCCCATTAATAATCCTAAAAGCGCAACACCCCCCAAAATGAATAACACAGAAGAGGCAAATTATTTAGATGCCTTAGATGTGCTCAGAGTATCTTATCCAAGCTAAATGTATTTAGTCAATTCAATTGATATATTGGCAGTTTTCAAAGGGTATTGATCTATGGCATCCTTAATGAGAAAAGTTGTAAAGTCGACTTGAAATACAATTTGAGAGATGGATTAAAGGAGTTTCAAATCAATTAGAACAGATTCCAAATATCCATCTAAATCTAAAAGAGCAGTCAAATTAACAGAGTAAGTTGATGTTGTTTAATTGAGTATAGTATATTTCCATGTGTTTATTATTGATGAATTCGGTATTGTCATTACCTTATTAAATGTGATAGATCCTTCCCTTTGAGATTAATAGAAATCTTTAACTCTATCAAAAGAGATGGTAGCTATTGGAACATTTAATTTATAACAAGAACTTATAGTATTGAGTTGTTTTGAGCAATCCCAGTCTTCTTCAATTTTACATTTTTCCGAGCATCCATCCTTATTGATGATATTTCCATCATCACATTATTCATCATTTTTTTTAATCCCATCCCCACACTTTGAAACACATTTATCCTTATTGGTGTATAATCCTTAGGTTTCTTCACAAAAAGCGCACTTCTATCCCAAATCATAATCAATTCCTTTGATGCACGATAAACAATCTTTTTATTGTGGCCCAGAACACTCTTTGCAATGAAAACTATGTAATCATTAGAAATAAGATTTACTTGCATTTTTAACAGTCAAAATTAGGAGTGATAAAGTAACCACTATGACAAGTCTAACATTTGTTTTTATTACAGACTTTACAATTATCAACACATTTAGTACACGTTGTCATCTTAATAGAAACATGAAGCTTCATATTAGATATGGATTCACAGTAATATCCTTCTTCAAATTTACAATTTTTAGAACACCCATCTCTATCATCATTATTCCAATCATCACATTATTCATTCTTCTAAATTATCCCATTTCCACATTATAAAGTTTAACATAGTTCAACTTCAATAGAACAATAGAGGCAGGAGTCATTTTAAAAATAATAGTTGTTTTGGCAAACACATTTATTATAGACTAGTTCAAAGTTTTTAGATTCATCACAAGAAAGACAATTATATTCATTAGAGCCTATGCAAGTTTTACATCTAGAATGACATTAGACACATCCTTGTTCTAATCCATAATAATAGCCATCCGGACACGTGCATTCTGGAGGAGTAGCAGTGATCATCTTACATTCAATACAAGTTTCAGAAGTATTTTGGCATGACTTACATCTCTTATTGCATTCTTAACAGGTTTATTAATCATTTTCAAAATATCCAATTTTGCAATCGCAACTTGGAGGGTTGATTCTATAAAGAGAGCATTATAAACAATTATTAGAAGATAGTTCGCAAACCTTACATTTATTATCACAGTCATTACATGGAGTAAATACATCAACTTCATAAGTTCCATCAGGACATATGCATTTTTAAGGTAAAATTCTATTGAATTTGCATGATGTACAATTATTTTCTTAGTGTCTACAGGTAGTGCATTAAGTAGCACAAGGTTGACAATCATAGGAATTTGGTAAATTGAAATATCCATTTTAACAATAACATTTATTATTAATTAATTGCATCTGATCAGAGCAATCTAAACATTCTGACTAGGATTTGCATTTGAAACAATTGTTTTTACAAGGCAAACATTCGAAATCTTACAAATAAAATCCAGGAGAGCATTCACAATTTGGTGGTTAAGCATGATAATCATTACATGTTAAGCAATTGGTTGCTGCATATATACAAGTAATGCAATTAAAATGACAGGCTATATATATGTTATATAATTTACGTAAGCATTTTTTATTGATATTGTTAAGATAGTATCCATCTAAACATGAACAGTTAGATATATTATTAAAATTCTTTAGATTACATACGCATTATCCATTGATTTCAATATGATCAAAATTGGTATTAATACATTTGATACAACGATTTTAGTCCATACAACTAGAACAATTTGGAGGACATGTCAGGCAGTTAGTCCCACTTTCATAAAATCCTTTTGCACACCTACAGAAATCATCCTTATCTCTATTTATTTAGCATTTGATGCATACAGGTAAATTAGTAAATGGGTCTAATTAACAAGTAGAACATTAATATGGACACTCTAAAGTATACAATAAACAATACATAAGCAAATCCTAGCTTGAACATCATAATACCCATCCTAACAGGGGCAATTTGATAGAGGGTCATTTATTCTAAATGTTTCACTTCCCATACAAGAATTACAAGCGAATCCAAAAATTATAGACACACAATCTGCACATCCATATCCACAATCTATGTTATAACATTAGTAAGTTCCTAGTTCCTAAAAGCCATTAGCAGTATCACAATCGCAATTATTGCTATTAAAAATTCTCTTAAAAGTAGAATTGCATTCTGTACAATAAGTACTTGAAGTAGAACATTAATTGCAATTTTGATCACAAATTTGGCATTCATAATTTGCATCCATGTAATAATGTGAATCACAAACACAACCAAATGTAGGACCCAAAGTATCTTAATGGGCATTATTCTTACATTAAATGCAATTACTAGGGCCAGAATTTGAACAATGCAAGCAACTTTAATGACATGGTGTACATGTTGCTCCAAAATGACCTGTAGCACAAGTCGAGCATGCTGTTGATATTAAACATGATAAACAATTAGATCCGCAATAAACACAATTTCCTGATTAGACAAAATATGTTGAATCACAAGATTAACATCCAGTAGGATTACAAGCTGTACAATTAGATATATATGTGGAACAATCTTAGTATTCTTAATTTCTTACTTGTACAATTATTTCCTGAAGTTATAACATAACTTGGAAGCTTACATTCGCAAATTTTTGATGAATTTAATTAATAATTATTGACACATTATCCACAAGTCCCATTTATATCAAATAAACTACAATTTGATGGTAAAGTGGTTAGAACATCACAATTCGGTCCATAATATAGTTTATTTAAACATTCATCACAAAATATACCACGACAATTCAAACACGATGATGCACATTCTCAAATAATTAGTATTAATAATTACATTAGCAAATTCCATTTGAATCCTTATATTGAGTACTATTGCATGCACATTGATTGCTAACAAAGATATTAGAGGAATGACAGCAGATATTATTCGATTATAAGACATAATTTGTATTACAACTCTCACACTGAGTACTACTATAGACACATGTTAGGCAGTTCGAATCACAAATTTAGCATTGGTCATTTATAAAGTAATAGCCTGGATCACATAAGCAAGAATTGCTTAATTATAAAGTGCTGTGTGGTCCACAACTTAAACATTCATATTCTAATTAACCAAAACAAGTTAGGCATCGTCTATTACAAGCTATGTAAAAGTAATATTATACCTTAACAAGTAGAAAAGAAAATAGATTTAAACAAAAAGTAATTGCTTTAACAAACGCATTCATTATTTATTAATGTTCTGTCACTTGTGCAACTTTAACAAATCTCATATTCACTACAAGTCTAGCAATTTGTATGACATTCTCTCATAAATCAATTCTTTACTTATACAAACAGGATTGCCTTATATATCATAATAGCCATCATAACACATGCATTTATTATCTATTAAAGATCGATTGGAATCAATAAGACATTTTAAGCAATTGTCAATACCAGAACCGCTGCAAAATTCACAACTATAATGGCATTCTGATTTATAATAATTTAATACATCTACATTCCATATTGTCATAATCATAATAATAACCTAAGTTGCATACACAGTTTCCATTTTGTATTTCAAAGGTATTATAGCAACCTAAGCAATCATTAGCACCTGATCCTGAGCAACTTCTACAAGATTTATGGCATTCTTTATTACTTTCACAATATTACCTTAGCAGGCTGATTATTGGTCATTCTCATAATATGCTGTCATACATATACATTGATTATTCCATAATGTTCTTTTGGCAACAATATTACAAGAAATACATTTATCCTATCCTATTTCATAACATTATTGACAACTAAAGTGGCAATCTAATGTATTTTATTACTTCTACTTTAACAAATTTCCTCTACTTTTATCTAATTCAGTTAACATTAGTTTATTTATGAATTATCCTCTTACTCTTATTGATTTCTCTGTATTAAACTTACTTTATTGAAATTATGTGCCTTTGATATCAATATTGTAACACTTATGTATATAGTAGTTAATTAGTTCATGTGGTTCTAATAAAGTAATTTAAAACTGAGATATATTAAAATATTATTTTGAATAATTATTCATTTGAATTAACTAAGGTTTATCATCAAATTAAATTGATTTGATAACTCTACATGAGTTAAACAGCTATTTTGAACCCAAGTGATATTTCTCTTATATTTTCAAAAGCTCAAAATTGGATTCCCTCTTAGTTAAGTACAATAATTTAATATTTCACCATAAGTATCTCCAATTAATTAATTAAACTTAACTTGAATTTTATTCTTACTGATTTGGCTGAATTCAAATCTTTAGGGATTATTACTTCAATTTCTTGAATATTCTGACCAATAAATTTTTTTAACTTTGATAATGTTAATATTAATTATTAGAGAAAAACAATCAAATATAAACTATAACTATCAACAAATTAAGAATAATAATAATTCATATAATAATAATCAGAATATGATATTTTAATTTACATTGGAAATCAAGTGAAAAATACATATATATAGAAATTTAGTATAATTCAAATAAAAATAATTCCAAAAAAAGAAAGAAATCAGTCTAAATACCAATTTGAATACAAATTAATCAAGAAGATTTGCATATTTTAATCCACCTTTGAATAGTTCGCACAGAGTATTATTGAATTTTAAACTTATTATGATAATAAAAATATTATACCTAAGAGTATTATAATAATAAATATATTTAAAACCTTATTGTCTTTTCTTGCCAGATTTAGAGGGATGTTATTAGTTATGAACAGTAATTTTTATAATATTTTTGTTATTTCTGCAATTGTTAAGCCTCTTTAGCTAATTTTTAATTGAATTGATTAATATTAAAAATTGAAGCGATGAGCTCAAAGCAAGAAGAGCAAAACCAAGGTAATTACATTAAGAAATCTTTAGTTCGTAAGTCTCAAAGGCAAAAGAAAATGACAGAAAACTTTAAAGAAATGCTATAAGAGATCAAAGAATAAAAACCATCTGGCAAGAAATCAGATTAAAAGTAGGAGAAGTATTAGTAAAAGAAAGTATAGGAATAAAAGAAAGGTAACACATATAAGATTATTATAGTGTATGAATATGGTTTTATGACTGATTGGGTAAACTGCATCTATCCGCATGATAATGGATAAACTTTCGATCTCTAAATTTAATTCTGTGTTTTAAAGCCCAAAAAACCAGCTATAAAAAAACAAAAAAAGGAATAAACTGAAGAGGGAGTATTCACAATGAAATAAATTAGATAATGTCTCTAATACAAAACTTATTGACGAATCTTAGTTAGAATCAAGAACAAGTGAAAATTTAAAATGATTCTCAAATTTAAAGGGTTTAAACAACAAATGAAGGCATAATAGTATACCATCCGTATTTTAAGAAAAGTATATTATCATTAAAATTTTAAGTCGAATATCTAAGCAAGAAACCATAGCAGATTGATAGGATTGAACCAACTCCTGAGCTAGAAATCTTACAGCAGAAGTTTGAATCCATTAAAAAGACATTTAGACCTTTAATACTTATATGAAATAAAAAATATATATATATATTTTGCTATTGATAATATTAGTTATATGTTTGTATCACTTTAACCTTGTGAAACGAATAAAATGAAGTTGAATACTTGAAAACGTATAATCGAACTTATTAACTCGATAAAAAATTAATTTATTATTACCTTCATCATTAATTAAATAGAAAAAAATAGTTAAAAAAACTGATTTTAAAAATAAATGTTCTAAAATTATTATTATCATTAGTCTCCAAACATCTTATCCATATTTAACTTTTATTATTTATGCTTTTCAACTCTGATCTTGTATTATTGTCTGGCAGTTTCAGCAGTAGCTGGATTTTCTCTGCAATAATCCTAAAATAATATAAAATCTATATTACTGTTAAGAAACCAGTTTCAGCTTCTTAGATTGGTAAGTGCTCATCAATTTCTGATTTCATTGAAAACATGCTTTCATTAATTTCATGCATAGGCAAGATTGCATTTCCAACTCCCAAGCATATTCCAATTATAGCTTCAGTTGAAATTGATTCTAAGAATACATACTCCCACCACAAATTAGTCATCTTAATAATTGAAATGATAATATACACAATAGATAGGCAAGACTAACTCTAATTATTCTATCATTTCTATTGACATTTGAGAACTATAATTATATTTAATTGTTCTTCTTCTTGCAATATTGTATTTTTCAACCCAGTAGTGAACCAATAATGCTACACAAGTAATTACTAAAGCAAGAGGTATGACTGAAGCATAGAATGCAACGACATACATATTTTTCAGAATAGTTGCATAAGCTGTAGAAATATCAAATACTGGCTTTTCGAATAATCTAATTAAGATAAGAAACATACTCATGTAATTGTTATTGTGTTTTGATTGATTTCGATCCTTTTTTCTTTTCTAGATATTAAAATAGCCATTTAGAGATTGTTCCAGCATCTATGAGTTGTATAATACCTGGGATGAACGCATTAGAAATAAACACATAAGTTTGATTATAAACTAAACCTCCAGCCCCATAAATATTCTTGGTTACCCAAGTAGAAATAGCAAAAGTAATTACGGCGGTATTTATAAACTAAGCCATGCTTGATTTACTTGCCAAACTAATGTTAAAACCTGTCTAAGTAGAGAACTTTTCAAAAAGTGATATGTTCTTTATAAACATGGCAAGTAATGCATTGATCACAATAATTGAAATTGAGGCAACCTAAGCAATAATCTTGACTTTGATATTGGGTTTTAAATCTCCTTATTTAACTGCCAAGGCTTATTCTTCAGCACTCTCAGCTTATATGGCTGACAACCAATAGATTAATCCTGCACATAAAATTAAAATAAGAGCTGTAATTGCATAACCAAACAATCTCCTAAATACTTTTGATTTTGTAGTAATGTGTAGATTCTCCCAAAACACATCAGTAGGTTCAGGTGGTTCTTCTACAATCAAATTGGCACCTCGATAAACTAATTGACTTTTCTTTCCAAATAATCTTTAAATCTTAGAAAGTTTGTATTCTTCTAGTAATTGTTAGACATCATTTTCCCATTGAAAGGTAACAAAGGCTTATCCTAAAAAGTAATTCTTGACATCCTTTCCTTCTGTAAATCTCTTTTCTAGAGCTTCCAATTAGTTTTCAATCTCAGATATTTCATTATCAATTTAATTAACTTAGGGATCTGATTTCACATCAGAACTTAATGGGTCTTTGCCTTAACCATACAAATTAGATAATATCTAAATAGAAGATAAAATGTACCTTTTGCTTCAAGACTATTTTTGCTTACTTTGATTTTTCCAATTAGTATTGATCATCTAGGTTATAGCATAAGTTCACAGCAACAACTCTCTTCAATTCTGTAACTGGTTTTTTTGTTTAAATTTGATACTACTTTCTATCCTATTCGTAATCTATAATTTCTTGTAGTTTTTTGTATTTGGATATATGTTATTCCATAAAGTTTTTTAAATCATCATCAAAATCGCCATTTTGTAGTCCAGTTGGATCTGTTGGGATATTCTTTAATAAAACAGTAAAATCAGAAGCATATTGTGTTTATGAATCAATTTCTGCATCAAAAGCTCTTTGTTCTTTTCTAAAATACTAAAACAATATTATCAATGTTATCATTGATATTAAATTTAACATCTGTTAAAGATCTATGAACTCCGATCCATTCCTCTTGTTTGCTAATGAAGATTCTGTAACCCAATTTCTTTGGCAAAATGTCTTTTCATCTATCTCCTAACCTTTATGATCTTCCAAAGCTTTGCACGATGTTCCAAATGCAATGTTGGTTATAATATTATAATCTCCTGAGGTCACAAACATAATTAAAAGCATCAAAATACAAGATTTTATATATTCAAAATATAATGGCATACCTAAATTTGTACCAAATCTTACCTGCCCCTAAAAATGAATAGTCCTTATTATTGCAACCTATCGATAACAAGTGATTAGGCACTTATCTTGCACAGCAATCACAAATCTTTCCAATAAGGTCATCTTGGTTGTTTTGTTATGTACTACTTTGGTGTCGTTGTAATTTTCTTTTTTGACTTTTAGATAATTTTGTTGTGCCTACATTCCAAGCTTACTGCCTTATAATTAATTATTACGCTATGAAGCTCAGCCAATTCAAAGTTGGGGGGAATTTAATCAATTGGAAAATCTGCATTACCTCCTTTGCAAAGAGTTCCTGCTTATACATCTTCAGGTTTTTGTTTGACAATATTAACATTGACTTGTTCATCCTTAAATTACTAATATCCGGAAGGTCTCGCTGACATTAGATGTTAAAAATAAAAATAAAATAAGTTATACGATTAATATTACCTTTATATTGAAATAAAACAAATCATTAAAAAATTAGGTAAATAAATATCTAAAAATAATAATTTGATTTCTTATCATATGCATCTTATATATATGCATTTATAAATTATATTATTTTGATCTAAAGTAAATTTCAAATTAATCTAAAATGTTTGACTTAATCGTTATGCTCCGTCTTAAGAATTATTTTGTAATGATTTAATAGAAGGAGAGTACTAATTCTATAATCATACTTTAAAATTTCTGGAAGTTTTGAACTGATTTAAATTATTTCTTTATTTTTTTATTTTGTAGATAAGTTTATTATTTTCTATATCGTATAAATTAAAACAATTTTATTTTATTCAACTTAATTTTTAAATTACGATATCAATATAGTGTTATTTAATTATTGAAATTATTTAATAATAATCCCTTATACTTATGCTATCCACATTCAATAACATTTTTCTTTATTTGTAAATAATTAAATAACAAAAATATTTTAATATTCATCAAAACGTATAAAATTACAATAAAATTTAATAAAAATTTATGTTAATAGATTTAGACAATATTCCCTAATAAAAAGAATCCATTTATAAAGGCACAATTGTTTGGATATGAAATTTGACTGGAAATGATATGAAAGGAAGCAGACCAATTCTCTAATCTGATGGATCATTTACTGAAAACCCATTAATGATTTTATAAAAGGAACCACCTATTCATGCTATTAATGTGCTTAAAAATTAACCAGAAAGTTCTTCTTGTTGTGATTGAGGCGTTCTCTATTATTAGGAAAGCCCAGAAAAAAATAATAATATATGGATTAGAAATAATGAAATATAATATGAAAATGCTGGGAAGGATATTGTCAAAAAATACCTTTTATCAATGATGTTAATCTTGAATAATTTGAAGAAGTAAAATGATTTATTTAATAGATTAATGTATATAAAAGCAAATTTACATTCATAATAAACTCCAATTTTCAACATAATTGGGTTTTTCTCCTTCATCCAAATAGTCATGATCAATTATAATTTCCGAAATTTGTTGTTCTGATATGAGTTGCTCTCTATTTATTTTTATTAATTTTGGTGGAAGCATATTTTTCATGAGTAGCTTATTCCAATTAATATCTGCAAAAAATACATGATTCTTTATTTCCCTCAGACTTGGACGACTTGTTTAATCCTTTTGAAGCATTTTCTTTAATATTTTGACAGCCATCTTTGATTTGATAGTATCATAATTAATAGGACAATGTTATATTCTTTGGAGCATTAATTCAAAATTTTATATCAAATGAGGAGGATATCCAGTTAACATTTCATATAGCAAGACTCCTATACCATAAACATCAACAGATTAGGTTACACTTTCTCCTTTTATGATTTCTGGTGCCAAATATGCAATAAATCTATAAAAAAATAAGGCAATCTTATCTTTTAATATATCATTATTGAGTCCTAAATAAGCCAATTTCAAGAATCCATTTTTATCAACCATTACATTGTTTGGCTTCAAATCTCCATATACAATGTTTTGGGAGTGCAAATATTCAATAGCTGCAATTATTTGAGCAATCAAAATTTTAGCAACATTCTCAGATAAAACATTACCTTATCCAATATATTGGGATAGGTCACCATAATCATAATATTTCATTTAATAGTAAATATTTTCTTTTGTTTAGAATAACCCTTTGATGTTAACAAGAAATGGATGAGATATCTCTCTCAGCATCTTTACTTTATCTATTGCATTTTCAAGTTAAGAACACTTTCTAAGTTACTCTTTGTTTTATTATTTTAAAACATATATTTTGTTATCTTTTAAATATGTTGCTTTGTAAATTCTGCCAAGAGATCCTTTCTAGAGAATTTCTGCAATCTAGAAATCTGAAAATTTTAGATTATTAAATAATTGTTTTTCCTATTTTTATTGAAATTCAATTTGTTCTTCTTTCTATTAATTTTGATTTGCTTATTTATCAATCTCTATTGACTAATTATTCATATCTAATAATATGGTGTTGACTTAATTAAATACTTTCTTCACTTCTTTCTTTTCACTGTATTAATCTAATTTAAATTTAACATAAATTGTATATCCCAAAGCAGCTTTAATCGAATCATACCATATTTATGCCATTTTTTATGATGAAAATATAAAATACATCTTTTTCTAATTGTATTCAATTAATAATTAAAACGAATTGTCTGTAAACAGTCTCTCTTTGACAATTATCTAGAGATTAAATATATTTTAAAGAGGTATAGTTTCTTTTGGATTTAGAGGACAATCCTCTTTGTTTTAGTATCTGACCAAAACTCCAGTATCTGGATCAATAACGATGTATCTCTAATAGGAATATAGATGTGAAAAATGCAACTTCTCAATATATCCTTTGTATACAGGAGGCTTCTAAGGTCTATTGATAATAAAGGTCTGTTTGATAATTTAAATATTATTTTACATCTAATGTGTTTAATGGAATATCCTTTGAACTCAATATGGAAATTTAGTCCTTTGGTTAATTTTAATTAATAGTAGTTCTCAGTTATAATTCTTTCTCTAACATCGATTTTGCTTTTCCAGTGGCAACATCAATAGGTTATTGTAATTGATCATTGTATATGTTTAGGTTAAGGGTGGGATGTTATAATAATAACTACAAAATTGTAATTTGATTTAATTGAATTGCAATATGCAAAGCGGATCCCTTTCTTGAGACATGATTAATGTTAAGATTTGGCTATGCAATTAATAAATTGACCATTAATTCATTTCTTGATAAAACAGCCAACGTCAAAGCTGAGTATCCATCATATGTAATTGATGTGATATCACCTCCTTCGCTCAAAAACCACAAAAATATAGCATCGCAACCTAAAAAGATAGAATGGTGAAGTGGAGACCAATTAAGACTCAAATCATTAATGATGTCCCACTTAAATTCAGGATCTCCTCCTAAATTATATGATCTACTCTTGTGAGTATTTACCAAACCTTATATTCTCTCCAAATTATTCTCTTTTATAGCCTACAAACGTGGAAAATTAATTTATTACTTAGAATATTTTCCCTAAAGTATCAGCAAATTCAACTGCGGTGTATTAATTTTTCATTGTTTTTCCTAATTATGATCTGTTTGGAGAACTAATGAAGGATGCATTAAAGTGATCGCATTAATCCGCAGCTTATCAATAATTAAAAACTCAAATACTTGTTATGTTATCTTCATCCTGTAACCATCTCAGGTCCATTAATTTGTAAATATATATATAAATTAAATGAATTATAGAAGTTATTTTAACCAATAAATTCTTAATATTAAAGAATAATTAATATAATCTTAAAAATTAACTTAATTAACAACAGGCATTCAATCAATTCACAATTTCATCTTAAACCTAAATGCAAAATCAATAAAAAGAAGGTCATTAATTAGATGCTACACTTTTCAGACTTTAAAATAAGCCATTTTTAGAATTAAAAATAGTTTCTATTAATATTGATATCAAAGAAAAGATTGAAATTTGGTAATGATATTTCGATATTGTTATCCTATAAAGTTTAATGAATAGAATATCATAATAAATAATAGTTACAACTAAATGATTTACATTCATTAAATATATTTGATACTTAGAGATAATAGGAATACCAAATATTTAAGATACTAAAAAGCTTTTTTACATAATTTCATGGCAAACTTTATATTAAAATTGAGTTTGTGGTGATAATTTAAACTTTTTATTATTTACTCTCTTAATTTAATATTTTTTAACAGTTAATTCACATCATAAATTTAGAAAAGATATTTCAATAGCATCATAATATTTTTACTAATCATAAAAAGAGGAGAAGCTACATCTTAGAAATCATGTTGCTTTAAAAAATTTATCCATAAAATTAGGGGGAAAAATACATTTCGTTAACTTTTTTTTAAACGAATTTATACTAATATATAATTTTTATGAAAACAAATATATGTGTGTAATATAAATTAGATATATTTATTTAAATCTTTATTATTAATTATTCCAAAGATGATTAAAATTTAAAATAAAGTTGACAATTCCTAGCAACCCTTATAAAGATAGAGATTAAAAATTGATTAAGAGGTCAAATTAAATTTGATTAATAGTGTGATTAATGATCATTTACCAGTCTATTAGGTTATTTTCAATTATATTTTAATTAGGCGGCCAAACTTCACAGGTTAAAGTACTCTTCGGCAAAGCATATTTTTAGAAACTATTAAAGAGACACAAATAATTTCTTTTCGAAATAGAGGAAAAGAAGATTAATGCGCAAATGTTAGAATATTATTATTGATATTGCTACGGGGGAAATTAAATTGTTTGAATAGAATAGTGCACTTCTAACTAATGTTAAGGAACGAATTATTAATTCTTTGAATAATTAAATAGTCTCCATTTTATCAAAGTTACTATATTAAGAAATAAATATTGTTAGGAGTGATTGTTGCATGAATTAAAAACATAATTTAGATGAATAATTAGTTAACATTAAAAAAGTGCTTAATAATTAATATTAGAAGATGCTCTTACATTAAAATTGAATTATTGATAAATTTTATTTTTCAAAAAGTTTTTTTAGGATTTTGTATAACATCGAATATTAGATCATTTGATTCTGTGGATGTTTTCTTTAGAAATAAACTCGTAGTGGTTTGGAATTAGTATTTTTAATCAATATTTAAAAATTAATTATAATGTAAATGTTGATATTTATAGTTTATTCATTTCACCTTATATAGATTATGTACAACTTTCTGTCTTAAAATTTAGAAATCAGTAGTAATTCTTGAAATTATATATTAAGAGTGTAAAGCTTTTACGACATCAAATTTGAATAACTATTTTTTTACTATTAATTGTTTTTACGAGTGAAGACTTTAAAAATTTAAATCTTTATAAATTTGCATTAGATTAATAATATAATATTGCAAATGAATTTCAAAGGCTCTGAATTTATGAAGTAAGAACAAAGTCTATAAAAATAAAAATGCAGCAACAATTAGATAGTTTAATAAAATAAAAATGGCTTTTTTGATGAGGAATTTTCAAAAAAGAAAGAGAAGAGAAATCGAAAATTTTTCTTAAAGAAGTCTATCTCAATAGTATAGATTTGCAAATAAACTGGCCAACTCGACTTGCAATTAGGGTCTGACTTTTTACATATAGAGATAATGCAGGGGGGTCATTTTCCTTTGAATTAATATAATTTCAAAGATATCCCTTCTGAGATATATCATAATGATTAAGAATGCCAATCATCGAATATTAATACAAGTCTATAATAAGCTTCAAAGAGCCTTCTGAAAAAGGTAAGAACATTTTAATCAGCATTAATTTGTAAATCTTTAACATAAATTTAATAATAATTAGATGTTAACGAACCAAGTTAAAATTTCAATATTACAGAAAATTAAATTACTCAATCCAAAAAATAATATTTTGATCAATTTCAAAACAAAGATAATAATTAATTCACTCGAGAAATCGAATAAGCCAAGCACACTTTATGGAATCAACATTAAACTATTTAATTAATTCTTTAATGATTGATGATTAATGATTAATATTTTTATTTTAATCATTTTAATAGGATTTTATATTTCATTTTCGCAACAGCTATATTAGAATTATTTAAATAACTACAACATTTATGAGTAAGCTACTCAGTCTTTTACCTTAATATCTTATAGCAAATAGTATAATTGTCTTATCAAAATCACAAAAAGGATGAAGATGATTTTCTAATTTATTTTTAGAATAAAAATGCACCATCCTTTTTTAAACAGTCTTTCCAAAATTCTGATTAAATTATCCAATTTATTTCTAAATATTTTCATCAATCTTATGAAAATAATGTTTTATATTCTGGATTGATTCGATTTTTCATTATTTGGGATCTAAAAACAAAAGGAATATAGATTTCGAATTTGATGATGAATAGTTTTTTAAATTATTTTCTGAAACACTTCTTTAATCTCTACTATTTCAATTAATATTGTCTGTATTATATTAATATAGTCATTTAATTTGATTTCTGTCCTTGTGTCATTCTCAAATTTAGAAAACTAGTAAATAAAATTCAAGAAAATATTATTTCAATTAAAATAATTTTAGGTGTAATATGTTTTGAGAAAATGCTATCAAAAATTAGGCTTAGCTCAATAAAAAAAATTAAGAAACTATTTAAAGAATTATGACTAATTTTTTATTTTCGTTCCCTTATATTTTAGTGGGATATTTAACATATGCAATAAACATATTAGTAGATAATGTAAAGGAATATTAGTAAGTTTTCTTAAATTATCCTTATTATTAGTTCAATATTATAGAATTGAAAATATATACATTGTTCACAATTTATTTCAGAAATAAAATATTTTTACGATATAGAATTAATAAACTAATTTATAATAACTCCTTTCAAGACAAAGAAATAGTTAAAATATAAATAAATACATTAAATAGATATCATTATTGTTAAATATATAAAGCTATAACTATTTATATATAATTATAACTTAGTTCTATTGTAACAGAAAGGCGATTATTTTTAATTTAATTACATCTATAAGAATCATTATAGAATGAGAATGAAACTTTATGGTTACAAAGAGATCTAATTTTTTAAGGTAAGGAGAACGAAAATACTGATGTTCAGCTGCTAACCAAATTCATAGAATTTATGCTAGAGATGGCAAACATAATTTTAATAATTTTATAAAATTAATAAGCATTTGAAATTTTGATAAAACAGCTTGAAAATAAAAAACATTCATTATTCAATCCTTGCTTACTAAGTAGTTGAGCTCATCAAAATGTTAATTATAAGTTATTTGTATTGGCTAATAGATAAGTAGAATAAAAATGCTATTGAAAGAATCAATACAGATTTATTTGTTTTGATTATGATAAGTTTAGAATGTTGTACCTATTGAGGGATATTCGAGAGGGATTCTAAACAAAAGAAAAATTAATTATTATAAAATAAAAATAAAATAGAATTAAAAATTGACTTAGTAGAGACGAAAGTTCAATATAAACAACTTGGAAAATGAATAAATTAGTAGGTGTTCATTTATACTTTTTTGTGTAATAAACGAATAGGTTGCCCTCTTGGCCAAGTGGTTAAGGCATCTCCCTAGTAAGGAGAAGATCGACGGTTCGACCCCGTCAGGGGGCTTTTTTTATTTAATTATTTTTTGATTAGCTAATTTAATAATTGATGCATATTTTTAGTAATTTAATTGTTATTATAAATGTAATCTGAACCTGATTCGATTGTGGAGAAAAGTCCGAAGGGAAGATTTATTAGAGTATTAAAATAACAATGCTAAAAGGCAGTTTAATGAGTAAATCGGGAAAGGGACTTACAAAACTGTGTATAGGGGCTATGATGAGGAGTCTGGATGTGAAATTGCATGGAATGTAGTACATTTAGATCAATTGCCGCAGTGTATATACAATTGATTTTATTAGAGGAGGAGAGGAAAAGGATATCAGAGGAACTGAATATTCTTAATAACATCAAACATCCCAACATTATCAGCCTCATAAATGCGTGGATTAGCAAAAATAAATGTGAAGTTATTTTTATAACAGAAATTGTACATGGTGGATCACTCAAAAAGTATTCCTATCTATAGAGCTTAGACATTTGAGAAAAATACAGAGGCCCAGGTTAAAAATACTCAAGCATTGGTGTCGAGAAATACTGAAAGGTTTAGAATATCTACATAGTATTTCTCCATATCCAGTAATACATAGAGATATTAAATGCGATAATATCTTCATTAACACCCATAATAACCAAGTGAGAATCGGGGATTTCGGATTAGCAATTAAGTTACAATAATAGGATTTTACATAATCAGTACTTGGAACTCCAGAATTCATGGCTCCTGAAATTTATGAAGAGAGATACGGACCTCCGGTGGATATATATGCCTTTGGTATGACATGCTTGGAAATGGCTACATAAAGAAGGCCATATGAAGAGTGTACAGCCCCCAATTAAATTTATTAAAAGGTAGAATGAAAATATTATAGTCAGGTTATCAACCGAATTAAGCCAAAAACATTAGATCTGATATAGAATCAAGATTTAAAAGAATTTATTTTAAAATGTCTCGAAGATTAAGAAAAAAGGCCAACAGCCTCAGAATTGCTTAATGATAAGTTTTTGAATGAGTCAGAAGATGATAATTAACATGTTGTTATTTTGGAAGAGGAATAAAGTGAACAAATATTGGAAAGTAATATTTTGAAGTATGACCCTGTATTCAGAGAATAATTAGATTTTGATAGTTCTATCTTAATTTAATTAAATGAATCAGATGAAATGCATATCAAAATTACATTTACGGATTTAACTAAATATAATTCTTCTTTTCAAGAATTCATAAAGACCAGTGTCTAAAAATATTCAGATTTATAAAAACCTGAATAATTCGCAGCATTCTAAGAGGAAAGTAATTAATATTCATAAATATACAGTTTAAAAGTAAGGTGGCATTGACAAAGCTGTATGGGTGAAGCCGAGTGAAGAGTCGAAGAAAATTATGAAGACTTAATTTTTATAATCTTTAGAATAATTTCAATCAGTATACTATTTTAATATTTAGACTGTGTCTACACTTCTGTAAGATGTAGATATCAATGAATGGGAGTTAATTGAATAGTAGATTTTGGTGTAGTTTTAATAATAAAGAAAATAAGCAAAATCTAGATTGCCAAATTGATAGAATAAAATAGTGTATATTATTATAGAAATTATAATTCAATCATAATTTGATATCTAATTATTAGGTTAGTTTAAGAAATAAAATAAAGTTATTACAAATTCATATATTGCATTAAATTTTGTTTAAGTTGCTTTTAATTCTGATATATCTATTTTACATAATAAATGGTAGACTATTATTGAAATAAATTTAACTATTTTAGAACTTCTTTAAGCCTTAAGATTTACTAAAAATAGAATCTTAAGGACTCAACATTCTTTGTGTTCTCGAAAGAGGGGATGTCTGCTGATATTTACATAAGTTCAATTTCAATAATTGAATAGATGATGAATCAGGACTCTAATTATTTGATTTTGCCTTTAAATTTGTTTTAGAAGATGAATTAGTATTTAATGCTCTATCGGTATTTAATTTGAAATCAGACAAGGTTTGCTTATGAAACATCAGATTCTAGTTTTTAGTGGTGTATGATTCCTTTTATTAAAGTGTCAAACCAATATCCTATGTTTTATTATCTAAAATAAAATTCCTTAGAGAAATATTTTTCTTTGAACTACTTATTTTCTTCTAATTTTATTGTTATTCTTCATAGTCTTTATAATCTAAAGTCAAAAAATCCTTATTTTGAGTAGTTTCCAATAATTGCTATTTATCTTATTTATCAAAGAAATTTTTTTAGAATCCTTTGATTTGATGTAAAATTTATTTTAGCTTATTCTCGTTTAGATATACTAAGTTTGCATGCAAAACTTGATCAAAGTGCAACACTCTTAGAAAATCTTTCTTATGTATTGAATAGATTTTATTTGATTCTTGAGTTGTGATGACACTCACTTATCGAGGAATATCTGAATTCTTAAGAATTTCTAATTCTCCAAACATTTCCCCAGGTCCAATATATTTTAGTGTTATGGTTTGTTTTTTATCTACCTAAATCAAGTGTCCATATTTCTTTTTTTAAAACAATTCATCTATCTTTTCACTATTTGTCAATGATTTCTTATGAAATGCACTTAATTCTTAAAGCTAGTTGATTTCATCATATTTTTCACTATTAGAATTTTAAATTTAATTTTAATTATTTTATTTGATCAATTATAAGTACTTAATAACCTATTTCTATAGATATTTAATATTACTTTCAGTTCCCCTTATTAAATAAAATATACAAAGTTGGATATATCGCCTTCTTTATAAATTTGATGGTTGAGTCCAAATTAATGAAATTTTACATTATCGAACAATCCCTTAATGTTTGTAAATTTCCAATCTTAAAAGATGGACAGTTTAGCAAATTCTTCGAAATACATTTGCTTTTATTAATTAGACTAGTGATAAAATTAATACTTACTAAGGTCTTTTTGATTATCATATAGTCCTCTTTCTCTAAAACAGCTAGATGAGTTGAACTTAATGCCTTTACTGATGCTGATCTTGGAGCATCATTTTCTAATGCCAATTCTCCAAAAGACTATCCTTTATGCAACTGAGTTAGTTCTCTCTCTTCAAATTAATTAATTCCTATTTGATATTTCTTATGTATTGAAACTCGACCTTATAGAATGATGTAGAATGTTGTTCCAGCATCTCCTTCTCTAAAAAGATTGAATCCGATTGGTAAAAAATTATATGTCATTTTCCTCAAGCACCTCTCCCATAATAAATCACCTTAAGGTTGATTTATCATATTCTAAAAGTATTCATTGTTTTTGGTTGCTTTTTTTAAAATATCCATTTCCGCAAAAGATCTATGATATGAAGATTTGTTAAGAATGATGCAAATAATTCCAAGCACTTATTCTTCAGATATTTATTCATAAATCTCTGGATTCTGTTCAATCTGATATATGATTTTTTGTAAATTCTGTCTTTCTGAATCAGACATCGTTTGCCCTAATAAAATGCTTCGTCTCGACATCTATAAAAATTAATTATATAATATTAAATTATGTTTAATCATCAAGTAATTATTTTTAAATCACCTTCCTCTGTTATTAACCCGATACCCTCTTGTTTGTCAGTGACTTGCGTAGAATCTATATGTTGAAATAAATTATTTTATTTGTTCGAAATTTCAGAATACTTATTGAAACTTGTGATAACTAGTAAAACCAGTATTTAATATAAGTAATAAGTTTTTAAAACTTATTTAAATAACAATATTAACATAATTTATACAATTAAATTAATAAAATATTTGGTTATCGAATTCTCTATATTAATTAATTCAATATATAAGCAGATTCAACTAAAAGAATGGTTAGTTAAATTGATTAAATAACATTAAAATCTAAAAACTCTTCGATATGATATTAATAATTCAAAAACTTACTTTTATTATGAATATTAAAGGCTCTTTAATATAATAGATCATTTTATTGTTCTCTACATTCTGATTCTTTTTTATTCTGTAACAAATCACAATTATAGCAATAATTTTATCATATGTAAATAGTTCAAATTATATTACTTAATATATTTTAGTTTATTCTCATATAATATTTATATAATATTTTATTCCAATAAGTAGTTTAATTTAAAGCGTTTCGAGAATCTAATTTTTAGGTCGTAGATATTTTAGATTTTAAAGGATCATATTTAAATTTTTAAGTTTTTCTCAATAAAAATAGATTATGAAGGAAGTAGAAATTTATTATTCCTAAAGTGTGAGATTTTTTTTTAATTATTATGAATTAATAATAATATTAAATGTTGATTAACTAACCTCAAAAATAAAAATAAATAATAAGTTTAAATCTAATTTTATGGTTAGCCTAAAAAGAATATAGATAAGGCATGAATTCAATCAATATTTTTATTCTGATGTATTCCATGGTTCGATATCATCAAAATTATCATCAAATGTTAAAATTCTTTTGCTTTCGATGTTTTATATTTTGGAATAAAGTTATTACTAGGCAGATTTCTCCTAAATAGGATCTATTTTAGTTTTTTAAATTTATTTAGATAAGTTGTTTATAATTTATATTCTTGATTAATTATTTATACACTATATTCTAGTTTTACGGGGAGAATGATACTATGAATTAGAGTTGGTTGTGTTTTTTAACTAAATTTTGCAAGCCGATTTATTTTATTGTTAGTTTTATATTTATTTAATTGTATCCTTTGACTATTTCTAAGCATTAATTCTCTATCCATAAATGTTATGTAATGTAAAAGAGGGTTAGTAATTTTATTTGGCTTATATCTCATTCTTATTTTATAATATCGTTTGAAGATATGTCTAATAAGCAGTGAGTTTAGGACTTGGAAGTTTTTAAAAATGATCAAAAAAAGAGGCACATGTAGTTTTCATTAATTTTCTAGGAGAATTGAAAGTAGGGTTGTTGCATTTTGGCAAAGGTGAAATGTCAGTATAGATTCTCTGTGAATGTTAAGCCTAATCATTAAACTTTTGTGTTCTTCTTGAGTATTGATAGCAATAATTATTTGTTAATTAAAGAAACTTATCAGCCATTTAATAATTAATTGTTATTATTAAGAGTTAAATGATTAGTATTACAATATAATGATGCTTCAAATAACAACCATAATGGATTAAATCTGAGAAGATGATTAATAATTGGATCAATCATAGAATAATCTCAAAGAGTCCTTAATAGACTTATTAATTAGTTTGTAAGTAAAGTGAAAGGAGATAGGTTGAATGAGAAATAAAATTGATAATGAAAATTAGTTATATTATATATATTATTATATTATTATTAACAGATGGCAGTCAACGATGAAAGATATGTGTTTATTGTGGAATGGTTTGACACGAGTGCTTCTTTGATAAGGAGTTATAACCTCATTTACTTTATGGCTGATAAGACGATAGAGATGGTAAATGAATGATTAATGGATTTAGTTTGATTTGAAAAATAAAAGAATATTTCTTAAAAGATGTGACTATCCTTCTGTTTAATTGAAGGACTTGTATGTAGGATCGATTGTGACAGTTTTTTCAAGATAATTAAAGATAGTTGATTACGCAGATGTATTTACGAGATCGAAATTTGAAGTCTAAAGAGGAAAGTAAGTGGTTAAGATTAATATTTAGAACATTTGGCATGATAAAACCAGATGCATATACACACATAGGGAAGATAATTACTGCAGTTGAAAAGAACGGTTTCGTAATTGGTAATTTGAAAATGACTAGAATGTAAATTGGAGATGCTTAGCAATTCTATGGAGAACACAGAGTAAATAATTAATAAATTTGAATAGGGCAAACCCTTCTTTGATGAACTTACATAATTCATATGTAGTGATTTTATAGTGGGTTTGGAATTGATAGCTGATAATAGTGTGAAGAAATGGAGAGATCTTATTGGTCCAACTAAATGTTAGGTTGCCAGAGTGGAAGCACCAAATTCAATGAGAGCTTTATATGGAACAGAAGGAGTCAGGAATGCTTGTCATGGCAGTGATGCTCGTAAGATGATTAATTTATAATGAATAGCTGGATCAGCACAAAGAGAATTAGATTTCTTTTTCTCTGATAAATCTAATCTAAAATCTACAGCAGTATTCAATAATTGCACTTGTGCCATCATCAAACCACATGTAATATTGGAAGGAAGAGCTGGACAAATCATAGACATCATTTTAAGTGAAGGCTTTGAAATTTCAGCTATGCAAATGTTCTATTTGGATAGAGCCACTAGTGAGGAATTCTTCGAAGTCTATAAAGTATATCTTAATCCATATCTTATTTAGGGTGTCTTACCTGAATTCTAAGCCATGTCTGAACATTTAACATCTGGTCCTTGTATTGCTATGGAAATCAGATAGGAAAATGCTGTAAATTATATAAATTAAAATTTAGGTTAAATCTTTCAGGGATCTATGTGGACCTCACGATCCTGAAATTGCAAGGACTTTGAGACCTTAGACAATAAGAGCCAAATTTGGTATTGATAGAGTTAAAAATGCTATACATTGCACTGATTTGCCAGAGGATGGCATACTAGAAGTAGAATATTTCTTTAATATTTTACAATAAAAATGATTTATTGAATGAACATTTTATTAATAAGTCATTGTCTTTAAATCTAATACTATTTGTATTGGTTGTTATTAGATTAAGTTCTCTTTAATTCTTCATGCAAGTACAGCATTCCCCAAGTCTTTGGATTTTCAGATAGGAAACGTTTAGTGATCAATCTAATGATTATAAACAATAATAATACGTAGTAAATTACTCTTAAATTAAAAAGTTATCACCAACAATGAACTATTACAAGATGTATCGAATATAGAATTCGGTTGCACGTTCAGGATAACGAATTTAATTCAAGATTACATTCATCACATTATTTCTAATGGCAAAACTTGAATTCTTTATAATCCTTGTTAATAATGTTCTTTATTATTGGATAGTAAGACTTTCGTGTCTTGGTAATAAGATGAAGAAGCCAGAGATCAAGCAAGATAATTTCGATTTTTGATCATAGTCAAAGTATTTACTTACCTTGATTTTCAAATCATCATCATTCAAATTTAGCATCAATTGGATTTCCTCTTTGATTTTAGTTTAGGTAGGTTCTTCAAAACAAGCATGAACAATTTATCCAAATTATTGGGCATCTGCAATGTCATAAATATTGGTGCAAGATTGAGGATCATCAGTTTGATCGTTTGGAAAAGCTGCCAAACTCAAATTCAACAATTATACATGATTGAAAGGTACTTCATCTGCAAAACTCAAAGCATATTTACTACAGAACTTTCTCTAATCAGTCAATAAAAGCATAAATAATCTTGTCACTCCCTTAAGATACTCTTGGACATAGTGATATTGGATAGTTTCTTCAGTAATAGTATCCCTCACAAATTCTAGTAATTTAATGATCAACCTTGCATAAGCATTCTCATTTGTAGTTATAATCTATTAGAAATATCTATTGCAAAGTAATTCTAACCAAGCATAAGAGAATCCTGGATACAGACTTGGTTCAACCTTTTCTAAAAACTCAGCAAATTTATTATGGAATAATCTAATATTCTCTTCATCCAAAATTTGTAAATCAAAAAGTAAATTATAAAACAGTTTGAATAATTGTCTTTAATTAAATTTCTATTTTGTGGCTTCATGTAACTTTGTGAGTACCATTAAACATCCATCAAATAGTTTTTCAAAAAATTTAGGTTTCATCTTTGGGTCAAGTCCCTTTGACACCATTGTAAGCATCTTCCCTAATTATTCAATTTAGGAGTGATCCATATAATCTTTATTCACATCAGTCATACTCAATTCAATTGCATAAGCACAGAACTTACTCAATTAATCTTCAACAAAGAATTGGCTTTCTCCTTCAACTCTAAAGAAGTTGTTGAACTCTTCCTCTGAACTTAATTAGTACCATTATTTCAATTTGAGAGATACTTTATTCGAAAATTCTTCATCAATTTTTTAATAGAAATTTTTGATTAAATTTAATTTCTTTTAGAAAACCTTAGTTTAAGGGTTATTGGAGACAAAACTAGTAAGTTCCAAAAAGAATTTAGAGACTGTTGGATTAGTGTCTTTCTTTTTACTGAGTTCTTTAAAAATAGGTTTGAATTAATTCAAATATGTATTATTATTATTATCCTCTTCAATTATGACCTTTCTAAGTATGAATACAATGGAACTAACATTCATTTGATTGTCCTTAGTGAGAATTTGAGTCATCACTTGTTCAGCCTCCTACATTTAGATTAATCTTTTATTCAACATAATAGGGAATGCTTACCACCATAATGGACTATGTTCTAAGAGTTCGATGTTTTTAGTAATGAATTCAGTAACCAATTCACTCCATTTCTTACCAACTTTTTCATTTATCTTTCTAATAAGGATAGTAATCAAATCCAATGAGATTGATATTTTCTCTGAAGTCAAATTATTGGTTAAGATAACCTATAAAAATTTATCAGCCAAATCCTTATAAAATTGCTCCGGATTCGATTAATCCTATTCATTTAAATCTTGGATTAATTGTTAAATTTTTTCTTCATTGTTCTATGGATCTTAGAGTAGTTAACAGAGAGTAGAAACCTTTTGCAAGACTGATTATTTAGGCTGTTTCTTCTTATTACCGAATTCTTCATAGATTCTAATTTCTTCTTCGGTCAAACCAGAGATTCTTGGTTGTAATGGTTCAGGTAAGAATTTTAGTTGATTTTAAGTGATTTCATCTCTATATTGTTAGCCCTTCTCTTTGCATCGTTGTCTCTTTTCTAATTATTCCAAAATGGAAGGATCTTAATTGACATCCTCCAATGCTCTTTCTATAACTGCTTTTCTGATCAGAGCACATCCTAAATCTAAATTTTCTTATGCAGCAGTTTAGACAAAAGTCTCTTTGGTTTTATTGTCAAGATCAATTTATTCGATGCCTTCTTTAAGATAATGAGTGATCCTGACTTTTAAGGGTTCTCTGCAAGTAACCATGGCCAAACTACCTGATAAATGAGAAGCTATCATATGCATTCCTCTTAACATGTATTTTTCATTTGGTTCAAGTGCAAAATCTTTAAAAACTAATTCTCTTGTTGTAATCAATGCTATAGTAACACTTCTGCTAATGACAGGTGGAATGATATCAGATATGGCATGATCTAAGGCTGTAGCCACAAGATTTTTGCAGTCAGCCTCATTCAATTTGTCATTTAAGTTTTTAGAATCAGCCATCACATATTGAGGTAGATTCTTGATATTCAATTTATTAAGTGGATCCAAATCCATAATAGGTTATACAATAGGTTAAGTTATGATCGGTACAACTGGATTTGGTATAGTAATAGGAGTGGGTGTTGGATTGATGGGTTAAACTTAGTATTCGATTTATTTGAGCAGATTCATGATTTCATATTTAGCCATTGTATTGCATGTTTCCTTAGCAGTATCCAATTCTTATAAGATTCTATTCACCCACTTATTATTCTTTGTGAAAATTTGACTAGATTTGACCTATTCTAAGATCTTGCAAAGAGGATAAATTGTGAGTTGATTTTATTTTAGTAAGGTTTTGTAATCAAAGTACTTAAACAAGAATGGTTTGTCTCTGGATACTGTGATTTGACCCAGGAAGCTTCCCATATTTTTGATAGTGCTTCTATCATCGGCAGAAGGACTTGTTTTATTGAAAGTCAATAATCTAGTTAATCCTTTGCTCACTTCCTTGGCAACATCTGAGAAGTACTTTGATTTATTCAATGCAGCAAGTAAACAACACATTACATTAGGACCCTATGCCTACTATTAAGCCATAGGAGAACGTAAGTAAGCAATAGTTTTAATGAAATAGAATAAAGCATCCTAGTTTTCTAATTTATTTCTTATTTCTGCAGCCTTTTACTCAACATTATTCTAGGAGATGCTGTTCAAAGTAAAGGTAAAGTACTCTTTAACTTCTGAATCAGCTCCACATCTTTAAAACTCATCAAACTCCAATTACAAGATCTATTTGTAAGTGAGATTAATGTTTGTACTATTATCCTCTTACTTTTGTTTTTAAGGTTGAGGTGTATGTTAAACAGGTAATTAAGAAGTCTTCTATAAAGTAGGAGGCGGAGTGACTGATTGTAAATGCACTTATTGATGTTATTGAACCTATGTGACTGGTTGCTATTATGGTACTATAATAGGTTATGTTTATTGGATAGGTATTTAAATGGGTTGTACTACGGCTGGAACTACGATTGGAGTTGGTTGTACCTATTAAACAGGAACTGATTCTGATTTCTTTAGAGTCAATTACACGGGTTCCTCCTCTTACTTTTCTTTCTAAGCAACCAATTAAAGAGGCTTGTGAAATACTGGCTATATTGGTGGTGGAGCAGGTTACAAAGGGGATTTTATTCCATGCTTTTCACACACTCTAATAATTTCAGCCAATAGATCTGGATTCTTAAAGGATAATTGTTCACATGCCATAACATCTTATGCAAACCAAGGCCATTCGTATATTTTATTTTTCATAACCTCCAAAGCCTTAACCGCAAAATCATATCTCTATGTGTTGTTCTTTAATGACACTTAAATTATCCTCAAGCCTATCTAAATACTTTGACCTTCTACTAATCCTCTTTCCAATACTCCTCCAAATAATTACCCTGTCAATTCCAATTCCTTCTTAGGGTATTTCAAATGAAATTGATATTCATTATACAAATTTGTTATTATACAAGCATACACTTCTTTCTCTTATATACTTCCCTGTGTTTTCCATTAAACCATCTAATTTAAGAAGTTTTCCAAACTGATTTACTCATTGTAATAACTCTCAAAATAACTGTCTGTCTTACTTTCGACTTCCTAATTAGTTTTTTAATTTGGCTGTCCTGCCAATTAAGGAAACACTTAAACAACTTCCTTGTAAAACTATTAAGTTGTTTGTTTAATCTTATTTCCCAATTTGTCTCCTTGATTCATCAACTACTCAAAAATAATTGTTATCATCTCTAATTTCAATTATCCCTTATCTAATATCTAATCTAATTATTGGATTTGCATCTATCCCAATTAACCATTTGGTAATCCAGCTTTAAGTTAGTACTCCTTTATCTATTAGATAACATTTTCATCTATGTATTGTAGGAGTACATTAACAAAAGGAATACCTTAAGATTTAATTCTCTCATTCAACCAAATATCAAAATTCAAGTATTCTCTCTTACCTGCTAAAATACCCAAAGGAACTGAAAATTGATAATCATCAAATTTAGCCATTGTTAACAATGATGTATTGTTTTACTGGGAATTTTGAAAGAGTTGTTAAACTATATCCAAGACCCTTGATAAATTTAAACAGGAATTTTCTTTCTTCCCATATTCTTTCTTATATAACTCACTTATTCCAGTTATAAATAAATTCTAATTGAATTTCCACATCTATTCTAATACTGGTGATGAATTGGCATGTTATGATACATAATTAGGAAATAGCTAAGTAAATAATTCATCTATTAATGCTCCACCTTAAGTGGGGGAAATTTGGAATAAAGCCAATATCACTAAATCTGGGTTCTATTTAATTGGCGATTCAAAAAAGTCTCTGATTTCAGCTATGTATCCATACTCACTCAATTCTATTAGCATTTGAACAAACTCTAAATTGTACCAATATTGCAATTATTATTGGTTTTTATAATTAGTATTATGTTCCATGATCACTAACTTTTTGGGTTAGATTTCATTCCAGAACAACTATTCAGGTTTGTTTGCTTTTAACATACAGTTAAGAAAAGTGATCTAAGATTTCTTATTATGCCATTTGTCCAATAACAATCTATGAGGCAATTGAAATTGTTATTATTATTTCTTAATTTTGCCTAAGAATCCCATTAGATTGTTATATCCTTACTGTGACAACTATAAATTGGGTCTATCCAACTTCTCAAATACTTAAGACCACTGTCGTTTGTTGTTGTCATTGATAAAGAACTTAATAAAATCTTCTTCCTATTGCTTATTCACTTCATTTGATAACTAATTCCAATCTGGCTGTTAAGTATTCGATGTCAATTTAAACAACTATTGAACATCTTTTTAAGCCTCCTTAAGAGCCTCTTTATGAGCATCCTTATGGGTATCTTTATGAGCATCTTTGGAAGCATCCTCACCCTGGTTATTGGCCAAATACAATAAGCAATCCATAATATCACTATCAGTGTATTCTGTGAAGATTTATGACAAATTGCTTGTATAAGGTCCTAATTCCCTAAGAATGTCTACAGGCTTGATGCATTCATTAATTTTAGGGATTTCTATGTTTACTGGATCCAATTTCATGTACTTTTTGCCATCATCATACAAACATTTTAAATCCGCCTATTTTGTATTTTATACGTACTCATTGAAATTCTTAATTTCTTATTCAAGATCCTAATATTATTTAAATATTTTACCGACAATTCAGGAATGTTTCTGAGTTGATACAACAATGTGTGAATTACATACTGGGGCACTTATAAGTTATTTTTCTATTAAAATGGCTCTTGTAGCTTCTTCTTCAGCATCTTTATGCCTTCTTTAGAGAAATTCTAATTTGATGAAAATGTGATAGACAACCACATAATCATTTGGACCAGAGATGGCACTTTAAGAGCATTACACAGTTCACACAAATATTCAGTAATGGATTGGGACTGAGGACACACTGCTTCAACTACACCACAAAAGTAATCGATGAAATGGGATTTAGATGAAGCTTGTTGAAGCCATTACACCAGGAATTACCCCTTCTGTGTTAATGATTGCTTCTCCTTCTGCACTTCTATGCTTTCTAGAAGTTGAAGCAGAAAATACTATTCACCAGGTATGCCCAATTGATTAATGAGAGATTAAACCTCATTCAACACGACCTTCTAGTTTCGCTTTTGGGCCAGACCTTAGACAAACGCCTTTATCTATTGATAGATAGGGACTTAAGGACTGCGTGAAACATAATTCATATTTTTAATAAATTTATGCATTCATCAATCTCCCCAATATATTATTTGAATTTCCCCGATTATCTAATTATAGTATAATGGTTGCAGATGTATATCAAAATAATATTATTCTCTATTTCTTTGCCTTATTTTCTAAATCCAGAGATTATTTCATGGCATCTAGGTTTTTATTATGGTCTACAGAAGATAAATGATCTCTCAATCTATTTGATTATTAAGTTTTTAATTTAATGTATTATCCTTAGCACTTCTATCCCCAAGCATATCCGTAATACAGATACCCTCCCTATGGTGTACTTCCATAAGTACCATAGCAATGGAGACCACCTGTCTAATATGCTCCACAATATGGCTATTCTGGTCTTAGATTTGCTCAGCCTTATCCTTATAATCCATATACTTAGCCTATCATACCTCAAGCACACCAACCTTAACCAATGATGAGTCAAATTATGGCTTCACCTTAAAGAACATTCCAATCTCCAGATAGATTGAAAGCAGCATAATCACCATCAAGAAATGGACTCATGCAATCTCAATAAGTTCCAAGATCCCCACCTCCTTAATATTAATCACCTTAGAGATAGTATCTAACTCTAGAGTAAGTTTAAGAGAGAATAAGAAATTCTTAGCAACCCTAAGCTTAAAAACCATAACAGCCAAATAAGAGTATGTTAAATATTTTATTTTTGTAGGTGTCAATCATCCATAGCCTAACTAATAAAAGCAATAGCCGCCTCCTCCTCAGAAAAAGCAACCAGTCCCCTAATCTCAACCAGATGAGGATCTGGATAAGAGATATTAGAATGCACTCAAAAGCACAGAAGAAATCATCAAAAAATATTAAATAGAGGATTCTGGAAACAAAGGTCGCTAGTCTAATAAATCTAATGAACCTTAAGGTGAGGATGAAGATGAAAATATTCAAGGTATTTATATTCAAATTATTCTAGAATTGGCATTGCAATATGAAGACGGATATATTTATAGAGGATAAGGATATCCCCCTTAAACTAGAAATGGATTTGGTATTTTAACAGATGCTGATGGGCAATAAGTTTATGCAGGCTATTGGAAAGACAACCTTTATGAGGGTCAAGGAAGATTGACAAATCTCCAAACTGAAGAATTGAATGAACCAATTGATTGGAACAATATGACATCTATTGGCAATGGATGGGCTTCATATGAAGGTACATAATATTATTTAGTTATACTAGGTAACTTTTTATAAGGAAAAATGCATGGACAGGGAACACTTATCCTTACAAATCAAGAACAATATTTTGGAGAGTTTGAGGATGGAATAGTGCATGGAGAAGGAGAATTTACAACTGTTGATGGATAGGTTATTAAGGGTAAATGGGATCAAGGATACTTAATTTCATTATAAGAATAAGATTGATAAAGAAATAAATAATATATATATATAAATTGTATATATATTGAGTTTAGTCTAATATTTTTAACTTTATTAGGATAGGTGATATATATCATTTAATGTAATTTCCAATATTTTCAATTATTGAGAATGTATAACAAAAAATTCTTATTAATATAAATGCTATATATAAAATGTATAAATAAGAGATTTGTTTTTAATTTTAATTTGTTAAGTTAAATTACTATAATTTGATATTTAAATCAATTGATAAGTGCTTAAATTTTGTTTAGAGGCATTGAAATTCTCTCTGATCTATTTCTTCTCTTTAAATAATGGATACCATATCTAATTTCTGCTTTTGTTATTGTTCTACGATAAAGATAAGAATTACTCAAGAAAGTTCAACTAATCCATTTTCAATAGTTTATGATCCACTTCTTCCAACCATTGTATTGCCAATTATAATTAGGTCAAACAATAGCCTTGCTGACTCACAGTTTTGCTTTTGTCTAAGAATAATGAGACAAAGTTTAAGTTGCTATGCAATCTTTGTGGAGCAGCTTTAATAAGAATGTAAATAAGAATGGGTAACACAGTATCTGCAGATGTAGCTTCCTCTTTTAATGAAGTTAATTTGAGAACATCATTCATGATTTTTGAACATTAGATCATGGCTTCTAATTTATTAACAGCTGTCTTGCAATTATCGATGTTCAATAATGCTATAAAATTTCATAGAATACAGGATACCTTCTACTGCTAAATCCCACATTTCATCAACTCTATTTTATTTAATTATTTCTAAATGGTCATAGTTGACCCACTCCAAAGATTTAATTCTAAAGTAAAGACCAGCATCTTTGTATGTTCTCTCCTTTGGATAGACTCTATCTCAATAATGCTTAAATTATTACTTATCATAAACACGTTTGCTGACATACTTTTCCAGCATATCCATCATTTAGATTTCATCTATTTTCATTTCGTTCTTTCCTTTCAAAAAAGTAGCTAAGGCTTAAATAAATTCAAAGTAGGCATTCTTCACACCAGCCTTATCCTCTCCAGAAATGACAGCATCTTTGACTTCTTAAAGTGATGAAAAGTTTTCAATAAATTATTTGATATCAGAACAATGAGAATTTGAAAATTCAGAGTTTTTCTTCTAGTCGTTGGGACTGGCTCCTCCTACAATCTGTTTTATGAATTCTAGATTAATAGCGTTGTGAATGCATTCGCTCTATTGTTCAACCCAAATTTAATTTTCATCTAAGGATTCATTATTATTATTATTTCTGAGTTTCATGGCTTTAATAGAAAATAAGCCTTCTCTTGTTTTTGGAGATGTGACACATAATGTTAGGGGTGTTTTTTCAATGAAATCATATAATTATTTTTATCTTTTTTCTTAGCTTAATTATTCAAAAGACTCTCTCATCACTTCATAATTTTTCTTAATATTATACTTCGCACTCAATAATTGATATTTAGTTTATTGAATGTGTTCAGTCAATATCATTGAACGTTCTTAAAATTCCTAATTCAAAATTTAATAAATATTTCTTAAATTGCTTTGCAAATCCTCTTTGTTTAATAGTTTTAGTTGTTCCAATACGTATTTAATTTAGAATACAGTCTTTTTGTCATCCAAATAGGTGTATTTCTAAATTTATTAAATAAACAATTACATCAACAAAATTAGTAAGAACCCTTTTGAGACTGGTTTCTTCTTAATTTCCAGATGTGGAAGTAGCCAAATCTTGAATTTCGATCAAGCATTTCATCAAGGCATTAATAAGTTTCCTTTAATTTCTCAATTTTTCATCTTTCATCTTCTTCAAAGGCTGTACCTATTCTTAATAGACGATGTTATTTGGAATAGAAAAATTTAAGATTAGTGCATATATTTACTATTAAGTCTATAAATTAGATTGTTATCTGAATATGTTTTCATGCTTATCTATTTCCAAGGTTCTTGTTGCCAAAATAACAAGCTAATTAATGACCTTTTGAAGATCTGCAGACTCAGTTTTGAATGTTTTCATATCCTATAATAATAAGCAAAGAACTTTAATCTCATCCAAAGCTATGCAAACACAATTAGATTGTATTCCATCTATTTTATTAGTATCATTAATTATAGCACTAACAGAATCAGGACACAAATTCAAGATTTCTTGAAGATAATCTTTAAGAGAGGGTTACAAATCTTACATATACTAATTTAATCTATTGTATTAAGGATCATCATTGTATTTCTGGTTCTTAATCATTTTTTTAATGATGGTATGAATTTATTAAACAGTGTTTTCATGATCTTCACGTATATATTTAAAAGAGGAATATTGTTTTGGGAATACCAATTAAGGTATCAACCAAACATTAAATAAGAAACTAAAGATATTCTCTTATATTTGCTATTCAGTGGCATCTGGAAACTTTTTTAAGATTGTGATTTGAATCATTTTACAAATAATACGAATGCCTTGAGGTATTAAGTATATATTCTTAAAAATGTTCTCCATGATATTGTTTACCAGCTGTTTAAATTTATCTATGCATGCTATCAACACACTATTAATTTCATTATTCATATATTGATCAGATCTACTATTATGGCTATAAACTTCTGATAATTTTCGAATGGGTGATTCTGAATGAGATTCTTAAATAGGTGGAATGCTTCGTCTTTCCATGGTTAAGAATTTGGCCTACCTTTATTCTTCTCCAAATTAAAGAACTTTTAATGAAAATTCAGTTAATTGGTTTTAATTTCTTCTGGAATGTTTGGTATTGGCTTTCTTTGATTGATCATATTATTTTATTAAATTAGCATAATAGACTGTCATATTTTATTAGGGTACTTCTATATTTTTAATTGGCAAGATAATGGGTATTTGTCTTTAAGGTATTGATTTATGTGAGGAATTTTGCATGATGGGGACTTGCTTAACGATAAAAGCAGATGATGTCATTGATTGTTTCTCATCTTTCTATTTTTTATCTTATTCCTTTTTTATATCTCTCAATTTTTCTGCAATTTTCCTTTTGTCTAAATCCAAAAATTTATCGACTTTAGTAATTTGAATCAAAGAGTTTTTAAATATCACTTTAGTGTATTTGACATTTTCAGGTCGTTTTGCAAATTCTTTCATAATAAATTGGGTTAATGTTTCTTCACGATCCCACAAAAATTCAGGAAATTCTTATCGATTGACTTCTGTTGTAATTATTTCACTCATCAATTTCAAAATTGGTTATTTCCACATAGATCCACATGCAATGTTATCATAGATACTATTTATGAATGTTCGTATAAGAGTCTCAATATCTGTAGTCCGATTTGTATTGTTGTGATGTTGGAATATTGCAGAACATACTTTTGTATTCGACAATTTTTCAAATATCAACTTCACATTGGTTTCTGCATTTCTAAATAATCTAGATGTAGATTCCTCCAATGTCTTTTGCTCTTGATTCATATTGCTCTCGACCAATACGTTGATGTAGGTTTAGTAATAATTCTTGCTTTCATGTTTTAATTCATCCAACAATTTGTTTTTAAGTTCATCCTCCTATCTCATTTTGTATTACTCTTCCTTTAAGCTTTATTGTAACTTCATCCACTCCTCAATAGCCGTGCGGTCACTATTTGTGATAATATGAGATTCTTCTTGCGTTGTCCCTACCATCTAATAAAATATTCGATCTTCTGTTTCATCAGTTTCCTGCACATCTGGAACACTTCTTAAACTTTAAAATTATCTATTATGATTCATATAATATTATTTATATTCATTATTTACTCAATCGCGAGAATTCTATATAAAACATTTTCAATATTTATTAATATAAATGTTATCTTCCACTTAGATGATAGTCTATCTTCAAATTATAGTTAAGAATAATGTCACTAAATTTATTTGTCTCCATCGCATTAAGAACACTTTATAAATTATCTTATATCATTATTCATTAATTAAATAATACGTTTGTAATAAATTTATTTAATTAACTTTATCATCATCTTATAGTTCTACTTTGATAGTGATAGACTTTTTATGTATCAATTCTAATCTCTATATTCTAGTATTTGCAAATTTATTTAATTAAAGTTCTTAAATTCATTCCTTATATAGTAAATAAACTAATCTGCTTTTATAAAAAAGACTGACACTTAGTGTAAATTAATTTCAATTGATTAATTTGTTTTATTAGGTGGGTTTACTTTTATTTACAGTTTTTAATTCCTTCACTTATTTCCACTCAATATAAACTAATTCAGTTCTCAATCTCAATTATTAAATCATTTAACTAATGATGATTGTGTGAACTTTAATGCAATAATCTCACATAGTTTTAATTATTTAATAAGATATCAGTATTCTAAAAGTATCTATATAATATAAAATAAGGATTATAAACTTATTCTATTCTATCATTGCTTTCAATTTAGTTTAGACATCTCTTCTTAGCTAATGATACATAAAAACATATTAAACGAATAAAAAATTAGACTATCCTATATTAATTCATAAATTTATTACTAAATTTCCTTTATTATATTATTATTATTATTCAGAAATCAAAATTAACTTTATAATGATATTACACATATTTAAGCTTTCTTATATTTAACTTCATCTTGTGTATATAATTATGTTTTTTTAATAATTTAATTTCACATTAAGTTTAATTGTTAACTCATTTACCCTTATCGTTTTATGCAAGTTATTTGATTTAATTTAAATTTATTTTATTTCAAAATGGAATGCCTTATTTGTATTCCAAGCAGAAAGGTACTGTATGGGGCGAATCAAGACAAAATTAGAATGAAAGGTAGAGCATTGTTAGATTATTATTTAAGAAAGTCTCTCTATCATAAAGAATCACTTCATCCCTTTATAATAAATATGCTGAATCTCAAAACTATTATTACACCAAGGTAATTAATGATTTGATACTCAACTAACCAACAAAGGCTACAATTTGGTTTAAAGTATAATATTTTCAATTTTGACAAGGATTTAGAATAATATGATTAAGAAGTGGAACAATGCAAAAAGCTCTACTCGTTATAATCATATCCAAAGAAAATCAAGATTTTGGTTGAATTTTATAGAGTATACATAATTCATAACCTTTGCAGTTCCATAAGGATATTCCAAGGTGGGCCGTTAATGAATAAATAGTTTCCATCCTAAACGAATTTTACAATCAAAGAAGGAAATTGGAATACTATAAAATACAACATCTCATTGAATTGGAAAACCAACAAAACCCCAATAGAACTCCAAAAGGTATTGTGGGAGAACAACCTTAAGAATCCTAAAGCACTCCCAAATCATCTTAGGAATCAGGTTAAGTAGTTGGAAATGTTTTGGATGAATTGAATACAGAGTTAAAATAAAGGACACAAACTTAGCAAAGTGAAATTAATGAAATTATTTCTGCTTTAAATGCTAATCCAATGAGAAAGCAACCAAACTTATAATAAATAATCAAAAATCAACAATTTATTCTGAATGAACAAAGATTATAGTAATTCATAAACTCAGAGAAACTTAAAAAAATCAACTTAATAATAAATTAATAAAAAGCAACCAGTCAAACTCAAAGGAACTATAAATAAAAGTAAGACAAGAGCGATTCCTTCAAAACTTAAAATTTCAACTAAAACTGTTGGACTTCTAGAAACAAGACATCCAAAACTGCTCATGCCCAGATTTTAAGTTTATGTAAACATAATTATTATTAATTTATAGTAAAATAAAGAGTAAAGGTAAAATTAGAATTAAAAAACAAAATGAAAGCGAAGGCGATTACTAGTAACACATCTTTAAGGAGTCTCTAAAAAAACATTGAATCGCCAACGACAACAAGAAATGTCTAATTGCAAAAATAACGATTTAACTAAAAGAAATCTTTGAAAGCAAATACATTCCATGTAAATCAATCGAGCAAGTACAATTTCACTCTATAACTAGAAATTTAATTGTGAGTTTATTGGCTAATAGAAATACAACTGTGCATGTTGATGCAAATTAAAAAAATCTCCTTTTGGCAAAATTGAACATCCTAAACACCCCTAGATAGATTTTAAATTGATATATGTTTATTATAAAAATTGAATGATTAGATTATAATTCGCATTTATAATAATCAAAAATATAGGGCAATTAATACATATATTTTTGAATATTAAATAAAGGCATATTACAAAGCATTGTTTTATTTTACCTTTTCAATTTAAGCTTTCAAGATTCCAGGAAATATTATTTAAGTAGTTTAATAGCCTATTTTACAAAATATGGACTAGAATTAACCTAAAAAAGCAATAAAGAGAGCTTATTGTAAAAAACAGAAGCCTTAGATGGTGTTTAGATCAGAAAGTGAAAAAATGAGGTAGTTGCTATAAATAATTGATGAGAACAAAAGAGTAGCCAACAACAACAATTAAATAGCTTCAACCTCTCCTAATTCATAAATAAAGAATGATTCTGAATAACAGTAGAGTTCCCAAACCTAATAGGGTGATAAAAACACTTAAAATACAACTCCAACTCAGACATAGGTTTAGCCAAGTGCAGAACAACCAGTTAAATAAACTTTGGAAATCAAGATCATAAAAAAGGCTTAGCCATAGGAATTGATGAATGAAACTCAAAAAAAGAAGATAAAACCAGATGAAAATTACGAGTAAAGATTTTGTTAGATGAAATGTGAATTGCAAAGTTTTTTAAGTTATTGGATCATGAAGCTTAAATCTTCAGTCACTGATACATAGTAGATGGTGGAACAATTGGAGAAGTTTAAATTATGATTTTTATGAATGTCTGTTATTTTCATATGTTATTCTAACAAATATCATATAACTGATGTATATATAGTTTTGAAAATCAATATATTGATTTCTATAATTTATTTAGATGAGATAATTTAGAGGTGGTTCGAATAAAAGAGGAGGACAAACCAATGGAAGATCATTTAGAGGTGGAAATCAAACTTTCAGAGGCAACAGAAATAATAATAACAGATCTAACAATCAACAAGGAAATTTTAAAAATACTTAGTTTAGAAGACCATCTAATTAAAATTCTAATTCAGGTTACAATAGGCCAAGAAATCAAAACAGAGGAGGAAGACCTTAAAAGAGGAAGAGGAAATTAATAAAGGATAAGGATTTAAATAACAAAATACATAGCGAAGAAGAAGATTTGGGTTCAAATAAAATAATTAGAATGTAAATCTTATTTTAATTGGATAGGGTGAAAAGTAGTAAAGGTTCATCAAAACTGGCAGAAAGAATAGAATTAACTCAGATGTTTATAAGATAGCCAAAGATATACAAAGTATACCACATGTTGTATTATTTAGGGAAATCAAAAATGGAATAGGCATTAGATAATTATTGGAAGAAAGGTGATTAAACAAAGAATGATAAACCTACTCAAGAAGCTAATAATGAAAAATGATATCAATTAAATATATATTAATAATTTAAATGAAGAAGTTAGAATAGGTGAATACATATCTAAACAAATTTGATGAAACAATTCTAAAATTACTTAAAGAGTCAAATATTAACACAATTAAAAGAACACAACCCAAATCCATTATAAACTCAGACGAGCCCACGAAATAATAGGATGAGATTCTAAACAATTACCAATATACACCTGTGTCAAATATGGAAAATTCTTAATTAAAAAAGTCAGATATTATAGAAAATAATAACTCCTATAGAATTTGCAGAAGCAGACAATAGATTAAGACCCAAACTTTTGAAAAATTCTAGCCCTAACAATAATCTATTGTTGTTAATAGTCCTATTCATTCAGGAATGCCATCCCCAAATCAAGGAAGCACCTCAATCAACATTGTAGAAAGACTTAAAACTATCGAATAACATTATGGAAATAAAATCAAGATATTAGAAGAGGAAAACAACCAATTAAGAAAGTAAATCTTCAAATAAATTCAGAGCCTCTTAAAATGATAAAATCTAAATATAATCTTTAGAGTCCTAAGTGCAAAAATTAGAAATTGATCTAAAAGAATAATAAAAACTATTTTAAGATATTCTCTAAAAGTAGTTAAATGATTAAAAATAATAAATGTGTATAATTTAAATTTATATATAGAGTTTGAATTGGAGGAATAAGAAACTAGACTCAAAAGATAATTTGAGAGATAGACATCCAGGAAAGATTAAAGAATATTGGAATTAGAATAATGGTAACAAAAGAAAAGATCACATCATACTGATAGTAATAATACAAATTTACTATTTACATTCAAAACACATGATCATTGAATTACTTATAATTAGTTATTTTTAGATCTTTTTGGAGATTAGTTTTCTTAGGCATTAAATTCATTTGCCAGATTTTTTTAAATATCTTCCTTACCATTTTTATTCATCAACATCATTTATTAATCACCTTAAATTTTATTATTTTTTTATTAGTTAAAAGTTTATTTATTTTCCTCCTGTTATTTAAATACAGGTGTTTATTCTGAAAAATCTTATAGTTTTTATATGTTAATAGCCTTTTCCTTTGATAAAGGAGTTTGATTTTCAAAATTAAACTTCGGATTAACAAAAGTGTCAAAAATTAAGGAGTTCTTTGGAGGTTTTCTTTCAATAGATTCATCCTTATGATCATCAGACAAATTGATATCGCAGCCCCCAAAGGAAATATTTACTTGCTATTCAAATGAGGCCTATGATTTTAGTTCTTGAATTTCTTATTGTTATTCATAATCTTTGGCTGATAGATTTTCAGATTTATCAAATGCATCAAACTCATTGTAGACACTTTGCATTGGATTTGAAATTTGCCAAGGAGGTTTAAATCTATTTTCCCAATGAGGTGTCTCATCAGTTTAAATGATGAAGGGATTTTTCTCATTATTTGAATCTTTTTCCCAAAACTTAATTTAATTCGATTTTTTATGTGTTATTGGTTTTTTACTAATTTGATCATTTTCTCTTAATTTATCAGCTTGATTTAAAGCATGAAATTCATTAAAATCCTGCTGAAATCCACTTAATTATATTTAAGATTCTGCAGCATTGATTTTATTTAAATTGGTGGTATTATATGGTTAAATCCCTATAAACTTATTATTAGATTAAACCTCTTTTTGGTTCTACTTTTTATCTTGAGCATCTTGATCTTTTAAAAAAGAAGGAATGAAAAAGTCATCCTCCAATATTCCTCCTAATCTTTTAAAGTTAGATTCTGGTTTACTGCTTTTAGATCTTGATTATTTGTCTTCCCTGAAAAAATGAACTTTGGACCTGTTTCCGCCAAAAATTGTTTATTGTCTTTGAGACTACAATAGATTATTTTGATGCTATTAAGATATCGACTATTATTAGTTATTACTATTATCTCGATATTACTCTTGAACATAGTAAGGCTTAAAATCCTGTTTGCTCACGCTAGCCATTAGATTAGAACTTTTTTGAACTAATTTTTCACCAAACTATGAACTATAATTGGAGCTGTCATTATCATGAAATCGATCTTACTAATTCCATCTAGCATGATTCATATTCAAATTTAGTTTTTTCTATTACTTGAAATAACCCAATTACTTCTGTATTATCTCCAAGATATGTGATGACAGGAATTTGTTCATATTCATTATTTTAGGCTTTATTTTAATAAAATGTCCTCAATCTATCTAAAGCATAATAATATTAGTTAGATCTCTTCCTTTATTGATTCATCATTGAGAATTTATTTTGATGTTACTCATTCATTTTTGAATCAAATAAAAATTCTTGCTAAATTCTCTCTTGAATTAACGGTTCTCTAGTCGTTTTATTCTTATCAATTCCAAAGATTATTTGAATACTCTTTCTCATTCGTTCCAAGGACATTTTAAATTTAATTTATTATTTCTAAAATATAGTAATTTATAATATAAATTAACAACCAATATACAACAATTTGATAATTTAAAATTGTTTAAATAAACTATGAATTTGCCTCTTAAACATTTCTGAAATCTATATATATAAACATTTTTTTAGAAATATTTGTTAATAAAAATACCTTCAAATACGCGCCTTAATTAATTATTGATGTATATATTAACATTAGAGTAAACAATACTTTATACTCTTAGTATTAATACCAATTAATATATTTCTAAAAGTAGTTTATGGATTTGAGATTGATTTATATTTCATTATTTTATTATTAAATTCAAATAATTTTATAGTATATTTTTTAAAAAGAATGATGGAAATAATTATCCATAGTTTGATAAAATTAAATTATAAGCATTCCTAATTAGTATATTGCTTAGTTGTTGAATGATTCATATTTTTCTTCCATTTTAATGTAGTTGAATATAAAGATGAACTTATAAAGTTGAAGAGTTAAATTAAATTATCACTTGGGGGAAATTAATTGGAAACTATTTTAGGAAATCCAATTTAATCCGTCATTATTAATTAGATTCATATTAAATAAGAAAATAATATTTAATAAATAAAAATAAATTATTTATGGGAGCTTGCACATCAACAAAAATAAAAAGATACGAGATTAATAGAACTTTAATGCCTTATAAGTAGGTAAATGTCACTAATATAGAGTTCATATTGTAGCAGTAATTTGGCCAAAGAATTAACATAATTTATTCGACTTTGACTCCAATTCATATTTTGTAAAAGAAATCGAAGTTGATTTTTCATGTATTTTGTTTAGAATTACATCTTTAGCTTAAATAGCAATAGTGGACAAAGAACTACTGGCATTAACCTAAACTGAATGGGCTCGGAATTAGATTGAATTGGTGAATATCACTTTGAATGAACAGGAAGCTTATATTAACTGTATATCTCAATAGCAAGATCATAAATTATGGGCAGTATTGAAATTAGAAAGCAATTAATTTTCATCCATCGATGTATTAATTTAATTATATATTTAGCATAGAGATTTAAAAATAGGAGACATTATAAAATTAGGAAGAGTGAGAATGTAATTGTTGGAATATGCATTTATGGCGCCATGTGATGAAGCAACACAATATTAAGATGAATAGGAAGACGAAGTTTAAACAATAAACGATGTGTTTAACTGTAGGATTTGCTTTTCAAGTAGAGCAACTGAAACAAATCCTTTGATAAGACCTTGTAAGTGTGGAGGATCAGTTAAATACATACATTTGGAGTGTCTGTAAAGATGGGTGGGAATACAATTGAAAATTAAACAAGGAGAGCATTCTATATAATATCTGTGGAAGAGATTGGATTGTGAAATTTGCAAGGCTACATTTAGGAACACTTACAAATTTTAAGATAAGACATATTCGGTTCTTAAATTGCCAAAACCAAAATCATCTTATATCACTTTCAAAATCACAAATGACGATAAAACAAAAGAGGCTATGATCTATGTAGTAGAGATCGGTGAAAAAACTGAATTAAAAATAGTATTTTAAAATAGTAATTTTCTAGGGTAGGATTCCAGATTGTGATATCAAATTAAGGGACATATCTGTATCAAGGGCACATGCTATTCTTAAATTGATCCCTACAAGCAAACATAGTCCAGAAACTCCAGATTACATAATAAGAGTTCAAGACAACAAAAGCAAATTTGGTACTCTGGTTCTGGCCCAAGATCAAGATATACTGAGAATACCTGATGAAGGAACCCAACCTAATGTCTTATTCTAAACTGGAAGAGTCTTACTTTAATGCACCAAGAAAAAGAAGTAAAATTAAAAGTCAAGTTACAAACATCCTGATAATATCACACTGACATTAAACTAAACGAAATAACAATTTGAATAGCAGGAAGTATAAGAATCATTCGTTACTCATGACGAACTTATGGCTAGTGATATTATTTTAAATAACTCTCAGCCTTTGTAATAGCAATAATGTATTGGATTTGATGTGAAAGAAGATAGTATTTGCGATGAACGATGATACATAAATAATTTTTGAATATTGCTTGATTTAATATAGGATTAATCTTTATTATAGATGTAGGAAATTATTAATTAATTTTATAAGACAATTTAAATGTAAGACAGAATTATGATAATAATATAGAAATGATATGCTGCAATAAACATATATCATGATTATTGTTACTTAAATTATTAATCTTCTTCATCTTCATCTTGTTGTTGATTATCATCCCCTTCATATAGTTTTTATTTATTTTCATTATCCTCCTCATCTTCTTCTTCTTACTCATCTTCATCAATTTATTCTTCTCTTTCATATTTATTTTCAGCCTCATCATCATCTACGAATAAACTTGGATCATAAACAAAGAGAGCTCTTCCTGTCATTTAGGCACTTCCTCCTGTCTATTTGGCACCTAAGTTTAAATAATTAATTTAAACCTTTCTTCTTTTATTCTTCCAACTTTTATTTTTCAGCCTCTTACTTTTTTTTCTCAGCTCTTTCTATCTTCCACTTTTCAAAAACATCCTTAGTAATCTTAGTTCCTCCTTTTTATAACTTCTAAATTTCCTCATCTATTTCTTCTTCAATATCACCATCATATTTTTATTTAACTTCTTCTTTCCTTCTGAAAACATATCCTTATGGTAAACAATGTTTATAATGGCATGTCATACCATTAGGACAAACCCATCTCCAACCATATTTGCCTTTTTCCAAAGCATCCAAAAAGAAATCACACACTTTTGCTGATGGAATTTAACTATGTTATTTAAATGAAATAGATACCTTTTATATGTCTTTTCATTGGCTTCAATTACATCTTTCAAGGTCTTTTCATCCCAAGTTTAACAAGTATCCCATTCTTCTGTCAATTATTATCTTTAATCAGTATATAAATCAAGAATTGCTGTCTTTTATTCTAGACTCATATCATGAGAGTACATACACTTCTTACCCTTTTAACAAAGACCTACCCATTTCCTTACTATTTACCTTATTTATAATATTCGCATAATATTGATTTGGGATCAACCTCTTCTTCAGACTCATCTTCTTTCACTTATTCAACTGTTTTATACAAAGATTGAATCAACCTTTCATCTTCCTCTAATTATTTTTCGAGTTTCTTCTTCTCAAATTCTTCTGTCTACAATTTTGATAATGAAACACCACTATGTTTAACTTATTGAGCAACTCCTTTACAGAAACTAAAAATCACTTTTATCTCACATACTTTTAAACTTGTTTGCTCTTATTTTTATTTTTCAGTCCAAATGTTCTGTCTGCGATTATTTTTTCTTATTTCTTTTTTTCGGCTTTTTTACTCATGAATTAAATTGATTAAAAAATGTAAGAAGCAGAAAGAATCAAAGCATCGAATAAAGTTTATTTAGAAAACAAATTTACACTTAAAAAGAGTTAGCTCTTGGATTCCATAAGACTCTAGATTTCATAGGTTTAAGATGAACTCGAGGAATCCTTCATCAAAGATAAATCAGAGGTTATAAATTTGAAAACCAGAATCATTGCTCTTCAAAAACAAGTTGATTCCAATAATGATCTAATCCTTGAGCAAGAAACTATCATCTAGTAGTTAATGTTTAAATTAAAAGCATAAGAACACCACTAATTACCTCGCAAACAACTTAATGTAGATTAAGACTTACTATTTGAATTTGAATAAGAATTGTCACAACTTAAAGCATTATCAAATAAGCTTAGATAAAAAGCGAATCGTTTGTGCAGTTACTTTGTTTGTCTGCAATTGTATACTGCGGATTTAGGTTTAAAAATTCAATAAGATGATTATGATTCCAATCTTCTATTTATGCCAAAGATTCCAGATCATTCCAGTTTGATTTCTAGTTTACAAGAATCTGAAAAGACACTAAAGGAAAAGTTAGAATAGCAAGTATAATGGCATTTAATAATAGGGATGTAAAAGTTCAAGAGATTTCAGGGGAGAATACTGAATTGAAAAAAGAAAATTAAAATCTAAAAAGATGTCTCAAGAGATTCAACGCAACTTAGAGTTTAGACATTTAAAAGCAATAAACTTTAATTTAATAGTTATAAGATCAGCTAAATGATTAGTAATTGCTCATATCTGATTACTTTCATAAAATAAAAGTATGTATTTCTTTATAAGACAAGCAATATGAGCATTAAAATTAATGTAAATAACTAAATGATTTTATACTCAGAAAAAGGAAAGTCAAAAATTAACAACCTGTTTTCAATGTAGAATTATTCCACAGAAAGCATACTCTTGATGTTTGTAAATCTAGAGAGGAAATCGTTCACACATCTATAGAACCCAGAATTCATTCTAAAACAATTTATTAAAAATATTGATTATTCATTTTAATAAATTAATGAAATAATAAAGGCCCAATTAGGCTTAGGAGGATATCATGATTAAGGACCTTCAAAGAGTTGTCTAATTGAATGACTTACAAGCGAGAGAAATTCTTTCTTTAGCATAATGGAATTTATAAAAGGCTGCAAATTCTGTCTTAGAGATCCAAAAATCTGGGGTAAAGGTAGAAGAGCAATTCAAAAAATATATTACAAATGGACAATCGGTAATTGATGAAAATGGAATCATATCGTTTTGTAAAGATTTAGGAATAGATATTATGGACCCTGTAATCCTTTATATTTCCTATATGTTTAAAAGTGAGACTATGGTATTATCATTTTGATTTAAGGGCATTTATACTAAGTTCGATTTTCTCTATGGATTTTCATAATTGAAAGTTTAGTCGACATCTGATTTGAAAAGAGAATTAAAAAGACTTAGAGATGATCTAAACAATAATAGAGAAATCTTAAAGGCGGTTTATAAATATTGTTTTGACTTCGCAAAAAAGAAAAACAGAAAAGATATTGACCTACCTATTGCCCAAGGATTATGGGATACTCTTTTAACAAATACCTTCCCTATCATGAAGAAGTTTATGAGTTACGTTGCCGTATTATGAATCATATTAAATCTAGACTATTGAAGAGAAAGATATCAAGCCCATCTCTAGAGACACTTATTATATGGTTTGGGAATTTTGTGTTTAGATTGGTGAAGATTTAGCCAAATATGACTATAAAACTGGAGCATGGCCTACATTTATTGATGGTTTCTATTTTTACATGAATCCTTTGCACAGACAATGAGAGATTTAATTTTATATATTAATTATAATTAAAAAAATGAATGAATTTTCTGAGAACGAAAGTTTGGGCCCCGGCCGTTCTTTTGATCATTTTTATTTCGACACCGATAGCCAATGTATGAGTTTGCAAAAGATTTAAACTTAAATTGATAATGAAACTTCTGACCAACAATACCGAATTTAATTTATCATGGAGGATTTATCAGTAGATGATAAAGAATAAATACATAAAATAATTTATAATAACAACATCCATTAAGAAGACATTATCTTGATGATATTATTCATATTTATAGGTTAGAAATTTAAGATACCTTATAATCGAAAATCTTAATTTGATGACATAAACAATCTTATGGTTCTAAAATAATTTTTCAAAACTATGACTAAACCTGAAATTATACGAAATTCAATTGATAAAACAAAAAATTTTATAAAAGAAAGTTAAGAAAACTTATAATATATGGCTAGCATATGGTTAGAACTAAATAAATTTCAATAAGACGGAGAAGATTTATTAAATTATCATGATGCATTCATTTTTATGAATACAATTCTAAAGTACCAATCACAAAAATTTGATGATTTCCTAAAATTTTTAGTGGTAATTAATATATATACATCTTTAGAATAAAAACTATAATTCAGAGATAATAATAACATCTAAGCTCTACAATTAAATAATACAATTTTTCTTTCCTTCAAAAAAAAATAATCAAACTCATTGTCTTCCGCCTCCACTTATTTAGGAATTCATCAATGACAACTAGAAAAAATTGTTTTGAAGTATGTTGTTTTAAAAATTATAAAAATAATCTTCTAAAAAATCCAATAAGTATAATTAATCTATATTTAAAACATCATTTGATTGAATTAATTAGTATATATATATTAACTAATAATAAATTATCATATCATATTTACCTTTGGATAATAATTTCTTTTTATCTCTTTGTGAATTTTAATTTATTGTAATTTTATTATTATTAATTTAACTATATGGAACTCAAATTTAAATTGATTCAATCAATTGACAAGAGCTAAAATATCTTAATAATCATTAAAATTAAAGAATATTTTTTCTTTATTATATACATTTCATATAATATAAATGAATTTTGAGCCGACTAATAATTAATATCTTAAATCATAAATATCGATATTATCTTTTATCAGAAAATAATATGAAAATAAATCAGGATCTACTACAGAATAAGTTTTTATTATTTCATTTTTATGTAGGTTAGATTGGTGATATATTAGTAGCCTTTGAAGGGCTTCTAAAAGAGGCTGATTGCTGTCTATATTTATAGATAATAGTTGGGGTATATCGGCCACTTTTTTTCATTAGTTCAATTCTTCTTGTACTATTATTTTAGTGTCTTCTTTCTGTTATAAAATCTTTAATTTCGTCATGAGTTAATGCACCAATACGGACAATTTTTTTTAAAGCAGGACTTTAAGGAGCACTATGGTAATTAAATTCATCATCTGCTTCTAATGGCTAAGAGTTTTAGCTTAAGGGAGGTTTGACTTCCTAAGTTATAGGCTTGTTTTTGGTTGTAACACATCCCATTTGATTTAATATTTAATATTATTTTAGAACAATATTGATTTATCACATAAATTGTTGGATAGGCAATCAAACAATCCTTTCCATAAATTGTTAGAATAAAGTCTCTCAAATGAAAATTACTAAATCTAGCATCTTTTTATGTCAAACTAACTCAAGATAATTAGCACATTAATATGAATTTCTATATTTCAAAACATTCCAATATTATTATTAGAAAAAATAAGTTCTTATTTGGTTTGGGCTTAATAAACTATCCATTAATCACATGCGCTTTATGAACACCAATACTTCTATGATTCTACATACTATATTACGTGGATTATTTCTACTTTAAAACATTTTAAAAATAAAATTAATCTTAACTTTACCCAAACAATACAAAAATTAAATTTTATTATTGCTTTAAAAATTAAGTACTTTGTTCTTCAGTATTTTCTTCTATTTTTTTTATACGGAAATATTTGTTATCGTGAATATTAGATGAACTATTCGGTAATTACTTTAAATACATACTTTGCAGAAAATGAAGACTAACCATATAATCCTATCAAACAAATTCTCCCGTACTAAAAACATATTTAGATCCAAAATATAATTGATATACAAAGTGTTGGGAGTTATGTGTGGCTTTGATAAAAGTGAAACTAAAAATAAAAAAAATTATAAGGCTTGCAATGGAATCCGGAATCACTTAATCAATAAAAAACTGTTTATTTTTATAGCTATATATGTATTTCATAGAAAAATCCTGGAAATTTGACAGAAGTCTAGAGAGAATAAATAAAATGATTCAGAAAACATTGAAATTCAGTTGTATTATATATAAAAATCAGTAATGAAAAATAGATTAACAGTATCTTTATTTATCTCTGATGCTAATTTTGCAATAAGGATGTTAAAATATGTTCCATTTAAAAATTTTAATGTAAATCTTTACTGTATTTACTCTTTATAACAATTTCTAATTATTTATTTAGACCTTATCACTAAAGTATCACTAAAAACTTAATCTAAGAATTTTGTTATTTTTTCTTTTTAGTATCATGCTAATTCCAATTACATAGGTTAATCATATGTATCTTCAATTTATTTTTATTTAATAATCAGGATAATTAAAATTTACTTATCATTAAATAAAAATGAAATTAATAATAAATTTATGTCATATTAATAAAAATTAAGTGGAATTAAATGTGGGGATTCTTTCCGTGATTTAACTTTGAAAAAAATGGAAGTTATTCCTTTTGCAATTACTCTATGCCCTGATCTTTGCACCTGTCAAGTCTGCATTAAAAAATAACCAGAACAAGAAGAACCTTAAGAATAAAAGAAATATCAAAAAATCATTAAATAACCAAGACATAGAAGATTGTCTATTTGCGGATTTAAGGATGACTTTTTAACTATTTGCTAGATGTTATAAAAGCAGGATGAAGTTGTTAGGCCAATAAATATTAATATAATAGATACTGTTATTTTGAAAGACAGAGAATTTGTGTTTTATGCATTTTATGATAATGGTTTCAGATGTATCAAGAACAAATCATTCTTTCATACAGAAATGGAAAAATATTTAATCGAGAGAAAAATAGAGTTTGAAGTTGAGTATCAAGTAAAATAAATCAAGGCTGGCATTCATCCTACTGTTAAATTGTCGGATTATTATGAAAATAGTACCTAGGTAATGGCAAAATTAAAATAAGTAATTTATATTTTGAAGCTTAGCAAATTTCTGAATTATTGAATGGATAAAGCATTTTAATGGCAAGATATCAGACAGGTGAAACAACTTTAATTGGGAAATTCGAATTACATTAATTGGCAGTTTTATCAAAAACAAATGTTATATTTGACAATCTACTCCATTTATAATTATATCTCTATAATGAAAAGTTAGCATTAGATTGTATTGAGACTAATAAAAGAAACTCTAAAGATTATTTTATCCATAGATATAAATATGTTAAGGACAATTAGTTATTTGGTGATATTGTGTGTGAGCAGTCCTATTTAACAGATCCATCACTCAGAGGTTAAAGGTAATGGAATAAAGAAAAGGAGTATTCAGACAATTTAAGTTTAAAAGAATATTTTAAATATACTTGCCATAAAATAGCTGTTTATATATAAAGTTTTCATAAATAATGTATAAATGAGATGGAAGTACATTTTATTGTCAGTATTACTAAAACTTATCTAAGATCACCCTAAAAATATATCTATTATCAATATTATTGGGTTAAAAATGTCAAAAGCAGAAGAAACTCAATGGGTAATCAAGACTGGAAGAGTGCTAAGTACAGCAGAGAAGATTCAAATCAATGATATAGATTTAAATGAAAATAATAAACCTTAAACTTAAAGATCCTTAGTTATTTCTTAAACACTAATACCTCACACATAAAAGTAATAATGAATATTTATTAATAAGAGTGATAGAAAAGATTAAGCCTATCACATCTTAAGTTATTGAAAATAACATGTAAGGCACTAGAACTTAAGAGGCTTTCAAAATACTAAACCCGGGAATAAATGAGTCAATCAATGAAATATTAGAGAATTAGCAATATTAAAAAATGATTCGAAACTTTCCAAAATAATTAAAGAGATATCAAAGTATGCAGAGGGATTCATCAATCAGAACTAGAATTGAAGATTAACCTCTTACAACCAGTAGAGATGTTTAAAAAGATGACTATTTAATGAAAATTAGATAAAAAAAGAAAAAATAAACTATAAACTCACCATTTCTTAGAAGCATCTCTAGAAGATTTTTTACTAGAAGAAATTCAGTTGACTTTTGTTGACATATTCACTAGTTGATATTAATAATATTTAATAATCATATATATTTAATTTAAAAATTAGATTTGGAGATTCCTTTTCTAGTCTTCTTGCATTATAGTAATTTAGAATGAATTAAAAGTTTAAGGAATTAATTTTAATAATAAATTTTAATTATGATAAACAAACTTTTATCCAGATTTTCAAGCAGCGCTTTTAAACTATTATAAAATAAGGTTCAAACCCAAGAAATGAATAAAATTAAGGATTTTTGTTAATTTTTTGAAGAAATTTAAACATTTTCTAAAGAAAAAAAAATAATTAACATTAAATAGAAATTAAATGAGATGCAGAAATTTGATATTGATTAAAACAATCTTTAAACTTTGTAATGGATGTATAAAAATGTTTTTAACCATCGCTTATTACATGATACCTTCAATAATTTACTTGGGTCTTAAATTATATTATTAATAAAAGGAATAAATAGTAATCTAATTAGCAGAGAATATTTAAATAGTTATGTAGCCTAACTAAACAATTATCATATTATTATGTAATTTAATATATTCTATACTACCAATTTAGTATAGTTTTTATATTCAATTCAAAATAAATTTGGCTCTTTAAATATAGGTGAATAAAAAATGGTATATAGTGCTTGTGAAAGTTATCAATATTTTATTCAACATCTCAAGCCAAATTATGTTTGTCCCTAATTTTATTATTTGTCGTCACTAAACCTTAGTTTATATAGTATTAAACACTTTTTAAATATATAAATTTTATTCATTAAAAGAATTTCAGAACTTTTGGAAAGTTTTAATGAAAATCAATTGAAATCTATATATTATTCAATAGGAAAAGAAGGATTTTATAATAATAAGATAAAAGATTTCCTACTAAGAAAGTTAGGTGAAAATTATGAAATTAAATCAGATGATCAATTTATTTCTCAAGTAAATTTGTTTTTGTGTGTTACAAATATATTAAATTAGACAGACATTTAAGGCTAACTAATTACAAAAATTCAAAATATTCTCAAAGTTCAAGACTAATTTTTAGAAACTAAATAATAGTATCTGGTGTCTTTTTATTAATAAATTCTAAGATGCAACATTTATGATGACTTTATTTGGAATCACTATTTTAAAATTGAACCTAAAATTTAAGATACTTACAGAAAAAGTTTTATTAGTTACAATCTAATTCAATCTAAATCAAAATTAAGCAAGTCTTGCTAAACTTATGTGGAATAGAATTTTGAGTCAAATAAGCAAATTTACTTGTAAAAACTTATTAACAACAAATCGAATTCATCTAAAAGTATGGAGAAACGTATTCAATAGCTTTTTGACGACTTAAAATTAGTTTACTAAAACAATATATACAGTAATGTTTTTTTATATCTTTAGTTGATCAATTTGAAGTTGACTTTTATTTTCCTAAATACAACTTAATTTTAGAAATATGTGGTCCTATTCATTATGCATTTAGATACGGATGCAACAGAAGGAGTTCCACTTAAATTCATAGAGTTCAGAATAAGAATTATTTTTACATTAATCTTTAAATTAGACTTCACTATTTAAAAAAAAATATCTTGAGAGTTTAGGATATAAAGTTTATTATTTGAATTTCTTTGATTAAAGGATCAAGAACACTTAACTTTAAATTTTAGAGTATCTATCCTCATTAAAATGATTTAATAAATGTGTGTTTTTTATTTTAAAACTTATAATCATCATCAGTATGTGTAGCATTCATATTGAGTTAATAAAGAAGAATTAAGATTATTAGAATGTCATAAAACTATTAAATTATTTAATAAATCATCAAGATATCAGACCTCTTTCTAATTTTCTCAATTCAAAGATAATCATCTTCCACATTCTTATAACAAATTGCTCACTATCGTCGTCCAAGACCTTCTTTACAACTTTATTTATAATTGTTTATGGCTTCTCACGATTAAATAATCTTTTGATGATGGCATCAATAAATACTCTCTCCTCTTAAGATAAATATTCAATACACCTCTCTCTTAACCATGGACGGATCTTTTTCTCCAATAAGTTAGACTTGGGATTGACTAAATATATAATTAATACCTAAGCAAACAACTACCAATTAATTTAGGTGTTGAAAAGCTCTTCTTTTTCAGTAGGGATGGTCGCAAATATTTATTTAAGCTCCTCCTTCAAATCAATTTCCTTTTATAATTTCTCTTATTACATTTATTCTGCTTATTCCATCTATTGCTAGTGTTAAATCAAATATAATATTGAATTATTACTTATTGCTATAACAATTGCTATTAAGTTTACTAAGGGTTCTGGTTCAGGTGGCTCTTAAACAATAACTACCATTTAAGGTGGTTCAGGTTCAGGAGGTTTTTGTGTCTTTAATAATTCTTTCTTTTTAAAGATTTCATCTTCTTCAAATTCCCTTTACCTGAATTTCTTTCTTTCGTTCATCTTAATCTTACCAATTTATTTACGTTCTTATTCACTGTCATAAGCTAATTCTTTTTCAAGATATTTTTAGAAATTTTTCTCTCGATCTATCTCTCTCTCTTTTTCCTTTTTTCTTTCTCTCTCTCTTTCATCTTCCTTCTTTTTCCATTCTGCCATTTTCTCTTTATATTTTCTTTCTAATTCCGTCCTAGTGTTATTCTTCTTGGCATCTCTTTCTCTCTCCCTTGGATGTTCTTTCTTTTCCTCTTCCCTTTTCTTATCATTTTTAGTTTTAGTGACAGTGCCCTCTAATTCTGATATTATTTTTTCTAATTTCTTTTTTATTTTATCATCATCTCTAGTAATGTACTCTTAAAAAGATGTAAATTTAAATAATGCTCTATGTTCCTCCTTTTATTTATCCTTCTCCTCTAATTTAGCTCTTCTCTCTTCCCATTCGGTCTCTTTCTTGTACATCCAACCATCAATCATCATCTAAGCTTTCTCTCCACCCTTAACAAGCAACTCCTTCTAGTTCAGAATCATACCATTAAGAAGGCGCAAACATTTTAATACACTCTCCATATTTTCAAATTCAGCATACCCAAAAGGAGTACCTTTTGATCTCTTCCATGATACTAATTGACCACATTCCTAATTTTCATATTAAATTTACTTTCAAAAGTTTTTCTACATTATCATTGGTTAATTCTTGAGGAAGATTCTTTATAAACAGTTTCTTGGCTTCCTAAGGTTCTTGAATTTAACTTTTGGGATAGAAATCCTGTTGTGTAGGTTAAGGAATATCTAGGTCTTGTAATCCTGGAACAGGAAAAAATGGTAACATAAATAATTTAATTTAAGATATTTTATTAAATATACGTGTTCATTAAATATGTTCGCAGAAGTCAAACCTGTAGAAAATACTAATTACGACAGAAGGGTACGTGAAAATCAGAAAAATGAATTCAAGAAAATATTAGAAGAAGATTAAATTTCTTCCTAGATCGCAGAATAATTAGCAACATCTCTTGAATAAGAAGCATATGTGCTTTCCGGAGGCGATCATACAAGAGACTATAGAACTAGAGTTAATACTGTTAAAATGCGTTTGAAGGGAACTAAAGGTGCCTTTTCTATACTAATTTAGGATAATTAATTAGAACTGCTTTAGTTGAACAAATTATGACACCTAAAGAATTGATGTCATTAGATATGTCAAAGTTGAGCGAGGATAGCGTTTAAGCATTCTTGTAGAAAGAACAAAGAGGACTTCCTCAACCATAAGCTAATATCAAAAAAAACGTTTCATAAAGAGGGCCTCCAACAAGACCGCCTGCTGCTGGTGTCCCAACAACGAGAAGTTAAGTTATTCCACCTCCTGTACATATATCAAATGAATAAACTTCATAGCAAATTGTTAATTAATAATAAACATCAGATTAAACAAGGTCTGAAAATTAGAATATTTAAATGCAAGCAGAACCTTAACCACATAAATAAGAGTATGGAAATAATCTTCAAAATTAAGCTAAAGATGAGAATCCTTAAATTTAAAAATAAGTTCCAAAATAGTAAATCCCTCCTCATTTTTAATCTAAATAAGTAACTCCTGCGTAACTCTCTAATAATTAAACTGGCGCAGTTGATTTATCCTCTTAATAATAATAATAATAATAATAATAATAATAATAACTATTACAACCATAAAAATAATAATAATAATAATAAGATGTAATACATAAATAATAAAAAATAGAATCCTAAAAAAATGGCAATGCTACTCATCCAATTACATAACAACAAGCAACTCAATAAAATAACTATTAATAAGAAGAAAACGAAAACTTGGAGGAAGAAGATTTAATTAATTTTGATTCTTTGAAGTAAAATCAGGAAAAATTAAATTAATTAGCTGAATAATTGAGATCAGATGAATCAGGAGAATCAAATTAACAGAACAAAGAATATTCTAATTCAAACTAAAATTGCAACTTTTCTTAAAACGATGATTAGGTCGAAGAAACAGCGTTTTAACCTTAAAATAATATTATTAAAGAAAGCAATTAAGATTCTTCAGACAATCTATAAAAAATTGAACAATAAAGACAGTAAAATTATGAAAATTAACACTAAGATTAACAGCTCGAGGAATTTTAGCAAGAAATTATAAAATAAGAAGTACATAATTCCGAAGAATAAAAGCAAGAATAATTTATTTAATAATAAATACCCTCTTAACATCATTCTTCTGAACAATAAAAAGGAATTTTTCATTAGTAATCAAATGAAAAAGAAAGTATATAATAAAATAACGAAGATTAATAAGTAAAACAATAAAACTTCTTGATTCAATCGAACTAGCATTAATAATAATAACAATAGTAAGTAAAATAATTTTAAAAGGATACATTTAATTTTTAGAGTGAATAAATATTCAATAAATAAGAAGAGCAGATTGAAAACTTAGGTAATTAAACATAAACACCAAAATTCACTATATAATTACAGTAATAATAAACTGTATCAGTTGATGTGGCTTTATTTCAATAAATGATAAAATAAAGAGATCATTATTATGAAAATCAGATTTCTTAATTAATTAAATAAAATAATGACCTTCAGCATTCAATAGCTTAATTTCAATAGGATCATTTTAAAAAGATTTAAGAATTTTAATAAAAGAATGTAAATTATTAAACTTAGATTCAATAACTACAAAATGAAAATTAGCTATTGAGGACATCTTTATAAAATTAAGAATTAAAATTCAATGAAATAACTTAATCAACTTAAAGGAATAAATTTAGAGTGAAAGAAAAATAATTTTAAAAGCTCTAAGAAATTTAATAAATTGAAAAATAAAATGAAAGACATTTTATTGAGAAATTGCATTCAAACACACAATAAAGAAAGGATTTTATTCATAAATATCGTTTATAATAAACCCAATCCAACATGGATGACTAAATATCAATTTTATAAGGATTATTATCTAAATTATAACCACCTTAATTACCAAGGGTCTAGTAATTATAATAACCTATATAAATTTAATCTAATAACTAACAACCAGTTGTCTAAACTTTAGTTGCTGAAGTTCCTGTTACACATTAGCATCATGTACAATAGTAAAATTAACAATATTGGGCTAATGAAGATGAAGTAAATTTGTAGGGTTAAATTGTAAATGCTGATTCTGGCTCTACATAGTTGAAGACTGGAAATAATTAAATATAAGTTTAAGATGTGTAAGACGCATTAGATGAATAGGGTGCTTAAGATGAACAACAATAGTTTGAATAGTAGGATTAGTAATATTAAGTTGATTAGGAAGATGAATAATTAAATAAAAATAATGAATAAGATGAAGAAATCGTATATGAACAATAATAAGTAGATAATTAGGTTTACTTTTAATAATAATAGTAATAGTAACATTAATAATCATAATACTTATCTCAGTAACACTAAGAATAACATTAATAATAATATTAGAAAATTTTAACAGATCCATAAACACATTTAAATTTATCTTAATAACAATTGTAAGAATAAATCTAAAATAAAGAAATACAATAGAAAGCAGAAAAAAATGAAAAGCAAAAGAATAATCAATTTCATATAGATGAATAAAATTAAGATTTAAATGTTATCTAGAATGAAGTTTAAGAAAATACTTATCATCCTCCTCCACCAAAAAGAAAACAAAATCCTTAATAATAAGAAAATTAAACTAAATTTGCTCATCCAAGATTGGCACACAAATAAGAGAATAATAACTCATAATAGAATTAATAGTAAAATCTTTAATAAAATAATCCCTTTTTTGATTATTAAGGAGCAGAAGAATTCTTTCAAACTAACAATTAAACTAATTTTTAACAATTTTTTGAAAAATAAGTAGAAATGCCAAAACAAAAAGCTACAGAATAGAGAACAAAATAAATAAATAGAAGAGCAAATGTGCCTGGATCATTATTTGATTGATTATTTTAAGATGTATCTATGTGAATATCATTTAAATTTTTTAATTTATATTTATAATCTGTTTAAACATAAAAAATTAACATTTTCAACATAGAAAATATTATTCTCTAAAAATTTATACTTTATTCAAAAGAATATTAATTTAAGCTAAATATAAAATTACAAAGAGTGATTTGGATTAGATAGAGTTTTAATTTATTATATCATATATAAATTTAGTAATTATTGTTGATTGTTTGTTCGATTATCCTCAAATTTATTATTAACAACTCAAAGTACTTCAGTAGAATAATCAAATTTCTTATTTAGATTTGAATTATAAAAATTATCATTAAATTTACAACTCCATAACAATTCATTTTATTTTTGAAATAAAAAATGTAAGTAACTGTACGTTTGATATTAAACTATTAGAATGCAAAAATTATTTGCTATTAATATTTTAATCTCAAGATTTTTGAATTTATTTATTAAATTTTCTATCATCTTAAGATATTGCTATTATCAAGCTCAGATTTGCTAAAAATATCTTTATTTCATAAAGTTTAATCTGACTGCTATTTCTTATCATAATTTAACATGTACATAAATTATTTTAAATTGAATCCAAAATTCAGTTGTTAAAGGAAAATTTAGTATATCTTCAATTATCGTATTAATCACTTTTGAGATATATTAAACCATATAAATACAGAAATTTTAATGAAATCAGAATTGAAAGTCTAGTTTTTGGTTATTTATTAATAAAGAAAAATAGTTGCAAAAGTTTGAATTGCAACTAAGTGTGTAAATTGAAGATTGATTAATTAAAAGTTGATTATGAAAATTCCTTTATCAATAACTTATATTTTATAATGTGGAATAAAATTATATAGATAAATTAAGAAATAAATATCAACAACAGTTATTTTGTACATTTGGAGTTTCAACAGGCTTTAATTAAACAGCTGCTTCATAATTGTTGATACCTTTTAGATCCTTCTCCTTTTTTTTATATTATCCACCAATTTTGATTCCTGGCTATGATATATAGGCAAATGTTACATCTTATCCAAGAACTATTGAACCATCATCAATTTCATTTAAAATCCTTTAAGTAGATTAATAAAATGCAGATTGCACATTAATTCCTTATTTTGCTGATGTTTCTAGAAATATCAATTAATGTTATTATGCAAACTACCATCCTTCCTCATATGTTACTGCTCGTCTCTAAATAAAATAAGAAACTATTACTCAGATTCTAAATCAACTTTATTCCCACATAATGTAATCACCATATTAGCATTTCCATTATTTTTGATTTCTTCCATCCACCTCTATAAGTTGTGGAAGGAATCTCTTTTGGTTATATCATAAACAAGTAGAGCTCCTTCATAATAATTCTTAAAGTATACCGATTGCAGATCTATAATAGCTTCTGATAATCGATCTAAAATTCTCTTGACCTGCTGTATCCCATATTTAAAGCTTGATATTCATGCTATTAACTTTGATTATCTTGGCTCCAAACTCCACACCTATTGTTGCGTCATGTTCTTATCTAATTTAATTTTCTATCAATTGTAAAACAATACAGGATTTTCCAACTCCTATTATAAATGGATCATATAACCTGTATCTCCTATTATTATATACTTAAACATCAGACTATAATTAGACATAATCTTTAAATAAATAAAGTATTATTGAATTCTAATATTTTAATATAAATAACAATAAATTATTATTAGTTTACCAGTAACCTCATCTGATCCTCATTAATAATTAATTCTGCACACCGATATCTTTATATTCTCTTTTCATTATAAATATCATTATTAAACAAGATGAGTTAAGTTAATGGGTCAATTTATAATTTTTAAAATAATAAACTAAATTTCTTCTAGATTGGCGTTGTTATTAATTAATATTATGATACCATTAGTAATCCTAATGTCTCAATAATTAAGTGTTAAAAATAATGATATAGAATTTAGATATATATGATTTGTTAAATTGTTGTTATGATAAAATTAATATTGTTTTGACTCCCGATATGGGACTGTAATAACTAAGTAATTTTAGTATGTTTCTAAAGATACAATAAATTATTTAGGCAAAAATAGGAGAAGAAATATAAATTAAATATTTAATTTGTGGTTGAATGTCTATCACAGTCGAAGAATTGGCAGCTAATATCGACACAGTCTTAGCCTCTTTGGGAGATGAGAAGATGTAGATGATAGATAAATCATTAGGGTTAACTGGGAAGTTGTAGAGCAAACAGAGACTAACCTTATGAAACACTTTGATTAGCTATTCGAAAGACTCTACACTCTTAAAGACTCATTATAAAGAGTGTTTCTGATAAACATCAAAAATTTAAGATAATATGATGCCAAAGATTTAGCCTAAAAGGTGAAAGACAAAAAGCTTGAGCCTGTAGTATTGAAATCACTCACATAATATGCATTCAAGAATGACAAAGAGGAGATTCTCTTGAATCCTTCCCTTATTAAGGGGTAGGTGAATAGCATAGTTTTACCATGGGTTGGTAACAACTTATCAGTAACTGATAAAATCAAGGAAACTAATGAATGGCTTGATTCAAAATTAGCAGAATTAGAAGTCTTTAAACCAAAGGAATCCTAAGAGTAGGTTAAGACATAAGAAATTTAACAAAAAAGTGAAGGAAATGATAAATGTATGAATTAAGAGTTAATATTTTAGCCAATTATACTTTCAAGAGTGATAAACTCAATGAAATTGCTTCTTAAATTCAAATAATGCACATTCCAAGCACAAATAATATGATAAGCATTAAAACCTACACTCAAATCGTTGAAGGTAGCGTAGATTTAGCAGAACCAGAATTCATTAGAATTACCCTTGAGAACAGAAAAGCCAGAAGAGAAGTTTTATATTAAGATGGAGCCAAATATGTTTAGTTATTGTTGGACTATGTGAATGATATTGAAAATCTTTTAATGAAGGCTCAAGAAGAAATCTGCAAAAAGATTGATATCTCCCAATAGACCTTGGAATAAAGTGAAATGTTATTGATGGAAAGAGGATTGGGCCAACATGTATTCATGTTACAGGCTTCAGCCAGATAAAGAATTAAGGACAAGTTGCCAAAACAAAAATAGGTTTAGATGAATGCTACCAAAGAAATCATTAGATATTAAATCAAATTATTAAATGAGAAACAAGACTTCTTGAAAAATATGATTGACAAATTACCAACTACATACGAATCTGGACAATTGGTGCCTATGGTCTTGAATTTGGTTATGGGAGACATGATATTTGAAGAACATAGCTATGAGGAAGAAGACTATATTTCTAATTTAGAAAACCCATGTATTATTAAATTATAATCTTAGAATTATTCCAAGACCCAGATATGATGGAATTATTGAAATCTATTGAAACAGGAGTTGTCAATTTATTAGGAAAGACAGCTTTCGCTCAACAACCTTAAGGTATGATGGGTAACATTCCACCACAAATGTTGTAAAAATAATAATAATGATAAATGTAGATTTAGCATTAAATCATATAAATATATATAAACAATATTATTCTATGGCAATCAATGCATTAACTAATTTGATAGCTGTTCAAATTGCGTATGCTAAATTACTAACCAATCCTAAAACTAGCTCTATTTTATTAGCCATAGAATCAGACATCAAAACAACATGTTTCTCTAATCAAAGCATTCTGATTTTCTCATCAAAAAATGTTTTTATCATGTTTCCATTACTAAGGACTTGAATTATTTAAATAACTTATATTAGGAAAATCTTCTATTGTTTTTTCCTTTGAATACAAATGAAGATTTTAGGATATAAACATAAATTTAAGAATTGAACTCTACCCTTGATATTGTATCTAAAGAAATCACTAAACTTTAAAATTATTAATAATATCTACTGGTTAAACGACTAATAGAATAGTAAAATAGCAATAAAATCAAAATTAGATTTTAATTTATTTCTTTTGGATGATATTGTGCTTTTGAAAACTAAACCCTTTAAAGTCTTTAGCGGAAATAATTCTAAAATTAATGATTTTGCACTTAAAATGTTTTTGCTACTATTTCTCAAGATAAAGAATCGATGATCTTTGATATTACTACTACTCAAATGTATACATCATCGACATCGATAGAATATTTTAAACTTAATTAGAATCAGAGTCATTATCATTAGATATTAATCTGGATTATACTTATGTTGGATGTGTGAATAAGAACATTTGTTGAATAAAATATAATCAATTCTAAATTAATTATAAGATTCAGCCTACAACATAAATAAACAAAAGAAAGCTGCTTATAAGTCACTTAAGTGAAATTAAAAATTTTAGACTATTTTTGAGCATGGTCTCAATTTTATTACTAGTAATTCCGAAGATGGTCAAATATTCATTTGGCAAGTTGATGGCAATTAAACTTTGCTTTCTAGAAAAGTATTGACACTTCAAGCCCAAAAACTATATATTATCAAAATACTTTAGAATATTAATAATGCGAAGAGTAAACCCTTATCAAATCAAAACGTTTGATATAGACTAAACCATTAAAAAAAAAACAAAGTATCCATCTAATCAATTGATGATTTGCAAGAAGAGGATAGATAAGGTTAAACTATCTTTTAATTTCACAACCTAACAGCCTCAGAATGTAATTGATCCTTAAATCAATTAAATCATAGAAGAAAACCAGAAATTAAAATAGATAATTCATTAACTGTTGTGAATAATTTATTAAATTTTTATTTCAATATAATTAAGGATGAATAATGTTAATCAGAGCCCATGCAAAACATCTCAAGAAGTCTCTGATCTTTCGAAAGCTTCTGCTAATTAAAAGTTATAAACCCAAAAAATTACTGATTTAGAAAATACCATAAGACATCTTGAATAAACAAATAAAAAATTAACTGATCAAATAAATGATTAGAACAATGAAATGAATAAAGAAAAACAAAAATTCAAAAATCAATAGAGTGCCTCTGCTTAAATTCAAAATTAAAAAGACTAATAAATTCAAAAATTGATAGATGAAAACCAGAAGTTGGTTAAAACAATAAAAAAAATAGAAACCGATATAAATAAGCTTGATTTACTCAAAGAAGAAAATATGAATCTAAAATAAGTGATTTAAGGACAATCATAAGAAATTGAAGATTTGAAATAGAAAATACCAAAAAATGAAACCAAATTGACTTCTGATACAGCATTGGGAGTTTTAGCCTCTAAACGAAGCTAAGAAATTTTGGTCTTAAAAAACGAAAATCAAGAAATAAAATAAAAGAATCAAGATCTCTAAGCTAAATTAAACAATATATTAAAAGATAATTAATAACTGCAATAAATTATCTAATTTGATAATCCATCATAACGACTTAATTCTTAAGCCAGTTCATCCAAATAATACAATTCCTCAGATAAAAAATAAGATCAAACTAATTATATTTTGAATGAATAAGTAAGTAAATTATAATCAGAATTAAAAGAAGCTAAAAACGCAATAGAGAAGTTGAAAAAACAAAATCCCATTAGTATTACCCCTAACAATAAACCAACCACCAGTATTAATAGTATTAATAAGAATAATTCAAATGATAAAATATAGAAGACCTAATCTTTCAATAATGCCGATTTTGATAAAGACAAGAAATTCAGAGATCTTGAGGATTAAGTAAAAAAACTTGAGTTCGAAAAATAAAACATAGCTTAAGAAATTAGATTAGAATTTGCTTAGGATATTAAATAATTATAAGATAAACTAAGAGAAGAATATGAAGCAAAGGCGCAATTAGACAGAGAACAAGATAAACCAACTTAAGAATAAGTAAAAAAGTTAACCTAAGAAAATCAGAAATTATAAATCATTGTTTAAAGATAGAATAAAGAAATATAAAACATGGAAAAAAAATTAACGGGTAATCTAATGTTTAATTAATTTAATAGATTTATTAATTACCTAAGAAGATATCTAATAAAGTCTTTAAAAGGAGAAATAATTTTAGGATTATTTGAAATAAGAAAAGATCAAGCTTTAAGAGCAATTGAAAGAAAAGTCAAAGGAAATCAGTGAGCATAAGGAAGATATTGTGAAATTAGCAAAGGAAAGATAATAATTGAAAGATTTATTGGAGAAATCCAAATCTGAATCTAAAATCAACTAAAGTTAAGCCAGTAATAGGCCAATAAGCTAAAAAAGTGAGATAAGTAAAAAATAAAAATGATTTATTAAATTTTGCACATAATAATCAAAATATAATTTTTTCAAAGGCATGAATATTTAGAATAGTTTAAATGAAGAATTTTAATACGTTTTCAGAGAATTTACAGTAGATTTTTTTTTAATTACTTTAATAAAGGGTTGTTTTAAAGGTTTTCCTTTAGATTAATGAGTTTAGTTTGAAATTTAGTTAAATTCAGTATCAACATAAAATTTTATTTGTAGTTAAATACAAAGAGATAGAGTTTGAGTTTATTTAAAAGAGTGATTATTGAGATTGATGATTAGTTTAATAGAATGTTTATATATATATTGCAATTAAATTAATTAATATTTATGAATAAAGTAGCTTATCTAAAAAGAACATAGACTGCAGGAAATGCGTAATTTAATACATTTAATGTAGTTTTCGATCAAGTCAGGAGAAGGATTTAAAATCATAAACATTTACTAAGATTACAAATTAATAAGAAGAAGAGGCCAATCTAAATAAGTAACTCTAAACTTTGCATGCAAAGAGGGATGAATTGAAGGAATAAATTCAGATCAAAGAAAATGAAATAGAAAAGAAGAGGAGGCAAATATATGAATAAGAGAGGGGTAGTAGATGGGGAGAAAATAGAAATCAAAAATAAAACCAATAAAATTCATAAATGGACAAAAAGTTGAAAATGAGAAGACAACCTTAAAGTATTATATGATTAATAAATAGACATTTAATTTAATCTTGCTTATTTATATTAAAAGGAGAATGAAATGCTAAATGAAACAGTTTAACTTAAAAATGATATAAATAAAATGAGAAGGGAGAAAGAAATGTTTAAGAAAATCCTCAAATAATTATAAGAAGATTGGATTGCTCACCATGAGAAAATGCTTAATAGAAGTCAAGAATAAGAAAAAGCATTCCAAAGTTTACATTAAGAAATGAATACAATCAAATCATTAAGATGGAATGAAGCCTAAGAATAAAGAAAATTTGGCAAAGAATTCAAAAGCATTTATGATAAATTTAAAGAATCCAAATCTCCTGAACATCAGTCTAAATCTAGGGAGAAAAGTAGAGGCAAAAAAGAAACTGATAATTATAAAAAATAGAAACATAGAAGTGATAGTTATGAAAGATATAGTGGTTCTGAGGAGGATGCAGATGCTGAAGATTTGAAATATGAAATATTACATATTAATGAAATGGCTGATAAGAAAAAGAAAAAAATATTAGAAAGAGAATAAAAAGCATAATAAAATTAACAGGAATAATAAGCACTAGTGGATTTACAATCTGAAGTTCAAACTTATGATTAAACTTTAAAATAATTATACAATTAGACTAAATCAGAATAAATTGATGAAATTGTTAATATATTTGTTGAATAAGAAGAACAAAATTATGGGGCTTTTAAATATATTTATGAATAATCTGATGAATTGGAAATGCTGTAAAAATAAAATAAATTATTATTGATGGAGAAATAAGAATTAGAAAACAGAGATTAAAAAATTATGGCTGATTAAAAATATAAGTAGAAATTGTAATTTGAGGAAAAACTAGTCAAAATCAAGGCAAAATAAGAGAAATTATAAGAGAAACTTTATGATATATCTAAAATTCTTAAAGAGTTGATGATCAGTATCCCAATTATGTTTGAACGTATTGGTTGCAATTTAAAGGAATACAGTTAATTACTAGGACCTAAATTTGTAAAATTAAATTTCTATATAATAAGAGTTTTAAAGAAATGGATGAAGATAAATTATTAAAAGTATTGGGTGTTATTGAAATAAGAACTAATGATATTTTACAAATGCAAGATATTGCATAAAACCCACGTCATAATTTTATGAAGAAAGATGTATTACTCTTATTAAATTAGGCTAAACAATCTAATTTTATTAAAATAGATGACGGAAATAATTAAGGAGATAATCCAAACGATGAATTATTACAAAGAATACGTAATAATCTAATCTGATTATAATAGTTGACAAATTTAAGGATACTGAACTCTCAGAATAGTAATTTTCCAAAGCTCAACTTAGAGACATTGCAGAAAAGCATATAAGAGCAGGAACTGGAAAGAAGAAAAGAAATTGATTCAATTTATAATTATTTTTAATAGTAACTCATCATTAATCATGTTATTAACTAATTATATGTTTTTTTTACGAACTTGAATTCATTTAAGTAGCTCCAACAACTTAATATAAATTCTTAGAATTTTCACAGATTTAAATCTATAACACTCTATCTATTTTCTATAATTTTATAATTGTGATATTACCTTTCTACATAAATAACACTCATCTTTATTTTTCCACATATCTAAAGCGCAATGATAACATACACCACCATGACCGCATTACATAAACAATGCATCTGGATTACTATCATAGCAAATACAACATAAATTGATGGATGACAATGATATTGAGTTTTGTTAATTTTCCTATTAATATCAAATCTTTAGTACATTCTATTGGTGTTGCAAAATGGAAGTTCCTTTTAATTCCTCTATATTTTCTTATTCATTAAATTTCAGATTCATCATAGATGCAAGTTTTATCCTTTCATCATTCTATTCGATTGGCTTTTGAATATGAGATGATAAGGCTTTATGATGAGTGGGCTTTTTATTTAATCCTTATATTTTGGAATCACTTTTTTTCTATAAATTAAGATCATCGAATCCAAAATAAGTTTTCGAAATTCTTTTGACCATTCTTGGAATTTGAAATTATGCTTCTGAAGTTTGACTCTCTAAGTATTCTTACTTATTAAATTGCTGAATCTATGCTTCCCCTTGTTGAGTAATCATAGTATGGAGTGGATTTACAGAGTCATTTAGAGACAAGAACCTTTTTGAAGCTAAAATTAACTCTGATTTAAATTTGGCATTAAAATAAGAGAATACTATTTAGTTTGCAATTAGGATGATTCTACCTGCTTAAACAGGTCCCTCGTAATTTCCTTCAGTAGTAAAATTTAATATCGATATTGGTATGACAAAACACATTGAGGAACACGATATCAGAAACAGCAATATCCACATATTCTTTATCACTAATTATATTTTATAATAATAAACCCTAGTTTCTTTCATAATTGCCCTAATCCAATATTACTTGAATGCTTAAAGCCAATACAACGAAAATGTAATATATAATGAATGATGCTGACAGACTAAATAATAGCCAAAATACCCATAAAGCGTATAACCAATCAATATCCAAGTATCCTTCTATTTTTAAACTGAAAAATATAGACATTAGCAAAATACAAGAGTTTCTTATTACATTAAACAAATTAATTTATTGCACTGATTCTTTTAGCAACTAATTCCCTTCATTTAACTTTACTATCAATGATAAGGAGATATTTATAAGAGGAAAAGTATTTGAAAGCAGCATCAACTTATTTTTTCCAGTGACAGCATAGATATTAAGTGAGAGCACATAGCATACTTCAATGAATAGTTAGAATAATCTTATTAAGGCGTGATTGTATTTTCTTTAATATAATAATATATAATATGCTCTTACACATTTATTTTAGCAAATGCCCTATAATAGTATAGTTGATGCAGAATTTATAATAATAATTTTGAATCTATGCAATATATCACACTTAACATATTTCCTTCATAAGCAAGTTCAAAACATAAAATCAAAACTGTAATTACATAGATAGAATTTGAAAGCAAAGTGTAACTCAATAATTCAAAGGCTTATTTTTATCTAATTCTTTCATACATTTAATGCTTACTACATCGCTCCAATCTGTTGCATTCTGTCTGTTGTTTACTAATTTTATGAAATATTTAATTGTCTTCTCATAAATAAAAAGATAGATCAGAGTTTAATTGATTATTTATTTATTGAAAATATAGATTGCTTTGGAAAAACGAAGGTTTACATTTTTTTCATTCATATTTTGTGATTTTATTGACTATAAATGATACTTCAAGTAGTTTTAACAATATCCACAAATCACAATTAATTGTTGATATTGAAAAAGATAAACAAAATAAATTCTAATAATGAAAAATTAGTTTAAGATTGGTTCAACATTTCTAATATTTAATTTCATAAGATCGATAATCTATAAAATAATATTATTAAGAATAATTAATGTAGATCAAATATTTTTTTTTGTTTAATCTAATTTAGTTATTGATTTGCTTAAATTCTAGTACCTATTTTCAATTTAAAATGGTTATTCAGTATTTTATCGAAATTGTCTAAATCTAACACTCTTACTTCTTAGTTCTTTATCTACACCCTATATGTTGAGTTGTGTTTCGCTGATATTCTTTTTTAATTAAGACATTGACCTTTCTCTTAATGAATTTAACTCTTGAATGTGCTATTCTTTTGTCTTCATGATCATTACTGATCTTCCTTATATAAGAAAGTTATAATACTTGCATGTGTCATTCTGGCGCTATTGGATCGATTGTACCATTTTTTTGAGGATTTCAATTTATTTCTAAACTTTTAAAGGGAGAAAACCTCTGGATGTTAGAAAATAATCTTTTTTAATTTCTATAAAGGTCCTAATTTTGCTCCTGGTTTTTCGAAAGATAGTAATGAATTATCAAGATCATTTTATTTTGTTAATATTTGATTAGGTTTAGCATTTAAAGAATCAACATGTATTTATTTATTAATAACTCTCATTTGTAAATCTTATTTCGTTATAACTTCTTATTTTGATTTTAATTTAACAGGTAATACGAATTTAGAAAATTAAGTTTTAAATCTTAAAAGTTTCTTGTAGAAATCACTTTCCTTTTATTCCAATTTCTCTTTACTCAACAATTAAAACAATTAAGCTTCCTTGCATCTAAGATATAAACGAGATAATTTACTAGATATCATCTGTCATTATTTTATTTTCAATCATCTTCTTAATCATTTTATCCAAAAAAGAAGAAGTAGGCTTAGCATTTGGTTATGCTTAAGGTTGAATTTATTCGATTTAGTTTGATATTTTTTTGTCAGAAAAACTATTGGAAAATTGTGAAAGTGATCCTCTAAAAGATTTAGATCCGTGAATAGAAGTGTTCTCTTTTTTTGGGAATCTCAATGTATTACTAGATAATCTAGTATCATTTGAACTGAAATTCTCATTATTGATTTCAATAAAAGCAAGTTTTGAATTATGAGCGAGGTTATTTTTTGATTTGGCCAAAAAAG